AGGTCACAGTACATTGATGCATCTTAAAGCTTACAGTAAAGACTCTAGGCGAACGAAACGGCTATTTTAGCTATGAGGATCGCTAGTATCTAATATTTCTTCACTCCACTGCGGAATCTATTAACTTAACTACAGTACGGGCGAGGTGGGACGTCATCTAGCTATTTCATGAAGTAATACTGATGATAGCGGATAACTACCCAGGAAGCCATTATGAGACTACTAGAAATCCATGGATCCAGATCTAGAGTTCGAGCGTGACACACGGCAGATAAATGCAGATGTATTAAATGAAAGCATCGAACTCTTCCACCATGAATGACAGATCACAGCCGTCTCAAAATATTCGCTTAGGGTTGTAGCAGGGTCGGTGTTGGAGCTGGTCTCGAGGCTATGCTGAAACTGCGATACAGTGAGATCATGCTGCATGTGACAAAACCAAAGTTGATTCAATTACGCTCGTGCAGAATCTCCCATAATTAAATGCCTAGAGATATATATAGCCAACTTCAACCAAAGGACTTAATTTTAATGTCAGAGAGCAACGATATCTAACATCATGCTCCTTGCTTACAAACTTGTCAATGAGCAATAAGAGCTATCTAACAACCGGACCACGATACTACCATGGACATAAAGTCCAAGCACTAGCTACAACGACGATGTATATATACCCAGTCAAGCGGAACACCACTCTACATGCGTCTTTAAACTCCAGTATATCGAAGATGCCGTCGGCATAGGAGACATGCCGACTCAGCCTTATAGTTTGCAAAAGAAGCAGACTTTACCCACATATAAGTATTGGCCTCTAGTTCACCTGAACTATTACTCATCGGAATAAAAAATCACTCTCAAACCATTACTCGGAATGTACTATCGCAAACCGGAAAGAGTATCCGCAGGATTCAAACTCGGCAATATCTCAGATATATCAAGAGGCAAATAACCCGGGTAGCATCTTGAATAGAGAGGGCCTCCAACATTAGAGCACCAGGACGTTAATCGGGCATTGGTTTCGTCACATGATTTCTAAGCTTGGCTCTTCTAGCCCCAACGGCACGGTGGCCAAGATGGCCCAGCAACTATTGAAATTGAACATCGGAGTTGTGGTCCAAAGAAAGTACTCGCTAGTTATGTCCACGTCACTTAACAGTGAGAGTAGGCCCCCCGATTTTGATAGATACGTACTTTCGGGGCATCACAGTCATCCTTGGAGGCTTCGATAGCCATATAGAAGGGGTGGTAGAATAAAGATCGGAAAATGTTCTTGATAAGGCAGTTAAATTCCAACTTCCTTACAGTCAATGTGAACTCGCACCCGTCTTGCCTCCAGACCACAGTCAATGCTAAAGCAGATCAAAGAAAAAGACATAGGCCTTGGTTGTCAAGAGTCTTAAGATCGAGCTCTTTTCCAAAACTCAACGTTTCTGTCACCTCTTTTCATTTTGGCGCGAACACTGGTTGAAACCTAGACTATGTCTTACCTTGGTGTTTTTATTGGCCTTCATCTCAGTTCTACCGTCGGGCCTAATATAATGCAATCTGTATTTTAGCGCTATAGCGGGACAAGAGTTCACCTAGATCGATAGTAATTATTGTGAAAGTATTATAGTACCGATAACCACGCGCTGTTAGGCTAAGTCAAACGGGGTCATCTGGCCACTGTTTATGTACGTTCGAATTCTCAGGATATCGACCAAGTGAAGCACATTTCTAGCACCGACCCGACGAGGCGGAGGCGTGGTATTGAAAGAGGAGTACTACCCCTTGTGGCACATGATAATGTGGCGCACACCTCCAGACTCCAACACCGAATGCCTTGTGTAACAACACAACACATTAAAAGGTCGTCTTCAGGACGCCTGTTGATTTCTAAGAGTAGATCTCCGGAGCTCTACGAACGCGAAAGCAGGGGTAGCACTTAACTGTTGAAGTTTTAAGTGGCAGACCTTAATTTAGGACTGTAAGTCATCCAGGCTAGCTAGAACTTTAACCGGAATGTTTAATCACTTCCTAGTGACAGCTCGGGTCGCTTCTCAACTACCTAGACCTCGCGGGTCATGATCTTGGAACAGATTGTTAACAGCTTAGCCAATGTTGAAATTATTTCACTGTAAAAGTGGCGTTAGGAGGGAGCTTTGAGAATAATTTTTCATTCGAAATGATCATTAGGCTTATGGGGTAGCATACTTTGGTGTGAACTCGAGCAAGAATCCGAAGGGCTAAGCTTTTGACTTTGCGCCTCGCCTGCGCGCGACCTTTTCATATCGCTGTAGTTTGAAATCGTCGCAGATATTGGCAAGCAGCTTCCTTTCATTCCGATAAGCTGAGAAAAGATTACAAGTTTGATGAAGGCTGGGTTCTACGCCGGATATTGACGAAACTGTTAGTCATTGTTGGGGTTGGAACGACGAAGATATCGATGCGCTCAGAATCCGCAAGAAGGCCATAGCCGTGGCGCTCGTGCCCTAAAAACTGTTTTCTGACCATCTGTATCTTAAAATTAGCATCATGATAGAGTATACCACTAGAAGGCGATAAGAAGGGCATTTTCGCGAGGTTAAGTCGGGTGCTTTGAATAGGGCGAAGGTGGTCGGACTCAATATCGGCATTTAGTCGATTTAGAAAAGTTAGAAAATGTCTTTAGGTAATTACAGCTTCAGAGAGCCTAGTTAAACTTAGTTTTTGGCCAGAAGGAACCATGTAGAGTGGTGGCCTCAGTATTATTGACTGGGGCTGAATTCCACATGAGAGGCGTTGGAACAACACACAACTTTGTGCGCTTTCCCGCACGGCTGTCGGTTAGTTCCTTCTGGATTTGCGGACGAGCGCTGTGTACAGCGCTGCACTTAGTAGTGTCTGTACACTATCGTGGTCGGGATGAATACTTTGTGGTCAGAATGGATTAGTAACAACCTGAGGTAAGGAGTCAAAGCCCAGAGATCTTGAGAAATGAGAAGTCTGAATGTTCGTTTGCCATTTCGGTAATGAATCCTGAGGTAATGCAGGGAAACATAGAATACGAGCCTACCAATTATCCTCTGCTCCGGATGTGAGGGGTTCAGAGCTCAAGATAGCCAGACACGACGCAAGCCTGCAAAATCGAAGGATTATCAGCCCGCTCTCATGCATCCAACATTCAACCAATACCCCTGTCCACGTGTCTGGCTGGCGGTTCATGCTGACCCTGCTGACTGCCTGCAAGAGAGTTTATCGGCACCGCTCAGCTGGATTTCCGTGGAAAGTAAAATTTTTCTCTGATCCCGATCACTGACTGAGCTAAGGCTGGGGAAGCGAGAAAAAAATACCAGTTAGACGGCGAGTTGGATAAGAGGATTCCCAACCTATCGATTTATCAATATTACCTTTTCCGATTAATTACATTTATTACCAAAGTTTGAAGCCTTAATCGGGCTCGGATCTAATGGGAAAAAATGCAACAACTTCTGAGTTCGGCATCACAATGCAACCCTTCACCGCATAGCAATCTGTTCTGGCGATCGCTTGCAGCATGCAGTGTTCCCTGATATTACCATCGTGACGTAAGTAAAAACCTGGGTCCCCAGTCCATCTGTGAAGTGTTCTCCCCGCATTTTCGAATTTTCGGCAGGTTCCCAGAATAAGACCCTTCTCTGACCCGAAATGTTGGCGGCTCTGCATTTGGCTGGGCAGGGAGAGCGCTCGAAGTGTTGGAGACGGCAACCTCCGCTGCGGCTGTACCTGTGTAACATGGGTTCGGAGTTCGACGTCGCTTTGCATTCTTTCCCCGCATATCTGGATAGTCCTTGCCGGTCGGCTTCGCCCAATGAGTATTCAGGAACCAGGAACATGCAGACGGTCAAATCCATTCCTGGGCCAACGGCCAGGGGTTTCGTTTGCTAAAAGATATTAATGGAAACATGGCCTGCCCTAGCATCCTATGCCTGGATCCTTCTAAAAGTCGAAATGTTGAGCGGTTTTTCAAAACTGCTTCCCGGCCGGCAGTAGAAATCCAGCCTAATAGGGCCTGAGGGTCATGCTATTAAGACAGAGCGAACTGGGTTGGAAAGGCTATGACATCCTGCATATTTCCCAAGATCTCGGTCTCGTTCATTCATTTCGGTGTATTAAACCGGGAAGTGGGTCCCGCACTATTCCTTGGCTAAGAGCCATCATCACAGTAAATACAGAGAAATCGCAGTGCCGATGCGTGGTGGTACTATCACGGCTGAGAGGCAATTGCAATGAAAGGAGCCGATTGCAGCAAGGGCGTTTGTTATCTCAAGTTACTACGTAATGACAAAAACATCAGATATCAGTCATATAGAAATTTCGAAACTAATCCAATAGAACCTTCTAATCCCAACAGCTTGCAACAGGGCTTCCCCAGCCTTTCCTATCGCATTGGTGACACCCTGCACAATATGCACACTTTGACGCACTCAGTACCCCACACTGTAAAAACCGCTGTTTGTAACACTTCACAAGCCGTGCTATTTCCTTTCTTGTCATGATCGAGCTCTATCGGAAGATATTAGAATCTACTGGGGTTTGATTGTTGTCCAATATCTTAGCTTTAGCTCTCCTGTACAGCTGCAGGCGAAACTCAGCTTTGCTAGACAGCGAGGGACAGAGCTTGAGGCCAATATAGCATTTCAGCCCCAATGCGGTGTAATTCAGAAATAGTTGCCCCCGACACCGGCAGCTAACTGAGCGAAGGAGAAGCGAAATTACATCCAGTAGAACAATCAGCAATGCATTGTTCGTGGCGGTCCATGAACCGTCCACAAGAAAAGTTTGCGGCTGGGCGAGAACGTTGGCGATTTGTTTTCTGCCGTCTCGAGGTTCAATCTCGAAGCTTCGTGGTCGAAATGGGTATCTATATAAAGGGCATCCCCCAGGACGTTCTATTGACTTCATTCCTCAGCTTCAAGCAGCAATCCTCTTAGTACCAATACAATCAACTATAATCAGTCTAGTCTAATCTACTCACTTTCATCTTATAATATTAATTCATCATGAAGTTCACATCCGCCCTTTTCTTGTCCAGCGTGATTTACGCCGTTGCTGCCACAAGGAACTCCAATGGCTGCAATCAGAATAACTGCTACAGAGGTACCATCTCTTCATATTGTTTCTATGAAATATATAAATGTACAGAAAACTAATAAAATGTTCTCAATCTAGCTGTCAAGGCGGACAACTTCCCAACCCGCCCAGGCACTGCAGACTGCTCTTCGTTCTTGAGCACCACTGTTGAGCAGAAGACAAGGTATATAATATACCAAACGTTCACTTATACCATAAAGCCTTGGGACTAAACAAGATCTGTAGCACTGAGATCAACGAAGGTGTCAAAACTATTGTCACCTACTATGAGACTACTATCCCCACCCACATCCCAGCCTATGCATCGCCATGCAGTGACAGCCCAGCCAAATACTCCAGTGCTTGTTCTTGCATTGGTGTCACCCCAGTCACTACTGTCATCATCCCAACTTGTGGTCCTGGTACCCTCAGCTGCAATAACGGACCATGTCAAGATGTTTTGAGCGACCCATACAACTGTGGCGCTTGTGGTAACACTGTATGTCAGCCCAGAATAATTCTATTAGAGGTTTTTAGTCAGAAGCATGCTAACAAAGAGATAGTGCGAATCCGGCACCTGTATCAACGGTCAATGCTCTGTCCCAAGCTGTGATGGATCTTCCTGCGGTAGCTTGAACGGCTGCGGTGCTGACTGCTTCTGCTTCAAGGAGGCTAGCGGCAAGGGATTCTGCGGTCCTAATGTCTCATGCGCACCACTTAAGGATTGCAATGCTAACAGCGACTGCGACATTGGTGAGGTTTGCGCTATCAGCACTTGCTGCAGCAGGAACGTTTGCTTGAACTCCTGCGCACTCACTCGCAGGTCTTTGGCCAGCAACTTCGTTGGCTCCCGCGATGTCAATGCTGGTTGGACTGGTGGCGCTCCACCACCAGCTTTGTTCTAAATGGATAAAGGGTGGTTCAAAATGATATCATGGGCATGTAACGAATTTTTTGGGAAGTCGGAATTAATGACAAAGGAAAAGTTAAGCGGCGGGGAATTTTGGTATTTGGTCTAGGAGTTTTCAGCACACTCTTTTGGAGTCGATTATGTTATAACTTTTTGAGTAAATTGTAGTAGATTGGCTTCAAGGTCTACGACACTAAAACAAAACTAGTCAATTAATTCAATTTAGTTTACTGCTTAAGAACTTTAAGTTTGTGCGCTCTGTTCGCACCCAACATATATAGGGCTTATTATTGCCCCAACGTTAAATACTAAACTGACCGTACTCCGCATTTTTATGAGACTCCGAGTACTCTAGATCAATTCTTTCTAGGGCTGTCAATTCACTAAATTGCCAGACTATCCAACGTCCTCAATAATGGGCCTGGTAACAGGTACTGGCTCGCTAACCCCATCTTGTACTGTCGCGGCTCTTTCTTGACACTCCAAACAACGACTTCCTCGGCCACTCCACCCTTGCTACATTCCCCATAGTCCCAATATCTAAGAAACCTCCCCCTCTGATCTAACGTCCTATTTGACACCTTTTCAAACTTCCATCTGATATTACTCCACTTCCGTATGTAATCCAAACCATGCCAACCAAATCTCCAGAAGGCGGCCGGGTTACTTCTCCAGTCCTGTGAAACCCACAGTAACAATTCGTCCCATATTTTTGGCGGCCCATCTCTCGGCCCTCCTTGTTCGTAAACTAATTCAACTTCATCGATGGACCCATTGTCTAGCCATCGGAAAGCCTCTAGCACAAACCAGTAAACGTAATCATCCATCGGCGTTTTGGTCCCTCTCATTGTAACCGCAACTTTCCTCAAAGAGTTGCAATACTCATAAAGATTTGAAAGCCCAATCCAAGATAACGACTCATCAACGGACCCATAAGCTTGGTCGGGTCTCGGACCCCAATAGGCTTCTTCGGTATGTCTTCCGAGAAAATTACCCTTGGTCATGAATATAGAACTTATTCCATCCGGCAACAAGGTTCGTCGCATAGTATTCGACGTGTTTGGCATTACACCGCCGAATATTGCACGCCCGTGGGAGAGGTGGTGGTTGAACTCTTCCGTACATTTTGCGCGGGAAATATATGATAGAAAACGGGCACATATCATCGGTTGCAGACATTTTTTTAGTCGCACAAGTAACATAAAGCGATAGTCTGCAGCTGCTTGCTGTATCGCTACTGCAAAATGACGTGATACCAGAAGGTATGGAGGTGGGATTAAATATTTGATCGGTGGGATTGAGAGGAATGTGGCGCAAGGGAGCTCCCGATTCTAAAAGGTAATAAGAATTATATTAGATCCCTCCATTACCTGCCTCAAGAGCGTCTGGATTCGAAACTAGGTCCCGATTCAAGTGACATATTAAATGGCAAATACTCATAGATACCCATTCGTCTGATAATTCAGCAGAAGCTCCTAGCCGTTCCATCTCGTTCTTCCATTGCCTTGTGTGCATCGGCGAGTAATATGTTACTGTTAAGGGTACGTCAGGTATGAGCTGGCTAAAAATTGGATATTGAAGCTCCATCGGTAGCTGGAGCAGACTTTATATCATCATTAGTTCTTTACCACATGCTAGTGATCCACCGCGACAAAATGTATACTGCAGAGCTTACCGTGAAGGCATATCTCCCTCCATTTCTCGTACTCGGACTTCTTAGACGTTCTTCGTGTAAATGTTTAAATACCTCGCAATGCAAGCCGAATAGAAAGCAAATGAACCCTGAGGAGATGTAGAGTTTATCTCGTTCCAGAGACACAGGCCCCGCTCAAGTCGATGAAATGGCATAATATGACACAATTTTGCCTAGGAAATTATGATCGGCCTCTTATAGCTGGTGCGTTCATAAAGGCATAGAAAGTTAACATATTTAGGGCTTCGGGGCGGGCACCAGTTCACTCGAATACTAAGTGAAGATTATTCAGTTCTTATTCCGCAAGAAGGAATATCCAGCCTTCTTCTCCCTTTTCATCCTTCTTCTTCCTCACTTTTTTCTCTTCGCCAAAGGACGACATGGCACAAATATATTCGATCTGGATATATAAGAACTGTATTAGAAAGGAATTTTGTTGTAAGGCCATTGGATCGCGGGTGCAATATGAGACGATACAAAAACGTCAGTTTCGAAGCGCAAAATTTGTATATAGTACTTGAAATGCCCCTAAAAAAAAAACTCCTAGTAGGTTGGCGGGCTAGTTTTCAGTGACGATGATTCAGCCCTACCCCATCGGAGTTTATGTCATCTACCAAATGCTGCTGCTTATAGTACCAGTCTTGTCTCGTACCCGACAATACCAGTCAAAATAAATCTATAAATATACATGTTTTATTGACCCCGGCCGTATAAATTTGATAGACTGTGGGAGAACCTCCGGGACCATCGGCTGATCCTTGGGCCGGCTCGTAGAATTTTCTACCAAGGGCCAAGTCGCGACCAACTCCAGCGATAAGCTTTCCGTTTCGTTTTCGAAGTGACGGGAAGCAGACTTTGGCGAGTACGAGTGTATATGTAAACTGGAACATGCATGGATGAAACCCTAATATAATAGTTGAATCCTATTATTGATTGTTCGGTATAAATAACGCAACAGCCTCCGGCCGACAAAGCGAACCATGGGCCCCCATGCAGATGTTCTGGCCTGTCGATATGCACCTTGCTGTACAGCAAATGTATTTCGGGGGGGCTTCCCTGTTCATTCTTGCCGGCACCACACAAATTTTCAGCAACAATGTTCGGTCCCACCGAAAATTCAGTCAATCCACGTCTACGAAAGGTGCCCAGAGCATCGCCAGCCTCCACAAATAGTATCCTCTGACGACACCCTTGCAAGCCACGAAATGCACAGTTGCATACACCCTAGCCTTTGGTAATTTTTTGATTTCCTTGCTTCATGATCGATTCCCTTTGAATCTAATGAGTGCTAGAAGACTGCAACACAATTATCTGGAAACCTCCTTCCTATCGATGATGCAAGGCTGAGAAATTTCAATTTCGTGAACAGACACTCTTAAGCTCTTTGGGTCCGCGTTTTTGGTCATGGCCGTGGCATAGGGAATCTAGGCTTAGTAATATACTGATCTAGACCTATGAGCCTAGGCTACGAAGCTATAGCCACTAAGTATCATAAAAAAGCTTCCTGAAACGATCTATGTATAATCTTCTTCTTTCTAGCTCCGAAAAAGAGTAATTTTGCGAGAAACACAAACAATAATCATACAGAGTATACCGCCAACAAATTTCGACAATAAAAATTAACTTTTGATGATACTATATCGCTAAAACAAAACGTCTCGAGCAATTGACAGCTGAAGACCAGCTCCCGCAATGCCAGCTGGAAACGAATGGCCGTCGCAATTCACCATCACTTTTTGTGACCTGTGAATAAATCACGTGGTCATATGAGTTTTCAATATAGTAACCGTGTCGTTACACATTAAACCGCCGGGTCTAATCAATTTTCGGCTCTTGAATGTTCAGTCATCTCACATCTTTCCCGTCTAGTTTTCCCAGGGATCCAAGTCGCATGCTTGTGATTTTGGTGGGTTTTGAGGTTATCCCATGCCTTCGGCTCTGTCCCGGCCCATAGCTCTGTAGGACATCCAGGATACAAACAGCGAGCACAAAACTCCGATGTTGACCAGTGTGTGTTTTGCCGATGGCGGTAAACGGTACCTGGTGTTGCGTACTCGTATTCGCAGCCATCGATATTGCATTTGATCCGCCTGCGCACCCTCTCTAGCGGAACGCGCTGTCGATTCCCCCTGTAAGGTCGCCTGCCTGGTCGAGATCCTGGTTGGATGGTTGTTGCACTAGGTCGCCCAGCTGGGCGACCAGGAGCTCGGCGAGTCGAGCTTGTAAGCGGCCTCTCGTCTGGCGCTGATGCGTCGGTTTGACTAGGAGGCAGCACCGCATCTGCTCGGAACGATTGAGATTCGAGGACTCCGAAATTGACTGGTCCACCGCTTGGAGGTGGTTGCGTGTTGGGACCAAATGTCGCGGTACTCGCAGACTGTGCTTGGTCCCAGAAATTTATGTCAATTTCTGCATCTTGATCGAACAGGTCTGAATCTAAGACGCCATCTACACCGTAGCCACGATCGAATGGATAGGGGTTGGCGAATATTGATGGTGCTTCCTGGTAATCGAGATAATTGTCATCGGCTATATCCCCCTCGCTTATCGGTGGGTATCGTGAGAGGCTCGTGGACAAACCCTGATCCTGGAGCGTGATAAGAAGAGATTAACGTTAACTAACTTCCCTGTTCAACTAGCTAAATTCTGCAGGTATTAATGACTTACATTCAATTGCGAAGTCGATGTGCTAGGTCCACTATCACTAGTAGACTCTAGAAAAAAGCTTGATAAGACATGTCTTCCCGCGCTGCCTGGATACCAGGGCTCATCAGACCGTATTGGGTCTGACAACCCTCCCGAAAGAACTTCGCTAGAAAAAAGCCAAGCATTTTCGAAATCACCATTAAGGGCAGGATCCACAATGTCATCCGAGAAACTCCAATCCATGGCGATATCCCCAGCAAAACCCAGACCGAAGTTGCCGGAAAGGGGACGATCGCCATCAAAGTTATCCATGGCTCCGCGATATTCCTTGCTCTTATTTGCTTCCTGTTTTAATTTTTGGCCTTCCGCTTCAAACAAGAACTCTAATCCCATGGTTTTACATCTATTTTGTCGGTTTAATCCTGGGTTAGGACTAGGACTGTGTTGTTGTAATTGTGGGTGTAATGGAGCTCAGGTTTCGGCTAGAATGAATATAGCAATCTGCGTGTACGGATAAAAGATATATGGAACGATTTAAGAGATTAAATCAGAGTAAATGGGGAGATATATGAAGTTAGAGATTTGAGTATTTGGCCAAGCCACAGTAGACGGATGTCGAATAGTGGTCTATACCAGTTATGTAGAGTCTTGAAACATGAAGATGGGATTGGCATGGACAGCAATGAGTAAATATATACCTTTTTTTTTGCTATAGAGACCTTAAATCCTTTTTCGCAAAATTTTTTTTGATTGGCGATGAAATAACGTGTCGGAGCATTGAACGCCTTGCCGAACAGTCCTGATGTTAACGTCTGTAAGGCGCCTGCAGGCTGGTAGCATGGAAAGGGACCACGCTCTGCATGCACCGGGTGACCATCTTAGGACACAGGAACCCGTCCCAACATGGAGTATTGATTAATCTTGGCATAAGTGATAAAGGGCAGTCTGGTGCAATACGAAACTCAGTCTGGCCTTACCTCTTGCGCAACGAGCACTAGATGAAGCCTAGAACATCGCCGGTGCCAAGTACGTGGGGCCTGGGCCTATGCAACACAAGACCAGGATCCATGGAGAGTGTGCATGTCGAGGGCATGGGCAACAGAAAAGTATACAACCCCCAATTTAGCCTCAAACATATGTACATGCATATTTGTACAAAAAGTCGAGAAGTTCTGGTCGTGGCTACCCGCTATCAGCCCTACTAGCCGACTTTGAAGCCACCGATTGAAGTGTATCCGCGAATAATACGAGCTGATCCATTGATCGTTTAATCTTTAATCTCATAAGACCCCGTCTATTGCATTATATTACGATGTCGAGCTAGGGACACTACTATGTATAACACGATAGTTTGAGACCGAGAGCCATGAGGTCAAAGCGTTACGCTGCAACATCCAGTCATCTTGGGTGTGAACGTTGGTGGGCCTCGGATTCCTTGCATTCGGACATAATTTCAATGACCTTATCCAATCATAGAGTAGGTTAACGTCGCGCAGTCGCGGAAGCGAGTTTGCAAACCAGGCATGCACCAATAGGAGCCAAGCCTCCTGAAATTTCAAAACGTTGACGAAAATTCAGACTGTGGGTACGTACCGTATGCGCAGATAAATCCCGGGGCGCTCTGGAGATGATATGATTCTGCAATGTCGATGCGATGAGCGCATGAGCCCGGGCCCGCCACTAGTACTATAGTCTGAGCCTAGGTCAAAGCCGCATTAACCCCGGGAAGAAACCTCATAGTCGAATATGCGATTGAGAATGCAGATAGAATTTCTCAAACCTACATGATCCTCAATTACCACAGTCAAGATAAGGAAAACCAACCTTTTCAGCGCTGCAGCCCCAATCAATCCCGAAACGGTATTGATTTAAATTCCGAATTTCATTTAGGCACAATGTTCGAGACCTGGGCTCTATTACGTCTGCGCCTACTATCGATGTTTATGATAATGTCGTGAAAATGTCTTAAATTCTATAAAACTAATTATAACTTTGATGGGGCTGGGTAAAGGAACGGGCGGGCTCCCGAGTACCGCAGCACTGGGAAATCTCACGGGGTGACCGATTCGTTGATTGCAGAGCGTGTGATCGTTAAAACCATCGCTCCCACGCCGTTGGGAAAGTTCACGTTTTAGGTTCGCCTGATGATTCCCCTGGTGAGGGATCCGGGAAAATGATGACAAAATTTTGTCTTAAGATGTTAGCAGAATTAAGACATGTGCCAAGAGACACATTGACGCTAATTTTCATATTTCAAGCTTCTCTAGCCAAAGCAAAACCCTTCAAGGCCAAGCTGAAAGTTCCAGCATGTTCACTGAAATTCGAAACCAAGCCAAAAAAAACAGAATTCAGTGCACAGCTGTGACAACACCAGCATCGTGCAGCTGCAGGTATTTACACCAATCATTTTACAGATACTTGACCTGCTGAGAAGCAAGCATTATTACGCTAGTCTAGTCTGGGGGTCGCTTCCGAACGCGCTAGTCTCAATTGGGCTGCGCACTATCCAGGAAAGGATGCGGCCCATAAGTAGACGACTCCCAGGCTCAGAAGATGAGTGGCGATCCAACATGTCAACGCAAAAAAAAAACCAGCGGGGTGAGGTCGGCTCATTAGCCCAGAAATTGACATAACCCCACCTCGGTATGACATGGGTTTGGGAGTAATTTAAATTTGTAAACTAAAATCCAATCAGAAGTAAAGTCAATGACTGATGACTCGGGTTATACTCATTTTATGCTTAAATTTTAGGTTCCCTCGCTAGGATCCGGAAGCCAAACTAACACCTCATTCGCAACCATAAGAAATTTATATAATCATGTTTCAAATTGTAATAATTTAAGTCAAGCAAACTGAAGATAAATTCAAGCGCCGGTTTCAAGTTTCAATTGATATTGCGGTATCGGCCGGTCATGGAGGTATGGCTCTCGGAGTCTTAGCTCCAGGAATGTCTCCGAGGTCGATATTCTATAGACCGGCGCCTATGGCCTTGTCATGATCCTAGTGATTCAATAGTTTACCCCGTTGACCACTAGTATGACTCTAATATCATCTAGTTTACTTGGTTGATGAATTCTCAGACTCTTGTTAACAATTTACCCGACTGTTTACAGGAGGGATCCCTAATGAACAACCGAGAGAGCAAGAAAAATTCGTCCTGTAGGGCCACAAAATAGGTTGTTTTCATATCACGTGAATCGATTTCAAATCAGAATAGAGTAATTTTATAATTTATTATTATGTTGCTAAGCTCAAGTACACGACTCCCAGACTCCTCTGGTATAGTTAGCTTCAAGACCGAATACAGTTAGTCGGGTTTAAATACAGTGCGCATGCGCAGCCTTACAACCTATTTATTAGGACATTGTTTTCATCTCAGAGGTGTTGTTGCATTTTGCAATAAAATTCGTTGCGTGGGAAGTGTGGCGCCCCCGCGAGGCTATAGATTTTTGAAGCAGCCTTGCGCATCAACCAGGCATCTGCCTAGACTGCCAATGCAGTGATACAAGGTTGTGAAAATTTTTCAGGGGATTTGGTCATGGTGCTCTTGTCCATTTCAGGGGCTGAAAACCATCCAGACATAGCCATGAAGGTGTAGTTATGCCGACGTATGTCACCTGGCTAGAGTAATCAGTCACACCACGCGCTGCATCCTTGCATTTGCCTCATCACAAAAATGCCGCTCTTGCATGTATGTCTTTAGTAGAAGATCGATGAATCTGCAGTGGAAATGGGATAAAACGATTGTTCAGCTTGTAAATTACCCTTTAAACTGGCCTTACATCCACCCCCAACTGTCGAGTTTAACATTTCCGATTTATTAGGTTTGGAATATGTACACCGGTACTCCGTCGATAAAATATCATAAACTTAACATAAAAAGGAGTTGAAGACTAATATCATAAGAACTTCAGCAATGGAATTAGGCTCGTTAGGGCGCCTAACAGACACCTTCAAAGGGTAATCGAAGCAGAAAAGCAATTTGACTAATGAATTTTGGTAACAAGCTTGATACTATAGGGCGATACGGAGTAGCTAACTAATTGACTCGACTAGATCCCAAGGTTACCGACTAGATATAAACCCTGCTACTTCGAAACTTCAATAACTTGCTGCCTGTATCTATAGATACGCCGTTTCCATACCTGCAGGACCGACCACACGTAACGGGCTTGTTCGGCTACGACGCGCTGAATTCTTGAAAAGGGCCCTGATCCGACTCCGATATTCCGGTAATACGAGAAACTGGAAGAAGTATCAGGCTAACTATCGAAGGCGGAATATCTTGCTGAAGACCATTAACTACTTGCTATTAGATAGTTTGGGATCGAGCACACCTTCCTCGCCGTTTTAAATCCTTTTGATAGAAGTTCCCAAAACTACGGTGACGTCATGACCTGGGTTGCAACAGTATTAATTCTGGTTTGAGAGATAACTTTATTTCGATTCTAGTATACTAGCAGCCACTATCTAGTCTCTGCTAGTGACGACCGCCTTAATACCAGTACGTACGCCGTCCAAAATCAAATTCCGCCCAGCAATTTTTTCGCTAAACTCAACGATCCAACTCTAGACCCTGGTACACATGACGTACCACCGTGTCGACGAGGACCTTAATGCTCTCTTTCTCGTGAAACCCCGAGTTGTAACAAAGTACAAATCTTAGGCGACCACCCGAAGTATATATGTACATAGAGGACATTGACATTGCAAACCTTACATTGAACCAAAAGTCTTGCACAGGTTCAGAGAGATATTTCTCGACGATTCCGAGACTGATCACTGGAACAATTGATGGAAGTGTAATACCATTTTTAGCAGCGGTCGTGAAACCCTCTTCAACGAGTCCTGGTAATGCTCCAACACACTCGATGGCATCCTTCTTATACTTCCAATAGTTGTGAAGCCCCTCGACTCGCCTGGCTAGTTCGAGGAAGTTACTGGAGGTAGTGACTGGAAACGCGGGAAATGTTGGTATCGCAAGATTTCCCACACCACGTTCCAGGGTGTTGTATGGTGCTGGAAGTACATCTCGCAAATTGATAGCCCCGATGGAACAAAACCTTCCGGATTCCTCTCCCGAAAGTTCCAAGAGCGTTTTTGCCATTGCAGCATTGGATACATTGATTATCGTAATCCCTCTCTCTTTGCAAGCCTTAAGGATAGTTGAAGTTTCCTCCTCAGAGAACTCGTGCACATAGTCCATTGGGTTTCCTGACGTGTTGCTTTGATTTGGTTTTGTTGTTAAGCTCATGGCTCTTTGACTGGTGTATTTCTCTTTCACCAAATGAGCTTCCTTAGTCGCATCGATAGAGGAGTTTTCCGCATGCATTACCTCGGTGAGTGAGGGAGCCAAACGGGTAGGCTCGTCGCCGAATCTGGGAACGTCTTTTTCTTGACGAAGGATTTTGAGGAGGTGGTTTAGGAGGATCAAAGATCCCGTCCCATCGGTTATGTCGTGACGCAAAATAATGAAAATTTCGCGGCGGTCAGGCATAAAAAACAGTCGGGCGGCCGGCGCATTGGCTAAGACTTTTTCGGATAGCAGCTCTTTACCACTTCTACCGGAGTTATCATATACCAATGTTTCGTCCGCCCATTTCTGAAGCTCCTCTGCATTTGGTACTTCGTATTCAAGACCTGTCGCGGTAATGGTACATCCAATCACAGGGTGAGCATATCGCAGTGCTATCCATGCATCCTTAATATTTCCGATTACTTCAGACTCTGGCAGAGTAGCTCCTACTGTCATTACAATTTGTAACATCGAAGGCGATGCCAGAGAAAGATGATTTTGAGTCTTTTCGAGTGGATCGAAGTCTCGGGCCCATTTCCCCGCCGATATTTCCCCCCAACTTATTTTGGACGCAGACATTATGAAGGACCTCTGAAGATGTGCGAGAGTAGACTTGCTTATATTGCGAAATATATATATATATATATATATTACGTCTTGTTATGTGCAACGGTTACAAAATTTCTATGAAACGAAAAATATATCGTAGTTAAGAATATGCCTTCATTTTGATTGTTCTAATCGGTGGTCAGTATTGTCTGAGGTCTTTATATAAAAGTTACCTCGTATACCCAGCCCCACCCAAACAGATTCATAGCCATAGGCGGATAGAGCTTATTTTAATAGCTGTCTACAACTACTTATGAGAGGTAAAACTTGGTTAAGGTAGGTGGCGTCAATTGGCGATTCGGAATGTAACAGAAGAAAGCCACGAGGATGTAAAACCCCCATTGAGCTGGGGTAATATTCCATATATGCATATGTTGGCCTTAGAATTCAGTGTAGTCTTGTGGGGCTCTATGTGCAATTTAATATATTAGTCTGGGAGCAGACTAGTGCGGCCTTGGCCACGATTACTTGGCGGTACTGAAAGCCAAACCCAACCACGAAAATCTCCATATTTGGTGGAACCTAACTTATAAACTTGACGTTTCCCGCGGGACTTAATTAAATTTTGAACTTCAGGATGCATGAGGAATGCCGAAGCGTTTTAATACAAGACTAGCAATTGTACATACATAGCCACGTATGTAAACTTATCCGAGAGCAGTTTTTAAAACCGACGCGACTGATAGTCACGAGGTCCAATTATATGGCGTCCCAAATGTGTCAGATGGTTTTATATATATATCAGGCAGAAAAAGTAGGCCCTCAACCATATTTAATAACTACTTAGTATTTAACCTATTTTAGACCAGGCGGCTTTGCACTCACACATTACTAACCGATGGACTGATATTCTCAACCCACACGTCTTCAAGCTAATTCACAAGGTAATTCACAGACTAGTAGACAGACTAATAATTCACAAACTAGCGGTTTATAGGTTAGTTTATAGACTAGCCTATATATCTTTGAGCTAATAAACAAGCTAGTAGGCAGATTAATAAATAGGCTAGTAGATAGGCTAGTTAGTAGACAAGCTAGTAAGCAACCTACCCACCTGCGGACCAGTCCATAACCCAGCCAGCAGGTCAAACCATAAAGCATGTGGGCACCTAATGTGGTCGAAAGAAAGTAAAGTGGTTCCCAAGCGTGGTTAAAGGGCCCACTCTTTCTGCCTGATATATATAAAACATCCGACACATTTGGGACGCCATACGACAGAATTGTCATCTCACTATATTATACATACGCATAGCTACTCCTTGATCCAGTGGAAATGATATACTTAGCTGAACTCCTCCAGCTCAGATTTTCACAGATCACATTAATTCATGTAATCTTCTACCCCCGGGGGGTCAAAACTCATACTTGATGACCCGCGCCAATCTTTGGTTGTCTTGTACAATTGTATTAGCCAGCGAATTATTTGTTAGCTAGTGAATTGTTTATCTAACCTCCGGTATGCTAAGCATTACACTGTTATCCCAACTGATAATTAATATAGCTAAATTTTTACAAGTTACCTGGGTAGTAAATTGCTTGTTAGATAGTGAAGTGTTTCTTAGCTGGCAAATTAATATTACTTATTCAGCTAGTAAATTGTGGCAATCGGTTAATAATTAATTGGAAATTTACCATGTAGAGGTACCTAATTGGATGGTTAGATAGATAGTTTGCTAGCTATGAGGTTAGTTCATTAACTATTAAGCCGTTTGTTGGGTCGGTGCGCAGGCAGTTGGATAGGTAGTTTATTGTACGCATGCCGATAACTGAGTAAGTAGGTTATTAGTAGGCACTTCGGTAGTTGGGTGGGCGGGCGGTTTGCTAGTTAATAGGCGGTTTACTAGCTGGAGATGGTTTACTGGGTAAGCGTGCTGGCATTTGGGTAAGCAGTTAGTTGGGGCAACCTCGATCTCATGGATCGGGTGGGCGGGTCTGGAATAAAAAGGTGCTATAGCTATATGAGTAACCGTAATACTAACGCTTTGACTTAGAGTGATGATTTGAAGGTATCGCAGTCAGGTTTAAGTGCTGCTGCAGGCGGCCTGCTGAGGCTCGATATAGTTGAGAGTGAGGTCGTGGTTATTACCTCCAATTGAACGAAACAGATAGAGGAAAGGAGTGACATATGAAGGAATATATGAAGGAAGATATCCATGGATCCAAGGAAAAGTGTATAGAGGGAGGACAGCATTCGGAAATAAATCTTAGAACTGCCATCCCAATTTCATGGCTGATATTCTGTCTCAAAACCAATCTCGAGCAATTTCCCCGGTAGGTTTTATACACCTTATCTTTTATGGAAAACCGTACATACTCCTGAGGGGTGTTAAACTAGCCGGCCCTAATCATGGTGGAAGCCTCGGCATGTCGGAAAGTCCCACAAAGTACGATTTCCCAGTCCAAGACGTACCCTCGATGGCGACGTTATCGTAGTCTTGGTCGTAGATCACATCGAATGCTACAGTATTGGTGTTTCGATCCCACAGCTGGAATCTGGCAGCAAATACCAGGGTTAGCCTTGCCTTGGCCATGATTCTACCCGTGCCCTGATTTGAATGCGCCCCATTTTATTTAGATGTTGATATTTAAGCCCACACCTAAAAATAAACTAGACATAGACACTGCAGGGGAAACCAGATGACGACAGCCTTTAGTACTAGTCCGGAGAGGTAGATATATAGACTAAATGAGGGTAGAACTTGCAATTTGGCAGGTGGGCAGCAGAGCAACTAGATGTATATATAAGGTAAAATCTCCAGAAGCTTTGACTTGTAGTTAGCGAATTATGCCGATAGTTCGAAGCACAACCATAGCGACTAGAACAATACTTATGGATACGAGACTACATCGAAAATAAAGCAAAATATATAGAAAAACGAGCTTATATCGGATAACTTTCAGGCTTACAGTCGAAAGGCTGCATCAAAAAAAAAAATAAAATAAGGAAATAAAGGAAAACAAGATCTTAGCAACTTCCCGCCTACCCTTAGTACGTTTCTTCAAGAACAGTAAAGAACGCAAGCAGCGATAGAGCGCACGAGATGTAATTCAAAGTATTCGGGGAAACGCCTGTAATTTTGGCGAGAGGAAAAATCGCCGATACCTGCTTGAAGACCAAGTCTATGATTGCAAAAGTACTGCTGATGACCGGCTTGACCTTTAAACAGACTTCGATGGTGGTTTCGTGGTCGAGAAGGATGGTATCCTCTAGAGTAAATTCTTTGTGTCCGAATCGAAGATCTACAGGTACTCGACTAACCCGAAGTCGATGCGATGTTTCGGTACCACGTTTAGCTCGCTAATATTGGTAGAAGGGTCAGTAGGTGTTTGAAACCCGCGGTAGTGTGTACTTGTTGTATAGCCACCATAAGAAAGCTAGCATGTAAGAGGAGGATAGCCTCGTTGGGCTTCTCATGCGGAGGAGTGAGAACATACGCGGACTTGGGGTTTTTGGGTACTCGTGAATATCTGTACACCATAAACTGGAGGGATATTCCCATTGATCCATCGATTCCACACAACGTCACTAGACTTCGGGACCGAAAAAAAACCTCCGTTGGTATAAAGACCATGGAAAACCTTTCCGTAAGGCTGAGGCCAGAGATAAGGGACGACAATTTGGAGTGGGTTCGAATGGAGTAAAGGTGTTGCAGTTCCTGATGGAGTGCTTGGTTGTGAGGTGATAACCTCCTGGGGTTGGCTTGATGGCGAACTGGGCTGGTCTCCATTCACTTGGGAAGCCATATTGATGAAAGAATTGGCCCGGAAATTCGATGTTGTCCGTTTTCGCAACGAACCTTGAAATTTTTCCTGGCAATGGATTGATGCACAGGCAGTACAATATAGCGGAGCAAAGGTGGGAAGTGTATTGATGGAGGGATGGGTGGATGGATGGGTGGATGGATGGGTGGATGGATGGATATATATATGGACAAATAGGTAGATATATGGATGAATAAATCAGTCTACTGGCGATTATTATAATAAAATTTGGGTTATTGATCACATTGAGCAGCTGGTTGCTCAAGGCTCAGCTAGCTTAGTATGTAATGGCACTTGCTCAATTCTGTGATCTTCATTCTCGACATTTTCGATTTGTTTATTTATCGTATTTACAGTCGCTCTCTACACAGGCCCTCGGTTGGTACGAGACCGGTGTCTGTCGTAATTGATGGCACGGGTGTTATTTCAAATCTAAATTATATTTCGAGATGAGGCCCCCCGGTGAAAGTTAATTGCTTAACCTGACATATCGATGGTTAGAAGTTTATAATTAAACTTTGGAAGTGCCCTAGTTGAGCTGAGGTTTGGAACCAGTTGCTAGTATTCCGGTTTGTCTATAGATCTAGCATATGTGCATTTGGGCTAATTCAAGCATTAATTTTGACCTAGGATATTGTGGGTTTCTCGATAATTGCCAAGGACTCCCGAGAATTATAGGGTGCATCCAAAAATCAACGATGCATGGTGCTACACGCTCTTTTTGTACGCGAGGCTCCAATCCTGCGACCCTATATCAAGATTCTCCAGATCCCGAACTCTCTCTGGACTTTGAAGGTCGAGGCGCTTCGGCCTTTGGAACGTTTCAACCTGAAACTTATCGCAGCCAACGTAGTATGGTACAAATCCTTTATATCTTGCCGGGTATATAGCCCAAAGCCGAGTATAAGGCCGAGAGACTATAGAGTCGCAAATTTCATCTTCGCCGATGATATAAAGTTCTTGTAGACTCGGTGGCCCCGTCTTATAAGGATCAACAACCACTAGGCATATGTAACTCAAGATTAGTTATAGTACTTCAAGCCAACGATCCGGAAACTAACACGTATAATGGGAACACAATACGAGAGGCCGTCGATATAGTACAAAGGGAGGGACCTTACAACCAACCATATCGAACTTGCGTAGTTCATTCAAGAGACCTTCAGGGTTTGTATAATCAACGAAGAAGTTCTCCACGGAGTCGACAGTCCAAGCGCCAAAATATCCCCTGATATATAACCAGCGAAAGGGAACCCCGTCGGGAGGCTTCCCCGGATTGTACAAGACCAAATCGTGGGACCACGACGACCAATATTGCCCCATATTGGCTCCTTTTCGGGATAAGTCGTAGTTCTATCGCGGATAATTAGGTATGGTTTTTTCGCTGAACTGTAATCCTGTGGGGCAGGGTGGAAGCGAACCTTTTGGAGCGGAGGTTGTTACTTCAGTTGATGTTATAAATAACATCCACTGATAATTGTGGGGATCGGTAAATCTACGCGCTCAAAAATCTAGCAAACAGCCTCACAAGACTTCTAGAAGCGAGGAGATGTTTCTAATCGCAATTTACGGTTTTCTTTTGTATGGGGATATTCTTTAAAACCTTTCTATTATTGTCTATAAATTGTGGAATCCTTTCGGGCTCTGCCTTTTCACCATTCATTGTTAGTCCTGTTAGTCCCCCCCTTTTTTAGCGAATTCTGACTTTTAGTTTAAGATCCGAGCTACGTTAAATGCTTTTAGGTTCATAAGTTTAAATATACAACTTTGATACCGCAGAACGTGGCCTCTAAGTGCTCAGGTCGAATGAGCCATAATCCAGCTTTCCTATCCCAAAGAACTTGATTCCAGACATCCAAACCGTGTGTTCTCTTGTTAGTATCTTTTCAATTCAATTCAATTCAGTATATTTCAGTATATTTCGTCATTCCGTATCATTTCTAATATTTGAATGACGGAAGCCTAATTTATTCTGCATACATGTAAGATTGATATACTAGATTAAGGCCACAAGTTACAGGAACAATCTCGTTGATTTACCTTAGATACAGCCTTTAATTTTTCCTCTAGTCACTAAATTTTGTTTTTGAAATGCAAGCGATATATTAGTGGTCACTTGGTAAGTTAACTTGGCAATCATTTTGATTAAATTAAAATCCTGATCTCGCATGATACTTAGACAAACATTTTTTTTATATGTTTTCCTTGGCTATATAGAGTTATATCGTAAAAGTTATTTTCCTACCCAATCCAGACTGACGAACTGCCCCAACCCTATTTTTAAGACCTGCCCCTGAATAGAAGGTATGATTATAGAGCCTTTAATAGATTCCAAAGCAACCTTCCGCTTGATAGGGGTTGGGTACCCCGACTTGCCATACAAGTAGAATTTGCCTGCACTTTGACTTATTGAAGAGTTAACTTGATGTCCAAGTTTAAGATGAAGTCAAAATATAAGACTGCTCTACTAGCTAACCAAAATACGGAGCAAAAGTCTTCTATCAGCCTGTTTACAGGATATAGTAATACTTGTTAGGTTTGTGATGGGTAGCGATGAGGGTTAGCGCAGTTACAGGCCGTTGAACAGTGGAACTGTATCGGCATTGGTGTCGGAACGGTTGCTTCGTTTGACCGGAGTTCTGATACCCGTTTTTGATATTGCGGTCCTTGAGCCCTATTGACAGAGAATCTTTGGTAGTTTTGGGGGCCGTTGTTGTACACCTGTCCCTGCACAAAGTCTTGCTGCTCTAATTTGATCTGCGGACCAGGGGGAAGTCTTCCAGGCGGCTCTGTCCCAAAGACTATTTCACAGGAGCCCTTTACAAAACTAGGGTTGTCGCTGATTTCCAAAGTTTGCCTGAACCGCTCGCTTTGGAGCATTGGTATTTCGTTTGGTGGGTATACGGTCCTTTCTACAACGGGCGCGGGGTTTGATAGACAGAAGGGTGTGCCAGCTCCTTCTAGAACCATATTGTGCTGACAGGTATTACTTTGCCCTTCCCAATGCTGTTGCTCCGCGTTTAAGATTTCCGCTATCCCAGGGAGGTTTCTATTCGCCTGGTGGCTGCAACTGTTTGTTTCGGGTTGCATTTCAAAGAAATCCGGATACTGCGGTAGGGTTCCATGATTTGCCATTCTGTATGCATATGGCGTGGAATGGCCGCTGCAGAACGGGTACTCGAATTCATCCCATTGATTCTCCGCGGTATCGCATGGGGCAGAGTAGATACCATCATCTGGTTCTAGTAGTCCTGCGACTGGACAAAGCTCCTGCGAGAAGGACAGGATTAACAATTTTTCAAAATTTGAGGGCCAAACAATTTAGGGCGGTTTAACATACTTGCAACCCCTTCGAGTATGAATCGGGGTTTAAAAAAAAGGCTTCAGCATCGGCCAAGAAATCAATCATTAGAAAAAGCCGAGATTTAAGGCCTTGAAAGTCGGTATGTTGCTTTTGGCCCCGCTGCATGGCTGCATATAAAGTATTCGTATTATTCATTCCGCTTTCTAGATAAGGTGGTTTCCACAGAGACGATTGATCGGGGAACTACTGATAAAATACTAGGTTCTTGGCTAATATCAAAGAGGTTTTTAGGATTTTAATATAATTTGAGGATCGATAAGTTATGGTTGCGCAGTAATTAACTAATATGCGACGAAGGCTACTATTCTGATTGAACGAGCTGTCTCTTTTGCCAGTTGAAAGCGGTTTTAGGCGTACCGTTGGTGATGAGAGCAAAGTATTTCGAATTGAACGTCCGCTTGACTGCTTTTATATATTTCTAGAGATCTCACTTATTTACCTTGCGCTACTATCCGCATACCATATTCCCGAGCAGCAATAACCTGGCATGGATAACAAGACTGGGACCGGCTAAAGCAGCTCATTCCAATACTAACATTGTAGTCTGTAGAACCACTTCGTCGGCCCAAAGCCTCGCTTAATTTTTTCTTACTCTAGACCCCTTGGATAGGCTCTTGGAATAATACCAAATGAAACGAATATGGACTGATGCGGAATGGCGTACATGGCACGACTTACATTTAGGCTATAAAGTGTTGGGAGGGTTTTCTCTTGTGCTGCTATTCGGACCACATCGGTACGCATGCGTTGCTGCATGGAAAGAATTTTGCAGACTAGCCTCGGGGCCAGGCGCAAATGAGGGCAGGGTTTGCAGACGTCCTAATATAAGGGCCTAAACTCGAGGCTATAGCGCTAGCATAGAATGTCTGAGTTCAGTACCGTGTATGCATCGACAGGCTGGAATCATGTGTGATCGATTAGGATAGATAGCTGACCAAGACCCGATGTGCATTGGTGTGACCCTAAAACTTCAATGTAAATTAGATCGGGGATAGATCCTTGGAAATTCGGGCTGTTGACTATCACCCCGCGTGGTCTGCTCCTGAAAGGTGGCTTCGGAGATATGGTATTATTAATTACGCACCGGGAAGTTTGGTCCTGCGAGAAGGCTAGAGCTAGCATCCTGGCTGAAGTACGGCTATAAGCTTATAAGCTGACACCAATTAGAAATCTTATCTATGGCGGCTGGGATATCGATGGGGGGCTAACCGCGGCGTGTTCACGTGTGATCTTGAATGTACGTAATTCGGTGGATTCTTGATTCGAGGCCAGGGGGCTTCGGCCTAATGCTGTGCTTGGTCTCGAGGACAGACCTAATGTTATAAATGGCTTGCCTCCATGCATGTAGGCTCGATCTAGCGAATTGGACTCACGGCCTAAATACTTAACGAATTACCTACCACAACGAATGCGAAAATGTTAGTCGAATCCCAGTTTACACGGTGTGTAACCTTCGTCGATTTTTGACATATCTCTCCACTATCTCCGACTTGACGTACCGATCGTCTTCTTTTTTCAGATTTCCACGGCGCCCGTGTCTACTCGGGGCAAAATCTGAAGCCGCGCTTTTGTAATTGATAAATTGAGCGGGGTGCTGCGTTGCAAAAATTGAAGGTGCACCACTCATAGCTCTATAGATCAAATCTTGTTTAGTTAACTTCACTCAGGTCGGCTAGGGTCCTCCCTACATTATGCATAGAGAGCGAAAACGGAAGCTATACTAAATAGTCGGAGCGGACCAAAGAGGTTCGCCGATAAAATGAAATACGTGTCTCCTAGACATAATATTAAATTTAAGTGCAATAAGACGCAAGATATGCAGCAATCCATTGTCAATCCGAGAAAAGAAAAAAAATGATAAAATACCGCAAAAGGGCATACCGGAAACTTTATGAGCGCCGTGGCTTCAAGGCGATCAAGGAGAGCGTGAGGTAACATAACACGTTTTGATGCATGCCCGCGGTGAGGTGAGTATGAGTGTAAAGGGCCTGAAGGCTGGTGCAACGTGAAATACAGAGACTGATACAGTGGTGCTTCGGGACGAAGTATATACATATCTATACTCAACCTTAACAGAAATAGTCGAACTTTTATGCGATATACTTTCATAAGATTTTTGCTAATGTGCCCGAAGATTGATAAAGCCGCGAGACTTTTATTTTCCGAAACCGACTTTGGCATATCCGCATGTACATGCGTGCGTATGACAACAATAGAGCATGCTGCAGTCCTTGATATCATGATGTTGTTGATCGAGCTACACCAGGTTCTTAGTATAGTTGAACACCTGGAACTCTAAAACCCATCAGCTTGACGTGGAATCCGCGAATTTATAAATATTGTTGATTAACTGGCCCTAAAACCCGTACTGGCGATATCGGCCAGGGTGCTTGAGGCCATGCTCCCCAATTGGACTTTACAATAACCACCGACGGCGCTCGAGGGTTTCAAGGAGTCGAAATAAGTGACGGAGACTACATGATAACTCCTAATATGGGTATCGCAGGTGAGAGGACATGTAGATATTGACGTCTAGTAAAGTCACATATTATTTGTACCAGAGCAACTCCGCGAGGTAAGTAACTCAACGATATCGTTTGATATTCACATTATGTTGCCTAGTGAAGGTAGAGCGTCCTAAACTCTAGTTACCCTACCCTAAATATGAATTTATGGGTCCTAAACGCTAGGTGTATGTAATTCCCACATCCTAATCATCACCTATTTAATTTTTATTTTTACACCGTTTTGATTACACAATTAGGGGGCTGTTGTGCAACAGCAATTAATCCTAGTTTACGAGATAAATTAGGAGAGTCATTAGCACTCCATCAGGTTTATTGTAACGTATGTAACATATGCGTATCCTTCCAAAATAACTAGGATTGAGCTATGTCTGTCGCCTGCTAGTAAGTATAACCAACAGTTCATTACCAGGATCTAGCGGCTTCATTAGTAAAATTTCATACTTAAATTAGACTATTGCGTTTTGGAACCTACATAAGTTCTTAAGAACATCGGCCTAATAAATAGAACGTCTATGATGCAGTATATGATGATATATATTCCAACGCTTTAGGACGCGCAATCATCGACACCGTACCGGCCGGCAATCTCCCTCTTGACATCATCCTTATCCCTATCAAAATTATCGCCCATTTCGCACGGAAATTTTGAACAGGAAGAATAGGAAGAAGAAATGCTAGGTCCCCAATAAACAACATTGATATCCCAAACAACCCTCCTATCCGAAGTCATCGGATCATCAACCACTATGTTAAATATCATCGCGCTTTTTTCTCCTACCATGCTGCATGCACCAACTATATTAACTCTTAGTACCAATACTGCTTCACTATTGTTCGATTTCGAACTTTCGGAAAAATGTGATAATAGTATATAGGTTTGTCTCGTACCCAGCCCCAAGCAAAAAAATCTTATATAGGTTATAGAGGGAAGGAATTGGTAAATTGGGACTTTAGAACTTAGTGTAAATCTAAGGCGTGCAACGCTGCCGGTTTCGATAGTAGAGTATTGGCAATATTGGGCTATCGGTCAGTAGCCACAGATCGGTTCTATTAGTGTATGTTCTTAAACTTAAATTAGATTGCGACTATATATATACGTGCTGCATCCAGGCATGAGTGTAATAAAAAAAGGTCTCGGAATGAATTACAATAAACATCGTGCAGGTGCAGGATGTCCTGAAGTCCGCAGCTTCGATCGATCCCAGCCGCTTCCAACCTGACACAAGGCTCCGCCACCTGGCTGATTCAACTTTGCTATCTTCAAAGACATGTTTCGCATATATACGATAAAGCATAGTAGATTGGTTTAACTTGATTCCATTATACATATTTCGTCGATACTAACTGTTATACATAGACAAATCGTAAGCGATACACGAAAACTAACATAATATAAGAATGCTTTCGCCATTGGGGTCGAATTGTACGGAGTTAAGCGGTCATGCGGCGCCTATTAGAGCAAATATGATAGTCAAAACGATGTGTGGATTGAAATCTCCTCGACCGATAATCAAATGTAAGTTTGAGAGCTAGCTGACTCGGTTGCAGTCGAGGTCTCTTCGAGATTCCACGTGCTGGCTGATGAAATCGATCTCTTAATAGTATAGAACAAAGCCGGTGATTTAAACTTTCGTCTAGCGGCGAGTGTGCCATCTGCTGAAGTGTGCCGAATGTGGGCTGGAGGTTCTCAAGTGCCAGGTCCTGGCTCCTGCAGGGCCTGCTTACGTTTCGTAAATTGATTTGTCCAACATTATCCAGAGAGGGAGTATTAATCCCGCGTTCACCAGCTTCACACTCCCGCGAACTCGAATCTTTTTCTCGGTAATGTGAATGGAGCCCCTGTGGGTAAATTGTCGCACCTTCAATTGGCTGGAAACCAGCCTCCAGCTTAATGCTTCCACGAGACGTGTGTTGTTGTGGTTCGTCTCCCATCATGGCAGTGGGTGGATAAGTGGGTAGTAGATTTTCGAGCTTAACTTGGCTCGCAAGCAATGCCCTGCCAGATGATGGTAAATCTGTTGCGCCGTCTAGAGAGCCCTCGAGAAACGGTAAGTCACCATATTCCTCATTTACGCCTAAGGCCTCATAGTCTAAATTAGGGGAACCCTCATAGTCTAAATTGGGGGAGGCCTCGCTTGCTGGGTCCAGAAAGACTGGATCGTGTAATTCGCAGTACGGTTCAACGACGAGTTCGTCATGGGGCACTGGTCCCTTGGTCCAATATTCGGTGTTATCATGCGCGTACCTCGTGGGTCTTGGGACAAGGAAGTTAGATACTATTACTTGACTATTGGCAGTCTCGTAACTAAACTGTGGACTGTCTGTCGTATCCTTTCCATAATAAACATAGTCGTCTGTAGGCAAAGTATGTTTGGGTTTATTACCAATGGCTAACATCGAACCGGCCGATAAAAAGGAAATATCAGGTAGATAGGCTAAGCGCTCTTTCTGGATGGACCCGATGGATTGGCAGTTTTGCGGAATAATATAAATTAAAGAGTGGCAGTAGATGTATCTAATGGATATTATATTGGATCCCCTGAAATGTAGGAAACTTGGAAAACTTCAACTTTGTCTACAGTTGCAGAAGAGCTGGGTAATGAAGAAATGGAACTGAGCAATGAAGAAATGGAACTGCCAAAGGTGGTGTATTTATAGTTTCGATTTTCGACGACGAATGTTGGAGCGCCGACCGAAATATTAAATGTTAGCGCGCACCCGTGTAAGACATCGAAGTACTGTACGGGCACTGGTGGGCTTTTGCAGTACTATAGTCCGTTCTAAATTTCGAGAAGTTTTACTCGCCAGTTCGGAGTACTTAATCGCCCCGACACCCCGCGACCGAACGCGAACTAGTACTCCCCGCCACAAAATCTAACGTTTAGATTTCCCCGACAGCATTTACAACGCTCTTAAGATCTTTTGCATACTACAACCTAACGGATCTAGCGATCTATGGAATACGAAGCTAAGGATTAACTAATAATAATAACTCGTATAACTACCTATATAACTAGCTTGAAACTGCGTTAGAAAAATCAATCAATCATCAAAGTATCGCCAGCCTAAATTACTACAACCAATATGTGCTGGGTATCTATAGAATATTTAAGACGGCAACAGCTGTCGTCTGTATAATTGGGAATCAATTAAATAATTGACCATTCGTCTATTTTTATTGAATCTAGCTCAGCTAAGTTCATTTACCTAACCCCAATAGCCTCTTTATGATCATGCATAGACCTCTACTGCATGGCTGTCTAAAGGGACCAGCGTGCTTCAATGTTTATGATAGCCCTCGACACTATAGGCAACTGACTCGTTTTGAAGGCGCGGAATGGATCTGATTTCCCTCCTGAACTCTTTAGGTATATGTAAAATCCACGGTTCGTGAGTCCCCTGCTTGCAAGCTTGCCTTTGATGTGTTTGAAGATTGCTCCAGGCTAGTTGCTCCGTGCCCCCCCGGAGCTGACTTTGGCACCCTGGATACTTGCAGGCGGCCCAGTACATGGACGTTGAGAGGTGTTTATTTTTCCGATGTTTGAGTAGAGAGCTCCGATCCGCATAATAGAGCCCGCAGTTAGGGTATTCGCATTGAATACGTTGACGATTTGGTCCCAGGTCGGGGCGTTGGCGATCATGCTTGTATTCCCGATCGCTTTCCTTAAATGGTTGTCCCTGACAGCTGCTTACGATCCCGGGTTGATATTCGTCGACGTCTGGATCTGGGCTCTATTTGATGGTTCATTTTAGCTGACTGCTCTTTTAGTAAACACTAAGTTCGCTGCCCGAAAGCAGTACCTACCATGCTACTTGCGCTATAATAATCCTGATAAAGCGTGGGCTGGTTCAACAAGGGCGGCCCAAAGCATTCCCCGTTTGGGAAGTTCTGCGCGTTACTAGCCGTGTCGGCATAGTTGCCCGGATGGCCGAAACGGGACCAGTCGGAGCTCAAGGGGACTTGAACAGCTTCTGCCTCAGTGAATGGAGATTGTTGTAAGATAGATGGTTCGTGAGAATAATTTGGGCTAGCGTTACAGAGAAAAGATCCATAAGAGAGCAGCCCGGTATCATTTTCTTGTTGCTCCTCGATTCCCTGAAGAGAAGTTTCCAAGTTCATTTTAATAAAGGTAACCTCAGGTCAGAATACAGCTAATATCATTATATTAGTGCAAAATCCAATGCTTAGACCGATACCAATTGCAAGGCTATATATCTTCTCACCTGCAGTTATTTAATCGGTCAAATTTACTAGCTTTCTCGTAAGGATTTGTAATTTCCTATAGTTAGCTTGAAGTCAAGATGGATATTAAATAGAAGGTTCGGCAGTGCAGCGTCGTTTTATATTTCAATGGCTCTCTGATGGCTAATAATTATTGTCCAACAACGATATCGAGCGATCGGGCCGGCTTCAATTGACGGGTAGTCTTTCACAAAGACCTCTCCCATCTATACCTAATAATAAGCCATTAGGTAGGCTATTAGGGGTGCCATTAGGGGGGAAGTGGGGATAAATCTATCATCGTCGATTGAGGTCCTTTGTGCGACGTCGATTGATATTAGTTCCAGTGCCGGTACACTCATTTAGATGCGTCTTTAGAAGGGAGAAACAGGAATATGTAGGCTTCTAGGAAGAAACTTGGAGATGCGGGCATGTGTTCCAGTTCAATCGAGGCCTCGAGGACAGCCAATATAAAACGCTACCGACGGCCTAATTCACCATCATTATAGGGTTCGGAGCTAAAGAGACCTAATCTTGACGAGGAATATGTCTCTCTTATAAACGGGGTAGACGCATCAAGGGTATGTATTTCCCTAAACACGAATAGCGCAAAACTTAAAACCCCAGCCCAATTAGCCTCTTGGTCTTAATGACGGAATGAGCAAGCGGTTTTGATTTTAGTGACATAGCCATTCCGTTCACCTGTTCGGACTTTTCTCGTACCCAGCCCTACACAAAATTCTTTTTTGGGATGTTGGGGCACTAAAGAACAACTCAATCCCAATATTAGATTTCTGAGACGCTTAAGTTAACCGGATCCATGGGAGTCGAGTTTATAACGTTTAGTTGACCTGTACTTCATATATTAGTACGGGGGTTAGCTGATCCCCTTCCTCATATGCCAAAGCTCAGATTTGCGTCTCGGCCCGGGCGGAATAGAAATTACCATGAAACGATGTCGTTACTGGGCTGGGGCTGCAGGTGCAAGTTTGGATAGGACCCCGTACGGTTCCTAATCGAGCCCCAAAGTGATATGATTCCCGCTAATTCCCCACCCATCTAAAAAAATTCCTACAGCTCTAGAGGCCTAAACGGCCATTGCCGCAAACCACCGAGTTCATATTAGTCCAACCCTTATTCTAGTATCCGAATTCCACCGATTTAAGACGGACTGCATGTCATACCTTTTCGCTTGCTCCCATTGTAGAATGACTTTTTAGGGGGGTGCGCCTCTTCAATTCAACTTGGACGCTCAATTGATCAATTAGCTGGATTCTTTCCAGGCACACGAGACTGGCGTCCTCCCGCGTCGACAACCTGACCGCAGCCGGCGCAGCCTTTCGTCCAACACAAAAATTTCAGCCGGCCTAATTCGTGAACGCTTTCAGCTGGTTCTAGGCGGAAATACAACGAGGCCGACCATATTGCATATGCACATGACCAGGCGGCCCGTGAGTATTCCGCTAAATCTGCTACAGTCCTAGCAGCTGCCAGATACTTAAGATCAGATAACCCGCCCCCCTATTTTTTCTGAAAGAATTGTTGCCGACATCGGTATACCATACAGCGCAATGAATTAGAACCCAGGGTTCGGAAATCAAGCTTGCAGGATCTGAACAGGACTAAATTTAAAGTGCCTGGAGCTTGAAGGGTTAGTCTAAGATCTCAAACACACTACTAGCTGCAAAACTTTGCGGCTTGTGAGTCCTAACCTTTCATTATTTGATAAAACTATTCCGACTTTGGAGGATTATATATTATAAGCAGAGATGTGATATCAAAAGATCGGTAAACCGTATTTGCCAAATGCTAATCGGCGATGATTTCACGTTTGTTGGTAGAAACTCACCAAAACTAGGTGGGTATTCAACAGCGGCTCGGAGATCAACATAGTAGGGACTTAGGGCTTCAGAGTGTTCGACATGAGGCTAGCATATGCACTGCACTGCGAGCGTTTATCCAAATTTAAAACATTAAATGGAGTCCCTCAATTGATCAAGGTCCATCAATCCGCACCGAGGCGTGGATTTGTTAGTCGTCTGGGGAGATTATATGCTTTAATTTTTTGAGAACTAGCTTTAGCACTGCCATCTTATTTCATATAATATCTCTAAAATGGCGAGATATATTCCTTTGGAATTGGGGCCCGAACAAAGTATTGAGTACAATAACTTGTGTCACTGGTCGAGAGAAAACAAACAGAGCGTGAAAAATGATATTTCTTGATTCTAGCTAAGCACTCGTAAAAGTAAGGAACATAAGGGTGGCCCTGGACATTTAGATCGAGAGGACATGAGCAAAAATTTAATGGTGGGTTTCCCTTGGGGGTTCTGCAAGTAATCTGGTTGAAACACGGCATCGGTCGCTTTTATTTGCCAGCTGACACATCCATAGCTTATGTTTCTGTCCCTTTTTTTGGTGATGCTGCAAAAGGTTATCCTTCGCTTTTGACCTTTTGGTGCTGTACATGACATGCTCACAACCGGGAAAAAGGCAGTGGGCGCAGAAAAGCTCTTTGGTCGCGGCCGCGGATGAGTCACAGTGTGGTCCAATTTGGCTTTTGATTCCACGAGCCTTAAAGTTTCTGGGCTCTCGGATGAGGCTGGCACTTGCGGGGAGAGCCTCAGCTGCAGGGGCAGGATTATCCCCAAAACGTGGGTCTACGTCGTTCGCTTGTGTAGCCTGGTTGGCCGGTACCGCAACCGGGTAAGGCCCGTGGCTACGACCAATTCCGAACCCCCTCGTAAACGGGGACGTATCGACTTTGAAGTTTCGTTCCTTTATAAAAGGTAGTGTATCCGAGGTTTCGTCGATATCTTCGTTCTGGAATCCGAGGTTGTCGTGGGACCACCATCCATTTGGTACGGCGTATTGATTTTGGTGAGTGACGATGTGTTCGCGACAGACACTAGTGGCGTGGTATGGGAATCCACACGTGGTGCACTGAGGGGCGGGATATGACATCTTAAAGAAGCTGGGATAAACTTCGCGTGAACGCAACTAAGACTCCTATCTTCCCACCAAATTCGTGGCTGTTGGTCGCAGATATCTAGATATCTGGAATCCGGGAGTGTAGAATTTATCTACGTCGAGGGAGGATGTTTCGCACGCATTTATATATACGATATATATATACACAGAGCAGCCTAAGGACTAAAATTTCCCTAATTTACTCTAAACTAGGACCGCCATGGCATAGTAATTTAATTAAATCCAGAAGATGTATAGATCTGTAGATGAGTGCGCCGTGTTGGTTTTTCCCTTCGCTGGTGGTAAGAAATCGAACCATGCACCCCATCGTGATGAAAGAGTTTGATCCCTAGTACCCAGCCTAGAAAACGCTGCCAATGAATTTAGCAACGGCAATACTAATAGAAGAAAGAGCACAGATTCGACAAGAATAAGTTTAGAAGTGCACGTGACAGGCGCGTTAGGAAGTACCTGGAGAACGAGACCAACACTTAGCTTTGTCAGAGTATTTTTGGTAAATCCTTTTTAAACTGATGACAGCCCTCCCCGCGAGTAGCGTAATGGTCACATGCTATACGTACAAACACTTAACCTTCCATTGACATTCAGAATTCCATCCAAATGATGTCTTCATACGTAGATAGGCGAGTTGTACTCACATTCTTCTAATTCTCTATACTATGCATGCATAAGCTGGAATATTCTAGCTAAAAGAACCGGAGACAAGGTAGTCATTTAGTCTCTGGCGTGGCCCATATGCATATATGAGGACAGGAACTAATATTGTTGGATTCGAGGCCAAATATTGTTGCTGATCAATTGATCAAGCATATACCAATTCGCCCTGGGTATCTCGGGTCCCTATAATGGGCCCTAAACGTTGCAGAGCTGGGCTTGATAAATTTATAAACCGTGGAGGTTGGACCTATTATATTGTCGAGGGTTATCCTGTGTGACATTATTTAAGCCCCTCTGCAACTTGCCAGTTAGGAGCCTAGGCCTACCTGCAGCTCTGTAAGCGAAAGTGTCTGAGTTAAGAGGCATAGGACGCCCCTGCACCGGATCTGAGGCAAATCATAGACGACCACAAATAGGTATGGTCAGTTTTTTTGTCCGCGGTTTGATTCGTTATATTAGTCCAGGAAATAGTCCGAGAAAAAAAAGGACCGGTTACGGGCTGTATATGTATTGCAACAGTTTGGTACTGTCGACTGCGGCAACACATTTTAATTCCAACAGTCTCGTGTGGCAGCCCGCGCCTTCTGATTCACGGTTGCAGTAGGTAGTTACCTCGAGCCATCTGTGGGAAATATCGACAGACTGAAAGTAAATTTATCTGTTTTTTCGGTTTGAAGGCCGGATTTTTGATACAAATCTCGGGTAAAACCGTTCGGAAGAATGGTAGCTTCTCGCATCAATATCCCTTTCCAATTGGCCAAAATTCAAGTCTGGCCTGGTTATGCATCTAGGCCAAAAAAAAAATCCCCTCCCCAAACTCAACCGGGCCTATTAGGCATTTTATGCGCCAGTCCCCTAAACCCATTTGTAGGGCATATTAGAACGAGGCATGATTGCAATTTTGGCTCCTAGCTTTCAATAAGGTCGATTGAGAATAGGGACCCTTGCACAGAGAACAGACTTCCTATAGCTGAACGCCCAAATTTAGGTTCCTATTTTAGTCCTCGGGCCTAAAATCGAGTGACTTTTCCTGAAAAATAGGAGTTCTTCAGCTCGCAGCGTCTCGAAGACACCTATTTGTAAGTGGGTCTAGTAATTTTGTCATGATGCAGAATGCAGAGGGAGGGAAGGATAACGCTTTACGACTTGGGACTACAGCCGTGGCTAGTGGAACCATGAGAAAGAAATCATTTGGAAATACACTCCGCTTTTATTCATGAGATCAGAACAAGAGATGGAAGTTATTCCTGGGTGCCGGTGGCTTCGATCGCATTCCTCAGAAAGTTCGTTTCGAATTTCGTGTTGCAGGCGGTCAGCCTTGTGAGCCCGGTAGAAAGCTTTTGGTGCGGCCTTGATCCTCTTGTCGTGTTAGTTTCATGCGTTCAGCTACGGTCTAGCTGGATCAAAGCTCGCTACAGACTTTGTGATTCTTTACCGTACACTTCCCTCGTACTCAACCTCAACCCAAGAATTCCAGGATGGACTAAAAGTGTGAATACGAGGTTATCGTATAGTGAGCCTTGCAAAAATACAGGCCAGGGGATGGTCCATATGGGTTCGCTAGCCGCGTATGGAGTTAGAGCGAGTCCCTTGTCCGAGGGCGTCTGGTATGTCCATCATCAATATTTACACACCCTTACATATAAAAATTGAGACTAGTCGGTCACAACTACTAGACGTTTTTATGTGTGCGCGCTTATGATTCAATAAGATATCTTAGTAACTTCACCTATTCGAGAGTAATGGTCGGTTGGTAATCTACTCTAAAGCTTGGTTGGCTGTCCAATGAGGCCGCAGTACATACATAATTATAACCGGGTTTAACTAATTATAAATTAAGTTGGGAAATCAATGTCTTTTTAAAGTGATCAAATTAGCGTTTTTGTCTGTTCTTGCAGTTAAAATATATTATCATGTTAAACATATATGTGCTAGGTAAGGATATACCAACATAGCTTAATTAAGCTTATCCATAATCTAGATGTCCCTTGCCAAAAGATACGAAAAGAGTGTGGTTTTCTCTTTCTTGCTTGTGCAACAAAATCTCAGCGCCAATTGAAACTGGGCTAGTTAAGATATAGATCGCTTGGATAACTGCTGGAACTCATCCTTTGAAATTTGCAGGGTGTAACAGCGTTGATCCTTAGACTTTCTATTGAACTCGAGGGGATGTTTTCCTTTCTGGTGAATGGATAGATTGCTTTCAGCGGTGGATTTTGTCTCTGATCTCCGCTTGCTCCCACACCCATCATAAAGGCAAATTGCGATGTGCATCTCCTCCGAGTGGTGTTTGTTTTGTTGGTGCCGATGAAGGCTGCGCTCGCTGCTGCATTCTGACTCACAACCCTGAATACCACACCTCCAAACCTCACCCTCAGCTATGGAACTTCTACCCGCGCGTTTGCGACTACTGTTATACTTTCGGATCCCCCCTTTAGCTAGCAGCTTTAAGACATCTGCGGGAATTCGACCGGCTAGTGTATGAGTGCCTAGAGCTAGAACTCGAGTTAAAATCTGGCTATTTACCTTCGAGCTAATAATCATGAAGAAGGCAGTTGTAGTGTTTGATTTGTTTGATTATACATACACTCTACATTCGGACAGACAACAGTATCCAGCCTCGTCTGGTAATACTGGCCGATAGGATCGCTTGATGAGCATTCCTCCAAAGTCATTAGGTCCACCCCTTGTTGGATATAAGAACAGCCGACTTCATTTCCTTCGATAAACCTTGGTGGCCACCCTGCCTTGGGAGGTAACGACGTAGGGCAATTGCTGTGCAAGCACCCAGGCTGCGGGTAAGTGCCAAACCCGGGTTGGCTACCCAATGGTGTGTCAGGGTATCTGTTTACATCGACTTTATTGTCCTGTTCGCTGGGGCGTGGTTGGCCAATAATGTATACATGGCTATCGGAAGTGGAGCCTGGGAGTTGCTGTCCGTACACTTGATGCGTTATGTTTGTAGTATTTTGCTAAGGTTTGCTTCAAATTAGCCAGCAATAAATTACAGATAACTGAGTAACATACATATGTCGTGAGGTCTCCAGTAGGAGGTACAAACTCTGAATTAGGGTGATAAGGTTGCAGATTATATACGTTATACTGTGGCTCTATCATATGGTATCTAGAGCGGTTACTGCAATAAGGGTTCATTTCTTCCTGGCTGTCAATCGTTGCCTCGGAGTGCTCAATAATGGCACTAGGTGATGAATGTACTTCCCGGTTTGGAGATTTGAATGAGATTTTGGTAACGCTGTAGTCCTACCGCCTCTCAGGGAGAGTTCGAGATCGGCAGGGGACTTTTCAATAATTAGCGTATACAATGGCTCCAGAGTCACATCAAGGCGACCCCGGGTAAGCTAGAGTAGTTATGAGATGTGGCGATTGTTGTTCAAGCGTTTTGTATCCGTTCACAGCCTGTACGACTTGGCACTACGAAGCAGAGTAAAGAGACAGACAAAACAAGAAGAATTGAATAAAAAAGTCTGGGAATATACTTTTCTCTAGCCGATAAGATTGAAGTCTATCTATTTGTTCTTTTGAAATCGTTTACGCTTCGGCGGAAGGAGAGATTTTGATAACCGTCAGATGGGTTCAATATCAAAGAGGGCTAATATAAAGGCTAGAATTGTAAATCGCGGTGTATGTAGACAACAGTGATAGGCATGACTCGAATTCCATATCGTAAAGTCGATAGCGGTTTGGCCATTTCTAATGTTCGAGCAGTCTGCTTATATATATATATATACCCATCTTGGAATTTGAGGCCCTAGTTGCCCTGAGATCCGATAGTTATTGATATGATGATCTCTTTGAATACTGGAGCTAAAAGGCATGCACATGCATGCATGCCGTTGACAGTTATGCGATGGCAATGGAGGTCGAAATATATTGGTAGCAATCAATATTCGCTGCAGTTTCTGCAGCTCTCATTGGCCCAGAAGCGTAATATCCGGGACGACTGGTAACAACCATTGGCTTTTGTTGGCGCAGTCAAGGAAACGCCCACGATCCGGATTTTTATTACAATTTTCGGTAATCGAACATCAAGGTTTTCGGCGTTGGGATGTCAGGACAACGGCGCGAGTTGCATCAGAGGTGGCTCGACATACTTTAGCATTAGCTCCCATTGATCTGTGCATTTTGCATCCAAAGGTTCTTTTACTTCCCTGAATTGTCGAATCGATCTCAGAAATTCGAGGGCATAGCATCGCATCATGCATCGCACCGCACCATGCATCGCATCGCATCAGAATACTTAATAGTCTTGTGGTTGCAATTGTGAGGAGTAAGACACAATATGCAGAAATGACACGCGACGTAGTATGTACAGAATATCGTCGGGCCTGATCCCCAATAGGGCTTGCCCATTTCGAATTCTGTTCCATATATATACTTTTGCGGTCACTGCTGAAGTAGCATTTCCCGGGCACACCTGAAGTTTCCACAGCTAGTCCTATAAATTCAGTAAATATGAGACTATAATTGTCCGACATGTCATGCATTTGGACGCCACTGACTCATGCATCCGCAGTACTGAGATTGTCTCTCGTTTTGTCTTTCTTTTCCTGGAGGCTATTGGTTTGGATGTGCTCTTCCGGAATTCGAATTTGGTATCGAGATATACTTATCATAACCTGTTTTCGATTGATTTCGATGTTAAATCCGATAAATCGTTCGCCAGATGAAATCTCTCAGTATTGCATTTTCTGACCGGCATGGGAGTCAGCTCGTTTCCATGATTTTTGTACTACCAACTTACCATTTGTAGCCGCATGCAGAGACTGCGGAAGCTGCCCTGTGAAGGATAGCACACTAGATTTCTCGGTTAGCATGGGTGAGCCTTGGTGAAACAGTAGGGATTCCGACGGCCGGCTTCCATACACTTGAAGAATGAAACTAGGTGTGGGGCCGTCACAACAGATAAAATTTCAGTTGAATCGCGATATTCCGATTGCCTTTGTAAGTTTACCTTGTAAGAAGGTACACTCATCCCAGCAGCCTGTTCTATTGATATAATCTTATTTTCACCGTGGCCATTAGAATATGAACAAGAGTATATGTTGCTAGGCCTAGTGTGTTGGCCTTGAAGCTTGTCGTCCAGCTTTGAAGCTGAGAACTGATTTTATGACATCAACCAACCCCAAAGCTGAGCCGGAACGATAAGCTGTCGTCGCCATTACAGTGGAAAGCAGTAAGCATTTCGGTCGCTCTAGCGAGTCGCGTGGCTTTTGTCTCTCAGGTGAGGCTGCGCTGGGAAGCGAAGATTTCGACAACCGGAATTTCCAGAACATGATAACATTTAGGGCGTGGTGCACCAAACCAAGTGGAGTACTTACCTGTAGCTAGAAGAGCCTCAGGGATCTTGCATGTATATCATGCGGGAGGGATATTATTACCCGAAAGATTAGCTCTCCGAGGGCTTTAGACTTAATTTGAGTATAACGTTGAGCCTACGGAAATTCTTGATCTAAGTTCATTAGGTCCCGTACTGTTAGAGCTGCGGAGATAAAAATGGTAGCTGCTATTCCAACACGCATTTCGTATGGGCTGACTCGGGTCTGGTGCAGTGAGCGCGGTAGCTGCCGGATAAGTGGCCTGATCCATGGGTCCATGACATCGTGTATGCCCTCATGCTGTGACCATGTAAAAGCTTCATTCGAGCAATGATATCAGAGCCCCCGTTCTGTGTTACGGTCCGCTCGGGCTTGCCTGCAACTTGGCGTCGATATCGTGCCTACCGGCATACTAATTTCTGTCCCTCACACTTGGGTATGGTATCACGGATAATTGTCTCAACTGGTTACGCTGCATAGACCAATGGCGCTAGCTAGGTGTCACCCAGGCCCGCTCAAAACCACAATTTGTCATTCTCCCGCCGCACTTAGGGTGTCGTCGCTCCCTTTTTAGGAAATATCGAAATTTACCTATTTTGATAAAATTATTTCCTTCTGCGGCGAGCGCTCCGCTTGTCAAGATTTATGTGCTTCTCTCTAACACTGTTTTCTTTTTGTTTGATCAACAGGCAATTCGACATAGGTTCACTTGACTATGCTTGAACAAACCCATCTCAGCACGCAATTCCGATAGAGGACCGGTCAATGCGGCAGCGGATAAATTTCTGAGATTTTTGTTGTTGTATGCCGGAGCAAGTACTCCGAAGGTTATAGAAGACACCTAGATCTATAAGAGATCATCTGTCCAAGCCCGCGCAGACCATGCATATATATATGGTGCAGATCTGCGCAGAAGAAAGGCCATCTACTCGCCAAAATATCATGCTGCGCTGCGCCAGATCAGAGTCTACGCCTGAGAACAACACAAAGAGACATCAGGACCAACGCTCACTGAGCGGGGCCTGGGCCCATGGGTAGATCTGGAAGATACCTCGATGATAAAATCGAATGCATTCAATAATATAATGTACATATGGAACAGGCCCTCGCGTAATCCTTGTTTTTCACTATCACCAAAGAGGCTAGCGTTATTCAAGGCGTCTGACCCCAATGCTGCTCCAAGGCCCGATGCATGTAATAAATTCAATTTGCTGTTTGGTGGAACATTCTGTCGCCGCAGACATACAAGTTCTGACGACTTCTGTGCCTGCAATACTCCGAAATCGAATCAAGCGATCTGTAAAATTACAGGGTCTTATTAGCTTCTATAAAGGATACCAAACGCGGTATAAACATACGTCTGTAACCTGGCAACGTCCTTCGATAGTCCCACTGATATCCCACTCAGGATGGGAAGCCTTTTGATGGAATAAGTAGAGATTCTCGATGGCCACCATCTTGTCAGAGTTCCGGACGGAAGCTTCGCAACCGGGGAAGAGGCATTTCGCAACAAAACCGCGTTGAGAGATCTTGGCAGATTCCTCTGGACTACCCGTATAAGGTTGAACAAATCCAATATTTGAAGTTGAACCGGTCGCGAAACTTGGGTTAGTTTGCGCGAGATCCATGGAAAAATGCGTATCCTTCAAGTTCGTATTTGCCATCTCAGCCGTTAATCCATGTACAGCGTCAGCAGGGCCTCCAGTGTCGGCATGGACCGGTGGCGCCAACGACAAAACGCGAGCGGGTTCCTCAGGGTGATACTCTGGAAGACTTAGGACAAATGTTGGTGAGGCGATAATTAAACCGCCTTCTTGAGTATCCAATCCAAGCGCAATACTACGTGCTTTGTTCCTGTTCCTGAGCCTAGCAGTGTCTCTGGCGACCGAAGCGCTGTGCATATGGGCTTGCAAAGCAGCTTCACAACAGAGAGGCCAGGCCCGAGATTTTGAGCAACAGGCGCTACTGGGCATCGTGACTTGACGTGGTAGTCGACTTGTCGATATCGCCGTAGGGTATTATCTGTTACAGACTTAGTTCAAGGCGGGTTGGGATCCAAGGGAACGGCGGGCAGGATTCAAGACTTACGATTTCTCGATCTTAAGATCTTAATACGGAGGAAATGACGCGTAGACGGTACGACTGATGGTATCAGTTTGATTTAACAAGCAGGTCAATTCAGCTCAGTACGGGGAAGTAATATCTAGCTGGATCGTATTTTAAACATTAGGACGTCGCGCGTGTTCATAATTACGGTTAAACGGCGTGATAATGCATGCTCTTAGTTCGGTAAGTCATAGCATACTGACCACTAGCTCGGAATGCTATAAGCTAGCGCTAGCAGAATTTCTAAATACCAATGTGGGCAGGGCGCAGTGCTAGAACATGAGAGAGGGAACCTTAAGTGGGCAGAATTGTCTACCAGCTTTGATTTGGGAGAGGTTGCTGAAAGCCGGGCTGTGTTCGCGGAATATATCCTACAAATAACAACATTTGACATATCTCGTTTTACGTCAACCTTTTGAAACCACTAGTCACGATGCTCTTTCATCTAGCTGCTTCCCAGAGAGTTTAAATAGGTTTACAAAGCGAAACGCGGGTACTTAGAAAGACCACATGACCGGGCCGGGCGCCCATCCCTGAGCTGAGCGTGAAAACTTTTCAATCATTCACATTAAATCCCTTAAGATGGAATAGCTCCAGGTGATGCCCTTGAAAGGACGTTAAAATAAACCTTTTGTGCTCGCACGAGCTTATCACAAACATTCACGTATTAGCGGCGGGTAATTTACCAGGCTACCCTGACTACGAGCCCATTTTAAGGCTAGTGGGGATACGAAAGTGGAGCGGGTTTTGTGCAACTTGTGAAAATCCCACAAATAGTATGTGTTGTGTAAAAATGCGTTGGCCCTGTTGGAGTTTTAGAAGGAGAACATACTAATGAGAACGGTTTGGACCAGTATAGTATCCCGAGATGAGATGAACTTTGAAGATGATCTAAGGATAAACTGGTCTCGTTGGTACCAGACAACACGAAGTACAGGATAAACCAAAGACTAGGGAGGACATGTGACTTCAATTGACGCTTAATTACATGGTTCCCAAGTCCTTCACTTCTGACGTCCTTATCAGTCGTAAGGCTATGACCAAGGAGAAGTAAGAAATATAAATCTGTGAATCTACATGCATGTCTTGGGCGTAGACTGGGCGAGATTAAATAATGTCGAATGTCTATGAGGGCGGGCACGTAATTGGGACAGTAGGTCAGTTAGTTTGGAATGCTATCTCTCCGGTGTCAAAAATTAAGGGAGAACGAACCGGGTAAAGAGACCAAGAAAGATTTGTTGGCGTGCTGGACAAGGATCAAGGTGAACTGGGTAGTAAACGAAGGAACCAGGAGCCGCACGACAGATTATCGGCTGGAATAGAGATGCGAGGTGCTGTAAATAAGGTAATTTGGATTTCCGTTAATTGTCCCCTTCTTTAGTGATCTTGTACCATTCGCTCTCCGGCTTCCACTTCCACCAATCGTAATGTACGCCTTTTGCATGAACGTAGGCGACCTTTCGCGCGCCCCACCTTACTGGATGGCGGGCCTCCTTTGAACAACCCGGATAAAGACAGGTGAAGACGTATGGTGTGCCGGTAGTGTGCTTCACCATTTTATGCTCGTGAAGTTGGAATTTCCTGGAATAACTTTTATTACACCCCTCGAAATCACACTTGAATATGCCAGCTGTCGGCTCTCGCTTTTTTGGGGTGGGGTTGGCTTTCTTTTCGATGTGATATCTGTCTGTATCTTCTGTTTGATCGAACCATTCAGCATGGTTCCATTTCTGATGCACGGACAAATTACGCTTGGCAACCGAATCCATTGGATCCTCAAACCGCTTCCCACACCCAGGAAACAGACAACGGGCCTCGGCAACAGGAGTAGTTCCATGTGCTTTTTCTTTATGATTTCGAAGGGTGAATTGACGAGTGTATTCCTTTCCACATCCAGGATAATCGCATACGGCCTTCGGTTTTTGTTTCGGTGGCTGAACTTGGTCTTGAGATAAGGCAGCTACGAGTCTAGGCGGAAGTCTAGTTTCATTGTCGCTGATATAATAGTACAATTCGTCTTGGTCACTGCTGACTTCCTTAAACCATTCACTGTGTTCCTTCATTTGGTGTTGTCTGACGGTCCATCTGGCAATGTTAGCTCCCTTGTTGGCATAAGAGAACAAACAGCCAGGGAAAAGACACTGATAGGCAAAATCAACTCTGCCCGTATGATTGAAAAGCTGGTGTTGCGCAAAGCCACGTAGTGTTCCGCAGATGGTTCCGCATCCAGGGAACTCGCATATGAATAGCTTTTTCTTTGGTTGCGGAAGTTCCTGTGGTTCGTGCGGTTCTTGCATTTCGTGCGGCTCCTGAGGGTCCTGAGGCTGCCACGGCTGCCGCGGTTCCAGCGGTCTTTTCTTCCCTTGTTTCTTGTTCCGAGCCTGGCCATCAATAGACTTAGTGGGAAGAGGCGAAGTGGGCCAGTAATCGTCATCTTCAGGGTCCGAATGTGAGTCGGGGTTGTACTACTCCAATAATTGCATCAGATCGCGTGCCCATCCATACAGTCGATTTATAATTGCAAAGATGTGGACTAAGAGTGGCCCGTAAACCTTCAGTATGAGGCTAGTACTTACTTCTGGTGAATCCCCATAATCAGCATATTCCTCATCTTTGTCGTTGGAATCTGATAACGTCCCAATACTGTCGCTACGAGCAGCTCTAGTGGCTTTGTGTGGGTCTGTAGAAGACAATTCACGTGGTAATTTTGAAGAGCCAGTTTCCTGGGCCCTTTCGAGATTTTGATCGCATTCTTCAGGAAGGTTGTGTCCAAAAACCAATTCCACGGTCTCAGGACTGCGAGTACCGGATGATTTGGCCTCCCGATCATCGTAATCTATGCTTGATGGTTCGTGGTAACGGGCTCGATTGGCCGGGACGGCCCCCGGACGCAGACGCCGAGAAGGTACTTTTGGGTTTATTTCGCCACATTCAACTGCCAATTTATCCTCGAGACCGCCCATGTCGAGAACGACCTCCAGATCCGCGTTATTTCCGTAATCTTGACCAACTTTCTGTTTTTTTACCTCACGGGGTGGAAATGGAAGTAACAAGCCGCTTGGCGAGAACGAACCGCCACCGAAGGCTGGGGAAGCAACTTCATTGCTTCGTCGCTTGAGGGATTTGGTAGCTGCAGATGATGACGAAGCGCCCACAGGTAATTCGGCTGGTTGGTTTGGTTCCTATGAATGACCATCAATATAATGGCCACCAAAGGGCGAAATCTCAACACAGTTTGATAAGGTCACTCACTCCTTCTGGGACAGAGACTCCAAGTTCTATGGATAACGTGTCTCCGCCTCCAATCTTAGGGTTAGCACCGCCAGCTGGGGCTCCGGTCCCTTTACGATGCATTCCTTCTTTTGGCGGGTAAAGAACCATATATGTCGAAGAGTGGATGAATAAGTTAAGATCCTTTTGGGTATGATGGGTTTGATGTGCACAAGGGCTTGACGCGAGGAAGGTCGATGAAAGTCGATGAGGGTGAATGTTTGGCGAAAGGTTGGTGAATGTGGGAGGGGAGATGGAAGTGACGTGTTGAAAGTGTTACAGCTCGAACTACGCAATTGCGTGCAAACTACCTAATCCAGCTATACCAGGAGGCCTTCTTGCCTCCAGACCAACCAGGAGGCTACAGGACTGTTGTACGAGCGCAGTTTGGTTACGGAACTGGCTGTACAGCTAAGCGCTGAAGGTTTTAGGTCTCGGCATCAACAGGACCAGCTCCAGCCTTACTATCTTATGTTAAAGACTCAAGATAACAGCTTTAAGACCGTTAAACTCTAGAGATCATAAGAATCTCCAACAGCTATTGAAAGAAACAGTAATTTTATTAAGAGGCAGCAAAGAAGCAAAAATCAATGAGTGAATAGAACTCATTCATTTATCAGGTATAGTTTGTGGGAGGAAATTTAACCTCTACCTTGCTTCCCGGCGGGTCCATTAGAGCCGTACCTTCGTCCTTTAGTCATTTATATTATAGATTTAGCCCTAGAAGACAATACTTGCTCCCATCCCCAACCGAGAGATTCTGAAGCATCGATCTAGTAAGGGTGTGGGATAGCTTTGAGACTAATAAAACACTCTCCATCAGGGTACTTATCACACTTTATCTGAAAGCCTTCGTTCTCTCTTTCAGAGAGCCCTTTGCCCCGCAGGAAACCGAAGATTTGGTCTTAATACTTTCGTAGCTGACTCCATCTTACGCATGCTCAATCGTTGATGGGTATATTCGAATCGTAAACTTCCAAGCTGGGCTCCGAAGCTTGCGAAATTGGAAATTGGATGTATTTTGGTTATGCAAAGTGGGGATTTAACCCTAACCACTACCATATCTATATACCAAGGGTATAAAGATTCTAGATTTTGCGGTGTGACTGTACTCCATGGGCCTAGATCCGCTCATGGGGCTCAAAACGATCCCGCACTGCAGGTTCGAGTCTCTAGTGTTGTATTTTTTGTGTTGTCATGATCCCCGTGTCGTTTGGTTACGAGGCTGCGCAGCCGCGTCGTTTGGAGATGTGCCAGCCTCGTCACCAAGGATGATCGGAGCCTGTGTCATGTGATAGAAGCCCAGCTTGTGTTTACCCCTTGGTGCTTATCAGTTCTTTTTCTTCCAACAACAAGCCACCCAAGATAAGTAGCAAGTGTAACAATTCGAGTGGGGCTCAATGTGGGCGGATAGGGATCCCGAATCGATCTCAATATTCGCTTTGTAGGACAAGTGACGGATTTGAGAAATCAAAGCATCCTATTGATTTTCCTCTGCGAGTCAAAGCCTCAAACTTTAGGACATTCCAGCTAGAAACAACCCTAAAAACAACCCTGTTACTTCCTGGTCAAATCTGTGCCGTGAAAAATTCGATTGTTATAGGACCAGGTTATCTCGTACCCAGACAAGGACCAGGTGCATGCAACATTCTTACATGCAACCCGCAAACGGTGCAGAAACGTCTGCAGTTGAAAATATGATTATAGGGGCCAAGTCCTAATCCAACCTAACGATCCCAGCTAGTGCTGGTAGCACAGACTTTCTGAAGGAGCTCATCAGTTCTGCGCCGGACATCGTGAACACACCTCTTCTGATTTTTTTCTATCTATTTTTGTTGAGACCATTTAATCCGAAGTGGACTTTTTAGATATCGACGGAGAATTCGGTACGTATGCCTAGTATATTGTACTTCTATGTAAGTCCGATTTGCAGCTAGTTAGAGTACTGCAAACATATTTCCGTCACAAAGTAAGCTATGAGCCGCAGCAGAAGTTCAAGTTTCCTTTATTACTTAATTATAGAAGTAGCTAATGCTCACAACATTAGAGAAGATTAAGTCCAGCTGGTCACGAGACCACGTATAGCATATACGCATTGACTTTTAAATGAGCTACAGTGGTGAATTTAGATGTGTCTACCGCAGCGTTCATTTATAATTATAATAACCTCAGCTTAAAAGATCCTTATAATTAAATGACTTCGTGCTACTGTTAATTCTCTCTTTTATCTTCGAGAAACAAGTCTGCGGTTGATCCAGATTACATGGAGGGTTGACACCAAGTGGACATAACCCTCGCTGGCATCAGACACAAAGAGCAAAATCCTAGTGAAGAATTTAAATTATTATCTCTTCAAAAATAATATAAACGGTAAGCTATAAGATGAACAGATACTCGCAGCGCAATACCCGCGAGAAGCTGGTCTCGGAGCCAGAGCTGTGCCGAGACCAGCGAAAAGCGAAAAGCGAGGCCGGATAATTGAATTCATAAGTCAAAAATTTTTTGAAAGCCTTGTTAAAGAATGATGTGCAACACATGCATACTAATTGGTAGGTTCGCTGTTTCGTTCTTGAATATTGGTACGCGCGAAATCAAGTTACGGCTGGCCCTTCGAGACCAAAAACCACAACCTCAAGTGTACCCTCATAAATTCCGAACGGGAAACCTAGTACGAATCAAGATTTCCAACACAAGCTCTGCGCAGTATACTAACTAGTAAGTACATAAGTTTAAACTACACGGTATATTCTTTATATTGAAACTCTTGGGGTGCTAAGATACATCACACAAAGCTGTAAGTTTGTACTTTAAATGCCTTATTAGTGTCTCTCTCTAACTCTGTGTACCATAGTTTCCATCTGACCCCACCCTTTTTTATCTTGGTTTCGTGTTTTTTCTCCTTTTTTTTTGTGTGTTTTGATATTTTCGAAGAAACACATCACTATTTCCGATTTTGCACCAAACATGAACTGCTCTAAAATATGTGGTTTTTTTTTTTTTTGAAAAATCGAAAGGAAGGAAATGAAAAGGGAAAATGAAACTTGAAGAAAAGTTTAGTTTCCAATGATGTCTCCGAGGCGGAGTCGGGGACTTCGAGAGCTGTTCGCCCAGAAAACGCAACCTATATATGTGCAACGAACGCGGCGTTGAACGTGTGGGTTTGAACGTATTCAAAAAACAGCCCTAGGACAGTCTTTGAGTACGGTCCCAATAATATACAACGCTCACTCACAGGTACAGCCTTCGCCCATTCATCATGCTGAACCTTCTGGTGTTTCTGGTAGAGGTTGTCCTTAGCTTTATTATCGCTAGTGCTCCAGGTATGACTTAGGCAGTAAGGGTGCAGGCAGCAAGCGACGTAAAGGCCTCGATCGTAAAACGGCTGGGCGGTGGGATGCGTGTTTCTGAACGAACCCGGGATTTGTGGCTGGTTGTGGCGAATATCCTTTTTTAGTCCACGAGGCAGTCTCAGAGATGGTAATGGTACTACCGTTGAGAGTTCAGAGATCAGATTCACCAATTCGGTTTTGTAGATCCGACCCTGGCTCGCCCCACTCGGACGGGCATCGAGTATCGCATTCGCGAGTTCGAATTCTACGGGATTTTCTAGCCCTGACCCAAATCCAGGATTATCAGGTGCATTCCGTGTAGCAATACTTTGGGTAGGAAATCCCTCGTGAACGTGAAAATGTAGGCCGGGCGGCTGTGCACCAAACGCTTGGCTCGGGGTATAAAGATTTTGGTGAGAAGGTAATTCGTATGAAAAAGGGACAGACGACGATAGATTTGGGGCTGAAGGTACATCGCAACTGGGACCAGTTGCAAAATCAGTGGCTCGGGCGGTGTCGGGCTCGATAAACTGGTCTCCGTATGCATATGCAGATGGCGTTGCTGTGTCATTGTTGAACTGTTCTAAGCCTGGGGGCACATCAGGCGTTCCGCCATAGTAGTTGACCAGCCCTTGGAACAGTGTGACACCATCATTGTGTTGGTGCCTATCAGTGTCATGGCAGGATTGCGGCATGCATTGACATTCCCTAGGCGAAAATTGTCTGGTGCCGAGACTATGGTATCCCCGGCTATAGCGCATGTTGCACATCCAGTGGCGTACCGTCTGCTAAATCTTTCGATAGCACGAGGCGGAGAATAGAGATGGAAAAAAGAACTGGAAGCGAACGTATTCGCGTCAAATATGAAGATAGGGATGATCCTCCGAATTATGTTGGTGAAAATCAGTTGGACAGCGAGGACTCTGAGTATATATTATATATCAGAAGCTATGGCTTTAAGTTCTCAATTTCCGTGATATGGAACAAGTCGAGAGGTTTTTCACTAGTGATACATCCCAGCCTAAATCCCTATGCGTGTATACGTGTATATCCCCCCTATTTTGTATAAAACTTTTATGCATACACAGAGCTTGCATATGTTTCTTCTCCATACATACAACCAGGGGGCGCTCCCATAAAATACGGCGTCAAAAGGAATAACGATTATGTCATTTTTATCGCGAGCTTAAACTAGTTGGCGTATGGAGTGCTGGGTGTGCCGCTTGCTCTGGTTTATTTCTACTTTGGACCAAACCCCCATCAGGTTTGCAGGTCGATGCGTGCACAACGCCGGATTTGTGTCACCTCGCGTACCTCGGTGCGGTGGCCAGGGTCGTTGTCATACGTTAACTTTAGCTTTACCACCTGCGCCATACCACAGTATTAATAATATATGTTTTGCCAAATAGCACCACCCCAACTAAAATATACTTGATTACTAGCGAACGAATAATTAAAGCCTTGTTTGAAATACCCGCGAGGAGTTTGTGCAGTGCCTAGAAATAAAAAGTAAATAGCGTAAGTACTGAGAGACATAGCACATAGAGTGTGCCGAAGCGTTTTAATACAAGACTAAGCACATAGCACAGCTTGCTATTTAACTAGTAGAGCTAGAGTCCTAGACCGGTCGACCCTTAAAGGAATTATTGCTCAATAATAGAAATGGAACCTTAAAATTTTAACTGAGTAGTTGAAACTCACGACAATAATGCTTCCGATTCATCCTCAGCCTGGAAGGAAATGAGCATGGTGTGAAATGGTGTTGATGCTTTGTAATCTTATTCTGATTACGGGACCCTATTAGAAAGCTTTGATTGGTGCTATAGCGTCTGGCCCGAGACCGATTTTAAAGCTTCCTTGAGGTGTTTAAAACTCCCACCTCGTATTGTATTCAAACGTCAACAATAGTGAACAGTTCACAGCACATTTATACTTTCCGAAAGGCACAGGTTCGAGAATACTGTATATAAGGGCTCAGGTAGCATCTGTATGGTCCCGCAATACTGTAGAAGTACGTATACCGACGCAGCTTCTCAAACTAGAGTCAATATCCCACTGTATATGTTATTGATCTGTTCTCATATACATATGTCTAGACAGTCTAAACATATTCATCTAGGGTTTGTTACGAGACCTACCGACATACGGGCCCGCCGGTACCGCTTATACTAACCACACTCTGATAAAAGCGCAACGAGAACCTAAATTTGCAGCGGGGATATGAAGTAATTTCAATATCGCAACCGATGGCGAGGTCAACATAACTTAGCTCAATTGATCAATCATGACAAACCTTGATCAAGCCTTCTGCGCAAGTCGAATATAGTAAATTTAAACACTTAATCCAGCGGCGGTTTTAAAAAGGAATAGGACAACCACTACGAGAGCTAGGCCCTCAGAGATCTGAGAATTAGGATATAATAGGAATTTAGGGGTGGAGAGCCCCTTAACAAAACTGTCAATACGGGTACAGTTGGAAGCGTAGTCTCGAAGCGCCCAGAATCCGGGTCAGCCACCAAAAAAAGGTGTGTTGTCACACTTTTGGCATCTGCCCAGCATCGCGCAACGGCATCAAGTGCAAGTGGTGCGCCTTGCTTTCCCTTTTTTTAAAAATGATCGATTTTCATCTCACTAGAATCGTATTAAACCTTCCGAATAAAAATATTAACTCGGTTCTTTGTAGATCTAACGATTCCAAGGGCTTTACTGGGGCACAGGAGCAACGCCGATATATGGACTGTGTAAGCCCCGAGCACGAACCTATAAACATCTACCCTTTAATGTGTCCGAGTCCGAGTCCAATATACCCTAGATTGGCTTCCGTGTTATTTTGAGAAAAGAACATTGTTTTTGTGTTGCTTCCGCAACTTTAACCAACATAAAGCGGAGTCCGGTCTCGTTGGCAGAGTCTAACTACTTGAGTCTGGAGCCACATGGCGTGTCTCGTTTACAAGACTAGTCTGGAGGCACCGAGTGGTAATTATAATTGGATTCCCAGGGCAGGGCTTCACTGGAGTCTAGCTGACCCTGCTAGTCTCGGGACCAGACGCCAGCGTTGCCGTCTGTGACCCTGCCTGTAACTTAACCTAGGCCCAACGAGACCACCCAAGCCTGAATTACACCGCAGCTGGTCTTGAGAACCAAACAACACACAGGGTCCACCCGCAGCCTGAATTTCTACTGTTATAGGTACTTAAGTAGTAGTTATACTGGTGCATTTTGGTTTGGGATAAGGATGCGTTGTGTATACCTAAGCTTCGAGTCCATGATTGTGCGCGCAGCAGATGATTGGTACGGCCATGCGAAGGGTATAGGTACAGCCTACTAAGTGATTCGTATATAGATTAGAGCCACTAGCTGTGTCGCATCTAAAAAGGTACTTCAGTCTTGAAAAGTGGTGCAACTGGGAACGAGACTAGGTATTCTAGTATACTATGTGGTCTGGAGGCAAGACGGGTGCGAGTTCCACAATGTATTGGAGCGAGTAGGCCAAAACTGAACCAGATGTGGACTTACATGCTGAACAAAAGGCTGTTTAATCTACTTCCAGACTATAGAGTTAGAACTACGGAAGCCTCTGCTAACGGAATGGTTGTTGATCTAAATGACGCAGTTAGACTTTAAGGGAGGTATAGAGACTTTAGATGTCGGGTAAATATCAACAAGTTGAATTGCATGCAATATTTTGGAATCTCAAAAGGTGATAGGGAAGTGAATACAAGTCGTTGGGGAGGGTCGCGGGACATATCATTGAAGCTTTTTTATAAATTTATTCACATAAATATCACTCTGGTTGAAAGGTCCCATATATCGCCCGTAGACTCACTTAGAGGTTTCCGAAACCTCCTTCGGCTCAACTGGTTCTTTTCCAGACAAAAATTTGCCCGAGTTCGTCGTTTCTTTCCAGGCCAAAGTGACCGCGTCTCTTCTTGTGACCTCTTTGGCCCATGTATGATGTTGTTGCCTCTGGTGCTTTCGCAGTGCACTCGTCGCTAAAGGTTCACGCGGACTACTAAATTTGGCACTGCAATTCGGGAAATTGCAGCTAGCCGTAAAAAGTCCAACGGTCAGGCGTTTGACTTTGGGCATAATTGGGCGACAGTAGCGTTCATAGTGGGTGTATTTCACTGGCGAAATTACTGGAGCTCGTTTCATGAACCCTTTGGTGGTGCTCGTGTAGTTATACGGCTTGCGAGAAGTTTTGTGTTCGGCGTCGATAGGAACCTTCGAGAGAGATTGAACTGCGAGCTCTCTATTGGGGCCTTGGTTCTGATTATTCTGTGGTATGGCCATGTTAGTTGCTTGACGTCGTATATTAAGTCCTCGTGTGAATCTATTGGTCCGAAAAACTCACTTCAAGTAGGGACGGAGCCATCATTCCTTTCGCGGGATTTGTGACCGAATTCTTTGGAAAAGTACAATATGGTCAGTTCGGTACTACTGAATACGAGCATCTACGTTCACCAGATTAGGAGACAAACCTTAGAGAATTGGCCGTTATAGAAACCGCCAATATCCTCGGGAACGAAACTCTTGTAGGGAGTTTCGAGGGGCTGGCCTTGTCGACTATCAGTAACATTTTGGCCTGGAACATTTTGTTCACCCTGAACGTGAAAGGGGGTGTGAATCGAGAAACACCTGGGGCAAGGTACGCCTCCAGTCATAAGAGCGCAGTCAGAGCATAGAAACGACATTTTAATCCTAAATTTCCCGCGACGTTTGCTATTGACTTTTAAATTCGGAGATTGGTAGGGTTGACGATTTGGATCGAAGTCGGAGCGGTAAGCTGTCAAGTGCAATCGACACTGGAGGGTAATATTTTGTAGTAGTGGGGTTGCAGGCGATGTAGTGATATATTGAAAGAGAAGGCAGGACCAATGTTATAGCTACATAAATGAGAGACTAAGCTACATAAGGACTAATACAATATTGGTTTGGAGGCAAGACGGGTGCGAGTTCAATACAATACTATGTTGTGGGCGCCGAGAGACGTCAAAACATAGTAATCAGTTAATCCGGCACACTACAAGGAACCAAATAAAACTAGAAGCAATCCCAAGTTTGAGCTAAGAGTGCTTGCCACCCATCTTTTAAAATCTATTCAGGTTACGGTCTAGCACTATTTCCTGGGGAAGATAAAGGCAGATATTCGTAACTCCATTTCGAGCTGACACGCTAGAATCTCTTGAAGCTATAATATACGGGGTAGAGTAGATGATTATCGTGGGTAAATACCAAAAGTAACGGCATAATAGAAGGCTTAGGAGTCATTGATTTCAATGTTTCTGCAAGCTACGAGCGAGATTATTCAGAGTTGACGATGTTAGCGGCCCATCGATATTTTCGAAGTCTCATTCTGAATTAATTAACAAAACTAAAAACTCAGGATTTAAAAATAGTTGAGTACTTTGTTTTGAAACCTTTCCCCGTGCTAGGGACCGGACTAGCGAAATGAAATATAAAAGAATGCAGCTGAAGATCCGATAAGCCTCAGTATTCTTGAAACCCCCTTGATGAATACTATAGAAGGCCCGCATAACTGAGCTAGCTAGCCCTCATTTTCACTATTTAAATCCTCTTCGTTTTCTTGAATCTTTGGACCATTCTTTGTGAGCCCTCCCCATTTCTTCAATTGCATGGCCACAAAAGTTTGGGTCAATTTAGTGACACCTTCTCCTCCCTCCTTGACGTAAATGTCAAGCACCGCCGCCGCTTTATTGTTCTCAACTGTATATATTGCACGCTTGAGTATTTTTTCCTAATTGCGAAAATAGTAATATAGAATGTCAGTGCCTGAATAGTGTCGATCATATGACCATATAAATTTACACTCTCAAAACTTACCTCCTCCGGTGATAGAACTAAGGAATCCCGCTTCAACTTGCCCCAGCGTAGTTTCAGGCTATTGGGACTTTTCCCCGAACTAAACTTCGCTTCAAACTTTTCATAGATTTCCTTGATGGCACTGGTTTGTTGATAGAGTTGCCTCAAATATGCATCCTGTTCCGAAGTCCAACCACCGCTGCCCGCCGTCCCCGCTTTCCGACCTCGACCTCGTGCTGAATTCTCAGTCGTTGCGACACTTTTTATATCTTCACTTTCGATCGTTGATTTGACATTTTCAGTTGACTCCTTAGCTAAAGTCTTGGCTTTCTTCTTTTTATTCTCATCTTCGCCGCTATTGCTAGATTTACTTGGTCGACCTCGTTTTCTCGCCGGTTTGGTAGGCTCTGAACTAGGCTTTGCTTCATCAATAGGATCGTTTGGCGTTTTGACTTCATTACTAGTACGTTCATCATCTGCGACAGTTTGTTCCAGTTCGGCAGATACTTCTTGGGCTCCCTCAGTAGGTTGAACTTCATTCCCTGTCAAGTTATCATCATCATTGTTAGCAGAGATAGCCGACACTGCCAGTGCAGTTTCCTCATTTTTTATTTGATCTGCCATCTCGGTATTCTTGGAAGTGTCTTCCACGTGGTAAGGCTGTTATTCTGGTGGGTGGGTCCGGGTTTAAAATAACTGAAACGTATTCTTAGACGATCGGAAGTACCGCAAATCCGTAACTCTCCACTAATTTGCTAAAATTGTATCTTTAGAGCGGTGCGGTGGTTTGGTACCATGGTCTGCAAGGCTCATTTTTTGCCTCCATCGGCTCTGACGACGTCTACTGGAACATAGTAGTTGTTGGTAGTTTGCTATAGTGCTCTTCGCATCTATGAATTCGAAACGGGATCTAATTCTAGAAAACGCTATTAAATCCAGCGTCTTCTAGCTGTTTCTGTGATATGATCCATACTGTTAACCCCAAGGATCGAAATAGAATAATAACTGAGAGAGCTATCAAGACAGTCATAGCGCTCGGATAGCGGAGACACGAAGTAAATTTCAGGCGTTGGGCCTTTGCAAATTTGCAAATCCTGCCAAACAAGATTTACATACGCACCCATAATTATCTCGATATGGGTGAAGCAAGTAAGTGAGGTGACTAAAGGTGCTAGTTGATCGTCGGAAGATAAAATATTGCTATGGTGCAAAAATAGGTTGGCTTCTAGATAGTTGAGATCGTGTAAGACTGAATTGAATGTTTGAATATCTAAAAGTAACTAAGATCGCACCGTAGAAATATATAAATAGAACCTCGGGCGTAAGAACTACTATTTGAACCCACACGCGCCTACGGAAACCGGTTAGCTAGGCGAACTTCGACCGATTAACATTGTGATCTATCCTGAAAAAGCTAAGGTCTGCGTTCATACTCCCGCACGTGGATGCGCTGATTAATATTATTTGTCCGGCCGAAACAATCAGCTACCTCTCTAGCGAGATTATATATACCTAGCATTTACCGCTTTAAATTCAACTGTACCACAAATATTAAATATTCCCATTCGGCCACATCTATTGACATACCTCTATTCCACTTCATTCCACCCGCGCCTAGTCTCAAGGTTCTTACTTGAACTAGTTTCATGATCAACTTTTCTTCTCTCTCTAACGCAGATCTTATAGATCTTCGATTTTGGATTAGGGACTCGAAGGCCATTGTATTAGCAATACAGCCCCATCCTTCCCCAACGGCCACAAGCGCGGCCGAATTTTATCCAATGGTAGAATCAATATACCTACCTCTTTACCATCATCCAGACTCGGACTTTAAAGCCGAGGGAATAGGGAAACCATATCCCTATCGTGCTCCCGCCAAAGTGCCCCTCTCTAGAGCTCTCACCAACAAAAACGCAACTATCCCGATACTGAACATCCAAGGGCCTGAATGGGATATCGAGCCGCATAGGGCGTTATATATCAACGAGATATTAGAACATATCCTATCATTCGTCGTTGATCACCATTTGATGACAACTAAAGAAGAAAATTATTCTTGCAAAGATTCGGATGGATTCTGGGATCTCATTAGGTCTTGTCGAATGGTGAATAAGCGTTGGAAAAAGTTAATCGATATCTCGCCCACTCTACAAAAACAAATTTGGTTGTTAAAACAATATAGAATTCAAGAACGGATTGTCGGACCAGCAGGTCTCATTTCTGCCCTTGAGGCGAGCTCCAAACTCTTTGTTAAAGAACTCAAGTTGGAGGAAGAGAGGCCAAGGATAACGCTCTGCTATCCCTTTCTCGCGTGGTTATTCCGCACCATCCGAGAACTGACAAGAATTGAAGTAGAAAGGTGCATCGAAAATAGTACTGATGATAGTCAAATTGATTTAGAAGACCTTAATATTGATTGGCGTCAAGTCAAGGAGCGTTTTGCTCTTTCGAGATTTCCGAATGTCTTCTTTACCGACCCTCCAATCTCTGAAGCTAGATTGCATTTCGATACCAACCATCCCATCGTGTGGCCAACAGCGACGAGTGGGTCGACTACTTTGACACTCGGGGAGATGGAGATCGTGAATGGTCATGGTGTTTCGATCCGCGGAGTCAGGTGTATCTCTTCGGTCCGCCCGGACGGAATACTTCGTAATGGAGTTCTTATTTCGAATAAAAAGGGTGTCACGCTGCACGATATCATCTACGCATTCGACGAGTATATAAAGATGGCAACAGACCCGGAATGCTGGTGGAATAAGGGAAAAACTACCCCGTGGCAGTTAAGGTGGCTTAGTGTCGGAACCGTTACGATGTACCCGGAGCGGGAGGATTCTACGGTCATTGGTGCTTGTGAGGTCCATGGGGTTTTTGACCTGGTGGAAATGGATGAGCACGATCGGGACGAGTTCAAAATTTATGATTTAACTATTGAAGAAAAAGTAGAGAAAAAATCCGAACAATAATTATTTTTCAAATTACGTCTAGATGAGGGGTATGATATCCTCACTAGCCTGTAATAATTGGTACTGTGTGTTAGTAAGTTCAATCGAAAAACTGTTATAATTTCACGAGAGGCCTACTAGGTTATCATTAGCGAAATTATCGCCATCGTATGTTTGGAGGGTATTTCGATACAGCTCTTGATCTTAAGCTTTTACATGGTGAGGGGACACCTGAGGTCTCGAGAGGAGGTCAATTGACTAGCACTAGGCTTGGCTTAAGTACACTCGACTATTCCTGTGCCAAATTCTGAAGAAAATTAGAAGTTAAAGCATCCTTCGAATAACCTTGAACTTTAGTCTCGTCTCTGTCCTGCATAGAGTTTAGACTTATTTGAGATTTCATATGTCTGTGTTTCTCCTAGCTCACCCGTCATGAAAGAGCCATATCGTGTTGTTAAAGCCCAGCAATTCACTTGGTCTCCCGGGCCCGCTTCTTGTTCTATCTGCCTGAAAATCCCGACTTTCATTTCTCTGAATATATTGCTCTTCACAGGATCGGGGTTGTAATATAACTCCTTGAATTTCGGGTCCATCAGTGTTGCTATGGCTTCGATAATATTCTTGACCGTCACACCGTTCTCATGTCTGACAATGAACGACTGGGACGGGTTACTCCAACCATTCATGTGACTGACCCATATAGCGGAAATATGTTCTGACTTGCACAATTCCGGGTGAATGGCAGCTTCCAATTTTCCGAGTTCGATCAAAACTTCAGTTGTTGGAGGGTTTGAGAAATAGGATGACGGAAATTTGTCCTGGATGTATTGGTCGTGAAGGTTTCGTATATCACGTGCGCCCTCGTCGCGAAAACACCCAGGAACTCGCCAAGCGAGCCAAGAAATAAACGGATAGTTAATGGTCGGATAGAACTCTCCTTCCCGGACAAAAGTTCGAACTTGACAGTTGAATGGACTTTTCTGGTATTCAACTGGAGGTATTGGTTGTGTGTCGTTGCATTTCCAAAGCTTTCTGGAAATGGATGGCGAGGTGTCCACGATGCCCTTCCAGAACTTGCAAACAAGGCTGCAGTGGTACAAATCAATCAGGCTGTCGGCGTCCTTGACAGACTTGAAGTTTCTCCGCCCGAAGAAGGGCCAACGGGCAACGTGGCAAAGAATTAGCTCTAAAAGTTCGGGGATGCTTAGAACTGATGAAGCATTTCTAGCCACTTCGACACATTCTTTCGTGGAGGAGGTCGCCTTTTCTATCGGGCGTTCTTGTGACATCTGTAACCTGATTAGTCATACGGTCGTTAAGGTGCGATAGGTGAGGGGCATACCTGAAAGCTTTGATGCCGACGGGATCTAGTACTTATAAAATCCCAAAACCAAGGCGTAAGTACTTCTTCTTGTGTATGTAGAGCTAGCTACACTTTCTGGAGGTTGATTAGGGACGTGATGTTGCGCGACCAAGCTGCGAATCCGAAAGCTGTCAATTGGATGGCCCATACAACGTTATATAACACATCAACGCATTTCGAACACTACCCCTGAGCAATAAACATTAAAAAGGTCAGGACTAGATTTCAAAGACGACATCAAACATCAAATTCTTGCATTAAAAGAATCAGAGTTCTATTCTAATATCGACCTGACTCGCTAAATACTTTGGCAAGACATTGGACCGTGGCAACCAGTCGTCTTGAATTCTTTTAGCATGCGTTGTCGCTATTCCTCTAAATAGGCTTAGATCAAAGGGACTTTTAGTTAGACTACCATATATAGTTAACGAATTTCCCGAGCTTCATAGCACTAAGCCTGAAGAAGTAATTGATATATTTGTATTACATCCTATTCGGGAAAGTTGGGCCAGAACCATAATGATCTCAGAACCGCATTGTGGATTACGGGTCCGAAGTGCGAATACTATTTTTGTTCTCGGTTGGCAATAGACGGCTACTACGTCGTCGTCACAGTCCTCTACACTCTTTGAACAGCTGATGCAAAGATTATATAGAACGCAAAGTCAAATGTTTAAATTTCCTTTATCTATTCCTAGCCTTAGCAAATGCAAATTATTGTCTCTGCGTGGCTGCGAAACCGTGAACAAAAACCGGCAATATTATTTAAGCCCTAAATACAAAACCAAACTATATAGTAAGGCTTGCAAACGGTTTTTCGTATTTTGAAGTTAACAATTTAGAAAGATAAATATATAATGTTTATTAGAATTCTCGGCATCTTGGCGCGGGGAAATGCGGGGGAGGAGTCCGATCAAAATTAAACCTAGCATATCTTATATACAGCCCCCGCTGCGGATTTGAAAAAAACAGACCATCCAACTGGGCGGAAGGAGCGACAGAGGAGAAGAACAAAAGAGAAGATTTAAGCATTCAGAGCAACTGTTGATTGCCACAGAAGGTTGGAAATAGCGGCGATACCAACACCCCATACCAGCGACCTCAGAGCCGAGAGCTTTAGGGTAGAGATGTTAACGTATAGGATGCTATACAATACTCTGTTGTTTTGGAATATATTAGCTGAGTATTTCGAAACCCCCAGAACGGAAGCCGCGAAACATACCTCGATCCCAAGAATATTAAAGCATGATCATTAAGCGATTTGATAGGTAATTGTGCTAGGTTCCCCGCAAGCTATTCCTTAAATTAGTATAAACTCTCTATAAGGTTGAAATCGCTGGACAAGCGAAAAATACTGACCACAGCAAGCCCCCAAAATCCCAAGATCTCCAGTCCATTGTCCGAAGCAGCCTGTGCCCTCTGTGAACGAGCAAAGACGTCAGGCGGTAACTGAGCCCTTAAATCGTCCCATTGGTTTCTAGGATTCGCATTATCGAAGTAAACATTCCTTCCAGCAGTATTGACAACTGCAACGCCGTATGTGTGGACACCCATGGAGATACCCCATGTTCCAAGGATAGAGAGGAGAGACCAGTTGTAAGACATCTTAGTATAGTAAAAGTAATAGATTTGACTAGTTTGATAGAGTGTATGGTGATTTAGTATGGCGATATGTATATTTGAGATGGCATCAGTGAGGAAATAGGTACCTTCTTAAACGATCTCCACCAGCAGGTGGTGTTGGAGAAGGTTGTGTTGAGGCGAAGCTGGAACTCGGCCAGATTGTTGCACCGCCAGCCGTGGCACTGACACTTTTGCCTAGAATTGGCGCCTAGGCGCATTCTCCAAGCAGAATTCACGGACAGTCTCTTCACAGAGCTCCGATGTTAACGTTAACATGTTAGCGCTGCCGTTTTGGTGGTCGTAATGAAAAGCCTCTCGGGTTATATCTTAACGTTATGCAGTCGAGTTTCGGGTTTCGACGTTCAGATAGAAACGTTTCTCAATTTAAGACACATGGAAGCCGACATAAAATATCTAGTAGACTTTCATCCGGCGCATCTGAAACCATTCGCTGGTTCGCCGCAATTATGTTAATTGCGCGCGCAAATAGAGTTTTTGAATCTTTGACAAAAGTTGCTTTCGGTCATGATAACGGCAAACAGGCAAAATCCTAAAGTTTCCGTGCATAATAGTTGGAAGTATAATTGAAGACATTTACTCTTAGAATCGTATGCATCGTCATGCGAGATCGATCCTGATCCTGATCGCATATTCGGAATCTGGACGAAAGAAATCTTGGCTGGCGGTCGAGTGTTCTAATAGACGATTTCACAAAAAATTAAAATTTCAGTCTGTAACCTGCAAACCGATACCCTCAACCATCTTGCATTGCAAGAGGTGTCCTTAGACCATACCACCGCCTAGAATTACTACCGTGAAACGACCCATCACGACACCATGATATCATCCAATCGTGAATATTCCGGTCGCAAATTCTCTAGAAAAGCAGTCCCGACCATGCAGGTTTATGCGACGACCCCTACCCATCAATCTCAATTTCGGCTGCGGTTCATTGACCGAGCCAATCTTCCGAAGACGTCTAACTAGTTTGGTCTTAGTGTGCCGAAATGTGATGTTGAAGCCGACGACCGCCAAAAGAAATGAAGCAATAGTTGAATAAACCGTTGGTATTAACAGCTCAAATATGCCAAAAAAAATACCAAATTTTGAGAAAAGAGCCAAGAGCTGTATGCCCAGTAAACTACATCGTCAAAACTCTAGAGTTTTTCAGAGAAGCGGCGTGAACAATGCTTCTCAGTACGATATTGACCTCGTCGTAGCCACGTCCGCCACAATGTAGCCTACTCCACCCAACACAAACTCCATGGCGATAATTCCTAGCCTCAAGTTGACGTTGAAACTTCCTAAGCTCACACATAGGTTTTGAAGGTACCAAGGTAGGTCTCTTCGTGTTTATATAATGCTTACTCGATATAGTTCGAAGGAGCCGAATATCCGTTGTTGCCATGTTTTCTGTAGCATTCGGCGCTTTGCTTGTTTGCGCCACAGAACGCAAAGCGAGGAGCGCTGCTTCTTTTTATATTTGCCATACATTTATATATCGACGAACTAGACCACCGCTGGCCCTGAAACAAAAAAAAGGGAGACAAAGCTAACCACACAGGTCCGGAGCCAGAGAGTAAAAGCCACTGACAATTTTCTTAATATTAGTAGCTAGAGAGTCGAGTATCTTGATGCGTACGGTGCGTGGCTGCCAACGGCTACAAACACCTTGTCGGCAGACATATCAAAAGCGGAATAGCCGATCCTAACGATACATTAAAAATCACTAAATTCCCAGTTTTACATCTCGAATTACAACTTTTAAAACCTGAAACCAATTCTGGGTTCACGGGCTACAGCTCCAACTGGAAAAGCCAAGCCTGTCTTTGACGGGGATGCTGCGTTGGCTGGGTATCATTGAAGCCATTTTATACCCCGAAGAGGAAATATCCCAAAAAGGCGAGGCAAAGCTCCATTCGTCGCAGCTCTCATGCCATCCCACCTTGCATGGCCCCTCCCAATCAAAAACCAGCTAATCGCTACCCAGTACTGGTATCCACATCCTATACGACCATACATTCCAGCTATCGGATCCGAAATAACAGCGCTCTCCGTCAGAAAGCGGTGTAGTCTATATCATGCGGGCTAAGTGTACTGTACATGCATTGGCAATAAAAGATGTGTAGCTCCCCTCCGGATTCCCAGAGGGAATCCCCTCTTCCTTTCTAGCTAGGTTTCTTCTCCCACTGTCTTTACTCCTCTGTGGCAGTCACTCCTTCGCCATCCAGCCATCCAGAGGAGCCCAAGTTCCCTACTCACACTCGTTTGAACCTATTTATCGACCTGATGCGTACCTGACCAACTCCGACTAGTAGTATTCAATCTCGAAAATATATAAATAATATACTACAGTAATGGCCCGCCGTAAGAACCGGGGCTGTTGCTTCGGTCTCTTCGACTGCTTCTCATTTCTATTTCGCAAACCTCCCGTCGGTGGAGAAAAGTTATTGGATCACCCCGAGATCATCGCCGGCATCCTTTCCCATCTCCCTCCGAAGGATTTGTTAAAGGATATCCGTTTGGTCCATCCGGTCTTCTACGACATCGCAACAACTTCATCCCATCCGATCGTACAATGGAAAACCTGGATGTACGCCCACCCCGACATCCCCCGTGGTCTGGATTACTCGCGAATGTATACTCCTAACGTTGGGCATGAGTTTGCATATAACCCACCCCGACCATCCCGCGAGATATCGATGATGTTATTACCCATAATCAACAAACTCTGGCTTCGGATTATCGAGGACGTCAAACGTGCGCATGATGAGTTGGGATTCAAACCCGGGAAGGAAAAGGATTATACCCCATTGCTGGAGAACGGAAACTACTCCGGTTTGGACGACTTGGTTGGCGACCCTCCTCACGATGTGGACTGGTATATCGAGAAACAGTTATTGGTGGATATGCCGCATACGATTAGTCAAATGCAAGTTACTCGACCGGCATTGACGGAGGCGGTGAATATCAGCATGAGATGTTTTAGGTGTTGTAGCCGAACGTGTACTTATACAGTCTCGTTCGCGTCGCCGACGGATGGGTTGAGGATTAAGGATTTTGTGACGATGTTGGTGCATGGATTGTTCGATTGGGACCATGGGGCTTGTTCGCAGTGTCTTTGGAATCATAACAGCGTGCATTGCGCCGTTGCTATGGAGGTTTCTGGAGTGGCGGACGAAATTGGCGAAGGAAGAGTGTGGTACGACTATGTTGGTGGAAAGCAGGTTGGAGAGGAGGGCAGAGGGATGTTTAATATCTTGAGCCTGAGTCTTTTGGCGGATGGAGGGGGCAAAACGTGGGGGAGGGGAGGCGAGTTTCAGAACAAACAACAAACAGTATAAGGAGGATGAAAAGGAGCGCGTCTGGTGGTATCGAGAGGAAGAAAATTAAACAAAAATACGGGAACTATTGAAGATGAAAGGAAGGGGGTACAAATATCATAAAACTGCCGACGCCAAATTGACAACCTTCCTCGCGGCAGTGCATGCCTTCCTGCCAAGGCTTTTCCGGAGTCGGGTGCAACCCATCACAGGTCTGGATTTCTTCGAAACCGCATTTGGTATATACCCTTTTTCCGGCCCGGGAAGCTTCAAGAGCACATGGAAGGCCTTCCTTTATCGACTTGTTAACGCCCCATCGTACCAATGCTTCACCGATACCCCGACGCTGATATGCCGGATCGACTACCAATATATTAAGGTGCAAGTGGTTTTCAAATTGTGGCATTTGCTTGACAAGGTTTTCGGTTTCTTCGAAGACTTTAGCCATAAGATCTATGGCTGGCTTGTACGCCGACGGGTTCGGGAAAAGAAAGTTATTCAAACTTTCGTGAAGAGCGAAAAGGTTGCGTTCAGATTCTGTATATATAAACCATTTTTTGGGAGTTTCATTGTCTTAGTCATTTATTTTGTCTAGCGTATTTTTTTTATATTTTTCTTTTACATCTTCTTTTCAAATACTTATGGGCTTATAGTGTGATCGATGCTTGATGATGATATGAATATAAAAACATAAATCACAGCTTCTACGCATCACTACTATATCAGATAGGAATATTTAAATATAACTTACTCTGCAGCCAATTATCTCGTCCCTTTACAGCTTCAGCCGTTCCAGGACCCCTTCTCTGCCACGTCGAGTATCCTACAGGAACTTCAATACCATTATCCGTTATATATGCAACAACAACCCAGATTGTCGGATCTAGTAATTCGTTCCCGAGATACCGCCAGAACATATGTCGATGATGGGCAGGATATTTATGACGAGTCGGATATCGCCAACCAAAAGTCTGGTCATCTCGAAATGCGGTTGTCGCGATTTCCAACAGCCTGTTGGTGAGCTTTGGGTTTGCGTTGCGTTGGGTGATTATTTTTAGGGTGATGTCGCTCTTGCCGGGTACCGCCGGCGTCGATGTCGGAGATGCCATGAACATTTCTTGGATTCAGTATACTACAATTTGCGAGCTTGGGCCAATTGAGTGATTGGAGTTAATATTATCATGAAAGAAGCTTTTTATGCTTAGCCAAGTGTTCTTATATCGTTAACTACTTGACCTCGCTGACTCACGACTTCGAACCCTGTCCCCTTCAGGCCAGGTAGCTGCAAAGTTTTTACTCGATCTGTAGTACGCATGTAACGTCGCAGACAAATCCAAATTTGAAATAGTCGCTTATCGGCGGTTCCAAATCCCTTCACAATTCTTCTTACGAAAGAAAAAAAAAAAAAAACTAAAGTTCCAAGCCCGTGACTTCCGCTAGCTCCAGGAAACTTCCGGCTTTTTCGAACTCTCCTAACGAGAGACCAGTCAAGGCCAGAGACGATCTTCTAGAATATTACCGGATTCGGCCGGTTACCTGATCTAGCTCAACTACCGGGGCAGGGATCCACCTGTGTCACCATTAGCACCCCGCTTTTTTTTTAGCCTATATCTTCAACGATGTTCGGCCTTCTCGGCCAGCTCGTACCCGCTGTTCTCGCAGCTACAGCTTATGGTACCTTTAGAAATGGTACCTTTAAACCAGCTACTGAACCTAGCGGGCCGGGTTTGTATTGTACCGGACCCGACATGGTATATACGGGGTTTGAGGACATAATTTGGACTTCCCCGGAGATGACAACCTGCTTTGAGGTTCTTGCGGATGGGAAATTTGGAGAGTTTTGGAAGAGTAGAGATGAGCTTTCCTGGTGGCGGAAATTGTGGATTCGGGAGGTTGACGGATGGGTGTTCCCGGGATTCTGGGATGGACATGGTATGCATTCGATGCACACCAGTCGGCCATATGTTATGTCTATAAGCTAATCTTTCTAAAAGCACATCTTGTACAATACGGCATGATGGAAGTTGGAGTAAAGGTATCTATCGATTCCATCACTATTAGAACCTAAACCGACACTAAAAAAAAAACATAGGCATACGACCAAACAGTCCCCCAAATAATAACGTCAATCCTCAACTACCTCGAAAAAGACCCAACCTACGGCACCCGTCCAAAATGGGTTCTCGGAACCGGATGGGATCAAGCATACTTCGGTGGTAACATGCCAACCGCCGAAGACCTCGTTTCAAATCCATTATTAACAAATCTATACATCGCTTTATACCGGGTCGACGTCCATTGTATCTGGGTCTCGCCCGCTGTGCTACGATTACTCCCAGATCCATTACCGCCTACTCCACCAGGGGGGTCAATTCCATCTAACGGTGTCTTCTGCGATAATGCAATGGATGATATGATCATCCCACTAATCCCTGAGATCACAGAAGAAGATATTGAGAACTTCATCACAACTGCGGTATCATCTCTTCATTCCGTAGGACTCGTGGGAATAACCGATGCTGCAACTGCAATGAAGGAGGTACCGGTATATAAACGTCTCGCGGAGTCAGGGAAGTTAGACTTCAGAGTTTATGGTATGGTTGAGTGTATAAAGAGGAATACGTTTTGTGATGTGGATAAATACCATTTTGATGATAAAGACGGACAGTTTACTTTGACTTCGGCTAAGATATTTGCTGGTAGGATTGTGATAGCACTGTTTTGGTATAAGGGAATATTGCTAATAGAATTATAGATGGTGCGCTGGGATCGTGGGGAGCTGCACTAATTGAACCTTATAGCGATCAGCCAACTCGGGGATCGATGCTGATTAATGAAACGAGATTGGCAAATGTTGTTTCTCAGGTATTTTCTCCATATCGCCAATGATATATACAAACTTCTAACTTTCAAAACAGTGGTACGCCGCAGATTGGCAAGTAGGCGTCCATGCCATCGGTGATGCAGCAAACAGAGCGGCTCTAAATGCCTTCGAAATAGCAATGAAACTTCATCCAGACATCGACGGCGACCGAAAATTCAGGATCGAACATGCCCAAATTATTGTTAGTGGTCCCCCCCAATCTATAAATCCTAGTTTCAAAAAAAACTAACAGACTTTCCATCATAAAGCACCCAGAAGACCAAATCAGACGTATTGATATCTGCAACAAGGCGGGCGTTACACTCGAAAGCTGCATAATCCCTTCAATCCAACCAACCCACGCAACATCCGACATGGCATACGCTCTCTCCCGTCTCGGTCCAAAACGTTTGAAAGAATCGGCATATAGAATGCAATCCCTCTTCCCTAAACCAGAAATTGGAGAACCTTTCCCGCCATATCCAGTCCTTGGCTCCGATTTCCCCGTCGAACCACCTTCTCCGATCGAGGGGATGTATGCTGCCGTTACTAGATGTAGTCCTAGACATGAAGATTGCGAAAGAGATGCCGTTTGGGATAGTGAGAAGCTTGATAGACTACAGGCGGTTCAAGGGTTTGGGAGGAATGTGGGGTGGGGGATGCTGGAGGGGTGGAGACAGATAGGGCAGTTGGGCGGTTGGGCTGATTGGGTCGTTCTTGATAACAGCTTGTTCGACAAAAAAGTGAATTTGAGGAAGGTGAAGGTTAAGGAGACGTGGATTGGTGGGAAGAGAGTGTTTAAAAGAGAGTCTGAGGAGAAACAAGAGGAAGAGAAGAAGCAGGAGAAACCGGCGTTTGAGGGTATTAAAGCACAGACGTAGAATATCCATAGATCTATTGATCTCCTCAACTAAGAAATATAGATTGAAGAATAGAAAGACATTAGCTAGATCTCAAAATATAATAATCTTAGGTATACTAGTTTATTAGCCACAGGAAGTAATAAAGGAGTAACTTGAGATGGCCCAGGAGGTAATACATACTATATATAAACTCGAGGGCCCCGCATTAAATTGCGTTTAAAAGTTCTAGATATCCAGACGATTGATGCTCTCACTGTTTCACCAGATCTTATCTCAATATCCCACCACAACCACAGAAAATAAAATCTGAATACCATTTACACCACCATCTTGCACACTAACACACTTCAACATTGCACAACTACACCATCAACAACCATCACTGTGCAATCCTCTAAAATACTGTCCAAACCCGACGTCACATCACAAACTTACCCTCCAAAAGTTTCCCTCGCAAGACATTCTCACAAGTATTTAAATAACGACATTCTGATACTAACCCAATACATCCCTCCGCAACTCCTCATTTATCTAATCACACATATGTACGTTATCAAATCTCTCTCATAATATTATTCTACGACAAAATCTCAAACATAAATATCAATAATCTCAAAAACAATTTAAAAGTCTCTAATGAGACATGAAGCTCAATATTAAAAAGCCAGCCAAAAAGATGGCTAAAAGGCTAGCGAAGAAGGTTCACAAGGTATTTAAAAGGGAGAAAGTAGCTCCCTCAACTGCTAACATCACTCCACTCACAGGAGGGGTTGGTGCAAATATTCTTATCTGTAGTACACCTCCTGTCACAAGCACTAGCCCTGTGAACCCCAATTTGTCAATTATACCACGAACTCCAAGAATAGCTTTCATGATGTCGAACCTTAATGGCCCTTCTAACGGAATTCAGGCTCCAAACGTGCTAATCAGTGCTCCAGCTGTAGACCCAACTTCCCAAACCTCACCACAAGGTCTAATAGTTGCCCAAAATACACATAACGAGGTACAGCTCCCTCCCCTACGAGGCTCCAACGCAAAGTCTACAGTGTTCACAGCCTACGAGCTCCTCGAAAACATCTTAAAATACACAGCACCACAAGAACTACACCTCCTCCGCAGAGTAACAACCGCACTCGACGAAGTGATCAAATCATCAATAGTGATCAAGTACATCACATTCAAACTAGCACGAATCCCCCGTAGTCTACAAGAAGAACCACAATTCCTAAAATATCACATAGGACCTCAGACCTCAGAGGTACAACTTCACCCATTCGTGGATAGACTCGTACGTAAGTTATGGGAATTCGTATTAGCCTCAGATCCCGACGAAACATCCACTACAGCCGATCCTCTAGTTCAATGGTGCCTTAAGATCCCAGATGATGTGTATGTAACTAGACCACCAGTAAAGACCATGAGCCTCATGCTCAATGATCCCAATAACATCCGTCACATCGTTATCAAATCCCCAGTAGCTGGCGTCACACTTAGACACTTTATCCGTACCTTAGCTCGTCCGCTTATGAGAAGATACGAAGAATTGATCTCGTCAAACCAAAGAGCCAGGTTCCCATTGCCAGATATATGTGCGTCTATCAGGTTTAAATATCCAGTCTCGGGTGTGAGGAATATTAACAACCAGCGAAATGATGATAATATTGACTTGGTACAGTATCGACAGGACTATGGCGCATATTTTATCACTAGGAATCAAAATACTTACTGGTTTTGGAGTGCTAATGATGGAGAGGCTATTCCGGGGATGGGGGAGCTTCGACGTACGGTTTGGAATATGCCGATTCATGAACGGAGCAGAGAAGATGTTACTGTTATTTGGAGTCCGGTGCTTAAGTTGAGTTTTTGGAAGAGGGATCCTAGTAATAAGAAGAGTATGGTCAGTGCTGAACGTAGGGGTGCTGTTCATTTGACAGGGGGGTGGGATGTTAGATGGGGTAGGTAGATGGATTACGATATTTTTGGTAGGAGGAATCTGGGTGATATTATAAACATGATTGGTTTTTATCGATTTCTTGATTGTATATGATTACTAATATGGAAGGGTAGTTCTTAGGTTTCTAGTTATTTCGAATGCATATGGTTATCGATATCTATTACTAGCTTCATTAAGGAGATATTATTTTCTTTTGCCTCAGACTGTTTAAATTTATACCTGCAAGGAAGCAGCCAGACTTGATCAGATTTACATGCGATATGTGAGCTTTCCGCCTATCATAATACTAGCCTTAGGATAGCACTCGAACTCTAGTTTAGAAGCAATGAAATCATCTATTTTATTGAATCCGCATATGTGCCTCGTCCCGACGCCCACAGTAATTCTCAATTGATCCTTCTGCTATATATACAGCTATACTAACTTCCTGAACTCAAATAATGAAACCTCTCCATCAACCAAAATAATCTTCAAACTAACGCAATCATACTATCAACAAGATATCCCCGCCGGCACATTTATACACTTCGTACTCTTCTTCCCCCCCGTAATACCAACATTCGTCCACCTAAACCCCGTACAAGTACTCGTCCCACACTGCACCTGAACCCTAACCGCATCACTCGGCACACTCCCATAAACATTCTCCAGCACAAAATTCGTAATATTAACCCCATTCGTCGGCGAATTCTTCGTCCCGCCATAAGACTGATCGATAATAATCCCATAATCCACCACATCCGTAACATCCCCACCATTGATCCTAATATTCCTATAAGTAATATCCGACACGGAAGCTACAGCTCCAGAGACAGTTTTGATCCTAATAGCCTGCTGTGATTTCTCCACTACTATATTTTCAAATGTAACGTTTTTGACAACTGCGCCGTCTGCGATTGAACCGATCGATAATCCATGACTACCCGAACAAAAACTATTCGTCATAACTATATTCCTCCCGGTGTTAACATTCATACAATCGTCTTGATTGTATACTCTAACGTTAGTAATAAACACCCCATCCGCATTATTAACATTAAACCCATCGGTATTATGTCCACCAAGGGTATCACCATCCCTATCATCGATCAAGATGTTTTTGACAATAAGGTTGTTAACACGGTTTAGACTGAATGAGTTCTTTGGAGCGTTGAGGATGGTGATTCCGTCGATGATGGAGTCGTTTAGGTTGTTTGCTTTGAAGAATTTGGGTTTGGTTTTACCGCCGCCGCCGCCGAGGCCGTCCCACCAGAGGGCGCCTTGGCCGTCGAGGACGCTGCCTGGGTCGCCTTTGATTGTGATTTTGTTGCCGCTGATGGAGATGAAGGAGCCTTCCCATTCGGAGTAGCCGAAGGTGGTGCGGCCTTTGAAGATTACCTGTTTGTTGAACAGGTGTTATTAGCACCGAGTTTTTGGAAGTTTTGGAAAGTACTTAGGTATATTAAATTGGGTTTTAATGCTTACCGTAGTTCCTTCCTTTAGTTTTTCCAAATTCAATGTAACCCCAGAAGGTACCGCCATATCCGAAATGACGATGGTAGAGCAAGAAGTCTTCGACGCACTTGCAGATAAATGACCATCTGTCCCGCTGAAAGTACACGTAGTCGCTCTCTTTGCAAGTGCATCCTCAAGATTTGGAGCAGCAGTAGGTTCCGGAGCCGGAGCAGCCAGCGCGCTCGCAGCGCAAACCAGTAGGATCGTTAAAAATCTAGATAGAATAGCCATTTTTATTCTCGACCTTTTTTTAATACCACTTAAAACTAAATTTAAGGAGAATGATACGGTAAGTCGTATTAAGCTTTCGCCAACCTATGCCATGGAAATTCACGAGACCCAAGTGTCTATATTTATACAAACCAGTACTAGTATACTATGGTAAATTAATCTTCAAGCCACGGCATCAAGCACCGTCCAAAGATTCGAACCATGGCTCAACTGAACAACGGGCCACGGAACATATCTTAATTTTTGCGCTCTAATCCTTGTGATCCGCTTACGTCGCTGATGAAAGGGGTCCCCTGGATTATAATTACCCCGGATTTTTTCCACGAATAGGGGTGTGGCTTTTAGCCGGTCCGGAAAATTATATACCCCGCGTAACTAGTAATTGTGTTAACACAACTTTCTTTCATCTTAACATTGGCGATCTCATCCAGTATTTTTGGGGTTCAGTTAGAGATAAACTTTTTAAGCGGTCGTTCGGGCCGTTAAAGCCACTATAGTGGGTCTTTTTCTTCGAAGCGAGATTTCATTGTTATGTGTAGATGACGGGGTATATTTCTCTTTACAAGTCTAAAATCAGTCAGTTCTTCTAAATCAGTGTCATTCATTAAAATCTATTGTTCCGTACGAATACAATTTAAAATATCTCCCATATCAAGATACAATCTTTATCCTCAATCATTAACCCCATATCTACCCCCAACCCCACCATCAAACCCCTCAAGAAGCCTCTTCAACCTCCCAACATCCTCCCCAACAGCCCTATCCATCTCCATCTCCGTCACCCAACTCTCCGCCCTCTTCTCCCCAAACACATACTCATCAATACGATTCATCCTCCTCTCCGCCTCCCATTCCCTATTTATCACCAAAACCCTACAAAAGAACGCATGAATAGCGAATAACTCAGGTGAAGGCGACTCCCTCGTCCGACGTATTGTTATTTCCCTTCCGGGGGTTACTACATATTGTAGTTGACTTGTGACGTGAGGACTTAATATTTCGACTGTATAGGTGTCGTAGATAATAGTAGGTGTGAATAGTGATGGTGGTGAGGAGGTGGTTTGTTTGTGGTTTAACCAAAGTTCGAGGGATTGGAAGTAGCCGGAGACGATTAGGTCTATGGTGAGGAGATTTTGGGGGGAGTACCATTCTTGGATGTTTGAAGATAGGGATTTTAGTTTTGTGTGGAGGGGTGGTGAGTGTTTTTTTAGGATTTGGAGGATGGTGTCCTGGTTTTATTATATATGTCAGCCTCCCGATGTGTCCCCGGAAGTTAGTATCAATTGGTTGGGTTATATTAAATTACAGACATATTTAGCCCGTAATCCGTGTCCAGGTTTTGAAGTGAGCTTTTCGAACGGTATGATAGGTGCGATGGTACAAACTGATTTATAAGGTCGGGGGGAGAGACTAGATGTCCATCGGTCTTCTGTTATGATGTTATACTCTGTAGTATCAGGTCGACCGGTTATTAAACAGCATGCATTATCGCGAGCTAAGATCTAGAATATAGAGAATTGATATAATATAATAGGTAGTTAGCTTTTGAAAAAAAGGTTCCTAGATCCTGTCACTGGAGATATTGATTTAAGAGAGAATGTTACCGTTTCTTGGAGAGATTCAAGGGTTTTTTCGGTATGGCAAGGGGAGTTGGGGAGAATTCTTTCCGCCATGATATATAGCTACTCAAGTAGTTATGCGGTATCCTGGGGGAGGGGGTGATACACTTGTTCTAAACCGTTGTGAAGTTGCCGAGGTTGTCAGTGGTGACGATATCTGATATCTGATATATTCTGGGTATACGGTAGGAACAGCTAGTTCAGCGGTCAGAGCATATACTTAAGCCAATGTCTCGAGGTGTGAGTCTTGTATTGTTACCAAATTAAGAAGTTTATGGACGTGTATCCATGGCAAATGGGATATTATTATAATTGAGAGATCACCCGTTGATCTGTACTTATAGAAATGTTATAACGTATAAAGAGACTCCAAGAATAAAGTCGAGTACATTGATTAACTGCGCGGTGTAAACACTGCTTATTTGAATACAACGTTTGATCTCAAGTCCTTTCCACGTGATCAATCAGCGGTATGTATAAGAATAATTTAATCAATAGTGTGTCGACTCCTATAAACTCTATTCACACTTTATTAATGCTGATTTGCTTTCACAATAATATTATATCTCTATGATCTCTATCAGAGGCATTTATTATTCTCAATGTCATTCCTGATCCTGGTTGTAGTGTTCGTCTGACCCTTTTTCGGAAGGATCACCATGCATTCTCATCAGCAGGAAATATTTCATCCTCAGAATCCGCCACCCAGCTGTCCGAAGACTCTACATCTTCTTCAACAGCTGAATATTTATTCGAATCCTCGCCACCAAGTTCATCATGTTTCGTCGGATCAGCGCAGAAATGACCGAGCCTGACAAACGACCCATTCACAAAAGCCCGTCTCCGACAGAATACCTCTATATTCTCCAACTTCCTAAACCACGGCAGGCTTTTATCCAAAGTCTCCAGATTCTCATCAAACCATAATCCACAACAATAATTATCCCAATCCCAGGGCCGCGATATTCCAGGAATATGTTTTTTGACTGACTTAACGAACGCCTCTTCAATGGCCTGCTGAACACGATGCCGGTGGGCCTCTTCAATGACCCACTGATTAAAATCCTGGGGGTTTTCACCGTACTTCAGGTCTCGGACCGTATACTCCCATTGACCGGGGAGTTCCCCTTGATCTTCTTCAGATACGCAAGAATTAAAGGCTTGCATTACCCATCTTTTTATGAAAAGTCCTGAATCAAATAAAAGAAGTTTATTCTTCACTTCACCCAGGTTTAAACTCTTTATCCTGGTCGTATAGCATAACAGTAGTGGGAGTAGCGCTTCGGAATTAACGCCGGATATGATCGCGTCTCGTGTACCATCCGCTAAGCACCAAAATAAACAAGTATCTCCAATCGCCTTTTTTTCAACATCCGTCCATTGCCAATACTTCGTCAAGCTCTTCCTTAGCTCTGCCTCCCTGCGCCGCCAACGGACCGAGATTCTGGATATCTTTCCGCCGAGTGTGTTATCGGCGAGGATAGATCTTATAAGCTTCCATGCTGTCTGGTTCGGTGCATCGATGTAGAATTTGATGTTGAGATTTGTGACTAGCTTTCCGATGGTGTTGAAGCGCTTGCAGGTGCGTTTGGCACGAGATAGGTCTTGGAGATGTAGATTGTAGAAAATTTGGAGGAGGATTTCGTTAGGGATTAAAATTGTGATGAGGGAGAGCATGATGCAGGACCTGCGACAGCTCCTGGGGCGTCTGTGGTGTTTTAAAGGAGGCTGGTTTGGTAATTAGTTATACCGTCAATGCTTTTTTACGGCTGATATCATCTCGATGCCTAGATTGCACCGGTTCGTATCGCCGGTGCGATCTGATTGTGATAGAACGTAAGATGATTGGAGAAGGAAGAGAGGCCGGAGGAATCCTGTAATATATAGATACTTAGAGATCAACAGGAGATCTCTAACAGATAGAGCTGTTAATCCTTGTGCGTTTCCTTCACCCGCGAGCTATGCATTTCAGCCAAGCCTAATTGTGTTGACAAGCCCCTCCTTCGCCTTAGTCTGGTGGACTTCGCCTCGACCATGAGCCTGGCCTGGCCAATACTAGGCCACTAGGATCCAGGATCTTTTGATCTTGACCGAGTTTCTTATACGACGCCCTGGCTTGTTATGTAGCCATGGAATTAGCTGTCGATAGCGCGAAGTAGAGTATATAGTATAATCCTTCACGTGTTGACCCTCCGCCTCGAGCGCCTGGATTCGAGGCTAGTGTTGACCCGCGTTACATCTCTACATACAAGGACTTGTGCAACAACAAATAGCTTGCATTGATGCTGCTCTTCCTCACCGACTTAACTTAGACATCAACATCGATACATCTCCAACTCCTACTCAGTATTCCTATCATCGGTAACTATCGTTTCAAAGTTCAATATGGCCGGATTAATGGATCTTCCCAATGAGATTATATATCTTATCCTCAGTTACATAATCGTATGTCCAATCGCAGCTGCAGCCCCCTCGTTCTCGTTCTTAGTACCCACGAGACGTCCAGATGAACCCAACATATGTATCTTCCAACTTCGTCAAGTAAACCACCGTTTCAACTCTCACATATCTCGACTTTTCTTCGAAAACATTACCATCCCTTACGAAGCTTACAGCTCTTTCCCTACTTTTTTAAAATCCGCGATTTTTAGTCCTGAAAATGAGAATGTCGGGTATATTAAACGGTTGTCGATTAAGCCGTTTATATTGGATAGCGAATCTCGATGTCGGTATTTGAATAGTTTGGGTTCACTTGTGAAGGATCTGGATGTTGCGAGGGAGGAGTTTAAAGCGGATATGAAGAAGGATATCGCGGGTTTGATTGGAAGGTTACGGCCAAATCAACTGGTGGGATTCGAGTAAGTCCCCGATCATAATCCTCCCCTCTCAAATTATTCTATCGAAAGGGATGGAACTGATCAAATAAAATCATTTCCGATAATAAAGATGCGCAATTCACGGATTGGTAGATTATCAAGCTCTTATTGATACCCAGAGATCACTTCAGCAGCTACTCGTCAACCCAGTCGAACTAGTCCCACATATTCTCGATAACCCCAATTTCTTTCTGCCATGCCTCCAAAATCTCCATCTGGAAGGCTTCCGCCCATCCCACGAAACTCAGTACCAACTCCTCGCTAGAACTATCATCCAGCCGTACGCCAGCAAGTTACGAGTCTTGAGTATAGACATGACCGAGGATACCAGAGACGGAAGCCCTTCTACCTACCATTCCGAGGCCATACTCGAAACCTGCAAAAGTCGGCTCAAGGCAACTCTAGGAGCCGATATCCTAGACCCACAGGTTATACCCCTCGAATTCACACAACTGGAAGAACTAAGTATCCAAGGTTCTCACAATTCCCACCCGATCCCCGTTTTTGAAGGATTACTCCCTATCACCTCCCTAGGACGGCTAACGATCAAAAATTGCACCCAATTGAACGACGTATACCGCCTCTTACCAACCGCGTTTCCGAGGATAAATCACCTGCACATCGAAGGGTCTCTAACCATGAGAAGGGTGACCAGGATCCTAGAACATTTCCCTCGGCTTTCCCACTTCCATTTGTCTCACATCCCAAAATCCAGCGCCGATTCATCGTTTTTTAACAGACTCGCTTTATGGCATCACAGATGTAGTCTGCAAAGTATCTGGCTAGGGGCCGGTCATATTTCGAGTCAAAAAGTCATAACTAGGAATACAAGGCCCAGAAGGTTGCATGTGAATGATATAGGAAGGCATCTTCGTAGATTTGTAGAGATAGCTGTGGAAGTTCGACTAGATGAGGTTAGTATCCAAATAATAAATACCTCCAGTGTTTCTTTTACTACCGAATCGCTGACTGTGCTTTTGATTTTTAGTTGTTTTTGGGAAATAATATACCGAATTGGCCGAGACTGCCAAATTTGGAGCTTCTGAGGGTTTTAGGATCAGATACCGAACCAGAATCTGAATCCGATACCCCACCGGAGCCACCAATGCACCCGTCCGATGCGATAAAAATACTCTGGACCCAACGGTTAGAACAAACGTTTTGTAAAATTACCAATTTCCCGGGAGAGTTCTGGCTCATCCACGGAATGTACAAGAAACCAGTTTATAGCGGTCCGACGGGTCCACGGGTGGAGATTTTCAAATCATGGATAGGGGAGGGTGGGGAGGTTGTTATAAAGGAAATGAGCTTTCGGGATGCTAGGAGGAGGTTTCCTAGGAGCTTGATATTGGGGACTGAGAGGGATCAGGCGATGTGGGAGGGGCCGGTGCGGGGTTGAAGTTTGTATTTATATTGATTGGAGGACCCGCGTGGTACGGTACCATAGCTGAGGTCGACGTTCTTATCGCGTCGCTGCTTGGCCATGGGATGAGAGCTACATATTTCTTGGCATCTACATATCCAACACTTCACCCATACATACTCGAATTGATCAATTTGTATCATCTTCGCTCATCAAACGCAGGATTTAACCATACGTATAAGTTTCGTCATCTTTTTTCTCATTTTTTGTTTTGTCTGACAAAAGATCCATCAGCCTGCATTGCTGTGCCGCATCTTTGCACTCGCAACCCTGTATACAACACGAGAAACCCGTATTCGACTTGAATTTTTCCGGTCAAGTTGACGTACTCAAGTCTAGCTGGATTGAACAACCAAGTCTCTTCCTTGTTATCTCTTAACAGCTTTATGATATTCCGTAAATATTGAAATTCTTTTAGTAATATATCATTAACCCATCATAATAAATACACTCTATAAAATAAAAAATAAAAAACGCTAAAAATACAAAAGAAACTCCACCCAAATCATACAATTGCTCACGGTAACTCATAAAACGACTTCTTCGACTTCACCGACCTCCCACCCCCCATCTCCACCCTCCCTCTATGATTAACCGGTAACTCATAAACACACCTACTATCAAGTTCATGTTCAAACGGTTTCGTAGCATCCATCTCCTGTATCCCCTCATTTTGCCCCCCCATCCCCTTCTCACCACCACCACCACGTGCACTACCATCAAAACTCCATCTTTTCGAAAATATAGATTTTATAGATCTATTATACCTCCTTTGAGCTCTATACACGCTCACCAAAACCCCAACACAAAAGATAGTAAAAGCACCGATCACAGCCGGTGCTATAACCCTCGCTTCCAATGCCCTTTGTACCTTCTGAGAAGGCGGTAAACACTCCACGGGTAAAAACCTCCTTATCAACCGATTCTCCTGTCGTACTAACATACTAGAAGAAGTATTTATAGGAGCTAACCCGAATTTTAGAGTATCGTAGTTTGCCATGAAGTATGCTGATGTTAAAAAGGGAATTCCGAAGGTTGGGATTTGTGAAGAACTGGAGGATTTGGGAGGGTAGGTTATTATGGCGGTTCTGTAGTCGTAGTCTATGGTGCCGTTTTCTATACCCCAGGTTTCTATTATGTTTTGAGGGGAGAAGTAGCGACGACGTTGGAAGATTTGGGTGGAGGGGATTGTGAGGCGGAGACCGTTGGAGAGGTGGATTGTCATTGAGAGGTCGGTGGTACTATATATTATATACTTATATTAGCATATATAGTATATTATAAGATAAAAGAAGATATAAGATAAGATAAAAGATACATACCCAGTATTAGTAACCCCCCAATCCACAACCTCCTGAAATCCAAAATAATCCAATCCATCCTGATCAACCGGTAATATCGGATTAACATTCCTAACAAGTCCTTTATCCATTCTATCCGGTATCTCCTCAAAACTGGGGTACCCGCCCACTCCGGCATCGTAACTAGAATTCATCATTTTCTCCCAGATGTAGTATGGAAATTCGAATTGAGTACTTCCGGGGTTGATACAGGCTTTGAACGGTTTTCTACCTTCGATGGTGGCGTTTATGGCTTTTTGTCCTAGCCAGTTTATTTGTGAGATTTCTATTGGGAAGGGACAGTTTGTTTCTTTTATAGAATCCGACGATGATGATGATGATGATGATGAAGACGACGAGGAGGAGACGTTCATAGGAAACTCCACGAATCTAGAATTATTCCCAATCAACCCGGCATCATACCCACCAATAACCAAAACCCCATGTTTAATCATCCCAATCTGTCTCTCCGTCCCCACCCAACCCGGAAAAAAAGACCAAGCTCTAGTAAGAATCATTCCATCATCTAACAACCTTTCTAGTAGTTTAGATCCGACACCGAGTCCTATATACGACGACACCAAACTACCGACTCCCCGGGTTTTGGGTGATAATTGGTTTTTATTCGCTTGAAAAGTGAAGTTTTGAATGTTCCTACCGCCGAGGGAGAGGGTTTCTGTTGTTGGAAAGTCGTTGTTATCGCTGTTGTCATTGGAGGTGGAAATGGTCGAGGTATTTGAAACTCCTTCTTTCTCTTGGAGTTTATGAGAACTATACACTCCACCCGCCAGTATCTCGGTGTTTATATCATACGAAGCGTCTAACCCACAATCCTTTGGGTTGGTGATATTACACTTCAAACGGACTTCGGAGACTTTGATCTCTGGTGATTCTAGGACTCTATTCCCCCACCCCTCTATCATTAATATACCATTCAATTGAATATATAATTATAAGGAAGGGGGGAGGGGTGTATGGACATACTCAATCCTAGGCGTAAACCTCTCACCACCCAAATACATCTGTAATCCGTACCCCACGGGTGCTGGCGGTATATTGGGTCTTCCGGTGGGTCCTAGTGGTAAAAACGAGAATTTTATGACTATGGGCCAGGGGAGGTTTTGGTTTTTGCATTGTGGGAGGTTTATTGTGGAAGTGGTGTTTGTTGTGAAAAATACTAGGATAATTGCTATAATCGTGCTAGAAGTGGAGGAGAGTAAAGCACCCATGTTGGAATTTGCATTTCCCTTTTCTTTCTAAAAAAAATAAATAAAAAATAGTTGATGTATCGATAGAAGGTGGATGGAGATATCGGAGGGAGTTCACGGAGTGTTATATTATAATAAATCATCTTTGTGGGTTATGCATGCTGCTACATGAGGGATCTAGTACGGTAAGATACGACTTCGAGGTTCAATGGAAATATGGTAGAGAAGAACTGTGCCGCATCCAACCCCACCATATTACGTAGGCCCTCCACTCGCTCAATCACAGCCACTGGAAAGATCCTTAACAGAGAGAGAAAGAAAAGTAGCTATAGAAGTAGTAGGTAGGTAGTGTCAACAGTGGATCCGAGCGCCAATTAACCATATATGGGACCATCGTATTGTGTTAATATCAGTGCAGGTAGTTGCGGCGCATGTTACGTTAAATAACCGGGACCAATCAAATAATACTCCCGCCGAGCCAGGTTGTCGAAATCAATGCTTTGGAAAGTGAGAAACTTTGGGAATCGGAAAGATAAAGACTAAAAAAAAGGAATTAATATTTTCGTAGACGCCTTGGGGGGGTCCTCGGTGCCGCGTTAGTGCATGCAAGACCTTTTTCCTTGTGTTTGTCTTCCTTGTATGTATGAATGCAATGATGAAAAAAAAGGCTATAGTAAATGAGCAATATAGCTATCTTTGCGATCTTGAACTTTTCTTGGCTTTCGGAATAATTGGAGAAGAAAAATCCTATTGTTTCTGCGGGAAGGGGACCGGAGGTAGAGATAGCGGCTGGAGCGGTATAATCCCATTGTCCTGGCTGACAGTCCTTTCTCTTTTTTTTTCAACAGCAGTTTTTTTAGTAGATGTATTAATATTCCGTCTTTTGGAGCTGCAGGCGCGCGGCACGACTATGCTCTGCCCTGTTTTTTTCATTCGTATCGTGGAGGTAGGACTGGCCGAAAATAGTGTGTTCTTGTGTATACCCGGAACACTGTCGGTGAGCAAACAATCAAAAACATGCTTCGCCTACGCCCTGACCAACGTTCAACCACCGGGGTTTCCTACTATACATACACCTTGTCAGATATTTTAAGAGATTCAGAAACCTTGAGTCTTAAAGCCTCGTACAGTTTTTTTTAAAAAAAGGGTAAGCTTAGCCTCCGCCTGCAGAATTCCAAATCGTCCCGTGCATGTCGGTGAATCTGCGGCTCAGCTTGGTCGTGTTGTTGACTAAGCTCACAACACCCAGATACGGGATCAGAATCGAGGAATTCATGCGATAGAATAATAACTCGCGAAAACAAAGTGATTGTTTCAAATACCCTTTCGTGCTGACATGACATCTGTAGGATCTCCATGTTATCCTTCTAATTAATATAATCCAACTGGTGTCCAATGCAAAGCGGGCTGACCGTCGGCATCTCCAACACATTTGACTGTCCCTCATGTTGTTCTGGAATCGGATGTCCGCATGACAACACGATCGATCGAATGCTATGAGATATATTATCCCTATAAAGTATCTGCCTTGGATGATATCGTGATGAGGAGTTTTTTTTATTTGGAATGTGATAGGGTTGGTTGTGGATTATGGATATCGCCAAGTTTGGAGGGTTCACATTTCGAAATGGGTTTAATCGTGATAGTCTTTTTGTAGGATTCGTTGGAATGTGATGGATCTTTGGATATCGATCGCATCGATTGGTTCGGTCGGTCGGTCGGGTTCGGTGATATATGTCCTGTTAGAACTATCAATTACTACTACTGGTTAAAGCTCAGAACTACTAACTATAACTTCAATTTATACCGACATCTATAATCGAATTAGTAATTCGGTAGGAATATTACTCATGCTCATCTCATACCAACAATCGAGATCGAGTATATCAATATTATATTACGTATCGCACATTCCTTCTTGGCGCTGGTCCCTAATGTCAGTCGGTATCAGTGTTCAGCCAGTAACAATGCATCTTGAACATAGTCATGTCAGTTCAACCTCACGTTCGCTACAATATCAATAAGTTCCGATCGCTAACTAACATGGAAAAATGAAAAAAAAAAATAAAAGCGTGATCATGGTCGCATTGAATAAATGTCGCGCATTGAACCAACTGTTTGATCTGTCTGTCTGTCCCCCGGTCGGAGTGGAGCACTCGAGCCGGACAAGGCTTGGAAATCTGTACGTAATCGCTCGTTTGAAACCACCAGGTATTAATTCAGCAATGATGGCGAATATCCACGCAATTGGTTAATGCGGTCCTGCGATCCTCCTTTTGCATATACTAAATACTTAGTTTCAGAAGTAAGTAAGTTTACAATATAATGCAGATTCGCACTAGCTTTATTCATTCTCTACAGCTCCGAAATTCAAGCCAAAGCTAAGGGTCTGATCATGATCAAGCTACCCCGGACCGATACAACCTTGGCAACTATCAAAACCCTCGCCAATCCAATACATATCGTGATTCAAAGATGATTTAGACAAAAAAAGTTAAAAGGATCACCCGACCACTTCGCCAAAAATTGAAGCATGAATGAACCATCAATTCAGCCTATTATATAGTTAGTAGTTCAAATCTCGACTCCAAAGAAGATTTTAAAGTATCTCAAACCAATCACCACTTCTTACTTCCATCCCCTTGTAAAACCTCCTGCAGGGGTTCCTGCCTTGCCAGCGAAAATGCAATGCAATGTACTTCCACCTGATATTATCATCTCTCTCTCAAACAAAAAGACATATGTATCAAAAGAATGCCAAAACAGAAAACAAAAAATAAAAAAATAAAAAAATGCAGCTTCGTCTAATCGGTCGGATAGGCGAGCTCAAAGCAGCCGGCAAGGCAAGGGGGTGTGCACAAGCGAGATACTCAAAAATCCTGTACTATGTATGTAATGTTGGTTCGTTTCGGTACCACTCGGATCGAGCTGCCAGGCCCGGAACCAGCATAGCGGACACATGTATGCATGAAATTTTAGGTTTTTTTTTTTTTTCTTTCTTTCTTGTACTGTGCATTTAAAGACAAATGTATGTAGGTTGGGAAGAGAGAGAAAAAAAAGGAAAATGTGGATCATGAGGTATGCGTATGGTATGGTACATGTATATGGGTATGGATATGAATATCGGACAAGGGAGAGAGCTAACTAGCTAGCTAGCTGCAGCGGAGGGTGCGCCGCGAAGAGCAAAAAAAAAAAGAAACAGGGAGGAGCCCATGTTTCAAACCGTTTAGCTACATTAAAGCTTCTGAGTTACATATGTAAGTAATCTGACGGGTTTGTTTTTTGTCGCATCGGAGTCGAATGGTTTGAGGGAAAGAGAAGCTTGTGCTTTCCGATTAGAGAGAATTGATTATTGTTCAGTTTGATATCGGAGGATTTTGCTATACCATACTATACTTAGGATCATACTTCTTTTTGCGAAAGATGACCTGGCATTGCAGGGACGATATTAATAAATAACTATCTTGGATCGATCAGATTATTTCAATTCAGAGGTTTTCTCCTTTTTAAATTTTGCCTCGAGTTCACAGGACAAGCTTGAAACCGAAACTATAACTGCCAGCAAAGCAAGCAACCAGCTTCAAGCTATCTGTCTGATCTTTAGTCTTTAATTCTCCTCGTTTCTTTTTTAGCTCGAGCAAGGCAAGCAGCAATCGCAAGCAAGGGCAAGCTGGCTTAAACCAGACAAGCTAACTACAACTTAGCTCGAGCAGACCATCGAATAAATAAATAAATATAACAAATATCCCACCTGCCATTTCCTTTTTATTCGTTCGGTCGGGGGAAAACCATCGTCCCATCGTCCCATCTTTTTTTATTTTTACTCCGCGCTGCAACTGCACTGCACTGACCCCCTCCTTTCTTTTCCTTTCTTTCCTTCCTGCCGGTCGTTACATACAATTCACATTACATATCCGCATACAATTTCGCACCTCATCGCATCGGTCGGTAGATACATCTACATGAAAGATTAGCATATACATATACAATGGCACGATTTACCATGGAACCGTATACGCCCCCCAAAGCGGCGGTAGTACTTACAAAACCACATCTCTCAAAGATGGAAAAACTGGAGGAGAAAGCGATTAATGCCGTTCGGAGAATCAAACGAATCCGCATCGCCACTTCTTCTTCATCGTCATCGTCTTCGGCTTCGGCTTCATCAATTACAAACGCCAATGTTTCCGCCAAGAAATCCACCCTCCAAAATCCCACATCTTCAACACACTCTCCCTCATCTCCATCCCGCAGTCGCGACATCTTCCTGAAATCCCCAAATCATCTTAGAAATCTAGTCCACCGTCGTCAAAAATCCTCTTCCTCTACTTCCTCATCATCTTCCTCCTCATCATCATCATCAAATAGTTCACAAACCCCAAATAACACAGCAGCGCACAAAGTCCTCTTCGTCCCCGAACTCCTAGAAGTAATCCTAACCTACGTCCCATCCCTCCAAGTCCTCACCAGCATCCGTCAAGTCCACCCTTTCTTCAAAGACCTAGTCCACACCTCCCCGGTACTAGCCTGGCAAACCTGGACTTCAAAATCTTCAACTCCTCCCCGTAGAATCCATCATACAACCCCATCCACCCCCGGTCTAGGTCTCTACACCATCAGTAACTCCATCGATAAACCATCAACATCACACCCACGTACCCCATCCTCCACTTCCCCACGTACAATCTCCCCGAACGGCAGTAGTATCAGTAGTAGTAGAACCCGCGATCTCGAAATCTGCACCCTCCTCCTCCCCATCCTCTCAAAATGGTGGAAAACCATCGCGCGAAACACCACAAACTATCGATTCTTCCAAGTAGATTCCTGCGTCTACAACCGATTCTTCCCACCCGACCTCCTAAAATCCATAAATTTCACCAGACCGGCCATTCACGTCGATGATCTGATTTTATCGTTCACGAGTACTTATGCTTTTTTATCGTACGGTTGTACGCATAATATTACCTTGGAGGATCAAAACCGAGATCGGGAGCATAATAATCCTGCCTCTAACTCGACTTCAACGACTCCATCCGATATCGACGACGATGACGTTCTACCGCCGTGTAATGGTAGTAATAACAATAACAACCAAACAAACTGTTCGGAAGAGATGATACTACAACAACAACAAGACATGAGCGTCACGATCGAAAAGTTGTTAAGAATGATGTGGATCCCACTATCCGAGACATTAAGAAGAAGTAGGGATGAGAAGTTTTTGAAATTAAGTGGGTTGAAGTATACGAGGACCATGACGGTGACGGTTAAAGCTAGAGATGTGGATTATTCTAATGGTAATGGAGGGAGAGGAGAGGAAAGAGGGGTTGTGGAGTTACATTTAGAGTGTATGGAGCCTTATGATGTTAGTATTGAGCGGTTGTTTTGATTCCTTTTTTTTCTTTTCTTTTTATATTTTTGTTTCGATCTCCATGGGAGCTTTGAATTCACGACGTTATGAATATTTGATAGAAAGTCCATCGACTTCGTGGACTTGGGACGGTTTGGGTTTAAAGTCCGCGTGGACCGGTTTTGCATTTTATTACTAAGTCCACCAGAACGGGTTTGGACTTATAAAAGGTCTTAAACCGCTCCAAACCGTTCCCATCTTTTAGACTAATTAAAGCTCGATTAAATTAAATGTTAATTAATTATAATATAGATATTCTAGATCTAACTTTCTTATTATCTTTGGAATGATTCCATGGCTTGAAGTATTGTATTAAATTCGAAGGTGCATGTGCTTTTTTGGTATTAGGTGGAATTCAGCTATTTTACTTGCTATATACGTATTTGGCAAAAAGGATTCGACGGTCGTGAGACGGTCAGGAAGAACTTGCAATTGATGGGGCGCTTAGAATTAGTCTCGTATTGCAGCTTAGAATAAGGATTAGGTTTTGGCTATGGGAGTTGCAGAGCCATTTAATTATGCATGGCGTTGACCGTAGCGACGTGTGTATACCATGTATATATTACTAAAACAGTACTGGTAGAGTTTATTGTCTTCTTATGTATCGTCTTTTTATATCACCCTCTTGAGCTTTTGCCTAACCGCGTACTTGGCAGTTGGGCATTCTTTTCCTTGGGAAACTACCTAGTACGTATAAATTATGGACACCGGGCATCGGGCTGTGGCGTCAAAACGACAACAACCTGCAGTCACTTCGATTCATACAATTGCTCATCGCCCTAGCTCACGTCCGTGCTGAAACTTTCCCCCAGAATTAGTCAAACATTTGTTTCCTTTCTTCCTTCTTCACTGGCAATGCCGAGAGCACACAGTTTTTAAATTATTGAGCAAAGGAAGGCATAACGGTTTAACTCAATATTTTTGAGCATAAGAAGTCGATAATAACCCTCTGTGCAGTGCATTCGATTCACCAGTTCGTATATATAAATAAATATGAAGGGCTGGCCTGGTTAAAAACCTCAAATTACGCATCATGATCACAACTGCACTTTTGACAGGATTCAATCTGTAAATCCTATTATATATTTTACCACATTCATTGCATCGGCTCCTCCTATATATCACTTCATACATTCCTAGGCTAACCTCTGGGATAATAAATTTAAAGGTTTGCTGGCTTCTTTTTCGCCATGCATGGATTTGATAGGGCTATATACCAAAAAAAATCTAATAACCCCCCAAAATCCTGTTCCAAGAAATGAAACAATCATAAATTCATAAGATCGTGGGCATGGTTATACATGAACATCATAAAAACGGGAACACCCCGTTACGTCACATTAAGAAATAAAAACATAAAACAAAAAGAATCCCCCGTTGCTTCGATGTAAATGCAAAATGACGAGAATGGATTTCTCCAAACCCAATGCATTCTGGTATATATGTATATACCGGTCAAAAAGGATTCAAAAGATTTTAAATTTTAAAATCATAAATCAGACGGCACGACGCCGTCTACGGTATCCACCATCGTTCCCGGACTTACCGCCCTTCTCTGGGACGCGGATATAGACAGTCTTAGCAGGGGCTTGTTGGGTGACAGTACTAGTGCAAGTCGTGGTGTATGTCTTGGTGACTGTCGACGTCGCGGCCGGGCGGGGGCCTCCACCTGGGATGGTGGTTAGAATATTCCCGGGGCTCACTATCGGCAAGTTGTTAGTATGCATCGACAAAACATAATACGAGAATATATATATATATATATAGATACGAAGATTTAATTTCTTACAAGGTAACTTCTTCTTGCACTCGTCAAACCAGGTTCGGAAAACCGATAGATTTGTATCCCAGTACTTATTGCACTGTGCGTCGCATGCAGCCGCGTTCTTGAGGAAGAAATCAGGCTCTCAGCAGGAGACGGTAGATGCACCGATGACGGCGGCCCAGGCAGTAGCGGAGATCTTCATTTTTGAATTGAAATGAGAAAAGAATGTGTCTTTTAAAAAGGTTTGAAGAAAGCGTGTGGCAAAAGAGTTATGTTCAAATTCAAAAAAATGAATGTGGGATGATTGTAGAAATCAGTGGATGGAGACAGCGAAGTGAATGGCTGATGCTGATGCTGATGAGAAATAAAGAATAGAAGGGGATAGGAGAGTATTTATACCTTTTCGTTCCCTCTTCCTCTCCCTCCAGGCCTGCTATCATTCCACCAACTGCAAACTCCGCCAGCTAGAACATGATCCAATGTCCAGCTAACCATACAAGTATACACAAGCCGATAAGCCGCCACCGAATCGCGATCGACGTCCGCTGGTTCCGTAGAGCCCCACATACAAAGCACCGTATTGGATTTGCCTTTCGCATTCGGAAAGCTCCCTCGGTTTTCATCTATCAAAGGCGAATAACTGAAGACCTAACAAATGCCAAGATCTTATAACTTAGAAATATCCCTTACAGTCCTCTGCTGGATCCGGGTTTTTTTGGTCTTCTAGACTTTGTAAGGAGGCCACGGTTGTGAAGCCTCCTCACGGTCGAAAAGATCAGTTTCTAACCTCGCTGAGGGTATGGTGGCACGCATTCTGAGTCGCCGCTTCCGGTGATGATGATGATACGTGAAATGGGCATTACCACTGACTGATTAATTGTGTACCTGACAACGTTGTAAGGACACGCACGTGTGTAGGATTTTTTGTATTGTCGTCACAATTAATGCTAAAGCGCGCAGTATATGCACATGAATTTGTATTAATATTAAGACGGCAATTTGGAAACCTCCATCTTCCTTATAGCTTTAAGGCTCTCTAAATGAGTTTGAATAAAAGGAATAGAAATAAAAGGCCGGGGATAAAGAGCATTTCAGTTCCTGGGCGTATAGCAAAAGCCGAGGAAGCTTTAGCTAGGACTCGTTGAGGCCGATTGCAAAGAACTCGAGCTGCCGGTTGCCGTGTAGGGAGAGCTTGGGCCAAATGACAAAGCTGGTCTAGTGGGGGGTAACACCCCCATCAACCCCCCGACCGCCAAGCTTAGTCATCACACAAGCGAAAACCACCAAACTGACGCCATAACAACCAATTTAAACCCACCATCCACCCAATCTCTCACCAACCATGTCACAATCACCACTATCGCAATCGTTATCATCCACCTTCTCAAACCTCACCCTCCAAGACCACCACCATCGCCACGTTTTGACAACCACCAGCAATCCAAACAATAACCCACTACTAATCCCCGAACTCCTAGAAATAATCCTAACCTCCATCCCGCAATTAGAAGTCCTAACGACCTGTCGATCGATTTGTACCCTCTGGCGGGATATAATCGATACATCACCATTACTCAAATACACCACATGGAGGACCGAAACCATCCCCGGTCGTCGCACACAAGACGCTTTAAAGATCACAGCTAGGAATTATAAAAGAAACCCAATAGTTCTTGAAATACTTTCTAGTTTTTGGAGTAGATTGAACAGTCTACCTCCACAGAATATAACTCCGTCTGAAGCCGAATTATACGAAGACCACGACGATGATATCAATCTAGAATCTAAAAAGAAGAAAAAGAAAAAGAAGAAGGATCCCCCCAAAATAAACCCAACAACCTTCCTCTCCCGCTATCACAAAATCTGCAACACCCAAATCTTCTCCAACTCCCCGCCATTAGACATCTCAATCCGCATCACCCTTCAAAAATACACTACAAAACACATAATAGCCCGTTCGTACCGTTCCATCTCAACGGATATAGGTACAGGGTGGATTACAGATTTATCCGTGATTTTGAATCTGATGGAGGAGATTATACAGTTGTGGAATGAAGGGGTTTATGTGGAGGGGAAGAGGAATAGTTTACAGGCGGAGATTGGGTGGTGTGTTTTTTTGTATGGTGATGATGAAAAGGGGGGGAAGAGGAGGGAGTGTGAGGTTTCGCAGAAGGTGGATTTTGAGTGTGTGAAGCCCTGGGGGGTGGGGATTTTTGAGGGGAGGGTGAGGGCTGTTGGGTAGTATTTCTATCTATACATCTACCTATCTATCTATCGATATATCGAGATGTTAGTATGGGGTGTATGGCGATGGGAATATGGGTGTTAGAAGTATTGTATTATATTCGTTTACTATAAAGGGATAATAATATATGTCACAAGAAGTCTATACATGCACACATTAGGTAGATACATACACCCCCAGAACTCCATGATCTTAAATCAAATAAAATCCAAACAAAAGAATCCCGTTCCCGCCAGAAATCTTCAAAATAGTCGCCGACCAAAAAAAAAAAAAAGGTCGAAAAATAAGTCTTCCTTCACATCCCAAAATCCAAATCCACCCCCCTCCTCTTCATATCCCTCACCACCCTCCTCATATTCCTCGCCCGCCTACAAACCCCCCAACTATCATACCCACTCCCATCAATCCACTCCGTCAACCTCTCCAAAACCTCCGGTGCCATCCCCCTATTCGCCTTCTGAAACATCGTCTCAAACGGATGCATAGTAGTATTATAATACCTATTATTCAACAAAATATCCCCATGTTTGCAGGTATTCGCATAATCCTTCGAAGACTGGAATGACGTCATCAACGCTGTTACGTTATAACCCTGAGATGTTACGGCACCGGTTATAGAAATCTCGCCGCCGATGGCTTTCATGAAAGATTCGAAGCATTGGTTGATTTTGGGCATTATTAGGGAGATTCCTATTGAATCTGTGGCGAGGAGCATGGATTGGATGTGACGGATTTTTCGACAGTTGTAGCTCAGTCCCACCAACTAATATTCATAAATCATATTAACACCCCTCTCTTTTTTTCTCGGGGTTATTTTGGGGGGGAACATACTTTATTAGTATCCGTAAGTTTCGCAATCATAGCATCACTCCAACACTCTCTACTCCAACTCGGCATGAACGGTCCCCTAACAGATCCATTCATCATAATAAACCTCTTATACTTCTTCATCAACTCCCCATCATTCCTTTGTAAAACATCCGCGTAAGCTCCCAGATCAAAACACTTATTCTCCCTCCTAACGATCTTAATATTAGGTTTGTGAGTAGGGATGAACGGTTCTATGGTCGTGGGACCGTTGAGGATGAAGATGAAATCGGCTTCGGCGTGTAAAGCGTGGTTTATGAAGAAGAGGATGTTCTGTCGACCTTTGCTGGTGGCGTTGTCGGCTGTTAGGAATGGGGAGTTGGGTTTTACGGTTTCAGAGTAGACGTAGAGGATTAAGGGGCGGTGGTCTGCTTCTTCTTTGGTGTCATCGTAGAGTATTGAGGACTTTGTAGTACGATAAATGTTAGAGAGATACTTGGTGCACAACAGTGATTTACAATAGTCATATGTATGTATAATCGTAAAGAAAGAAAGAAAGGAACATACCAGATCAGTAGTATTAACGGAAGAAGAAGAAGGTTTCATATGATTCGAAAAGCCGGTTATACCACCCTTCGAAGGCGTGTAAAGAACGTGAGATATTGAAATAAACGCCAGGAGGGAGCAGATGGCGGCGAAGACCCAGGTGAGGGGTGTCATCCGCCGTAATGTAATCGTCTTTTGCATCTTTCTTTTCTTTCCTTTTTCTTCCTTTTATTTACTTCTTTTTGTTAATATCAAAATGTCGGATTTAAATAGATGGAAAGAAAGAATGTAAGAGAAGGGAAGGTCGTGACATGAAGAGAGATTCGATTCGAGGTTGTTGGAGCTGAAGAAGAAGAAGAAGAAGAAGAAGAAGAAGTGAGCGAGTGTTGTGTAACGACACTAAGAATTCAAGAAAACCCTCAACGGAAAGGAAAAGCTCAGAGACAAAAAAGATGTTTCGAAACCTTCAAATACAAAAAAATACAAAAAAGGTACGAAAAAGCTCAAAAAGAAAAGTGGCTTAAGCCACATTCCAGGGTCAAATACTACGTTGGACATAGTATAAGAAAGAAAAATAAAAAACTGGTTTTGGGGATGGTGGTGTGGTGTGGTGTCCCAATGAAGGGTGATTCGTAGCGATATGTAACCCTCCAACATGATAAAATCTCCCAGGCGAGCATTGGCATGATCGCTTCTACGATGTATGTACCATACTATATAATAATATACCTGGTCTCGTCCGTCTCAAATCGGGATCAGGGGTATAATATTTTTTTTTATGATCATCTGTGGATATAGAATTCAACTATGTTATAATCGGTGGGCCTTTTTGTACGACGGTGGAAAGGGTAGATGTCCAAGCTTTGGACCAAAAGTACTAAGCTTCTTTACAGGTCTCGGCATGACTTTTAAATTTTTAACACTCTTCTTAACCTCCCCCCTTTTCCTTCCAGAGTAAAACGGAATAAAAATAATAAAAAATAATAACTTTAGGAAAAGGCACAGACGGTCCGCAGCAGCGGTGCTGTGCCTCATTTTGGCGTCGGTCGGTCGGTCAGTCGGTGGGTGACTGCAACCAACCAGTCGTACAGGACCATATGCACATGCATGCCTTAAACACTCCCAATTTCGACAAAATCCCACGATGGGTGTAAATCAGGTTAGATTGGTTTGTACGGCAATATATCGTCCATGCCGGGACAGGGGGGGACACCAAGGAGGGGTATGTTAATATATATTATCGGGTGGGATTCTATATTACAGGTATCAGGACATGGTTTAGTTGATAATCCGCTCTGTTTCCCATCTTTTCTGGATCTCTTTTTTTCTTTCTTACTTCGATTCCTTCTCTTCTCTTTTACATACTTAAGTGCTGTCGACCCTTCCGCTGACATATACAGATCCCACCTCTTAGTTAGTTAGTTGGACGGTTGCTCATTTCCCTTCAAATCGAAATTGAAACAGAGAAAAAAAACGCAAACGAAAAGGGTTTACGGTTTACAGTTTTACAAGGGTCCAGCCCGTGTATTAATACTAATACTGATTGTGTGACAGAGGGAGCATTGATGCTATCATAGAACCCCCCACGTGCACGTCCCCCAACACAAAATCACAAACAGATAACAAAAAGGGTTTCGCCAGGCTGGGTTAGCTGGGGGGGCTGAGACCCACGTGTATCGACGCGCGCTATGGGCCAGAACCTTCGAAAAAGAAGTACTCGATCTGTCTACGGTACTAAGGGAAAATAACAATTTTAAAGGGGATTCTGAATAGAAGTTTGAGTTAAAAGGTTGGATGTTGCAGCTTGCGTAACGTGGGTACGTGGTCTATGTCAAAGTCTCATGGTCGACATAGTATGAGACTAGTTAAGACTCAACAAGCTTTTGTTAGGTCCCTTCTTTCTAACGTTTTAGTTTTAGCTAATGCGAAGCGAGGGAGATCGGTAAAACTTTGTTTCAAACCATATATTCGGACTAACTAATTCTAATTGAGGGACTGGGGGGTTGAAAGGGTCTGTGGTTGAGAATTACATGGGTATAACCAATTCTCAATCCAGACCGACCTTCAAACGAATGCGACCTTTGGAATATTCTATTCAAGAATATCTTTGCAAAGAGTATTATACATACTATACTATATTATCTCACAGGTAGATACTTATATACATATCTTCAAAAATTACAACTTATAGCTAGTAACAACAACCGCATGATCCGACGTCCACTCGTTATCCCTATGACTCCCATGAACCCCAGGCCGTCCCACCACCAAACTCTTCGACTCCACAACCTGCAACTGACTCCCCGTATGATAAATAAAATCAATCCTATCCTGCGGCTCCACTTTCCCCGTCCCTCCATTATGGAAAGGATAAATCGGTGACCAAGTGATCCCCGGAACCTCAACTGGATTAGGATTCGCAATTCTAAAACTATCTATCAACCCAACTTCAGCAGGTTTGGTAGACGTAGGCCAGGGTATATTAGCATATCCACAGTTCTTAGATCTAAGTTCCTCGGTCCAATCCAAATGCGAAGGAGCATTCGCATCACCGACCAGAATGACAGGAATATTCCACGCCTGTCGGATCTGTGGTCCCATAGCTTTAAGCGTATCCACGATCTGTGGCGTTCTTCCGGACTGTGCTTCCCTCTGTAACACCTTCTCCACACTCATCTTATCGAAACAAAAGTCATAAGGACCGTAAGGATCATATCCCAAATGCATATTCCAAAAGTTAACCTGTTGATCCGTTCCATCCAACGAGATCCTCACACCACCGGAAGCATTGGCGAGTCCGTAATCTTCAACGATAGGGTATCTGGAAATAATCCCCAAATCTCCGGATTTTGGTTGCCAGAAATACCAGCCTAGCGCGTCGGCCAGACGTTGTACGTGACCTCCGTGGGCTTCTTGAAGACCGATTATATCGACATTCGTGGAGATTATGAATTTTATCTGTTTGGCGTGGTAGTTGTTGACGTATGTACCCCCCCACCAGAGGTTGAATGTCATGACTTTCAAATCCGGGACGAGGGATGAACCGGATCTTTTGACCGGTATCATGGCTTTCAAAGTACTGCTTTGCCCTGTCGTCGGGATCGTAGCTCTGATAGTAATAGTAGAATCTCGAGTTCTATCCGGAACTCCAGAAATAACCCCATCGGCACTAACAGAAACCCAACCATCTCCAGATAACTTCTCAAATCTTGGTTTATACCCCGGTGTAACCAACCCCGCGATCTTAGCGCTATACCCATCACCCTGTCTACCATTCTTCAACGTCACAGTCTCGACCAAAAACCCGACCACATTATTCCCATTCCCACCATTATTATTATTTTGTAAAGAAACATAAACAGGCTTAGACAGCCATTTATACCCATCCTTCGCCAACAGGAAAGCAATATACTCCCCGTTCGCTAAAGATCCCACATCGAGTTTTACTATTCCGTTGGTGGTATCGGGGATATACTTCCATACCAAGGAGTTTGAAACATATTTCTCTTCGACAGGTCCACCGCCTGAGGCTGGGTATATACCCACCCAATTGTTTTTCGCGGAGGAAACGATGGAGTAGGAGAATGTAAGTTCTTTTGAGCCGGTGGTGTCGGCGATGAGGGATAGGGTTCCTTCGTATACTGGCGGTTGAGATGCGGGGAGAGCGATTGCGTGGGTGAGGGTTGGGGAGAGGAAGAGGAGGACGGACAGGGCCGTGGAGAGGATGGAGGGGAGTAGCATAATTTTTTCTTTCTTCCCTTAATTAATTCATTAATTAAGGGTATTAAGAAAAATGCTATATTCTCGATGTAGACCAGTAGAGTTTTTTGAAAAGACAATGGAGAGAAAAAAGAGGATAAGGGATATTTATATTGATATACAATACAGATAATGCGCATATCATCTACCCCTCACTATACTAAGAGAATATTTCGACATAAGAAATACCGATTTCTCACCGACAAATTAAATCCGGAAGGTGAACGTTAAATATGAGGAATGCTCACCAATAGTAACGTAGTATCTCACCATGATCGACGAGGTGTATACTCTAGGAAGGCTCTCTTACCAAAACCACATCGGCCATCAGCTTATAATTATGTTAATGCGCATCGTCATCCGCGTAACAATAATAAATCAGCCGGCAGCTAACTAGCTGTGGGTGTAACTAACCACATACTTTATTGTATTTTTGTATCTTTTAAACCAAGCTAACCGGGGTATGCCGAACGGTTGGCTTGCCTGATTTGGATGGGAGAAAGGGACAGGGATTTGTCGGATGGGGATTATGTGGTTGCCTATCGCTGTTTCTCGGCAGGAGATATTGTACTTCTTTTATATATATATATATTTTTGGAGTTTCTAATTGAAGCGGCGGGGGAAGAGTGGGGTTTATTATCTTATTGTAATTTTTAGACCACGTGGGAGTGAAAGCTGGTTATGGTCTTTGCTCGGAGGGGTGTCAGATACGTGGTGAAGTTTAGATTGTGTTGTAGATGTGTTCATGCTTCCTCAGAGTGTAATACGCATTTGCACAGGAAAGCTATATTGCATGCCCTTGCAGCATAAAAAAAGTAATGACGAATACCCCATCTATAATATATACTTCCTAAAAGCTATTCTAATCTCCTAAAGAAAACTTCAGGCCTTTGACGTTCATGCATCTTTTTCGATTTCGTATTCAATGTACTACGCAGTACTGCCAAGAATCGGTCGGTCAGAACGGTCGTTTATCTGGAGAAGTAGTATTGTAGTCTTAATTTAAGATCAAAATGTGTTCCCTAATTTTTTTTCATTTTTTTCATTTTTTTGTTGACTACAGAAATCATGGGGAAATCACTTGGTTTATGGTATATATAAGAAAGCAGTATCTTTGGTTCAAAGGGTTTAACTAGAGCGGGGCCTGTGGTATTGATGCTGTAAGATTTCGATTCGATCTCGAAGTGGGATGGATGGATTCGGATATATTTGTTTGAACAATCGGTGATATAGCTTAGCTCCGGGTGAAAGACTAACTCCGCCTCAAGGGGAGAGGCATTCATATCAATTCCATGGGCGGATATATAAAAAGATAGCAAAAACATTCTTATTAACTAGCTCTAACTAATTCAATTAGGATAAGTCTCCCAAACTATCTGTGTTCATGTGTAGTTCCTTATAATTATACGAAAGGCCCTGATACCTCTTTTCAGGCTCGTTATCACATTTCTTATATCCTGATCAATACGCATGAGCTGCAACTTCAATTTCTATTGATCGCGCAGAGTCTACAGCTTTACCAATTTTAATTATAACGAAGCGGTTTATTTTTATTGCTGCCGTAAGACGAAGGATTAGCCACGAAAGTATAGTATATACTTATATAGCTTTGAGGTGGCCAGCTAAAGTTTGCATTCTGGTAGACGCCTCCCTGTAGACATCCGCCACTTCGAAAGTAATTATAAGAGAGCATAAATGGCATTTTGGTATCTTTATATATAAGCCCAATCAAGGTTCTGGTATAAAAAAACCCCGTCTTATGAATACGTAGCATACGTACTGCATGCATGGCATGCATCCTTCAAAATCACTCGCAGTCCAATCGATCTATACCCCAGACAGCCCGATAGTCATAGTTTGATGTACTTACAATTAGTCAAATAAATACGATGAGTCTCGAGCATCCATCCTGCGCGCGTCTCGCGTGGAAGAAACAATTAGCAGCCTAGCTATAAGTCCCAGCATGCAGCATCCCAACCACGCATCAAGATACCACATCCAGACCACACGACAACACCCATTAACCGATTTTTCAGCTTCAGCTCCCCGATTTGTCGCTAGAAAGAATATAGAAGGAGAGTGGAATTAGATAACTGGCATGTTCCTTGTTTCTTTGGTCTTAGGTACTAAGTTGTGTGTAACCCTACTGCGCCTGGTCTCGAGGCTAGAACTAGGGGACGAGGAAAAATCTTTGTTGTGCATGCATGCGTATAGAGTGTATTGCTTCTGAACGGGTTTTGCCGCTATTTTAGTTTTCGGACTGGGGGTGTTCCTGCAGAAGTTTGGGGATTCCGGGGATGAATTGAGAGACTGCATACGAGTTATTGGAGAATCGGGTAGGTCGGTATCTATACCGAGATGCGCGCTGAATGCAGTACTAGTTCTGCATACTAAAATACTTTTGACTCGAGGCTCTGATGGTTTGGAACTTTGGAGTAACATTGCGACGCGATTGAGTAGAGGACGTCAGTACTAAGTTAATAAAAGCTTTACTAGACAGCCATAGCTACAGGACGATATGAAACGAAGTATATAGATACCAACCATGCAGAATCGAAACTGAATTGCTATTTATCTCATGTTCCTGGCCACCATTCAAAAGCTTATACTTACCAAGCGCACTAAAGAAGTCTAGAATCAATTCCCACCTTCTCACCCTCGCCCCAGGAACATCAAATTCGGTCCGGGCGCCGATACTTGGCGCGCTTAAGAAACCAGCAATACATACACCCTCCTTCCTCGCTTGTCACCATTCCCGGCACCCTCCTGCCTCGATTTTCAGCCCTTCATCCATGGGTTATGAGTACCATAGCAGTAGACTCATAGAATTTTGAAGCTTCAGCTGAGCTAGTCCCATGTAATTAATTTGTATCACCACAATCATGTTATTTTGGTACTATAAAATTGTAGTACCAGATAAACGGAGTATATAATGGCTGATCCCTTCCCTTCTTAATTATCACATATCCATAATTCTCCTCCTCAAGCTCTTGATTAAATATCTGACTTATATATCATATAATATTTAATATTAAAAAAAAGGAGTAGCTACGACCTGAAGGATTATATCAAAAGATGCAATTCACATACCTCACCCTCACTTTCTTCACCGCTCTCGCAGCGGCGGTTGTAATCCCCCCACCACAACCAACTCCAAGATCTACTACCCGTATAACCACAAAGTGGACGCCAACTACCAAATGGACTCAAACCACTAAACTCGTATGTTCCCCCCTTCAAATCCAAGCCAACCAAGTATATATACATATATCCACGAAAGAAACTTAACTAACCAACTCTATAAAACCCAGCCAACCCGCACCACAACCACAACCCCAAAAACCACCAAAAAGCCACAATGCACAATATCCCTCTGCTACGACGGCGTAAACGAATGTGGGATGATGTATGGCGGTTGTTTCGCCGCCTGTCCCGACTCTCCAACCCCCACATTCGTCCCACCGCCTTGCCCGACAACTACTCAGTGCGATATTCACCTTTGTGTGGATAGTGTGAACGAATGTGGGATGATGTATGGTGGTTGTTTCCCTGCTTGTCCCGGTTTGCCGACTCCTACGTTTACACCGCCGCCGTGTCCTACTCATATTGGTGGTGGGGGGCCGCCGATTGTTACTCGGTTGCCGACTTCGAGGGGGAGGGTTTAGTGGGGGTGTTTATTAGTGGGTTGGTAATTTGTCAGGGAGATAAATTTGTAGCATATTAATTTATATAAATGATCAATGTAGAATATAGTGAAAAGAATGGTTGTTCCAGTGACACCGGTATATACTGTCTCTGGTTTTTATAAATTTGCACAGCTTCAAAAGTTGTTCCTGCAGCCTTTCATAGCGTCTAGGGACGAGACCGGTGGGGCATTTAGACAAATCAGCAACTGAGACATTGTCTATCGGGACTACGTGAGTGCGGAGAATCCTTGCACGCTTTCTGGTGCCATGAGTACGTAAACGTGGTAATCTAACGAGACGCCACTCCGAAAACACGCGGCACAATGGATCGCGATCGGATGACGCGCGATGCCAATCGGGGACTAGGATTAATTAGTTCACACCACTTTATTAGATTTATGAAATATAAAGGTTTCTTTGTTAGATGTTCAACTGTATTCTACTATATCTCAACTAATAGTACATACATATTATTTTTCATTATCATTACTCATATAGGCTTCGGGTCATGCGCTTTAAGGCTCTTTATATCCCATTCAAGGATCCGTACATCCCCAGCTCTCCTTCGCATTCGGATTTCCTCCCAAATACTTATTCTTCTTAGGCCACTTGCAGTGTTCCTTAATACTGCTCTGCACACCCGTCTTAGCATTCATATTTCTTCCAGTAATCCTCTCCGGCGCAACACCTTCCTCGACCCACTTAACCATACTCATTAGCACACCACCTTCAGCCGGAATATCCTTGGCATTCAAGACCCTTCCAACTTGCGAGGTAGCACCAACGTACCAATTCCCAGCTCCGCTATGACAGTGGGAACCACCGGGGATTGGGAAGTATCGATAGAAGGAATCAAGTTCCGAGGAAGTCAGACCCATGGTTCTTGAGACGTATTCGTAGTATCTATACGAATTACCGGAGTTGATCACACCGTCTTGAAGACCGTGGTAGGTAAGTAGCTTACGACCCTTTTGCTTTAACTTTGTAAGTGGTTTCCAGGCAGAGATTCCATAAGGATCAAGAGCCTTCATATCCATCGCCATTTGAAGCGAGAACTGTGAATGGAAATCCCAGTTTGCATCATTGAAAATGGCATATTTCCACCATTCTGTCGCAGACGGTGGTACACCGCCGTAAACATCGTCTGTGACTTCGGAACCAGGGTCAAACTCCGGGTATAAAAGTTTCCCATCGGTACCATAATATGGTTCGTACAACTTTCGTACGGTATCAACTTGTGTGGCAGTAAGACATTGATGAGAAGTCCACGTTTTACCAGCACCGCACATTAAAGCTTCAAACCGTGGTTTACAAGTCCTAGGTTCCTCGATGACACCGTCGACGACTCCATCGAGGCCGTCGCATTGTCTTAAAATCTCGTTGCGCATTGCAGTCCACTGTTCTTCGCTGAGGTAGCTGGCATCTCCGGGGTTACCGTTGAGTTTGTAGTAATGTCCAGAAATGGACCAGAGGTTGTTGATATCATTTGCTGGGGCGCCGGCGACGATACCGTCGAATTCCTCTGGGAAGTCCTGCGCGGCTTTGAGACCTTGACGGCCACCGCTGGAACAACCCATGAAGTAGGATTTCTTGATAGAAGTGTTGTAGAAATGCCTTACAGCCTTCTTGCCGGCCTTGGTGGCGGTTTTAATGCTATAGTAGAAAGGGTTGTGTTAGTATTGGTGGTGTAAAAAAAAAAAGGGAATTGGTTTTGAGGATCGGACGTACGCTCTGTAGGCATAATCCTCGACGACGTTGGGGTTGTTCAGGAAGTGTTCGCCGGTATCACCGAGATGACCGTTGTTATGGGCGATGGTAGCGAAGCCCAACCAGGCTGTGAATCCCATATCCGGGTAGGCGATACCTAATATTCAATCCCACGGTTAACATCAAAAATTCCAACATTGAAAGTGTTTAGAGAAGTAGTAAAACTTACATCCACCGAGGCCACCATTCCCCAGCACCAAGTATCTCTTCTTATTCCAATTCAAAGGCATCCAAGCCTCCAATTCTACGGCGGAGGCATGGCTGGTCTTCACCTTAAGTCTCAGACGGCACATATCCGTCAAAGTAATGGTGAATGGTTTACTCTGACATGTTGGATGGTTATCTGGGTTTGTGAAGTTTGTTCCCGTTGGAAGGAACTCGGCGGCCAGGACCTGGGTTTTGTGGTCTGGATGGAAGGTTTGTGCGAGACGAGCACATCTCTGCTGGAATGTAGGAGGATGATGACCACCATGGCCTGGATCGGCGGCGGCGAGAGAGAAGAGGACAGAAGCGGTAAAAGTGAGGATTGAGGACTTCATTTTTTTCTCTCTTTCTTTCCCTCTTTTTCCAAACAAAATTATAATTAAATTGACTATTGAAGTGAATGGATTATAGAGAGGAATGTCTGCCCACTGCGGTATTGAGTGCGCGCGAAGTGATCACACGAGCAATTTCTCTTTTCGTTTGAGGGGGATTTAGTAGTGCATTTTATAGTCTAGTAGACGTAGCCAAGGTCAACTATATTCGAAGCTAGAGAATGTACCCTTTCTGTTCGGGAATACAATTGGGGCGATCCACTCTGGTTCTCTGGTTACCGAGTTGTTTTAACTGGGTGAGGTTAGATAATATCGGATGGCGACTATGAAACATCGAGCGGCGTTCATATTCGGTTAGGATGCCGTGTCGGCGGAGGGCGCTAGTAGATATACGGACGGTGGACCCACGTTCCCGAGTCGGATCGGGGCGAAGGAACCTTCCCCAAAAATTACGCGTAAACCCCAGCGAGGAAAGAAATCCTTAGTATTTCAAGTTTTTTAATGAATTTGGTAAAAGTTATCCATTGCCCCTCCCATGGCTTTCTTCGTGCTTACTAGGTTAGGTAGATAGTACAAAAAAAATAAAAATTCGAAGCGATGGCGTTTTTCCAAATCTCCATCTCAAGATGGGAGGAATCGTCAACAATACGCAGGAGCTCGTTTGATCCGTTAACCGAGGGCTCAGGTCCCCACCCCAAGTGGCAACAGTACATTCTGCGCCCTGTTCTCTTGATAATAATCGTAGACAGTAGAATAGTCCGGAAGCTGCTCGCTTTTCTTTGGTCGTTTATCTCTCGCCCAGACCCTCCATGGCGTTTTTCGAGGGACAAATGGCTTATTCCAAGACCTTGGCTCCAAACTGGAGGAATATCGGGGTATGGACCTCGCTTTCACGGCCGCCGTGCTCTCCGATATCTTTCTCGTCTCGACGTCGATAATGTCATAGGGTTCATAGAGCGCCAATGTGATTTCAACTTCTGTGTCTTGCATACCGCCGTACGCGTTTGATCCCTTATCTTCTTTGCCCTCTATTTGCATTATAACGCTGTAATGTTCTGGGAAATAGGAATTTTTATTTGTTGTCGGTTCCCTCCTCTTTCTAACCTCATTGAGATCTATGTCGCCAAATAACGAGCGGTGCATGACATTATACACTAGGTCCTTAACCGAGAGCATTCTCCTCCTGCTCGTTCTGGAGCTCTGACAAAACGGCGCCGTAGTAGTTCCATTATCGTACAGTTTAGTCTCAATTAAACTTTCGTATTGAACCCCACAATATAAACTAACAACCGAAGAGAGGTTTTCGGGACGAATGAGTCTGTTGGAAGTATTCAACCGGATTCCCGATGGCGGTTCGACTAATACTGCGGTTTCGAATTCTTTGAGTTTTGGTTTTATGAGGGCGACTAGTTCGTCCATTAACGCATCTCGTGAATCGGCTGCAGTGATGGCTTGGGCTTTGGAGAGGGGTAGACGCATGAATCTACGCCAGAAGAGTTGGAGGAAGTGGATTGCTACTGGATGAACTTCGAAGAGATCGGTGTAGGTGTGTGTCGTACATGTTGGTGATGAAGGTGAACTGTGGCATTTACATGCTGCGTTTGTGTATTGTGATCTGATACTCGGTGGTGGTAATGAAATTCCGTCAAGGACTCTTAAACGTTTCGGTGCTGTAGGTGCTTGTTGCTGTTGCTGCTGCTGCTGCTGTTGTTGTTGTTGTTGTTGTTGTGGTTGTTGGTGTTGGAGTTGCTCTGGTTCCTCGGAGTTAACAACTTCGTCCGACTTTAGGACATCGGAGTTAACGCCACCGCCGCCACCACCACCACTATTCTCGGACTTCGTACTCTCGGCCGGTGTAGGAGTACTTGGAACGTTCTTGGGTCGGCTAGGAACCCAACATCTCCAACGAAGAATAGGATCCGTCTCAATCTCGTCTTTCCACGCTCTACACACCAACCGTGCGCCCGTAATAAGCTGTACTGCTGGGACGTGAGAAAGGATATGTGCGAGGATCTCGGGTATTCGGAAGATATCGCTCGTTGTTGGCGGAAGGGTAGTAATGCTAGTGGTATTAGTACAAGTAGGATATTCGGGTTCCGGCTCTGAATCTTTCGGATCGGCCATGGTTTATGGCCTATCGGAGATATAATGATTCTGTCAGGTTTGTAAAAAGATGCAGCGGGGAGGGGTCGATTTTGAAGGGAGCTTAGGGAAAGGTTTTTGGATTTGATTGATACTGTGATTGTGAAGGCGAGGGAGGTATTGATTGTATCATGCAATTGGAGCTTTGGAGCCTCAAGCTTGCCAGCTGTTATGCATGAAGACTAATAGGGAAATACAACAGATGCAACACGGCGTGTGTCGCGGGCTATCCTAAATCGGCTAGTTCTATGCACAGAGTGACGGCCATGGAGAGGGTAAGCCTATAAGAAACCACTGAAATGTCTCTATTCACATCTGCGCGGTAAATCTTAGTTAAAGTCCCCCGTAGCAGTTCATATTCTCACGTCATTCGAAAACAAATACTTCGTGTATTCCGAAGTATACTGAGCCATTATTTCGTTCGGCACATAGGTCGGGGAACTTCGGTCTACGGAAAAAGAAGTGGATGGAATTACACATATGCGCCTGTTGAATCATTGCAAGGGGTTCACGTGGCTGTCCATAGATCTAGATCTCCAAAAAGAAGTATCCATATATATATACGCGTATACGGCGATTATGATATATATAAATAGGTAATTTGGGCGGAGAATACTTTACAAATTCCAATTCATATTTCGATTTGAACTGCATGGCCAGTCAATCTCGTCTACTTGCTAAACACAAACCAATAACTCCCAACTGTACCAAGACTGGTCTCGTTCCCAGGTCTAAGCCATTAATGGTTACGAGACTGCTTGACGGTTTGGGTCGTAGCAAACCGAACGAACAACGCATAAAATACAACATACACTCATCCTCCATCACTGCAGACAGCGGAATTTTGTGAGATAATAAGCAACCTTTACCGAATATTCCAGCTCGAAAACCCTCATACAGATTTCGATGTTTATACGGAACTCACGACCGATCTTTATAACGTGAATTCTTGACAAACTGATGATAAATGATAATTTTTGAGCTCGCCTTACTAATTATAATTATTTGTCTACAGAGGTACATGTACATATGTCTACAGTGAAGCCAAACTTTAGTTGTCCGTTGATAAGTGAACTCACACCCCCGCTGGAGCATCAGGGTCGTCAAAGAATCCGTCCTCTGGCCCCAAAAAGTTTTGATACCATCTTAGACCCTCTAGATCTGCGCTATCATCCGAGTCTTGGTTCATCTCTTCTTCTTTAAACTCCTCCTCATAAAGGTTCCTTACTACACCGCCAAGTCGCGGATCTCTCTGCTTTTCTTCTTCATAGGTCTCAGGCTCGGTACGTCTCGCTGGCCCTTCATCCCCCCACACTTTAGCACCGATACCTGGAATACCCCCTCCAGCTACCCTGTCGGCAGCATATCTCACCGGAACATCGAATCCCGGATCCGAAATCGCCGTGTAGAATTCATCATCATCTGCTATCATGTCACCGTTCGTGGGTGGTGTGCCATATAGATCTAAGTCATCTTCGAATTGTTCTGCGGAGGCTTCCGCTTGCTTTTCTTCCTCGGCCGCGGTTTTTATGATTTCTTCGGTATCGCCGGGGCTGTAGACACCGTTTTCCCCGAGAATATTTAAGGCTATTGAGATGTCTAGAGAGCGTGTATTATATACACATGTCCAGAAACGCATTAGGAACGCTTTATCGTGAAGGATAATCGATCCCCGAATGATTGACTTTTTATGTTTGATAGTGTAGGCTTCTCTTACCAGGAGGGAAATCTTTTGTAACTTTTCTGACAAAGTCAAAGTATTTCACTGCTTTGGAAACTAGACCGAATGGAGGCACTTCGCCGTTATTTTTGCCTGGCGCCGCTGCTTCTGCTGTTTTAGCTTGGTTGATCAATTTTTGAATCTCGTTATCTGTTAGATCTGGTCGAATCTTTTGTGCCTGGATCTCATTTCGTAGGGTGGAAAGATCATCTAAGAAGTTTTTAAAGTTATCGAATCGGAGGTAAGGAAGGCTTGTGGGAATGGAGAAGACCAGCAATGGTAAAGACGATACCACAAGAACTCGGATATGCATTTTTGGCTATTCTGTATAACTATATATAATATTAACCGATTCTTTCTTTCCTTCTAAGCCTGATGGTTAGTGAATATTCCAGGTCAACAGATGTAACATTTTCTACCAGTGTCAAATTTTGTTACCGGGCCTGTTATGAGTTAGTTTCACAACATTGATTTGGATATTTTTTTAAAATTTTTACGGTTTCAGGAGACCGATGGGTGATTATAGTTTAAACTTAGATACAATAAGATACATGCAACTCGTGAAATAGGCGCAAAGTAATACAAATGCCTCTAACCAGGTGGATGAAAGGCTAGAAATACGTCAGACGACCGGGGTGAATATATCAATCTAATTTTTGAACTGTTTTATTAAGAAGTAAATATTGACGCGAAGATATGAAACTTGGCTTCTCTTGATGGAAGATGTAGCTGAGGCTACGATGTGATAGCACAAAAGATTGTGGCGTTACCCTGTCTGTCGCCGAGATGATTGGTGGGGCTTGTGCTATCTTAGTTTAGTGTTCCTCAACCCCGTCGGATTCATCTGATTAACCAGACTCATCAGCTCCATCAGTTCCATCAATTCCATCAGACTCATCAGTTCCATCATTTCCACCAGATTCAAAATCCACCGGGTAGGCCTCGAGTATATTATGGGACCCTAGATAAACAGTGAATTGGAGATTACCGCGTGTTCCATTGACGCTAAAAGCGACTATACGGGAATTAATGACCATCGCTGGGTGATTTTCTAGCATATTTGAAATAGCGGTGACTTCTTTCAAACCATGCAGTCGATAGAATGCTTCAGGCCGTGCCCTCTCATGCAAGCTCACTAGGTCGCCGTTGTAATTCACTCTGATTTTATCTTTTATAAAACCGGATATATGCCCGGGCGGAGTTTCCGTACGTCGTCCTGAGGCCCAAATGGTATCGAAAACCTGATCCTCCGATTCCGGAGTTAATTTTAGAAAGGTTATTAAGCGCAATGTCACTCTGTTTCGAGCCCAGGCTCTTGCGGCAATTGATGAATATTTCTGAGACAGATGTGGACGGGAAATCCACCAAACCTTTGCGAAGATCTGCCCCATTCGCTTAAAGGAGGCCGACCCGTTCAACTCTGCTTCAGGGAGGGCTTTTGGGACTATAATGTGGTGGTTTTTTGCTGATAAAATAAGTTTAGAAGTGACGCTTTCGGTTCGACTAGAAGCCGTGACTTCGAGATAGGCTGCTTCGCTTGCAGGCTGCAAAGCAATCCTCCGGCTTTGAGGAAACTCGATTTTGAGTTGGAGCAGACTTCTCACAACGAGATGAGGGACCTCGGTAACATGATGAGAACCAAACTGAATCGAGTACTCGGCGTCTGTGATTGCTGGTTCATCCTGCGGCTCAAGGCCGATATAAGCCAGGTGGCTCGTTAGTAGCAGATACTTCACACCCCTAAACCTTACTTTCCTTGCCACTGGGTCCTCTGAGTAACTTAACTCGCGGAAGGTCCTCGTCTTTTTGCCTCCGGAACTTAACTTGAAGTTCGTGGTAGTAACAATAATCTCCGGATAATCATCGTCAGACTCCACCCTCCACCTCAAGCAGATCCGATCAACAACATTAGCGTCACTCAATTGGTATTTATACTTGCTGAACATTCTGAGAACTGCTTTGACTTCTGGGGTCGCGAGTAGGGATAACCAATATAATCTTGAGATATTAGCCTTCTTCTTGTCTTCAATTTTTCTCAGCAGCGTCTTCCCACTCCTCATGCGGTTATCTGCCGTAGAAAAGATTCGAGAGGTAGTATCTAGGAGGCAGATCGGAGAGCTCTTGGGGGTTTTTGTTGCCCGAAAAATAAACTGTACAAGGACCCGAGTTTCCTTGGTTAAATCGAGGAATGAGACAATACTAACTGGAGCTCCATTCTTAATCCTTCGATACGAGTATCGTGCTCGGGGGGGAGGTAATCGATTGGCATCATGCTTCCCGTATACTCCCACCCATGCGGCGAATAAAATATCCTCAAGTGGAGGGCTGTTTTGCTGAATTCCTTCGCTAGGAATCTTAAGAACAACGAGGTGCATATGATGCCAATAAGCTGCTAGTTCGTAGCCGTTGTTTTTATCTATTTGTCCCTTTGGACCAATGTTGATACCAAGATAGGCTATTTTGTTAAAAATAGACGGGTCCCGATTTACTTCGTGGTCGGCCATGCGCACGGTGACTCCTTTCTCATACCAAAAGGATTTTGGAAATATATCCGGATCGATTTCGTGGAACGCGAGCAAGTGGTCTTTGGCTGGGCTGATAAGCTTCAGTGGCTCCTTTCTGCCCGACCTTCTATATTTATTTGCCTCGAATGAAAACTGCTCCAGCAAGCTTTTGGTGCTGGGATAGACCACTGGCTCAACCTCTCTCACACCTTGGAGGACTTCTGATATATACTGCATGTGTTCAGCGGTGTGATATAGACTCTCAACATAAGAATCACACCCGGAGTGGAGCATTCTCCTTATATATAAATAAGGGGTCCGCCTTGTGCTTGAAATTCGAGCAGACCGGCTCATAGAAGATGATATAAATGTCGTGTAGATGAAAAAACCTTCTTGTGTGGTATATTTACCGTACTGTATTGTGTCAAGCTGAAGATTCCCAAGACCATCCCCATATTTTTGTAAGAATATTCTCAGAGCTCTCCCTTCTCTTGTTTGGAGAAAAGTTGCTACTATTTTGGAGAATTCGCGATGAGATGAACGGACGGTTTGAACATCATCAATAGTTTTTATTTTGGCTTGCTGAAAGACCCTATTCAGAGAGTCTTGGCTCTGGGGAGATAAATTGCTAAACGCCATGCCGTTTATTTGTGCATCTGGCCTAGTTTCATGGGTCCATACTGCGTAAAGAACATCTGCAAGGACTTTATTCGTCTGCGCCATGTTGGCCGATGTGTCGTAATCTTTATTTGCGAAACCGAGAAAAGCTAACTCGCCCTCTTGCTGGGAGCATGCAACGATATAGATATTCGTTTCGTGATCGGTGGCGATATATTTACTGTGAATGACTTTAAAAGTTGGTCTGTGAGGCGATTTGTATGTTGTCCGGTCGATATCAGGTAAAAGTGGGTGTAAAATTGGGCCGTTTGCTACCGAAGACTCCGCAGATTCTATAATTAATACGTTCTCATCGGGGGGTAAGGGCTCCAGCTTTGGTGGGTCTTCTTCCGTATTGTTTTCTTGATTCTCTTGATCTTCCCCTTGCTCTCGCTCCTCCTCCTCTTCTTCTTCCAGTATTCCTTTCGCTGGTCCACTCCAATCGAAAGTATGAGATATCGTAGTATCAGTAGGCCATTCAAACTCAAGAAACACTTTGGCGGAAGTGGGGTCATTAAGCTTGTCGAATTGGACATGAATTGATGAAAGCACAGCCGCATGGAAACGATTTGGGTAGGTATAGATCATTCTAACGACCGTATTGACATCAAGGGTACCGCGAAGAGCCAACCAAGCATTCCTGCTATCCTCGTCCGCAAAGGGGATTGAGCTCTTTTCGACTTTGAACTCCTGGGTGATGCTGCCTTTTCCACCTGATCGGAACAAATCCTCCCTCGCTCTTACCATTTGCCTGATAGTTGTTGGATTATCGATCCTTTCTATTGATACAAATTCTAGTCTAGCCGTAGGCCCATAGAGATCCTCGGTTTCTTCTTGAGCCCGAGCCCAAACTCCCGCTAAAAGCTCTGAGAAGCTTAGCATAGTTGGCCCGCTTAACTCCCTCCGATCCTTTGTAATGACCATATGGCCATCCGCGATTGAGATCATAGTTGTAACGAAGATTTTCCCGGTAGGGGTATATTCCCCATGAATGGCCATATAGGTCTCAGGGGTTAGAAAGCCGAAACGACCGATCTTTTTCCAAAATGGTTTTAATCCGACTTCTTCGAACGGTTGCGAGTTCTCGTTGTTCACTTTAAAAGCCATTTCTTTCGTTCTAATCGCGAAGTCTTGCTTAGGTCGAGTCGCTGGGTCCCGGATATCTTGTTCCAGTTTAGAATTTATTTCTCCGTCCTGAACCGCTTCCCAATACCAAGAGTCACTCTCGTCAAGAAATTTTTCGGGTTCGTAGTCATACATCTCATCGTCACTATCATCGTCATCAACATCCATCTGGTCATCAGAATCCCAGCTAGCTCTTTTTGAGAGCTTATGTGTATTCTCATTCGAGGAGACTTTAGACTTTCGAGGGGGAATATGACGAGATACTGAGCTGTAGCTAGTGGAGTTGCGTGTTAAATTTTCATTTCCAGGGCATGATCCTCCGGACGTGCCACATGTCTTCAACTGCGATCCTTGTTGACCTTTGCTAGAGAGGGCCTCAGAACTGACACCCCATGATGGTGTCGCCCCCCAGTGCCCCAGTAGGAGGGAGACAAAAAATAAAAAATAGAATGACCCCATTTCTACGGATTATATTATATAACGATGGAAATTATCGCCACCAATGCTATAGATGACAGAAGCCCACATAATCAGCAATCAAAAATGTAAATATGCGTTAGAATTCGAGTAATTGGATAAAGCGAAAGTTTTGAGCGACGCGAAGACTTACATAAACTGTAGAATAGTTGAGTTAGTGGAGTACCGTGAATTGCGTATATATGTATGCACTTAAAATTGTTCCAGTACAAGTATACTAATTTCTACATACGCATCGGTAGGTGCGGCGAAAGTTCTAGGGGAGTATGCAAAATCTAATGATTGCGATTCGATGCATATTCTCTCATCGGCAGATTTTGGAAATTTTAGTTTTTAACATCCAAGTACTCAGGTTTAGATAGTGGTCCATAGGCTGCTTATCTATAATTCAGGAGTCTGGCGACGAGAAAGTATTTCAGAAACCGAATTTGGGGTGGGGCTTGCGCACAGCGCAATCATAGCTGTGCATCGGGGCCTAGATTTCCGGCTGCAAGCCTGCAAGTAGAGTAGTCAACGGTGATGTTGGTTTAGGGGCGTAGTTTAAATGCTCTTACGTAGGCCAAACCGAGAGTTTTCGAGCAGAAAATCTTCGTTAAACTTGCTTTTGGGGTTGTAGGGCTTTTTCAGTATTGGGAGAGCGTCTTAAATTTTCAATGTGATTCCTAAACGTTAAACGGCGGTATTCACATAAGCCCCAATCTGCGAGCCAACGGATAGGTACTAGTAGCCAGCGGCACAAAATTTATTTAACCAACTGATGAGAGTTGGCCGGATCCAAAGGAAACTAAATAAAATAGAATAAAATCCAAAACGCGAACCAACAGTATTTTTACAAGCTACTTTATTTCTTTAATGCTGAAATCCAATGTTCTTGTCCGTTTCGTTCTGGCATCCTTTTAAACCCCGTGCCATGCGAACGGTTTCAACATTGTGTGTGATACTGATAAATGGCTGTGTTGTTATACATAATACCACAAAGATGTCACATCAAACCAGGGCACCGAGCTGCCAGGAGGCTCCGAGCTCCGACAGCTAGTTGCACACTACACATCTTTCGGCAGTTCCTTTCTAATTACTAGTGGTTAACTCTAGAGCGGAGGTTTGCTCCATCGTAGACGCAAGGTTGGACTCGGATACGGGTAAAGGCCTTTAAAGGGGATCTTTAAAGCCAAATCGCGACTTGCAGGCCTGCAGGTAGCCGCACGGCGGTTCCGAATTCACGTGCCATGGCGGACACGAGCGCCTTGGCCATCACGACACCAGATCGCGATCTATTGCACCAGTCATCTAAACTCGAAAACTTGCCTTACGACATCAAATACCTTATTTTGCAGAGTATTCCTGATCATGGCACCCTTGTTAAATTTTCACAGGCGTCGCGGGTGTTCTACAACATTTTTCGAGAACACCGCCGCGCCCTCTTCCAATATTTAATGTTCAATGAAGCGTCTGAATACATGGAAGAGAGCTATTTGTTAGCGTGTTTGGGAGACCAACTGAGTAACAACACTATGACGGTTGCCTATTTGGATAATCTTTATCAGTGTTATGCAGACAGTCTGTCTCCAACAGTGTTTGAGCACCCCTGGTATTATAGGGAAGTTTTACGAGGAGGTGCAAGCATGAGGGCAAAGATATCTGAGTGTCACAAAGGAATTAAAGAGCATTGCGACCAATTCATCCGGCGAGAGTTAAGACCGAAGATGAAACTGCGCCCGCTTAAGGAGGACGGCACAGACCATGATGAGCTCCCACCAACGGACTCCGAAAGACGCAGGATAATGCAAGCGTTGTACAAAATATGGCTGTTGCTCAAGCTTCACCATGTCAAGGTGGCAGACCCAGAGGAATTTGCGCCTGCCAGCCGGAATGTCGGAACGCCTACTTATCCGTTGAGGGCCGATGTTGCGCGATATTTGAAGCTCTGGGATTATTGGGACCTAAAGGTCGTTCAAGTATTACTGCCTATATTTTGGAACGATATGAAGACGAAATATGACAAACGGGGAGACAGTCTCATTCGAGAAGCTCTCTCTAACCACGAAGGAGACCGTCATGACGACTGTAAGCGGATTTTATCTTATGTTCCCCCATATTCCGCAGTGCTATGACACAATTTTAGATCAATAGACACTTACACGCTAGTGATATAGACACATACTTCACTTTGTTCCTGAACACTACTCTTCACTTATACTTCCCGCATACCGGCCTAAAATGGTTCAACACTTCATCAAACGAAATGGAAATTCACCAGCATATCAAAAATGTATCAAATTATCTCTCCGATAAGCAGAACAGAGCACATTTTGAATCCCTCGGGGATTTTACGGGTATAGCATATATTTATTTCCAACAAGTCCACGGCTCTCCGTCCGATATGAACGGATTCCCTGGGCCAGAGGTATTCGACAATGTCCCACTAAAGAGACTTGGCCGGCCCGGACGTGCTATAAACGAGCATTCTGGCCACGGATTAGATGGAAAAAGGCGCTTCTTAAAGTGTCTAAATCATGCGAGCTTGGCACACTCGGACCTTCAGAGTTGCATGTGGGATGATTGGAGATTAGAGTCGTGGGGGTATGTTACCCCGGATTTCACATCTGAGCTGACTGATCAGGATCCTTTGCCGACGACAACAATTGAAGACCATTTCCAGTCATTTACGTTGTAGGTAACAACCGGTACCTTATGCGAGTCTTTTTCCTATGTCGCCTGTAATGTAAAGCGTATGCCACACGGTTGGCCTAGGATGCAGCTTGGTTGGCACATCGTGTTTCGAGTCAATCTTGTTATAATAGATTGTTTGTACACTAGTATTATTAATATCCCTTTCCGTCGACAGAGTACACCTTCTTCTAATAGAAAGAGTTGGCACACCACACTCTCTAGTGCTGGCCTCTAAATCTACTCGTTTCTAGTTTAGATTTTACTTGATCCATAAGAGTTCAACCATCTCGTACTATGAGAATCGCATTATACAACACAGCAACGGTACTTAGTTAACTTTTTAGTCTAATATCGCAGTTGTCCGTTATATTTGGACTCTGGTGGGGAACCTTTCCCTTTCATTGGATTTTTCTTTATGCGTGTATGAAAAATAGAACACGTCAATTGCCGAATGGATAGAAAATAAACTAGTCTCGTTCCCAGATGCCGAAAAATAAACTATATCTAAAAGAAGTGTCTTAGATGAGAATGTGTGGGAGCTTTTGTACCAAATAAATACAACGCTTGTTCACCTGGATTTGAGGCTAAGCTATCCCAACGAACCTCCGTAGTATTTCTTTTTACGGGTTTTCTAAGACCAGAACGATCCGTACCTATTGTAAAGTCCGAAATTAGATAGAATATTTGGGGAAATTGAAATTTTAGATACACACCTGTCAGACCATGGCCTTTCTAACCTGTCATACCATAAAATATGACTATCAGGAGCCCTTTTCATTGCCTGATCAATTGAAACCGGTTTCCTAGTTGTTATAGGCATTCCACTTTTGTCTACCTCAGAGGTAACATTGTAAAAGAATGGATGTCGGATAATCCTCTTGGTGTCTGGCTTGTCCAAAGCGCCTATCGCTGATACTTCAACATTTAGTTTATATCCTTCCTCATCTCGGAAATTTATGAGATTCTCGACGTTTTTATCTGAAGGCCGGCCCCGCATAGCGGCCCTCTGCGCCTGTTGGCCAACAATGCGGCACACTTTGACTGTCTCGGGAAGAACTATCTGCAAAAGGGTGTCAAATGTCTAAGTTAGTACAGGGTCTTAGATACAGATGAAGTGAAAAAATTCCTCGCCACTAACCGAAGTCCCATCGAGGTAATATGAATCAATCGCAACTTCCTCCAACTTCGGCCATCCATGCGGGAAAAAGGTATCCGTGTAAGGAGCGCTATGATTTTTCATGTCCAAAACGTCATGGGGCCCACTGTAAGACGACCCATGTTGAATCCATAGGCGCTTCACAGATCCCCCAACTCCCTGTTTGATGTTTTGCCACTTAAACTGCCCATCATATGCCTCAAGTACAATTACTAGAGTTTCTAGCTCCATTGACTCAAGATGGAGTACAAAGCCCTCAAGACCGATACCGCTGCATGTTTCGAACAACTGGATTGATTTTAATTTTGGTGTGCTATATGCACCAAATGAATATAGGAATCGTTCGGCATATCGGCACCGCTCCAAACGAAGCATGCGGAGGGTTTGCATATTAATGAAGTTAGGCGCACAATCACTAAGCACCTCGGCGAGGTGCGGAAACCCTTCTATGTGGAGGTCCTGAATCTTTCGAAGTGATAGCGTAGTCGAAGGGAGCACTGGTGCTGGTCTATTGTAACCGCGCTGTGAAAGATATTCCCCCAGCTCTGAGTCTGCGGGAGATTTGATGGCCAAAGATTTCAAGGTGTCCTCGGAGTTTTTCAACAAAGCCCAGACGTCTGCTATGTGTCGTGGATATTGTATATCCGTTAGGATAAGAGATTGGAACCTGGGTACGATAACAGACCCCAAGGCTTCAGACGTATTAATTCCATGTTTGAAGAGTAGTGTTATGGGAATACACAAGTAATGCAAATGCGGATGTTTTCCAAATAAAAGAGAAACAGGGATCGTCTCAAGGCGTTCTGGGATATGGCGTCCAGTAATTCTAGTTTTCAAAATTAACTTTCTTTAGCTCTAGCAATCAAGTACCTACCGAATGCATATAGAAACCTACGCAAATGATGTCAACTGGTCCGACCCCAAAAGTTCAAGGAGAGTTCGTAAGTTATCCCTCGAAACTTTTCGACTTTCAGAGCCGTACTTCTTAGCAGGCTTCAGCGCGACGGGTCCTACTCGCCTATGCGCAGGAGGGAAACCGGTAACATGGAGTCTAGATATATTTGCTATAATATCCTTTCGATGCTTTATGAGTTTCTTTAGACTGCCACTGTCGGAACCATTTTCATTGAGGGAGACAGTAATATCCGAATAAATATATTCAAGTCCTATCTGGTTAAATAGTTTGCAAGCTTGGCGAAAGCTTTGCACATCTGCGCTGGGGGGCTCGGAATCCCAAAACTGATCATTATATTAGATTTCTCATTCAATTGCGTTGTAAAGTGTGTTTAAGGTAAAATGTTAATACCAATTCGAATATGAGCCGTAAAATTTCTGTTGGCAGCAAAGGTGGCCCTACAGCTCGAAAGCGGGAACTGGGAGTGGAGTCTGAAGGGCCGGTGTTCCCCCGCAACACCTTTCCGATAGCCTTCGACGACTCATAGACGAGCAGGAGAGATGAGAGTCGCTTTTTGTCATTTGCCTTTCCAAACATGGTGAATCATGAGCACGCAGTGCTAGGACATTGCTTAAATAACAAACCTTATTGATTTTTGAAGGGTTGCCCAACTCGATATATATATACCCCTGAAGTTGGATTAATTCATCGATTCTCAACTGTTGGATGCCACATGTCGGTTCCTTGGGCTCGCCTAAACTTGCCATTCGCCGTTCTTAGAGATTATTGCAAAAATGCACTTTTCGAATATGGCTAGTTCACACACTAACTATGAGCTGGCTTTCTCTTGTGTCCATGCTAGTAAATTGGTTTGTGTTCGTGAGTTTATTAATATATTAACCACTCGATTGGAATCGGTCTGTGGCTGACTTACACAGCGGAGTCGTGAGGAGTTGAATGACACGATTTGTAGACAAAAATATCACATTGCAGGATTCAACAAGCAGCTCCATGTTTGTGGTAAAATTCGACTATCTAAAGGCTAGCTATCATTTGCCCGAGACTACATTTGATTAAGCTAACTCAGTATGGGATTTCATTGTTGGCAATGTTTAATTCCTGTACAGCTGTTTTAATCCATGAAGATAGTGACGGGGCACAACAGTAATGTACCTAATACTGGGGATCGATCGCAAAGAATTACCATTAATATACGAAGAGAAAAGCATCGATATTTTTAATTAGCCCAATTCTGCAACAGCCTGTTCTAAAAGTTTCAAAACGAGAATTTATGGTGGAGGATCAGTTGCTATTTGGTTATATTATAATACAATCGGGCTGCGGAAGGGGCTTCTAAGCCAGTTTTGGGAAAGAATTGCCGGGCCACGAAGCCAAGGTCTTAGCATCAAGGTGCCCCTTTGTCGCGGGCGCATTGGGCTTAATGTTTAAGACGCCGACGCTGGAGTGCAATTCCAAGGCACTACTCTGTATAACATATCGGCAAAAATGGTGCTAAACAATTTCCAATGCTACATTCGATATCGCTTAAGACTCCGCCTGCCTTGCTGAGCTGAGACTGTAAATGGCTCCTCCCGCGAGAACTCTACGGAAACGACCCTTTCCCAAGGCTGAAGCGGTTCACCAATAAGACGACCCCATAGCATGTCGCGACTTCGTGTGTCTGATGATATCACGCTTTGATCTTCCACTGGTTCATCTGTTGTCCGAGGAATGTGGACTTTAACTCGAACTAATCTCGGCTTGGAATAAGTGCGATCTCTATAGGGGTTACAGAAATCGCCGTTATAGCTTATTCTCGAGGAAGTTTGAGGCTCGAGGTGATATGCTCTTTCACAGAGCGTGTATGCAATGTTTTGTAAAGGATAATTCCCTTCCTTGAGATCTTCGTAACCGTTGTTTTGTGCAAACAAACTATCAAAGACGAGCCTGCGGCGGCCCTCTGCATCGCGGTCATAACATCGTAGAGCTGGGGGAGTTATTTTATAAAACTCTAGGTTTTGTTGTTGGCCTGGTGGGGGCTGGAACAGAACAATGGTTCGCAGCGGATGCTGAAAGGAAGTATATAATTTGTAGAGAATACCAGCAAGCTCAGGGTCCTTACGCCCTGCTTTGGCAAGTAGGCCGTGCAACTTCTGCCAAAACAAAGACAAAATACCGCGCGCTGCCGGTGTCAGATGGAGGAGCGAGATAGCAGACAGCTGTTCCTGAGGATAGAGTCCTGTAATCGAGTAGTATTTCAGAAGCCAGGATGTTGAAATAACCTCATTCCAGGCCAGACAAACAGCGCGACACGACCTGAGCAGCTCAAGCGGGGGGACGTGCCGAAGAATCAGCTCGAGTATCTCAGGAATAGAAAAAAGGCGCGAACAAGACGAAACTGGCACTCCTATGACCGAATTATGCATATGGTGTTAAAGTTCCTAGAACTAGCTGATGGTTGATTCCTAACCTGGGAGGAAAACGTCACGGCCGTCGGGGCAGGGTCAACGCTTTAATGTGTATGAGACCAGGATGGTGTTCATTGCATCGAATGCCTACTGTGTGTTAGTTTAACTCAACAACACATAAAGGGTCGAGCTAAGTCTGTTTAGTCTCAGGACTTTAAAGACTGTCGTGATACTAGCTTCAACTCTAAATGGGTGGCGGTTCATGATGCTAGGTGGAACAAAAGCGCCGGCGTGCCATCATCCTGCCATAGCCCGCAAACAGATTGGGTATGTTGAACCTGGCCAAACATACAGTGCTTTCATTATATAACGAGTAAATCGATAGCTACTATTATATGATATCACCCGTCCGCCACCAAATCACTGGACGGCTACTAGTCTAGCCTCTAACCAGGCTGTTAGCCCCGAGCTGCGAAACATACCCAGCATGATTGGCTTCTATCAGGCCAAAACAGGTTGTTAAGGGGTGAGACTGTCCATCCGTCCCATTATATTGTTCTAACAACGCCTTCGTAGCAGCCGCTGCCGATGCTGCCGCGAAATTCTGCCACTTTTTATTCTTGTGGCAGTCCGCATAATCGCAGACACCTTTAATAATGATCCATGGGGGGTTGTCCCAGATTCCTGCTCCTTCCATCTCAAAGGCAATGACGCCATAATGCTCGGCAATTTCATCACGATATATTCCCGATTTCATGACAGTATCTCCGGATCCCATTCGGCCGAAATGTATGATAGGATGGAAATGACCATCTAGCTCTGATATCTCAACCTCTGTCCTACGCGCTATCTTCTCCCTCAAAACAATCAGCTTTTCATCGCACCTGAGCTCGGTGCAGAGCGTTTCTAGAGCCTCACGACAGACAGGATCAGAGCCCTTGATGCACTTTTTGCAAATATCGCAGTCCGAAGAAGCATGATGTTTATGACGAGATGAAGCTTGGAACAGCGTATCCTCAGATGTACCTGGATACATGTATTTCTTAGCTTCCTCAGTAGAAATTCTTTGAATAGCCTGTAAGTGTTGGAAAGCTCGAGACTTGAGTGCTTTCATGTTGCGTGATGTTTGTATTTTACCAAGAAATGGGCTGATAATATATGTATTCGGTGTTTCGAAAGGCTTCTTGCAGTAGAATCCGTTGGGGAGCTGGCTACCGAAGTCGTACTGGGTGATTGAACTGCTGATTACAACGTCACCAAGTACGATGTCCTTTCCTTCACCATACGTAGGAACACCACCACATATACCGACCAAAAGAGTGAGTCTTATACCAGGGTAACTGATCAGTAGATTCGAAGATGCTTTGGCGGAATTAACTTTACCAGCGCCAGGAAGCAATGTAAGGACGACATTATGCTTTCCGATCCTGCCGTTTGTATAAGTGTTCTGATCCCCTTGAGCGCGCCTATATGGCGTCGCGCCCTCGGTTTCGTCCCAAAATTCGTCGATGAGTAATTCCACTGCCTCATACTCCGTCTGAAGAGCGCATATTATGGCTATTTCGAATTCACTCCGGCTTGTAGGGCGTTTATGTAGCCCCGGGACGTGTAGTACGTTCAAATCACTGCCAGTTCTTAGGCGAGGATTTCGAGCGTCCAAAGGGCCGGGAGAAGCCTGAAGGATCAGGGGACTGTAAGGGGATTGACATATAGGCACAGGGCTCATATTTTGCTGATATGGCACAGGAATAGACCCCGTTCCAATCGGGTTTAAAGTTGGTCCCCCACCGAAATGCCCAGGGTTCCCCCCGCGGTTGATAGGTAGCTCAGAAGCCACGTTTGGGATAGACATGAGATATTTCAATGGTCTGACGATTTCTTTGTAGATGATTGATTGTCGTATTTTTAAACCCTTCTGTGGCTCTTTAGGGTCGAATTGGGCATTTTCACGCTCGAAGAGTCTTGAATCAAGGCACTTCTCGATAACCCCTTTATAAATGACGTCGCAATTTAGTTCATTTTTTGCTATTGATGCCGATATAAAGCACTTCCTTGGTTTTTCATATGTATATGGCTCGTTGGCTCGAAATTCCTGTGGGAGCCGTCCCCCAATAATGTCAATTAGCATGACAGCTAAGGCGAGAATCCCGGGATAACGGTGGGAAAGAAGTTGGCCTGGGGATGTGAGAAAGTATTCGCCCACACAATTCTCGGAAGTCGTAAAGTGAGGCACAATATAGGGATTGTATGAGGCTAGAATGACGTTTTTGTGGTTTCTTGCAGCCTTTTCTTCTTCCAAAAAATGTATATCGTTATGAGTCCATGGGTTTCTCATCCATTTCGACCCATGATATTGCCAAACCGACTTTGCTAGGAGGTAAGCAAGCAAAAATTTATCTAATATCGACATTTGGGCTCGGAACTCTTCCAAGAACCTAGCGAACGAAATGCTTTGAGGAGACTTAATATTGCGGAAAGGGGTTGCTGCACACATATACTCTCTCAATATTGGAACTGAACTTGAATCCTCTAAAGATAAGTTAAACATTGAAGGTATACTTTTTCTGACGCTTAAATGCTTGCAAAGATCCCCATGGGCTAGAACTTCGCCTTCAGGGTGCTCTCGCGGTAGCCGTGGGCTTTCGGTATCCTGGAAAACTTGCTTCTTGCCAATTCTCTTTCTATCACCTTTAATTAGTTCTAGCAGCGGAATAAACGTTCAATAAGGGCGGTCTCTGGTATGCATACCGTACAAGTATCATTGTTTCCTGCCAACTTTCAGATTGCAGAGAGTAGTTTTGAAAATTTGTCGGCAACGAAGAAAACGCGAGCTCAAACGGAACACTCTCATCTTGGAACTCCTCTGTTGCATCTAGCCTCAACCTAGCTAGTTTCAAATGCTCAACATCGCAGCTACAGAATGTATGTTCCACAAGCGCGAAGTATAAACTTTCGTTAACGTGGGCTGGATAGCCAGGGGTTGCATTTTTTTCGCTCATCTTGTCGGTAAGCCCCATTTCGTCGGCGGTAAAACTTTGCGCCATTTTTGCACCATTCAGGATCTCAAGCAGCGCTTTGGCTTCGCCCTCATAGCACCTTTTGGAGAAGAAGTCCCTGAGGCCGCGGTAGGCGCAGGCGTACGATTGTTTGAGTGTTGCAGGGGATTTTAAACGGTCTCTAGCCTTTATTAGACCTTTTAATGTTGGAAATTCCAGGATTCTGCTTCTCGATATGTGACTAGCTCGGTTTGGGGCTCTCGGCCACTGATTTCATCACCTTGCATCAGATTGGTGCCGAGCTATATGCCTATGATTCCGCTGGACCATTTCTCTTATAGACTTACCGTGCACGCTTTCTCTAGCAGTTGTAAAACGTCCCGAGTCCTGTTTTCAAACATATCGGCTTTCTGGGGTGGAAGACTTGGTAGAGTCTCGATTGTGACAAGAGCTAATGTCAGCAAACCACTCAACCGGCCGAAATCTCCCTTTCTCGTGTCCTGCCCGAGCTGCGCAGCTAACTCGCTAATGATCGGGAAGACCATTTCGGCCATTTCTGATGGTGAATCATCCGTACCCGATAGCATGGCGTGTCTCGAGTTAGCTCGGCCGATTATAACAGTCCAAATTTGGCCTGCACAAATCTAGACGATTTATTGGGTTCCGCAACACAAGCCACCTGAGTATAGGTTATAAGTAGTCCCAAGGCCGGGTGATGTGCAAGTCGTAAGCTATTATATATTATTTCTATCGATGCCGAATAGCGCATCGGGATACTCGCATGGTAGAGGGTTCTGTCGAGCTATTGCGAGTTAGAGCCAGGGTGTGCCGGTTTGGATATTGGATGAGTGAACTCGTTCAGACCCCTCAATCTTGCAGCAACAATTATAACGAGTACTTAGATACTCGTACGCCCCATATAGAATTCTTGGTAAACCTAAGTATCGGATCTGGATTTGTCTGCAGCCTGGTCGACCCCGCACCATGAGCACGCTGAGTCAGCTCCATGCTGCACCTTCTACAACACAGCTCCATCGCTAAACACGAGTTATTTATTTATATCATATCATACTTTGTATTTGGGTTTTATTCATTTTCTAGAGATATGTATTTCTCCACGACAAGTAATATGGAGAGCCCACGGATTATTTACACGACGGCGGTTGAGTGTCGGCGAAGTTTAGCGCGGTGTATTGAGGTACCTCGCCTAATGGCTGATGGGTGGGCGGAAAACAGGCTCGTCGATTTCGATCTTTGGTCAGCTGGTGCTGGTGTTTCCGCGCATGGAAAGCTATCTCTCGATGAGCGACTTGCTTCAAAGCCAAATATTAGAGATGGTATCGTTAGACTCATAAATCTTCTCAAGGTTTTCATCGACGAATGCCAAGGAAAGGGTGTGGTTCGAATTCAGTCATAAGCTTAATAAAATACTATAACTGATCTAGATCTACTGTAGAGAACGATGAGAACGCTGAAATCCTGCACGAAAAGAATTCTATTGATAAAATCGGTCTGGATATAGACGAAGTAGAATCTGGGAGTGATGACATGGACCGTGACGAAGATCCTCTTGAGTCACAATCGAGAAGAGAGCAAGAAGCAAAAAGCAATGTCGAGCTTATGCTAGGCCAGATTATTGGTGTGACCGTCGCGATCCGGAAAGCAGGCTCTAGTTCGAGATTATTAAGGGCAGATAAGACTTTTAACCCACAAGTTCCGGTGCTTCAAGAGCTTAAAGCGTTTCTAGAGCTAGTCATATATCCAACGGGGCTCAAAACGAGTGATAACCCGCTATCAGAGGTCCAAAAGCGGCTGATTGACGTTAATTTACGATGGAGGAACCGATATCTATATGCTAAAGAGCACTCCAAAAGACTTGCGTCATCTAGGGGCGCAATTGATGACTGGCATGGGGAAAAAGAACTTTCGTTTGAGCAGCCTACAACAGACCCGACTACTTCCAGCCATGGAACCAAAGGTCCCCAATTACCAACCATTACTTCTTTAAAAGCGGGATTGGTAAGAGGAGACCCTTGTAAGGACCCCAAAATGGCTATACCAGCAAGTACTACGGCGTCTGCAATCGAGGGCACTGTTGTTGTATCAATGGCTATGGCAAGTGTAACCAGAGGTCCGGGCCCTGCTACAGAAATATCACGTATAACCTCAAAGATTGTGTACCCCAACCCTCCGCCAGTTCAACGAGATAAGCAAGCATTTACATGTCCTTGCTGCTGCAAATCACTACCCGTCTCTTTAACAGAACGGAGCCAATGGAAGTAATTATTTAACGATCCAGCTCCGTATATGATGAAGCACTTACTAATATCTAGCTTGGAATAGGAAGCATATTGCCGGGGATGTTTGTCCTTATACATGCCCTTTCCTAGAATGCTCTCAACCTTTCCAAACATATGTTTCTCGCGCGGAGTGGGAACGTCATATTAAAAGTGAACACTCCAAAGTCTGGAAGTGTTTTATCTGCCATGAAGTCAACAAATATGTTGAGCTGAGCACCCAAAATGAAATGGAAAGTCACCTAAGAGCCATACATGGTGATGCTGTTGAGGAGAGTGAGATATCGTTATTCGCAGATGCATCTTCCTACTCGAAAACCCCGGAGTTACAGTGTCCCGTATGCCCTGGAGTTCACGACGAAACTGACAATCTTGAACATATTGCCCGCTGTATTCATGATTTCTCGTTAAGGTCACTTCCTTTTTCATCCGACAGTAACCCGGCAGAAGAAGAATATTTCGCCGAAACCAGCAGCCATAATTATGGCGACTATTCCGACTCGTCATCGGTCTTCAATCAAAGCGATTCTGAAGAGCTGCTAGATCTATCCTTTGAGAGTGATTCGAAGCTACTCGATGGATTAGGGCTCACTGAGCTAACAGCCGAGGGTTTGGAGTCTCTATCACAGTCTTTAGGTGATCTGGGCGCCCTAAACGCATCTGTCACTTATCCTGGAACAGTAGAACAATGGATACCACCTCAAGACTTGCCCCATATCCAGATCTGGAAGCCTCAAAGCTTGGACGATCATTTGCATTCCGACCGTCAGGATATTATGAGCTGGCTTTGCCCGATTGATTATCAGGAACGATTTAGAGAGAGACTGCCTCGAAACTTCAAGGAAACTGGGAAGTGGCTTCTGGGAGGTCGAACATTTCAATCCTGGCTGCAGGGTAAAAATACAATGCTGTTCTGTTCTGGAATACCAGGCTCTGGGAAAACGACAATTTCGTCGGTTGTGGCTAGTCACATAATGCAACTCTGCGCCGAGGACAAATTTCCGGATGACAGGACGGGAATAGCAGTCTTATGCTGTCGCCTTGAAGATGAAAGAAAATATGGGCTGCGCGAGTTGCTTCTTTCAATCGTCGGACAGTTGGCGATGTCGCAGCCGACTGTTCCTGATTCTATCAGGGATTTATATTTTCGATATACATCAAACCCAGATACGCCACTTTCCGCATCAGAGATTTCTGACGAGATTTCTGTTGCGATAAAAGAATTGTCGCGAGTTTTCATAATTGTCGATGGCCTAGAGCAGAGCCATGAACTCAATGTTTTCGGAAGCTTTTTAGTAATAATGGGTAACAATACAGCGAATTGGAGTCCTAGAGTACGACTCATGATGACGGTACCGGCCGGTCTCGATGAGCTCGGGTTACAATTTTTAGCCATACCGGTAAAAGTGAAACCGCATCGAGAAGATGTAGAAATATATCTTAACAGCCAAACTCCATATCTACCAAAACCGCTTTGCCATGATCTCAAACTGTGGGAGAAGGTTAAATCCCGAATTTTGAGTGTAACTCATGAAAAGTAAGTGTCCACTGGAGCCTATGACGTGTGGTGATGATGCACCCTAACCATAACTCGGTCCGCGAATTTAGATGGGTGGCGATTGAGTCCCATATCAACGCTGCTACCCAAGTCAAGACTCCTGAAGAGTGTATCAGGACCTTGGCTGCATCTGATATTTCTAACGAGGAAGATGAACTTAACGCGCTATATGATAATTTCATTGAAATAATCAACGCACAGGAGGATTATGTCCGCTCACTGGCACAATCGGCACTTCTTTGGGTGGTGAGTGCGAAAAGGCCACTCTCATCGAATGAACTTAGGTACATCTTAGAGTGGAAGCTTGGATCATTGGGATCTAATACGCATTGCAGCGTGCGAATAAAGGACGCCTTGGCTGCTTGTTTTAATTTAATTACGGTCAGCCCGGACAACGATACTATTCAGTTAGCCCACCACAGCGAAAACGATTATCTTCTGCGCTATTTTTCGTCGCAGTTCAATGATACCGGAGATCATGAGATCGAGATTGCTAGATCTTGTCTTCTATATTCTCTTGAGAGTAAATCATTTAACCAGATAAATCAGCCTCCAGCCGAAGACATTGACTACGTGCCCCTCCGAGCGGCTTACCTGTTTGGGAATTGGCCCTTTTTAAACTATACGACTTCCTACTGGGCGGAACATCTTAAAAGCGTACAAGAGAAAATCTCAGATGTTGCTATACGTTTTTTAACCGATCCTTGGACGGTTTCCCTTGCGGGCCAGGCATTTTGGGGATCATCAAACTCAGGATACAAGGGAGTACATTTAGCAGCATATTGTGGGCTTGAGCACATATTGGCTCTTCTTTTAGGAGACCGGGCCATAGTTTTTTCAGATGACAGAGGTTGGACACCACTTTGTTATGCTGTGCAAGGCCGTCAACCCCAAACGGTAAAATGGTTGCTTGAATTCGGCGCTCGTGCAGAGGAAAGAGAAAAAACTCGGCTAGCTACACGAGATACGATTCGAAGGGCTACAGCCTTGAACATAGCTAAGGAAATTTGTGACGAAGAAATTATCAGCATTTTGACATTGAACATGGAGGAAGTATGTTCTAATCTTTTTCTTTGACGTACTAACACAGCTACAAAGCTAATTAATATCGTGGCATAGCAGGCAAATACTCGAATTAGGTCTGACGAACTAGAATTTTCACCAAGACCGAGGTTCCGCTGTAGATTCCCCGGCTGCGAATTTCAATACATCACTATGGACAGTTTCCGGAAACATGAGCGGAATTGCATGTACAGCTCCGGTTCGAAAATTTATGTCGCTTCCTGTCTATACCCAGGTTGTCACAGTGCCAGGAGGAGCCCTAACAAAATAACGGCTGTGAACAATCTGATGTTGCACCAAAAGGCCGCTTGCAGAAATAGGAGACACGATTCCTGGCTTCTTGATGCAGACATAGATACTAGATTGAAGGTTGAGTAATTCGAAAGGCATGGTTGAATCTATCGATTCCACTGGCACGCTAACGATGGATGATGATACCCTTCCTTTCTGACGTTCGAAGCTGCTATGCACATTACATCGTCAGGGGTCACTCATATGATACTTTTCTGTTTCCTCCTGGGCAGCTAGGATTAAGAGCGCCCTAAGGCCCCAATCAAGATCCGCATATTTATATATCCCAATTTACCCATCGCGATATCATCAATAAAATTCCTATTCTCGCTCGGGCGGTGGTGCTTTGATCGGCATGTGAGCTTCTATCCTCGAGACTGGGGGTTATATAGAACCCAACGTATTGAAGCCTCTCTGCTCCGGCTACTCCTCTGTTAGTACTATCTTTAAAGTTGAACCTAAAAACCTATAAAAGCCTAATCGACCTCTTGCCGTAAATTCGAACCCGGAAGTTTCATAAAGCTTATCGCTCCCTTACTTACGGTGGTGCCCTGAACCCACTATACCGAGGACAGCTAAGGTATATATATATATATATATCGATATATACAGATGTAATAGTCTTGTAAGCAGATGTATCCTTCTACTCTGGAGCTTCGTGGTTATGGGATGCGGTAGAAGATGCTAATCTGACGCGTCGAGTAGTGATTGAAGGCGACAATGGGAGGTTGGTAATTGATAAAGGAGATGGAGGACGTCGTCCAATTGGCCAAGCCGAGCAGGACGACGTAGCAAAAAAATAATACTTGAACGACACAGCGTTGCCGCTGAGTGCATACGCCGAGTAGCAATATTATAATGCTTTGAAGTCTATTCTCGTTAAAACTGCGAACGTTGTTATCTCGGTGACTCGATACTGCTAAGCAGTATAATATTCTGTTCGTATCACGGGGTTTACTTCTCATCTCGACCCTATAGATCTAGCCTTCACATTACTATTTATTATGTCACAGAAAAACCGATACTGTATTCTGCGGATTACGTATGTGCATATTAAGGATAAGAGAAAGACCCCAGAAAAATGTCTCCGCAGAGAAAAAGGTCGGTACTTCCGCCGTAGTTTCACCACTTAACGTTACTAATATCTTGAAATGGGACTATAACTAACTTTCCTTCGCACAAATTGGCTGTAGTCTAGTACTCAGATGAATCAGTAACGTGAAATATGGTCCATTATTTCTTGGAAGAAATTTTTGCCAGTTGAAAAAAGCCGATAATCGATTTCGCGGTACACGTAATGCATCAAATGATATACACCGTAATACTGACCTCCAAAAAGATATATTGAAAGCTTATGATCTAACGCTAGTTAACATGATAGCCTTTAATTATAAGATCACAAGCTGCAAAACCCCCACCTGTCTCAAAATTGTATACAAACTAATATAGGAAAACAAAGCAAGTAAACCGAAATTCACGCTTGAATGAGCCGTTCGCCCTATCAAAATAAAAAAAATCAGTAGAAATAGAAAAGCAAAAATCAAGAAAGAAACCTAGAAAGAGAATCAAAATCATAGCGCATCCCAAGCTTGTCTGCAGTTAGTATGTAAAAGAATATTGTACTGCCCTCCGTCACATTCCAATCTCACGGACCCACCATTTTTCATATTGAACAAAATCGCAAATTTTTCGACGTCCACGTGTCCCCGTCGTTCATCTGCTACTACACTTTGTCTGTCAGTCTCCTCCAATATTTCATCTCGTCCATACACATCATCTGTGAAAACTGCCCAGGCTTTCTTGTAAACAGCCCATAGATTCAAGAAGTCAGTATCATGGTGGCGTGCAATCCGAGATTCCTCAACAAGTAAGATAATCTCCTTTCTGTCCAATAGTTTATCTAATAATCGGTGATAGGCCTTGAAACATTGGATGTAAAGGATGTTGGGGAGCAAACTTTCTTTGCAGGGAGGATAGGCACCAAATTTTTGCTCAAAGAGAGAGCAACCACGGGCTTCCACTTTTTGTTGATCTAGATTTGTGGCTTTGGTGAGAAGGATGCTTCGAGACATATCTGAGTCAACCCCGAGATATGGGAAAACAGAAATCTTGATCGCGAGGGGAAGGAAGCTCGTATATAAGCCGAACAGCTTATCCAAAAGCCCAGCATCAGGGCACCATTCTTGGCATGCATCCTCTCTTAAAGATTGATCCTTTTGTTCTGCGTAGAGGCGAAGCAACTTGCGCCAGAACAACTCAAGGAAGTATTGTGCAAAGGGTGCCAAAAATAAAGTCAGGAATCTGCCGCACTCAGACCGCGATGTAACCAAATCTTCACAAGCGAGAGTGCGGTTGATATGGCTTTGCACGAAAGACGACTTCTCGATGATATTCTTCCAGCGTTGACAAACTTGGCGGTCGTCAAGGATCAAGTCAAGGACTGGTACTTGCATGAGTATCTTCTCAACAATCTCTGTAATGAAGAAAACAGTTGATGCTTCTCCGATCTGTAGAGACGTCACTTGGTTCTTTGGCTCTCTTAGAGCATCACATTCATCAACGGCCTGGGGATTGATATCCACGACCTTTGGTTCCGGGAAACCTGCATCGGGGTTAATCAGGAGTGGATTATTGTTGGAACCAGCCACTTGAGCTTGGAATCTTTCAATGCTGAAGTAATTAAAGCAATAAAGCTTTGGGTTAGCACAAGTCACTTGACATGATCTTCACATGCACACGAGACAGGCAAAACAAAGGCTATTCGAAAGTTGAAAGCATTATTGCATGCTTATCAAATATTATTACTTACCGTTCCTGCAGAGCTTGCTGATCATCAGCAGAATCATAATTTACTTCACCATCATTAGGTTCATAGGATCCGTCATCGGCTTCGTAGGCCCCATCGAATGGTAGAATCAATGGACCTGGTCCGCGTTCACGTGGTGGGGTTTCTCTGAACATGGCTCTAAGGGCCGCCCCAGCAATATGATCACGGATCATTTGCTCCATCTCTAAGAATGAGCCGTTAAATCTAACATCGCGGGTGGTCAGTACACTTAAAAACTGGCGACTATATCTAGTCATCAGTCATATACTACCTTGATATATCAGTCAATATATAATAGCTGGGGAAATAAGCGAGGGAAAATTCTGAGGCTGGTTTGCCAGGAAGGGAAATTTTCTAGTTAGATTAGATAGGAAGTGCAAAAGGCGTGCTAGGAATGGAGCGGGGAAGATAGATGTTGTTTAGTTAGTTTTGTGTATTTTGGCTCAAAGGAACGGAAAAATCCTGAGGATTATATAAGCGTGCAGAGGTGTTTATTTAGTGGAAGGAGAATTAGATAGAAGAGGGGGAGCTTTATGTAGTTCCAAGGAGAGTGTGCGAGGGAAACTTTTGAATTATGGCATAGTATTTGTATATGCTGCACGCACTATGCTAGACGATCGCGATGTGCTACTGTGGTTTCAGGGTATAACAGCCTTCAATAATGGAATAAATAATCAAATTATATGTACTGCACTAAAATATATACAAAATTATTGTCCCGTGATATTAAATAGGTAAATAGTAAGGGACCTCTAATCCAGTAGGCTATGCAACAGCTACTCTCTATATCCATGGTAGTGTAGTCTCAAGCCATACTCCTCATGACAACGGTCTATTCATCTAAACCATATTTCTCGCGATGATGGCTTCCAAGACAGACTCGTAGCTCCATGTAAGGTCACGAGCACCTTGGTTGAACCCGGTGTAACGGTTGAACTGCTCGCTCATGTTACCTTCATGGAAAACATGTCGTTGAATAACGGCCATAAATGCGTCACCGAGGCTCTTGAAGCTGCTGACAATATTGTTGAACTCCTGGCTTCCGGCTTTGTAGTTTCCAGGGGCAGCAGATGGGTAGGCACGCTTGAAGAGATTGAGGGCGACAGGGGTAACATTGATGGATTGAGCAGCCTTGAATTCCGAGGCAGCAGTGTAGAAAACGTGGGCAACGGTGGCAGTACAGATGAACCATGGGTTGCCCTCGCCGTTGGTGGCATGGCCGTCATAAGTCTATTGATTATCATAAATCAGTACGAGTCCCTCAATTCTTCATTATATCAGGGATGTAATAGAACTTACATCTTCGGCATAACGTCCGATACCAAATCCAGGGCCCTTAGCATTTCTGTTCAGGGCATACAAGCTCTGGAAAGTAGAGATGAGAGCCTCAGTAGTAGCCAAGACTTCCTCACCGCTTGGCTTGAAGATATATGGGGCCTTCAAGGCACCGAGAAGAACACCGCAGTCCAATCCGGAACGGCCGTGGATGTTGTGAGTCTCGACGATATATCCCTTATCAGCTCTCCAGAAGCCCTTGATAGTAGCAACCATGCTTTCAGCGGTCTTCTTATACCTCTCGGCAGCGCTGTTATCGCCCATAAGCTTGGCGAACTCGGCACCCTCAATCATGGAGCGGTAGGCGACAATGATGGTGAAGTAATGTTGGCCCTGGATCTCTTCCCAGAGATCGAAAGAAGAGTGGGACCAGTAAGACACAACGTACTCGAGATCGGCCTTGATGATAGCTTGGAGCTTATTGCGGACGTAGTCGTTGTCAACCTTGATATAGGCAGTGGCGAACTTCATGAGGGTGTTGGCTCTACAAGGGTGTTAGTATCCAGCTGTTTTACAATTTGCCAATGCAAAACGCGGTGTGCATTTGATTATACCTCAATGGTGGGCCATCACGTTGGGGCCGTCCCCATGATCCAGTGAAAGCGGTGCCGTCAACGTGGAACTTTGGCTCTCCGAGACCTCCAGTGCTGAATCCACCGCTCGGGTTATCGATCTTTTGTAATTTCTATATCCACTTATGTTAGCACCGCTTCACCTATTATCTAAATAAGAATATTCAAATAGAACACACCTCTTGAGACTCAATCCAATCCTTGATGTATTCGAGATCCGATCCATCTCTGACATAGTTTCCAACAACGTGCTCCATGACTGTAGCGGCATCACGGATCCACTGATACCAGTAGTCAGGGTCATGGGTAGATGGAGAAGCGATAACGACTCCCTTGGGAATCTTGGTGTTCTGGCTTGATCCAATGTTACGCTTCAAGGCAGCCTCAGCGAAGGTATACTCGCTAGCAAGCCAGTTCTCGAGGGTTGGGGCCTTCTTGGGGGAGACCTTAATCCTGATACGACCTGGGCCAGTGACAATTGGTGGCACTATAAATTTCGTTAGTGGGCCCTTTATATTCAATGGAGCAAAGATTTCTATAACTTACAAACTGCAGTTCGAGTAGTAACAATTGGGCCGACAATGGGAGTGCGAGTGGAAACGCTTGGGGGTGGAACGGGAGTGCGGGTGGAAACGGTTGGGGGTGGAACGGGAGTACGAGTTGTAACAGGTTCATCGCCTCGAGGGATGCTGTAGTAATAACCCTGTGGTGGATCATAGAAGTACTGGCGGTTGACAGTGTATCTGAGGTAGAACCATCTAGCATCCGGTGCCCGTCCTCTGAAGACCCAATCTTCCCAGCCATTCCTGTCTGGGCCGGCGATACGGCTAGCAGCGACAGGCTGCGTTTCCCATCTTTGCCTTGTGCCGTAGAATATTTCGACGTGTTTGTACGATCCGAGATTCAAGATCTAGTGCCAACTGTCAGCATCATTTTTCGTGTATAGTTTTGAAATCCAGAAATCAGACTTACAGTGGCATTACCAGAGAGAATCTCATCCCGCCCGTATTCCCACTCTCTCACATATGCTTCGCCCGCACGCTTCTCGATGGCACCAGCATTGGCGCATGTTAAGAAGACGCTTAATGCCCCAACTAGGGTTGATAACTTGAAGTTGAACCTCATGATGACCGTATCTAAGGTTGTCGAGCAACTGAATAACAATTTCCCACACAGCTTGAAGAAAAAAATGTTTAAACCCCGTGCGAACCCAAAGCTTATATATTTTTGACAGCTTACCCCAGAATTTCTGCCCCAAAGCCGACGTGTAGTCTACTGGCGAACATGTGCTTCTTAGAAATTTGCGCTCAAGAAAACGCCAAATCTGGGCAGTAAGTTGAACTAGGCCATGGGCCGTTACATAGATAGCACATTGTCCGTGGATTAGTGCAAACAAAAAAAAGGTTGGATCGGCCAACCCATACCCTGGTAGCTTGGGAGCTTAAACACAAGCCCTTGGGTGGGGGATTGGGAATCTGATAAATTTCCCCGAACAGGGGCATTAATAATCGAATACGGGGCATGAATATGGGGTGTAAGCAAGGGACGGCCATAAAACCCGCAGAAAAAGCGGCATGTGAGTGCCATCCCAGGCCCATGTGTTAGGAAAGATGGACTTCGGTTAGAAAGGGAGGCGGAATAACCCTTGCTACTCTACTTCACCGGAGGGATATAGCATGAAAGGTCGTGATACTGAATTTCAATATCACCTTTATGTGTCAATGCTAGACATTGCCTGTGGTGGATTTGATTCGAAGGATGTGGGGAATATCCAGATGATGGCAGGGAGCACTCCAAGCACCCAAGCGACGGGAAGAGAAGGCACATAAACTTGGTTCATGCCGGTTGCCTTTCGGGCCCTAGTATTTTCGAGTTGGTATTCTCCGATTGTGGGGTTACCGACTTAAAAGATCCCTGCAAGCCATTCGAAAAGCTTTGACAGGGGTAATGCTGCAAGACGGTTGACATGTGCATCTGCAATAGCGAGATACCACATTTGGATATGTGCCAAAGAAAATCTTGATTCTTACTCTATCGACCATAATGCTGATTGATGCCCTCACAGATTAGTTGAAGTTTGATACATGACGTCGTATACCCCCAGTTTTGCGACTTTAGATCCCGTGTCGACAACATGCACCAAGAATCTGACGTCAGTACGGCGAGGCCAATGTCGTGATGGCAGTGCACTAGCCGTCGTTGGTAAGGTTAAGTTACCGCCTGCATAAAATTTTGTGTAAACTGCGCGCTTTTCCCCCAGCTTCTTGCTCTTGGGGGGACTTAGGTATTGCTCTAATTGAGTCGCTAGATGAAGACGCCAAGTTGAGGTTTTAACTATCTTGTGATAGTAAGTTGCAACTGTAATTCTTCACGTGAGGCATAGAAAAAGGAATCTTTGACCTCCTTACCTTGGAATATGTTTCTTCAACTTGTTTCAGAATGATCTGACCTTTTTAACTTCCGAGATGCCGTGGTGGCCGCTGACGCAGACTGCTCACGAAACGCTAAAACATAGCAGCTATGGTTCTAAGAGCATGAACTCCAACATTGTCTCTCCTCCCATTTTTTCAGCAGCCTGCCAGATGTAAGAACGTCTTTCAGCACAAAATCCCCACATGCCAATTCTAGTATCCTGCAAGGGACCCAGATACATTTCGCCTGCCTCTTCGGGATCACCAACACATACGCAACAAAACCTACAGATTTTACACTGTCTTTTGTCGACTCTATGTTATACTTCATTGCTGCCTTCAATAGGCCCCAATGACGGTCGCTGCAATCCCAGGGGATCTACTAACTGTCAAAATCTTCCTCGAAGATGGTGGCCTTCGCTTCTGTATGTCTATGCAATGCAATGCAAGTTTATCGTTCCGTTTGTGCCTAGGGTTTCGATATGGCATCGAAAGTTGTGGTCCCTATACTCGTGCCCGTTAATCCTTCTCAACTTTAGTAGATGATTTGTAGAAAGCGCTTGAAGAGGACAGGCGTTCTCAATCGTGGCCGAAAAATTTCCTTAATCCCTGTTATTTTGACCGGGCGGAGTTAATCCGTGATTCTTCCTTGGAACATAACCTCCTTCTATTCACGTCCTAGGGCCGAAAGATGTCGGGGTCTGGCCGGCACTTGTGGTAATACTACCTTGGATCGATTGGCAAAGGAAACGCTAGTCTACTTGAAGCTTCACGAACTAAAATGGTTTGGTGTTTCGAGGTACTTGCCTTTTTGGGCATAAAACTCAGAATCCAACAAAGCCTAATGGTTTTGTGCGTTGTGTGGCTTGATGAGAAACCGCCACACAACATTCACTGTGGCTGATAATCCTGGGGGTATGCGCTGTGAGATTCGTAGGCTAGTCACATCCTCAAGCGCCAGTTGGACGAAGACAAGCAATTCGAATTTTCTATAGTGAGTTTTATTTTGGTTTATGAAGCAACTTTTTCTATTATGCGGAGTTTATCTCAAACCAGATTTCGGAATTCAAAAAAAACCAATATATTAATACGACGACTTAAATACAATTCTCAGTGTACAAATAATGGTACAGGTAACCTCGAATACAGGCGCGGTACAGGCGATAAAGTGAAACAAAACTGCAGCTCCTGCATATGTGCACATCATCTAATTATACAATCCAAAGTGCAAATCGGAATGCCAGTGTGCCCCTAAAACAACACCCTCCGATACCCTCCACGCACACATTTACCAACAGCACATCCTTCACATAGATCGGTTTCATGCGGTGGTGTAGGTTTCTCGCCTGTCCGCGGCTCTGGAATTAATTCTCCCTTCCAAATCGCCAGCCTCCTGGCAACTCTTTCAACATAAGTGTCCACGTCCAAAGTCAAATGTCCCAGACTCTTACATTTCGCACATCGCTGATTGAAAACCTCAGCGCTATATCCGAGTTGACCGTTTTTTTGTTCGTACCCTCGAATAGCAGTGGCGACTTTCCCAGTGGTCCACTCCCTCCCACAGTTAGAGCATTTCAAAGAGCCGACAAGCCATGTTTCATTGTAGCGTGTGCCATCCGCGGTACTTGATTTGAATACAATGTTCTTGACCTCCTCGGCAACCAAGTGGTGATACTCTGGAAACAGATAACTCTTCTTAGTTGCATTTTTAGGTTTTTTACGTGGCTTCTTCTTTTTCACCGGCGGATGAGCGTCTGGCGCAGCTGGCTCCGAGACCCGGTTCTCATCAAAATCGTTGCCGCCACGATTGCCCTCGGCTCGATTAGTAGTGGAATTGCTACCCCCGCCACTATTCATCCGTAAGATCGCCATCGTATTGATTAGATCCAATAGAGCCGCTGTAGTAGAGGCAACCGCCCCTGCCACCTCTTCTGCCACTGCCTCTGCCTCCGCCCTTTTCCGTCGTACTCTTTCTTCATTAATCATCCGTCTTTGGGCACGTGTATATGCCTGTATGGTGAGTCTATTCAAGTCGTGTCTGTCCATTTTCCGAAGCCCGGCACCGAATTTTTCATCGGCACCCGCCATATTGATACGTTATCAAGTCGACAGTTCTGGCCCTCTTGGTATTTTTAATTTTTTTTTATTTTTTTTGGTTTTCGACCATGTCCCCGAGGCTTCGAGGTATATTAGGGATGTATAAAAAGTATCGAAGGGTTTCGAGGATTGTTATTGGCTAGTATAACGCCTGAATCTCTATAATTATATTAGCGGTTGCTCTTCTCCACAGGAATCGCGGATGGAGGCATACGAACCAAACTCATTTATACTACATAGCCGGGTCGTGAATGTAAAATCTTTGACAAGAATACCCTCCCACCACTTTCCCTCCAGAAATTGGTCTTTCTCGAATTTATAAGAAATCTAAGATCTAAGAGAAAATCAATAATATATCTAAGTTATTATAAATAGTCGGGTTTCGAGTGGCACAGGTGGCCTAGGTGCCGTATCCAATAACACGTGACCGCATGATTAACTTGGCAGATCAAATGTTGCCTGAAGTTTTAGCGCCTGCAAGCTGTTCTGACGTCGACACGTTAACGCCTAACTGAAAAAAAGTACTTCATTATATATCATTCTGCAACGAGTCCAATGTGCGTCTTAAGAAGTTATTCTGTAAGACATTTAGGACGTCTGCTAATCAAGAATTTGACCGGCTAGCCGCTATTGATTTTCCTTTTGTTCTGACCTTTGCTAGTGAACTTCAACAATACCCTACCGAGTCAACCTATTGTACAAATCCGTGCGCTTCCCACTATCGAAAGTTTCGAAAACCATCCTTACAGTCATAACTTATTCAGAGACACACGATCATCCCCCGATGTACTCTCCAGCATACCCCATAACAACCCCTTTCCTCGCCGTCTCCGACATAAACCTCTCCATCAGAACAACCGTCGACACAAAAACCCCGACATACATGAAAGAAAAGATCAGACACGAAAGAGAGTCACAGCCCACTGGCGGACCCTTCGTAGGCGTAGCAGCCGATGACCGGCCGTTCATGTACACCATGAATTGAATGAAGTGCATACACATTCCAACACTCGATATCGCTAAAGCCCCATAATATCCCAGAAACAACTTCGGCTTGGACAATATTTCTTCCCTTGCGTTAGGGGAGAGTGCTTTATGCTGAAATACTATCTTCTTATGTCCCGGTGGCCCCTCCGCGATAATTGTATAATGCCCGTATACGTACCCAACCTCTACAAGGGCTAAGACACCAATCATGACGAAGGCGGTAGAGAATAATGTGATAAGATCTAGAAAGTTGTTGGTGTCATAATAGACCCAATGAATGAGCCTTTGGGGAGCCATTCGAGAAGGGATACGACGCATGACCATCATGAAGAAACCATAGCAGTACCCCATTAGTGCATGAAAACCTCGAATAGGCCGATACCGATCCAAATACCATTCCGAATTAAGTATCCCCATAAATGGCCAATGCTCGCCGAGCTCATGGAAGTTTTCATGCTCTGTTGGGTCGAAGCCGATTTGTCGCTCTTCATCCACACTTTTAAGCCTATGCAGAGCCTCCTGCAGGATTTGTTCGGCTATCAATGTACTCTCGGTGGGTTTGTTTGCCAGTCGCTGTCTAAGCTCTGATAGTCTTGTGCACGCACGATATTAGTCGAAATCCTGCCTCAAATATACAAGAGACTATTATATTATACCTTTCCATTTGTCTTAATACGCCCCTTCCATACCCAGGTGCGTTCCCTTCAGGTGACCAACCCGCGCCCCGTGGGAATGTCCAGCCGCCGAACGAATGTGTCGGTGCGGATTTGAGCTCTCGCCTTGGTTCTAGCGCGCCATCCGTCATTTGCATATCGCCCACGGGTCTTCTATCTATGCCTCTCGCAGGCTCGAAGTTTAAGTCATTTATTGACTGAATGGGCGTAGGCAACCCCTCGGATCTTACTCGGCGTCCTCGGTACGGCAGCGGGTATGTCTCTATCGAAATAACTTCAAGTTAGACTTCTATGTTGTCATTGGAATCGACTCGTGCGCCATTTGGTTATATACCTTCAATTAGCCCTGCATTAGTACTTGATGAACTAGAGGAACCCGTGTCTGTAGTGATTTGGTGCTCCGTGCCGCGGATGTGGCTAAGGGAGGGTAAAGAAGCAGTTCGCCAATTTCGACGTCGAGACATATTGGTATTGAATATTTATATCGCCGGGGACGCAAAGGTACTTATAAAAGGGATAATAGTGAAGCTTCGATGCACTCTCCGCTCCCGTTTCCTAGATGGATCACATTTTACTTGATTATTAATTCATGTATCTTTTCCACCGGTGCAATATTCCAAGATCAGCCAACCTCTATAACCTTGTGATAATCAGTCACTCAAAACCTTTCGAAATTTCGTAATAAATGCCAAAATTTTAGAAATAGATACAAAGCCAATATTAATAGCGCCCGCTCACATAGGTCTACCTTCTATCAACCATCCAAACCCCCCAGAACGTCACCGCCATAATAGCTCCCACTGCCAAATCCACCAAAAAAGAACCACCCCTCTTGGGAAACCTCCACGTGCCCAGTGCCCCGAGCCCATGTACTCTATCCACAATCTCATAAACCATATTCATCCAACTAGTAAGCAATATCCCTGGTACCATAACATACGCAACTATCAACAAAGCATACGCCACATCCTTCCTCTCCTTGCCGGTTTCCTTGTTTTTGAAAGTAAGGTATTGAGAGTAGAAGAATAAAGCTAGAAAAAAAGTTATGGTGTAGATGAACTTTAAAGAATATTTTATAACGGTAATAATCGTGCAGAATGACGCAAGAAGCGGCCGAAGTTTCCTATGATCTATTATACATAAGTATATAGCGTCAGCACTTGCCTTCGCGTTAGGGATTTATATTTTCAATAGACAAGAGAGAGAAAACATACCATTCCGACAATCATCCCTAGATGGGCAAGTATACCTCTTCCCCTTCAAAATCTTCTTTGACAGTAAGAACTGCTGTAACCACTCATCGGGTTTGTTCAAGGGATTCTTTGTCCTTCTATTTTCGATGGATGCGTCTGCATCCATATCGTCATAACTCGGTGGTTTCGACATCGTCTATCTAAATTCCTAGTACTCCGAATACAACAACTAGAAATCTATCCCCGATGACTTTGCGAAGATATTAAAAATATGAGGGATGAGCCCTCCGACGAGGCATCCTGTGGAATACAGTGACTTTCGCACGGTTATATAAGGGTGTTACAAACTATTGTCTACGGAATTCACGGCCCCTGACCGACGCTTTTTATAGTACTTTTCTCTTTTCGCGATCGCAATAACCTTGGCGAATGTATTCGCGCTGTGCGATATGTGGTTCGTTCACAGCGTCCCCGCTGTTCGCCATTGTGGAGTGATTATTTAATGAGGCCCAGCGCCAGCCGTATTCGCTTTTTGGGTCTCAACACAGCCGGCTTTTGTGGTCGTTCGCTGGATTCGTCTAAGTTTAGATTTTAGCGTAACGCTAGTTGTGAGTCTAGCCTAATATGGACTCAAAGAGCCGTTTCAATTGGTTGGATTGGGCTTGGCATTCCTGACATATGCAGCCAGCGACATGGTATATTTCTGGTCTGAAGTTTTTCGAACTGCCACCATATCAGAGGAACAATCTTCAAGAGATTTTCCATAAGACCTTAGCTTGGGGATTGGTTTACGGGACAATCTTACATCGTAGAAAAACGATTCTAAACTTTTAAGTCCCTAGATGCAGTCTATCAAAATTCACTTAGTATATACCTAGTATCCAATTCTATTTTCGGTCTTTACGTTGGCAACAGGTGTTTCAATATCAACGGGTTGATGTGTACATGTAGAGGAACGCCCATATGGTTATGCATGTGTGTGTGTGTGTGTAATCATCTCCAAAGGGCGGCACCTGATTGTAGACCATGGTAAATGGACGGATCACATTTTGACTGAAATCTCAATTTAACCCAAAAATGACCGGACTACGGCACAATTTTTTGATATAGCTCGTCATAATCTCTAGCCTTTTAAATCGCCAAACATCTCGAATGAATGCTCGATCGACCGCGCGGTGGCCGTCCACGCTACTTCATTAATTAAGTATTAGAAACTAATTTATCCAGAATCCTTTATAAGAAAACTTTTCAAACAAGTATTTTGCGAAAGCAAAAGTATTATCAATCCCCTCCCGCTAGAAACGTCAAACCCGCCCAAAAAAAACTCTGGGTCGTTCCCAACCACTAGCACTAATTACCCCGCATATTAGTCCTCGCCACCCCTGCAACCATAGATGACTTATCATTCCCCTGCATCAGGCAAACTGTCAATATCAACCCCAAAACCTCATCGATAAAGGTTACCCAATGGCCCGTAAAAATATACCCCTCCCACCAAGCCCCCAATACGTATCTCTCCTTCTGCGCCGCTTCCCTCCTTCCCGGAGCATTATCATCTCTCCCAAGACCTCCATCTCCCGGAATACCCGTCCTTGCCCCCGTATCGACTAAGGTAATATACTTCCCCTTTACCTTCATTCTCTGCAAAAGAGAAAGCTTAACAAGCGAAGTGACAAACGTAACCACGATAGCCGCAATCGCCAACTTGAATGTGATATTGTTGGTATCTCCTACAGTATTCGCGGCCTCTAGTGGAATGTTTCGAATTTTCATCCCGGTTCTATTCAAGTAATATCCATCCCCAATCCCCCAAGCCGCTCTTCCGTTTCTATATCCCGTATCAACATCAGGATTCATCACAGCCCTCACGATCTGCGAGTGTGGTTTCTTTCTCTGTATATCGCTTCCATCCAAAGGGTAGTCTTGTTGTCGTGACGGACCAAATAGCGCAATGAGAACAGATACTATCCACCATGATTTAAAGATGTATTGAACAGCCGTTAAAATAGTGAGGATACGAATATCACGCCGCGTGAAAGTTATGTATGTCCTTTTTATTTTTAAGGGGTGGTAAGGTGGGTCTTGGATTTCGAAAGGTTGGAATTCTTGAGGGGGAGGGTTGGGACGTGTATTGTGTGCACCTTGGAATTGCGATCGTATAGGGTTAGTAATTAGATATTGGTTTGGTTCCCCTGAAATGGTCTCATATACTAGCGAGAACTTACCGGGAGCATATGCTGGTGGCGGTGATGGTACCCCAAGGGTACTTCGCGAGCGGTTTGATGTCGCTACCGTTATAGCTGGCGTCGGGGTAGAGGGCCTACCGTGAGGTCCGAGCATTTTGTACGTAACCAATATATATGATATCGCCCAGATTGCAAAATATCAAAGAACCTTGGAGTTGGAAGAAAAGACGACTGATGCCGAAAAAATATATATAAAACTCTGTCCCTCCGTATCAACGATAAGAAAAGACCCAATAATTGTTATTTTTTTGTAAAATAATTTAACCGACATTCACCTTGGCGCGCGCAAGCAGGCAGAGACATCGCTTTTGACATAAAATTCACCATTTAATTGTCTCGCATCGACGGTCAAAAATACTGCTATCGGGGGTCGATTCGACCGTCATGATTTTCGGGTGTATTATTAAAAGCTTTAAAGAGGGCTTTAGTGGTGATCTCGAGGAAGTCAAGTGGCATCGATCTTTTATCGCACGGCCGTGGCCCGTGAATCGAGTCGTGGCGGGCCATGCATCAACGTAATCTGCTGATGCTGCCATTTAAAAACTACCCACGGAGCTCAAAGATTGTACATCTATTACCACTAACTAGCCTCCTTCCAATATATTTTTCTAGCAATTTTATATTACAGTTCGCCTTTGCATCTCAGCTCAGTATCAAATTAAATAGTCGCGAAGAGGGCAGCGCTGCCTGGGCGCCAACACAAAATATACCACAATTTGCTCCCGAAGCAACACACCGACGACCCACGCCCCTGCCGTCAACCCGACCACCGCCATTCCCACATATATAACCTACAGACCCACAGCCCGTCCTTTATAATATAAAAGTAATACTAACCGCCAGTTCGTCATCTTAATTTATTAAGTTCACGAGGAAATCTAGATTCATGTCTCTACCGGACAATCCAACGATCAAACTCCTCCAATCATCAATACTGGCATACATCATACCCTAGTCAAAAAAAGCCTGCAAGGTCCAGGGCCTACCAAACTCTCAACCGCGGAATACAAACCCGAAACTGTAATAAACTTTGTACCAATTCTCCGCAAATCTCTCTCCATCAAAACAAGGTATATCCCAGTCATCTATACCCCCTCCTTCTCGTTTTAGCTTCACAGCAATAAGTCCCAAACCAAGATGCACAAAGTAAAAAAGTGAAAATAAGCCTTATGGACATGAAATACACTACAGAGTAAATAACAAGACAAGACAAAAAGCTTAATAAGATATATATAATAATATAATAACAAGGATATCTATAACACAATCATACTATAATCCCGGCTACCAAGCCCGACATTTATCCAGCCACGCGGAGAATTCGGGGGTATTTGCCGACGTCTCCTCTTACCACAGAATTTTGGTCTCGGTCGCTTGTCATACTGACATGTCAAATCGGCTGTGTATATACCCTGTGCTGAAGCTTAAGCTTGCCACTGCTCCAAACTTTCGATAGTACTATTATGTAAAGCAAGGATTCACCATCTTCTTAAGCCTGTCGATTTTACCAGTTGGCTAAACGGGTCTAATATCACGAACCAGTGAATACCCATACGATGGGGTCGTATTTAATAGACCCTGGGTAAATTCACTAGATGATGTGGAAGGAAATATAGATAAAGTTTTGGAGGGGGGTGTAGTTCGGATGAAAGGGTGACAAGCTTACGGGAATTGATTTCCGGTCGCCATATGCATGGGATCTGGATAATGAGAGAACTATATAAAGACAGGATGGATTTTGGTTCAAAATGGTTTATCGCCTGGTTGTTTTCTCGAATCTAGATCTCAGACACAAATTCAAGGTTGACTAGTTAAAGGAGTTATCAAAATGAAGCTTTCAATTCTTACCGCCGCTCTTGCCTGCACGGCCGAAGTCCTCGGCCTCACCAGCTCTCTCCAAAGAGTCACAGAGGTATTCAACTACTACCTCATCCTCAATCCACCCCTTTCAGTCTGCTAACCTTGATACATTTTACTCCAGAACTGGGGCAACAACCCAACCAACATTGAATTCTGGATCTACGTGCCCACAACCCTCAAGACTCGCCCAGCAGTAGTAGTAGCAGCACACTACTGCACTGGCTCTGCCTCTGCTTTTTTCAGTGGCACTCAATGGGCAAACCTCGCCGATCAATACGGATACATCGTCATCTATCCCAGTGTCACAAGAAGTAGTAAATGCTGGGATGTAGCTAGTACCGCCAGCTTGGCCCACAACGGCGGTAGCGATAGTTTAGCCATCATTACAATGGTTAAATGGACTCTTAATAAGTATTCTGGTGATGCTGGAAGAGTTTATCATACCGGCGTAAGCTCCGGGGCTATGTTGACCCAGGTATTACCTAATCCGTCAATCCCACTATCATGATATCTGCATGAAACGGAGCTAACGATCTCTACTGGTGAGGATATAGTTAATGATGGGCGCCTACCCAGACGTCTTCGCCGGTGGCTGCAGTTTCGCCGGTGTACCCTACGGTTGTTTCGCCGGCAGCGGCGAATGGAATAACCAATGTGCTAACGGTCAACTCGTCAAGACCGCCCAACAATGGGGTGACCAAGCCCGTTCGGGTTATCCAGGCTACACCGGTCCTCGTCCAAAACTTGCTATCTATCACGGAACAGCAGATACAACTCTTTATTACAACAACTTCTTGGAATCGAACAAACAATGGTCTAATGTCTACGGTATCAGCTTTACGAGAAATGAAACGAATAATCCGTTGAATGGGTGGACTAAGATGATCTTTGGAGATGGAACGCAATATGTTGCTTATTCTGTAAGTTCTCCTGTCACTTCTTGATATCGCCGTCGCAGGTTCTGATGGTAGGAACAAAAAAAAAGGCGGCAGGAGTAAGCCACAGTATCCCCGTACGAGAAGCAGACTGCATGGCCTTCTGGGGTTTGAACACTAGTGGCCCATCGAGTTCCACAACCACATCTTCAACAACTTCGCGGATAGTCACAACTTCCGGCACTAGGACCACAACAGCTGCTACTACACCCGTCACTACCACTCGTTCTACGACCGCTGCCACGACTCCTGCTACGACTTCTGGTACAGGACCGGTGGTGTCTAAGTGGGGACAATGCGGCGGCATTGGATGGACTGTAAGTTTTTGCCACCACTAAATTTCCAAATAATGTGGAAGAAGTGCTAATTTTACGGTTTAGGGCGGTACTACTTGTGTTTCGGGCTCGACTTGTCAGTCTCTTAACCCATACTACTCTCAGGTAAGCCTTCATAAAACTTTCTTACGCCTTTAAAAACAGGAACTAACAGTTTACCACCCTAGTGCTTGTGAGAAATATGATGCCTTAAACCCCATGGAATCTTATCTTCCAAGAGTCAGTCAGCAATCTGACTGAATTCTTATGTTCATAAATACTCAGTATACCAAATGTATATATGTTCCGTTACTATTGCACATTATATATATCATATCATGTCATTTAGCTTCTGTTTATAAAACCGGGATCACATGACAACTTTCAGATCAAAAACTCTCCCGATAAGGAAATCTCACAAGAGAAGTAGTTTAGTTAAGCGCTATTTTAAGTTGATCGATCTTCTTGGTGATAGGCGCTTTAGTCATTAAGTAAATCATTAAAATGACAAACAGGGAATCGGGGTCATAATATAGAAGCCCTCCTTTGCATGGCAAAACGCAGTTAGATAGTCCCGTCATAAGGACATAGGCCGGTCACATGACCATTTTGGAGCTCAAAATCGACGGTTTCCACCGGCTTCTACTTGCTCACCGAGGAACACACTTGCTGGTAGATCAGTATATTCTTCCCTTTTTTGTCGTTTTTTAAAATAGCTCATACGGAATACTTTAGTGCCAAGACTGATACGGAGCATGCCATTCCATTCTGATCAACCGGAGTTTACAATACAAACCGTAATCCGGAAAGTCACATGACAATTTTGGGCTTCGAAACTGCGCAATGTGTCCCTTAAATACGGTGTTGCGGCGAATATCGGAGTAACTAGCAAATCCGGTATTACAGCCAATCCGGATTAGAACGGTATTAGAATCGATTCTGTATTACAACGGTATTAGAAAAAATACAGCAATTCCATAGCAACGGTGACCTTTGACTATGCTGTCTCTGTTACTGGGTGTTGCCAATTCACAAGTCTCATCGGGTAATCGATCGGCCAGGCTGGTAGCTATGAGCTTGGCTTTGTGTCACCTGGTGAATATTTGTGAGAATAACTGGTGGTATAACTAGAAAGCGAGGAAAACGATAAAGTTAGATAAATTTATTGTAGTTTTGATCAATCCACGCGCCCGAGGAAATTGAAAGGGGCCTAATTAGGTTAATACTATAAACGTCAACATGAAATATCAAAGATCATCAATCCTATCCCCCAATATAGTAGCATCCAAATTTTATTTTCCATATATAGACAATATCAATAGAACGACCTATGTACACCTAGCTATGAACAATAAAATACTTTTAGAAGGACCCTATCTATCAGTCTTTAGTTTTTTAAACTCTTCTGAAACTTCCGTGAAGTTTAACACCTTAATCAAATTAATCATCTCAAACCCGCAATAATGTTCTGTCCGAAACATCCACACGTATTAAGAATAGATACAAACCAAACAGCTTTCTATCCTAGTCGTAGAGCTGATAATATTCGTGCAATCATGGATCCCGAAAAGGACCCAGGTTACGCTCTCTGCAGTTCTTCCGGGGATATTATGAATAAGATGCTCCCCCGCTTCAATGCCGCCACAAGACATACATCCTGTCCAAATTCTCTTGACTGTTATAATGGTATTATCTCAACAGTTTTCTATACACTAATCTTTTGTCGCTAACATATGTATGGGACAGGCCACTACTACCTAATAACAACAGACCACCTCTCTGGTGCCCGTTTCCCGGATGACAAGGACTACCACCACCTCCACCAAACCTACATAACCACCCAAATCCGCCGTAAAGCTATCTGGCTAGTCTTCACAATCGTATCCTTCTACGCTCTTTACAGTATTCACTTCACTTCAATTTCAGAATCACCCTGTCGTCCCTCTCTGCACGATTTCACAGAATCCCCCACGTATAACGATAGAGATCCGCTTCTAATCTTAGAACTAAGATGGCAGGATTTCTGCTGGTGTATGGCTATGATTGGGAGTATTTTGTCATCAACCGCGATATTGTGGAGGGCTGATGCGGTATTTGAGGATGCAGTGGAGATGAGGCAGAGAAGAAAGATACACGGATTACCTGTTTGGCCACCGGAGATTAATGATAAGAAGTTGAAACTGAAGATTGAGAGCTGGAGGGTGAATTTTGGATGTTTCTTGTTGACTATAGGGATTACGCTGGTTTGGTGTTGGAGTGTTTGGAAGAAAGTGGAGGCAGAGAGGGGATGTAGGATTTTGTTAAACTAGTTAATCTATTGACGTGCAAGATATTCTCAAAGGGAACTCTGTCTTAAAATCATTCTATGTCCTTGGGTAGTCCTCTAAGTAGTATAATCTTTAGTATCACTATTCAATGCATGGCTTCTGTACACTGCAATCAACCATGGTCATGGACAATGAATGGCTTCTGATCGACTACTAGTGCATGTAGATGTCCCCAAACTTTCTCTTTTCGAGATCTAATGATTAAACTCTCCAGCTGAGGGAAACAGACGAAATAACACCCTCATTAAATCTCACTTGAATAACCTGCCTCGAAAATCTAAGATGCGCCCTAATAGCTCAAGATTCAAAACATAATATACTCAAATATCGCCGTCCATAAGGTAATTATGCACACCTACAACCTGTCCTCGCCGAAGCCATGTTGACACCCACGCTCTCGGATTTCAAAACGCGGATTCATCCTGACTATCCTTCCGCTTCAAAGGGGGCAGTCATTAATTCACAAAATTTAATATATCGATTATGGATCCAGAAAGCTACATACCGGCCAATCCCACGGAAGGCATAATGAACGATAAAGAGATAGGTAAGTAAAATCCCTTCCGCAGTTCTCAATACAAACAGCCGCGGTGAAGCTGACAAGCTACTCCAGACCCCAACAGCCCTTACATCACAACAGCCCCCACAGCTCCCACAACGCCCCGCACTTCCCAAACCTTCCCCTCCACCCCACCAGAGTACCCAATCCACCAACCTCCCCTAACAACCACCACTTTCTTCTCCCAAAATGCTCCAAAGATAATAACCCCTTACACAATCTCCCAAGCCAAAAATCTCACCCTCCTAACTTCAATCCACGCCTTTTTCCTCCTCTGGTGGACCTTCTCAATCTTCATCGGAATCTATTCCACACCAACAAAGGATGACTACGACCCAAATGAACACGGAATAACCCCAGCTTTTGCCTCCCAACTTCTAAGATTCAGAATATCATTAATAGGAATTGTACCCGCGGCTTTAATCTCTTTATTCAAACTCACGGTACTACCGAGATTATTCAACAACCAAAGGGTATCAGAAGAATACAAACGGTTAACAGTAGATATCAACCATAACACTGAAGAAGATGAGATCTATGGATCAAATACTCAGGGGTATGACGAATACCTAAAATATGGAAAACCACATCTTCTTGTGGGACAATGGTGGGAAAAGTATATTGAATGGGAAAGATTGATGAATCTTTGTCTCCATGTTTTTGGAATGGTAGTTACGATTTGGTTGGCTGTGGGGAAGTTTAGAGGGTATATTAGACCTAGAGGTCCCTTCGACGACGCTATCTGTGCGTTCTCGGACCCGAGGGCTTATGCTGGAGATGAACAGCAGCTTGATGTAGTTGTTTAAACCTTCATTTTGTGTCTAAAAATTAAAAACGCACATAGTTATTTATAGCTAGCTGTCTATCTAATTTATCTCGTAAATACCAGAAGCTCACCAAAGTCCAGGTATCTATTCATCCATTTAATCTACGTACTTTCGGGTTGAAAGCGCACTCCAACCACAACGGCCTGTCTGTCTAGTGGCTTACCCATGATCCGTATCGACGTCGTATGGAAGATCGCAATGCACACCAGTTAAATTTCATTACCCTTGACTTGAAAAATTATGAGGACCCTCATATTATATATTATATACTATAAATCATCCGCCATGGGCACAGGATCTTTCGCATTGCTTCTGTCTTCGGGTACAAAAGCCATCGCCGTCCCTGAAAAGATTGTGATTCCATCATCTCGAGAAGGAACCGACAACTCCAGCTCTATCGATAAATTGTATTCACATCCGAGCCAACATCCGCTACATTCCTTCTTTTACTCTCACTAGCTATCATCTGCTATTCCCTCAAATATATATCCTTCCACCTTTCTTAAATTTCCTTTCAATTTATCTACCGCAATGTATATAGATATATTCATCAGCTTCCCGACGTCCGTATTCATCTTTCTTCAATCGGGGCTTGAAATAATACAGGAACTTGCCCAACCTAGATTATATATTAATGCTCCCAACCAGCAAAATAGAAGAGATAGTCCTAGTCCATCCCACAACCCGTGTACCCTCCCAGCATGTATCTAGATACATACATATATATGTGTGTCTACACTTATAAACATAAATTCATTGCAAGTGTGAAGATAGAAAGCCAAACATGTATCTAACTCAGCTGCAGCAGCAGTTTTAAAGAACTTCAAATACCTCGCAACAGCCTTATATTTCGCCGCATGAAATGCCGCTCGTATACCTAGTACTTATATAATTATATTCCATCAGTTCGATTCCTTCTTCGCCCAGCAGTCCAGTTTCCCGCATCGCCGGGAAAGTAGACAAACTTAACTCCACAAACATGAGCAAATCGTAAAGCTCATACAAACACAATATGTTTAATATCAATGCAATATATGCTCTAGCCCTCAAAAGCTTCACCACTAGGCAAGTCTCCTAGGCATTAAAGTAGGATATAGCTCTTTCAGGCACCAAACCCTCGCCCACCAACCATAGGGAAAGGACACATAAGACGTAGAAAGGGCGGTTTTCGCGTCATTTTCAAAAAATTTTCAACATCCCGGAAGACCTCTCAGTGAGCCATGCGAATAACTCCAGCGGTTCTAGTTACTAGAACCCGCATGATTCCACGACTAGGGGTAGCAACTGGAATAGATATCCTCATCGGTGCTCATAACTTATTGGAGCCCTTCTAACCGACTAAATAACTCTACCAGTCGGCTGTCAAGTATATATATATAATTCCACCTGGGTTCGCTATTCCCAGAACGAACCGCTGACAGTATCCGCCGTAGCCAGTGGTTACCTTGTTCCCACCTGTGATGCCAATTCATGAAGGTTCCCAAACATGTCCTCTTCTTCTTTGCAAGGACCCTTATATATCGTCGAATAATTGATAGTAGGATTTGAGGGGTCGGACGCAGTATTGAAGTTCAAGGCTATATGTTTTAAACGCTACCATGCACCGGCTCTCGATCTTGGGTGTTAATTGAAACTGGAGTCGAAGTTAACGGTCAATTAGAACCTTCTGTTCCCTCAGAATTAGCCAAGCCATTCTTTTAGTTTCGGTATACCTGAGCTAGAAGCGAGCTCACATTGAAGAAGGCGATTCTCTTGCGCATTTATGGAAGATTCCGCGGGATATCGATGTATCGCAGACGGGACCCTTCCTTGTAACCCATACCGTAAACTCTCAAGAATCATAGCAATATATTGGGAGAATTCCAGCAAAACTCTTCCTTGCTCCTCGAAAGTCTTGTCGGTGTTATAGGCCACGCACCATTTTGCGGTTTGAAGCCCCTCCAGCTGGAATATAATAAGTTGAATTTGAGCACGTATTAATCCGTTTTCTTGTTTGCATACATGGAGGCAGTTTCCCAAGTCTGCCACCAAGATACGATTTTCGGAAACATTTGCGGTGCTGCTAGTCCAGGCTGGTAGTTTAGTTGGTGGTCGAGACGTCTTCGCTCATAAACTTTCGGAGGATCGTCGCTATTTGTCCCACCATTTCGTTCTCTTCCGATGGTTTTGCTTCCATACATGATTTTATAACATGCTCAGTGTCGAAATAGCTCCTGAGTTCTAGGTAGTTGAACTACCAGTATACGGAACAGCAATAGTTCCTCGAGCCCTACCACCAATGCCCCCCCGAGGACCTGCAATTCAATAGCCTATCAAGGCTTTAAAGCGTTATTTATGCTTCAGCTTCGAGTTTATCTAGGCCGAAGACAAAATTGAAGGTCACTTCTGGTCCCCGCCAAAGGCCCGCTGCCCCATCCTGATCACGGCGCGCCAGCAGAATTCAGAATATTGTCGCTGCTGGTAACTCATGAAATTTGCTTCAGTTTCAGTGCTCTTCAAAAAAAGGAGAGAGTAGCCTTATACATCTTAGGTGCAAACATTCTCCGCATCTTGATTGGTGGTGTAGCAAGACTCTTTAAAATACTAGGGCGTTGCCCTGCGCTGCTTGATGTAATACCTGAAAGTCGAGCACCTTTAGAATAACAAACCTAGCCAAGGCCGATATTCTGTCCTCAGAATCAGGAAATGGCTCTGCCCAAACCAAAATTGAGACTGAGCCACCTTAGATATCACCCTCCCGGATCTGGGCGAGAGGATGCGAGACGAGGTATCACCCAGGTGCCTTAATATTCGAGATGGGAGTCAACCCTGTACCCCGAGCTGGCAACGGTGGCGGTAACACCAAAGGCTCTACGGTAGCATTAAACAGTCGCTGAGATTTTGGAATACTATTAGTAGCTGTCAATAAGCGTTTGAGGAGAACAGATAATTCTTACCAAAACATGCAATCATTCTATATATAATATATGGTTTTGGGACTATCACCCGCGGGCCATTTTGCCAAAGAATGATCATAATCTTTTCTCCTTTTTGATTTGGCTTTGCTATTTCAATGGTGCCTTATTATTCGCGCAGTATGACTGAATCCGTTATCCCACAAGCCACCCGCATGATGATGGCTGCTGATATTGATTTTAGGGCTTAGGCTTCGAAAATTCATGTGTGCGTAAATTCTAGGCGATTTCATGGGGCCCGAATCACCGTGGAACCCTTCAACTGGCGATCTTGAGTGAAGGACTTCATGGTGTTTGAATCCCATACCAGAAATTCTTTTAGGTGGGAGCCACCACAGTAATTGTATTTCAAAGAACCTTGAATATTCCTGATGTTGGTGATTTTGGTTCAACATAAAACTAGATAGTTCAGTATTAGTGATAAGAACGGCAATAAATGCTTAGGAAGAAATGGAAACGGCTCCTACATACAGCATAAATATCGAATAATATTAGCTCTTTCATGTGGTAAGATTCCAGTTCCTCGAATGTGACGTCGAGGGATGCAGCCGCTCATCTGGGTTTTGAGGCAGGAGACTCAAATCTTTTTGGTTGGATATCTCAGCTGCGATCTCATCGGAAGAAGGACGAATAAATAGCAGGAATATATGCCGGAAGTATGCCGCATGAGCTCTTAACTTCTGCAAAAATGTACTGACAACTAACACTGACTGTGCGGGAGCTCGATGTATTTGCATCATATATATGTAAAATTTGGTGAAGGTGGTAAAGAGACGGCAATTTAATCTATTGTTGAGTAGTCAGAGCACCCTTTTATATTCCCATTTTGCCGCGAGCTTTATGTTCTATATCTTGGTGTGTTTTGCATTCATCGCCGGTAGTGATTGACCAATTCTCCGCAAATTCGGAAAGATTTAGAGCGAGACATATTTTGAAAGAATTTTAGGCGATGCAAAAGCATATACGGTATATATTGTGTGGATGTGGCATGCCGCTTAGTATTGGACGAGGATGAAGTTGCGGTTGGCAGGACATTCGTGACCTTAGGTTGTTTGTTGTAGGTGCTGCGACGATATATAAGTCTGGATTTCAGAGACTGTATTGCCTCAGGAAGGTTCTATGTACCAAGAACCATTAGAATCTAGTATTAAACAGAAGGTTCTAGAGCGGTATACCGGTACGTCTTATGGTGTGCTGAACAATATTGTTTGTTCAACTTTTGTATTCTATACGTTTCCAGCCAATCCTCCCACTACTTTTGGAAGCAAAATCTAGAATCTAATGGATAGTTTGAAGGACCGTCAATAATTTCGTGTGTATGCCAGAACCCCGCCGAAAAGTTCCTGATAGCTTATCGCCGAAGGAGCGGCCTGTCAGGGATCCTGGTACTGTCTAGGATCTATACCCTTAATTAAGCTCTACACCCTAGGATTCGCCTAGGCCGTTAGACGTATACACCCATACTCTTGAGCGTAGTTCTAAGTGATGGTACGTACTTGCAAACGGAGTTAGCTAGCTATTCGTCGGTGTAGAGACATTCCGTACCGTATACGTACATAAACAATACGTGTTGATCGCGCTACCCTAGCCTAGCTAGAATACCCCCACACCCTAAGACTCACTATATATGGTCTCATTCTGTATAGAGCTCTCGGTTTGAAGTTCGCTGACCCATTTTTTTTGCCGGTTAGGACTCGGACCTCGCCAAATCATTGGGAATCATAAAAGATGTAAAGATTTAGGTCTTTTACAATTGATACCTAGACGCCCAAAAACTTTGATCCAGACAATAAGACATGTCTGCCACTAATCCTGGCCAGCATGTCCAAAATATATTTTTGCTGGGGAATTGGTATTGCGGGCTATACACCACCTTCGAAGGCTGCGCAAGCCATAGATTCCAAAATATTGTCCGCAACTCCAGGGCCGACCTCTTCGCCAGCGCTCTGACGGATTGTTCTCCTCGAATCCCACAAATTGGGGTTATGGCGCAGTGGTAGCGCGTCCGCTTTGCATGCGGAAGGGCAAGGGTTCGATCCCCTTTGACTCCAATCTTTTTTGGTTCCTCAGGAAATGTATTACTTTTTGGCGGTTCTAATTATTCTTGTGACTGAACTCTCAGGAGTTATAGAAATGAAAGAGAGACAGTATTTACTTCTTTAAACCGCCGGTGTGAGGTCTTCGGAGCTGCTCGGTCATGCTCGTGGTCGGAAGGTTAGTCGTAGAAGCGTTGCTGGTCGTTGCCACCTTCCCGATTGGGCAGTGCGTTTATGGGCCATTGAGTTTATCGGATCTATAAAATCAAATGAAGTTGTAGAAGACCGTCGCTTTAATTTATCATCTAGTCTTCCGAAGATAGAAAGGGTTAGAGTTATTGAATTCACGTGTTCAATTTTTTTTTTGTGTCGCTCAGACCCAGCCCAAGATCATACCATAGCTTCAATAGAGCAACTCTAGAATATATAAAACACCATTGCAGCCTCGGAATCGCAGGCCGATCTTTGGGAGAGTATAAACTGAATAGCCCCTGAAAATAGAATATGTAGACTATGCTTTCAAAGATACCAGTCTAGTATATACGTCGAGAAATTCCTCTGAGTCGAAAATGTTGAAAGAATGAAACGGCGTAGGACCGCAAGAGCCTGTAATGCGTTGATATCAGGAACCAAAAACCCGCGGGTATACCGAGGACTATAACGTAAGTCCTAGTTTTCGTACTCGATCGAGGGGTAAAGAGGAGAAAATTTCGTGAATAAGAACGGGCCACAAGGTCTCGAAAAAAGAAGCTCCCAGGCAAAATGCTTTAACACATACCACGTTCCGAGTGGGTATAGTTACGCCAAACGCCAAAATTTGGTAACACTGACAGCTGGTATCATATCTCAAGCCTTGGAGGTTGGAGCTGCTTAAGAGACATACTAAGGGTCAGCTACTAGAATTCATATCACGAACACCTCTCTTGAGGAATGGTCTCGGACTTACCCATGAAGCTAGGATATGGAGGACCAGGAGCAGAAATACCCGATTGACTGTGTGCAGACATGATATGATAGTAGAGTCAGTATTGAGCGTAATAAAGAACAGATGAATAGATGATGACAAGACCAGAAGCTTCTCGTTACCGAGGAGGGTGTTAGGTAGTAGTTTGTAAAGAGGAGGGTGGGCAAAAACTCAGAGAGCGTTGCAGGCAAAAGACAGAATACCATTGCGATGTTGGATAGGGAAGATATAGCCTTAACTTTGTTGCTATCAACTTCTATATCATTCTGGACTGTAGACAGAGTCGCCACTCTGTTGCCGGCGCAACTGACTCTCCGTAGACGCTGTGAAAAAAAACAACACACCACAACACAAAAATGGATTCATTCAACAACTCAACTCAATCCATTCAGACTCAGGACTACACATAGGCATGTCCACAAAGCGGTTCCAGAGGACATTCAGATAAAACAAAAAGCAATTACGAGATCTGACTTCTTGTCTATATCTTACCCTTCCTCTAGATTATTTCCTCCCTCCCCCTCTTTCCTCACTCCAGCTCAGTTTAGTATGACAAAACTTAACTTCTGCTACCACCCACAAACCCTCACTACGACCAATTACCAACCAACCATTACCATACGGGTACGTTATAATTTCCCTCCGCCATATTTCTCGTGTTAATCTTTTCTGTTGATATACACAAAGCTACCTATCTTCCTATTAACTCATCAAGAATCTGAACTAATAAGATATTACAGCCAACAATGCCTCAAACCACTACCACTACCACTACCCCTACTACTGCTACTGCCACCAACCCCCAATTTCCGACCTTCCATCCGTCCAAGTTCTCTTGGGCGGATGAGGTCGAGGAATGGGAGGAAGCCCAGGCCTCCCAAGAAACCAAGGCCACCAAGAGCCCAACCACCAGGGACTGTGGAACGAATCCACAGTTCCCGGTGGTTGAGGCTGGGAAATTCTCCTGGGCAGAGGAGATGGAGGAGGAGGAGGGGGAAAGCCACTCCTCGGGCAAAGTTGAGTCAGTTCCCGACTCAAAGTGCCAGTAAGTAGCCCGTCAAATGTCCTTTAATATGAATATAAACAACATACTGATATCAGAAAATAGGTACGTCCTTCCCCCCGTCTTGGACGGAGTTTTCTCCGCTCAACAACGGGAGCGGGAGGAACGTGCAGTCACGGTGACCAGTTTTTATGATTGGTTACTCGTGACGCGGCCATGGCTCGGGAACTATCCCGACGATACGCCCGAGGAGTGGAGGAGGAGGATGAAGCGCCACTGGGACCAGCGGCACCTCTTCTTCAACCCGTACACAGGAGCCCCCATCCCATGGCTTGGGAGAAAGATTGTGTGGATGGATGGAGGTCCTGTGGGTTGAGGTACGGGGTGTGAAGTCCCAGTGGCTGCTTCTGGGAACTTTTGCTAGAGGAGGAGGGGGGAGGGGGTAAATAGACTTAGAAATAACAACCCGGCCATTGCGGCCGTTTTCACTGTTTTATACATTCAGGGACAAAGAAAGTAAAGTGTTGTATGATACCCACATATTGTAATTCCAGTTTACTGTTGCCTCGAGGTAAAGGCACGGTACTACAACGCCTCCCAAAACCCATGATATATCCGCCATATACACCCCATTTAACTTCATCCCGCAAATCTACACCCGCTAAGCCCGAAACCTACAACCTGCAAGTCTTATCACACACGATTGTTTAACTATTATGCTTTCAGCACATCTCGAACCTCCTGGCCGTAAAAAAAGGATATAGAAGAGGATCAATTTAATTGAATTACCACCAAGGCCCCCTCAACTAATCTCAATGTACATAAACTTCTAAAACAAAGTACTCGTTGAAGATGAGCTAGAGAAAAACCCTGTATCTCCATTATCGCTCCCAAGCGTAACAGGATCCTCAACCTCAACCTCAACCTTCTTCCCGTCTTTAAACCCAGGCGTTATAAACTCCAGCTATATTGAGTTCTTCCAGTCAGTATATCAACCACCCATAAAAACACTACCAAAGTGAAATTATTTATATATAGGAGTATTGCACTGACCTCAATCCCACGAGATCCCATCCACCTAATTTCATCCGGAAGGCCCTTAGCACAAGGGATTGAAAGCATGATGAGGTTTAAAGTCATCGGTGTAATAAAGTAATAAAGCCCCGGAATACCGCTCGGAATAACCATGTCCTGTATCGGTAAGTTGTTAATTGTGGAGAACTTGTAGTTCTCATCTAACCCCGCCATCACGAGGTCAGGGATAGTAATAGTCGCAGTCCGAGAAATAATATGTCTACGGGACTCATCAAACCGGATCTTCGTTTTACAAATAAGGGGTTTACTCTTCGGTTCTGGATCTTCGGGTACCGCATCTTCTTCGCCTAACACATCAACCATGTTTCCTATCGGTAACAGTTCGTGGGTGGCTTCCGTTTGTGATCCCTCAGGTGACGAGGGCTCTGGCTTTTTACCGGTATACCATGATTCATCATCATTAGCCTCCTGATCAACACCCTCCTCCTTCTTCTTGCCCTTCTGTTTCTTCCTCTTTCTCTTATTTGGTTCCGCTCTAATGGGTGTTGTAACTTCTTGAGCACCTTCACTAGTGGGTATTTCCTGCTCCATTTCTTCACTTCCCTTTAAATCTTCAGCTTTTTGCTTATCCAATGCCTCTTCTTGTGGCGGCTTCTGGGGTATTTCTTCGGGCAACTGGTCGGGCACTTCCTGGGGCGTATCTTGGGTTATCTCTTTTGGTGCCTCTTCAGGCGCTCCAGCGGGTTCCTCTGGTACTTCATCAGTCAAATTCCTTAGCGTCTCGAATAGTTTCTGTGGGACCTCTTCGACGGGCTCTGGAGAAGGCTTTCTACCGAACACTTTAGATCCCTTTTGTACAACTTCCCATGGATCATCTCGAGGCACCTGACTAGGTCTTTGCAAGAAACTGTATTGTGCTTCAGTAGGCGCCTGCCATGGATTCTCAGGAGCCGGCTCAGGAGACGGCTCTTCGGGTTCTTGGTTAAGCGATTCCGAATTAGTTTCTGCCTGTGACCCTTCGTCCCTAGCTTCCTTCCGGCCTTTGTTTCGGTGCTTCTTTCGGGACGCCTTCTTCGGCGGCGGGAGCCAATCTTGGGGCGGATTTAGAGAAAAGTCGCGGGTTGGCTGTTTTCCCGCTTCTCTGGGAACTTCTTTTGGGTCTTCTCGGGGTAGTTCTTCTGGCTCCTCTTGTGGAGTCGCAGACATAGTTTGTGATCCCTCTGAATCCGCTCTTTCGACTCCGACCTGTAACCCATTTTCGGGTTCATCTTGAGTCATCTCTTGCCCCAGCCCTTTAAGCGCTGCTGGCAGAGCTGCCCGTTGTCGCTTTCCAAATAGCTTTCTAAAGGTCTTCTTGGAGATATCTTCCATGAACTGCTTTCCGGTTCCTTCATCCTGCGAGCCTTTTTCCTCACTCTCCTTCTTCGGTGGCGTCTCTTTCACCGCACTCTGCGGTTTTTTCGCTGGGGTTTTGTTTTCTGTATTAATCGTTTTTTGGGTAGTATCTGAGCTCTTCGTCGGCGCAACATTTCTCGCCGACTCAACTTGCTTTTTAGGGACATCCTCCGGAAGCCTTATTGGATTAGTCTTCGTATAATTAACCGTAGCCTTCTTAGGGTTGTATCTCATCTGTGTCATCTTGCTGCCCCAAGAAGCTTGTGCCGGTTGTGCCTGAGGCCCGGGTGGTTTAGTCCTCCATTCTGGTGGCTTTTCTTGGGTGTCTTTCAACTTCTGGGGTTTTTGGCTCTGTGCGAACTTATTTTCCAATCGCTTTTCTGGAGCTATGGCCGTTCTGCCCTCCCGCGCATCTGGCACTCCTTGAGTATCTTCCAACGTCAGGGTTGCCTTACCCTCCATGGCGGCATCTCCCCTTTGAGCCCCTGGGGCTTCAGCAGGTGTATATTTAACCCCCGATCCAGCTACCTTTTGCTGAACAGTTGCGAGCTTCTGATTTGCTTTATCAACTGGGACGGCCGTTTCTAGACTAGAAGTGGTCCCCTCTAACGTTGTGTCCGAGAGGCTTGCCGCAATAGCACTCCATGGTACTGACATCGGCTTTTCTGGCATACCCCTCTTTCTTTGAGGCGGGGGTGCTGGTCTGCTCCCCACCGGTGCGGGGGTCTGGGCCCTGTCAGAGTGTCGTTGCGAAACTTTATTCGGTGTATCCCTTGTAGCATTTGGTCCTGCAGTATTCTGTCTTACAGTTTTCGGCCCCGCAACATTTGAACTCCTAGAGCTCGAAGTCGCGGGGTTCGGCCCCGGAGTTTGTGGTTTCGCGGCATTCGCTCCCGCGGGGTTTGGCCTTTTGACATTCAAATTGGGGTTCGGGCTTGTGGGATTTAGATTCGTAGCACGCGCTTTCGTAGTATTTGCTCCGGCAATATTTGGTCCCCGGGGGCTTGGACTCATGGGATTGGGTTCCAGGGTACCCGATTTCGCGATGTCTGCCCACGTGGGATTTGAACCTGTAACCCCCCCTTGCCCAGTTCCCGATTGCGAAGTACCCGTATTCTTCCACCACTTATTCCGCTCCAACGTCCTCTCCACGCTCCCTGGTTTTGCAACAGTCCCAGAAACCGGAATTTGAGTATTCAATAACGGTTTCGGACTTTCACGAGGTGGTTTCGGGCTATCACTAGGTGGTTTCGGACTATCGTGGGGTGGCACCCGCTTACGTCTCTCACCCCATGTGTCACAGCCCCACCTATCATTCCACGGATTCCTTCTTCTATTTTGTTGTGCTGCCCACAATTTTTGGTATGTGAAGATATTCTTCCAATCCTCTAGTTGGAAGGGCTCCTCAACAATGGTATCTTGTGGGAATGGTCTGAACAGCGGTTGGCATACATTCTTTTTCCTAGGGCTTTGGTCGAAAGTATAGTTGGCCATATTAACTTCGGGAGCCCGGGGTGGCCTGGGATGGAATTCCGGTGGTACAAATGGGGGTTCATCGTCGGTGTCATCAGCCCAATCATACTTATCATCATTTATAACCTCTTGCCTTTGCTGGTCTCCTTGGTCTCGCTGGTCTCCTTGGCTTTGCTGGTCTCCTCGGTCTTGTTGGTCTCCTTGGCATTGCTGGTCTTCCTGATTTTGATGGTCTTCTTGGTTTTGCTGATCATCGTCAGTGCAGTCTGTCCAATCTTCATCGTCATCCACTGTAACGGAGATTATCTCCTCTCGGTCTTCGTCGTCTCTTGGAATACCTGGTAAACCTCGCTCATTCAAAGGCGTCCCTGTAACCGCTCTATGTATATGGCTATCTAGAAACTTAGACGGGGCTTTTCCAGCAGTTTTCGACCTGTCAAAGTTTTCCTTTTGTCCCCAGTAGTAAAAATCTCCTCTACGATAGATATGTCCCGGAAGGTCGTCCTCGATCAGCCGTGGCTCGTCATCTCCCAAGATATCGAACTTTAAAATCTCAAGTGGAGGTTCTTCCAGGTCGTCGCCGAGAATATCTAGCGTCAGGAAGCTCAAATCAAACTCCTCCAATGGCTCCCCGTACGCTCTCCCTTTACCAGTATCGGGAATTTTCACGTACGCGGTTGTATCCCTCCCCTCTTGTAGATTTCCACCTTTGGGCACCCTATCGAAATCTGCCGGTCTAGATGGAGATGCAGTAATAGGTATCGGAGCCGCATTCAAGCGCACAGGACTATTCACTAAATCCTGCTGTCGAGCTCCTGCATTAGTATCAGCATCACCCAACAGACTATCATGTGAATGCCTCAAATCCTGAACGTCCTGCCCCAAATTATTTAGATCTTGGCTCCTGGCTTGCACCGTTGAAAACCGCTTAGATTCCTCGTCGACGGTACGGTCAACACCTTTTCCTTTGGGCCCTCGACTTAGAACATTTCGGCCGAAGTGTGCCCAGCCGAAGCTTCGAGGCCCTTTAAATTCCCTAGGTGCAGGTTTCCACGCTTCAGGTAGGGAAGTATTGACGACCTGTTTCGTGTCCGTCGGCTTTTTATTCTCATTCGTATGCGGCCTCCGCTTTTGGCTTGCCTGTTTTTCGTTCCTGTCATCTAGATCGTCCCCCACTTCTGAATCATCCGCCCCATCGAGCCCGAGTCTAAAAGTTCTTGAACCATGACCACCTTGAAACTGCAGGCGTATCTCAATGCTTGAAGCCCCAGCTGAAATTGTCTGAGTCGTTTCTGTTTGGTTGTCCTCGCCCAACTCCTCCTGTAGCAGGCGCAAATCAAATCCCTGGCGAGTTCGTAAGAAGATTGATCTTTCATCAGAATAACCTCCCATGTATACAAGATTTGCAGTTCTCTCGGTTTCTGTATCGTTCCCACCAGCTGCTTCATCGTCACCCTCTTTTACAGGCCCTTCCTCTTTTACCGCCCCTTCATCTTTAAGGTCAACAATGTTATCTTTCTCACCCTTCGACTCGTCATCCTGCTCATCTTTTATCCCCTTATTTTCCTCGTCTTTCGCTCTCTGGCTTTCTTCATTGCCATCATTTAGAACCTCCACACCCTCAACACTAGCCTGTTTCCCACCCTGAGTCTTACTCTTCTTTTTCTTCTTCTTCCGATTTCTTTTATTGTCCTTGGACGTCCTATCCTCCACCAAAACTGGAAAACTTCTAGAAAAGCACATAACATCTTTCTCATTATTCTCGTGCAAAACGCCACTCTGCAAAACAACCGGTTCTATACTGCGATCAAACCCATTAACCAGCAAAACATCATAACTCACCTCTTTTAACCCAAACTCCTGTAACCCCAACCCCGTTAAAAATGATAACGCAATCCACCCTTTCGGTAGGTAGAAAAATCCATCCCTCACACATTTCAAAATCGGCGCACCTGTGTATACGTGGAAATTGTTTTCAGCCCTAGGGTATTTTTTCCACCCATCCGGTTCCATAAGCGTTCCGTGTGAGACCCTTAGGTTGCGGTACCTATGGCCCTTACACTCTTCCCCCTTCCAAAGATGCGAAAGCCGAACTTCGAATAGAGGGTCCAAATTCCTGGATCGCTCAAGGCGTCTCAGATTTCGGATCTGGTCATCGAGCTCCCGGAAGATGGTGTTTGGAACGAAGATCGTAATACACACGAGGCGTTTTTCCATCTTTACATCCACCTCTTCACCATTGCACTGCCATACTTTCTCTGGTGCAAGTCCGTGTATATGTTGGTGAACCCAGAATTCATCATTGCGTGCCAAATCAGGTGGTACCGCGGCAAGAACATCTCGGCCCAGTTTACTCCAATCCAAGCGACCAGCGCACTGGCTTCTTAGGCAGTACATCATCAGGGAGAAAGTGGCGGCGGAATTCTTCCAATCCTTTAAAAGGTGTGTCTCAAACATCGAGTTCCAAATATTGATCACTACTCCTAAAATCTCGTCGTATTCAAAATCAAGCCTCGCATGATTGGCTCGAAGGTCGATATTCCAAGTACCCGGATCCGTGAATGCATACCGTCCGTTTTGGAATATCCGAATATCAGTAGTCCCAAATATTTGCGAGAGTTCCAGGTAATTTCGATCTTCTAGCGAAAGTACACGGAAGCCGAGAAGTGTGCAAATAGTATCTTCGTCGACGCCAAACAGCTCGTGAGCGGGAGCGTACCCTTCATCTGTCTGTACGATGTTGCTCTCCGTGATTACCAATCCGCCCGGACTCTCAAGGGCGGGCGCCGCCCCTAAAAGAAGGTTCCAGATCCCAGTATTATATGCAACGTACCTCGCGTCTATAGATGTATAAGTCAAATTTTCTGGGCCATCGAACTCTGCACCATCGCAATTGGGGCTATATATCTCCTGAATAATCTTGCAGGTCGCAAAAGCCGAGTTCGGAGGATATAGCATTCGGACTTCGTGTAAATACTCCATTGGGTCAGAGAAGATAACTGAGATATGAACCATCTTGTAAGAGGATGCAGTACGTAAAAAACTTCCCCAATTAATGAATTCAGCCGTACAAGCCCCGAGCAGCTCTTGCATTTGCACTTCATAGCATTTTAAATTGCTATACTTAAGGGTTCCCGATGCCTCTGAGTCCTCCTTTTTCACATACTCATTATGAATATCAACATAGCTTTTGAAGGCCAGGATTGGGTTCATTCCTAAACGTACGCACGTTTTATCATATTAGCGTCATTCACTCACAGTACAGATGAGAATGATAAATTGGAGACTCTGCTTACTAAAGTCAGCACGCTTGCAGTCCCCATAAGGCGTTAACAAAAACAACAGATTCACGTCTGCTTCGCCATCGGGAACTGATGAGCCGAGTCTTCCTTGATTCCAATAATCCTGCATTAGTCGGCTCAGCGCCCATTCTAACTTTACTTGAGTGTCATTCTGTGCCCAACTGAATTGGGCAAAGTACTCCATCCATGACGCATCTGTCTTAGCTTGACCCTTAATTTGCTCCCACATCTTGTTTTTTATCTTGGCCTTCAGCTCGTGGTCGAGGATTATACCTTCGTATCTTTTAAGAATCCGGTTGAGTTCTTTGAGTGTTGCGAGGGACCCAATTCGGATAACTTCAGAGAGAATATAGGACTTCCAGTTCTCCAGGCTATTCGTTGCTTTACTCAAGATGTGGATATGGTATTGAAGGATTTGCGAAGACTGTAAACGTATAACCGGGTTGAAATAAATATCCCACATTGCACTACGCGGGCTGTCTTTGAAGGAACCGTCATGTAGCAATGCATGAATCATGATTAAATCGCGCGCTTTGAATTGAATTTCCCCTTGTGTCAACTATGTATTTCAACTAAGTGCCTCAATGGGGATGGGCTAAAAGTCTTACCAAGTTTGTACGGGTCTTGGTTGCATAATGTGAAATTAAGTGTTGGCCTCTCCGCTTTCTTCTTTATGCCTATTCAAGATAAAGTTTATGAACAATACAAGTGGCGACCAAGCTATCAGAACTAAAAAGATAAATACCTTTTCCGAGTTCCTTCACTGTTGTCAGAACGGTATGTAAAATATCGAGGAGGCTGCCTTCTAAAAGAAGAGCATTAAGATACTTTCCCGGCCGAATAGTCTCGTAGAAGTTCAGAGGAAACATAGTCGCGAAAGGCCGCCAACTGTCGAAGCCTCGATATGATACTGGAGAGGCCATATCTTTAAGGTACCTTGGGCGATATTCTTGGGCGGTATATACAGAGAGTGCTTGATTAAGAGGATATGGTCATGATCGATAGGGCTCGGGATCCGGACAGTCAGTCAATGAACGATGAAGTGGAGATCATAACCTTGAAATCTTACTAAACGAACAGTTCCTAGGCTATTCTGGATTTATGGTCGAGTTCCATGGCAGCGGTACGGGATTTACTGTTGATCCTGTTGACCTGGCGACATAGTTCGCTCCTAAATCCTCTGACTATTACTATAATTCACACCCGAGACGAGACTCTATGGTCTCGACCCGTATTAAAAGGTAACGCCCCAAAGGTAGTAGCGGATTCATATTCTCTTGAGCTGTACAATGATACGATAATGTGGAAAATCACTGCCCAGAATCCGAAACTATCGCAGGCTTCTCGTCTGTTGTCGCTAAAGGCTTGGCAGAGGGTGTTGCAATTGTTTTTGAGAACTAAAAGGGAAAGAAATGCAAAGATCTTGGCATACACTAGATCACAAAAGGTTATGTCTGTTCTAGCCCGATTTGTCTAATTGCCTCTTTCGGCAATTGTTTATTGTCTCGTATCCAGACCTGGAAAATCGATCGCGCTGTGCTTTGATCAGGTATTCTGAAGAAGGAATTAGATATTCGAGGAACATTGACGTTACGGATGAGATATTTCACTAGATCGAATCTTATCGCCCAATCTATATGCGTTTCATTTGCAAGGACTTCCGCAGATTCTGCGCATCAATATAACACGACGTCGAGATCTACAAAACCCGTCTACAACAAATGCTCAAACGAGCTGATGATACCAAAAAAAATAAGCTGACTAGATTGGAGAACCAGCTCGTGGAAGCCGCCTACCTTCTGATACACAACTCTACTTTTGCAAAAAAATATAAATATGCCGGCCGAAAATACTAACCAGTAGGCTGAGCTATAGCTAGGAAACTCAAGGCATCCTCGAGCCTCGACCGAAAGTTCAGAAAACCACCTTTCTGGACAATCCCTCCCCCCTTAAAACTTTCAAACCCATTTCGAAAGACCTTTCAAAACCTTGAGCAATATCTAACAGACATTCGCAAAGATGATCAAATACGGTGAGAGCTCAAGTGGCCCGGCAGTTTACCAAACAGAGGGTCAGAGACAATGCAGCAACCTCAGTCTTCCCACCACCGAAGATAGCAGCTACAGAAACTCCACAGAACTTCAGTTCCTCACTTTAAGACCTCCTCCTAACAACCAAATCCTAAAGTTACGCAATCCTCCCGAGGCCGAAGGCAAAGGGAAGCAACCCGTGAGAAATTGGGACGTACCAAGGAGCGACACCGACGTCGAATACCAGGGAAACAACTACAACCCCACTTCAATAGATAAGAGTGGTAGTACCGACGGTTTCTCGACATCAAACAGTTGGTTTTCAATGTTCAAAAGTCCCGTCGTCAGAGAGGCTGACCGGTTGTTCACTTGGAGAGTCAACTGTTGTATTATCCCCGTAGCCGGGTTTTCGTCACTTGCACAGGTTACATGTTTGCCCTTTTTACTGGTATACACTCTTGTAGACAAACCAGACGCCAGAAAGGCTTTCAATACTTCTGTCGCTGGTACCATCTTAGGGGGTGTGATCTTGGTAGTCTTGGGATTCAAGAGGGCTTTATTCTGGTTAAAGAAGGTTGATAAACAAGAAGGTGCAACCAAGTCCAGATGGGAGATATTTATGGTTTTGAATTCTCTTATTAGTTTTGTATGGTTGTGGTGCCTGTATTTCCTCCTTGGGCTCAGAACTACGGCAGAGAAGGCGATTAGCAGGAGCGATATCAACCATCTCGACCCCGAACAGATCATGAAACCCTGAGCCACATTTCAGATAAAGACTCCCCAACGTGAACTTGAATCGTCATGCTCTTTACAATTTTCTTTCTTTTGTTCTTGTTTAGTTGGTTCGCATTGGTCTTTGGGACGCTTTGAAACGAGTTCATGTACTATATCTGTATCTGCGGATTATCTCGCCCTGTCGCGCGAAAGCTTGACACCGAGATTCTTGCGGCTCATGATTTATGGACCTGAAATGTATCTTTATGTTATCTTAGCGCGCGAATGGTTGATTTAGTTCCTTAAACTTCCCTTTTCGCTGCGATTGTCTTTAGTCTGCCTTACTTTTATTTCAGATATCCGGATATCCCAAGTGTAGTGTTGTATATAGAGCTCCTAAGAAGTTCAGAACAGTGAATTAGCATGGCTCAACCTCCTCAGTTCATCACATTTAGCTAGATGATAGATCTATGAATAGGTAGATAGGACGAAGTGTACTTTCCTAACATATGGGCGATGTCTCCGATTCTCAAAGATAGATATGGCTGCTGCTCATAGCAATACTGCCAACTGCCTAAGATCCTTGATAGGTAAGTCGTCGTTGTTACACCACTATATTCAATTTAAATCTAATACAAGACCCTATATACCAAAAAACAGTATTTTATGACGTCATAGTTGGCTCTGATGAATATCTTTGCGTTGACTTCAATTTGTTTCTTACCTAGTTACCGGGTTTTAATTTTCTTTCTTAGTAGTTACGCGCGGGGTTCGTATTATGTTGTCCATGAGACCGCCTACTTAAATTGTCTGGTCCACCAATTCCAGCACGCGTCTCCTTCTAAAACCCCTCGTCCGTCCAACAAACCTCCCACAGCACGTTTCACCAGACCTACTCATCACACCTCCGCATGAACCTACCCACTGCTCCATCGTCAATCTGTCGGACTTCATTCTATATACGGGCTACCACTGGATCCTCTATCACGTAAGTTAAAATTTTATCGCGTTCATGGTTTGACGCGAACCCGTACCCTTCCACATGAGATGCTTACATGGAATTCCCACCGCCTCTCTAGATGATACTTGGGGGGTATAACCCAAAGGTGAAGTTTATCTCAAAACCAGAGCATACGGCCTCGGCAAGCGTAGCCGATTCCCTCAACGAATTGGCCGGCTACACAGCGCAGCATGAACCAGAATTCGCTCGTTTAACCAGTGATTGATTTTTATCTAATGGAGTTTAATACATCTAGTCTCCGCAGCGTACAGCCGTTAATCTAGGTCTTCGAGAGACCTCCGATGACGAGCCAGTGGATCGTCTTGCTGGCTCCGGCCACTTAATTTATTGAGCCCAGAGCTTGAGGAGCTGCCCCAACACCGCCATAACTGTTGACGGACATTAATCCAAAAGAAGCTCAAGGTGCGACCCGGCTTTGGACAGTACACCACGAAACTCACGGGGTCCGCCCTAGTCTATACGATTTCCCTGTCACCAGCGGAGCAGGTCGCGGTTGTGCGGCTATATGTTCTCGCTAGAGCCCTCTGAACTCTTCGGGGTCCGCCCCTTTCCTCTACTCCACGGTATGGCTGCCCCCTGCAGCTCAATCGGGGTCCGCCCCGAGAGTGCACTATCTTGTTTGTGCTCAAGTAACAATATCGCTCCGCCCATGGGAGAAATATCAAGCTCACTTTATTGCAACTCGAGATCCGCCTCCGGTACAGTAAACGGCAACGTCGAGTTCTGTTGAAGAGGGAACTTCGTTAGTGAAAGGCATAGCAGATTGGCATTGGGTTAAACTATTTCCAATAGGGACGCCCTGTTCCAGCGGTTCGGGATGTTTTGAAATCTCAATGAAAGACAAAAAGAACTATTAACAGCACTCCAACCCTTATACTGGGGGTGCCGGGCGATGAACCATGTCCACAGAGTATATGGCGCTGAAATTCACCCTACTCGTTCAAAATCAATCAGAGGACGCAACAGGCTCGTGCGAAGGCTCCGGCCGAGCTTAAAGTTATGCGTCCTCAGAATATCTGAGTCCGACGCATGACTCTTGGGTGCAGCCGTACCCACCAACTTTCTAAGGCCGAATCAATGTGGCTTATACACACAGCGCTTCAAGGTTGAACATCTCGTTTTGGTTTTGGCTACATAGTTGGAGTACCAAAAATATTACAAGGAGACTGATATAGGACGGGAGACTCGTGGGGTCTAAGTTCGTGTAATTACACATACGCAGCAGATTATTATTTTTACTTTAAGGGTGGTTAACCTAGCGTCTATCTTCACATAGAGATTACTGCGTTCTCCGGCAGGTCCATAGGTATTCTACCCGGCCCTTGCCTCGTTTCAGCATGCATTTCTCACTGATTTAATATAATAGAACTAAGCCTTCATCCAGAACCATTATCACGGACGTTACAATTTGAAATCAAAAAGCGATTGCGGTTTGAATCAGGTCAGCGAAGCGGGAGGGGCGGGTCCTTGAAGGGCGGGAGCATCTGATTCGCTAATAGCTCCTGAGCTGAAAGCATCAAAATTAATTCAACTCTGCATTTATAATATCGTGCAACGGGAACTATATATAGATCAAAGCTCACAAACACGATCAAGAATCTAAGATATATCAAACTTCGTAATTGCGATCTAGGCCGAAGTTCATAATCACGATAAAATGTTACTCTCGAGCCTTTTAATATCAATATTGACATCGTAAAAGTACATGGCGTCTGGGCACGGAGCACCGGAAATGTAACTTCTGCATCACTGATTCGACCATCCTTCAGCTAAGCCAGAATGTTTTTTTGGGTCCGTTCCTGCCGATCGTAGAGCTAGGTGCATTTCGTTTAGGTCGTCGAGCGGCACAGCTGCAGTCTACATGTCCAATGCAAGGCCAAGCCCGCAAAATTACTGGTTCAAAATACCACACAATAAAAGTGTTGTCAGGTGGGTCCTCTTGGCGCATGAAGCATGTGCAACCGTAACCGCCCACACCTTTCCTGATATCGAATCATGTGCGGACAGCTGACCTCAGTCTGACCAACGAGAAAGAGCAATCAACGAATTCCAAAGGCTGAAGGGCTGTGGGTAAGATTCTACGTCAGAGGCGGGTTGGAGATGTTCCAATGGGTCGCGATGGTGGGGTCGTTGTTGCCAGGTTGAAAAGGACTTGCTGGTGTCTTGAGTAACCCCTCTTCAACTCTAGCTTACTCCGTCGACGGATCCAGACTTCTTTTTACTCTGCACATCTGTTCACTGATCACCAACTTCGAAGTCAGCGGCCTTAAAAAGCTCGAAACGTGAACAGTGTTGTCAAGTTCGGTACAATTGTTCAATACTGAACCGGGTTAAGCGGCATATGCAAACATGGCGAGCCTTCCATTGTCCCTCGGAACGCTTCCGCTCGACATACTAACCTATCTGATTTATGATGTACGTTTCCTTACCAAAAACTATCTGATGAAAGAGTAGCTAACAAATTCGAATATTCATTTATATAGTGCGTCGACGACGAAGGTACCCTTTACGCTCTTAGCCTTACCTGTCGCGTTCTCCGAAGCGTTGCTTTTAGGCGGATATGCTCGGAAAAGGTTGCGATAAACCTTAACCTGCCCGGATATGCAGAAATATGTCAGGAGAATTCACTTACAACCCTTCTAAAGTCGGATGAATATCGGTCGGTCGGCTTGACCAAGCAGCTGTGGGTTAATATCAACAGCCTTGAGTGCCGAAGCCTCATTCACTTAGAGAATTACGATCGTTTCATCAGGGATGCTGGAGGGATAGTGGAACGATGCCCCGCTGTCGAAACAGCTACTGTGAGGGAGTGTTCTGGCATGAACAAAAATGACATCTTGGATGTCATTCACTGGTCGAACAAGGTGGTGAAGCTCCCGAGGCTAAGATTTTTATTTATCGATTCTTCGGAAAGACGCCACTTTAGATCACAGCCGGATGACCAGCATATAGCTCGCATCGAGGGACTACATCAGGAAAAGCGACATTTGAATAGTCTAGAATGTCTATCGGTTCAGAATTGCTTCAGTGGAATATTCTCTGACGATTTTTCACCCCAGAGCTTGTTTATTCAAAACACAATCGTTGACAATATCGATTCTCTGAACCGGCTATGGTTTCATGGAGCTGAGCTTCGGGAGGCCCTGAAGGAGATGCCAACGGCTTCTTTGGCTAATATGCGTTTGAAATCGCTAAGCATCCGCTTACTCCCAACCCATAGCGACCTTATCAGAGTCTTCGGTTTGTGCCCAAGAGACGATCGACGGCAAAGTGGTGTTATAGCAAATAAAGATGCAATGACGGGGCTCGAGCACTTATATCTTTCGGATGGTAACTTCATGGCAGAAGGGGAATTAGAGTTGCTCCCGTATCTCTACACGCCAATTCTAAAATCACTTCAAGTCGGTGTTGGGGTTTTTCAACCTGAGGGAAGCCCAGAAGGCCTGCCAAGGCCTTTTGAGGACTATTTAGGGTCACTCTCATCGCTTGAAAGGTTCGGGACATCTGGGGCAACGATGATCCCAAAGGCTTCGTACTTGACACTACTAGATCGGGTTGTGGCATCGCAGCCCGGTTTTAAATCTCTCGCGGTGTGGAATAGCTGGTATGCGTTTGGTTTGCTGTTTCCAGGCGAACTCCTGAAAACAACGATGTACACATCCTTGGAAAGGGTAGAAATCGCATCGAAATTTGAATGTGCAGATGAAGGATTATTTGTACGTATACCCCTTGAAAATAGACATTCCAGCTGCTGACACACCTTTTTATCATAGAGAGCACTAGGATCTGTATTCCGCGCGTATTCAGGCTCCAATTCTTCACTCAAAACATTATCTTTCGGGCAAAGTTTTGCGGAGAAACAGTATTTCGGCGCCCGCGAAATTTGCACTATTGTGTCCAGCATTCTTTACGTTCATCAGAGGCGCCGTTGCCCCGATACCCCATTTCTACTCGATCATAATGAGTCGCAGAGTTCGCCTTTAGTGGAAACGCCGGCTAGGCGAATTCTCTTTGATGCGATTTCCGGGAAAAGGAGTTGGCGTAGACCGTTCATCTACAAAGCAAGCTACCGGAATGCTGTTGAGAGTTATCTCCATTCATTCGTATCGACGCTGCCGCCTGGAAAGAACCAATGGAATACAAAGCTATCCGACTGGGACACTTATAGCCAATGCAACAAAGCGACAGCATCGAATGGAATATATGAAGCTATTATGGCCGAGCTTCCCGAGGGATTTAAACGATTGGAGTTAGATTGGAGGGCGGAACGCGCTGGTGGAAAGTGGCCGAAAGATATAAAAGAATGGAGGTTTGTATGGGAAAAGACGGAAGCGGGTTGGGAACTTGTGGAGTCGTCTTGAAGATGGAGCTTTGATTCCGTATTGTGGTTTGGAGGCTGGCCCGGGGTGGTTCGTGGTGTTTTGTGATGACTTTGTGTCGGGAGTTATTTCGGGATCATGATTATTAGTATTGGATTTTAGAACGCAACATGAAGGATATGGCGATATCGGCACTTTTGAAGATTGAAATAACGTTTATGGAATCTAGCCACATTGAGGTACCCTGAACCATGAAAGAGCCTTGCCACCGCGTCTTTTTCTGTCTTTCGTCCCGAGCCCCATGTCCATGTCCATCATTTCCAAGATGCGTTGTAGATGTTACTTTCAGCTACCCCGCAACGGACTCGAGTCACTACCAATGCCGTGGCCGAAACTCGCCAACCTTGAGGGGTGTCGTCTCGATGTGGTTAAAAGGTTTTTGAAAAGTGGAGCTTCGCCCAAAACGGTGCACGACACGACAGGCCCGAGACCCGAGCCCACGACACGACGGATCCCGCCGAAGCATGGTTACCGAGAAGAGCAGAATGCCGAAGCGAACCCGAGCTCGGTTCCACAGCATCGAAAGTGGACACACCCCCTCCCTCCCGTAGACATTGATCCTGTACAGTAGGATATAATATCGGTCGGAAAGCTGCTTTTCATTCGCATTCATTGATTGTGGAAATTCCCGCAGGCCAACCTTTTATCCAAAAAGCCCCGAGTACTTGTTTATTTCTATTTCAAAAGGAAGAATCCGCAGCAATGGCGACCCCACCCCCAGATGGCGTTTATGTCCCCGTCCCCACTTTCTTCCAGCCCTTCGACAAGTCCGCATACAAACAACCACTCGACCTCACTGCTCAAACTGAGCATACCCTTTTCCTCGCCAATGCTGGAATCACGGGTTTGGTCCTTTGTGGGTCGACTGGTGAAGCCGTACACTTGACGCCTGGAGAACGCGCTGAGCTTATCAGGTCCCAAAAGACTGCGCTGGTAGAGGGAGGGTTCAGCAATGTAGTCATTATGGCTGGGACGGCTAGTCAAAATATCGACGAGACTATCGGAATCATTGCGGAGAGCAAAGAGGCTGGCGCCGACTATGCGCTCGTTTTGACACCTAGTTATTTTGCGACTGCAGGGGGTTATAGTGAGGAAGGGCTGAGGAATTGGTTTACTGCAGTGGCGGAACATAGTATTTTACCAGTTTTGGTGAGTTTACATTGTCAAAAGCCATATATTTTGCGGGCGGCAAAGGTGCTAATGGTCATTAAATAGGTTTATAACTACCCAGCTGTCACGAATAACCTCCAGCTTTCGCTATCGCTAATGAAGCACCTTGCGAGTCATCCAAATATAGTAGGCTGCAAGTTATCGCATGGGAATATATCGCACCACTTGATCTTATCGTCGACAAAAGAGATCAATCACGATAAATTTAGAGTATACACCGGTCTCGGACAACAACTACTCCCACTTCTCCTATCCGGCCCTGGCGCTGCAGGCGCGATCGATGGAACGGCAGCTTATTTCCCAAAGACTTTGTTAAGGATTTGGAACCTATCGAAGAAAATCTCTGCAGCGAATGGAAATGTGACGAAGGAGGAGTGGGAAGAGGTTCATGCTTTGCAATGTGCTTATAGCGAAGTCGAGGAGTGGGTTGTTAAGTTTGGGACTATTGGAATCAAAGAGGCGGTTAAGAAGGTGCTTGGTATTTCCGTCGGACAGGATGGTGGAAGACTACCTTTTTGCGAAGGAGCTAGCGGTGGTGGCGGGCCCGCGAAGCAGTGGGAGAACTTCAGAGGGGCCTTTGAAGCAGTACAGGACTTTGAGGGCAAGTTGTAATTATGGTCTTGGGCTCCTTTTGGAAGTGTATATATGTCTTGAGGTCTATCTACCAGCCCCAGTCCCAAAGTTGGACTAGGACGCACTTTCACTACCACCCCGTGACTAGCGTGGCGTGTATTAGATTAGATAAGGCCCCCACACATATATCACCAATTCGGTCAGCTCGCCACGTTGGGCTGTCATTTGCCCCGTAGCTGTGCATTCCTGACAGAACATGTCCCTTCTAATTGTTTCAAGATAAATCAAGATCCTATTCAGGCGTGAAATTGCCGAGTCCAAGTTACGTCTAAGTAAGTTTTAGAATTCTTTGGTCTTGGGAATGTGGACCATTAAAATAATGTAATTGGTTGCATGTGCTAGTCTATTAATATATTGGTTTTAATAATCCATATGACATTAGTGTTTTGATCTCTTGGTGATGCGTGAAGGCCGGGAATATTTAAATGTACTAGTAATCATTAGGAGGTCGATGAAGCTTTCCACTAGTGCTATCAATCGCCTGCACGTACATTTGATGAATTTAAAGCTCTGACTACAGAATAACAGCTTCGCTAAGCTCTAGAATATCAGAATCAGTGTTTTCCTCTTACGCTGGAGTATAAGCCAACGTATCGCATATGTGTATTTTGATTGAGTGCCGGTAGCGGCGCTCTTCAACCTTTCAAAAATGTGGGTCGACCTGAAGGTTGGCCTTGTCGTTCAATTTCGAAGAAGTTGTGATAGTACCATCCGCGGCAGTCGATGTGATTATATGAAGACACTGTATGTCATATGTAAGCATTTCAATGCGGTATTCACTGTCCGATTGCGCGATATCGATCTAGAACTTTCTTGGCCTCGTTCTCAGACGTCACGTGCACAAGGGAGGTATCAAGTTGTTAGATCTATACATGATTGGTATTGGCTATATATAATACCTGGTAACAAGGCTATATACCAGCAGTTCCCGATCAAATATTATCCCTTTGAGGTAGGCTTTCTGGCCTGGATGTTAATATAGTCGCATAAGAGACCGCTCTTCGGAAAATGCTTATTTTCAATCGCTGAAGACCTCTGCAAACCTTAACTTCTGGAAGTAGGGTGAATTGATGCTGAATGTTAAGATGATTTTCGGGATCTAGGATCTCAAATTTGTCAGTGGGCCTAGACTCGAGTTAATATAGGTACTGCTGTAGTTTCTTGAGTTCGTGGTTTCCCTAGATAAGCACCTATCTTTATGAAATTAGATATGACTAGTCGATTATACACTTATATATCCTGTAGGATGCATCGATGATGGTTTGCCTAATAGAAGGCTTAAGAGTACAGGAGTACTAGGATTGTATACATATACACGTAGTAAGGCTTTTCCTCAAGTCTGGGGGCCGTACGTAGAAATACCTGTATCCTGTACAGGAGTAAACAAAAGGCATTACCGTATACCAGCCAAACCTTCGAGTCCGCCTTTAAATCGATCCTGAGGGTCCGGTTCCAACATTAGACTATACCTTAGAGCGAATGTACTACGGCATAAACGCTCAATACATTCAAGTTAACGTTCGGCACGGCTGCTGCACGCTCCCGCCGTCTCGAAATGCAAGTCCAATCAACCGAATTCATCGGATATATGCAGTGAGATGCAACGATGGGATCGCTATCCTTGACGATATTAATGCAAACATATGCAATACCAATGCGCGCAACTAGTTAACTGCATTCCAGCTGTCGATGCAGATAAGATATGCGGTAATACATGCACGGACCGGTCTCGTGACGATACCAATCGAGATCCTTGTAGAGACTTACATTCCACGTTTTTTGGGCCGATAATATGCATGTTTGTGCGACCATATTTCCTATCTCAACTTCTTATGCATAAAGTTTTAGGCCGTGGTTGAAGTTGAATGTTATAGCGTTAGTATAGCTATATCGCGATCACCTAATCTTGGCCGCAGCCTTTTTATTGTCAAGATCGTAGCCTCTTTTGGAAACCAATAACTGAATACAGAAGAGACGCAATAGGTGTATCAGTTAGATGAAGCAGAGTTAAAAGGGGTATATGATACCATTAAATATGTTGAAGATATCGAGACTACTACAAATGCCAATATGAAGTATTAGAAGCTCCTAAATTTCAGCCTTGAATGCTCCACTCAGTCATATAGACCCCATACCATTCGCCTCCCAACATTATCACTGAGACTCGGTTCCCAGCTCTCCCGCGAACTCTACTCGGGTTATAGCTTCTTCAGACTTCACACCCTTCCCGTAGAGAATTTTCTACACTCTCAACTACAATAGCTTTCGTTGGAACATCGTCCTACGTCGCCTCCTCTTGCGGCTGCCAACCCGGCATTGGCGCTGTATTTGCACATATCAAAGACTCGAGAGCAACACATAATCTTAGACGGATTCAAAATACAGCGTGTACGACAGATGCACCCGTATTTCATCCTGATGCGGGTGATTTAATCGCGGGTTTGGTGCTAGAGATTGTGGCGAAGGATAGAAGGAGTAGGATTGCGAGTAGCTGGAGGGTTTATCACGATATTGCGGGGACTCAACCTGATTTGGTAGAAACCTTTGCGGAGGACTAGGCACTTAATATGTATGTCCATGCGAGCTCTAATTAATACTATATACATCGTGTGAGCTGGGTGGGTATTGATATACAATATGTAGCTTTGGTGGAGATCCACCATATTCTAAATGACCGTTATTCTATGAGGGTGGCGAGGATTGTTCTTTGATACTCTCGTTGGCACTTCATAAGGTATCTTTTTCAGAAAGAGTCCCGGAAATGAAGCTCATGTGGAAGCTGTGGATGTCATTAAATATGCGGCGGAGAATTATTCTCTTGCATTGAATTTTCAGAAGGAAGATATGCAGTTGATAAAGAGTTTTGGATTGCTACACACGAGAGACGCGTTTCGGGGTGATGGGGAGAATAAGTGAGTATATCCTCCCCACTGAGTGGTGATGTTTAGTTTGAGAGGAGTTAGCCTCTAATAGGAGATTATCAGGCATTTGATATGGTTTTAGTTGAGGAGCGAGGAGTTGGCTTGGAAAACGGCGGGTGCTTTGCAGTATATCTCGGATAAATTGTAGAAAATGAAATGCGAGGAACAGAGTTTGCCGGCGGAACCGAAGATAAGAAAAAAAACTGCTGGGGTTGCGAAGTAATATTACGTCGGTCAGAGTCGACTCTCGATGCAGATGGGCTGAGGGTGGAACCATTAGATTCTAATGGCATCTGTAATCCCAGTATGGATCCCAATACTCTGGGTCTTGTTGGTTAAACGAACTATCTCGCCCCCAGTTCCCATCCTCCCTCCTCAGAAGCCTTATTACTTCTGTCACTCCTTCTTCTATAGAGTTTGGGCCCACAGAGGAATAAGGAATTGGATTGATATCCTGTTTCTCAGATTTCGCAAAATCAACTCGTTGTAGAGACGTCATGTAAAATGAGTTTGACAAATATCCGGTCCAATGTTTGACACTATGAGATAGTACCACCGCTGTAGCCCATCTACTATTGTGATTGAGACGAGCGTCTGGGTTGTAAGGCCAGGGAAGCCTTGCCGTTCGAAGATATTCGAACTTTTGTATTGGGAGGTAGTAAACAGTGGCTCCTCCCGAGCGCTGGGAAGTATCTGAATTAGAGTGTTGCCCTTCAAGGTAGAGATGTTGAACGGCAGGACACATTTCGGACATGATATCTATCATCTTGCTATCAATGCCATGCTTAATGATCGTACGAAGGAACCGAACTTCGGGAAATACGACAGCGGGTTTGTGGCGGCCAAATCCATGCAGCATATGGATGGTTAGGGATTTCAGTTTTGATGCGGAATTGAAATAGAAAGTCCAGGGGTAATGAAATTTCCTTAGAAAGGGAGTCTTGAAGGGTCTCACGAATAGAGAACCCTCGAAAGAGAACCCCGATGCCACTTCCAGAGAGTCCGGGAAAAAATCAGACTCTTCCTGCTTGCTGGATGTAGCAGTCAATTCATTGCCGAAAAAATCCCTTTCCTCGATAAATAAATGAGCCCTTGTGATATCCCACCTTCTAAAAGCTGGATCTTCGTAGCTAATAAATTTGGCTTCGAAGCACAGTTTCCTAAGATTTTTAAACAATGGATATGAGGATAATTTCCGAGCAATTGCACGAGGAATCGCTGCTTCGTAGTCCGTTGTAGTCGCGAAAGGGATATGCACACCCATGAGGTTTGGGAATATTTCCAAGCTGGCACAGTAGAGATTACAAAGATATATAGTCTTGTGGATTGAGGAGTTGTTGCATAGGCCGCCAAAGGTAACTTCTCTGTACTCCTCTTTGTTAACAAACATCCATATGCTTCAATCAGATGGTTGTTTATTCAAGATTAGGTGACTACATACCGAACGAGAGACCCGCAGTCTTTTAAACTACCGCTCTGGAACCCTTTAACAGAAGCCTCTGACAGAAGGATGTGTGCATATAACAATGGGATTAAACGCTCCCGATGAAGTCTCGAACATGAAGAAATTGCTTTTAGCTCTTTGGTCGCGAGGTAGCCATAGATCATAACCCATATTTCGTACGGGACCGCGTTTATTGCCGCCGGCCTCGAAACTTCAGGCACCGAAGGTGCCTTGTCTCTAAAAATGGTGCTAGTTGGTTGGGTCCCATAGTTAGCGAAACCAAACGATTGCAGGCGGTTTGCAACCTGGGACAGCCATGGTATAGGAAAGGAAGCCATGGAAATTCAGCATTGAAGTCGGGTAAGCGTTAACAATTCAAAGACAGCCTAGAAACAATTCCAGCCGTTGATGGGAGGTTGCTGCTGACAGCTTGAATCTTGTAAGCCTTCATGCATGCATGGATCTACACATTCGCTGTGTCGCTTGATCCTGTATTAGCCATCACGTGACCAGGCGATACCCATGTCAAGCACCATTTTGGGAACCGATGAGCCCTTTTCGTGAAGGCCCCACCATCTCGAACATCACATGCATGATATCATATGTATCTACTCTTCATTCATTATCTTTTTAGCTGTAACCAACCGTAAAATAACCACATAGTTTCGAAAGACCTAGACGCGATTTAATTTTACACCATCTAGACGAAATGGCTAAGTCGAGCTCGATCTTCCGTCTGTTCGACCTTCCCCCGGAAATTCGAGACACGATCTATTTCCACCTTGCTGATATCAGCCGAGAACCTCTGAAACCCGACTTTAAGACTCAATTGCTATTTCCAGCGCCATCCGTCAGCTTTAACTACACGTACCGGCCACCAAGCGGACTAGTCACCTCCCACGTGGCATTATCCATATACTACCCCACCACCCCGCCGAAGTACTCACTACTTCCGGTCCTCCAAAGTTGCCGAAAACTCAGGTCCGAACTCCAAAGATACATAAAGGTTTTGCAAAGAAAACCAGGTGGAGGGTCAAACCCGCTGGGTTACACACTTGACTTGGAATCATATCATTCGGAGATCTTCCTCAAATGGGCGAGAATCCAAGTACCCCCGGAGCCGCCATACAATATCATCCCGGAGTTTCGGATAAACTACAATGTTATGAATTTAAGGCGAAAATACGATAACGGTCTCCGATTCCACAGCGATGGGAGGTTGTGGGATGAAGGAGTTGCGTTGTTTAACGTCTTAAACGACTTTTTCCACCATGGACCACAGGGGTTTTATATCCCATCTATAAATGACGGAGATGATGGTGGAAAATGCCGTGAAATGGTTATTGAGAAGCTGGTGCTTAATGTCAAGCTGGTACGGTCACCAGAGTTGATCAGACTCTATGAGATGGTTAAAAAAGGTGCAGTCGAAGCCGGACCTGATAGTCTATCGGAAGCTGCTTTGCATAAATTTAGCATGGAAATAAAGGATTTGGAATGCAGGATTCTGAAAGGGTTTGCGGAGTGGATGTCGAAATTCTTAGATGTTGGACATCTCGACGGGAGGGTCGGCAAGGTTCAAGTCCTTTGGGACGGGGCTGATGAGTGGGATATACCGCTTGATCTAGTAGCAGAGGACCAGGAAAATATGACTCCAGTCCGCAGGATGAAAGCTAGATTCGACTTAACAGGGACTGAAAAAAGAGAGAGAATAGCGGAACCAGAAGGATGGGAGAAGTGTGTATGGGGCAGGAAGGGGAATTTCCAGGTCCGTCAACATGGACCATTGTGGACCGATCGCTGGGTCGAATCGGATGGGGTTTGGGTTCCTCCAGCCGAAGTCCCACGAGACCCAGTTCCAGTTCTAGTCCAGCATGCAAGTGCTAACACACCGGATCAGGGACTTGACTTGCTCCTGCGGCTTCAGGATGAGGTTGAGGAAGCGCTGGAGCACTACGAGGGCCGTGAGGATAATCCTACTGCGGAGTAATCTGAACACCCTCTCGTTAAATACCTTATTGTTTCGAGGGCGGGAGGCAGGCGTGCAAATAGAGGCTGGAAGCCTCGCTCGAGCATGAGGGGTATGTTGGAATTATGACAAAGTCCACACAAAGTTTATGTAGCACGGCTTTGGTCGGGTCACTTCTATAGACTGAAGCTTCGAAGATGCTTAAAGATCATGAGATGGATGTCTCTATACAATTGAATTATCTTCTATCCACTATGATGCTCTTTAATTAGTGAATGAGAGAACTGTAACACCGATATCCTCTGCCAATTTTAATCATGATCTTTCCTAAGCAGCAGAGGGGATATCCTCTCCCCCAAACATAGCCTAAGGTCCACATCGGTTGCCTCCAAGTAGTCATGGAAATGTCAAACTGCTTAAGGATAAATGTATCGCCCACAGGCACTATTCAAGCACCACCCATTCAAAGATACATTTCTGGACCCACAGAATGGACATTCGAGAGTCTCCGGCCGTTTCTTCTCGGGGGTATCTTCGTCGCCGGGGCTCTTTCGGCCTAAAATCGCTCGATCCTTTCCAGTAGGGGTAGAGGTGGGAGTTGGAGGAACCATCTTCGGTTAATTCTATAGCGGTGATGCGTGGTGATCTAGCTTAGGAGTTATTATGTGTCTAAATCTTAAGGCTTACTTGCGCTCGAAATTTGTGAAGAGCAAGTTGATTAAACGATCGTGATTGTGGCGTCTGTGGGTTGGATTGTATGAATTGAAATGGTGAACTTCAACTAGAACTTGGGGGGTGAACATTGTATTCTCAGAGGCCGAGAGATCTTATGGTGGCCAAAAAATAGTTTCAAGGCATGAACCTAACATAGTCTAGAAAAGAAACGGGTGAATCCAGCATCAAATGGAAACAATACTGCATCTAGTTTCCTTGTACATGTCTAAATCCCCAGAAACGGGGCTTATGAAACAAATTGAGCGGTATAGTAATCTCCTAATTCGGAATATTTCAAAAAGCAAGATATAAAGTATATACACCAGACAGACCGAAATAGTCCATATTTCGTTTCGGCTTTTCATATATTATATTTGGCTATTGCGTTATAATAAACCAATTAGCGAGAAGGAAAGCTTTGTGCGATCTCCACGACGATATCGACCGAGTCTCTTGCCTAACTATGCATACGTAGTTTTAAGCTAGTTGGCGGTTGCGTTTGTATTTTTGTTTACGACGAGTCTGGAGGGTCACGGGCATATTGAAAAGTTCCTTAGAGGATTTCTTGGTTGTATAATTGGTATTGTGTATTCTTTTTCATTACTACAGGCTCCACTGCGATCAAAGGGTATTTAGAGCTTCAACTCTACTCATTACATATATCTTAATTGATAGGGTTCCAAGAGCCTCGTCCGCTAACCAAGTTAACAGTCGGGTCCAATTCCAGCCCAAATCCAGGCTTATCCAAAGTCTCAACTAGCATCTTTCCATTTTGTGGTAGTGGCTCATCCTTGAATAGCCCTCCAAAAACAGGCAACACACTTTCTCCATCCGGTGAGTTGGCGAGATATTCCTGGAATGGGGTGTTATTCTGAGAAATGACGAAGTGGTAGGAGTAAGGACCTGAGGCGTGAGGTACGACAGGGATGTCGTAAGCGGCTGCTTGGGCCGAGATCTTCAAGAGCTCGGTTAGACCGCCGACCCACATGATGTCTGGCTGGAGGATGTCGATGTTGCGACCCTTGATTAATTCACGGAAGCCGTATTTCGTGTATTCGTGCTACATTTTGATTAGCATTTAGGTACTTGGGTGCTACAGAAATGAACAATATTTACCTCTCCGGTAGTGAATTTCATAGTAGGATGCGCTCTCTTCAGTAACGCATAGCCCTCGGTATCGTCAGGGTGCAAAACCTCCTCCCACCAGTTAAGATTCAAGTCCTTTGTCTTTTCCACAATCTCGATAGTATATTGAACGTTCAAGCTCATATAGCAATCCACCATGATCGGGAAGTCAGGTCCGACAGCTTCTCGTTGTTTTCGTAGGAACTCAATGTTCTTACGAAGACCTTCCTGACCATCATCAGGGCAGTATGGAAGTGGGACTTTGGCTCCCCAGAAACCCATTTCCTTAGTAGCAGCTGACGATGGACCAGTGCAGTAGAAGTCGATGTGTGGGCGTGTAGCACCACCAATCATCTTGTATACTGGCTCACCGCGGACCTTGCCAATAAGGTCCCAGAGTGCCAGATCCACGACTGAGATGACAGCAATAGGGAGACCTTTTCGGCCGTAAAACATCGAAGCACGGAACATCTGTTCCCATAGGAGATTGGTGTTCCTTGGATCCGCTCCCAACAAGAAACGTTCGAAGTGACTGTGTACTAACCAACAGGCCGGGGGACCTCCGAAACCGGTGGCGAAGCCTTTGGTACCGTCTGACGCGACGATTTCGACGCAGAACGAGCCGAGAACATTGATTCCCCAAGATGTGCGGGTCTTCTTGTACTCGTCATAGCGGGACATAGGAGTCGAGATAGGAGAAGAAACCAGCCAATGCTCTGCTTTGACATTGTGGTAGTCTCCACCGGTGCCAACCTGGAAAGCCAATTAGTTCTGGGAGAGAGAGATTGCTAAGTAAAGAAAGAGGGCTTACACCAGCAGTGAGATAGGTGTTGACCTCCTTGATTGTTGGGAAAGATTTGAGAGTAGAAGCCATTGTAGATTCTTTGAATTGAACTTCCATATAATGAGATTGCAGTGCGTTACTGAGGGGCTTTCAATTGGAATTCAGTTGCAAGCTGTGTGACAGATTTATCCTGAGGAAGCGCAATATATAGATCCAAGAACGTCTCAAGCGGGAGCCAAGTCGGTCGAATTTATGCTTTCCAGAAACGCGAAACGGACAATCGTAGATCTATTCGATATCGATAAGGAAGATGCCCATGGTAGACCGGAGCGGATTTCGGACGTTCCCTTTTACTCGCCCCCGCCCGCACCTCCGCAATGGATCACGCTATAACTAACAGTGGTCCCACTTCCGACTCTAATTTCCCGTCCATTGAGAGCCCTTTGCCTCCTCTCTCGCCCCTCGTCGGCCTTCGAGACGATCAGAAAGGAAGAAATAAGCGTGCGAAGGGGATATTTGCTTTCGAAGCTAGAGCAAAAACGAAACTCCAAGGAATGCACGTCAGCGGAAGGTCTAAAAGAGAACGGAAAGTTTGGTCGCCGGATTTGGACTCGTAACGGGTTAGTGGTGTTGGAATGGACATTTACCTTGGAATCGGGTATTCTGGAAGCCAAACAGCGGTTATGGAGGGGCTTAACCTGATACTGATATCGAGACGAGATATCGATACGATGGCGGTGTCTGGGGTTGACTGTGGCGGGGCCGCGGCCTCTTGCCGAAGTGGGGAAAGCTTTGCGTAACGATGCCTCGGCTGTTTCGCGCTTAAACTCGCCTATCATTCCAACCAGCGAACGGGCGGCTATTCCTTCAGCTTCTGGCCCATCTAGACTGAGTGAAGATAATTCCTAGCTTGGACCGGAGTCGTCTTAAACTTCATGTCGTTTTTTTGATAAAATTTGAGGATGAAAACTGTACTGCTTGAGGTCTGGAAGGGCTTTCGACTCAGGATGTCGCGGAAGCACGGCCCTTGTGTTGAAAGTTGCATTTTGATCGCCAACACATTATGGGGGCGGGCGCTGGGGGGACTCCCATCGGCGGTCCAGGAAACCAACCTAGCCACCAATATATTGTTCTACACATTTGTTATTCAAAATATGAGATAGCCTTATATACAGTTCAAATATCTATTATTAAATGAAGCGTGAATTGTTTGATACACCTTTTCTGCGTAGTTGAAGAATAATCCTACATTGACAGCCCAAGGTTCGTACATTGGTGGTGTATTCTTGCCAGGTTGTATATTTTCCAGGCATCATAGATATCTTGCGTCTCGGGCCAAATGGGACTTTTGGTGTCTGAATAGCTGCTTAGTAAGTATTTGGTTTGATCATCAAGCAATTTACGAGTTTTCGAATCATTGGCTTTAGTTTTAGAAACAATTCCAAGTTAAACTTACTGTCCCACGAAAGCTAAGTCAGGGTCAAGTATTCTTAGGATTGTAGGCGTGGACAGTCTTCCAATTTTCTCGGAGGTCTTATTATCGGTTTGTTAAAAAAGTTTAGTCCACGTAAAGATTAGAAAAACAAAGTCGGAAAATGCGAGGTGTTAATACGGTACAGAAGGTTAGTTAGTTGGCAATTGCAAGGGATACAGAAGAAAAGCAACTGTCCCAAAATAGGAGGGCGTTGTGGGCGGTGCACCAAGAGAGAGCTCGAACACAAGAGTGATGACTTTAAAAAGCCATCTTAGGAATGTAGGCCGCGTCGAGAATACTGAGAGCGTTACGGTACGCCTTATTCTTCGCCTCGGAGTAGTTCTCCGCGGACTCCGAGATATCCCAACGGCGTAGACCCATGCCAATGCTCTGGATTTTAAGAACAGCACAGTAGCTGCTGGCAGGATCCGCGTCTTCCGCCTCGTAGCATTTGACACTAATTGTGAGTCCGCGATCTCGCAAGAATTGTGCCAATTGAGGGGAGTCTTGCCAAAGATATGCCGGGATATCTTGGGCGGTCCTATCAACCTTGGTGGTGACAGCGAACTGATTCTCTTTTTCATCTGACCCCTCGGAGGCGCCATCCCACCCACTGTCTTCTTCATCGAACTTCTCGGGGGCACCATCCGATTCAGTCTCTTCCTCATCGGATTTGTCGGCAGCACCATCCCAAACGGTTTCATCAAGAGCGGTACCGACGAGCGACTCCAACCCACTCTCAATTTTCTCACGGTGACTAAAATAGCCCACCGTGTAGAGCAACCCAAGGATATCGCCAGCGTCCAAGGGCATGGGGGATTCACTAAAATCAACCCCGATGAGGCCACCTAGGTCAAAAACGAGAGCGAAGGCTGCGATCTGCCCACGGGTGGACAATCTTGTGGCAATCTCCTTTTAAATCCCAGCGGACGATTTAATTAGTATTGGTGCTTTACCCATGTGGACTGGGCTCTTAGATACCTTGACTTCGTCGTCGGGAAAGCTGCCTTGCAAGAGACTGGTAACCTTGCATTTCAAAAATGCTGCAATGTTCTCGAGCCCTTCCTCGACGCGCTGTGGGGTGGTCCCTTGCATTGTCATACGCAATGGCCTAACTAACGCCAGCCTGAAGTTCTGAAGGCCCGCGTCTTGACGGTTCTCCGCGAAACGAATCTTGTTTATCGGACTTGGATAGTACACGTTGCCACGCAATGGCCTGCCGGTTGCGGTGAAGATTTGACTGGCTGGGTCTGTGACTCGGGTGGACATTATCGCGGTACCTTGTGAGAATGGTTGGCCGGTAATTGTAGGTTGGAAGGCGGTGACGGCTTGGCGAATACCTTCAAGGTTTACACTGTATGGTGATTGGTTTATGATGAGGACGGCGAAGCTAGTAGCTGTTGTTGTGGTAGTAGTGGAGAGAGGGAAGTGACAATATGGCGAAAGAGAAGCTTAGTTGCGAGCGGGGCTAGATATTTTGCAACCCCTAATATTGGAATGAGGTTAATACTGATCTCATCAGCACAACAGTGCCATACTAGGAAATTCAATGAGACGCATCAAAGTCGCACTTGCTCCAAAGCGACATGAACAGCAATAAATGAAGTATGAACCAACTTAATACGGTATAAGTGTAAAAGTACGACTTGAATTCGATGGAGAATCTGCAGAAAGAACATCGGTTATCCACGTTCAATAAAATTAACTTCTAGAGACTTCGCATTCTTGTGTATTTCTTCAATACGGGTTCTTTCGCTGATTCCACAAATACGTTGGTGGGAGGGGAGTCTGTACAATTATTCGCAGAGAGGGTATCGTAATGAGCTAGCACTGGCCAGCATGGTGCTTCTTATCTACGAAAGCAAACCCTAGGATGCAGCTTAAACGACGATCCAGAAGCGGACAAACTGTACAATATCTAGTGTAATAGCAACAGCATTATGAATTGTGATTGGCAGCATCACTCTGAACTCGCATTGGTCGACGTCAATTGATCAAAGCAAACTTAGTAGTTTTTATAAATTTAGGGAACCTGAGAATATCAAACCAACGTAGAAAGTGTAACGATGCGTGAGTTCTGTAGTGGATCGATCGAAGCCATTAGAAAATAATCTAGCTTATGATTATTACTCCAACTAGAATAACTCAGCTGGTGAATACGGGGATCTCACGACTAACGATAAAAAAAATCGACATAAAGGGACGATTTAACCATAAAAAAAAAAAAAGAAGGGAACAGTTGACTCCGTCTAAATGTTACGACTTCACAGGTCGGGCATAAAGCCCGGGGCCACTGCTGGACCCCATCCTGATCGACCGCGCTCGGATTCGAACCGATGCTTCACAAGAGCCGACGATTATACAACTGAGCCATGACGGCTTTGGAAAAATCATCTCCCGCTCGGCATTATAAGGTGCCCCCCCAACTCAGATCACATAACTAAAATCGAAAATCAAACAGAAGACAATACTTAACGTAGCATGTCGCAATGAATATAAATATTCCAACCCGCTACAGTCAACTAACGCTGTTCACGATGCTTCTTTGTCGTAAAACCAAAATACAGTCTTTCTTTCTTCCGTCTGATCTGAAAGCACAAGACGAACGTAAAACCAGCAAAAAACTATAGTACTACCTGCTAGCAGAACTGTATAAAGGCATTGCGACGGTTCATTTATTATTTAACGAGTCGTCGGGGTTCCCCAAAACTCTAGTGGCAGCACCCCTAGGACCACAGTTGAGGAGTCTGGCGACGAGACAACCCAGAACCAGCGATAGTTAATCCTAGTGATCTTGAGACCAGGCGCAGGGGAAGGGCAGGGTCGAACTGGACCTGACGCACGAGATCTGTAGCGTTCTATCCGTCCCAAAAATAATCCACTCCTAGAGATTAGGTATAAAATTCCACCAGTAGCCACCACAAGCGCCGCCGAAGGTGGGATACGGTTGCCCCCCACCGGCCACCATCGGCTAGTTCTACTCACTGTAGATGTCGAGCTGGCGTGTTGGATTTGTTGGCGATTGACGAATTAGGTAATTTTGCCGTTTTAGGCATATCGGTCTAAGCCAGAAATAGAAGTACAACAAGTGCTCAACACAACAACAAGAAGGAGGACTCTCCCTAACTTCACCGAAAATATTAATGCTGTTTAAGTTACTGGCGGTGCTTTGAGAGCTAAAGAGAATGTATGAGATTCAGGGCATGTCTGCCGTGACTTGGACGCAGAACATGGGGGTGCTTTTGTTTGATAAGGTTTGAAGGAAGTTTGAGATCATGTTACGGAAGATTGCTTGTACTTACTTTGAAAAATAAGTCTCTGTGGTGACTCAGATACTGTATGTGCCTTCCACGCCGAGGTCTTTGCTATTATCTAGGAAATTCCGTAGACCTGACACACATACTAAGCTATCTCCGGTACTTAGGATAATAACTGGTGTCAAACGATCACACGCACGCTTCGTGTGGGGATAATATTGGGAAAAAGCTCAGCGTGAGCCTGAAATAAAAGCCACTATCATAAGCAGAATTTGTAGACTATCTAGTGTTTCAAGCGCTTCTTCTGTTGCCCGGTATCTCTCCGAGTTCTCTGTGAACCATCACCACCCGAACCAGGGCTAGGCGGGCGCTCAATGGTGTTATCAATGCCGACACTGGACGTAGTCTGTTTAACATGATTCTCGCCGCGTCCTCCATTGAGCCACCTTGATTCGCGCCCCCACCAAAGACGGCAAACTCGCCGTTCTTTTTATCTTGGCCGGTGACCAATAGCTTACAACGCCAGTGTTTACGTCGTTTGCTTGGGGTGTAGGTAGAGGTCAGATGGTTTTTGTTGGTATAGTCCAGCAACTCGTCCTGGAAGCATGTTGGCAACTTCGTATCCTCCTGCGTGAGGATCGGAGTATCCGCTTCCTCAGTGGCTTCGATCCAAGTATAGACGGAGTTACCCGAGTTGTCGTTAAATGATGTGGTCGCCGGCCGTTGCATTTTGATGCGGACTGAATCTTCAACCCACTGATGAAAGAGAGCATCGAGAGGCGCTCGAAATTCTGACCCCTCTGGAGTCGCCCCATAAACGATTGGGAGAACATCTGCCTCCTCTGGGCAGTGCCGATCGAAGTCCACCTCCTCGCCTAAGGAGGCAGAAAAGTCAATTCTCCGGCACCACTTGGCTATCTGTGGCGCATCGGTGATATCGTTGGTCATGACCTGCAGACGCCAAACAAATTGTCAGCATAACGCGTACAGACAACAATTTTTGGCCAGGAAGCGTTCTGTGGGAAGTTTAAGCTCTTGATTTAGGCTCTAATTTTACATACGCCAACGTTTAACCCGGTGACACCGAGTTCTCCGCAAACCTTCTCGGTTTCCCTAACCAAAAAGTCGGTGAGGGCTCTTTCACCCTCAACCCGGGCGTCTGGCCTCGGGCTCGCCTTAGCGTGCCATCGGTAGTCAGATAAATACGCCCTTCGCAATTTCTTTGCAATAGGAACCCGCAACTCTTGCGGGATTTGCAAGACGACCTGATTTACGTGGGAGCCGATAGGCGAAGACTTCATCTTCGAAGCCCAGGAGCTGTCGATCGAGAGTTATACTGGTCTCAGGCTGGCGTTTGATGGCGTTCGCGTGAAAGAGAAGATCGATGGTACTATGTACGCGCTAGCTGAAGTTGGACCCGTCCAAAATATGTTTGACTGTGGAGAAGCGTTGTCGTGAGACGGACGATTTTAAAGAAATAGGACGCAGTTTGGTAGTTATAAAGCAGTGCCAAGATACATACGCACATCAAAGAGCTCAGGCGAGAGTCGGAAGAGCACTCTATAGTAGAAGAAAACTGAACTCCGAGTATCAAAAGTTATGAGCTGCAAACCTCGTCCATGGGAATGCACCCTTTTTGAGCAGGCTCCTACATATCTATTAGATGACACCTTCCATTTATTCCTTGACACCGTTCAAAATATTTTTAAAGCTGCTAAACCCGGCTGTGATACCGAAGTATACTGCCTAATGAGCAGACCTGGTTCCAAAATTACTGCCAAATTCTCCATACCATACCAAATTATACAATTGCAAATTTAACACACTTGTAGTATTCAATATATTTCATGAATTTATGAATATATATATATATATCGGCTTAAGTAAGGACTGATCTGAAGGGAAGACTTTTGTGGCACTCATTTCATTACACAGGAAGGTAGTCGCCATCTGGATGTATATACGCACGTATGTTATTATAATCTTTTATTACCAGCCGACGTCATACCTAAGTATATAAGTCTTGCATGATCTCAGGTTTTAGAATATATGGTTTAACGTGGATTCGAGGCTAGGTCTAATGTGGCATTCTACCAGTAAACGAAAATTAACCGGCTAAGCTTGCAACGGAAAATACATAAAAGATATTCCCTTTCGATGCGAAATGTTTGCCAATGGTTATATATAAAAGCAGATTATGTCAAAACCTACTAGATTCGGCACGTTTCGGAGTTTTCAGTCGCCAATAGGGTTTATTCCGTTCCGTCTACAGATGGAAGGGGATGGTAATCATAATATTTTATTGAACGGCAGCGGTACTGGTATACAAAAGCTTCTCAAGCTATACTGGAGAGCAAGCTATCGGAATCGAACTAGTCTGGGACCGAGACTACTATGGGTGCACCTTTAATCTTTGGACCTTACTATCAGCAAGATTGGTTCCTAGTCATTCTACTTAGCTCTTAGTCACCAGGAAAACTACTCCTATTTAAGCGGCTATACAACTTTTGATTAGACTTACGAAAACATATTAAGATCACCGACACCGCATGCCAAGATAGAGATCTATGGGAATCGATTATAGTACTATTAATGAACAGTTTGGGGGAGCGGGCAATGACTATATAATCATATCACACCCCCACCATGAAGCCTACCTAGCTAGCTAGTCTAGTTGTTTAGACGGGTGCTGAAACTAACTAGCTACCAACCTCCTCAATATTTTCCTAGTATACTAGTAGCAGCGGTCGCATTATTATATGCATACTTGCAATATGGGACTCGGTCTTGGGACATCGGACTACGAAATACCCAAGATGCTGTATGGAGGACTGGTCCCTCCTCTGTGTTTGATCCTAGTTTTAGCGTTGAATTACTTTGTTTTGCACCACCAGCCGCAAAGAGCAGACTATGCAAACACAGCTTTTACCCTACGCGCGTACGTACACGCTCGAGCAAAGAGCATTGACAAACATTCGGACATGTGCTGCAAAGTCTACTGCAAAATCCCTGCCCCTCCCTGCGCCTGGTCTCGAGGCTACTGCAAAATGTAAATGCTGAGGGTGTAATATGCATGTCTCGTCTCGTCCCTTGTACCTTGAGTGCCCGTATTCGAAGGTCGATACTACCATGGAAACGAGTCGCTAGAGTCACACGTACTGGTTCCCACAATAAGCCTCGCCTCAGCGTTTCAGCAATCCTCTAATATGAAGAGACTACATGTCCTCAACACAGTCGAGAAGGCTGGTGACGGGACAAACTATATGCGAGTTTTCTTATGCGTGGAGATCCATGGAAGGAACACAGATGCGAATAGGATACCCTGAGTACGAGGAAAATCATAGCTCAAGTCGCTGAAATAGTCTATGGTGCTATAGCACGAAACAAACACTCTTGTTGTAAAATAGAATTTTTGTTATCGAGCGATATGTCAATCCTAGGTTGGATCAAGCTCAACGGGTATAGAGATGCCGTAGCTCGGAGGAGTACTTGGTTTAAGTTTCAGCCGTGTTATCAAAAAGGTAAATAGATCCAGATCCACGAGATGAAGATGTATGTGCGCCCTCGAAGACATATCCTTTGCTCCACATTAGACAAGTAGGGGGACTTACTTAGAACCATAAAGGTAGATCGATGTCTTTGAGGCGAATAGGAAATAGGATAGACAGAGAAGAAATTTAACCTCAGTAAGGAAAAAAAAAACTTGAAGTCAACCGACAACGCGAGTAGCAAAAAACTCTCTTGGAGAAAACCCCGAAGGGTTTTTTTCTTTTTACCCCCCCTTTGGTTCGTTTGGGGGGTCTTTTTTTTTTTTTTTTTTGTTTACCCCCTCCTGTTGGTTTGGTGGAGGGGGTCTCGCCTATGGGGAGAAGGCAGGGTCAGGAGTTGTGGACCCCGCCTCCCCCCCCGACGAGTGTCCCGGTTCAGGTGGGACCCTGTCCGGCCCCGGCCAGCTGGAGGAGGGGTGGGGAGAAATATCTCCTCCACCCAAGTCCTCCAGGTGGCCTCTATGGGGCTCGAACAGGTGACCCACCTGAACTCTCGTTGGTAGCTGTTGCTACCAACTAGGACATCTTTCCCATCTTTGGGTGAAAACTTGGAAACAATAAGCCCCTTTATAGGGTTCGAGGACGTAGTTTGTTAGTACAGTCAGCACCACCTACAGCAGTGAGTCTTCACAGAGTGCATACGACATCACTGTACTGTATCTTATATATCTTCGTGATGACCCATAGATACATCCCTAAGAGTAATACCCGTAGGCATCAGGGCTCTAATTGCAATATCTTTATACCTTAGCTATTAACTTGAGTCTCGTGAAGAAGCTCACTGTTTTCGTCTGGTGATACCACTTTCGTAGGAGGATCATCCAGACCAGGAGGACCATAATTTTCGAAATCTCGTTGCTGGGGACATGATGCCGAAAACCTGTTGCTACTTTCATGACGCGTCACTACACATGTATCCATATGCTACCAACCTCTTTGCTCACTCGTAGCACAATTTATCCGCCATCAGCTTCAACATTAACTATGTCGACTATCCTTAATCCGAGATATGACTCCAGCCGGCCCACCTCTTTGTTGTTCTATAGCAACGTTTCAGCCCCCCCATCTGTATACATGTAAGCCACTCTTCCTGGACTTTACGAGACCAACTCTTCCTAATCTTCTTTAATAGTATTTTGACGGACTATTACTTTCACTCTCGAGACAAACGCGGCCTCGATGATCCCAAAACCGATACCTTGCCTCCTTTTCCCGAGATGCTACTCCCTCAGCCAGAATACACCCAGTCGGAAAACTTTCTAAACGTAGTCATGTGTTTTCGAAGCAACGGATTTCGTGCAATGGGCTACGTTATAGTCTCAATACTTGACGCGTCCGCCATCGATCGCCTTGGGGACTTTGTCGGAGAGCTATGAGACCACGATTCTCGTGACAAGTACGGCGAGGTGCGGGAGCCGCTGGTTGTATGAGTCTCTCTACCATATACCCCTCAGACAGGCAGCTCTCTCTTCTTTTTAGTCCGAGTTCTCCCAAGGCCTAACTACTACGCGCTAACTGAATTCCTTTTCGCAGGGGTATCTTTCAAAATATCGCCGTATCGATCGTTGGGGAACCACCGTCGGACGCTCCATTCCCCGTTATTACTGTATAAACCGCTTTCGGTTCTCTCAAGCTTTGGACATAGGCTCACTATTTATAGGAAACCCTTTTTCCAGTCCGAAAGGGTACGCTACCTTTTCGAAACGAAAGCTCTCTAAACGCGGTTATGGTCCCTATTCGTCGACACTGGTATTATGGAACTCAGACAAATAGGATTTTGGGATAGGCGCTGCTGCCTGAAAGGGGGGGCCTTGGCGAGGTGTCCTTGCTTGTCCCAGTTGAGGATAATATTTCCCTCCATCGTCACGCTTAAAATTCTCTCGCTATCCACACTTTTAAACCCATCCTAATCCCTTCATCACGAGACTATGCTGGTCCGTGAACCACGTGCACAAACTAGATTCCGAACTACTTACAACTAGTGCCCATGTAACCAACTACATATCTAATCACGTCGCAGCTGACGCTGCGCAAGAAACTGAAAATCCCGAGCGACGTCGGAGACCAATGGCGAGATTGAAACCCTGGGTACCGCATACGGTCCACTATATCTACTTAGGTACCACACGAATGGATTATATACTTTGGTCGAGGTTCAAAACATATGGCAATGTTAGCCGCAAGTGACTTTATATCACATTCTTCTTTTGATGGGAAAACTTTTTGTGCTGCCCATGGACATGAAATGGCACCCTTCGTTTATGGCTTTAACGCAAGTGGTCAGGGGAATTTCCACGCTAAAGAGCAATTCATTCATCTCTATTGAGCATCGCACGCCTACTAAAGTAGTAGGGTTCAAGAGCTACGGGTACCTTGTTCATCGTGGCACGCCAAACCTTGTCCTGTCGCTGGCCTTGTGTAACATCAACATAATTGGGACGTCAGGCAACACATTTCCAAAGTTTAGTAGATTAACAAACATGTTCATGAACTTCTAAGTAGACGTGATTTGTACCAGACCTATTCTTTTTCACCCGCGCGGTAGTTACGCTTAGCCAACCCTTTTGGTAATTGGTTTATGTATACTCTAATGCGGAGCTAGGCTAGACTTTTATCGTAGCTTGGATTGGTGTAATGACGACCTAGGCATAGGTGTATAACCGGATCGCCAGCATAAAGAAACCAAGTCTCCAATGGACACAATTCGCAATATCTCCTTTCCGTAAATATTCTTAAATAATGGCGGAGTGCAGAGGTGGTCTAGCGGGGCATGGTGTAACCGAAACCGGACGACGGTACTCTGGGGAGGTTTCCCCAGCGCTGTTGGAAAACTTTATTGCCCTAATGTTGCGTCCAGCGATTCGGCTGACGTGCCAGGTTTTTGTGCGAGATAGGCGTAGGAAAAGACCTCCCGATCAAAATCAAGCGCTGTACTCGGTCTAACACGGAAGGCGGAATTTTCGGCGGTTCTAGTATTTTTCTATCGTTAGCTATGCTGAAACTCGTCATAAGTTTATAGTGGGGAGTTCGTTTCTTTGCCGGGTTCTTTAGTTGTGGCGTCATACTAGAAACGTAGCTTCGGTGCTTTTATAAGTAATGATTCGCATAGATAAATTCTTTATATAGAGGTCGGCAGCAACCTTATTACTGTCGTGGAAAGCTTCGTGGTCGGTTATTCTCAAAAGTCGACTATCCAAGAGGTCGTTTTCCGGGTGACTTCTTCATAGACGGCGGATACTCCCATAATTCCGCCGATCAAGTGGAATCGATGGTATCGATGACTGGGAAAATCGAAAAGTCAGAAGAATTGTCAGACTGAATGATATCTATGTAGAAACAAACTGGTCTAGTTCCAAGACGTTGCTGAGCACACCAAAACGAATGTGTGCGAGCTCAGAAACCAACCTAAATCTCATGATATATGCCTGAATTTGGAAACTTTCCCATGCGAAAGCTGTCTCCGTTAGCATAATACCGAACCATGTGTTTAAAGTTTGGGGGGTCAAAGTCGTACGGTCGTCAAACATGCTGCTATTGGTGAAGATGATTACGATGATAGTGTATGGTAATTGCATGATGAGTTCGGGCCAGTCTTGGGTTGGAGTAGTTTGTCACGTCTCGGCTTTCGTGTTTGAGGTAATGTCAAAACTTTGCATACTGATCCCAAGACGTTGCTGAGAAACTTTCCGTGGTTCTGATGTATGACCGCCGTCTGAAACTGTTTTTATAAACGCGTCCACCTCACCCTCTCAAGCTTCTTCTTTTCATCACGCTCCAATGCAGAATATCCGGCTAGGTACCTTCCGGTCAGCTGTTCAGGGGGTGTCATGGTATCTACAACACTAAACCATGTTGTATTTTGTGCTACTCTTGGCATTTTGACCACCCGACTGGCCGGGCTGCTACAAGGAGACGATATTCTGTCGGATAGATATTTTTATCTCAAGCTGGGCATCTTCTGAGTAGAATATGTGGCGGTGTTACTGCATCTTCAAGCCCTGCCGTATGCACATTTTAGTTTCGGTGGCTCCTGACCGACCGGCCGGTCTAAAAAACACTAGTCGTAGATACATATATTAGTCAGTCTGTAGGTTTATCCAAGTAATGGGAACGCAATATTGCTGTTTTGTCACCAGATATCTGAAGCGAATTGATGATTATACTACTTGGGCTGTATCATTGAAGAGTTGAAAGTTCCGAAGGGGTAGGTAGCTCAAACCTCTGGACCTTCTCGAAACTAGACGTTACATTTGAAATACAAGAAAAATACACTAGACCATCCGCGTCTGTTTTCCGATCCTGAGCACACTAGCTGTAATAGAGGGTATTCGAGATATTCCTTCCATCCGATATGACATATCTGGGCTCGTATAAGAGTAGGCAATAACGGGGGTACGCTTTTGTGCATTTAGGGTACATTGACCAATGTGCTTGAGATATTTCGAGATTTTGGATTGATGAAAGATTAGGAGGAATTGACAGTTGTCTCGTCGCTAGATTACCCAACTATGGAAGTCTGGCGACGAGACAAGAAGTAGCGCGTGAGGGAAAACGTACAACAACCGTAGAAGTAGAAGAGACGGGTCTATCTGGGCGTCTGTTTGGCGGTCATTCTAGGATCCACAAGCGTATAAATAAAGATTCGTCGGCTAGAACTCGCAGATAGTCAGAATCCCGGATTTGTTACAATATCGCAAAGAGGATTTCAGCAGCTGGAAAGGCTATAGCCGAGATTGCTCCCGTCGGCGAACCGCTCAGCATGGATGAATAATCCCCAGGATCGATACCTCGCTTCGTTGGTTCCTACAGATATCTATGGGGCTAGGGCTATCCAAGAACATGAACACCGAAGAAAACTGAGATGAAGTTAGTTTAGTTAGCCGGGTATCCTTAGAGAATAAGCATCGTATCTTGTGAAGCAGACTGTGATTTAGTCTCGGTGACCCTTCTTGTGTTGGAGAAGGGTCACCGAGACTAACTGTGATTGAGGAGTATCATAGGTGCAATAAGCAATCAACCTTCAAAGGACGAAGTTAAGAACGTTGGTTTGGGGCGTAACTAGTACACAAAGAGTGTTGTCGCGGATAAGGTGGTGGTAGTATAGGACTGTGGTAGTTAGGCAGGTCGTCGAGCATTCATTTGCTTCTGGTAGCATCCAAGCCGAGCACAGGAATATCATAGTGGTGCCGCTAATTTGTATAAGGGTATATATATAGCTAAATTGCTATGTTTTTTCATAGGAGAGATGGCCTAGTTGGTTGGTAACAAGCAACTAGGATTTGACTTGATCTAAAACTTAGCCACTTAGCGGGTGTTGGGGCGTTCTGGCGGGGCGCCATTTCGAGTCCCAAATACATCTCTCATCCCATTTTTTTGCACTTTTTTTTTTCTCAATTAGGAAACGCCGAGCGTAGTTTCATAACCAACGCTGGGCGCAGTCTCGTAAACTCAGTCTCTATTGGCGCCTGACGTTGCTCGGCGAGGGGCTATATATTTCTATATCCACTGACTGCCGTCTACTTCCAATACAAAGACTATAATTACACTCAAACCACCGAACTCCTAATACCTCTACCATTTGAGCATCATCATAAGTTATTTCTTAATTCCTATTCAAAGAAAACACCTTTTCCTATTTCTTCATAATATAGCATCCCCTTTCCCATAACCAAAAATAGTTATATCACATTGCCCTTGCGGCGCTATACTCAAAAGTCCTGCCCAAAGAGCCTTAAAAAAGTCTAAGAGAGGTAGTAGATATCATCTCAGAAAATAAAGATAGCACTTGCTGTAATAGGGCTGTAGATATACCACCATTGGCCCATACAACCAGTATCTTTCGAATTTAAACTTTCTTGGTCTTTCGTATACAGAGATTGCGACAATAGCTACTTAAGTACTTAGGTACCAAGTAAGTAATAAATAAACTAAGACGTTGATAGAGATTGATAAGGAGTAAAAGTGTATTTTGATCCATTGAAAGGGCGACGGTATATATGTGCATTGGTCTGGATGAAGTTCTAAAACAAACGAGACTAGCAAAGAGCAAATCCCAAACTCCGAAATCCTACCAATTGGACTCACTCCGCCCCGCCTTCCATTGGAGCTCGGGTAAAAACTTCTAGATCCGCGTATCGGTCACTCAGACATAGTCTTGTATCAAAACGCTTCGGCCTGACTTAGGCCAATGTTTATTCGCTGATACCTAGGTCTTTAATCTTTTAAACTCCGGACTTTTGAAGAATAAAACACAGTTACTCAAGTTAGTGAATAGGTGGAACGCCTCGTCAAGAATGTTAAGATATATTAACATGCGTTAACAAGGGCACTAAGAATTAACGGGATAGGAGAGACTATTCAGGACATGTAAAAAGATTGTATTGCGAAAATATCCCGCTGAAAAGCACCGGTCCGTATATGTACGTGTCTATGGGCCTCTATCTATGGATTCTGATTGAGTGCGGAATTGATATCATCATTTGCGTGTGGAAAAGCCATTATTAAACTAAAGGAACTCTTGCGAGCTGCTAGTTTGCACCTATGGGTCCAAGCTATCTATTTCAAGTGGTTCAAGAGATACGCGGACTCGATTTCGTGGTAGAGTTGAATGGAGAGATTCTTGATAACGGTCCCTGTCGATTTCGCCCTCGCTTTCACAGTCCAGACTTTAAAACCGAGACCTGCACACTTGACGACGGCCTTGCAAACGTAATGCTGTCCGCGTTTTTTCTTCAGCTGCCCGATGTTGCACTCCAGACCTTTGTCCATAAATAAAGTAGCCAGTTTTGGAAAGTGTCGCTGAATCCGAGAAGGGACTGGGTGTATTGCCTTAACCATTATCATCGTCAAAAGTTCAGCAGGCTTGACCTTGTTGTTAAGATCTTGGTCACCGGTGAGGCTTCGGTCGGCGGAGCCGAACTGGGTGACTTTGTCACCACTTAAGTCAATATCTTGAAAGTCAATCTGACCCCATGGTCCAAAGCCAGAGCCATTTTTTCGCTGAGAGCAGCGACGGGCTGTATCTAAAATAAAATGGACAATCTCCGGGTCTACGTAAGGGATTGGAACCGCATCGAATATCACAGAGACAGTTAGGATATCGAGGCCCATGATCAACTCACGGTCGACACCGGTTCCAAGGTACTTGCCGCAGATGTGGATGAGCGCGAGGACTTCGCTACCTGTCAGCGGTAGCTCGCTAGTTTCTTGGTCGCAGCCAAGAATTTTTCCCAAATCGAAGTTCTCCGCAAATGCTTCTAGTTGTCCAATGGAGTTGGCTATCTTGTGCACCCATAGCTCGTATTGGGAATGTCTAGCGTGTTGGGTGGTCCCGGAATGGATTGCCCATTTTTCAATCTCGCAAATTCGATGTTGGAGGTCGTACTGTCCTTCTCGGACGTAGTCCGCCAAGCTTTTAGTCGTCTCATCGCCATTTATATTCCGCCCCGTGGTCATCACCTTTCGACACCACTCCACTTCCTCCTCAGTGAGGTGCAAATTAAAGTATAGAAGTTTGTTCGAAACGTGTAAGTTGGGGCTCCATTGCCCGGTAAAATAGGCCCAACCGCGTTCCAGTTTCGTGCCTTGGCCCTGTTCCTCCTCCTCTTTCTCCTCTTTACGGACTTCTTCTCGCTTCTCTAGCCCCATAGATAGTTCCTTCATCAAGTCTGTCATGTCATTATCACCATCAAGATCAATGGCTTTGACTGCGACTCCGAGATCTTCGATGACCATTGGGTCACCACCATGAACAACCATCGGTTGGTTGTTATCTCCAACGACTTGACCCCCTTGCTCCTTAGCCTCGTCGTCCTCATTATTCTCATCTTCGCTCTTTCCACCGTCGTTTTCCTCGGTTTCTTCGGCCCCACTCTCTTCCGATTCATCTTCATCTTCACCATCTTCGCCCTCTTTGTGCTCTCTAGCACTAGTATTCCCGCCAGCGTCGGCCATTTCCGTGTCATTGCTTTCGCGCTCAATGGCGCCGGGTACTACAGTATCGGTTTGATACTGCGTAGCTAAAAATACGGCTGTCTCGTTTTGGTCATACGACCCAGAGGTTATTCGCTGGCTTTGCATTTTGCGTAATGGCGCGTGTTTCTTTGTGCTGGAAGCTCGTTCTATGAACGACAAAGGCTAGAGGATAGGAGTAACGTATACGTATGGGTATCCTTTGAAAGGGGTCTCAGGTAGTGGATACAAGGTCGGAAGGTTAAAGTTTCGATGGAACTCGTGGTTTTCGGGTTGTGGGAGGTGATTGCAAATGACTATTGAGGGCTCTCTAGTCACTGATAACGATACAGTCGTGTGAATCTGAGCTAGTGGGACGCGACGACTTTCTTCTGCTGAGACGGGATCAATGCTAATTTTCTATGGAACAACAAATAGGGCGCATGTTATAACGTAAATGATGCCGCGCAGCCGCTAATGCTGCTCGGCAATTAATCAATTACTACTACTCAGCCTCTGACTGAAGGGTGCAAAGGTATGGAAACTATTACGTCGTACAATTGTGCCTATCGTTTTCTACGTTTAATTTAATCTGCGAAAGCAGCCTTGGAAGTTCTTGGACAGCTCATATCAGGCGTGGGAAATATATAGCTACGGCAACGTAGACGGACGTGTTCGAAAACACCACTTGTACGACATAAATAACGGCTAGCGCAGCCTGTTTAATATTTGCGCCGTATATTACCGCCAATTTCGCACCAAGATTGGCGGCATCCCTACTTGTGCGACGCAATATAGAGCGCCTACATTTGTGAACGCTTGTGGCGACTCGCAAGAGTCACTGGCATGCCCAGAAACTGCAACTGCAAACATTTAAACATTGGCGGAAAACTTTACTGCTATCGGTAATACTACTGTTACAATCCTCCAAAGCTAGCCTCCAAGTGCTACACTAAGCTAAGACGGAGCATGCAATACGTATATACGCCAATCCACCATCAGCACCCTTCTCGTAGCCCAAATCTAAGATTATGGGCTGCCTGAGCAGATTCCAGATCATCCTTACGCTTCACCTTGAATATAGTAGAAGGCCAATTACGCTTCAGGTATGAAATCTACTACGCGAAAGCCGCGGCTTACACGTCTTTAATGGGCCTTTCAACCCAAAATTTATACATTCGAACAATTCGTGTAACTACAACACTTTGGAGTGTTGCATTTTAGACTTTTGGTCTTGGTACACGGAAACAATAATCGTTGAGACAATACTTACCGTGCATGGTATTCGCGTCTAGAACGCTAAACTAAGCGGCCCAGCTATGCACAGTTTTGAGATGCGAAACTTGGTTCCGTCGTACGATGCGAAAAAATGGTCTATTGAGGTGGTAGCGGGTGGTTTTGGGACCGAAGAATATCCGAGAAGAATCTCTACTTAATTTCAATCAAGTCCGGTCCCAGATAACAAAATTAGGTACGAAAGTTGAACCGGTACAGCTACCACCAAAATCTGTTTAGAGTTTTTATGATACAAAACGGTTAAACAGGATTAAGAGTTATGGGAGAGCTAATACGAAGACAAGCCATGAAAAGCAACTTGTAAGTCTTCGTGTTTTAATAGGGCGCCTCGCCACCAGTAAGTCATTTGTGGACTCGCCAGCTCTGGTAGGCCGAGGGTTAAAAGTAGTCCACAAAATTAATAGAAGCTTGGAAAAACACCAAGTCGTCCGAGCCGTTGATGTAATGGAGTTATTTTTTCTTCACCGCTTTCCCAAAAAAGCTTGATACATCAATTTCGTCTAGTTTGGCTAACAGTCTTTGGCAGGCAATTTCCAGCGCTTGTTTTGAAGTAGCTGCCGTTGCCCCAGCGTATATGTTTGGTTTTCCCTTCCTCTTCTTGCCGATGAAGATCCTATGTCGAAAGTGTTTACCGAGATCATGCTTCGCGAGCCATCTGTGGAGTTTGTGTTTGCGGCAGAAGGTTTTTACTGCCTCATAGGCCGGCGTTTCGAGGGCACTGGCAGGGGCAGCTGGCTGCGCCGCGGATGTTGATCCTGTGGTGTCGTGCTGGACATTGGTTTGGGATGTTTGTCGGGCGACTGATGTGTGATCATTTTCGAGTGTGGTAAGCTTCTGAGGCTCTTCCGTAGCGTGGTCTTCTTTTTGGCTCAACATCTTGCGGGATATCGATGTTATTCGGCGTCGAGTTCTCTTGGCGGTTCCTGCTTCCTCGCTTCCCGATATTAGAAAAAAGAAGCAAAAAGTGATTTTCTCTCGTGAGTTTATTATACCTGAAAGAGTAGGTGGAGAAGGTGGGAGAGTATGATTCCTCCAAGGGTTGGCTTGGGATTAAGGACTTCCGTTGGGGAGATGGTAGTATGATGTTGAGGATGGGGGACTTCGTCAGCGTTACTTTGTTGGTGGGAAACTCTTAAGGAGGGTTTTTCAGCTGGTCAAACAGATAAACGCACATGAGGTTTGATGTAGACTCCATTTAGCTGGTACTGGCAATTCTGCAGGTGCTGGAGAGGGCATTTGCCGAGATGAGCAAAGCACCAGTATTTCCCTAGCTTCGCAGGCTCGCAAAATAGTACAGTGATTGGCTACGACGCGGTATCTTCTAGGAAGGCTTCGGGTTTCTAGTATTAATCTGCCGTGCAGTAGTGCGTATGATAAAGTTAGCGACTTCAATAGCACTTTCAAAGCCCGGTTATCAATCCTGTAAGACATTTACATGAGGAGCAAAATTCTCTGCCGGAAAATTTAAAGTGATGAGACAAACTTCGAACAAAATAACTCTCAAGATAGGCTCTCACTGATATATCAATTCGCATGTAGAATAAGTTTTAATTGGGGGGTTCAAATGCTTCTTGACGTCAACCAATGCCTTGGGGCAGACTTAACTACCATTTTAGCTCGTCCCGATGAGTGATAATATGTGGTATGATTGACCCGTGACGCAAAATTAGATTAACGGTGATGGCTATTAGTCCGAACCTAAATAGTGTAAGGCGTCACTCTTGGCGAGAAACGCTGTATACATGTGTTCTAAATTATTGTTTTAATTTGTCTAAGGTAATGTTGAAATCGCAGCCAAAATAGCCTTAGAAGAGACACCGACGAGGACTATTTTTACGTGATATGATATACCGAACTTTCTCCACGAAACTTTAGAAGTTTTGGCGCTACTCTTGCAACTACCTTTTTTGCGGTTCTGTGCCTGTCCAGGGGTAACTTCACATATTTTCCCACAAAGAGGGCAAGACTAACGCTTCACTCAAGCGTAAAATTACACAATGACGCGGTACTTGCACTCTCCAGCTGTTAACACAGGTATATCGCTGAACTGGCTTCGGTTACAAAACAGTATTGGCTCTAGGCGGCTTTTGCCAATTCTGTGGAGCGAATAAAGTTAACATATCTTCGAAAGTTCTCGGATCTACCTTTCCATCTAACGGTTGGGTAATATTTTACGCTGATATACTTCTCAGCGGTCGACCAGTCTTGCAGCCGTTGTAATATGGGATATTCCTAAAGTATCTTTCGGAGTTGGTAATATGGGTCTGTGATTTCCCATGTGTCCTCTATTTCCTATGGAATTAGCTATATTATCCGTTCTGTTATAGCTAACACTCCACTTTAATTAGAAGGATCCGAAGCTTGGAGCGTGGAGCCGATCGTGGATCCTAAGTTTGAAGGAGATTTTAACATTGCGCCCTAATGTAGTTAACTGAATGGTTCACACATATGCTATATGTTTAGTATGATTTAGCCGCGTTTTAAAAGTTATCATACGGTGACTGTACACCAGCGATTTCGTTAGGCCATCCTCAGAGGCTTCGAACTGCCGCCCCCAACCATTGACAAGGGTGGAGATGAGACCCTGTAACTGATAGGTCTTCCTGCTTCGGTGCGCAATGTACTCATATATTTCTGGATTGTTGAAGTAGCAGCTTTTAAATATTTATAACGTTTTGCTAACCACCGCAGCCTCTCGGTTCCGGGGTCTTCTCGCTTCATTAAGATTTCCTTGGTTGCTGGTTGGTGAACCTTCCCAGCTACTTGCGCTTCCATAGCTATCACGGGTTTGGCGTATTCCTCGCCGCAAACGCTTGTCGGTTACTACTGATGTATATTATTATAAAATACAGGGTCGTCCTGAGTGAATTTAAGCACTGAAGTGGTAAAATATGCCCTTCTATTACTTCAAACCTGTGGAAAGGCTACCAGGAGTTCCTCACAAGGAGGCCCTCAGGTAACTTGGTCAAGCGTTACATCTCGCTCGTTTACTAAATGTAGATTTAACCTTTGTTAGAGTTAGTAATTAAATCGGGACATGGTGATAGTGGTAATATATATACCGTTTTGTAGTTTGCTATAGATCTCAAGTGTAAGAAGGGTAGATAGATCCAGTTCCAGAGTTGAATTTTATCGTGGTGGTGACTTTGATTGAACGATTACCGTAGGTAGAGCTGGAATAGGAGCTGGTAGGTAGTGCCATAGATAGCGTGCTCAACCATCTGTAAGCACCATCCGTGGCAAATATCTCCAAAGTCACCCGTTCGGAGTACTGGCATTGGTAAGATAATCAACTGCAAATCTCGAGGGGGAGTAGATACCAACGAAGACTACAGGAGGCTCTTCTATTCCAGGTCTTCTATTCCAAGTCTTCTACCCCCTTGGTTAAGTAGAGCGTGATATGCTGTACATGTTCAGTGTAGAACACCCAATTCCTGAAACAAAACCACCGGGGAAGGTGTGATTTGGGGCATTAAAATCCCAAAAATTCGAACGAGGAGTCTTAAAGTTCGCTTCTAACTCGGTTTATCGTGGATTCTCACGCGAGACGAACTTCTGCGAAGTCAGCTATTTCGGCGGAGGTATGATCCAGGGTGAAGTCAGATGTCTTAGAGCTGTTCCTTTAGAACTGCTCCATTGGCGACGAATTGTCGGGTATATTAGGCGTAGCTAAATTTCATCTTCGGAACCTCGACCAGCCCTTTAGATCGACTCACATGAGAAATTTGATATGGTGTATTCAAGCGTATTTCGAAGCAATCCTCTCTGCCGCAGCGCTATCGTCCTGGAATCATGTCTCTCGGGCGCTTCAAACTAATTTTCAAACGGTTTCGTACTTTTCAGACACTAGTAATCGACGAAATCTCTTTTTAGGTAGATCTTCCCAGCGGTACCCCCGCCTTTACGAGCGAGTCCCCATATACGGTTCTTTTTCGATATGGTTGCCATCAGCGATATCAGCTTCCCCTCAAGCTAGGGAGTCGTCGAAGTCCCTGCTTATTTATATACTTAACTTTAATGGGGAGACCTAGAAAGGTTGTAAGCCTTGAAGGTCGGTATTTCGTACCGTCAACGATTAAACTAGAGTACCCATGATATCAGACTTTTCGTAGGAAGAGGGCGAGAATGTCCTAGAGGTGCGTGGAGAGAGATGATAGGCCGCGAAAGTTCTCAGTAGTTGACTGAGGATGGTTGGTTGGTTGGAGGGTCGTGGAAGGTGTAAGGAATGGTTAGGAGGCTCTTGGGCCAAATTGTACCTAGGAACCTGCCACTAATGCAATTTCGCTTAACCCGGGGGGCTGCAAAGTACCAGCTTTCAACGAGTAGAGCAAACTACAGAGAATATACTTCCCGTCTGACACTAAAGCGTAGCGCTTGTCGTATAGATAAATTATAAATAGTCTTGTATCCCGGCTTTGGAATGTGGTAGCTCGAACAGCCTGTGTCGTGCTTCAGATACTACCTGCGAGCATATAACTGCCCCGGCAGATTTGAGCGTAATAGTAACCCCGCTGTTAATGCACTTTAAGCAAACAACATGCGAGGATCCGCCCAAAACCCTCGAATGGAGTTCCGGACACTCAAAAGCCATCCGTAAGCCACGAAACGAAGGCAGATTGAAAGGTGCTTCCCGGCCGCCGACCGCCAGACGTTTTGAGGCTGTAGGATTGTTGGATGCAAGATGTGTTGTCGACGGTGTTATCCGGCCGCACGACATCCACATCACCTCCACATCACCTCACTCACTTCACCCCACCTGCTCCACTCCACCTTCCACCCAACCCCCAGTTTATCGCCCTGATCAGATAACTCTACCCCTTTCTTTTCTTCCCTCTCAAGCTCTTCCGTCAGCCTTTTTTTGGGTATTCTTCTAGCGCTCTAGCACCAGCTATATCGCTCGCCAATATTCCGGCGTTGCTTCCATCGTTTGCCGCTGTAAGGTAGTTGGCTATTGAGCCGCATATCTTCCTTCCCATGATGGGTTCTTTCACACTAGATCACCTTCCCTCCGAAATAATCCTCCAATGCTGCAAGTATTTTGATGATTATACCGTCTTGAGCACTCTGCGACCAGTATGTCGCTCTTGGTGCTATGCGACAGAGATAAAGATCCCTTCCGGTACGATGGCTGGCCTGCCGCCTGCAATATGGGAGAGAATCCTTAGCTACAACATGGATTATAAGACAATGCATGCCGTCTCTCAGACTTGTAGCTCTCTACGCTCTCTCACCAAAACCTCCAGGATCTCAAGGCTTCAGGGCTCTGCATACAGGCTGCCAGCAATGACTCCTCTCCGACCGGGAATGGCGAGCAAAATCGTACAGCACCCGGCATTTGAGAATATCTGTTGCCGAATAGAAACCGGTAGCTTGATATATCACAAATCCGGCAACTGCTGTCCCAACAACGTCCTTACCTTTCCAGTTGCGGAGGAAAATGCTACTAATCCTCCTGTTAGCAAGATCCTTGTCAAATTCTCCTCTAAATATGGAGTTTCCTTACGGCCGGTTCTTATTGACAGGCCAAGACTTGAAGATCAAGGTGGTGTAACGGTTGGAGATGTTTACAAGGCTATGCAACGACTCTTCGCCGAACCTTTAAGCCAAAAACAAATCGTTGCTATCAAAAGAATCCGTGATTGGGAAGCCAGAAAACATGAAGCAGCAAAGCAGTCACTCGCAAGGATAGAGCAACTTGGGGTTGGGGCTGCTACGACGCCATCCACACCGGCCAGTGGGTCTTCTCCGGAGCGGACTCCCGAGAAGGAGCCAGTAATTGAACACGACGATGCGATAATTTACTTAGGCTATCCTTTTGACGCCGACGCTCTCCCACACACTCATAACACTGTCAGACGCCAGCGGGAGTTTCTGCACGATTTTCCTTATGTCTATGCATCAGTGCACGTCACTAACGTTATTAATGACGTTCAAGTTTTCAACCTTACATATCATTAGGGGTTCTAGGGGCATTTTCGGTGTTAGGATTCGGGTTTTGGTGCAGTGGGTCAGGAGTTTGTGTTCGATTCCTTCCTTTTCTACTCTTTCTTACTGTTCACGTGGTTTTGGCATGGCGAGGTTGTCGTTTTGGCTATGAAGGTATATTGTCGGTCATGATTAAATTGATCGGAGCGGTTCTTAGTGTGTTTTCACTGCCATGGTCCTTTCTATGCTTTTAGTAGCCTTTTCTTGTCTCCTGTTGTCCGTTCTTGTATTTTTGTTTTGTATTTCCCTAAATCAAGGCGTCATTAGCAATATTTATAGCCACCGAGCTCGGGGCACAATACGGGAGACTACTCGGAACCAACATCAACTAAAAGCTAATTCAACCTTTTTGGCTTCCCGCCTGGCAATACCACCGTGTAAGTACGTCACTGCTCCCATGGTGATCCTAGTACTCCACTACTTTAGTATCGTGAGAGTGAACTAAATTCCTCTAGCGTCATCTGGGTCCGTTCGAATACGATAGTGGGGCATTATCTCTAAACTTTTAGCCTGAATATTAAATCCCATGACAATACTCCTACACAGGCTGACACAAAACAACTTCTTCATACATGACAACGCACAAACGCGGCAAAATGCAACAAACCCCTCAGTAAAATGCAACAGTAAGCCTAGCCAGCCTCGAATCCTACTAAGCCCAGAAATCTCCGTGGATGCATGACTGCAGCACGACGATCGCTTTATTGTACCTCAGATGGAAGCCTCAGGATTATCATCCCTCCCTTTACCGCCGGAATTAATCCTACAGGTAATTTCCTCTGTCGATGCCTTTACCGTAGTTTATGCGCTCCGTCGAACCTCCCGCCGACTCCGAACCCTTAGCGATGTTGTCTATCCAACCATGCACGGCCTCCCTGTGGCCGCCTGGATCAAAGTATTCAGCTATCTCTTCGCCACCGAGCTTTCAAAACTTAAAAAATTATCACATTCATTCAACAACCTCTTGAACTTTCTAATCTCCCGGGGGAGACTACCACATACCTATTACGGTCAAACGCCCGTTTCCAACGATTTAATTAACCGAATACCGAGGCACCAAATGCTTCTCCACCCATTTTTACGACAAATCGAGTTTTGGCATAAACACTGGCGACGCTTTGGAGGGAGGAAATCAATTATCGCGGCTCCTAATCTATTGTTTGAGTCACCAAGTCTGTTACCTGTTGATCGGATACTAGTGGGTTTGTACCCCAACCCACGGTTCCAAGATTCAGATACCAGGTATTTCAATAAAGTGGTATTGAGAAAACGACGCTCTAGCAAGATTATAACCAATCTGGATATTTTGGTGGCGGTGGATGAGATGCTCGGACAAGGTATCAATGCAGCTTGTGTTCAGCTAAGAGATGGAATATTGTGTGTCTCTAGAACAGCACAGGAGTTTGGAAAGCATATAGGGAAAGTATATTTGGGTGGTGTAGATGAGGAAATTGGGTTTATCGATGATTTAATCTATGACGGCGATTTTTTGGCGTCAGCGGGCAGGAGTCAGTGGGCTTTCGGCAACCGAGTGCAGTATGCGGGCTTGAATAGGAGACCAGGGGAGTGGAGGGTTGAAGATACTTGGTTGGTGCTTTCAGTTAGGTGGATTACATAATATCATCAGTTCGCAAATCTCAAGTCCCCTTTGAGTGATCCCGTTTATTATGATCGCACATGCACCTTCTGTTCCAATATATATAGGATAGATATGCATATCTTTGCGACATTATGATTCTAGCAGGCTATCTATCTACTAGTTTACGATAAAGAGAAGCTCTGATAATATACATGGGCGTGAAAGACGTCTTTTAATCGTAATATCACATTGGATGCCCGTATATTTGATGGAATCACAGCAATGGCATAGCACGCTTCGATTCGAATCTATATGTAACTTAGTTACGGTCTTCCTCGTTAGTACCATCTGGGCTATGTTAAAAACTGTAGTTAATCTTCTAGCGAACCTACGGTTATAACTAGTCTTGTATTACTCGCCGAAGCATTTTAATACAAGACTAGGCCATGACCCTCTGAATAACGTTATATATAGTACCAGTCTATCGGCGTTTATAGGAAGGATCTCGAATATCCTCAAATCAATTACGAAGTTCGAAACTAAAATTGCGACCTCGCAACCCTTAAACCTCGGGAATATCCTTCGGTCACGACAGCTGGCTTGTGCCGGCACGACCAAAGCTCTGCATATGTACATACGCACCACGGAGCATATCAGAAAGTAGTCTCGGGCCTATAGCTCGTCAGTACCACATATAATCCTCGAAGCAGCTAGAGGCCTTGGTATTAACTAAATCCCAGCAAATCACGATGGAAAAGCTCCCTATCGAACTAATAGCTGAAATCTTCAAACTCCTGTCCCCCTTCCACGTCCTACAGACCTTCCGTCTCGTGTGCCGCCGTTTTTCGGATGCCTCAGACATTGTATACCCCTATGGACGTCTCTATGGCCTTCCTATCAGTATCTGGACGAAAATAATCACATCGAGTGACTACTTCCCCATCCTTAGACTATCGACGACTTGCACGTCCTTCTACCAACTCATCCTGACCTCCGAAACCCCCGAAATCCTTCGTCTCACGTTCCACGAGAAACTGCCAAGGATCACCACCCCTGTAGAGCAAGGATCCACCCAAAGCGAAGATCTCACACAAACAACACAGCCGTCAAAGAAATCCCCATTTTGGCAACCCCACCCGCACCTCCATGGCTTAAGATATTCAATTGCGGGGGAATATTTTCATACACCTAGAGTAGGCACACGTACTATACGGTATTGGGAGCACGAAGACGACGAGCTATATACCCCAGATGCGAATGCTACTTCCCCCCCTGCAAGAAGTATCACGTTTACCACGGCGGCTCGATTCAGGCATCGGCGGACGAATGAGGTTTCGCGATACTACCCCATGCGACCGGTAAGGATATCAGCTTTGGACGACGGTAGTGGTAGAGGTGTATCTATCGAGGATGTTTTCAAAGCGGTGAGGTTGATGTTCTTGCTGCCGATGTGTCCGAACGAAGTTCTTGCTGCTCATCTCGAAAGCTGGAACGAAAGGAAAGGGAAAGTGGATGGTGAAACGGGGCCATGGGCGACGTGGTTGAAACAATCCAATGGATTGCTAAGTGAAGAGGTTGAAAATGACCCAGAGGTTTTGGACTTTGATCGTGAGACTCCGGAGTTGGAAGCGGCTTGGAGAGGTCTGGAGCCTGAGCCTTGGAAGCCGATACTGATACAACCGGATAGGCGGCTCTGTTTACTTAACTTTGAAATGAAGTTTCTCACCGACCATATTATGATGCGCCCTGCGGAATAGATAGTGCAGTTAGCGCATGTCATAACAATATTGTTAGCTACAGGCGTGTCTAGTAGCTAGTAGGTTAGCGAGCTTCTTTGATAGGACTAAAATCAACCCAAACCGCCAGACAAATAAACTAGGCTCTCGCTGTCCTCGCTTGTAGTGCGCCCTAGAAATGGGAGGGCGTTTGTTCCCACCAGAGTAGTATTACAATTCGTTGACACTTTTGAGTCGGTGAATCGAGGGTCGAGGTCGGTCTATGCGACATAAGTAGGGATCTTCGTTAAGACGCTTCGGAATTCAGAAAGGCGGGACTTTTTCGGCCGAATATCGAATCAAGTAATTCGTGGTCCTCTTAAGAAGCAATTAGTAAAAGGATTAAACCATGACCAGGCGAAATTGAGGATCTTACTTACCAACACGTCTCACCATACGAATCCCAGAAACACCCCCAAAACTATTAAACCCGCCGCCGTATAATTTAGTCTAAAAAGACAAACAGCCCTTTCACATCGAAGTACCGTACTACGCTCAATTTTTTTTCGACTAGCATAACTGCACAGAGACTTTCTGATTAAAGTCGCTCAGTCCAAGATGCCGAAAATGCTTAGTACCGATGATGGGATGACAGATTACTCATCCGACCACGGACTCGTAATGGCTGGATCGGTCTCCTACATTCCCGTGCCAGGGTTGCAAAGCGACAAAGTCAAAGCTCTGATGGCAGGACCGGGAAGATCTACTGTTATCATGTACCGGTCGCGTAAGGAACATATGCTACAAGTTGGGGACGTGATTCTTGACGAATCGCTTTCCTGCATTATCGAGGAGGTCTTTGACATCCTTGATATTTCGAACAATAGGCTGGCCGTACGTCACTGAGTAAAATATCTTGATACACGCAAGCACCAACGCAAGGAAGATGAGATTGACTTGAATATTCTCGGTGTTCTAGGAATGCCAGCGATTCTTCACTTCGCCGGGTCAAAAGGCTCACTACTACGACCAATTAGATATGGTTGCAACGTTTGGCCAGCAAGTCGATCTTGGGAACCAGGGTTTCCTCTTAGGCCTCCTCCGACAAACATGATCATGCGAGAGACTTGGCAGGGTCAGCCTCAGGAAATAGCAGGAGCCTCGAGCACGTCTCCTTCAACCGCTCCGGATCATTACTCCCGACTCCTCATCATTGCCCGAGATGGAGGCCTAGAGGTTTATGCTCCTGCCTCTCGTAAAGGCAAGAAGGGAGTTTGGCTCTGTAGAATGACCATGTACAAGGTTACTACCACAGAAGATTTAAGGACAGTCAAGATTCCCATGGAAGCTAGTCGCGGGTACGGAGAGAGTTCAGCCGCAGCTCGCCAAGATACAGCTAAACAAATAATCCGCCAGCTCCACAATATCGAAAAATGATCAGAATCCTGTATACCCATGCTGTATTCTTAACAAACCCCGATTTATATTTAGTCAAGGCCAGCTGCTGTAGGCGCAAGGAAATGCCCTCTGAATTTATTTGCCTGCGTCCGTAGTGCCACTAGAGTCTCTCTTGTATGAGAGAATCGAGCGGCGCTCCGAACCCGTGACCCTGGCATTGAACTACCTGCTACGTGAAACAAAACCTCTTATACCAAGATACGATTAGTTAGACTACGATTAGTTCAGATAAGCATTTGAACCTTAAATTTTGTGCGTGAAACCTTTTCTTTTGAAGAGACGTCGTCGGATCGGCCCGCCCGCTGTTGGAACCCGGTGTAGGTTGGCATGAATGAAGTCGACAACCGTTCCAAAAGAGTCCCTCGGTGAAATGGACATAATAAAAATAGAATATGCCTATTAGAAATAGAGACGGAAGGCGTATAGCCGATAAAGATTTACAACTTACCTCAGATCGATCGACCTCTTGAGTGATGGGGTTTATAGTCGCGTGTATACATGTTATAACTCAGGACACTCAGTTACACTCGGGATCGGTAGAGAGGAAAAAGAAAATTTTGCAAAAAAAAGGCTTCTGGGATCCGAAGCCGGGTGTTTGGGACTCCCATCCCCGAGCCAATGAAACCCCCGAGGATACAATACTAGCCAATAAAACCACTGAGTGCATCCTACGAGACTCGAACCGGACTGCGAATAGATCACTGTGCACGGTCCACACTTTGCTTATATACTATACTAGCTGCCCATGGACTCAGTTTAACCGGTCGCGGTTATGTATACAGACTCCCATCCCCCCCTCATATCGCCCTGGGTCGCTTCTTCTTAATCCCAACCTAGTTTTCCAATAGTACCAATGGAATTAGTCCAAGGCTCATGGCATGTGCACATGTACATATGTGCGATGGGTAATATTGAAGTTTTCTTTCTTTATAATTATCTTAGCAAAAGAAACTTTTCGAATGCTAGACAAAAGTTTAAACGACTATTGCGATAGCTAAAATGATATGCGCTCAACGTATGCGTAGCTATGTAGAAGCAAATTTCGTATCATCGGTTATAGGTAAGATTATTCAAGGCAGAGACATATGAGACAAGACTCCCTGCCATATCGTCGTCAATATTAATATAACATAAACTCCACAGATTTTCTACAAAGTATAGAAGTGGGAATAGGGGTATTCCGGCTTTACGATACGGTTAATCCTGCTATAGCTTGTTTAATACTTTCCCTTTATTAATCCGCGTGGGGTGGCGGCCCAGTGATATTCCTTTCATAGAAATAATCGATTAACAGAGTGATCTCGATCGTCACTACGCCCTATTCTTCCCACTTATAACTACAGGCACCTCGCACTCGCCAGAGCAACAATGGCATCCTAACGAGCCCTGAGAAGGATAGCAGGTTCTAAAACGGTTTTCCGATTTTCATGTCGCGATTACCCAATAGCGTTGTACTCTCACAGTTGAGGAGTCTGGTAGCGAGACAAGGTCTACCATGGGCGGGGGTTATCTAAGCACCTTACAAACTTGTAACTAGAATAATCATAGTTCTCCCCAAGCAATGCATTGTAACTCTTTCGATGAAGGCTCGCCACGAATAGAAATTCACGACCCACCAGGCGCGAAATCAGATAACCCACCTCCCTTACCAGCAAGGGCCTATGCTAGGCAATCTCCCTAGCAACACCCCAATCCAAGGCATATGCGGACCTTGATCCCGTTTGCGCAATCTGTCAGCATCGTATCTTTATATAATTATTCGTGTGCCTTGGAGTCCCGTGATCTATTTCCATAGTTGCTTAGTGAAAACTTCTCTAGCAACACTACTATAGGTCTCGTAACCAAGCCGTCACTACTATATATAATATTGTGAGGGAACTATAACCAAATCTAGGAGACTTTTATTTCCACGGTACGGTTATACCACAGTCTGTGTTGTTCTTATTTCTCAGCATGGTTCTGGTGTGGCTTCCTACAAAATAGGTTGAAGAGGAGTCTAGTTTAGACGGGTGGCCGAGAGCCACCAAAATGAGAATGTGGTTGAAGAGTATTGTCTTACCCATTTGTGTGAAGTTTTACTGTCCTTTAAATTTACTCATAACAAAGCTGTTTGACAGCTTTGGAGAAACCCATTTATTACCCAATGGTCAGAGTTCTCCAAAGCGAGATAGTTGATAGCTGTAACCAATTTTGAATATATTCTTGTGCTAAAACCAAAAAACTTTTGGATGTAGACATCTCACAAAGTTCTCGTAAGCCTTGGAAAGCGGGGTTTCCTTGTGCAACCAAGGGTTCGTAGTTTGTGATACCTTGCTCCAGGCCACCAAGATCCGTACCGTTAGTGGATTGTTGCGCAATTTCATGCATCACGTCGGGTATCATGGCGTTACGTCGGCGCCTGGGGAACCCAAAGGGTCATAACTCACAATTTGTGTGCTGACGGCGTCCTATGTCCAGGTAGCTTAGTGTAGCGGTAATGACCAAATTTGCGATTTACGAAGCTCACAAGTTCGATTCTGAGTGGCGTCGACCGAGCACCAGCTCAATTTTATCACCCACCGAGCATCAGCTCACCAGATGGAAAGTCCTCACAACAGGATTTTTTTTGCTTTTTTTGCGCCATTCAATCACATCTTTTTCCTGTGATGCTGATAAGCTAAAGAGAGATATCGATCCCCTTATATCTTCTCTGTCGTCTAACTACTCTACTGCCTCATGATTAGTTGGGATGTTATTTTTTATCTCCTGTGGTAATAGGGGTGATCAATTTGATTATTCGCGTGACGACTGAGTTCCTAAGATATTGACCTTGACTAGATGTTTCCCTCCACGTACAAGATCGAGAAGATATTAACGGAATAGATTATAATATTATCCATGGCACCTAGAATTTGACGGATGCACTAGAGTCCACCATCTAGATAGTCTCGGTTTGGATCCGAGGCGTATACAAAAGCACCCAGTTACATCGAGAAGCCCTTACAAATATTTTATCAACGTTAGAGGCGGTATGGGACTACGAGACAAACTTTTGTGCGAAGAGGAATCATACTTAACATTGCTGCAATAAACCTTGAACGAGGAATTCAGCAATATTAATAGCAGACTTCTGGAAATTAAATGACACTGGAAGTCTCAAATCTTGGGCCCGCAAAGGTTGGAGAAAGGTATATGATTAAAGCGCTACCTGGTTAACAAGAAAAGGAAAAGGGACGTCAATGTGACTTTATTGGCCTCGAAACCTTACCTTAAGCATGGGTGCACTTAGTTTTTTGGTGACCGCCTTGGTGCGTCTGACTTCGAGACTACTTAGTGGGTTGTGGATCCTAATATACCAGTCGTGGTGAAAGACCCATTTCATGAAGTCAGGTTGAAGAAATAGAATATTGGTCAAGTGATTCTAGTGTTTGGTGCATGGCGTAGGAGAACTTTTGGCAGCGGGATGGTGTGGAGGCAAGACGGGTGTGAGTTCCGCAGCGGGTTATACGGGTATCGTCGACACCGAGAGAAGAATTACTACTAATAATTTCGCTTCTGGTAGATTTGTCCTGATATGATGAATATGATAGCTTTGAATATATTGCTTTGCTGTAAAGCATGCAACAGTCTTGTAGGACTTTTCAAACTGACACTAACCTCGAGACCAGGCGCAGATAAGGGATTGACAAAATTTAAGGTCAGATATTAATATTTGGGAGAGTAGGGTGAAAAATTACGTTGGAGCGATGGCTACGCGGATCCCTTTAGGTAATGTTGCAGTTCAAATAATGCCCCCTATCGAGAGAGCGCAGTCAAAATATAAAAAATAAAAAAATTAACCACAGGTAAAAAAACAAAATTATAATTTGGCCAGCATTCTGGCGGCTGCATTCTCGCGAGCGGCCTCTAGAGTAGCACCGTATCCGGTGCACGCATCAACTTCGCCGTTTTTCTCGGCCGTCAACTTGTAGATCCACCTCGTTCCTCGTAACGTTTTTGCATGATGGAGGAAAATACCTCCATCGCCACACCTCTCAAGAAGGCGGCTGTAGTACGTGGGCACAAGCCCCGGCTGCGTCTCTGGTGCAGCGGCCCCGGTTGCTCTTGCAACGTCCTCTACCCACTCTTGGACTGGCTGCGGCTTCTCCTGCGCGATGCCGCTGCCCAGATGGAGGACAGTTTCTCTGCCCTCCATTTTCGCTAAGCAGGCGCTATCTGCGAAGCGGAGGATTGGCTCGAAAAAGTCCTCCAGGGCTTTGGCAAGGACAGGATTCCTCGCAGCCAACCCGTAGAATAGGTAGAGGACTTGAAAGCCCTCCAGGTCCTCGATATCGGGGTTGGTCCCCATCGTGGTACGAAGATCGAGATGATTTTCGTACCACACGTTCAGCTGTGTTCCCGAGGTGAGAACACCAATTAGGACCTTTGGGAAGAGCAGCGAAAAGTATATCTTAGTAACTGGTCTTGAATATACCCAAGCACGGAAGGAGGAAACAACAAATCTGCAAAACGGATTGGATTTGACAACTCACCTCCATGTCCTTCGGATCGGGCTCCAATGGCAGCCCCGCGAACTTTCTGATCATGAGGTCGAACGACCTCTTCAGGGCCTCCTCCCCCCTTTCCAGGACGTCCATTTGGCGGTAGCCACGGACCGTCAGGAAGTCGTTCCCCTGTAGGAGACGTACCATCGTCTCCTTCTCTTCCTCCTCTAATGGGAGGGACGCAAAAAGGGCCAGAGTATACTGGTAAACGTGGGTGACCTCTGGCTGGTCACCCGCGCTTGTCGGGTACGTGACTTCCGTTTTTGTGTTTGCCATCTCGATGGCAAAAGTATCTGGGCAGCGTTGGGAAGAAAGCTAGTATGGAGGGTTTATCGATGGGGCGGGCTGTAGTATCGCTGAGAGGGTGGTTCGTTCGGAATCATCAAACAAAGTTTTTATTTCGAAGAGTCGATATTGGGATTGATATATGAGTGTTGCTTTGATCGGTAGGCAGGCGTATAGCTGCGAGATCGATGTCCCTAGCTAACAGCTAGTCCAGCTATGTCCGAGTTTTCAATTCTGTGTGCGCGAAAAAGTAAAAGTTAGTCAAAACATATATTATGAGAAAGCCTCAAAGCTAGGCGCTCGCTGTGAAGTAGTGGGTTCGAGTCCTTCGCCACATTCTCTGCGAGCACCCTCTCATAATTGTTTTTTTGGTTTCTATATACCCGGTAATTGTTGGTATGGGAATGGTAGTACATAAGTCTAGTATTTCGGGAGGGCAAGAGTACGGTAATCATAAATAGACATTCCAGCAAGCTGGGTTACCTACTATAAACATTTAACAATTGTGAGGGTAGAAACGATTTAAAAATAGACAAATCTTGTCTTATTGTGAGTTCCCAACGTTAGGCAAAACTTACACAGTGCCATCGAACCTATCTCGAATCCTAAATCTATGTAAGATCTGAAAGAAAATGTTTAAGCCCAAGGTTGTCATGGTGTAGATATATCTGTAGGGCCAAAGCTATACGTGGCGTATGTCCCATCGCGCGCGACTTCTGTCATAGCGCCTGGAACGACTTTAGCTTCCTCGCTATCTCCAGCTGAGCTCAACCTATTACACTACTGTGTCGGTGTACATCCTAAGCTTGCACCTAAACAAACGAATTAAATGTGGATGTCTGGCCATACGACCGTTTTCAAATTCGGCTCAGCAATAATCTTCAAACGTTAATTCAATCAATTCATCGTCGACCTCAAGCTACCAAAATTGCATTTTCACCATTCCATTAATCGCCAACTGCGAGACGAAGAAATCTCACGATTTAAATACTCCCTACGCGTACGCTGCCTACTGTTCTCATTCTCCACGAACCAAGGGACGCTGTTGCCTTCCATCTCGTTCAACCACCCTGCATCGTTGCTGGATACTCCACCTCGTCAAGATTCGCCATTCGCTAAACAGAACTAAAGTGCCTGTGCTGAAGGAATCTCCACAAGCATATCACGCGATGTACAGAAAACCAACCACCAAATCGGCTTCAGGGCATCCGGACAATGGGAGTGCTCCATTGAGGACTGTACAGCTTCGGGTAAGCTCGATCGAATACGCGGATATCGGAAGTCAGAATTACCACGCCGAAACGCAAGGTGGCTTTGACTCTAAGAGCGAAACTTATGAAAAGGGGAATCCTGAGGAATTCGCCCGTCAGGACCACGAGGATGATGATGACTCGGAAGAAGATGAGGAAGGGAATGTGGAGGATGATGAGGAGGATGATAAATCAGGCGAATCAGTAGACGAACGACACGAGACGAACGAGGAAGAAGAGGGAGAAAATGAAGAGGGAAAGGGTCTCGAAAAAGATACTATGCAAGGTCTGCAAAGTCTGAAGATTGATGAAGATGAGGTTATGGAAGATTCTACCGAAGCTGGGTCCGGGGTCAAGGACGACTACGAGGATAGAGAAAGTGCAAGTACCGAAGAAACCGTTGCCCCCGGCTGGAGATACTTTATGGACACCTTCCAAGCCAATTTGCATGTCTCAAGAACTTTGTTCAATTTCGATCTCCAATTGACAGACGAGGAAGTTAATTGGTGTCGCCAACTTATGATCACCCCTCCCTCTGACCATAGAAATGTTAGAGGTTTAGCTTCGTACGTCCAGGAGGGCCAATATGACTTGATGCGCCGAATCTCAGATATAGCCAAGGTGGCAGTTCACTCTGGAAACAGACCACACTATGGGTTCCAGTATGAAATCTGGGCTTATAAACTAGGGAATTTCCCAGGTCAACTAGAAGCCTTCGCGGAGAATTTTGATTTGAGGAGGATTTTCGGCTGCGATACAGCTTACACGAATTTTCCATTGACTGCGGGAGAGGTTTTATCCCTTCTACATTCATGCGGGAAGTTAAATAAAACCGGCCTCAATTTAGAGATCCATCTTGGCCTAGACATTCTGACATCCGCGGTTATGTTCGACGCTCTCCCGGTTCCGATTGTTCACCCAACTTTGGTGGAAAACTTTATGCAAATCGCTCGCTCTAATTCAAAAAGAAATCAAGGAGCGGGCTTCGGGCCTTGGGGTATCGTCGAAATCGAGGAGCTTGATTTCAGTCACGATTACATCGTTCAATTTTACCCCGTGGATCGCACAACAGTCGGTGACCAAACATTGAATCAACAAGTTCGACCACAGGAGCTCCTGAAACTGAGAATTATCAGAGCTTCCTGCCCAGTGCCAACTCAAATTCAGAAAAATAGCTGGGAACTTTCCACTTTGTTGGTTAGAAAGGGGCTCAAATGCACCATAGACAGATCCCGAAAGAAAGGGAAAACGCAATACTTATGCAGAGCAACGGTTAGCTGCGCTGGTGCCGGTTTCAAGGTCTGGACGATAAAAGCCATATCTAACTCACCAGAGGCAGCCTATCGCAAACTCGGTCATCAGCTTTACCGTCAGATCAATGTCGACTATGATCACGACCATTTTACATCGGCTAACAGAACGACATCCTTGGGATTGGGCAGTGATTGACCTGTTAAAGTGTCCTTCCTTCTTCCTGTCTGCATAGTGCCGGCGACTGCGGTCAAGGTTTTCGACTTCATTTATCAGATTAGGTAGGAAAGATCCAGCACCATCTTCACAGCTATGTCCCCATATCATCCCATCGTCCCTTATTTCCCTGTCCGTCCCTTCCCTTCCAAATTCCTCATATTCCCACCCCTAATCTAGAAACCCCCGACCTTAAAACCATATCCTTTTCTAGAGGTCAAAAAGTATCAGTCGTCTAAAAGTCTCGGCTACTTGAATGTCGTTCATATAGCTCCAATAATATCAATGACAAACGCAATATTTAGCCGTTAAAAAACATAGCTGTAAACATTGTAGTCGTTTCTCTCGTTTCCTAGCTGTATCTGAGTTTTTTGTAGCACCTGGCTACTCTTCTAAGATGAAGTTGATACAAAGAGTGACAAACTTCGTCGAGCCTTGGGAAGAAGAGGTAATCGCAGATGAGTACTTTATTACTCATACTCGCATTGGTACGCAATCCGCTTCGCTAGATGCCCATCTATAGCGTCCCATTCAGTTCTCTCATCGTCGAAGAGTTTGAGGGGTCTTTTTTATTATAACACAAGTTGGGAAAACTTTCCGTGTCGTTATTTGTAGAACGCAAGCTGGGAAAACTTTTCGTCGCCGACGCCACAGCTGAGTCGACTCGACTTTTGTAAATATTCTTCCTAATTTGACTTTTCCTAGAGAGCTTTATCTTTCCTACGAGATAAATCATGCAGACAGGTCATAAATTAAAGCTATATTGACTCATACGCCTGATTCTGGGCTAAGTCAGGCATAGATTTAGAAAGAGGACACACTTAAATTGTTTTATTCTTTCCTCTTAGCTTTCTAGTCCCGGAGTTAATAGTTTTCCCTACTTTCTTCTCTCAGCCTAGTATTACATGTTAAGAATATATCTGGCCGTTCCTCAAGATGTAAATTTCAACTCCAACTGCCATAGATTTTCCGCGAAATTAAAGTGTCAATTTCAAGGGTGACATTATTAACATCGTAAAAGCCAACAAGCATGCCAACATGATCCAGGCCGTCGCAAAGGCTATTTAAGGCTGCGCTAACTTGAGCATATCCTATAGCTATCATATTAGCTACGGCACAATCTGAATGTTTGTCCCTATCAAAGATATTTGCTTCCTGGCCACCAAAATCAAATCTTTGTCTCGGCCACAAAGGAGGGCCTAGCAACGATATTTTTTAAACTTCCCGCTTTCATGTTATCAAGATACCAATCTACTTGCCTTACCACCTGCACAATCACCTCTATCACAGACAAGTCTCATCCTCATACTCGCGTTTGATAATCATTGTCTCTGGACGTTTGCCGCGATTTTTAACTCCACAGATCGATACTAGGAAGTGTCTTTCTCGAGAAAGTAACAACCACTCAAAGTTGCCAACCTTCTGACGCGACCTAGAAACCACCGTTCAAACTGTGAAGCTGCCATCTTTGCTTCCTTTCTTCTCTTTTTTCCGCCTCCATACTCTCTCTCACCATACTAAAACCGTTCGTGGTCACAGTTGACAACTTTGCTCGTTGTCACCAGCTCGAGAGACGTGTATCAAGTCTTTCAGTTCCACGCCATCACTAAACCACCTACCAAACTACCAACATAAATACTGTTCCAATGCCTCCCCGTCGTGACGCTAAAGCAGTCAGCCAAGATCCTCCCCGCCGCAGCTCGCGGATTTCTGCTGGAAAGGGAAAAGCTGTCGTCTCTACGATGGTATATCGTGGGCCTGCGCCCTCAGATACGGAACCAGAGTCCGACGTTGGGCTCCTAAACCCGAGTAGCAATGACGAAGGGGAGAAGACAGACGGGGACATGGAGCCCCTGAGTCTTGGAAAGGTCGGTCGCGGCCTTCCAACCATTCACGAAGAGGAGGAGGACCCGGAGGAGATGGAGCTCGAGGAAGATGTCGAAGATATCGAAGAGGGGGTACGGAGATGGATATCAACCCCGACGTGTTCAACTCCGCACTTCGGCGAGAGTTGGAGGACGGCCGCGAGGATGAGTGGAACTATCTCAGCAAGCCTGGGATGTACGTCTTCGCTCCTTCGAAGAAGTTGTTCCATTTCAACCTCTTCCCGACTAAGGGAGAGGTTGAATGGGCAACTTCGATGATGAGAGCCCGCCCAAACGACTGGGAAGACCAGACTTTTGTCTGGCACTTGCGGGGGGCTCAACAAAGGTTGAGCTTCCATATTATCCGTTCAGCTCGGAACAAGATACACGAGCGTTTTGACGAGGCCAGCACCACTGTAAGTAATCCCCAACCCTATATCCCCATCAGTTTGCCAGCAATGTAAAGACTAAGAAAAACACAGGGCATCACCAGGCAGTTGGCGTCTTTGACCCAGATCGAGAAGTTCGCTGAGAACTTCGACTTGTCCGCTGTTCTCGGATGCGATAAAGACATCCAGAGCCAACTCCCCCTCACCGCGGGCGAAGTTCTCGCATTGCTCTGCGCATACAACCGCAACGTCCGAGGTTTGACGCACCAGGTCATGTGTGGTCTGGATGTCCTCGTAGCTAGCGTTTTGTTCGAAAACGTGCCGGCCAGGTGCCTGAACCCTGGCGTCGTCCAAGACAACCTCCAGTTCGCCCGCATGAATGCTCCTCGAGGTAATGGTACCGGTTACGGTACCTTCGGTCTCAAAAAACAGGATGACATTGTCTTGACGTCCGCCGGTGACGATGATGCCATCCTTCAACATCATATCGATCGCAGTTTCTGGTCCGACTGCAACATTGAACCTGCTGTCCTGTTGAATGTAACCATCACTCGTCGTCACAAAGCAATTGCCCGCCGTATCGAGAAGATGTGCCCTCGCTTGACCGAATTACTTTGCAAACTCGGCCTCGCCTGTAAGATAAAGCGCCTTTGCCAACGCAAGGGAAGGAAATTTTGGCTATGCCAAGTTGAGGTCAAGTGTGCCGGGGTTGGGTTTAAGAGATGGGAGGCGAGGGGAAGGGGCAGGGGCGCCAAGAAAGCAATTGTAGACGTTGGTCGCAAGTTGCTTCATAACGTTGGTTTGGACTTCCGGAGACATCACTTTAAGTAATCGCCATTCTTTATATACTTTATTGTTTTCATTAGTCTCGCTATATATTCCATCAAACCTCTTAACTCCCATTGTAGCCTATCATTACTACCATACGAAGACAAATTAACATCCAAATGTTATATTTTAGCCGTAGTTTTCTTTTATAAATTTCGTATGGCCGCTCAAATACACCCTTTGACAAGTCTACTTAGTGATGACACGACTTGAGACTGTAGAGCTTGACTAAGACCTTGCATGTTAATTACGTAGATCAATGAATGTGAGTTTACAGCGGGGTCTACGAGGTACTACCTCCACGAAGATATATCTCCGGTCAGTACCCATCAAAGATTGAGGAAATTAGTCATGGTCTACAATAAAGGATCCATGAAAATGCATTCCAAACGTCTTGGAGCTGGACCAATTCATTCCTAGAAATAATAAAGTGTACAATATCTGTGTTTTAATTTCGCCGAGCAAAAAAACAGATGTGCAAAAAAGTCACAAAAAAAAGAATATTCACAAGATGTTTTTGGGATTCGAACCGAGTGTTCACCACTCCCGTACCCTCATAGTTTGGGAGTATTCTCAACCAAACCGGGGCTGTCCAGTCGTCGAACCAAATCACTAGCGTCTTACCACCTGAGCCACCTGTGCTGTGAATTAACAATTGATCAACGGGATTAAATTTATACCCCGTTTGCAATTCCGTTGCTATGCCTACCAGACCCCCCAACACCAGCGCTGCTTATCAACTCCGTTGCTATAGCCACTATTCTACCGAGCTCACTAGCATCTCTGTTACTATCGTGCATGCTGAACACACTACTATCTTGTACGACCCCACCGTCGAAGCCTACAGCATTTCAACTTCATATTCTTACTATCATATCAGTACTCCTTTCATAAACACCTACTCCTTTCAAGACTAATACATCTATATATGCTTCTCTCCGTCAATAAGCCCCTAAGCTAGTATTCACTAACTAACATGCCTTATTTAAACTTTAGGTCTATACAGCGTCATCTCTCTTAGAATTCCCCAGTATACGCGAAATACGACCGTTCTCTTCACTTTCATTCGCCCCAAATATTCGGCTACGTTCGTTTTCTCCATATTTCTGAACTTTCGAAATATAAAAAAACCAGCTTATCTCAGATTTCTACTATCCTGTAGCCCTGAAATAAATTCAATGTTCTGAGGTATACTAGGATGCCCAGAGCTAGACATGGGATTTAACAGTCATTCCACGGTACCTAACACGTCGACGGCTCAACTATCGGCGATGAACAAAAGCATTGTTTTTTAGAATAGAAGGCTCGCTCTCGAATATCCATACCAATAAATCGAGCGTTTCAAAGCCCGTATAGACTAGAAGTTAAAAGAGAGGTGATGCTAATAGAACTATTACTAATAGAGCATAGAGACAAAAGGCCACCCATTTAAATCTTTTTGCAAGACAAGCATTCCATCGATGCATCGATGCATCCACCCAAGCTATAACCCTAACTTTTCCTTCGGCACAATACAACCTAAAGCTCGTCCCGCTCCCAAAAGCATACACTTTTGGTCGCCCCGTTTTTCAATCCCTCTATGATCACTTTACTCCCATCAACTGTCACCCCTTCATCACTTCTTCCCACCCTCAAGCCCCGATCCCTGATCATCGCGACATCAACTACCACCTTACAATTATTCTGATGCTGTGGGTCCGAGACCGACAAGCACCATTCTCCCTTCCACCTTCCCCAGATAACCTGACACCGTTCCTCAACCCTTATCCCCTTAACCTCAACTCTATTCCAAAAGGTAATGAATGTTACCTCCCCTTCATCGAACCTATACTCCAAGGCTTGAGCATTTCCATCATTTCGTATAACGTTCCATGTCGGATTAGCTTGCAAGTACTCCGTCTCCTCTCTAGTCGCCAGCGGAAGTACTGCATATGCATATTTCCCTTCTTTAGGATTAACCCCATGATTTGCAACAATATTGACATATTCTCTACAAATCTCATCGGGTTTCCCATCACCAGTTACGTCCTTCCAACATCCACACCTCTTCTCTCTTGTGAAAACCATTTCAGTCGGAGTACGGTCCTTGGCGTCGAGAAAGATATAACCACCAGTGTTCTCCAACCAGGCCCAATGGACTCTATTGCTCTTCTTAACCCAACCAGGAGGATCTGTATATTCTTCACCGTTGATAACAACCATTCTCCCCGGTTGATCAAGGTTTCGAGATTCGATGGTGGTATGTACCTCCGTCCCAGGCTGAATATCAGAACTAACAGAAGCCCCCAACGCAAATACCCCCCTATCCGTCAAATACCACGATTTCTTCGCTGAGGAGTGTTTATCCAGAGCCAAATGATCCATACTGATCGCTGCAAATCGTGCCCCAACAGAGTTAGACCCATAAGCTACACCATTGCCCCATCCACCGCTAGCCCAACAAACGCCGCCAGACCATGGTTTGTAACCCATAGATTTGTAAGGCATCGGTGATGGAATGGGGGTTTGGTGGTTTGTAGTACCAGGGCAGTGAAGTGGATCCATCGTTGGCCAGTAGTCGTCTCCATAGTGTGTTTTGTGGGTGGAAGTGTAGAGGTAAGTCATCCCATCGCCTTGATACCAGCTTTTTAGATTCTCGTTGTTTAGTGTTTCTGCTCTACCAATTCGTGTGGAGGACATTGAGAGTGTGAAACACCAGTTGTCGTCTACGGAATGATAGGCGAAGTGTTCTTGCATTGGGGTTGCGAAACAGCCTTTTGGTGAAGGAGCTATGGGCAGGGATGGATTCGAGAGAATGGCTTGGAGAGTGGAGATCTGAGGGATTTCGGCATCGCGGAAGATGTCACCGGGGTTTGTGGACTGCCAAAGACGGACGTAAGAGGAGAGATGAGGTGTTAATGAAGAGGGTGAGCCTAGGGTAAGTAGAGCAGTGGCATGGACTAAGAGATGGCCGTTATCCTATTTTCATTAGTTAGTATAAATTCGGCTATACGAAAGGTTATATGAGAAGTAAAGTACCCATCCTGGACCCTCTCTCCTTGCAACCCCTCTCCCTCTAACATGTTCAAAAATAATCCCCTGCCAAACTACCGGCATAAAATTCCTTTCCACGCAATGATAAATAATCCCTAGATGTTCATCTTGAATCATAAACTCAGGTGGACTCTGCTCCGAATTCAAAAGATTAAGCAGTCTCGCAAGAGACCCTAACATAATCAACCCATAACCCCCAGCATAGGGATAAACATCATGAGAGATAAGACTTCCATCTTTGTATAGCCCTTCGCCATCGCCAGGCTTTATGTATCCGAACAAAGTATTTTTACGAACGTTGTCGCTGCCGCCATCAGCGCTAAGACAACGGATACCGGTGTAGATAGTCGTAGCGTTATCCGTGAAAATTCCGGCAACAATCAGGATTCGCGAAACCCAAGAGCGGTTTCCACCTTTCAGACTAGGGATGAATGGATTTCCAACTAGCTCTACAATCTTTGCGCCTATTTCCTGGCGTCGCGTTGGATGGAGGTGATGGTAGAGGATTACACCTAGATCGCCGAGGTTCTGAGGCGCTCCTATTCTGTTATTCATAGATGATGTTAGATAATCTTTGTACTTTATGCAATAAGAAGTAAAGCGGAGGTATACTGGATATTCCACCAATTCTGCCTCGTCTCAATGCATTTCTTTATGTCATCCGCCATTTTCACAAAGAAATTCTCAAAAACGACATCAATGCCATAAAGTATCTTCTGAAGAACATCCGGATCTTGATACCGTCGCGTCCCCGGTGTCGCCCAAGTAATAGCCAAAGCTAGCAGTCTCCCACAGGTATTCTTAAAATGCACCGTTGTTGCACAGAACGGTCCACAATTATTAAATACTTGCGTATCAGTAGGGTTATAAGTCTCCAAAAGCTTGTCCATGGCCGTTGACATTTTGGTCATCCGATCTTGAATCTCTTTACTCGAGCTATCAATATGATCGAAATCACCGACTACAATATTCATCCATCGTTTCCGGAGTATCGCGTATGCCTCGGCTGACACTGGTTTTGGGGGTATTGGCGGAGGTTTGTGTTGTACATGTGGTTTTTCCGGAATAGGCGGAGCTTGTTGACCGGGGTACGCCGACGACGAACCGCCGGCATGAAATTTATCGTGGACTTTCTCTCGAAACTTTGACAAACGTGAAAACATGGTCGTAGTTGTGGAGGTTATTGAAGAGAAGTTTGTGTATATTATAGCGAGAAGGAGAAGGGTGAATGCGAAAGTGAAGAAAAGTGGCGGTGGCCGGCTCATTGGGGTATCATATACTACGTACATTTGGGTTTTTCGTTCGCGTTATCGGTGGGATGGGCTTAGTGGCATGCTAATATGTTGGATTACGTGCCGTATGTGTGGTGACGTTGGTGGCTGTGGCTGTATCACTGCCGTGGGCCAGTGATGTGCGCTATTGTGGACCGGAAAAACCCCCAGCTGATGTTCCGGAGGAGAGGGTACCAGCAATTCGACTGTTTCGGAATAGTCATGATATCACATATCCACGCATCGGAATCGCGGTACAGTAAAATATCTGGGTACTTTTAAATTTTTGGATCCTGGGATCCATCGAGTATCCATATTAATATTTTAATAGCTAGCTTTAGGAATACCCGGGTACCCTCGAGGCATACATCGTAGCAACCGTATCTATATAGTACACATATATAGGCGGGTTAATTAATACATGGGCAGCCCAAGTCCCGACAGTGACATTTCCCCATACATGTCATCATCATTTTTAAATTGCGCAGAATATAACTTGAAAGGAAATGCCTTGGGTCCACCAAGGGTAATCTCCTTTGCTACATCCGCATAGGAAATATGCGGGTTCCACTTTACAGGGTAGACCTGTGCCTTCTTTCTCCTTAATCTCTTTCTTTGTGTTTCCTCCAGCCATTCTCGGTGATACAGTTTCACATTAGTTTCCTCAGGATAGTCTTTGTAATCGAGAGTCTCCAGTCTCCAGGTTCCAGCGCTATCACTTGGTTTAGCATACCGATCGCGATGTCTGTATTCGTCGTAATATTCGGGCTTTTTTTGGAGTAATCTTTCCTCTTGGCTCACTCCATCGACCCATTCAACCTTATATTCATACGGCGGGCGAAAATGAGTCTGTAAACCAGATACAACGTACTTTAGTCTTGGGCGTTCGGTACAATGCTGAAACGCGGCTTCGAGAAAATCAATGATAACCCATTGGACACCGCTTTCTGGACAACCACCATCTGTGCCCTCGTAATGAACACACAATGGCCAGGAAGTTGGAATTAAATATAACACCTCAATCGTCTCTAGCCGTAAGTTCCTGAACGAATCGATTTCGATTTCAGATAAGTCATCCTATTTCGGTTCACGGTGAGGGTTAGCTTGATCATAATATATAGGGTTTCAGCTCAGAAGAGGGCACGGATACATACTCTCACACAAAGCATCGGTACAACAAGAGATAACTCTCTCATATTTGGTGAATGTTCTAACATCGCGCGGATATTCGGCAGATATGGCAATACTGTTATATATCTTGTGAGACTCTTGGGCTCCCAGTAGCCATCTTCCCGGCCCAGCGCCACATTAAATCCAATATTCCGGAGTGTCGATCCATGTTTTAATATACTTTCCTTCTTTAGAAAGTATATAGATTCATTTCTACTCTCGTGTTTCCTTAGATTCGAAAAGAACGTGTTGCCGTCTGGGATTGTGTCAATCGTTACGATGAGGGTCTCTAACCCTGGTTCCAGCCCGTCGTCTAGGAAGGACTTGATCCCTTGAATCTCAGTTGGTTCAGCTGAGATATGTAGATGCTTTAGGTGTAGTTTGCTGTTGGTTGCATACTTTGCGAGAGCGTCCCAGTTGCGGCAATACTTCAAGGAGATATCTTTGAGATTCTCAAATCTTACAGAGGATAGAAGATCTCCACAGTCTGCATAGCATATACTTAACCTTTGCAACTTGGATAGCCCACTAAAAGCTGAGCACTCTATAAAATATGTCTCGGGATCTCGTTTACGGTCCAGATCGCTGGGTGGCTCCTCGTACTCATCATCGAAGTGCGCTCGCGATCCTCGAAACGATAAAAAGTCTAAATCGACTTCTACCAGCTCCGGCGCCGCCTTGAGGAGTGAATATGCGATTTCAGCGTTTCGAAGTGACGGTTTGATCATCAAACGAATCTTTCGGAGGGACTGGAAACGCAGACGATTGAAGTCTTGAGCGGTTAGGTTGCCATCGATGGTGCCATCAATGTCCATCGACAAGTAGACGAGATTAGGACTCATGTTATTCAATATCTCGGGCATATATGATGGTGTTTTCCCTTCAGCCCTATGGTGTCTTTAGGAGATAAAATTAGCTGAAAGACGATACAGCCGTCGACTGACTAAACTTACTGTAGTCTTGCTAGAATACCATTCCGTGACATCGGTAGGAAAAGAGCCTCATAAAGCTCCTCCGTAAGCTCATCTTCAGCGTCTTCATAACCACTTCTACCCGCACTTCGGGTTATGAGAGAGAAAGACCGGACCGAGTTTAATCCCATTTTGGAATAAGGGCGCAGCTTGAAGTCATATCTCTGACTAAAGTGGTAGTCGCTCTCTGGCGGGTATAGATCTCTAAGACCACGAGGGAAGAAAAATCGCAATTCATCATAGAGGTAGGAGATGTAACGATCGTGAAGTTTGGAGTTACATTTTATCAGATTGAGGAGGTCGGGTGAGTTTCGCACCCTAGTATCCCTGGGCACTAAACGAGGTTTGTATAGCTATATAAAGGGAGACTTAGTTAGGTTCTTCTTGGGCATAAACGAGCGATTCCAACTTACGTAGCTAACAATTTCCCGCTCTATCTCAAGCGGAATCCTTTCAAACAGCGCCATAGCGAAGAATAGTTTTCAGAGTAGTGGTGAGAATCCAATCGATCGAGTGCTTGGGAACTTCGGATCCTCCGCCTCCCTTAAGTACGTGTACCACACGCGATGACTCCCACAGCATTTACACGTGTAGCGCGTATGTCTCCATGATTGCATGGAGGTTTTGTCCACCAAATATCAGAAGCCAGTGCTCGAATTGGGTTAGAATAGTGGGTTGAAAGTATCCTGAAGCTGCACACCATAGGATCAACCGGGGATGCTAGCCAGTTTGACATGTTGGTCATACATACCATAGAAACGTGCAACTAATCTCCCAAGTACCTAGGTACTTAAGCACTTAGCTAGCGTGGACTTGTGGGCTTCCTTCCGTCGAATCACTCGAGGTATGCGCCACGGCCTATAGCTATAGTGTATTGCATTTGACGTCAGCTATCCCTAATATGTAGTACTAGTCTCGATAGGTATCCCCGAGCTTAGCGAGCTAATCTGTATTTAGAAAAGCCACACGGTCAACACGGGTTTGGTATCACACGATCTGGTGCGCTGTTTGGAATGGCTGCCATGCCAACTAAACTGGAAGGCTCCTGTAAACATCAGGCACTGTAAACAGTCGGGCATGGTGACTTGATTAGCTAGCTGAACTTTACGAATTCAAGGTAGCAAAATACCTAGGTATATGGATGGTAGTCTCGTTTCTGGGATACCTAGGAAGGCAACTACAGGCATACTACATACTATGGAGGGCATTGACACTATCAAGGAAATAATAATTTCCGAAATAGAGGTGAGGATTACGCTCTTGATCTAGATATTTGCGAGTCGTAGTATTCTTAAAAGAAGTAATAGTAGTATTAGTAGTGGTATTAGTAGTATTAGTAATAGTATTAGTAGTATTAGTAGTAGTATTAGTAGTATTAGTAGTAGTATAGTATTAGTAATAGTAAGAGACATCACTGCCACGAGAAGAAGCTCGACCAGCGAAGCCACAGGAATCAGAGATGAAGACAAAAAAGAGCCAAGTAGAAGCAAATTGAAACAGTCAGGTCCTAAACCCGTTGTCGTTTGCCTCTACCGACTTCTTCCTCATCTCTACCCCGTTTCCTAGACTCCACCGGTTTCACCTCTTCTCGCGGTGGTGGATCTGCACTTCCCTTATCCACTAATGCCCACCACCCCATGAGCTTCACCGTCCCGTCCCTCTCCACTCCTCCAAAAGCCACAATCAAATTGCTTTTCCCCCTCAACCCCTTCGGACAAGCCTTCAGCAAGTCTCTATGGGTGCCATTGTGGCTATACCCACCCCCAGCCCTCAACCTCCCCGTCTCCAAGATCTGCTGATCTCTCAACATCTTTCGTTGAGAGGCACTCAGCCTCTTCTTCAATAGTCCTGCAAACCCTTCGAGGACGTCACCGACGGTGAGACCTTCCCCCACCGCGGATCGATCAACAAGAAGGGTTTGCGTGGGAATTTCATAACGCGTTTGTTGCGTTAGGTGTAGTCGTGCCCTATATGTGGGGACTCTCATTGCCGGCTTGCTCCAGGTGGATGTGTGGTTTATGACACCACAGTCGTCTGCAACACCTTTCTCGTAGGTGTGATGGTAGAAAATGTCAAGGTCATAATTGACCATGACGAGGCGGTCCATTGCCGCGGTGAGGAGTGCCCAATTGTTCTGTTTGCCGCGGCTCTTGCCTTCTTTCCACTCTGGGCGGGCGCTACGCCACCAGGCCAGTGATAGCTCCTGGGGCGTTGGAGGGAGAGGGTATGATGGTAAAGCGGCCGAAAGGTGCTCTACGAGTGGCAAAGGGCCATCCCTAGAGGGGATTGGCGAGGGAACGGGAAGAACGGCCTTTAGGTGTGCGACGAAGTCGCAGGGACCGAGTGAAGGGAGAGAAACAGTTCCATAGGGGCGATGGACTTTGCCCCCTAAGAGGGTTGGGCGAAAGATGGAGTTCATGGTGAAAGACGCGTTCGTAAGTCTAGCCAAAGATGTGAGGAGATAGTTGTCCGAGAAGAAGCGTGGAGGTATGCTGGTGAGATCAAAAGATAGTCAAAAGCATGGAAAGATGAGAACAGGAGCGAGGAAGGTTGAGAAGAACGTTGTTGCAAGTGAGCAGAACACCGAGTACGGAGTCGAAAAAGAAAGTATCAGGAACCGCAAATTAAACGGACGCTGAATAGAATTTGTTGCTGTGTTGTTTTTGTGTAATCTTCTGCTGACTGTGTCGACGGCTGAGCCAAGCTGGTTTAGTGTCGAGACTGTGTCGACCGATTGTCTGGAAGAACGGGGCATGCAATATTTTACGGGCTGTAACTTCACGATTACTAGGTGTCATACGATATATGTACTCTATCGATGAATCTAGTCATGAAAACATCCACAGTTGAACGACTTGGGCCACGCGCAGAGGTACATGTAGGATCGCTTCGCGCCGTCCATCACATACTTCCCCCCTCATGCTAGCACCAACTCCCCATTAAATCAATCGACTAGTGAACTTACAATCGTACAGGACCACACTCTTAGCCAAAGCACATTAGAAGGTTGCGGGGATTGTGGATATCTTTTCTTGCTGGATGACCCTGCGTCTAGCTTCGAGGCTAAAAAATCATCATTAATGCATTGATGGATGAAAACGTGGAAAGAAACTTTCCAATGGTCATATCTCGTGACAGATCTTGCGGAAAGTCTGGTTGATTCACCGAGTTCATTGAGTATTGTCAAAGGTCCATGTCTTTCGCAGGGAGACTTGACTTGTGTCATCCTCCTTCCCCAGCTGCGCAGAGACGCTTATATATAATTATATATATAGATATATATTCGAAACAGTTTTAAGACTACATGTTTCAAGCAATTCTAAGAGATAATAGCCTGTACCCACCAGCGATGCCCGCAGGCTCAATACATTAACAGTTATTATTTTATATTTTTATAAATGCGTGATGCTACTAAAGAAGGTATGGGCCAACCGTGACTATAAAAATCGGATAATCTCACACTGGCATACTCTCAGAAGTATGATCTTAAGCTTGGGTATTCATAAATTTCCTTTCATATAAGAGAATAGCTATACCGCAAGCTTCAACCTATTTGTTGATATTGTAAGTTTCACATCAATAAATCAAGTCGTAGTACAAGTAGATTTGCAGGTTATACTCTTTCGCCCCGTATAGATATCGCAGTTATTCCCACAATCACATGCCTTTCCCCAACATCTCTCTTCCCACATTATCGGCTCCCGTTGGGCTTCGGCCTCGATAACGTCATCTCCATCGAATATTTCGTCCGCGCAAAGATCGACAAACGGGTCCTCAAAGTCTGAGATCGGAACTGCCTGGGATCTATCAGACAAAGGGACCCTTTCCTTCTGTATCCTCCATACAGTCCCCTCTACAAGTAAGTCTCGGAACTCATCAGATATATGCTCATATTCAGCCCAGTACCTTCCTCTACCTTCCAGCTCTAGTTCGGGTACCTGAACCGCATTGTAATCCCCGATATATCCATCCCACACATCTATACTCCATTGACTGGTCGAGTTAGTCCTATAATCCAAATCCAAATCCTGACGGTACACTAGTTCCATAAACTTCAAGTTAGATTTTAACAGGACTTGACCATGAAATGCATTTTTGATGTACTGTAGTATGTAATGATCTCGGGTTGGTATCTGGCTTCTTGATCCGTGGATGCCACAGGCTGCAGCTAGAATTTCGCAGTTGGAAAAAGAGTTGATAAATTGCTTGAAAACAGGCGGAAAGAACGTTGTGAATATTTGTGAGGAACCGGCGCCGGACGAGCCCCAGTTTCTGGTGTAATAGTAGGAAAAGACAAACGCCGTCAAGAAGATACTCTTGATATTATCCCGGACCTTTGGAGGCATTGACAGTGCGGTAGTAGTTGTATTGTGGCCATAGCCAGCGAAAATATGGCGACTCGATCCGATGATTTCTAGTGCATATGGGGTTAAATGATCCCCCGACCAGAACTGAGAGTAGGAGTTTGGGCCTGTCAGACATTTCGAGATAGTCGAGTTTATCTTTCGCCTGATGTGGTCCGCTGCGGACTTTATATCCACCGAAAACGTTTTGCTGACAAGAAGCAAGTTTATGGTGTCGTAGCCGCCATCCACGAACTTCGGAAAAGGGGCGACCCCAAACGTGATACCACAAACCTTTCGTTATTTCCAAAAGAATCAGTTTTATCTCTTCGGTTTTATTCTATTTAGGAGGATTCTTCAGGCTAGTCCTACTAACTCCATCTTTTTTCTGTAACTCTCTCAACCTTTTATTTTTCCGCTTCATGTGAATAATTTTGTGGTCGTCCCGTGCTTCTTTGAACTGGGCTGTAGACCTGTAAATAAAATTGCTGGCGTACGTAATTATTTCCTCATATATCTGCTGGCGTATCTCTTGTGGTAAGCGGAATAGGCTAGAAGAGGGTCAGCGAAAAACCTCGAAGTAGAGTGATTTCATGAGGGCTACGGAACGTTTACCCTGGTCCCTCCTCGCTTTGTGTTGATTTTGTTGTACTTTCGAGCGCCGGGCTGACTACATCCGCAGTGCCCGCCATGTCGACTACTTTGAACCCTTTTGTAATTAAATCTGTATGACTTTCAGTCCGACTCTCCGGTGAACTTCTAGGATGTCAAAGGGCTTAAAAGTAAGAACGGAGGAGCGGATTTGAGTCATGCATGTGTGAGCCTGACGAGCAAGAGCGAACTGCCAAGAAGTGAGACCCCCAAGTTGAGTAACCACAGAATCAGGCAAGTCTTGGCGTCAAACGAAATTTTGAAGGCGTGACAATGCAATGTTGACGGCCAACTGGCACTCACGGGGGATCCACGAGTTTTCGCAACCGGCATCCGGTTTACATACCATGCGAAATTACTTGGACGGGTGGGGTGGGATCGTACTTTACTAGGGCGTTTTATTGTTACATTTAGTAATGTATGAATTAAGCCTAAAAAGTTGAAACTAGTTGAGGCTCTTTATTAGGAACGTCAGGGTATATATACCATATAATCAGATCAAGCCCTTTCACCCATAATATTTATGAATGTAAAAAGGTCTCGAGTTTATTGTAAAACTCTAGACTCGCCGGCTTAAACGCCCAGTCTTCATAGAAGTTCTAAAAGTGGAACATATAAAAGTGTTTCGCCAGCAATCTAGTCCCGCTGATCTCTTTCCCAGGGTGCTCGTTACAGCGCTTATATCCTCCCACTGTATGGAATATATAATTACACAGACTTTCTCCCGTTAACTTTCAGCAGTAAGGGCACAACCGGACCTTATCGAATGGGATACCGTCTGGAGGGAGCTTGCAAACATCTACCCATTCCAGGAAAGCTGGTTGGATCCACTCAGGAATTAGAAAATCTGTTGGGCCGCGAAGGTTTATACAGTTGCCTTTCACCATTGGATAGAGATATAGCATATCTCGGATACGCCCGTCAGATTCCATATTCCTCCGGAATAAATCAGGTGTTAATTCTTCCATGGCCGAATATGCTTTGGCGGCTATTCTGAGTGAAAAGGAACCGGGACGTTTTTCTTCACCCTTTTCTAGTACAAACGGTTTCCGAGGGTTTCTAGGTGGCCGATCCTGTAGAATCTGTGCATTTCTTTCCAGCGATCTTTGGAATTCTTCGACCAACCAGAACCGATGGAAACCCTCGAAAAGAGGTTTTGCATACATCTGACAGAGGAATTCGATTAAAAATGAAATTGATGTGCAGAATCTTTGGTGGGGAGTATTCGGCTTTCTTGCCGAGTCCAACTGTTCCTGTATGACTCTGTCGATATCGGACAACGGGTATTGCTTGACCCGGATAACTTTTGCTTTCGGGAGAATCGGGTTGCACCGCGCCGTATGAGAGATGATTGATTAGGTTAGGGTTAAACCGATTATGAGGATTTTTTATGGCCACATAAGCGATGGACCCTCCTATCATTCGGAAGCACAGATGTGCACAGTCAGTCTTAAATGGTCCGCACCTCAATCTGGCAGCCTGCTAATTCCCCGTTTCGTATCATCTTGGCTTGTAGATAGTAGTTCCCAGGGTCTTTCTCGAACTCGGTAATGCTCGTAGGGCGATAATCGGGTCGCGTTGGTACGACCTCACAGGATGGATTGTAGTCCTTGTTTATGTGCTGCTCCCAATATATCGGCTTTCTTGATGCGCTTGGTGATAAGAGATGGCGCCAGATTGACTGTTCTTCCGGGCCTAACCGGATGTGCATCATTTGACAGGAGTTCCGAAGCGAGTATATATCAAATAATGTTAGGTGTTTTCCTATTTTGAGCAATAGTTCCTGCGGAACTCGGAGTATAATAGGAGGCACGGCACAGATGAATCTCGCACCGGTGATTCCATGGTGCTGGTGTCTGATGCAAAGCTGAATACTCTTAAATTCCAATATACCACCACTTAACTAGGTGATTGCGCAGCTGTTTTACCGGAAGATTGGTGACTTTGGAAGAGGGGACGCCTAATTCCGCTTGGTTACGTGTGCTGCAAGCTTCAGGGTTAAATATCCAAGCTTACGCAGTCTCGTCACCGACATGTACTTTTATGTATAGGAGTTGCACAGCAATCGGTCAACACATTAGCTTTGTTGGATTACTTTTCCTAGCTTACGTATAGATGGCCTTGAGGGGATCTCGTCAACGGCTCCTCGGTTGCTTCGCTTCACTACATTTATGGCTGTCAATATCCCACCGGAGCTGTGGCTCAAAATCATCTCATATCTTACATACGAAGACGTTCACTTCCGGCTCATCAATGTCAACAAATTCCTCCACCGGCTTATCGGGGGTTTTACCATCCACCGGCTTCCGCTAGCTTTATGGGAGCAGGTGTTTACTCATCTCGACTATTTTACCCTTCTCAATGTAGCTGCCAGCTGCAGATTGTTCCGAGGATGCGTCAAATATTCCAAATCGAACGAAATTAAGGCAGCTACTTTTCGAGAACAACTACTTCTTAAAAATCCGCTGCCATCAGACACCAAGTTCAAGCTTCATCCAGCGTTCAAGTGCCTACGAATAGGTGGCAGACCTTCTAGAGCGCTCCTACGAATCAATATCCGCGATCTAGAGAATCCTGATGTCGAAACTGCTTCCCTACGGAGTTTGGATATTGATAACCACCCTATTATGTCAGAAAACATTACATCACCGCCAGTTCAATTATACGAACTTGACTATGGCCCATCCAAGACATTCGGGGGCGGAGCGGGTACCTTTACACATTCACAGCCAGCTACCGTAAGGGATGTCTTTCTTGATGCCCAGAGAGTCACTGATGATTTCTGTCGCGGGGCTTATCTTACAGCAGTCAACACTGAATATGTGAAATTCAACAATAGCCATACCTTCTCCGAGTATGTGGCGCTTGACTGTCACAGAATTGTCAAAGTTGTCGAATATGGGGCAATAACACTCAAGATTGAACTTGTGGCTGACTCGTTGCTTGAGACGGTGTATAATAACCGCTGGGATGACGAGGAGGAGAACGAGCGAAATGCAGAGTTACTACTGTTGAGTATGATTGGAGCGTATCCTTACAATCACGAAGTCTAGTCGATATCTCTAGTGCACTAAAGAGAGAAGGCATCTTTGCTTGAACAACTATCTTACATGTACTCCTCAAACTATCGATTGGATTTTTAAAAGAAAACGTCGTGTACTTAGAAGCAAAATCCAGAAACAACGAGAAGTATTTCAGCTTTGGGACAAAAACAGAAGGTGCAATATATTAGATACCAAGTTAATGCATGTGTGGATTTCCAGCAAACTAGTCTCGTTCCAGACGCCGGCTGGCCGCAGCGCCACAGAACGTCATCTAGGATAGTGCATTTAAATAATCAACCCAGCAAGAGCAGCGCTAAGTCCAATAAGAAGACCATCCAAAAGCCTGCGGACAAGCTCAAGGAGGTTATCGACAACCGGAACAAGTGCAAGAAGGAGGGCAGAAAGTGCAGCAACAAGGCCACCAAGGGTACCAGCGAGCAACGCTTCTACAGAATAAAAGTCAGCATTCAATTTTTACCATGGAAAAGAGGTGAGGTTCAAAACTTACGAAGTCCCAAAACAGCAAGAATACCATTCAAAGCTCCCGAGATCTCAAGCAAGAGATTAGTTACAAGACCTGCAAGATCGGTACTGGTCGCTTGTCGAACAGCAAGAGCTCTGCTAACAGGGTTTGAAGCAGCTCCATTGATTTCGGCGATACCACCAGTAACAATAGCAGTAATTTCTGTAATAGCGGTGTTGAACTCCAGCGCCGCGGCGGCGCCCTCGACAGGATTAACGGGGTTGCTAAGGCCAGCGACCGTAGAGTCTATCATTTTGGTTAGTCCTCCAGCATGGTTTTTATCCTAGAATGGTGTGCACATGTGACATACTGATCTTGCCAGTGACAACTTGAACTTTGGTATAAACGCTTTGCACAATACCGATAGCGGTATTAAGATCCACGGCTCGCTTTTCAATTGGGGCGAGTGCTGCCTTTTCTGCCGGAATAACGGCAGCAGAAGTGAAAAAAGAGCCGGCGATGAGACCGAATGTGAAGATGGAGGAGCCGAAGAACTTCATATTGGGAAAGAAAAATTAAATTATATATGCTGGAGCAGTGGGTACTTTTGAGTTGTAAGAGCAAGTGAGGTTCTGAACGAAATTAGAAAGAGGATGGAGATATAACAGTCTACTATACTGCTGATGAGTGGTACTACTGGATGATAATGGAGCGGAGGAGATACCATGCAGCTGCTGGACCTCTACTTATACGTCCAGGAACTCCTGAATTCCGGAACCCCTTTGGTTAAGGTCGGTAAGGATATTTCGAGCAACAATCATGACTTCGTAGATATCGATACTCCTCCTGAATCGAGTTTACATCGGCCTATACGTCACTTTCGTTCCCCTAGTTGGATAAACCAATGTCAATATTCGCGAGCGAATATCCAATCAATTCTCAATCAGCCAGTCAGAGCTATAGCTAGGACTAAGGGATGATAGGCGCGATTCTAAACGCGACGTCACTGGACTCTAACTTTATAAGTTATAAGCCGATCATATAGGTGCGATCTAGCGGCTAGGTAACCGGACCCGGTTTTGGTGACGTTAAGTAGCAAGTCGGAGCTGAGAAAATACGTCGAAGCAGCGTCGCTGGTCAATCGCTTCCATTTTCTGATAAGAATTAAATTGGGTAACGAGTTCAGGACCTATTGAGCAGATCATATATATATAAGTGGAACTTAAAACCAAGTTTCCGGAAGATCGTATTCGAATTAACTGCGGTCCTCTAATGTTAAAAAGTCGGAATGTAAGGGGGTCCCGGTATTTTCAGTATATATCTTTAGTCATTGCTTTTGAAATTTCTCGGTATCCTCCGTGTTCACTAGTTATCAAACGTTCGGCATCGTATTTCGGCTCAATTGACGCCACCTGTAATCCACAGCCCTTTCCCAAGCTTCGAGAATGCGATATCGTCCATGGCAATGTTCAACGACATCATGGTAATTTCTCTCTTTCCCATGCAATACTAGGATCCCCTGAGTCCACTGCACACTTTGGGTAGCCAATTGAACCCGAAAGCCACCTCCAGCGATTTTCAACCATATAACGGCTGTCGATCACACCTCCGGAGATCGCGCTATTTCCGTCTCGGTTTCCAGGATGCCCCGGTCTTAGCGACGCCCCCCTTTTCGTCGTGCGTCACACCGCCTTTCCGTCTTTAAAGTCGTGCCAGGTTGTGATTCCTCAGAAGGGAGCTTGTAATTGATGCAAACTTTCGACATAGCTGGGTAATTCGGACACTCCACTACTATTTATGATCCCCATTGGAAGGAATGATAGTGGATGGAGGTTCTAATCTATGCCGCGAATTGGGCAGTGTAGAAAACACCTGGGTTGGACAGGCACATGTAACAGGGGCTATCCCCGCCAAACACCAACGGCCCTTCTGCGCCATAACTTAGCAGCTTGACGCCACCGACGGGTTCGCCACCAACCGCCCTTCAACCGAGTTGGTAAAACCTGTTCCTGGGTATCTCGTCAATTCCAACCTGCATGTCGAATTGTTATGTTCTCCTGCGGGCATCATGACAATTCGATTTTTTTGGATTTCCTTTTCCTTGCGGGCAACAATAGACTAAATTTAAAGTTACAAAACCTATTATATTAATAACCAACGACCTATTGTTGGCAATTACACAATCCACGCCGAACCAGCAACAAATCGCCACCGCGAAACTTAGCATAGTTAGATTATAACCCCAATGGCAACATCAGAGGCGTAATTTCTCCAATACTCAAGTCCAACAAAATTGTAACTGGCCGATTTAGTGTGCAGTTGCTTCTATCCCCAAGATCCAAAGCCCCATGCTTTTTTTTCCCCTCCCAGACACCCTCCCGACGGGTTTGACGTTACCATGACATCTGTCGTACCTTCCCGAACCGGTACACCACTCCTTTCGGCCAAACCAGCTTGTGCAACCATCACCAACCTCACGCCCAACACAAGGTGTTGCGGAGATGCATTGGATTGCCACCGACCTTAAGATCAGTGATATATATGGTTGGGGGTTGGATTCGGGGGTTCCGGGGTCGGGCTTGACTGAAAGGTTTATTCTAGGCCATTGCGTAGTCTTTCGATGGCGTGCGTGGGCGATTCTTTGGTCGCGGTTATTTTTAGGGTACTGCTAACGTAGTTGGGTCCATGGGTTGGGATTGAATTGGAGAAGCTTACGGGATACACTTACAGCATTGATTGCGGCAAGCATTCCCTGGTAAATATTATACATTAAGATATACGTAAGACCGAATGTATTGCGTCAGGAGTCAACTTGCACCATAGATGGTACTTACAAGCTATAATTCCATTGAAAGGGCTTGCTGGGGACAGACTGGCATTTTTATTATCTATGTAAGTACTATCTCGGTAATACCTGAGCTGAGTTTTACAACAGCGACAAGTTCATAAGCTATAATAATAATCGTCTTCCTTTATCACGAAGTCTGCTAGTGTCTCCATCACAGTATTCCTCCTTCTCCCTTTTTTTTTTTTAGAACGCAAAATATAAAGAACACGTTTCCGTCATCATTCCCAGAGTAATTCATATCAAAACTCTCATAATAATTACCCATTCAGTAATGAATCGATAACAAAGCAACCCATCGCCATCTGCTAACTCGTCTTTTCTTTTCGTGTTGAATGAAAAGGTAGGATTCATAACAAAATCATGACTGAAGGAAAGTCATAGGAATCGTTAGAAAATTTGGTAGTATGGGGTCTTTCTTTCACCGATATGGTATAAAAGCATGTGGTTACCATATCAGTCGAAGAAACGTTCCATAGTTAATGAGAAGAAGATTGTAGGTTGTAAAGAGGAAATCGGTTCTAGCAGATGGCGAAAAGTATGTTTGTTCGGAATGTGCATTAGACGTAGGTCATGAGGGCATAAAGGTAATAGACCTTCTAGCAAACAGATGAAGATGATATAAGTGTTAAACGATATCAAATTCATTTTATTATAAAAGAGGTGTCAAAAACCAGATGTTAGATCCAGTCAGTGATCTCCCCGTCAGAACTTGGCTTCTCAAAAGTCGTAGGGCCCAGTCGACAGTCTTCCCAGATACGTTGAAATCGAAACCTTGCTTTTCGGACTCCTTCATCGTCGGCAAAGCTGACTCCGGTGTGGATAAAGTAAGCGAGCATGGTACGTTCCTTTCGTGTGGAGGTTTCAGCTGGTGTTTCTTTTGCTGGATCAAATCCTTCCTTTGGGAGAAAAGAAAGATCATGAAGAGGTTCTCTTATGGGAACTTCTGGGGTATCTTTCAAGACATCTTAGCTTTCTTGTTTACCGTGGGAAGAGATGAAGTCTTGGTTACTAACCTGGTTGGTCCTCTTGACTAACTGGTCCGCGGCGGCCTTTAGCCACGATGATATTATGGTCAGATGGTATATTAGATGAACGTAAGCGAATACCATGGCGATGAATCGTGTTGACAGAATGGCCAAGTCTCCTAGGAGCGATAGAAGCAGAGTTGAATGGATAAACTGCTAGCTCGGATTGCGAAACAAGATCAGGAATATTTTGATCGACGGTAGCGGAGGATTTCTGAGAATAATTTCTTCCCATAAAAGTAGGACGGAACGATGGTGAAGTCGCATTCATTCGTGAGTTAGACCTTGAGGGACCGCGGTGAATAGCAGCCATGAATTCATCTGCAGTAAGCCCACTTGAAGAAGCACTTCGCGGTCCGAACCGAGACGCAGAACGGTGGTATCGGTGTCCGGAAAGAGCGAAATTAGAGGGTCTGCTCGAGCCTGAAGCTGTGCGAATGGCATTGGGATCGTCGGTTCTATACTTTAGTTGGCGTTCGCTCGAAGAAACCGGAGCTGGCCGGTCGTTGAGTAGATTGCTATTATCGATACTTTGTCTTAATTGACTGACGCGGCTTCGAGCAATGGGGACAAAAGGAATCTGGTCAACTTTGTCAAGTAACTGTGGTGAAGTCTTTGGTGATGTTAGTAGCCGCCGAGCTTCGGCTTCGTGATCAGCAGTTAAGTTGTTTTGCCCTAGATCATGTAAATGTGGAGCTGAAGAGTCATCCTCGGATTGGCGGACTAGAGACTCAAGACTGAGCATGGCCTTTCGAACTTGTTTCGGTGTTTCCTCAGGAATATCTTCACCTGGCAGACCCCACTTGCGCATCGTAGCCTCTCTGGATAGAACAAAAGAGTTCTGAGCTGATCGATTTGTGATAGCGAATGCTGTGATAAGAGACGTAGCCGGACGTGTTCCGTTAACTTCGACACAAGAAATACTTCTTGTACCATGGGGCTCAAATTGAGTCTTCTTCGTATTGGTTCTCTTGGCTATGTTCAAAGGCCGTATCGTCTTCCTCACTTCCAAATACTCGTGAAAAGCTTTCCGATTCATACCATCCCCTTCATTTTGGTACGCGTCTTCGATATCTGAATCCACAAATCTGACTTCCTCGCGTTCTCCATTCTCATCAATCTTCGTCTTATCGGTTAACCATGCCGACATCGAAGTTTGAACAGGAGGAACATTCGAACGATCGAACGTGTTTCTAGACATCTTGTGACTCGCTTATTGGGTTTCTCGGCTTGCTTCCTCACTCTTAACGGTCGTGCTTTTGGTGGGTTGGTTGTTGGTGATGAAAGAAAAAATAAAATCATGGTCCGGGTCAAGGTCAGCACAAAAATTTATTCTCGCGAACAAATTTCTGGACACTTGACGTTAAGAGTTGCATAAGACGGGAAGGATTTGACACCTTCACCACCTCAATTCACCCCCCAATCTTTCATTTTTCCTCATCCTTTCCAACTCCTTCCCTCACCCCCACCCTCACCCCCCCACTCCCCCACTCCCCCCTCCCTCTACTCTACATGAAAACCACTTCAAACTTCCGTCAAGTCCGCAACTCTCCAAGAACTCCTTCCTGCCTTCCAGAATGGTCCCCAAGAGTCCAAAAGAACCCGTGGATCCTCCCATTCAAAATAGCTCTCAAGAATTCAAGGTTACTAGGGTTGACATCCGGCCCCGCGAGGGACGGGAGAAACACCCAATATGTTACCTCCTCTCCGTCAGAATGTTATGGTTTTGACAATGGCGGACCTAACCCTCCACCACTGTCGGAAGACCGCCACCACCCAGATTGATAAAATCCGCTTCTTTCTCGGTCACTGCGAAACTAGAGCAGCCTAAGCCAAGCTCTAGTTAGCGGACCAAAAGAGAAGCGGATTTAATCTCTCCGAGCGACTTTGCTCTCCCCGACCTTTGGAAGGATCGGGCTCAACAGCCCCCTCACCACCGATCTCTTCCGCCGGTGCCTCTTCTGGTTCCCCAGGTCGGAAGCCTCATCGACCTGGGTAGGGGGGGCCCGTAGCGCAATGACGGAACTATCCCCCCTTTGAACTCGACGTAGTCCCCTCCCCACCCGGACTACGTCATACCCCCTCTCCTCCACACTCCCCTCCACCTTCTCCTCCACCTTCTCCTTCACCTTCTCCTTCTTCGGCTTTGGTTGGCTCGAAAGCGCAACCGCAGCACGGAAGAACCCCTGGACCGCCTCTCCACAGCGCGTCCACAAACTCCTCTTCTCCTTCCGGGGACGCCCAACGGCCATCCCCAACACCGGTGGAGCGTTTTCGTGGTTTTCGCGCCTCCTCCTGGCCTCGAAAACCACGAACGTCTCCGAACACCTCCTCCCCCTATACCCCCTCTTCCTCCCCTCTCCATCCTCTACCCCCCTCACCGCCGCCGCCAACGCCATCTTGTCCTTCAAGTCCGTGAGATTGAACTTGACGAACTGCCGTTTCGCCAAGGGGCTCATTCTGAGCCACCTCGACGAACCAGCCGTCGTCGCCTCCATTTTAACCCGCCGCATCGCGTCCCCCGCGGCACTCCTCTGGGTCTCACGGACTATCAGGTCCACCTCCTCCACCCCCAACTCCGTCACCTCCCTCAACCCCCCCTTCTCCTCATCCCACAACCTCCTCAACACCTCCCCTGGTATCTCCAAAATGGAGATATCACTATCCTCCCACCTCCGGAGCAGAGCCCTCCTCTCCCGCTCTAACTCCTCCGCGGCAACCTTCTTACGGCGCAATGGCAAGAGGTGCCTCTCCAACTCTTCCTCCTCTTCCTCCCCCCACTCCATCACCCCACTCCCAACCCCAACCCCACGCCCCCGCACCCTCCTCAACTCCTCCAACCCCTCCAACGCCTCAAACTCCCTCTCCTTGATAACAGGGGGGATCCATATCCCCCCTCTATCGTCCAAAATCGCAGTGCTAAGTAACCACTCTGACATGGTTTCTTGGCACTGGATTATGCCACTTGCTGGGCTTGAACGCGTCGACTCCTTGGAGTCTCGGCCGTCCACAGCCACAGCTTCCCCCTCTTCCTCCCCCTCCTCCAAAATCGTGCTCAGAACCGTCGGCCGCATATTCAGCCTATGCATGGCCTTGGTTCGCCTGGTCTTGCGAGCTATCGAATGTCTCCTCGAATGAGACTGGCTGGAAGAACGCGACAACGATGACTTTGAGCGACTACGTCGCTCGGAACGAGACCCTGGTCTTGGAACCTCGGGGGCAATTTCAACCACAGCATTTTTCAATGACTGTGGCGCCGAAACCAAAGTTTCGGACCTTTCTTGCCCCTTTTGTTCACCCCCTTCGACCTTCACCTTCTCTTCCTCGGTCACCTTGTAACAATTCTCGACATCGATATCTCCGTGTCTGACGATGGGAATGGGCCGTCCATCTGACCAGTATGCTTGGATATTAAGATATCCATCTGCAGTTGTAGGCGGTGGGATGATAGTAACAGGACCACCGAATTCCTCTTCAGCGCCTTGGAAATGCGGGTTCCAAGGGTATGTCGCTGCGATCAATGGATGAACTCCGGAAACTTGATCTGCATCTGTGCGGAACGGAATGTCCGCAGTAGTAGAAGCTGGTTGAACTAAGGCATGTTGTTCGGTTTCAACTTCTTCTTCTTCCGGTGAGCTAGGTTCCAAAGACATTCCAATATCGATGGGGACCTCAGTATTATCGTGTGTGCTGGCTCGGTAGGATAAATTAGTAGCATCAGCATCGAAATCGTCGAGGAAATCTTCTTGAGTATACGAAAATCTCTGTTCATCTGAAGGAAAAGCTTGAAATGAAAGATCTTTATCCTTGAAATTATCGGTATTATCCAATACCATCTCGGTTTGAACACCCTTTTCTTCCTCCTCCTCTTCGTCGGACAGGCAACCCTCCAGTAGTCCCATACCAACAAAAGAATTAACAACGGGTGTAATAGCATCCAACAATGTTGTCGGGATCTCATGATAAAATTCGTCATCTGTGACGCGTAAATTAGCCGGCATGGGCTCTGGAGCTCGAAGATTGAAGAAACTTGTCTTCTTGCGAAGTCGTCTGACGACGGAAACAGAGGTGGCGACATCGGAAGTAGCGATAGAAGCATTTGATTCGCTAGTGTTGGTCAATGTCGAGATTTCTGTAGCGCCTGATGCGACTGCCTGTATTGATTCGAGTTCGGAAGTAGGTTTTTTGATACTACTGTCTGAAATTGCGTCTTCGGACTCGATATGAAGACTTTGATCATAAAGATTTGAGATCAAAAACTCAGAAATATCTGTAGTGAAGGTACTTCCTTCCACGGTAGGAATGACCTTTTCGGGTGTCTCCTTGACGACCTCTTCAGTCTGTGGGAACTCTTGAGTATTGTCATTATCCTGTATCTTAATATATCAGCCAAACTATTTCATATATTGTAATAAAAGAAACTTCAAATGGGAATATATACCTTATTCATTCTTCCGCCATTCTCAGTAACCCAATCCCTGACAGCCTCAAACCCAGAGCGAGCCTGCCTCAAAACCGGACTCATACGATCATAAACAGATTGATTCGCAGCATGTCGGGCTCCTCGTTGCTCTGGCGTTTCGGATGCAAAATCAGGGGCTCCCGTATTACCACCACGGGAAGGGGTAGAAGACCTAGTACTACTACCGATATTTGGAGAAGGTCTTCGTGAAAATCCTGAAAATAAAACACTCAAGTTGCTGGGTAACTCATAAGACGTATGATCACGAGCCTTTGGAACGTGGACAATATTGTCGACTTGTGGAACTTCTGGTGAAGAATCAACGGGAGACATTGACGAACCTGTAACAGGTGAGGCGGTACAGAACATTGAAGAACTCTCTGGAATGCTTTTGACGAGAAACTCAGCAGCGTGGAGAGGTTCTTGCTGTTGCTTCTGTGACAGTGGTTGGATTTCTCGGGTGGAAATCTCGGCCGTGTATGAATCGGAAACTGAAGAATAGGTAACTTTTTCAATCGTAGGTGGTGAATCAGAACTATAACTTACAAGTGAGGCTGGAATATCCTCAACTTCCCTCTTGCGCATAGGTGTCGAAGCTCTAGTAGGTATCTTTGAACGCGGAGAAGTTCCGAACCCCGTTGGTCTCGGAGGGGACAAAGAGCAAGATGCCCGATTTTGTTGAATAGGTTGCTCACTACTTGAAGAGGTAGATGTAATACTTTCTGGTTGCACAACAACAGGAGGAGTAGCTACATTGCGAATAGGTACCTTATCTCTTGCGGCTCCAGACTTTTGAGAACCCCTGCTTGGGGGAACTTGAACTTCAGCTGCAGGTGGAATACAAGTACCTTGACGGGGAGAAACAGCTGGTGTTACTTGACTCGGCGATGCCAAACCAGACGACCCAGGGCCCTGAACAGGGCGGCCACCATAGGTAGGAAGTCTTGACCTTTGCGGAGGACTGGATGCTAGATTCCTCGAAAGTGGTGAAGGAGCTGGTCTCGGTGCGAGAAAGGTTTCAGTAGGATTTGGTACCATATTTTTTGAAGGTGGCGAAGGGGCTGGCCTTGGTGCCACAAAAGCTTCTGTAGGAAAAGAAAGGTCCTCTCTTTGACTTCCAATGGAAGTAGAAGGAGAACCGTCGCGATTCGGGAGACTTGATGGAGACTGTCTAGCCCGTGGTAATGGAGTCGGAAGACTTATCTGACCTCGAAGAGCTTGTTCGAGATTTTGTTGCCTCTGACGCGTCGTATGTGAGCCAGAAGGTCGTAGGCGGGGTCCCGCTGGTGGGCTTGGAATAAAAGTTCGCGAGAACCATGAAGAAACAGAACCTGACTGTTGTTCATCACGAGGAGAGCGACGAGGAGAGCGATCTGAAGGAGATGAACTCTCCGGTCTTGTGGTATTATCACGGTTCGAAGACATTTTGCTTGTATAGAAGGAAAACTAAAAATACGTTGCTGGGAGCAAAACTGAAAACACGTTGCTAGATGGAAAGAAGGTCACGGTTAATCAGAAAAGAGTAGGAAGACGTACCTTGTCGAGTAATTTCAGGGGTAGCTGCAGTATGTATAACCGCGAATTACTTGAAGAAGCAGGGGGTCGTTATAGGATAGGTTTGACGTGGGAAGCAAAGTATATGAATTTGAGGAAGTAGATGAAGGTGGTAGTGGGATCGATCGAAGGTCAAAAATTGATACGTAGTGAGGATAAGAAGAGAGGGAGGAAGAACTGTGGGTAGGAATTAGGTATATCACAAAGACGGGGGAAAGAAGAAAAAGAAATAACTTGTAGCACAACTCTGAGAACTCTGAATGGAAGTGTTGTCCCATTCAGGGACAATGTTGAATCCCAAGGAGGCAAAAGGGAAACTTCATATTTGCTTTTGGGGGGACGCTCAGCATCGATTGTGGCAGATGGTCGTGCAAGTGTGGCTTGAATAGCTTCAATAGTGGGGGTGCCCCCCGCACCTGTGACGTATTGCATTGGGTCGGCGTCCTTGCTTTTACTCCTCCTACAGGACTATAGCTAATATCAAACATAGTAATCTTGTTCTCAACTAACTTCGAAAGGGACGCATTACTGTGTTCTGAGCGGGGTGCGTCCGTCAAATTTGGGCTTGAAAATTCACTGTCAGGAAAGATATCTACGCGCTTTAGCAATGGGCCTGGATGGTTCTTCGAATCCGATAAGCCTCTAGCTATCTTGGGCGGATACGTATTCGTCCGGATAAATGGCAAGGGAGACTAACTTGAAATTTGAGATCCAAGTCGAGTAGGGACTGTTAAAGTATAAAGTCAATAGCTATATAGCCATATAAAAAGAACCTTGCGCCACGCTCAGACTAAAGAAAAACAGCTGGAAAAGAAGAATATACTGTGTAAACGGGCCCGATTACAGATAAAGATTCACAGAACGGACGATGGAAAACACCAGCAGCAAAAACATGAGACAAGAAGCACGGAAAATATGGCTTAAGAAAGCGAATATAATGTGCATATGAAAATTTTGGCTATGATGTATCTACAGTATGGAGTTTTGATGATGATAAAATAAAGAAAGCGAGCGAAACTCACATAAAAGACCTTAATCTTTAATAGTAATTTTCCAAGTAGTCGCCAGTTGGTGCATCGGCTCTTCGGAGAGACTTGCAGTCGCTGTAACATGCTGCTAGTTAGTATCATACCGTAAACTTGTCTCGTACCCAGCCCCACGCAAAAAATCTACCGTAAACCCAGATATAGAAATTTTCGGAAAACTTTGGAAGAAACTTTTGCAGAGCTAGGCAGTAACATCAAAACAAGGAACTTGACTGTCAAATGGGGAAGAGAAGATGGAAGAGACGAAGTTTTGGAATGAGAAAGAAACAGCGTGCCTTCAATAGTGTACTATACATAAAAGAGGATCGCTATTTACTGGCTCGAAAAAAGAACAATGAAGATTAGTGTCTTTTTTTGGGGGATCTTCTATTTTGGAGCCTTTTGCGAACGGTTTTCGTCGGGAGTAGAGAGGAAAGGGATAAAATGGTGGGGGAAGGAGGGAAAGAAAAAACGCGACGGCGGACGGGCGTGATTGGCGAGGAGACGGGCCAAGAAACAGGAAGTGTAGTGGCCTAGTAGTCAATACCAGGCCACCGGAAGGAACCATCTGGTTTCCTGCCAGTACTATCTTGCGGTACTGAGGAGGTCTCACCCCCCCAGTACCTACCTCCAGCTGAGGATGCCGCCACAATGGCGACGTCCTCATACTCCTCTTCAAGGAGTGGAGCACGAGGCTCCGCAACAAATAAACTGCCCGCGAGGGCAAGAGGGGGGCTGTCAGACCCCCCAGCGCGGTATCTGTCCCCCGCGTCATAAGGTGGGACGCACTCCGGCACTGGATCGGCTGTATTGCCCTCTCTGACCGCCGACTAGGCGGCAGGTGCCATATCTGGCAACCCACGCTCGGGCAATGTAGGGGTCCGAAGACCCAGCAATCGAGGTCGCCCCGACCAGGGAGTTTATCGGCGGACCCTCACCGGGATGAACGGGCCAACGGGTGCAAAACCCGTGAGCCGTGGGAAGATCTCGTTGAACTCTCGTTCAACGATAATCCCCCCAAGCGGCTCAGCCAGGATCTCATCACCCTTGGAATCTACACGTCTCGTTAGAAAACTCTGTTTCCGAGAATTAGAAATCTTAAGATTATTCTTACCACTGTCCAGTCCCGGAAGCACATTTAGAACGTTTTCCGCGGTGGTGGGTTGTTCTTGGTACCCTTCCGTCATGACAAACTGTTCAATGGAATCCCTTGCCGGGAATTCCATGATGGCAGCAGCCAAGGCTCCCCGTGGAACAGATTCGAGGTTGAATGTGGGGAATTGAGGCTCCTGGACCTCAAATAGGTTGATTGGTAGACACTGGCTGGGGGAGGTTGACGAAATCCCCAGAATGGTCTGAGATGAATGTTGGTGTTCATTGATGGGAGAGGTTGATGGAAGATAGGTGGGCCGAGAGGTATTGGCAACTGACTTTCTGAAAGAGCTACCTTGAGCGTAAAGATTGCTAAGTTGGTCGTGAACATCTCGATCCACTTGTTGAGCGTAATTCTCATTGTTGACAAACATCACATCACCGTCGCCGTCATCATGTTCTGGAACAGCATTATCTCTAGATTCTTGACTCGCATTCAGATCCTCCCTCCCCAAGTTCCTGGCTGAACATTCTCCTGTCAACACCGCATCAATGAAGCTCCGGCTACTAATAACCGCCCGTCTTCTGAGAGTACTCGAAGGCTTGTCCCCTTCTTTGGTAAGTTTGGTTTCCTCTACCTTGATGTCAGTACCGGAGCTTGCAACATCGTCCGTCCTGCAACCTTTTTCCCCGCTAAAACGGTATTTTCTATCACTAGAGTTCTTCGAAGAGGGCTTCGTTTTGTTTTGGGGCTCCGGCCCCTCCGATTCCAGCTCACATATGCGGTCGTAAAGATCGCGGTACAGTGTAATCGCAATATCCCTGCTGATATCCATGCACGAGCCCTCTGGGAAATACATTTCTAACAGCTGTGGAGGGATATTCGGATCACCTGAAAGTGTAAACATCCCCGACTGACTTCCAGGGCGCAGAAGACATAAGCTTTGTGGTGGGAAAACATTCCTTCGAGCAATGGTGATATCAGAGAGGCATCTGGTCCCTCCCTGGCCCCCCCGAGCACTCGCCATGTTTAGCGGTATCAGATCAACGCACGGCCTGGACGGTCTGATGGATGCGAAATGCGGGACCAAAGAACGATGAACATTTGGATTCTCGCCTGCGCTCTGTTGGGTGAAGATATCGACAGACGAGCTTGGCGTGTTAACGAAGGGATTTTGGAGTGGACACCCCCGTCTGGCGGCTTTCTCCCTCTCAATAAATCCTCCTTGCAGGCCCTCGGCAGTTTCTTGCAGGACTCTAATATCTTTCCCCTTCATAGTCCCCCCCTCTCATTCCACGAGGATTGGAACCTTTCGAGCTCTTTGAAAAAAGAGTCTTGAGCTTCGCGAAGCCTTTTTCCTCCCGTGCAGGCATCAGCTGCCCGGCAGAGAGTGGGTCCATGGGAGTAGCTGTGTTTTCTTGCTTTGCTGCCCTTAGAGCAGCTATTTCAGCTGTTGTGGCTTCTGTTGCATCCCACCGCCCTTTCGACAGCTCACGGTACACCCTCCCTTCGAAAAGAAAAGCACCTGCGCCAAGCAGTTCGACCCCTTTTGCAGCTAGTTTTTCTTCTTTGGCTTCGTCGGAAGCTCGCCGCGCCACAACTTCATCCATAGCTTTCCTAACCTCATCCAACGAAGTTGAGGAAGGCAAGAGAGGCGGGAGTGTGGGGGCTTCATCAGGTACGGGCGCCTTCTTGCTATTCTTTTTCCATGGGAGAGGCATCTTGACGATTTGTCTGTCGTGACTTAATTTATACCAGTTAGCTGACCGTTCTCATTTGGCAGAAATCATTCTCACGGTGCCTCAAGGAAGCATTGAATCCTTGAGGTAAGGACTAAATCTTTGCCATGGTCCCCCGGGGCCTGACATATGAATCGATACTCAAAGTCGCCAGTCACTCTTATAAGCGATAAAAGAGGGAATCTGGCAAAGATAAGGTGAGATGAACTTACAACAGTTTCTTGATGGTCAATTCGATTCAAATTCCTTCCTGGTACTAACATTCAATAACGTAACCTAGACTTCACATTTTAATAACGGTTAGCAACGAACTTTTCTCGACATGTGTTAGTTATTGGTAATGAAATGGGAACGATTTGGAGTTCAGATCCCTCATCGTCCCATGCCGGTATTGAAGCTAGAATGCCAATCAGTTGATAGGGGGAGGAGGTCTCGGAGGAGAACTAGGGGGCGTTGCCGGGGAGCGAGGGGCGGGAATTTTTGCGTTTGGGTGAAATCAAGCAGACCTTCGATGAGCCCACCGTCTCTCAGAAGAGGTGCTCGGGACGTAACGATGGCCCAGGCAGAGGAAGTATCGAACAAAAAGGAAGGCAAAGATGCGGGAGGAGCGAGGAGCGAGGAGCGTTTGGAGAGGATCGGGGAGAGCAAAATAGGTTATGTTCGGGGTAGATGGGAGGTTGATTGAGAGAGGATTGGGGTCGCCGTTTGCCTGACGCCTGACGCCCAAATGAGAAAGTCGCGTTGACTATGGGCCCAAAGGACTTTGACGATGGGAGCGAAGGAGTCTAACGGGAGCTTGAAGCTTACCTCGATTCGTCACTATGTTGCTCTTCTCGGCCTGGTTATACCGTCTAAAGATCCTTGATGCGGGTCTAAGGGACCGATTCTAGCAGGATTGATGATGAGAGGGTGAAAAGAGGGTAAGGTGACGCGAAGGTGAGGTAGAGATGCCGTGAAAGAAAATCTTGGAGGGTTGTGGGAAAGATTTATGGGCAAGAATGGAGTACATTAAGGTGGCTTGGGGAGGAAGTATAACCAGCCACATCATAATCACAAGCCATCAAACTATGATTATTGGCTTCGGGGAAACTCAATAGCCGCACTGTCTTCACCGCCTTAAGTTTCCCAACAAGAAACCGTGAACGAGGTCCCCAAAGAACCCAGCGAGACGGTAGGGCACTAGAGAAGACGACAAGCCCATGATATAGTGCCCATGCACGTGCGCCTTTGGTCACCTTTGTATCACCAAGGCACTGGAGCAATCTCGCTATACGCTGCGGCAGCTATCAGCTATCCCTGGGCGGTAGTATTCAAAATTCACCAAGGAACAGCTCCACCGACCTCAAAACTAGAACAATCAAGGCAACTTTGCAGCATCGATCAAGAATACTAGTTTCATGCCGATCATCTTAGGAAGCCATCTTTACACGGTCAAAGTCGAAAACGAAAACAGTGTTTACCCTAGCTCCGGTCTCTACAGAGTTTCAGCGTTTAATCACTAGAGAGCACTATGCGCACAGCATTTTTACTGTCGCCGTGTTCATTTAGATATCTCCCGTTTGGAAGATCAGCCCCACATGATCAAAGGGGAATACAGGGGTGGAGGATTACCCTCTTTCCTCAAAGAGCTCGGAAAACTTGTCACGGAATAGCATTGCGCCCACAGAGTTTGATCTTGGGGTATTCGCAGTGAGAATAGTACGGCGTATATACCCCCCCCCCCCGGTACTATTGCTGGATAGAAATTTCAGTACTGTATGGATTCGATATTCTCGATCGAAATTCTCGAACGATTGCTGCTCTTGAGATTCTAGAACATTCAGTGATTCTTGGTACTGCATTGTGTTTACAACTTGTACATACTCGGGTAGTTTATTAAAATTAATATAGTTATTCTTTGCATTAACCCATGATCGGTTCCTAATATAATTTCCTTTCTGCTCTCATTTGACTTTAGGATTACGTAGCTAGAAGCAGTCTCGGGAGAAGCATTAAGATGGATAGACTCTTCGAATTGGAGGCCTGATATAACCTCTCGCGAGCATGCCAGTACGGCGGTTCCCTACAATCCGTTTTATAACCTTTGTATATATTTTCTTTTCTCACGTACTTCTGGCTCTCAACCCTACTTAATATTCTGTATCGTTAGACCGAATATTTATAGTATTAGGCATTATAGGGCCATTGTCCAATAACCCGTGCGATAAAAGTTGTTTCTCCTCTGTGATATCATGAGGCGACAAGGGAGGCTTGGTGAAATACTGCTCTGAGTGTTAACTGACATTCGCTGCAAAGCCTCAAGCACTTTCTGTGTATAAATGTCACACTCTCTCGGTCCGTTTACTTTATTCTTTTTCATTTCCAATCTTGTTCTCTTCTTGTCAAAGTCATTTTAAGCTTGTGTTCAGAGCTCAGCTTTGTTGTCGTTCGATAGAAAATATGTTCCGCTCAAAAACCCCGACAAACGCTGCCCAGACCAGCTCCAGACGCTCACAATCAAACTCACCGCCACCACCACCACCACCACCACCACCACAACCACAACCAAAGCGTACACCACCACCAAACCCACATAGCGATCCCCCACCAAGACCAGCTTATCAGCCAAATCGAAGACCTCCAAGTCTCAATCGATCTAGAATGACGGTGGCAAGGACCATTCCTACTTCACCAACGACACTTTCCGGTCTGGCCAATGTCGCAAATATCGAAGGATCCGACTCTGAGGATACTATCCCTCCTACATCACAACCAAGTGACGACCCTCATTCCGAATCAATCCCTCATGTCAACGGGGACATCACCCGACCGGTCCACTTCTACACCCCACCGAGATATGGCTCTCCACCCCGTTTTATAGTCGCCCACTCGAATGGCACGGGAATCAAAAACTTCGGCACCGTCCCAATCAAAGTCACAATCCGTGACATGCGAAACAAAGAGCACCGTTTCTACCTGGGCCTCCACTCCTTCAAACCCCTCCGCCACCTCCCCCCGTTACCATACCCACTCGATCTACAAGATCCAGAGATAGCCAACTTAGTTGCCACCACAACCACGGAGATAATCACTCGTCACGTCCCTTCCCCGACCAAAATCTCGATCTTTTCGACCGACCTTCTAAAGGCAAATAACCCCATCGGTCTACCATCTCCACAGATCTCCCACCCTTTACAAATTTCACAAACCCCCTCGTCGGCTTTACTCCTCGCGAGCCACCATTTACCACCAACAATCGCCTCCCAGATCTCATCTGGAAAACTTTCAATGCGTATCATAAACATCTACCGTCCCATTCTCGCCACTTCACAAAAATTGATGGACCACCCGTTTTATATCTCAGAGTCGCATTCAATCCTAGACGAAGACCTTGTCCCCATCGAGCATGTCTATTCGGATCACGTGGGTGCTGCCTATGCGGTTAAACATGATGAGGGCCAGAGGTTTTGGTACTGGAGTGATATGGAGAATACCGAAGGATTTATAGTACAAGTTTATGATAGTTTGTTCGGATGTGACGTTTATGGTGAGGAGAGGAGTATTAGAGCTGCTACGGGTTTCTTTAAATTAATGCCTAAGGGGTCAGAGGAAGGTTGGGAAGCTGAGTGGCTAGTTGTTAAAGCTTTGGTCGTTGGTTGAAACCTTGTTGTTAAGTTCTAGGTTCTGGGCGTGGGAATTGTACTTCTAATCTACGAGATAACCGTTCAGGCCGCGCTTGCTTTATTTTCCTGTTGCCAACCGCAGTACAGTACATATCATAGCGAATCATTTCCATGGCCGATTAAGAGCCCCCCATATACGTTAAAACCTTGTTTCCCGCGCAGAAAACCCCTTCGCATAAAGGCTCAGCTATACACGCATAATAACCAAGATCAGTTGTCTTGAACGAACACTTATCCCCTGCGCCTGCCATTAACACCTATGCATCCGATTTAATTATAAGTCCGAGCTTTCTAATGTGCAGTTTCCCGACTAATCTAGTACCCTATAGAAACTTTAGGGATGCTTTTATAAACACAGTCTAGCTAGAGTTTAGCTAGAGCTACTCATCAAGCCATCGTACAAAGGATCCCGCCCTCACGATCGACATCCATGCTCACTTCCGACTTCCTTGTCACCGCTAAAACTCTTCTCATTGGCCAAAATCTCTGTGCCACCTTCCTATTCCATAAATCCAACAAAGTCCTTGACGAAGTTCTGTGTTGAACAGCGCCGCCATCAAAACGGCAAAACACAAACTCCACCAAAAAAATGGAGTTTTCCGGAAAAAAAAGGGCTTCGATTGATTTTATGCCTTTCTCGTGCTCGGGAAATTTCGTTTCTAGACAAAAAATGATCATAATATCCCTCTTCCTTCAGTCGAAATAACTCCAATCATGTATACGACCAAAGAGTGTTGTCAACGTTGTTCTCCAAGGTCACACGAGCAATAGGTGTACGTACCACCCCCAATCCCAGCTGAAAAGGTCCTATTTGCAATCAACCGAGATCTTTCAAGGGTATTATGGTATGGATACGGTACATATGCATATACCTAGTACTTAAGTATGCATGTGATAGTCAGTACCGCAGCATGCATCCCAGCTTTAACTCCTGCACCTCGCCCCGCATTTTACCCCTCCCATACCCGAATCACTCAAAATGCAATTGACTAATCTCGTTACACAAAGCACAGCCAGAAAACCTTATCTCAAACCCTAAATTCAACGAATTGGTGGAAAGGAAACTAACATGTACAACCCAAAAAATCCAGGAACTAATGATGCAGAATTAACCCTTGATGGGTTGGATTCGATCGCCGCCAGTACTTTCGTTTGGCTCGGGAATTTCTATTAGCCGGGTATCGCGAGTTTATTCGGTTTCTCGGTACCAAAGGTAGCGCCGCACAGGAAGCAATTTCGATCTCCTTTTAGAAGTTACCACTATTAGCAATGTGATTGGCGAATTGTGCATGTAAAGTATACCATAAATATGTTAATAAAGGTATTACGATGAAGGAATTTCCCAAGCTTTTACAAAAATGATACCTCCACGGAATCAGACTTTGTTGTCAGGTGATTTTGTAGATACCATTGTAGATATGATCCAGAGTTATATTGTAATACCATATACGATGTCAAACTATCCACCCGTAAGAAGCCCCCTAGGATGCGTATAGCGATTTTTGAATACACGGGAAAGATACTAAGCTCTGCGCTCCCGGTATACCGCAGAATCTTGCAAAGGGGGTTCTAACCCCAAATATCCCGCTTCATTCCTCTTCCACAGTCCTATATTTCCGTCCCTAGCCCGTTATGAAGTCATCTGCAGCAAAAGAAATCGTTAGCAACGAATTCAAAATAAATAAAATCCACGAATACCACCAATCTTACCCACAAAATCAGGCACCGGGTCTCGAAAACTTATAATCTACTTCCATCTTTTATCCTCACATACACCTTCAACCTCAAGATCACTATCCGATTCTTCCACCCTCGATCGTCGAGCTTCTTCTTGCTACAACAAAGATTACATTTCTAGATCGGCACTTTGGATTGATTCGTAAGTATATATCCTTCTTTTCGATATTTTGGAGCCGTTGGTCGCGTCCTTTGATTGCTGTGCAAGCGTCTGGCCTCGAGGCTAGGTCGCGTCCGTAATTATGTTGTCGCAAGTTTCAGTTTCTGGTTAGAGGCGGCGGGTTCCGGGGTACAAAGCTAACTATATAGTTTCTTCTTTTTTTTGAGAGAGAGAGAGGAACAATCAGGACACAGAATCTTTCGTAACTTCAAGACTTTAAATTAAGTCTCTTAAGTTCGTTGTAAGTGCCATCCTTCTTGAATGACTTCTTGATATCCCTAGGTTCTGTCGCGTCTTGTTGGATCCATGTCGGTTCCGCTATTGACTAAGGCTTCGCTAACGCGGTGTTTTTTTAAAAACTGGCTGGTAGCTCGAGCCTTAAACCATTCAAATTAGTCTCGGTTATCTGGCTTCATTCTTTGTGTGTAGGTAATACCTTTAGTTAAAGGCTTCGCCTAGGTCTGTTTGTATCCCGACGCCGTGAGGTCTGGGGAGGCTGTAAACTTGTTGGTGGGAAGAGAACTAACTCTATCCCGCGGGGTTTAGAGACTAAGACTAGAACACTCCGTACTCTTCGGTGTACCTAGCATTCACTCCCACCGTATGTTTTATTTGCTAAGAATCCGTATTGTAGATCTTCAAGTCTTAATTCGCTAACTCGCCCACAGTTCCAAGGACTCAAAACTACCCAGTCAATCGTCTGATATCTCTTGATCGGAGCTAGAATAACACGAGATGTGTAACTTACTCAAAAAGCTCTCCACCAGCTGTTTCTGCAGCGCTGATGCCGATTCAAACTCTTCCGAGTCTGAAGTCGAAAATACCATCATCTTGCCACACAGGAGGCCCGTAGAACCTCCCAAGGGTATTTTGAAGAATCCTGCGGCTGGGGCCACGGAGGCCTCGGGGAACGGTGCCAGTACCGTTGGCGATAAGGCTGCCGTCAAATCCGCCCGAAAGCCCAACCCTCACTCCAAAAACCCAAGGGTCTTCCGGCCCGATCTTGACAACCCCCCAAAAGACCCCTATCATCGCTCCGGAGGCGACGACGAGTCAACGTTGATCATCGACCCAGGCTCCAACTTCCCCACCTCGTCTGCCCCAGCCCCAGAAGACTCAGAAGACTCAGAAAACGAGTCTTCGATAGGAAACATCCTCCCCGAGGATCTAGCCGGTGGTCACCCTCTTCCCCTCCCCTCTTCAAACCCCAAGGAATTCCCCGAGCAGCCCCCCGCCGCTGGAGAAGAGCTTCCCCTCCAGACCCCACCACTTGCCCCTGCCATCCGTCCAAACACCACTACCAGCCCAGACGCAACCCAAAGCCCTCCCGGCGCAGAGCTTTCAACTCTGCTCGGGGCCAACAGCCACCGCAGCCGCACACGCAGCCGCACACGCAACCCTCAAGGCCCTCCTAACCATCATGCCCCCTCCACCATCGATAACGATGACGAAGGTGGGCACCACTCCCTTCCCCGTGACACGAGAAGGGATTGTCTAATGTTTTTGACTCGTGAGCAGGCCAGTGAACTCTACCCTGGGGTAGATCTTGTCACCTCCGATGATCTGGCGGAGTACCTTCGGATGTTGGGAGTTAGCGTGGGTCCTGAGGCGGAGATGGAATGATGTGTTGTTGCTGTTGCTGCTGGATTACCTACAATCTTCTTCTCCTTCTTTTTCCTCTTTTTTTAGAAGATATAACCCCGCGGGAGGGCGGGTGTATGAACAATCAATCGATTCTCGTGGTCTTCCGAAATTTTCTCTTCCATTTTCATCGATCTATATTGCTTGCCTGTCTTCCCTGTCTTATTTCCCCGCTGATCTGCCTTACCCCTCCTTTTCTCCCTTCGCAAAGCTCAAATCGATGCCAAATCAACCGCTGCCTATTCCCTGTTTCGTTAGCTGTTGACTTTCCCGAAGAAAAGCCTACTTGTTTTCCAACGTACATACTTACATCCTTGCTTGCTCGTCTACTTAGTAGTTAGCTAGGGTGGTTGTGGCGGTGGTGGAGGGAGGTGGTGATGGAGATGGTGGTGTAGTTGAGAGTGTGTGAGGAAGACGCGAGGCGGAGGAGGTTGGAGCTATCCTACATGTATTAATATTTTTGCTTCTTAAAAAAAAGAGAATACTGGCGCCTCCACCTGTTAGTAATACTACCACTGTGGGTACACGCCCACCCCGAACAAACTACAGCACGTACCTTGAGACTATTGGTTCAATCAGCTGGGTGTTATTCGGGTCAGCTATGTCTTCGAATATTAAATATCAAATTTTACAAGGCTGCCCAAATACCTCTATGGCTTCCTACTTCCCAGAAAACCGCTAAATTGGAGACACCGCTCACAATGATAAACTTTCAAGCTTTTCGAGAAATTTTTGATTCAAATTATTGCATTAATATACTCTAACTATAACAGATCATGAACATATGCATGCAGAACAGAAAAAAACAAAAAACAGATGCGGACGAAAGACAATCTATATGCTATGCATGCCTGAATACAAAGTCAAAAAAGGGGGGCAAAGTTTGAAGAAGGAAAACTGTAAGAGAAGACTCCGATCCAATGCAATGAAACATTATTATTAAATCCCAAACCAATTTCAAGTCCAGCTCTTTTCGTCTAGGTCGTATACGTCTCGTCCATTAATATCAAATTACACCCAAAGTCTAATAGGTTTAAGCACCAAAGTTACCCTTTGGAACATCAATGGCATCAAACTGAACTTCGTACTTGCCATAGCTTGGCAATTCTTCCTTCGAAGCTGGGAGGGCGACAGTGGCGACAGCGATTTGAACGACAAGCTTATCGACAGACTTAATTTCAGAAGACTCTCCATCGGGCAAGGAGATTCGGACCTTGAGGTTCTTCTTGAGGTATGGGACAACGGTTTCCTTTTCAAGATCCTTGATCTCACCGGCGACAACCTTGTTAAGAAGGGAAGAAGTAAGAGGAACGGTACCACCGACGACAGAGTCCATATGGCCACCATCAACGGTGGTGATAATGGAATGAGTACCGACGAGATTCTTATCAGTGGCCCAGGTCTTGGAGTCACTTGGAACGTCTCCAAGGAAGACGTGGATGTTGAAACTGCTCTTCAAAGCGGCATTGTTGACCTTGATTTCAGTCTCCCAATCTTGGTATTTCTTGTTTTCAACAACCTTGTCTTGAACTGTAGTGAGGGCGTCTGCGGAAGGTGGTGTGTTCAAGGTATCAGCTGGCTTAGCATCTTGGCGTCTCATGTTCGAACGCTTGTGCTTAGCGGCGCGAACAGCAGTGCCAAGATTTCCGGATGGTGTTCCTGTGGAATAGAGTCTGTTGACAGCGGCGATAACGTTTCCTGGAGTTTGATTCAAAGTCTCAACATAAGAGTATCCAAAGCTTTCAGGGCGAGTAACACCAGCAGGCGTGTGGAAGGTGTTTTCAGAAGAACGGAAGGGCGGCATCTGAAGGTTCATATGCTCTTGGGTACCACGAGGGATAGCATAAGTTCCGGCCGAAGATCCCGACAGGGTATATCTACCAGGGTTGGCGGCCTGCCAGATAGCGAAGAGACGATCCATGTTGGCGTGATGGAGCCAAAATATTGGGTCAAACGCAGCGTTGTCGACGAAACTCATGTGTCCACCAGAACCAGTAGTTCCGTGAATGGTATCATGAAGACCTTCAAGAGAGTCTCGAGCTGGCTGACCAGGGGGGGTTACTCGGGTGCCGACAGTATTGAAGTCACCATAGCTGAGAAGTCGGTAAGCTCTGTTTCTTAGATCACCGGCAAGTCTTCTCATGGCATTGTTGAGAGCGGCGCCTTGCGACATGTATCCATCTGCAGTGTTAACACGGCTAGGCCAGCGATAGGTCTCACGCATGCTACCGAAAGGTTGGACAGCGGAAAATTCGGCAAGGTTGGTCTGGAATCTATAGGTGTAAAGTGGGTTAGGAATAGTCTGCATACCCCTTTGGGTTTCGACTTGGATGGTTGGCATTTCGCCAACTTCGCGTGGCACCGAAGCATCGGCTGCCCAATCCCAATATGGAAGTCGGATTGATGGAAGAACATCATTATATTTCTTATGCAACTGGGTGTTACCAGACTGTCTGATTTCTTCAACGACAGCAGCGGCACTGCTCCAAAGACTCTGCTCAAAGAGAGAGAGGTAAGGACGATGCCATGGGAGGAAAAGGACATCGGCATGTGTACAATATCCAGTGTTGGTGTTAGTACCGCGTGGAGCAGTTACACCAGCCCACGGCATGTATGGTCTGCCGTGAATACCAGCAATCTGGTAGTAGGATAATGGATCATCGGTTCGCATATTTTGCATTCTCCTGAGAGCCAGGAGGAAGAGATGGAACTCGCTCTGATCCCGGTTGTTGATAAGTTGTCTAATTTCTTTGCGGACGGAGACCTGTCTAGCGGAAGGACTGGTACCCTGGGCACCAGTAACAATGACAGTATTTTGCTGACGGGCGAATAGACTATGTCTATCAGCTATACCCCATTCTGTCATGCCAGTGGAGGGAGCGGCAGTTGGCAGGCCTTCAACCTGAGTGAGGCCGATGGCGCAGGACGCCACAACGGCATACTTTAGGGAAGACCAAACAGCCATTTTATGTTTAGGTCGTTTGTCGATGTAGGAACTTTTGAGAACTGCTCTGTTTACTAATGTTTTCGGTTTTAACACAAGATGCTTATTTTATCGCTGAAGGGAAGATATCGCGATCCAGTGAATAGGAACTTTTGTTGTCTAGAAACGAGAATATGAAGATGATATAGAAAGAATAAAAAAACTATTGAACTTAGAGGTCGTCAACGACTCTATGATATTAAAGGATGGATTGTGGAATTGATCGAATGATTTATTGTTTAGAGATGTGCTTGAAGCTTGTGATTGTTGTAGTGTGATGAGGATAATTTCGACTTAAGAGAGGGGGTGATGTGCATCTTTATAGACCTTGAAGCTCGAAGCACTACAGACCTTTTCGCGATTAAGGAATCCCGAAACGTTAGCCATCACGCTAAAAAAGATTCTGCACATGGCTCGTACGGTCCCTGGCAGCTTGGAGATTACCCCAGAGCATCTCAGCTTCGCTAGCAGCAGCATCATACTGCTGTCATGACGCACAGAACGATATCCGTAAGTAGAACTTGCTAAAAAAGAAAGTGTCCGGCCCCCCCCCAGTTGCGGTGACCAGGGTGTATGTTTAGCTGCTCGTAAGTCTTTGCTGCAGACGGGACCCCTTGCGGAGTTCAGCTCGATCAGGCCACGAGGCCCTGTGATAACTTTTTTTTGGTCGGTACGACCTGATAACAAGACTTACCGACACAAGCTAGAACCCGAGATTACGGGACTGCCAATTCCGCCGGCACGCTTGAACAAAGTGGATTGCGTTTCATTTCCACACTGATTGTTAGAACCCTTTGAGCACATTCTTCTGGTTCTGGTAGCTCAATAATCGATAGGGCGTCAAAGAGAGTGACCTGAGGGAGGCAGGAGGTCGAAGCAGGTACATGTCAATACATCGATGGAACGATAGGCTGAAATGTTTCCCACCCACCCCCTCATGCAAGTCGTACCCTCCAGGTATGCATATGTCTCTGGCTCTGGGAATGCAAGAGATCTGGGCGGTTCCTGACATAACTGCTGATGGCCGCTTGTCACGTCACAAGCGAGGGCCGCTGACCCACTCTCTACCTTCGCAGGGTTCGAAACCGTGGATGGAAGCCCTCTTGGTCGGCTTGGATGAAAAAGGGGGGCCCTTGGCCTGTGGGCGACGTATCAGCTAGGATAGGAAACCCCCTTCCCCTAAACTGGCAGCTGTCGGTGCCGCACAACGTTTCCGGATATGCGCCCCGAACGACCACAATGTCAACACAGTTTTCGTTTGCCCAGGGCCTTGCCCAGTGGCGCATAAACAAAAGTCTCCGATAACGACTGGGCAATGTCCATGGCATTTCTTCCGCCAAATTACTAGGCGTTCTTCTCTTCATGCAAACCTTAACCCGCTACTGCTTTCCCTTCTTATGATCCGGTTATCCACGTCCTCGTAGGCTTCATCTATCGAATTTTTTTTTTCGGGAAGGCGTTTATTCCAGTTGTGGCGTTGTGGATGAAACCCCTGGTTGTTCGAGATCATAACTGTCTTCGAACGTTACCTAATTGAGGGGACGACCAATCAGAAAGCTCGAAAGTTAAAATACGAATCTTTCCCCAGAATGAATGTAAACCTAACGTCAGGGATATCTACAGTATTTTTTTTTTTTAATTTTCCATCCTCTTGCTTTTATGCCCTTGCTCAAATATCAATAACGCCGAGTGGGTTTTCAAGGATCCTCTATCGAGATTTATAATATTTATGCATTGTCTTGGACTTCTTCGAAATCGAGCGAGGCGTTGATTTGGTAACCACCTGCATGTCAGTTTTCACCTCATGACAGAGCTCCCAGCATCCAGGAGTTCCGGCGAGGTGGTTTGCGCTTGCAATCGGGCCCAAATTCGCACCGATACCACCCAAGGTCTTGACATAAAATTTTTCTTGCTTGGGGATTCATCATGATCCCTCGGCAGCTATAGTCGCCCGGCATCGAAGGGGCCGGCAGTGCAGTAACTAGCTCTCTCATAAGATGTCTCAGCCCTTGTGATATCGAAAAACATTTCGGATCTGAACACACCCGCAGGATTGACAAGAAGGCTGTGTTACAAGTGGTTCTGAACCCTAGCTTATTTTCCCCAGTATTTTCTCCCATTGATACCCATTTCCCCCCAAATAAACTTCGGGTCTAATTGCTCCAGAGGAAAAATTCTAGAAAATCTGGTCTCGGATCTGGCCACCCTTCCAAGATATTCTAGTCCCCTCGTTTAACCGCTTGGCGTGGGCCTTCCGACACCCCTGCGCACACCCCTCAACATCGTCAGCAACACGAAAAGGGAAGTTGTATATTTCGCAGATGAAGCTACATCGGGAATGCGTGAACGCTTTAGTGTGATCTTTGATTTCAGCCACAGGTTCTATTTATTCTTCCCTGCAGCCTCGGGGGATGCGTAATTCCACTAATGGGATTGGTCCCAGCCATCTCAACAAAAGGGGAAAAAAAACTAAGGAAAGAGTGCAAATAGTTAAAGGACGCACCCTGACGTCGGAGACCGGCCTCAAAGAGACAAGATACATATATAACTATGTTTGATTCTTCGACATCCCACATGCCAACATCTCATGATTTAGGGATTAAAGTTCATGCATGCCATTGCCTATTGTTCGACAGGGCTAAGCGAAGATGAGGCCAATTGCCGTAGTAAATTCGAATATGAGAGATAGTTGTTCTGTCGATCAATTGATTGAGCTAAACCCCATCCATGGGTGAGAGACCTCATGATCTCATGTGGGACAGGCAAGACCTTGCGATAAAGGGACTGGCAGCGGAATGCCGGTAAATACAACGATATACAAGTCATATTAATTTAAATTCATGTGCATGAATATACCCCTAGCCAGAAATGAATAGATATATAAATGCACACACTTAGGCGACTTTCGGAGAATATGCATTAGCTTTGTTCATTAAATGTAGAGTTTTAGAGACGATCATGTTAGCTTGGTTAGGTCTCGCTACGAGAGCCTCCAATCCATGTCCGGTGCTACCTTCACAAGACAATGAGTACCCCTTGATTCCCTATCCGCAGCTTTGAAATCATTAATTCGGCTATAATTGCTGCATAAACAGGCTCACAACGTATACCCGATGAGCATGCGCGGCCTCAAAGCATATACAGTCTGGAGATATGAGCGCATATGTAGATCAGGTGATATCATAACTAGACGATGCCCCTAGGCACCAGTATCAAGTCTTTAGTTGCCGTGTATTAACAGGGATGTATGAGCACATCGGCGCACGGATCATGCAATTGAAGTTTAGGCTAGTCAGTATGAGCAGAAATATATGTATCGATTCTTCAGTATCGGAGCTCCACCCTAATAAATGACCCACTTTGTTCCGATCCGTGGTTAGCGGGCTGCCGTCCCGTTCCATGCGGTAGACTGAAGAGACTTTATTAATATTTTACACCGCCAAAATAGAGCCAAGGATACTCCGTACCACTGAAAGAGCTCTAGGCCGCGGCTTCATTGGCCGAACTTTCAAGCAAGGAACCTTGAATCCGTTCGGCCTGCTCTCGGAGGGGTGAGCCAGTCTAATAAATTCTATTCTAATAAGATAATGCCATTTGATCGATAGCAATATCTCTCAACAACCTTACGACCTAAGACACCGACAAGACGGATATCCTGACCGAATTTTCAGCTTACTATGATCTGTCAACATCCTCATGGATACAACCTACCAAGTAGTGTAGTAGTTCCACGTTCCGGATCGGTCTACGTAAGCAACGAGCTGAATACTCTGTTTTTGCGACTAGGTTATTTCCCCGGATCTCTTAATTTACCATGCTTTCTCGCACGTGGCTGTGTTAAGGAAGGTGGTACATTAATTGGTGCACCATTTTGTGCTATTTTTGGTCACAGCTCATATCAGGGATGAGTTACCACCGCAGCTGAGGAGCAGGGAAAACAAAAAAAATTGAAATTTTTCTGAATCTGCATAGCGAATCTAGGAATATAATCCGATACCAAAGTTGAATTCACATGTTAGGGTCTTCTATCGGGACCATCTAACTTAAAAGGTCTAGGGATAAGCGAGCTGTGGCAGCTGCCAGGCCCTCCCGCCGGGCTCTGAGTCTAGAAGAGAAGGAGACGGAAAGAAAGAAAACAAATTTGGGTGCACAGGCGCGTGTAACCGACGCGGCCCAGGTTCTCGGTTTTTTTTTTTTTTTTTTTTTTTTCCCTTCCAGAAACAACGTAATCCGCTCCTCTTGGGAAGACGGACGCTCTCCGCGATGGTATGGCCGAGGACCCTCAAGGGTGTAGGAACTTAATTTGATTGGGGAGATAATTTTGGCCTCCAAGCGGCGCTCACAGTCACTGATCTAACCTGCCAGCTTGGTCTGATGGATGGCTTACCCGGCAAGATCGGCCGGTGTTGCTGACTGGATGGACAAGTCAGATGTTAATAACGAGGTCAATGTTAAACTCTTGATGAGCTAGATCTATAGGTAAATTCTGGTCTGGAGGCAAGACGGGTGCGAGTTCAGGTAAACTCTAGCAAAATATCCTTGGGAACGTAATTCTAACAAGTCATCACATTCGTTTTCGAATGAAAGCCCAGCATTGTGTATGCAGGTGGCTCATGCTAGGGGCTTTGCCCCAGACCCGTGCTATGCAGGGCCCGTCCAAACGAAAAGTTTCAATGTATGCACGGTAGAAGTTTGGACACTGTAGCCGAACCAGGAACTTAAGCTTGCTCTGGTTTCATACCATCAGACAGTTACACAGTGGATCCGTTGAAGAGATCTCAGTCTGTGAAAACGAGCCTAAACTTCAGCCATTTGGTTTCGAGTTCGCCATATGTAACGTACGCCGTAGACCGCTCACACTCATGACAATGTGGTTCTAGGTGCCTGCCCCGAGCTCGAGGAATAGACTGGTGCAAATTCTAGAATTATGTTCTGTAGATCCATGGAAATATCTGATTCGGTCTCATGTCAATGTTCGGGTTTAATTTTCATGACTCCACTATACCACACTATACAAGCGGTCGATGATCTGAAGCTCTTAACTTCAATTCGTATGGAATATACAGATAGATATAGCACCTGGCTCCGAGACCGAGGTGACTATACATAGAAAATCTAAGACATCGAACAAAGTTCACAGTATTTCATCAACTAAATTCATTCCTTGAGCGCATGCGCGCATGACCTTTGCAGCTTCGCAACTGAACTTAGCAGAATATGTGATGTTACGAGACTGGAGACTGATGTCGAATGCGTTGTGCTATGACAAAATGTGTTGACGTCGTATTGTTTAATTCAGTAGCGATCGACAAGCACGCGTTTCTATAGTCTTCAAACTTGAAGGTCCACATCCACTGCGCCTCTAGCCCATCGAACACCCACGAAGATGCCGAAAGAACGCTCGATAAACCCCGCCGCTGCCCATCTAAAGTCTGAAAAAGCCAAGGCACTCGCAAAGTCTCGAGGCTTGCGACAGCAGCAGCGACAAGAGAAATTTGCGCGTCGTAACCCGGACCGTCTACAGCGACAGATCGATGAGTTAAAGGACAAGGAAACAAAGGGGTTGGCGTTGTCATCCCATGAGAAGAAAACTTTGGAAGAGCTAGAAAGGGATGTTAAGGCTGTGAAAAAGGCGAGAGAGGCTCTCGGGGTTCCTCAAGAGCAGGAGCGAGGGCAGCGGGGAGATAGGGGGAGAGGCGAACGAGGAAGAGGGAGTTTCCGAGGTCGGGGCAGTGGTAGGGGTGGGTTTAATGGGGGACAGAGCCGTCAGAGAGGGGCGGATGGGGATGGAGAGGATTCTGGTAAGATGAAAGTCCCTCTTTTCCTAGAGGAGTTTCACCATGTTCTTAACATCGTGGTATAGATTCATCTACTGTTTCCTCAGTTGCCGATATACCTTTGCCGACCGGGCCGCCTCCATTAAAACAGTTGCAAATCGGGAGGAAAGAAGTTGAACCGCTGCCTGCACATCTTACAGGACTACCGTCGAAGCCGGGCGCGACAGGAACGAAAACAGGAGCGCCGAAGGTCACCCAACCGGTCGTAACAACATACTCCTCCGCCCCGGTCATGAGAGACTTGAGAAAGGAGGCGACGGTGTTTATGCCTGCTGCCGTTAAGAAGCAAAAGAAAATTGCAGATGCTATTGAGAAAATCAAAAAAGACGCTGAGGATTTGAATATCGAGGACGAATAATCTCCCACTTTCTACAAGAAGCTAAGATACTATATTGCGAGATTCAATATTGATTGTCCCGTATGCTCCAAAACTTTGGATTCTGGGGTTTGATATCAGGGCTGGCTACGGCGTTTTGAGGGAGGTTGGAGTCCCACCTCGATACTGTGGAGGTCTTAGGGGGTGTACGTACTTGTATGCGCGGTTTTTTGCTCTCCCAAAATTGTCTTGGGCGTTTATAGATGGATCAAAATGTACATTATACGGCGTTCAAGATTTTTTCCTTACTATATGAAACGGTAAATGTGGTGGGAAGATATTTTTTGAAGTTATCCCGCTGGCTGGTCCCACAAGATCCTTGGAACTGCAACAGGAAACGGGCGTCGGGCAATGACGTCGCCGCATCTAAAATATGGGGCTACCAACGAACTACCAATGGCTTACAGAAGCGGTGTAACATCAACAGCCGACCGCATATCCTACCGCCCATTGGAGCGGAGGCATCCGAAGATTTCAGACCGGGCTGATATATGAGTCAGATTCAGATCGAATGAGTCTTGTAGAGCTCAGTGCGTAACCGTCGAATCAGAGACAATGTTCCTTGCCGCACTGGGGATAGTTCGACGATGTTGTATAACGTTACGCAGTAGATGTGGGGTAACAGATGCACCGAACCTTACTTTATCGACGTCACTGATACCAATCGCTGGACCTGTTCTCCCGTATGGGCAGGGTTGGTTAGTTTCCAGGCAAAACGGGCTGTCCCGTGAATTCGTGAGTGGGGAAAGGTGAAACAGGAATGCGTCCAGGAAGAAGGTCTTAAGACCTACATGCGCTATATATATTGGGGCTTGACTTCACATATCTGTTTTCCAATCTCAATCAATCAACACCTGCTCGTTGAATATCGACGGATCAACAACCCTAGCCCCAACCTCAAAGCTGGAGTTTTGTTTGCGTATAACCGCACATTTCCCGATCAGCTAATCTCTTATTCGTTGCGAAAATGCCTCGCTTTATCCTCTTCATCCGCGCTGACGAAGACAGCGAATCTGGTAAAATGCCTCCCCAAGAAGCAATCGAAGCCATGACTAGTTTCTGGAAGGAACTGGTTGCCGCTAATGTTCTCGTCTACGGTGATGGTATGTCCCTGCCCCTCGTTCATAGCTTACCTATATCCTAGCCTTATATAGGAAATCATAAAATCGGATCATAGCTAACCCCTTGTTGACAGGCATGCATGCCACTTCCAAATCTACTCGCATCATCTTTCCAGGAAATGGCGTGTCCCCTATGCTTAAATCGGGACCCTTCCCTGTCAACGAAGTAGTAGCCGGATTCTGGATCCTCGACGTTAAAGATTATGATGAAGCGCTCATGTGGGCTAAGAAGTGCCCCGTCATTAATGCCCCGCAAGGTTGTACACTAGAACTTCGGCCATTTATCACGATGGAAGATGCGAAGGACAGTTTCACGGACGAGATGCGCGAGGAACATGCTAAAGGGAGGAAGCTTCTTGATGATAAACTTGGGTTTCAAAAAACCACAAGCGATTAAATGCTTTCGTGGTCGCTATTAGAGACGCTTCAGATAATTTGTTTCTTTCTGGAGTAAAATTTGGAGCTCCATCTGCATGTTTTGTAATGGGAAGAAATACTATTAACGGTTGCATTCCCTGTGCAACTATGCTGCTCTCTGATGCCTACGAATGCGAGAGGATCAACCCCATGCTCAAAAAATGAAAAAATGAGCGGTGACGCCAAGATACAATGCGCAGATTAGTTGTAGGGCGTATGAATACACCCTTGAATGTTTGCGGGTTCTTTTGTCTGGCCAGGTCTATCTCGTGGGACCCATAAACAACCGTTCCAAACATCAGAACAACCTCGAGATAATTCCATTAGTATCTTATATCCACTCAAATCTAATGAAGGTTTTTTCGTTCTCTCGGTTTCAACGCGTTCAAAAGAGATAGAGGATTATTAAGGTCATGGCCCATGGGTACCTCGAAAAAGGGGCTGGCTACAAGCCTGCGGATTGAGAGTCTCGCGACTAAATCACAAAGAATTCGGGAGGTTGTTGTATTTTGCGGTACGCAACGTGCCCAGCCAGCCTTGTAATTGCGCAATCTCAACTGGTTAGTCTTCTCGCGATCTTAGATGGGTTTAAGGTCCTACGTGGGTCGGTAGAAATCTTGAAATGTAGATGGATTTCGATAGGACGATCATAGTTAAGGAGTATGGCGGCGGAGGCAAGATAATTTATGCTTTCGTTAAGTCCGGTATATATGGCTCACGCTCACTAGGGACGCTCAAAATAAGAGGAATGGTGGCTGATGATAAAGTATTTAATATTGGCCCCGAGACAACGATAATCATGATATGCTTGCAGCGCATCAAATTTAGACGTCAGCATGAAAAATGAGCTTGGATATATATCCTCCCGGAGCCTATTTACTCGTCTGGAACATGCGAAAACATACCCATATGTATTCGGTATCTAGTCTCGCTGCACCTAGTTTCTCCGCAGTTTGTAACCAAAACATGACCTCGGCGCAGTCTCGTAATTAGTAAGTTATGGTTATAAGACTGACTAAGTTTGAGCAACAGTTGTTTAGTGTCGAGACTGGACCGAGTTAACTGATAGAACGGAAGATGAGTGGGGAAGGAAGAGAGGCCGGAGGAATCCTGTAATATACAGATAGAGATCAACAGGAGATCTCTAACATTAACTGGGACAACCTCCACGAAAACACAACACTATTTGCAACTAGGGCATGTTGTAATTTTGGTGATCGTACCTAAGTACTTAGCTACGTACCACTGCGGGGCTTTTAAGTCGACGATCGTGACTTCGCATTCGGGCCTGGGGTAGCTATAGATCGATATGGGAGAGCGATGCAGGATATAAACTGCAGCCATCGTACATGCTGGGGTCCGCCACTGATACATTTGAGGGGGAATTTATTGAGTTCTAACGTTGGAAGCTAAGATCCGGCCTCGTAGGTCTGGACCTGGGTACGAGACAACATCACACCCTTTGTCTTTTTGTTCCTACATTGTATTGGGGGGCTAATATAGACCCTGCATAGTCAGGGCCGCCCTACGGTTCGAAAAGAATGCAAAGAGGTTTAATACCAGCCTTCGAGGCTCAGCAATTTCACCTGATGGTGCACCTCTCGAGTTTTTCACAGTATTCGAGGAGCAGGGTTACTTTTCGGGTTTTGCTCCTTGGGCTTCGCTCCGCCAACTCTCAACCAGAATATCTTCCTGCCAACATGAGTTCTTGTTAAAAAAAGAAAGGGCAATCACCAGCAGATTATAGTCTCCGCCAATTGGCGCTTGGCAAACCTGAGTGGGGCTTCTTTGTGCTCCCACACTTCCAGACAGGCTTCTGATTGGACTGGGCCATTTTTTGCGCTTTTGTTAATGTTGGCCCGATGCTCAGCCTAGCCTCGAATTCCAGTCTGCCATCCGTATACATCCAAATGCCGTCGCTACGATGCTGCAGAACGTTGAGCTCATGAGACGTATTATTGTATACTCCCCTTGAGTTCGCTCCCTCTACGTCTTACTCTACTCTTACCCTATTCCTTTGCTTGAATATCATAACTTTGCTCTTGTTATTGTTTAAACCTCAGGAAAATGAAAATAGACACCAGGGCTAAGTGAACTATTCAAATTCTTCACAATTAATGGGTTAGCTTCGGACTGCATCGACATAGCCCTTTTAGTTACACAAAGCTACAGCTAGGATGGAGTTCTACACCAAGATTTTACGCTGGCTATGGCTACGGCCCAAGAGCACTCGAATTAATTCGAATCGACGCGTCATTCCATGATCTCTTTAACCTTCAGCACCAAAATCCCATCTGATTCATACCTTTTCGCGATCTAAAGAGCTCTAATCACCCTCTAGGCTCAAAATTAATACTATAACACCCTACTATTCACGCGTTGGGGTAGTCTGTATGGCGGGGCACATTGACGGGGAGGCCCAGGTTGCTTCAGCGACTACTCAACCCACGATTTGGTTCAGTAACAACAATCGTTGCCCTCTTAAGCTATGGGAAGGGGATCAGATCGAACGCTGCAAAAGCGGGTCACTTGCAGTCATCGGGCCAGAGAATGGCACAAGTGGCATGGAGCTTGAGGAAATGGAGATACAATTACAACTACCTTACAAAATTAACGCCGCAGGAGCTCTCTCTTGGAAACGCCAACAGCAACCAGGAACTACACTCAAAAAGTGGATATACGAGAATATAAAACGGGGCAATCTGAGTTTCCTATCTATACCGGTGGGCATGGTACTCAGCCTTTGCACGGGAGTCGCCATCACCACAACTTTGGCTGAGACATGCCGCCGTTCTCTTGACGCACAGTTCCCGTTGTTCGAACGTACTTTGGGACGTGTGGTGGAGATGCAAAAAGACCCCCTCGACTATTTCCTCAGCCGTAACGCAGAAGGCATGCTCAAGATCTTTTTGACTATGACGGAGGCGGAGAAAGCAGATCTGATCTCCGTCATCTCATCTGTAATCCATAAACTCCTCCCAACAGGTGTCTCTCAAGACGGCAAATCGTTTTCCTTTCTCGACCCGACCTCTACCGGCCACATGCCAGTAGGGATATCATTTAGAATGTCAGATTCGCCATTCTTGTCGATCTTTAAAGATACGGCAGAAATAGCAGTGTTTGCCGTCGTAACACTCGAGTGCTTCGAATTCGGTACCTTTAGATGTCAAAACAACAGCCTTCTAACAAATGCTGGGGGCAACCATGGGTTACAAAATAGCACTACCATAAACCCACCCTCTGCTACCGCTAGACCGCATCTTAGCTACCGATGTAACGGTATTCTCACGCGTGTCGTGCGGGCACAACAAGGGGGGGTGCCATTTCAGTTAAACCCCCCCTTAAAACTCCAACCCGGCCAACGCTACATTGTACCATGGGTCTCTAATGGATTCTTTCAAGCCTGCGGCAACGGTTCTGAATTAAAGTGGCATCACGAATGGACCATGGCTACATTAATCCGGTTGATAAAGTCATACTTACCGTTAGACCCTCCAGTCCTACTGCGCCCATGTGTGCTCAACAACCTAGAGGCGGTCGAACTCTTTCTCTGTTAGCTAACGAGTCGATTCACAATCCGACCCTCCAGCCGTGCCACCATCACAAATGATCTTCAGCGTCTCAAAATTCCTCGCCATGCTATGACTTTCTTTCTGTTTGCCCGTCATGCAATAGCATAGCTTCCGATCGGATACCTCGCTAGATACCCTCATAGACCTTTGCATGATCGTCCAGCAATTATTCTTTGTATACCATTTTCCATCATTCCCCTAGATAAATTTCTCTTTTGTACTTACATCCTTTTTATTATCCCACTTTGACCCGTGGATTCATGTATATATTTTTTTCTTGGGCCGTGTCTCTCCCTTTCCTCTTTATCTCTTTTCGGGTTTGCTTCTAACTACACCTTTCTATTATCATTTCCAAGACCAAATACCAAATATTAAATATTTCCTTAATTCTCACGTCCGGATATCTTCGATATATTACACTGAAAAGAGCCGGGTATGCCGGGTGAAAAATATATATAAATATACTTAGCAGAAGGAGCTCATAGGTTGTCTTGATTCAGGCCAGACTTCGCAAAGAAATCTGCACGGACACTCCAAAGTTGACAATGCATTAATTATAATGTATATTTTACGCCGTCCAACTTGAGAGTTTTCGATTCTCAATCCCGTTTGGAAAGTTGATCTTTGAGCCGTGCCCATTTCTCTACGAGAGCACTAGTACATTTATAATTATAGCTACGAGTGCAAGTTCTTCCTTTGACGAAGGACTCAGTTCGGTGTGTTTATTGGTATCGTGGGGCTTTGTGAAGAGGCAAGGAATACTACCAGCTGATGCACCCGGCACTTCACAGTTAACGTTCCTCAATAGACCTGTTGTTGCGAACAATTCAACTCTTGAGCTTTTAAAACAACGAGCTCCACTCACTCGTTGTTTTAAAAGCTCAAGAGTTGAATTGTTCGCAACAACATGAAAGGGTATTACCAAGTTGTATCTGCTGCGGCTGAGGCGAATCTGCTAATGCAATTTTGGTGTAAACAGGCCCAACACATATGCACATGTACCTACTTGCCTACTACCTCGGGGCTTCAGAGTATTTTATCGTAGACTAAATCCGGGAGATAATTCTGACGAGCTGAGATATTAGTTCTTCCAGTAAACAATCTTTGAGGCGACGGGTGGAGATGATCATGATATCAAAAGGCGGGCCGATGGAAGCCCCGACGTCAGAGGGACATATGTCCACGACCCACCGACCTCCTGCAAAAGCGGATTCTGACCCTCTTGTGCCCCAACTAGGAGGCTGCAGGCTTTGCCGTTCTAGATTAAGTGTAGTAACGGCCATGCCACAGTGGCACGATCGACGGGGTTTCAGAGGTTAGATATACAGTATCCGTTTAAGGTGTGGGCCTGTACAAAGCATTCACCAAGAACTATGTAATTGGGAAATCTAGTTGTAGATGCGTAGTAGAATGGCAAAGTGGACGCAAAGTTGGCCGACTTGAAACCTTCAATGCATTAATGTCGTGACATATTGTATCTACCAATCTCTCAACTAGCTTTCTGCAGGGACAGCATCGGATATACGCGAATAACTTCTGCCGTGGCGATGCTGGTCTGCAGGGTCATAGGCAGCCGTCTTTATATTTATATATATCCACTTGATTCGCCCATAATTACTTGATTGTCGTGTAGGAAAATAGAACGAGCTAGGCGTATATATTACTGATAGTTTTAAATTTTAACTAGAGTCACAGTGAAATACCTATTCGATTCCAGCCTTGACAATGGGATGGACTGCGCTTCTGCTATTCATTTTCTTTGGTCTATACATTAATATTACAACCGAAGCACCGACGTCGGAGTCTATCACAGCTACTCCTGCCTCCCAAACCACTTCTGGCGCTCAGGCACCGAGCTGGAGCTCAACATTCAGCAATTATTCTGCTGGTTTAAGCTCTAAAGTACCCCCCCCAACGTCAATCTCGCCCGCCAAAGCTACCCCAAGAGCTGGGAGGGTACCAAGCAACTTTTTCTACGATGAGAAGGGGCTTAGGATCAAGTGTCGCCAGCCTCGCCACGTATATGACTTAAAACCTGTTTATGACCCAGAAGAATATCCTCGGCTTAAGGAATATAATTGGAAAGCGTATAAGACGGGTCGAGGGGGGGCCATCGATGCTATCCAGGTTCTGCAAAGTCAATGCAGGGCTCATTGCAGATGTACTCCCGAGGGTCGGATTGTATCGACGCTCGAGAGTGAGCGTTGTCGAGAGTCGCATATACCGGACAAGTGCTCTATTTTACTTTGTATTCCACCCAATCCATTAACTTTAATGAGCGCTGAATATCAATTTATAATTTAGCGACATGTTAGCGACATTTTTTTAGTCTCTGCGCTAACACTTTCTATCTGTTTTAGCGTGTTACTGCTATGCCAAGCTTACACAGGCCACGCCGATCCCAGGCGTCGAAGATATCCCAATCTCAGAATACCAGGAAACTCTTGACCGAATTCCATTGTCTGTTAGACTTGCAAGCGAGAATGAGGATTTTGCATGGATTTGGGGCCCAACAAGACTTGATTTTACAGTTCCGACTAGAGATTTGGTTCCGGCTCGGGATAGGCCATATTTTATGGAGGGCCCAAACGGCGAACTAGAGCATACTTGGGATACCGCTAACGGAATAAGCTCTGAATTTTGGAACATGGCGACATGGAACAGGAGGAACCCAGAAGAGACGGAGCGTGAGTGGGACCATATTAGTTCAGAGAGCCTTGAGTTTTGGAAAACGGCGCATTGGAACATAAATCGACCAAAGCGTAGAGATTTGGGTGCTATAGAGAATGAAACTGGTCTTGATGGCAATGTGGATTTCAACCCGCAGAGTGACGAATTGAATACCCCTAGTGAGGCCTTAAAGGAGGATTCAGGCTAGCCGCGTCTATTAACGGCGCTTTACTCAGGTTTTGAACTACCTGCTATTGTAAGTTTTCCCCACAAGAAGGTTTTCTTCTATACTACTTTGCATTGGCTTTCTGTCAGTAGAGAACCACGGAACACTATTTTAATATTAAAGCTTGCTCATGTCCAGATATCTATTGAATCTTCCAGAAAGTTGACTCCCAGCCCTCTATGGAACTTGACATTGGGTGAAACTATTATATAATATTAGCATCTACTACGCTGCTCTGATGCTTCGAGGAACCTAGAAGTTAAATTAATAGCGGCTCCCAGAGATCGTTTTTTTAAAAAAGTTAAAATTGAAAAAGATTGTTTCCTTACTCAGTTACCTGCCTATTTCCTTATTCGTCTTGAAAGATGTAATATTTCCTTGTTCCTTGGTATTATTCTCACTCGGTACGATCATTGTTTTGGTTCTAGCCGGTTGCGTCCGACGTTTTCAAAGGTCCAAACTCGCATGCTGGCTTCTACGTTTCTCGTCTCCTATTGTTAATAATATATTCGTCATTGCAACTTTTTCAAACCAAGCATATTACAAGAATTACGGTTTCTCAAATTACCAACTCTTATATTTTCTATAATTTACTCTCAAAATTAAATGTCTATAAGAATCTGGTCTCGCAAACCGGACAACACCACAATTTCTACCGTCGTTTTCCAAAAATAAAGTATTTCTGCTACGGAATGTATTCTATAGGGGCATAGATTAAAATTGCGGAAAGGTACGAAACATCAAGAAAACCTTGTCTCGTACCCAGCCCCACGCAAAAAAATCTTTGGGTGGAAGAAAATCGCACACCTGAATCTTTCTAGCCATTATATATTAGGATGTGCGGTTGTGTTCAGCTCAAAACCCTCCTAAGTTCAGGCACATTGGGCCTTGTGTGGTCTGTAGGTTTTTATGCTCATCCACTGGGCTAACTACTTACAGCATATCACATTCCAGTAACTAAATTGAGCCCCGCATTCAGTTTTGACCGACAGTATGATATAGTGTTGTATCACTCAAAGCAAAGTTTATCTATAATACACAAATGACAAAATTTTCAAAAAAATCAAAGGGAAGAGAAAAAAGAATATCAAGACATTTGAAATTCAACATAAAATTAAGTAAAGATTAGGTAATACAAATTTCTGAAATCAAACATGTCAAAATCAAGCACAAGTAACAGATAAAAAAGCCATAAATAACGCCCATAAATGTATAAAACGGAGTTTTGAGTTGGTAAAGGGTGTTTTGTACTCGTGATACGATCGTATCAAGTGCTTCTGTAGAGTATGTCTACTGATGGGAACCTTCCAAACTATTAATCGTGCCGTTGGTATGCATTCAAGTGCTGCCGCTCAACAGCATTATCATGTTACCGCCGACAGTAGTTTATTCAGCCGGGAAGTGTTGTATACAATTTACAACGCAGCTTGATTCTAACTACGAGGCTGTAAAGTAATTAACTTGGAAAGTGACATTATCTTGTGCACTTTCAGTGGACGTTGAACTACTGTTCGAGGAGGTCGTGGTACTTGAAGAACTTGAGGTGATTGTACTCGAGAATGAGGACATGGTAGAGGATCCGGATGTAGTTGAAGCGATTGTGCTAGATGGGAATTCTGAGGTACTCAAGATAGTACTTGAAGCGAGTGTTGTTGACGCCACGGCGGTAGTGCTGAGGAACGACGGTGATGCTATGCCGCCGGTACTAGTAGAAACGAGATGTTCGTCTAGGGAAATTGCTGTTGTGTTTGACCGGCTGGTACTACTCCTCATTGATCCTGACTTCGTAGCATCGCTAAACGAAGTAGTTGGATCGGAGATAAAACTACTTGTTGTAAGAATATGCTGATTAGGAGAAGGGGTAGTTCCATTGGTAACCATGGTAGTGCTGCTCGCAGTTGTTGTAGTTTTCCAAAAGTCTGAGTCCGCAGTATCACTAGAATAAGATGTAACTGTAGTGCTGGCTGTGGCCCCAACGGCGGCAGTGGTAGCTTCCGCATCGCTTGAGGATGAAGCTGTAGAGACTACACCTATGTCGTCACCTATACTAGTTAAGGATGTGATTTCTGAAGATTTAGCGGTAGTGCTATTTGCAACTGATGTTATTTGGGTTTGTTCCGGGCTCGGAGCCGAACCAAGCGTTTTTGGTTCTTCTGTGGGAGGAATAGCTGTAGAAGATGCTTCCGCCACGGAAGTATTGTCCCCTAAACTTGTAGTTGAAACCATACCCACATTGTCGTCCAGAGTTGAGGTTGGCTCGTCCGTAGATGCCGTCGTAGTGAAATCGCTAGTAGAACTTTCTAAAGCACCAGATGAAGAAATTAGAGAGTCGGTTGGTGCTGCAGATACCACTTCGGAACTCTTCTGACTTGTTGAAATTATACTTGGGTTGTTAGCTACCGTTGAGCTAGAACTACTTGTTTCCGTTGAACCTATAGGGATATCAGTGGGGCTGATAGGAAAACTATCCGAATTATTAGAGGTTGAAATTTCTGAAGTTGATTTTGAAGTGAAATCTGTGTCAGTGCCCGTGAGCTCAAGGCCGCTAGTTGCAGTGGCAGATATTGTCTGGCTAATGGTGGATACAATGCCGATATTATCGTCTAAAGTGGATATGGAATCATTAGATTCCGTTAAACCCGTCGGTCTATCGGCTAAGGTTGTTGGAGCGCTGCCCGGAGTCCCAGAAGATGAAGCTTCTGAGATTGTCTCCGTAATGGAACCCACATCAGTAGATTCTGAATCGGTGGTTGTTTCTGAAATTTTTGTGGTCTCTAGCACTGTTGAGGAAGGGGAAGATGTACTCGAAGCGGTTTCAGCTACTGGAGTAGTAGATGGCTCATTTTCAGATGTGCTACTTTTCATGCTGGCAGTTGATGCCAAGTGACCATCAGTTTGGAAGCTAGGATCAGCACTTGTAGATGTTCCCAAAGAAGAGAAAAGATCTGTTGTTTCGCTGCCTTCAGATGATGTGATGGTTACTTCACCTTCCGAAAACGAGGAGGTACTTGTAATATCATTTGAAATAGTATCAGGGGAAGAGGCCGCCGTTTCTTCAGCTGTCGACGCGCTTGTTGTCTCTGGAAAGCTTTGTTCGGAGAAAGATTGCGATGTGGGAATAGAACTATAACTAGTCATCGCATCGGGCGTCGGTGTCACACTCCTTTCTGTTTCGGTTAACTCATTGCTGGAGGCAGAATCAACCTCTGTTTTCAAAGTTAAGCCGGAGCTATCGGAGCTAGAGGCATGGTTAGTCTGAAAGCTACTTAGGCTTTCAGTAGAAGAGTCTGTCGGTGTATCGAGTATCCCTTCTGTAGTGGTGGTTGAGGGCCCGTCTCCTGAAAATAAAGTACTGGAAGTCGTGATCTCATCCATTGAAGATCTAGCAGTACTTGACACAAGGTTTGCTTTGGTACTAACAGTTGATATCGTATCTCCATCTTCCTTGGATGAAGTAGTATCACTTTGAGTGTTTTCACCTGTAGGTTGGGTGTATGGACTTGTTGATGACGTAAAATCCTCAGAAGTTGTCGTTTCGGTTTCAGTTACCCTAGTCGTTATTTCTGCAGAAATTGAACTCTCTAGTGGCTGAGATACGGTTGATCCTCCATGATCTGAATCAGTGCTGAGAGGTAGAGCTGTAACAGTTGTCAATATGTCCTTGCTGTCTGTTTCTGTACTAGTCGTACTATCGCTCGCGATCGAGAGATCTGAGCTTGTTGAACTAAAAGTTTGGTCTATTGTCGTGGTATCCGTAGCACTGACTGGTTTCGTATGCTCTGAAAGAGAGAAATCGGTCCCTGGGTCCGATTCAGTAGAAGTGGTTGAAGATGTAACACTCGCTGAAGTGAAACTACTCTCAGACCTCGTTGTTATTCCCGTATCTGAGGTAGCCTCCGAAGCCTCGACCGAGCTAGATTGAGAGGGCGTAGTAGTGGCCTCTAGCGAATTCTGACTCAGCGAACTTGTGAAATCTAGGTCAAAGGAGGTAGTCGCCAACGTTTGACTAGCGAGGCCGCTACTCTGTGATGATTCAACAGAGCTGGCAGTCGGAGAATCGCCGGTTTCAGTCGACGTATCCGTTGAAGTTGTACTAATTATCCCTTGGTTGTCGCCGAAAGAACTAGTAACATCTGTAGTCGGAGTCTCCTCCGCACTAGGAAACTGCGAAGTTGTTGTCTCCTCCGAAAGTGAAGACGTAGTAATCTCGACTGTTTCAGCCATGGCTTTGGAGCTAATGTCGTTCGAGCTCGCACCATCACTCTCACTAGAAATGGCAAAGGTGGGGGTTGTATTTTCTTTTTGAGATACAGTTGCCGTGCTAACCACACTCTCATTGTCATCGAGGGAACTTGCTGGTAAATTAACACCCGTTGTACCAGTGCTTTCAGATGGCACGCTCGATGAAATATCTTCTGTGGTGCTTGCATCCGTAGCTCCAGTAGGAGCAAGTGGTGATGTGGATTCTCCTTCGCCACTACGGGTGCTACTAGCTTCACCATCAGAAGCAGGACTAATATTTTCACTTGTTGATGTTATTGCAGGCAAGTTAATGTTGGGATTGCCAGTAGTATATGAACTTGTTGTATCATCAGTCGCTGTGCGTTCTGGGCCAATACTAGAAGTTGAAAGGGTAGTCTCGAAGTCCGAACCCGCAGTTGTGCTTTCAACGCTATCTGTTGTAATAAAGCTGGCAGATGTGTCGCTACCGGTTTCTGTAGACGAGCCAGAGACTGTTATAGACTCAGAACTTGCGTTCGGACCAATAATGCTGTTTGATTTGCTATATAATTCCGTAGATAAGAGATCACTGGTTGAAGTGACATCTGGCAAATCAACTATTGGACTACCGGTAGTTATAGAAATTTCTGCGATTGAACTTGACGAGGATCCTCCGGAAGTACTTTTGTCAAATTCTGTAGAGGTTGTAGCTTGAGTAGACGAGACAATTATCTCAGATTCAGTACTTGAGGTTCCAGTCGCATGTATCGTTCCCGATTCCGAGTCAGTAGAGCTTGATGGAGCATCAGTTTCGGTGAATTTAGTTGTTAATTCGGTATCCTGATCATCTGAGGTTGACTTGGAGCTTCCTGAACCAGTTGTGGACTCTGATGCTTCAATACTGGACGTAGATACCATATGCTCATCGTCGAGCGACATAGTAGGCAGTCCCTCGCTGAGGGACGTAACGGTGAATTTTTCTGATAAGTCTTCAGGAGTTGATGTTTCTATAGACCCTGAGCGATCGGATGTAACTGAAGCAATAACAGTTTTAGATTCGGATGCTGAGGTTGTTTGCACAGAAATACCCGAAATCTCTGTTGAGTCCGTACCTTCTGCAGTCCAACTTGCATCACTCCCACTTGAGGCTGTATGTGTCGTGCTTAGGATGTTTTCTCGTGCACTCGGGGTCGTAAATTCCGTGCTGGTAGCGGAGGTACTGCCCGCATCATTGCTATCAGTAGGTGCACCACTAATCATACCTCCGACTGAAGTATAATAATTATCTTCCGATGTCGTAGAGGTCTCAACAGCGCGGTCTTCGCCCGGAGTCGACGAGGAGCTGGTTTCAGTAGTCAATGCCTCGGTTGAGGTTATAGAGACTGTAGTCTCTCCTGACAAATGGTTCCTGGTTGAAGTGGATTGTAGGTCCTCGGAACTGGTAGAGGTATTGCCAGAAGATAGTGTTATAGAGTCACTCAACGAAGTTCGTGCAGGCATTGAATCATCTGTGGTTGAAGCCGGGATATCCTGCCTCTCTGTGGAAGATGGGATGCTGGCGATGTTTGTAGGCGGATTCAAGCTGGGAAATGATTCTGACCCAAGAATGGTCGATTCAAAGCTGCTCGCATCAGTAGATTGCGGCTCGGACGTGGTCTTGGATGTAGTTTCTTCTTCTTGACTAGCTGTCGTTGAAGCACGAGAATCACCGCTTGTCTCACTTCTCGTCTGAGAGATACTAGATGTGCTAACCATACCGATTGGTAGCGAAACCGTAGAGAGGGTATCGGTGTCCCGTTCTACAGTTGTTTGAGTGTCTGTATCATAAGCTGATTTGTCTGGTGTGGTCATAGTGGCTTCGACACCCGTTTGACTGGTCGTATGGTCGGCTGGTGTCGAAGTGCCCTGGTCCCGCGAACTGGTCGCTGTTACCGGCGTCTCATCTGGCCTACTAGTCGGCTCTGATAGAGTGATATCTTCAACGGAAGTAGGCTCGACTGCTGAGGTGTCACTTGTTGTTTCTAGTGAGGGCTGGCCACCGATAGTTGACCCTGATGAACTCAGAAGTTCTGTTTCAGACGCTACAGTAGATTGATCTAAGGTACTGGTAATCTCATCTGAAGTTATGCTTGATCCCTGATCTTTGGAATTCGCCGAAGAAGTAATATCCGGTATTCCAATTATGGGACTTCCAGTATCAATAGACCGCTGGGAACTGGATTCCGAAGTAGTAGAAGTAGCTGTCTGAGTCTCTTCATCAAAGCTTGTAGCTGTCTGCTGCTCTTCTGTCTTGCTAAACTCACTATTTGGAGTCTCGGCTGTGGTAATCACTGTTCCACCATCTAGAGTACTTGTGAAACCTTCGGGTGCGGACGTGGAGCTATCTTGTGAAGTCGATGTTTTTGTAGCGTCGCTTCTACTCTCGGTCCACGCAGTTTCTATCGATGTTGTAGTTGCCTGGCCAGATTCGGGAGTTCTAGAATCGCTGAGGCTAGAAATATCTTCCGATGTGGGGATTCCAACAATAGAACTTCCAATTTCGTATGTCGACGTCGATTCCGCTAAAGTTTTAGTATCATATTGACTATTCGTAAATATTGGCTGCACATTCTCAGACAAATATGATTCGGCGGTGGAGGATGTCTCGGAGAAACTTAATGAACTCTGTAAACTAAGATAAGTTCTTTCGACGGATGTAGTAACCCCATCCGGCATGGTAGTCACAACCTGTTCTGATGCAACTGGAGTGGATGATCCGTCGCTATCAGTGGTGTAACTCATCGATGTTCGGTTTGCATGCTCAATAGTATTTGTAGATCCATCACCCTCGCTTGTTACTGATACCTGATCGTGGCGAGTTTGTATTGGTGTAGCAAGGCCGTCTTCACCAGTTGTAAAATCCTCGGGACCAGAAGTCGTAGTATCTGGGCCAATAGTCGTAGAAGCTCCATCCATGCTTGTTTTATGCGAAGCTCCCCCGGTCACTTCAGTACTGGTATTAAGTTCTAGTTGGCTGGATGTACTTGGGCTGGAACTAGTAGTCGTTTCGGATGCTTCACTTGAAATACCAATCAGAGTGCTATCATCCGTACTAGCGGCGCTACCGCTGTTAATAGCGGATGAAAATCCTTCGTTGGGGGTGGTTATAGTAAAGTTATCTTTGCTGGTAGTGGAACCACTAGCTGAGGATTCAACTACTGTTTCCACCGGTGTAGCCAACCCGCCGTCACCAGTCATCGAGGAATATCCAGATACTGAAACTCCCTCTGAGAGGGTAGCTGAGCCATTTTCTTCAGTAATGGGATATTGTATACCTGAGGAAGTCATGGTTCCAACCACCGGAGTGGTGGATCCGTCGCCACTGGTTGTAAAACTTATTGACGCGACATTGGTTCGAACGACTGGAGTCGCTAGGCCGTCATCACCCGTCGTATAACTAAAATCTGTGGAAGTATCGAGCGAAAATGTCTCACTTGTGCCTGGTTCAGTACTCTCCATGGTTTGGACGAATGTTTCAATAGGGGTACTAATGCCATCATCTACTATAGTCCAAGTTGTAGAGCTAACGGGCAAAATAGTCGGCCCAGGCTCTGACAAGTCCGCAGAAGAAGAAAGCGGACTAGACGTCGGTGTTTTGGTAGGAGTTGTAAGTCCATCATCCCCAGTCATAAAGGTTACTTCTGAAGTAGATGCATCTTTAGTGGGAGTTTTAAGCGGACTTGTTGTTGTGCTATCCTCGGCTGGTGTCGGGGTGGCTTGTGTGGCAGATGTCCCGTCATCAACTGGTATTGTAAACCCACCATCTCCCGTTTCGGAAGCTGCTCCTGAAGTGACTGGAAGAGCTTTTGAGGAAGTACTAAGGTCGAAGTCAACTTCATTAGTAGTGGTTATGTCGGGAATCGAAGATGTGTTCGGTATTATGATGCCATCTTCGCCTGTTGTCGCAGTTGGTGATAATATGTTCGTCTGGGGAACTGGTGTCGTGAAACCATCATCACCTGTTGTTACAGATGGATCTGAAGTGACTAAAGAGCTTTCTGTGAAGCTATCCGAAGAAGAGCTCATATCATTATCGCCAGTAGTAGAAATAATATTGGAGGCACCCACCGTCACTGACGGCGAGAAGATATTGGTTTGGGGCGTGGGCGTTGTAAATCCATCCTCTCCTGTTGCAATCATCGTGGAAGCGTCAAACCCAGTCGTCCTGCCATCTTCCCCAGTCGTAAAGCTAGCATCAGTGGTCAAGCTTAGGGATTCGGCTACCGTAGTGAGATCGGTCTCGTCCGCTGTAGCAGTTGGTGAAACGACGCTAGTTTGGAGGATTGGAGTTGTAAAACTATCATCCCCAGTTGTAAAGCTAATCTCAGCCGGCGAAGACAGGATAGTAGTAACCTCCCCGCTATTACCAGTAGTAAATTTAGACTCTACTGTCGCTGAAATTTCGCCGTCTCCGGGAGTAGTAAGGCCATCTTCCCTCATTGTAGCACTTGTACCAGACTCTTTTTGGGTAGAAGAGGCGATGGTCTCGATAGATGTAACCAAGCTATCATCTCCAGTGGAGGTGGCTATAATTGAAGTGGTGAGCCCATTATCGCCTGTGGTCAAGTCGGTGTTAGAGGAAATTTCCACGGGCGTCGGAACTCCATCATCCCCGGTAGTGGGATAGCTAGTTGCGGATGTACCTTCATTGTCATGGCTTATAGTAGAAGCTATAGTCTCACCATCTACTCCAGTGATGAAGGTGCCTGCAGTATTTTCAGAATTTGTAGGCGATGGGATGTCGATACCGGGTCTCCCACCCACTGTTTCCCCATCCGTCGTTTGGGGTGATTGAGAAGTTTCAAGAGGTGTAGGTAATCCATTATCATTCGCTGTTACAGAAGTCTGTAGCTGCTCTGTTTTTTGGCTAGTGGGCGTGGTGACACCATCGTCTCCGGTCGTGTATTGGCCCATTGATTCGGGAGGAGACATTGTAACTACCGAGATGGTGCCGCCATCTCCTGTAATAGTCGCCAAGCTATTGGTGTTGGAGTTAGTTCCAACAGGCCTAGTTTCCTCTATCGAGGTAGTAAAACCATCTAGGCCTGTTGTAGAAGTAAAAATTGGGAACTTTGTGTATTCCACAGGAGTGCTAATGCCATCATCACCAGCCGTATAGCTTGTGTACATCTCAGTGCTTAGGATTGTCTCTGAGGTAGCAACGACAATTGGTACGCTACTGCTGTCGGCTTCTGTGCTATAACTGGCGTAGCTGTCTGTAGCCGAACTGGTGTCTTCCGGGAGGTTGGTTACCCCAGTAGATATCGTATTCCCGTCACTTCCCGTCGCTTGGACGGTAGATATGAGCGAGGACGATGTTACCTCCGGAACTTCAGTAAGCTCAATAGGAGTCGTAGATTCGGGTTCATCAGTTGTATCGTCAATGTCTATACCTTTAGATGGTATTTCCTCTGGCCTATCAGTCACATTTGTAGGAGTGGTGTTACCATCCCCAGTCGTGAATGTAGCAGGTGCAGATCCAGACGTGATATCTGGCACCTTAGTGACATCTACGGGCGTAGTAAATCCATCATCACCTGTTATGAAGCTTGTATACCCATCAGATGATGTTTCCTCTGGTCGCGAAATAGTTTCGATAGGCGTCGTAAAACCGTCTTCGCTAGTTGTGAAGCTTGCATCTATCTCGGAATATATTTCATCTGGGGTATGGATGACTTCTATGGGAGTAGTACTGCCATCATCTCCAATTTTAAATGTAGTAGATACTAATTCAGAAGAGGTAGCGCTTGGTGGTGTAGTGATATCGACAGGCGATGTAAAACCACCTTCATCTGTTGTAATCTTCTCGGTTAAAGTTCCCTCTGGATGTGTAGTCATTTCAACGGGTGTAGTATAGCCATCATCCCCAATCGTAAACGTAGTAAATGTGGATTCAGAAGAAGATATCTCCGGTAGCTTGGTGACATCAAGTGGTGTGGTGAAGCCATCATCTCCTGTTATAAAGCTCGTGTACATACCGGGTGTTGTTGCCTCCGGTGCTGAAGTAGCTTCAATGGATGTAGCCTCAACAGGTGCTGTAGATCCACTTTCACCACTTTTATGTCCTTGGGATGAACCAGATGTAGGTGAATCCACAAGAGTGGTCTTCCCATCTTCTTCTGTCGTGATAGCACCAGATGAAATCTCAGAGGATGTAATCTCTAGGATCTTGGTAACATCAGCCGGCGTCGTGAGTCCGTCGGTACCTGTTACATCATTTGGCAATGAGTTCGAAAGGCTTTGGTCCACGGGAGTAGTCGCCCCATCCTCATCTGTCGTATAGATAGTGGATTCTGTGCTAGCGGATGCGGTACTAGGAACCTTGGTAACCCAAATAGGTGTTGTGAATCCGTCTTCACCGGTTGTATACATAGTCGAGACTCCTTCAGATGTAGCTTCCGGAATCTTAGATATTTCAACCGGCGTAGTGTTTCCATTCTCGTCGGTAGCATAACTCGTAAAAACTGTTTGAGAAGTTTCCACCGATTGACTATTCTCTGTGGATATAGCCTCATTACTTGAATGGGTTTGGATAGGGGTCGTGATGCCGTCATCACCGGTCGTGAACTCTAACGTCTCAGGAGTTGCACTAGGTTCGACTGGAATAGTATTGCCATCTGACCTAGAGGTAAGAATCGAATCTGCGGGTGTTGTTGGTCCTGTCGGAATGAGTATCGTTCCACCGCTCTGGTCAGTCGTAAAGCTCGAAGGCATATCCGAACGACTAATTATGACTGTGCTCTCAAACCCATTTTCATTCGCTGTAGTAATAATATGGGGCTCGACTGATGAGCTTGGCTCCACGATGTTAGTTTCCCAATCGATAGTCGAGATTTCAGGAGCTGTTGGTGTAATCTCAATTGATGTCTCAGCTCCATCTGCGTCTGTAGTAGTCACGAAACTCGATGGCACTCTTGAAGAGGTCACTTGAACTGCGGTTTCGGAACCATCATCGCCCGTTGTAATGATAAATATAGGCTCGGCTGATGAACTTGACTCGAAAACCTTAGTTTCTCCATCAATACTTGAGCTATCAAAAGCAGTAGGTGTAATCTCGATTATCGTCTCAGACCCCTCCGCATCTGTAACAGTGATGAGGCTTGGCTGTATGGTTGAAGGTGTTTCCACTGTCGTGAGCTGTCCATAATCACCTGTGGTATAGGCCATGGAGTCCGACGCTAGAGTTTCAATTGCTGTCTCAGAGCCATTATCGCTTGTAGTCGTAAAGGACTCGGGAATCTGGGAAGAAGATATAGAAATTGTAGTCTCTGAACCATCCGCCCCAGTAGTCGTGATAACAGAGGGTTGCAGTGTAGTAACTATATTAATAGATCTTGTTTGTTCATCTGACTCGGTCGCAAAATCGAGAGACTGCTGGCTTGTGATTCCAATTGTTGTTTCCAATCCGTTGTCATTTGTCGTAACGATGAAAGTGGATTCTAACGACGATGTGATTGGCACAGGTGTAGATTGCCTATCCTCAGCGGTGGTGTATAGAATGCTCGATTCAAAAGTTCGAGAAACCTCAATTGGTGTTGTAATGCCATCCTCACCTGTACTGTAACTAACAATCGCAGTTCTACCACTTGTAATTGGTTCAATGGTGATGGAACCATCACTACCAGTTGAATATGTCAAATCTGGCTCTATCAAGGTTGTTATCTCGACGGGAGTCTGATTGCTATCGTCGCCAGTGGAATAACTAGTAATGACAGTAAACTCATGAGTGGTCGTCATCTCAGTTCGGGTTTCAAATCCTTCGGTTGCCGTTGTGTAGATCGCGGTAGCATCAGATTCGGAAGTTTTTGCAGTAGTCGCTTCAATTAAACTTTGACTTCCGTCGTCTCCCGTTGCATATGTCGTAAATTCTGTTTCTGATGCCGTGGGATCGGGTAAGTTGACGACGGGAGAGCCGGCGTCGTTGGTCGTGGTCAGGACTATACCTGGGGACGAAGTTGCCTCTAAGGAATTTTCGGGTGCATTACTTGGCTCCGTCGAATCATCTATGGATACAACTTTCGAAGTGGAAGCTTCCACGATACCAGTGATGGGGGAGCGGTTCTCAATTGTCGTTGTCGTCGGGGATTCATCAGAAGAGAGTCCCTCTGACGGACGCGGAGTTGGTAATCCATCCTCCCCTGTTGTGAAGCTTATATCCTGTGTTGTAGTTATTTCCACGGTCATTTCAGATCCATCGTCTCCGGTAGAAACACTTGTATATACAAGCTCAGTAGAACTGGAGAAGTTCGGAAGCCCTATAATAGGACTACTGGTGCTGAAGGAAGTGGACTCAGCCACACTAGATCCTTCATCTAGTGTCGGCATATATGATATTTCAACCGGTGTGGTTGTGCCATCCTCCCCAGTCGGGAACTCCTGGCTTAGGCTATCAAGAGAAGTTGTATATTCGTCCTCTCCAGTTGTAACAGCTTGACTTGGGCTTTCAAGAAGAGTTGTAAGGCTGTCGTCGCCGGTATTTACTACCGGCGACGATGTATCATCTCTTGTTACTGTCAGTTCAATCATGGTAGTTTGACCATCTTCACCAATCGAAAGCGAAGTTGTGGTAAACTCCTCATGAGTGGTGGCTGGAACTTCGGTTTCCGTTACCTCCACAGGGGTAGTGCGCCCATTTTCACCAGTTGTAAACGTTGTTAAGAAACTCTGGGATGGTTCAGTAGAAGACATATCCGGAATACCAATGATAGGTGATCCAGGTGAATTGACGCTTGATGTCGTAACAGTTGATGGTTGCGCGTCTTGGTCAGTAGTGAGATCTATGATAGATCCAGAGGTAACCGATATTGTTGGAATTCCCCGAGTGGATTCAGGGCTATCTGTAGTAGTCTTCTCATCTTCTCCATCCGTAGAAGCCTGTTCAGAATTTGACGAAGAAGGAGAGCGTTCTGAGGAAGTCAGCACGATGGTGAAGGTAGTTGCCCCCTCTACTCCATTGGATCCGGTTGTAGTCAATGTAGTCGTGATTGCTTCCTCAACTGACGTTTCCGAGATACTTGCAGGTGAAGAACTTGTCACTACTTCAGTCTCAGTAGACTGAGTATTCGTCGATACCACATTTGTTGGCAATTCCCCAATTGAGGTGACACTCGCAGCTGCTGTTGCCTTTGTGGTTTTCGACTTGGTAGACTTGATCTTTGTTGAGCTAGTTTCTTCTACAGTACCAAAAGTATCCGTTGACAAAGAAACTTCGGAAGTTTCTAGTAGCTTTGTCTTTGTTGACTTGGTTTTTGTAGATTTCACTTTGGTAGACGTAGTCTCATCGGCCGTGGGGCCACCGGTGGGAATACCAACTATCGGAGATGCCGCGGATGATTTTGTTGATTTTGTCTTTGTAGTTTTAACCTTTGCTGACGTAGTTTCTCCACTCGCTGTGGTCTTTGCTGACTTCGTTTTACTTGTCTTTGTTTTTGAGGTTGTCCCAGATTCCAAATCATTAGTTGCAGTTGTCTTCGGAGTTTTGGTCTTAGTGGCCTTAGTCTTTGAAGTTGACTCAGGTTCTAAAGTCACCTCCGAGGTCGCTTTTGTCTTTGTTTTAGTCTTCGTCTTTGTTTTAGTCTTAGAGTCTGACCCAGAGTTCTCATTTTCAATTGATGTTGTCTTTGGAATCTTAGTTTTGGACCTTGTAGACTTAGTTTTCGTATTAATCTTGGTATTTTGGTTTGGGGCATTGTCAGTCGAGGTTACACGAGTCTTTGTTCTAGTTCTCGTCTTCGTAGCCGCCGCACTCGCTGATGAGATAAAAGAAGAATCGGAAAGTGAAATGTCCGTAGTCTGACTAGAAGTTACATCGCTGTTGTTCGAAGAAACAGTATTAATAGACGACGTCGAGGCTATTGTGGTAATTCCCTCGACGCCATTAGAACCCGTAGTTGTGAATATATTTGTCACGACTATAGGAAAGCTCAGAGCAGTATTGCTACTAGCCTCTTGGTTTTGGGTTACCACTAAAGTCGTTGAAGAACCATCGGTCCCTGTTGTCGTAATCGTTTGTGGCTGCTGGGGAGGACTAGTTTCTTCGGTAGGTGTAATAACTATAGTAGTTGAATAACCGTCTGCATTCGTAGTGGTAAAAGTCTGAGGCCCCGCGACTGTTGGCCTTGCTGTCGGTGTGATCACTATAATCGTAGATGAACCATCCGCATTCGTAGTAGTGATCGTTTGTGGTTGGTCTGGAGCCACGACAAGGGTGGCTGAAGATCCATTTGCGTCTGTAATCGGGATCGTTCCGGGTCCTGATGGGCCTTGGGTAGGTGCTACTACAAACGTCGTTGAAGACCCATCAGCTCCTATCGTAGTGATTGTTACTGGCCTCCAGGTAGTCTGATCTGTTGGTTGGCCTGTTGGCTGAGTCACCCCTCCGCCTTCAGATCTGGATACTGGTGAGCCCGATGTGGGAGAAGACTCCCCGGCGACATTAGAAACCGCTGGGCCAGCGGAAGCGACTCCGCTCTCGGGATTTTGTGGGGTATCAATCGGCCCCGTTGCCCCATCCGACGGTTGAGCGGATGTCGGGGTAGCAACTGGAGTCCCGCTTTGGTCCCCTTGGAAGGCGCTGGAGCTATCCGGAGATTGTGGTTGTTGTGTTTGTGGCTGTTTTCCAGCGTCTGGTGATTGAGTAGCACCATCAGCCGTCTGGCCGGCCGAAGTCAGACTAGGAATCCCAACATTCCCATCTGAAGGGTTCTGGACAGGGAATGTCTCTGCTGAAGACGGGGGCTGGTTCTGAGACTGGGCAGGTGATTGTTGTGGAGTACTTTGATCTGGTGCCCTTTCGGATGCTGAGACTCTAGTTTCCGAAGTACCTAGAGAGTTTTCTTGTCCACTTGCTGGGGTTTGGCTGGGACTGGCCTGAGCATCCTGGGACATCTGACTGGGTCTAGAGGAAGTTACATCATGATTTGGAGTCTGAGTAGCAGTAAAGATATTACTGAAGTCCGAGTCATCCATAGTCACAATGACGGTTTGCTGAGAACCAGTACTAAACGTGGCTACTACTCGACTATCTCTAGAGGTAGAACTAGTTCCCAGAAAAGGGAGGCTCGCAGAATTAGTAGCCCGGCTAGATACCACTGTAGTGCGGCCGTTACTTTGGCTTCGACTTGTATTCTGATTCCCCTGGTTGTTCTGGCCTTGACTATTTTGCTGAGCTCGAGAGGTTGTTGAAGTGGACGCCATTCTTGCGGAAGTAGCTGCAGCTTGTGAGGTTGTAGCTGCACGAGCAGCGCTAGCTGTAGAGGAAGTAGCCCCTCTAACAGAGGTTCTAGATGCCCCCCTTCCAGAGCTAGTCGTTCCCCTGCTAGCCGATGTCGATGCCGTAGCACTATCAATAGCCAACAAGCTAATAGTAACACAGTTGCTATATCTCGATGGATTGGATAGTCCATAAACAATATCTTCCCGTAGCGAATTGGTAGCTGATGAAGTACAGTACGCAAACTGTAAACTAATCCCAGATCCACTAAAAACGAGGGTCCCTGTAGAACCAATATTGAAGCCGTATCTAAGAGCGCCGGACGGCGGATTCAAGCTGAACTGCATACTCCATGCTTGGTCTGCCGAATCTTGTCGTTTTCTTCGTCGTTTGCTGGATGAGCTTGAAAGATCAGAAGTAGAGATGAGATACACTATCCCACCTGTAGCCCTTTCAATAAGCTCGCCTTTGGAATTTAGGTAAACGCTTAAAGGCTTCACATATTTTGGCCTGTCCTGAAAAAGTTGCAACTCATTCGACGCCGAATTATTTGACTTGGCAATCGGATACGTGTTCTCTCTATTATTCTCTTCGCTGGCATCGGCATACAAATCGAAGTAGCTAGGCTCTGTTGAAGTACTAGATGCCAGACTACTGGTTTTTGTTTTTGTTTTTGATATATTCTTTTTTGTTGTGGAAGTTGTAGATGTTGAAGAAGGGGTAGCAGGAGGAGAAAAATTCCAAGGAAACAAAGCAGGCGGGAACTTGAGCGTAATAGTTCCAGTTTGCGGATCAACATTCAAAGCAGTAGAACTAAAAGAAAAGTCAGTAGCATCAGCAGCACTTGCAGTTACAATACTAGAAGAACTCGAACTCGCGGTACTCGTAAGAACAACAGGCAACGTGGCGGTCTGTCTGGAAAAAGCAGTCGAATTGCGATAATCGGTTTTTGTAAAAGTCAATACTGTCGGTGCGGTCGAAACGTATGCGAGCGTGGATTCATCACTTGACCCGGAGTTAATTATTACCGGTCCGGTCCTGCTGATACGTGAAGTACTTTCATAAACTGTGGAAGATGGGGAAATGCTGACAATGCTATCGGTGATGGAGAGGGAATAGGTAAATGATGTACCAACCTGAGATTCCGTCCCTGTTACGGTTGCAGGCTGCCCATTGACAGCACTAAGTGACATATATAGTGTTACAGTCTTCGTATATGCAAAGACCCATTCATGGAACCCTGCAAAGTAGTATGGAACATAGGTATGTGTTCCATTATCCCGAACGTCACCGATGCTAGTGATCCGCTGGTCGGAGTAGGACACCGTAGCTACCGGACAATTTTCACAGGCAGAGTATGTGATTGGAGGGTCGATATCATTGTTCACTCGCGAAGGCTCAGAAACAGGGCAAGTTGATAATTGTTGCTCTGCCATATATTCGCCGGCCAGTGTCATGGTTTCGGTGATGGTGCTGAGTGATATTATCGTCTTGTATACGACATTCTTCTTTCTCCACGCTTGCGGCGGAGCTATAGCTGCCGTAGCCATTTGGATGAAAAATAAGCCGAACACAACCAGCATCTTGAGGCCGTGCGACAAAGTCATGGCTGTCAACTTGTTGCTGATCTTGTTGAGAGGTTATGGAGTAATATTTACAAAGAAGAGAAGTAGGATCACAAAACAAAAGAAACGAATGTCGGTCGTATGCTTAGTGGATACTGTGCAGTAGTATGGGCATGATCATGAGAATAAAGATTAGTTCGATATGATGGGGTAATAGGTGATGAAGATGTAAAGAGGGCGAAAACAATGGGCGGAAACAGAGTTTCCGATCTGGATGGCCTCCTGAATATAATGGAATGCGAGATCGCCCCCAGTGTACTCGCCAAAAAGGTGAAATATCAATGATGCTTACTTCAGTTCTATCAGAACTTGAAAATTTTTCATATCTGTCCAATATCGAAGTTTATGATGCCAAAGTTCGCCGGAACCGGACTAAAGTCGCGAAGCTTCGCTCGATAGATGATACTTCGAACGTTGCTTTTGCCCGCCGGTTCACATTCATAACATTCATAACAGCCACATTGTATTTGCAGAGACTCCTCGGTAAAACTTTAACTCGCCCATGGGAACAGTTCTAAGAGTCTACAAGAGTCTAGGTTCTCTAGCAAGAGTCGAGACCTAAAGTTTATTGCAATCAAAGTTCAATGTCCTAACGGAACGCGAGGATTAGAAGGATCATGAAACCCTTCGTACCTGATTCACCCACAGCAACTTTATATTCACATAGTAAGCCTGATTGGAACACTGTCTCCGTGTAGACATTATTTCATGGGTAGTTCCGACTTTGGAGCCGTCCAAACGGTCCCTTAGATAGGCTGCCAAGCTGTTGTATTCCAGACAGCTGTGTGTTGTCAAATTTGTCCCGCCATCACGTGAGCACGTGGCTTCCATAAATTACGGCATCAACCGTTCTTCGCCAATAACCAACGACGTGCGACGGCAGCGTGGCGAGCCACCTTATCAAAGACATGTCAACAGCAACGGAAACTCCTATAACCAAGAAGCGCAAGCGGCAGATTGTGAAAAATGCACCTATTAATAAAGTAAGACTTCTATTCTACTTGTCCGGCTTATAATATGCTAAATACCTGTCGGTATCTCGCGCTCGGCATAACTGCAGGACAAAGGATCCTCCAATCCGGCCAGCCCGGACCCACTCTCATGGCCACCGCATTTCCAAAAGCTATCTGCAACCCATAAAGCTCTAAATCTCGTCTACACTTTCTGCTGTACTCGAAAACACCTCGCTACAACCTTTGAAAATCTGAAATCCGCAGTAGAAGACCATATAAAGCGCCCTTTGTCCATCGACGATATTGCCCAAATAAAATTCTTGGTCCCAGACGCGGTAAACTTTGAGTATGTGGACGAAGAAGCACTACAGCTACAGGTATTTGAGGGGAACAAAGAGGTTAATAATAAAGAGCGAGATATATATTTACCGCCCGAGGAAAAGGGCAAAAAGGTCTTGCTGTTCGAATATACAGATGGCGACTTCAGACAGAACCCAAAAGCTAAATCAAACCAACAAGGGCGGCGGAAGGGGGGCGATCGAGCCAAACTAACAGAGCCCCCACAAACAGAGGTGCTAAGAGTTATAGCAAAACGAACTTCCAGATTCGAACTTGCGGTTGATAAGTTTATAAAAGACTGTTCTGAGAAATCTTTAGACCCTGTGGAACAAATAAAACTCCGGCAACGAGTTCATGTCCCCTCGAATAGCCACGAAGAGAATAGGAGCCCGCCCCAGTCCTCGAGTAATCCACCAACGGATACTCCTAAAGACCGCCCATCCGTTCCCGAAATAATCGAAGAAATAACCACGAGGTCTGAATTTTATAAAACTCAAATAGTACCGAATGGTCATTTAATTTTTCCCGCCCAGGATCCCCGTTTTGGGAACCTCGACTTCCCACTCTCTCAAATTCTCGTCGATGCACTCTATAACATCAAAAACATCACTCGTCTTTATTCCCACCAAGCTACTGCTCTAAATGACATCTTCCACGGTGAAAACGTCGTGGTATCTACATCGACATCATCTGGTAAATCCATAATATACCAGATACCTTTTCTTCATCGACTTCAGGACGACCCAGATTGCCGAGCACTACTCATATTTCCCACAAAGGCACTCGCCCAAGATCAAAAGGCATCGTTAGCAAAAATGTTAGAATTCATGAAAGATGAAGTGGGCGATGTTTTAGTGGACACCTATGACGGGGATACACCGAAAGATCAGAGGAGGAGAATCAGAGAAGAGGCACGGGTAGTGTTTACCAATCCCGGTACGCAATCGATGTCATATTTCTTCGTATGCGCTTTTATGCAAGATTAATTCCTAATTTTTTTGTAGATATGCTTCACCTTAACATTTTGCCAAACGAGGAGCAATGGAGGAGTTTCTTACGGAATCTAAAGTTTGTGGTTATCGATGGTAGGCTAATCGTCTCCGGGTACCATGGTTCTATCTAACAAGGTTTATAGAACTCCACGTTTACAATGGACTGTTCGGAAGCCATGTTTCACTCGTACTGAGGCGGTTAAGGAGGATATGCTCAGCAGTTGGGAACAATAGCGTTATTTTTATAGCTTGTTCTGCTACTGTTGAGAACCCGGAAAAGGTAAACCATACGATAAACCTAGAAAGTTCTCGCCTGACCTTCATTCATAGCATATGAAAGACCTTCTCGGTATTTCCTCCGTAAAACTCACGTCAATCGACGGCTCGCCCACCGGCGAAAAGACTTTTCTTTGTTGGAACTGTCCCTACAAAGACCCTACGGATCTCCAAGCGGGCCGCGTGGACCCCGTTCAAGAAGCAGCAAAGCTATTCGTCGAGCTGATAGTCCGGGGGGTCCGGACGATAGCATTTTGCCGAGTTCGAAGAGTTTGCGAATTAACAGTTTCGGCAATCAAGCAAGTTCTTATCGATCGGGGATTACCACAGCTTTCGGGTCGTGTGATGAGTTATCGGGGTGGATATTCAGCGCAAGATCGAAGGAATATCGAAAACGAGATGTTCAACGGCCATTTATTGGGGGTTGTGGCTACTACGGCTTTGGAATTAGGTATTGATGTTGGGACACTTGGTACGTATATCTTCTCTCTCCTGACTCGAAAGCCATGTTAAAGGAAAGAATAAATAGACGCGGTTCTAATGGTCGGTTTTCCATATTCGATATCCAATCTCCGCCAGCAAAGTGGTCGTGCCGGCAGGCGAAAACAAGATTCCCTCTCCGTTCTTATTGGGGATAGATTCGCACTTGATCAGCACTATATGTCCAACCCTGACCTCATCAAAACGGCACCAAATCCCAGTCTCCATATAGATCTCGAAAATATTCTAATCCTCGAAGGTCATGTCCAATGTGCAGCATTCGAGATGCCTATAAATCCAGAACAAGATGCAAAGTATTTCGGCACCAGCCTCAAGGCGCTAGCTGATGAACGGCTGGTTAAAGATAACCGAGGCTTTTACCACTGTCATGACAGATTCAGGCCTTATCCCTCCCAGCATGTTTCAATCCGAGACACCGAGGATGACCACTTTGCTGTTGTGGATGTAACCCAGAATCGAAACGTGGTATTGGAAACCGTGGAGCCTTCAAGAGCACCATTTACAATCTACGAAGGTGCTATATTTTTACATCAAGGACTTAAATACCTTGTTCGCGAATTCAATGTTGATAGAAAAATCGCAAAAGTGGAGTTAGTGAAGGTAGATTGGATCACCCAACAACGAGACTTTACAGACGTCGACCCCGTTGAAACCGAAGCAACCCGAAAAATTCCAGGATCGACTTGCAAAGCATACTTTGGTGATGTAAAAATCACAAGTGTGGTATTTGGATATTTCAAAGTCGATAGGAAGGGAAGAAAGTTCGACGCAGTTGATGTTGAAACCCCTCCACTCGAAATTTTGTCAAAAGGCATGTGGCTGGACGTGCCACAGCTCGCGTTCGAGATCCTACGAGTGAAAAATTATAATATCGCGGCTAGCATACATGCAGCAGAGCACTCCATTCTGGCATTGCTCCCCACTTTTGTGATTGGTTCGGCCGGCGATGTTAGAACGGAGTGTAAAGCTCCGCAAAAGGAATTTGCAAAACGAGAAACGACGAGAAAGAGGCCAGGGCGGTTGACGTTTTACGATGCCAAGGGTTGTGGTTCTACAGGTTCAGGGATTACCGGGAAGGCATTTGAGTTTGTCGAGAAACTATTAAAAATGGCGGTGGGGAGAATCGAAGCGTGTCAGTGCACCGGCGGTTGTCCAGGATGTAAGGACTCTCCCGCTCATTACACCGTTAGTCATAACTAATATTTTGTAGGTGTGGCATCCGAGAATTGTAAGGAGTCAAATGCAGTGATTTCAAAGATAGGTGCAATGATTGTGATGAAGACGCTGCTAGGTGACGAAATTGACTTAGATGCTTTACCGGAGGCGGTTGATGAATCGGCGCCAGTAGGGGTTGAGACAGTCGTGCTGGCAGAAGAGGTACACTTCCGGGCTACTTAATTGGTATGTTTAGTTCAACTTTATACGGTCTCGTGCCGAGGCCACATACTCATAGACTATACATTTTGTATTCGAAAATAATATTGATAATATTAGCGTAAAGGATAAGGATGCTATAAGCAGAGAATTCCAAGCTTGTATCGATTTCCTAAACTCCTACCCAAGTATAATGAGTCCATTATGAAATACACTATAGTTCCCCAAATATTTCCATCTCCCTTCTCAAATGACAATCCGCGACCTCTCCAATGCCTTCAGCATCCAATACTCCTTCTTCAGTAAGATAAACATCAATCAATTCCGCCGGCACGGTTTCGAAATACATGTTCCTCACGCTGACATCCCCCTTGCCCTCCGCATCACTATCCGAAAGCTCCGCAGGAGAATCGACATCATCGCATTCTCCAGGCCAACATTCTTTCACCTCTCCACCATCATTTTCTTCATAACTATAATCCCACCCTCTATCTCTTTCATCTTTCCCACATACCTTATCCGTCGCTCCTATTACAATAATGCTTTTACTATTCCCCGCATTACTAGCCGCTGCAGAAGAACCATTCCTTCTCCTCTCATTAAACCTCATCCCTAAAGCCGCCGTCAAACACCCGATTTTGTTCGATACGTCGCCGTTAGGATAAATCCTATCCGCCGCCAAAACGTACAAATCCGCGACTTTTGTGTAATTTCCCACCGCGGCATCGACAGCAACTTCTACCGTAACGGCGGGTACACCGGCTAACTTCGCATTACCTGCGTTCTCAGGGATTTGGCTCCGGAGATACCGTGCCAGTGTCACGCCTTCAAATAACGGACGGGATTCTAACACGAAAACTCGGATGCGAGGTCTGTTTGTAGTGTTGAAAAGTGATACGAGACTTGATGCCATTACCGAAGAGTTCGAATGTACTAGAATGTTAAAAAGTCGTTTATGGTCGCGAGCTTCGACGAATGATGGGAGGGATTGGACTAATGTGACGAATGACTGGGGGATTGTATATGACTTCGATCGAGTGGACTTTAATGACGTTAATATTATATTAGACACCTGTTCAGCGCGGTCACAAGCGTCGGTGGGGAGTGTGGGAAGCTTGGTGTTGATTGATTGTAATATCCGGATAATACAGTTCTGAATACTACTCGACATGGATGGACGAGAATGGAATAGATGCCAACCATATAGCCGTAAAGAAGTCCACCATTCTTGGGTGTTTTGACGAGAGAGAAGGACTGGATCCGTGGCGCATAGGGACGCAAACTCTTTCACGGCTAAAGTGGCTAGACGACCTGCGCCAGATAATCGGTCATTTCGGAGACGTTCGATTGAAGCTTCTAGTGCCGGTGATATCGTGCACCTTTGAAGGGCTTGGGATAGAAAATCATGGGATGAGAGATCGATTAGATTTGAGGTTATACCCGTGGAGGAGAGAGATTGGATATTTGGAGAGATTTTGATTTTGTGGGAGATAGCTAGAGTACGGTTTATAGAAAGAAGGAATGGGTGGATTTTTGTGGTATTATCTTTGCCGTTTAGATTTGATGGGTTCGGAATTGAGAAAGGTGTACCGACTAGGACGCGGAGGAAGCCAGAGGAGTAGGTTACTGTTGTTAGGTGCTCGAATTGTTGAATTGCGGTTTTGAGAGGCGAGACGGTATCAGGTATCGGAAATGCCATACAGAAGGATGTACTTCCATTTGTTCTAATCAATTACAATTTTGGAATTAATACCTATTCAATGTTCGTCACATCACAGTAACAATGCAATGATCACAATTGAGGTCTGATGCATGATGCATGATGTAACTTACTCTTCGACTTCCAACGGGCTAAAACATTTACTGTTCGGTCCAAAGACCGTCATATTCTTCAACGCGCCCCAATTCGCAGTTGTAGAATTTGCAGCTTCATCATTTTTGCTATTATGTAACAGGAAGGTCACAAGGACTATATTGTTGCATTCTAGCAATGAGGATTGCCGGGTTGCGCCAGAGGTGGGGTGTGAATATGGATTCGAGTGAGGGTTTCTCATCGAGACAGCTGTTTCAGGAAAGAAGAAAGTTGTTCTGGAAGGTTGTTTATAGTTTTTTCCTTTTACTTTGACAGTTCTGCCTTTTACTCAATTGGATTCTTAATCCGGCTTTTAAGGTTTTTCGATATTGAAGTCTTGAGATACCAAATACTCCACCCGGAACCGACGTGGGATAAAATGCGTTGTGTGTTGCAACTTTTCACGTTGTGCAAGAATCAGTTCGAGACTGAGTGTCAACTTCGTATCGATAGCTCGACAGATTTCATAGGATTTATAAAATAAAAGTACGTGTGGGGAAAATATAACCGGGGGATACGATGAATGAGATCTTTGATGAATAACCAGGAACAAATAAATTCCGGTGCTGGGATGGCCCGGGCTCATTTATATACTTGTCCTGTATCCATTTCGCAAATCCGGGAAAACCAGAACTAACCCCCTGGCTGAAGAGTAGTTAGGTGGTACTGAGGAAAATTGCCAACTGGATCGAATGGGGATCGAAATGTGATAGCACTGATTCATACATGCATGAGAGATTCAGTGTGTGCTTTTGTCTTTTCGCTACCCGTAACCAGCCAGCCAGCTGCCAACGTTACGGAAACATCCATGGGCGGTATAGCTAGTTGGTTAGTAGGTAGGTGCATGCATCACAAGTAAGGACGGTTGGATCAAATCGATTTCGAACTCGGAGAAATTCAAGATTCGATTCGGGCGTCGTGCAGATCTGACCAAACTATCTAGGTACTTAAGTATACTTACTTTCACAGCATTGGCCCTTTAAACCACCCCGATTCGCCTTTTCCTACTAAAATAATCCGTTAACCTTGAAAATCCGTCTTCCCAGATAAAGAAGGCCCTTACTTCGGTCGCTAAGAGATGCAATTCATGTACCAAAAGGCCGATCTACCATGCATACGTGCTAGCCTTTCAGCTGATGTTCGGGCCACTATTCAGTAGCGCAGAACAATTTAAGGCGAAGTGCCGTGCATAACCTGGTATGTGCATATGCTGCTCGGCTGGCTGGGATAGTACTGGTCAAGCTAAATTTATGGGGGTACCCAGGTTGACATGCTGTGATATCATTATGATTGATTTTGACTCCTTCCTTCCCTCGATCCCGCTAATTTGCAGTACCTGTGGCTTTTTTTCTCTCTTCAGCCTTACATACGTGTTATGTCGTTAAGCTATCGATATCGCTGCCTTCTCATTGGAGAATCTAGCATCTGGCGTGATTGAAGACGGTGGACCTGCGTATCTCCTAGGGAATTAAAGTCAAATCTTTGAGAAAACTTATCGAAAATGGGGCCCTTTTTAAAATCAAAACCTGTATATTTTGCATGCCAGTCGATCGGAACGCCTAAATCTGTATGAAAGGGATATTGCGATATGTATGTACATGCATGTACAATATATCTGTTGGGGCATAATCCTGGTCGATTTCAGCTGGCTATCGACGGCATCCCAGCCACCGGATCGTTCCATAGCTTATAATTCTAGGCCCATGCCTCGAGGAGGTACAACTTTCCGAACAACAGATTTCAACATTAGAGAAGCAACTATGTTACATGCATGTATCATGTTACACGGTCGGGTGAGATCGATTCCTCCTTAGGTTTTTCGGCTCGCAATTTGACTATCTATAAATACTATTTATCAGTTTATCAACGCAATAAACCGGAAAACGCGTACATGGAGACAAGGTTTTTTGGCTGGAAGGATAACGCACTGATTCGCGAATTCGACGGATGAGATTGATATCATTAGGTTCCTGAGGGGTTTTTATGTCAAATCCATACGGAAATAACTATTTTATCATCCGAAATCTCGAGCTTTTCAAATTTTTGAGCCCTAACTAACTTAAGACCGGTTCCCGGCCAAAGAAATGATGATGCCCGCAGCTGGGACCGAACGCGCTAATCAAAATGCAACATCAACACAGGATCTAGATCCCGTGGACGGAGGAAGTCCATATCCCAGTGCTTTGTTGTATTACCATTAATTCAGCAGGAATTTCGTGATATTCTTGTACTCGGATATAGATAAAGAAGGATCTGGAGAGGCGAAAAGAATATATAGAAACTAACCAGCAACTATAACTGTTCCCTATACTATAGACTTACAATTAAAACTCGGATAAATAGTATACATAGATTGTATACATCTGGATGCGCGCACGCATCCTATTATAATCATGATCTACTCATGATCTGTAATACTAATCGGTCTCTCCCCTTCCGGCCAATCCAACCAAGCCACACTATCAAGCCCCACATTCCCTCTCTCTCCCCTCTTTCCCAAAAAGTCATGCGGGAACCCAAGCGAAAACTCATAAGCCGCTTCAATCTCCTCAATCTCCCCTTTCGTCAGCACGACCCCAATAGCCTTAATATTATCCTCCAGATGCGCCACCTTCCTCCCACCAGCAATGGGGACCACATAAGGCGTCTTGGAACAAACATAAGCCAAAGCAACCCCCGTAATACTCAACCCTCTTTCCTTCGCAATCTTTGCTAGAACAGGAGTAACCGCCTTCTGTGCGGGTGATCCGTCAAACCCTTGCCATGAACGACCTTTATCGCCGGATTTCTCCATTTCCTCGCGTTCAGAGGGGAGACGGAAGTTTCCACCCCCCAAGGCTCCCCATGGACATAATCCCATGCCTTCGGCGCGGCACATGGGGATTATATCACGTTCGAACTCGCGGTTTGCGGCAGACCATTGGCCTTGGTAGACGCTGAAGGGTCGGAGGCCGTGGGAGCGGGCGTATTCGTTACTATATAACCCCATTAATCATCATTAGTAAACTATTTGAGAAGAAAAGATATCAGCGAAAAAGAGAAGGGGGGGAAGACAAACGCTTTAGAAACAACCCAAGCAGGAGTATCCGATATTCCAAGGTACAAAACCTTCCCTTGCCTCACCAGCACATTAAGCGTCTGCATCAACTCCTCCACAGAAGTCGTATAATCCCACCAATGGATCCAAAGTAAATCAATATAGTCTGTCTTCAACCTCTCCAAACTAACTCTAACACTTTCATGAATATTCTTCGTAGAGTTCCCAACGGTGTTGACGTACACCCCGCCGTTCTTTAGATCCGGATAACGATATCCAGTCGTGGCTTTAGTCGCAATAACCATTTCGGTACGATTCTTGCGAGCCTCCATCCATTCTCCAATCCACATTTCGGACTCCCCGTCTTGGTAGTTTATAGCAGTATCGATGAAGTTTCCGCCGGCAGTGTAGAAGGCGTCTAGGAGCTCGAAACTAGTCTTTTTGTCCATGGTGCCCATGAAAGAGTTCCATGCTGTTCCGATGTTCATGCCACCGAAGCACTATATACCATTTCATATATCGATCAGTCATAGATACACAAAGACAATGCAGAAGATGCACGTGGGAGGAAAGCTTACAATTGGGGAAACTCGAACAGAGGCAGTGGGCGCCAATAGGCGGTACCGCGCCAACTTAGACTTCGGCTTATCGACGGGGACGAAGAGAGACATTTCGTATATATATTGGTAAGGAAGGCAGGCAACTTGTGATGGTGATATTGATCAATGGGTTATTCTTGAGGAGATACACCAGATATCGAACGGCTCCCTCGACCCTTATATAGACAAAATTCTAGATATTCAATCGCAACCGATCAATTGAAGTCGGAAATAATACCAGCGCTATACCGCCTCCGCTAACCGACATAAGCTAAGTTTTGAGGCACAACAGCCAGCATCACGACATGTTGACAAATTGAAATCTAATCTCCATTAATTCCCCCGCTGAGTAAAGTAACTTCCACCCCTAGGCCTCATAATTCACAAAATTAAAAGAAAAGCTTCCGCATTGAGAATAGCACATATTCCAAAGTTTCCCGCTTCAAGTAATAAAAAGTATAAATAAGCGAGATACCATTTCAAGGCAATAATATCATGGCGAGTACCACAATCGTTCGAAGGCAATAACTACCATACACCCGACCATGGAATTAATGAGGTCTAAACTCCGGCGTAGATCCTATGGCCGTAGAAATTCAAATTACTCAGCTTTTTGAGCCCAATGACCAGGATGTAATACACTTGCAGGTCCAAGTCTACGTCCAAGCGGTTCCTCACATATATCCGATCCGATAAGGGCAGCAAATACATACGTATGTACGCAGTATACTCTAATGACAGGCCACTGATATCCTCCCTCCATCACGAAGCTCTAATCAATTCAATCAACCTCCTTCATCCCCTCATCCCGCCTAAGCAACAACCACATCTTCCAACTTTTCCAAGCCACAAATCCAATAGTACCGAATACAACCCACCACCTTAATTCCCGCACTAATTTCAGAAAGTTATCGGAGACGTTGATATTGAAAGATACTTGGTGGACGTGACTATGATGGAAGGTGTCGTTCTTGAAAATGAGCGTGTGACGGAGCGGGATTGAGCCTTCCGGCCAGTTTGCGGGATTGAGCGAGACGAGGAATTCCGCCATTGTGTTTTGGACAGGCATGAAGTGTTCTTCTCCTTCTTTTCTTCTGTTGATTTATAGAGCGGTCATGCTAAGGGATGGTGGATTGAATGGCGATGGCACCGCGGCTGACTGGTGGGGATATCAATCAATTGCAATTGATATCCTGCAAGTTAAGTGGGAAAGAATTTTGGTGTTGGATGTTAGAAGACAACACGTTCTGGGGAAGAAGTGACGTCGACAACGCATCCTGCTGCTCGGTCGGACAGCTTTTAGTATTAATTCGAGCCCTAGTGCTATGGTCGTCTCAACGAGCCTTTTTTGTGAATGCAAGTTTAAAACTATTCTCAGGAACGGACTCGGGTTCTTACTCGAATACTGCTATGCTATGCTACATCATCATTGTCTTACTGGCTAGAGTGGGACTGGCTCTTAGTAGGGGGTGTCACGTTCTCTCGTATCGCCTGAGCTCCATATGGCCATGAGCAGTAAAATCTATAGCTTTATAATTACTTAGAGACCGCTACTTGCTTAAAGATTATCCTACTTGCTTAAAGATTATCCGCCATACAATACGAGACTACCCGCCATATCAGGTTATATTACGAGACTTTATACGTAACTATCCTCAAACTAAACCACGGCGCAAGGGTCAAAGGCACTTATAAGTATACGTTAGTGTACAAAGACTCCGTTAAGACGGCAGAGCTTGTGGGGATTAATTAAAAGCTTCGCTACTGTTTAATCAAACGCCGGAGGCTGTCCTTGATCCGAGTCGAATCTGGCAGCTGGGTACTTGTGGTAATTTCGTCGAGACGTTCCAATGCAGATTTCGTTGCTTTCTGCAAAGCGAAGAAGGCGAAGATTCCCGGAGCCCTCCTTCGAATTGACTCGCGAATGAACTGATTGTATCTTAACCGCTCGTGCTTAGATTCACCAAAAGAAACTATTGTATGCGGGTAGTACTGGGTAATGAGACTGTTGAAGAGCAGCCTTGACATACGGCCGTTACCGTCAAGAAAGGGGTGAATCACCAAGAACCTAATCTTTAGTTCCGACGCTACGGCTACAGGGTCGCTACAGCTGGTAAGTGCAGTATTATAGTCTATTAACCAACCCTTCATATACTCTGCAACTTTACTTGGGGGTGAGCAGCAAAGCTCTTCCCCGGTCCTCAGCACCAATGGACTGCCCACAGTGATTTCACAGAATCGATATCGACCTTGATAATCTTGAATGCCCCCACTCGAGGGAATTTTTTCGGTTAGTATACGGTGGCAGTTTAGAAAGTCCTCCTCGGACAAACACTCACGGCCAGAGATTCGCTTTTTGAGATACAAGAAAGCTTGGACGTGCTGGATTACTTCGCGCCGCGACTTGCTGTTGTTGCTGAGAACCCTTCCGGCGGGCTTTGTATCGGATAAGATTTCTTTGATAATTTCCCACGTCTCAGCTTTGTCCGGTCCGGCGCTTTCGATCATGTTTGAAGAAAATATGAAATTCGCGAACTGTCTTTCGAATGCCTCCTAAGCTTCCCCTCTTCTAGGCCGGCGAGGAGTTGAGCATTTTCCCTTAACGATTGTGGAATAGTAAATAGTTCTTCAGGATGTATATTACACCACGGTGGAATGCGGTAATTACGCACGAATCCTTTGTGCGGGGTATTCTCTTCTTCAATCCTCTTGGGGTGGATGTCAAAGATAGCCCATATGCATATGGGCTTTCGGGCGCCCTTATGCGACATTGATTATTCTATTCTGGTTCTCGCGATACGTTAGAATTGGTACTAAGTCATCTAGAAAGCAATAAAAATTGCTTAATTATCAGCTGTGGGACTCGACTCTAGGCACATAAATACCTTTTATCGTGTGCGGTTTGTTCTTCTGTTGGTGGGCCTCGATTTACGACCTTGCAAGCGCATCGTAATGTATAGCTATCTCAAATAGTGAGAAATACACTGGGTCGTATAATACGGAAGTTTTTGCTGTCGAAGAGTATTGTCAGGTATTCTTGAATGACCTTGCAGTCTTCAAGGCCGGCGATGGCTATCTATGGTCACCGACAATGAAGTCTTTAATTGATATCGTTGGAAATTTGATGCGCTGGGTCGATGTTTTCGCACTTAAATTATAAAGGTTTGTCGTGGTATTTATATTTATATTTATGGTCATGAAAATGACTCTTCTCAAATTTGACGGCAAAAGTTTGCGACCAACATTAACAGACCGCACACGATGCGACATGTCAAGAACCGTGCTTCAACCCGACTCTGTTCTCGGCGATCCTGAGTGAATTTTACGGCTAGATCTGCGCACCTTCACTATAACACAACTGGCGGTGTTATATTATAAAATATTTTGTGCATGTGCGTAAGGAATTTACAAATATCTCCAAAGCTGTTAGAGCGAAACCAAGAATTTCGATATTTCCCGCCACGGACATACATATACACCCAAAGGAAACCCACGAAACAACAACGGGGAAGCAATATAATCGCAGAGTATTTGTGTATATTAAATGGAAAAGAACTGGGTAAACTAAAAAGGAAGATCTCGAGGGGAGAAAGTGATCTACGTGGTATTATATTCCCCGGTCGTTGTAGTGGTTTTTTAGGTTCCCACTACCTCTTTTTTTTTTCTCTTTCCTTTTTTATCTACTCATCTCTCCCTCTCTACTAAATAATCCTTAATTAACATCTCAATCAATAAGCTTAGCTCCCCAATTAGGAACTTTGGTTTCCTGGTTCAAATTATCTGGGCAAAAAGAAATTGTCTGAAAATAATCAAGGATTTTCTGTTTTTAGAGTGTCCATTTGCCATCGACCTTTCTCAAATCCCTTGGAACCTTGAGCGTTCGACTCATCCAAATGCCACAAGAGTGCATTGATAAAACCGAGAAACGTAACGGGCGTACTTCCAACTGTATTGAATTTAGAGAATAGCTTAAAATAGCCCGGAGGTTCTCGACCTAACATCATGTCGGTGACGTCGAATTGGAAGAGAGCGTCTCGAATCAAAATTATGTAGTCTGTTGTCATCCGGGGTGTGTTTTTTTCGTGCGAGAAGGGTGCATTCGTCCGAGTAATGAAGAGGAATTTCGTGGCTGTTGGTTTAAGGTAGAATCTTGGGATCAAGATTTGCATTGAGTTCCGAATAGACCTTAGCGCTTTGTGGCGTATCGATGCATCGTTACTTCAGATAGCATGAGGTATCTTATCCATGGATCCAAGGGAGGAATGAAGCGGAGTTTGGCAATGTCCGGTTGCATCTAGTAGTGATGCTAGGTCGTTTTAATTCCATGCCATTTACATGCATGTTTATAAACCTATTGGAGGGCCCGACGAGACCATGGCATGTTGAAGTCTTATATATTGCAGATTTGGATCTCACCTGGTGGGCCTAGAGCTAGGAGGGTTTATATATTACAATCTGGATGGAGGACCTCGTTCGACTCGATCGATCTCTTCGTTAATTTAATTTAGAGGTAATTCGAAATACTCATTGTTTTTGTTATATTTAGTAACCTACGACTTCACGCAATGTTCTGCGTACATAGACTACACCAGCTACTGTTATACCAGATCGTTATCTATCGATCTAAGTACTTAAGTAGTTAGTCTATGCAGTGGGAAGTCTATATTATACTGGCCTAGACTACCTAAGTAAGTATGCACTGGCCTGGACTACCTAAGAATGCACGTATGTAGACTAGCCAGATCTAACAGCTACGTATAATGGTCCGGAGCTACGGCCATATATGGTTTATTATCTATAGATCCAGTGAAACACCTCACTGGCAAAGTAGCCATTATCAGTTATATTTTCGATCAGCTATAGAAAACGGTTGGGTGCGGATTAATTGAAAGTTACAGTTAACTAATTAATACCATGTTATGAGGAAGCCAATATGTGGTCAGCAGATATATGGCTGCACCGCTGGATGGGAACCTAAAACCATTTTAATCATCGTCATGATCACTCGTCGTGACTGCGAAGAAAGGAACTCTAAAGTCTGGGAGATATAGATGTTGCTATCTTAACCACCCAAGTATACTAGTCTCAGTAAAACCCTATCCGATGTCCCGGCTGACCCGAAGGTTACATCTTGGTGAATACAGTCATGAATGATTACTAATATTATCGCCACCTAAGAGTTCCAGATACAACCATAACTGTCTTTCTCATTCATTATCTAGTTTTCACTTATAGAAGTACCATTATAGTATATAGAAAAGTCTCAGCTGCCTAAACGAAAGAAATTCATTCCACTAATTACCTAGTTAAATGGTATAGCAGCAAGGAAAAAGCCAAGAGAAAAAAAAAGTATGTACATAACTCCATTTTGGTGCCTTTGGTATCGAATTTTTTTCGCCGTTGATGATAAATAAGAAAAAAGAGAGTGAAGATAGATAGATGACATATTCCCCCAAGGGTATACTTAAGTCGAATAAATAAATAAAAACCCTGGAAACATCAAGGAAGTGGTAGTATGAAAAACAAACAAGTATTTCCTCCGGATGCCTCTCCGGAGTAAAAGTCCGTAAGTCCCATGCACAAGATCATCAACGCCACACGCATCGCAATTCATAATACAATGATCAGATAAACAAAAACCAACCGAAAGAAGAAAAAGAAAAGACTTCCCTCGATTCCCGTCCAAAGGAAGAGGTACACTTCGCAGCAAAAAAAAAGAGGATCGAAGTTAATTAATAGTGATGATTGAACAAAAATGAGTTTTAGGGACTCATGGTATACCTGGCATCCTGTTCATCTTTCAGGTCTTGCCAGTTTATGTCGTCAAAGTTGGGATTTTGAACGACGATTCGTGGTTCTAGTGATTTCTTCTTGGGATTTGGCGCCTCGAAGATTTCGTTGATTTCTTCGAGAGTGAGTTCTTTTGTTTCAACGAAACTAGATTATAAAATGTTAGCGATATGCCCCACTGGTTGATCATATGTAGAAGGGGAAGGGACAGGGGGGCAACTTACAATGTGTATATGAACAGAACCTCGAGACAGTCCCATCCAATATACAGATAAAACAACTTGAACCCAATCTTTGCCAACGCCACAGGGGTTGTATACATACTCAGCAATAAACTCAAGTTCACGCTAAGATTATACATCGCCATCCCCTTCGCCCTAGTCTCATACTGCAAACATTCGACGGGATACAGTATCTGCAGCGGCGTGTACCCAAATGAATATGTAACTCCGAACACATACATGAATGAAATGGCCGCAATGCTAAATATCTTGTGTTTTTCGGTGTCTTCGGGGTACTTCGATCGGAAGTTGTGCATGATGATGATTAGGGTCCACCAGAATACGAAGGAAGATGTTACGGTGAGAAGAAGTTTTCGACGGCCGATGCGGTCGGTGAAACGGGCGCCTACCATTGCGGCTACCCAGTTTGCCATGGCCCAAATTGCGGAGCAGAGAAGTTGGGTGCGTTCGGATTTTATGCCGAGTTCGCCGAGCAGGATGGGCATGAAGTAGGAGAGGGCAGCATTGCCAGACCACTAGTTGCATATCGTTAGCACCTAAAGATTAGGGTATTGAGAGAGAAAGTGAGAACCCTTACCTGACCGAAGATACCCATTCCGAGTACGCAGCCCATTCTCCACCATGCATTCTTAGTCCTAAAGAGATCTCGATAATCCCACCATCGTTTGTCGGCGCCAGACATTTCGATTTCTTCCATCATTTCGTACATTTCCAGAATAACAACCGGTGAATCACGATTTCCTTCACCATGATATTTAGCGAGAACGGATCGAGCCTCGGCCGGTCTACCATTGGCGAATAACCAACGTGGAGTTTCAGGGCAGAAAAGACAGCCGACGAGTACTCCACCAGATGCGACGGTTTGTAGCCAGATCGGGATTCTCCAGGACGCAGTTCCTTGGATGACTAGTATTAACTGTTAGAGAAATTTCGTGGTATTGAGGTTGAAGGGAGTCATGATTACCTTCTGTGCCATAGAGTGTCCAGAAGGCGGGAATAGCACCGAGGTAGAAGAATCCATTGTAGATACCAGTAAGAGTCCCTCTCCACGCGGGATGGGCGATCTCAGCGGCATAAGAAGGACCAGCAGTCTGACAGGTCGCTACTCCAAAGCCTAGAACGAACCGGCCTCCAACAAACATAGCGCGACTGGTAGAACTGGCTTGAACTCCGGCACCTAGTAATATTATTGACCTAAACGAGTGTCAGTAAGTGCTTATATAGGTAAAATATTTCGATGAAGGATAGAACTCACGCTCCGATGAACATGCCCCATCTCCTTCCGTATTTGTCTGAGAACGGGCCCGAGAAGAAAGATCCTATAACATTGCCCAATGTGTATGTTGCAAAGATCAATCCAGCAATATGGCCTTCCTTCTGGACGTCAAAATAACTATCATGAATCCCATTAGCTTAAGAAGTCGAAAGAAGAAAACAACCAAAACTGATCTCTTTGAGAACATACTCATGATACTGTGTCATAGCATTAATCCCGCCCATCAAACTCCCATCATACCCATTAATCGCCGAGTTCAGACATGCCACAAACATGTACATATACAATTTAAACATCGTCGGCGTCCATGGATTCGGTTTGCAATGAGCAAGTGCTGTGACAAGATTAACCTGTTGGAAAGGTACTGATTCCTCGGCCTCCCATTTCTCAGGCCCGTCCGAACCCGTGAACACTTTTGTCGCATCATAATATGTTTCGGTGGGTGACTGTATAGTACTCGCTTTTGCGTCTGAGTTCGATCTAGCGGAGTTCGTATGAGTCGGTGAGGTCGGTAGAAGTGTAGAAATAGTGGTTTCGCCGTGCAGCGACGGGATATTGCGGTCTGTCGCCATCTTGTTGGATCTCTTGATACACTGTATTTAATTGTAATATTGTCGGACCGCGAAATTTGTAGAGTCGGAACGGATTGGGATGTGATATTGCTGGATGGGGGAAGTCTCAGCAGACGAAAAGGTCTGGTCGGGTCTCCGCGAAGTCAGGCATCGAATGCAAGGGGCATACGATGCTCTGCGGCGATAATACTAAAAGATGTTGATAGAAGAAAGGTATTCCCTCCCCGAACTTCCACCGAATAACCTGAATTCTTTTAGCTGTTCACTTTTGAACCCTTATGGTAGTATTGACAGGTTGAGAAGGATATGTCCTTTATCAGGTTTTTGTTGGTTGACAATTTGCCCCCCCCAGTCGGTGAAGGGATAAGCTCGTATATATTATTTTGCTCGAACCGTTTTTAAAAAACTGGCGGGCTGTTCCGCTTCCCACACCGATTATTCACACTTGCGCCAAACAAGCGAATTTTTCCCCTCAAATATCAGATATCCGGGGTTGACAGCAGTTGATAAAGGATTGGAGGTTCCTCGATTCCAAATTGTTGATTAAACAAAAAAAGCGAGAGGGACGTTAACCTGGGGTCTGGCGCAATTTTAGCAGGTATCGTGGTTTTGTCGAGAGAGCCAGGTCTTCTTCTGGCAAAACGGGGACCAGAGCAAGGGCTATTCAAATCCAATATATCGCAGGCTGAACAAAACGAGTTCGTCTGGGTCAGCAAAGAAAGAAGGAAAGAGAAGAGAAAAAATCGATCCCTTTACCTGCAGCATAACGACGCACACACCACCGTTTTTCTTGGAGTCGGTGCTCCCATACCAGCTTTTGGTGGGCGAACGGCTCGCAGGGTAAATTGCGGAGCCACCTCCACCGGGTAAAATGAAGATGGAGGTCAGCCCCCCAATTGTATGGAGTCGCTTCTTCTTGGGATACTGTTTGACAAGAGCAAAAACTGGCTTTGGGGACGCTTTGAGGCCCAGCAACATGGGCAAGCAAGAAGCTAGCGTGCTAAGACAAAACGGTACAAGTCTACTTGTTCGGGATGAGGTTTTTGGGCGAATCATAAACTGGGGTTTCTGCTCGCTTGCCATCCGTGCACGGTTCTCAGCGTAAAACTGCAAGCTTGCAGGGGTCTTCGTATTCGGTAAAGATTCCTTTTGAACCTTTTTGACAGGGGAGGACATCGGTGCTAACTTTTTTCCCTTTTAGCTTCCCCTCGGTCTGCTCGGCGGCGAAACGATAAATGCTGGTCGTTGTCAGTTCATTTCGCTCAAAGGCGAGAATCGAACGATTGTCGAGTCGGCTCACGTGGTGAGCTCGAGCCGTTCCAGTTTGTGTTTTCTTTGACACACATCTATAATAGGTTCTGATATAGCCCACTGACCCGTATTTTGAGGACTGTGATCGATGGAACTGGACCCTCCGTAGAAGGCCGCGATCGATCATTACTGATAATATCAGAAAGCCACGCCTTCAAAAAAAATGATATTCGACGAAGAATGCGATTGCAAACTCAATTGGAAGACACATCTGAGGCGAGAGGGAGGAAGGCAATGATCTCATGATCTATCGCACAATCTTCAGCCTGTTTCTGAACTGCAGTGTGGTTGCAGCGTTTCACGATTTCCCGCAACGTCAAAGGACCACTTGAAATCAAAATAAGTTCTGACGGGTGAAAAACATCACTTTGTTCGTAATCCACCCGCTACTGCATCTTTGCTTGCATCAAAAACATTATTAATATTTCGACACTCGTATCCAAAGATGGTTGTATTATGAAATTGCTGCAATCTTTGTACCACCAGATGCACCCTCTTCTTTCCGTCGACTTCGCCCTCGTATTTTTCATGTGTTCTACCGGATCTTCTAGAAGGTAGTACCGTGAATTGTGGGTCCTTTCATTTTTTCCCAAATGCTATTCGGTGTCGCTGCCTTCGTTGTGGGGAAACAAAAACCTTTGGTTTCACTATACTAGTTACCATATTTTGGTCGTCATGATCAAAGTGTGGAGAATGCGGAGGTCTTGTGGCCGTGCCAGCCACCCTTTGACAGGACTTTCAAGAAGGAACCTTCATGTTTTGATATCGTGAGTATGAAGTTCTACGGAAATAACTAGTGGTTTTTTGGATTACTTTTTCCACTTTTTTGCTTTACCGCGGATAAACTACCCCGAAGCCATAGACAATAGACTCGGGATGTGACCATGTGCTGCTGCTTCTCCACCTCCGCATTTTGAAAATGAGCAAACATGCACCGGATAAATTACTTCGTTAAAACTAATTATATTCAAGCAAGCTCTAGTACTTCTTTCTTGAAGCAAATGTACTGAAGTCAGTGGTTCCATGCTGAGCTTCGAATTCGGTGGCTAACGTGTGGGGAGCTATGATCTCCCAATGCACCTATCGAGAGCTCAGACTCTTTCATGAAACAACTATTATGCCATCATTGCCTCGCGTTCCTGAATCTAAGTTCAATTAGGGAGATTTTCATGCTCCTATCCGCTATGACCTCGATATAATTAACCATCTTATTCTTAAGTAAGGGGAACTCGTAAATACATGTTGTCTCACATAATCGATATCGAATATGTTGTCTTGGCTTTTATAGGTAACAGGCGTTTTTTTCCTTGGGGGCTATACATGCTAAGTACTTAAGTACCTAGGCAATTACCAAGATTTCAAGACCCATTAGATCCGGTGGGTTTACATAACAGACAAGATCTTAGATGGGGTCAAAGGCTCGTTTTCTGACCCTGGATGATAATTTGCATCATACATGCACGCATACGCATACATGACCATACATTGACTTTTGGAGTATTTGTGTAGGTCTATGTAATCCGGGCGAACTGCATGAAAGAAAATGTCGACATTTTACCCGGATGGCGCTTCTATCATGCTGGAAGATTTGTTTCTGCTCCACCACACATTCGTGGAAAGTATATAGGAAAAAGTTTGCAAGTCGATCAGCTGGTTATTAATAAGGTCTTTGAAATGTAAGTACTTACAAGCAATTCTGGGAAGACTCGGCTTAACCGACGGGCATGAACTATGGTTCGCTCCTAGGCTGCATGCTAACCTTTCCAATTCATCCATAGGAACCCTTTCGAGTCTTGGGCCGTCTTCGGAGTGATTCTGACTGACTTACTGTTGTTCTTTTCTCAGAATCATATAGACGGTCCTCTATAGATGCCCCGTATTCACAACCACACACCCAATAACAAAGCCCCATAAATTCTTAACATACAATCTTCGCATCGTATTGGATACTAGAAGGGAAGTGCTCAGAAAGGAAACTCCGGCTAAAAACCCACAAAAACTTTCTCGGGCTTCTTCGAGTTTTCTTGAATGTACCACCGAGTTCCTCGAGTAGTATCGTACCTGCATGAATTCCGGAGTGTGGTACATCGGTATACCCTGCCTCTGATCATCGAAACGAGCTGTCGCTTCTCAGCTGGCTGGCTGTTTGTGTTTGTTTCTTCGGCTCGTTTACGGAGTACTCCGGGTATAATATGTAGACACCATGTGGTAGCTAGCTCAGTAGGCATAGCAGGTGCTTTTGCTGAGCCCTTTTTTTAGAAGTGTTAATATATCGATTGGGGTTTCGAAGATAGTTTTATATACTTAGTATATATCGGGATATGTACAGAGACGGCCCGGTTTATAATAATGTTTGAATACGATAAAACATACGAACCGGAAAGACTCGAAACTCGAGAGTAAAACCATTGGAAGGTTACTATCACGTGAGAGAATCTGATACTGCTAGATCAACGGTTTTACATCATGAAGGTTGTTTGGATGTCAGTAGATAGGGCCGGATCGATCTATGATCCATCCGCAATGCCCGGCCAGATTAAGCCGTGTGTATGTCGCATTCCGTGTTATACATATACATAGTATGCATGGACTAGCTGGCGGTTCGATATGGATTTCTTGGTGCACGCGGTGTTCAGTTGATGAAATGCTCAAGATCGATACATGTATACAGGCCTGCGGGACCGCGTTGAAAAGAAGAAGAGGGATTATCTATCTTACTATAATGATAATATGATATGTTTAATTTAGACACATCGGAAATAAATATGTATCGAAGAAGCTTTCCAGATTGTGGAGGCTAAATTTAAGATCGAGCTCTTTCTTAATTTCTGTGGTGTTTCGATAGGGAGCGACACAGTTCGGGTACGAGGCTGAGCGACAACACATTTTGAAAAACGCCCAAGTAAGTACAACACAACACAAAACCTGCCCCCTACAAAAGTCGCAGATGCCTGCACTTGCAGCATTATGTCTGACTAACCATGCGGCACTACCTAGTATCGATATCACAAGCCTAGCTTTGCATCTTGCCCGGGTACTGAGGCTAACTAGTTACTTAGTCTCGAGGCTAGTAACTAGTAGAGTCGCATAAAGAGGCTATTTACTTGATTCGGCGAGAAAGTCAAGTTGTAATATTTTTAACAGATAGTCAAATGCCATAAGTATAAACCTAGATGGGTGCTAGTAGTGATCTAGGTCATGCATAAAACCCCAGCTGCGCATGCAGCGCTACCAGAACACCGTATCCACCTCTTCTAGCTACTTAATACTTATAAACCATGACGTAGAATATATACGATACTTGCGAAGGCGTTCGAACTTAAGTGATGGTGTGTATGCAAATGGTGATTATATATCTTGTAGGCTTTTCGGTAAACGCGACCCCAGAGGTATCATTAATATTATCTACGGTATAGCGGTAAACAATATCTTAGATATTAGCCACCTTGACACCTAGGACGATGCCTATTCTCATAAGCCCAAACGCTAGCAAAGTACCTATACCGTATGCTTTATCGATATTTTCTAATATTCCTCATTGAGTTTAATACTTCGGCCTTGGACACCTTGGTACCTCCCTACATGTGCATACTAGGCAATTCAAGGCCCGCGTCCACGTATCTGGTATGTGGGAACGAGACTAGTATATATGCGTTTAAAAAAGTACTTATACACACCTAAACTTCGAGGCCGTGGGTTCACATTGCCATGCAGCCACAGACTTAACACACTGCATGACTATCTTTATTGTTAAAGGGTCGATATATGAATCCTTTGAGTTCGTTGGTTGACACTATGTGGTGGGTCGTGGGTGTTATAGTCCGTATAGACTAGTAGGGCCCCTTATGCCATTGGGATTTAGGTTTTCAATTGGACCGAGCTCTATGCCAACCCGTCTAGTTGCTATTGAACTGGATTTAAGTTTTAAACCAGATTCCGGGGAGGAATTCTGGCATTTCAGTGGCCAATGTTGTCACATGATTTAGAGATTTCATGTTAATGGGTGGATTTCGACGGTTTCCAGTCCATCTCATGAACAGCCATGTCTTTTAGTGGATATTTTTATTCGAGTCATTCTTTTCATTATGATTATCTCTTATCTAATACTAATATTTATCTACGACTGCTTCTAGAAGTATAGGAAGCGTGCATACAGCTGGGTCTTCCTCTCTGTTTTCTCTGTTTTGGGCAATCGGATCGCCTGTCCTTGATAGATCCTCCCGGAATATTTCAAACTAACCATATAAGATATAGATCTATCAAAACAGATTTCGGGTCGAATTGCTGTGCAGGCAGATATTGCAAGCTTAGCTTTAAATTCCAGACACCCAGATATTCAAATAACACCGGTCAACAGCTTTCATGACCGAGCTCGAGAATAGCAATTGCGTTGGATGTTGGAAGCTGACATAATCGCCCATCCACCCATTGTGTCACCTACCTGTTGCAGAAAGCTCATTCCGACCTGGCTTGAATCCCGCCAATGAGGATGGTATGTTTCCGCACGCTGTTTGGGTCCTTTTCGCATTGAATCCCGATGTCAGCTTTTTCTTGGCTTTTGCGTTCATTTGTTAGGCTTTAGAGTATTCAGATGGATGCCTAATGTCGTGCATCGGCCGGCCGGTATCGCAGGTTGACTTGCGCAATCGCGTGGATTAACGATTTGTGTGGGTTCATTAGTGAAGTTGAAGTCGAGATTCTAGGTGCATGCATATGCTTAAAGATCTTTTGGGGGGTTAACAGGTTTGATAATCAATTGTCCCTTGGTAATCCTTTTAATATTGTCACGAAAATAAGCGATCTGGGGTGTAGTATCCCGGGATAGCTGGTCCAATCAATATGTTAGGAACAAGAACATGCGTTTTCGGTGTCTAGGCTCCCCGCTTTGTTTCGTACCTTGCAGGTTGAAAGATGGCTGGGTCTTTCTCTCCCTGTTAACCTTATATCTTTGGCACGTGGGGTATGGGCGATATCCTCTTATTTCTAGAATTTTTTGGAACCGCATGATTAGACGATGATCGTTCATGGAAGATGAACAGATGAGGAAGTTGGGTTGGTTTCGAAACAGTCGGTCGACCGGTTATGAAGTTTAAGGTGTGGGGTTCTACAATGCAGGAGCAGATTTATAACCTTTTTATCATGTGTTCTGTTTCCATGGTTGCGAATGAAGCAATGTGTAAATCTCGATTAAGCGGGTCGGATCGAATGGGGGCCGATTAACAAGGCATCTGCTAGGTCTCTTATGCTTATGCGGGAATCCTTGTCCTCTTTTTCTTGGGAAGTGTCTTTTATAGGTAGGTGGGAGTATTTCGGTGAAGGTATGATCCTGGGAGACTTCATTAGGCCGCAAGTTGAAATCTTTGATGATATTGATTTGTCGCTCTTATTATTAATTATGACCTTTAGTTTGGCGGTATATATAAAGACTGTAAGTACGAAAGTTTGAATTCAAGATGAGTTAAGATTGGAAAGGTATAGTAGGGTCTCACCAACTTCCCTCCTACATCCACCTCCTCGGCCTCTAGCACATTGTGTGTTTTGATGAACAGTCAATATGAAGTCCTCACATAACCTCTCGGGGTTAATCCTCCTTTGTTTGATGGGGTACATCCATCCCACCAGCGCTGCCGATAAATTCTCAATCACACTCCCAATCACAGCTCGGACTTCATCCGTCGAATCCGATAGCGCAGCAGTCTACTACCCTTCTAAATCCAAGTACTCACCAATATTCATCGGTAACGACGGGTCTGCCGAAACCGGCGGATTCCATGTTTATGAACTATACGGCAAACGAAGTGATGCCTTGGTGAAAGAGCTTGGAGCGTACAAAACTGGGAGGAGTAAGTTGGTGGAGGTGGTTTATGGTGAAGATAGGGACTTTGTGGTTACGCTGTCCATGTCGGATGGGATGTTTAGGGTCTTTGAGGTTGATGGAAAGAATGGAGTGAGGGGTCTTAAGGCGGAAAAGCTCGTTAGGGGTGATTTTTCGGCGATGTGTACGTGGAAGAGTAAGGTTGGAGAGTACGTGTATGTTTTGGGGAAGAGATGGGGGTATAGGTTCTTGGTTAGGGAGAAGAAGGGCGGGAGGGGAGTCGAGGTTGTCCAAGTTAGTATCTTTTCCTTATTTAATATAGAGTGTGGTGATGGGGGTATGCTAACATGGACTAAACTTTAGACACAAGAATTTGGAATTCCTATTGAACCGAATTCGTGTACTGTTTCACCTGAAGGGAAGGTATTCTTGGCGGGTGATAGTGGGAAGGTTTTCTCCTTCTTAGCAGTTGACGAAACTGCTGCGCCAAAGATCGTAGAAGTTGGGGAGTTGGGCGGTGGTGATGAGGTTAAGGGCCTCAAGATATATCATGGAAAGAAAGATACTTATCTTCTCGTTGGATTGGAAGATGGAATCGAAGTCTTTGATATCAAGAAACTGGGAAGTTCATTAGGAAAGATCCAGTTCGACGATGAAGAGCTCGAGGTTGGAGATTTTGCAGTACACCAGACAAGTGCGAAGGGATATGAGGATGGGAGTATTGTTTTTGCAGGGGAGGATGGGGAAGGGAAGTTCTTTGGAGTCAGTTCTTTGACTCCTTTGTTTAAAGCATTAGGGAAGGGAAAGCTGAACACGAAGTACGACCCACGAGACTGTACCGACAACCATGCGAGGCCGAAGAAGTGCGCCAATCTTTCTGATTGCAATGGATACGGATACTGCCCGAAAGATTCTCGAGATAAGAAGGCCACCTGCGATTGTTTCCCCGGGCTTACAGGAAAGACATGTAATAAAATTACCTGCCCATCGAACTGTACATCCCCATCCCATGGAACTTGTACTGGTCCAAACATCTGTACTTGCATCCCACCCTTCACCGGCGAAAACTGTGCAACCCTAGCTGTTCCAGCTAGATACGAAACAGAAGAGAGTGGCGGAGCAGATGGAGATGATCCCGCCATATGGATTCATCCAACCGACAAAACAAAGTCGAGGATTATTACAACAGTAAAGAGTGAGGTTGGAAGTGGACTTGGGGTATACGATTTGAAGGGCAAGAGAACGGGAGGTGTTAGCGGCGGTGAACCGAATAATGTGGATGTTTTGTATGGAGTTGAATTTGCAGGGAGGAAGGTTGATTTGGCAGTGGCGGCTTGTAGAGCTGATGATACTATCTGGTATGTCTCGTCCCGTTCAACGGTGTTTCAAAGGCTAGAAGCTAACGGGTGGTGTTAGTATATACGAAATCACCCCCACCGGCGATTTAGTCACCATCCCAGGCGGCGTTCAACCTCTCCCGCCAGCCGTCAAAGAACTAGAGAAGAAATTCAAAGTTTACGGCTCCTGCGTCTACCATTCTCCCAAAACAGGAGCATATCATATTTTCGTCAACTCCAAATCCTCGCTGTATCTTCAATTCCAGCTTTCTGCGACTACAGACGGAAAATTGAATACTACTTTGGTGCGACACTTTTATGCAGGAAATAGAGGACAGGTAGAAGGCTGTGTGGTGGATGACGAGAACTCTAGCCTTTTCCTTGGTGAAGAGCCGTATGGAATTTGGAGTTATGATGCCGAACCTGATCAACCGGCGGTTGGAACACTAGTCGATAACACAGTCGTTGACGGTGGAAAACTTCATGCCGATGTCGAGGGAGTCACACTAGTCTATGGAAAGACTAAAAAAGAAGGATACATCATCGTTTCCTGTCAAGGATACAGTGAATACAATATTTACCAACGATATCCACCCCATGAGTTTGTCATGAGCTTTAGCATTCCGGATAATAAAGAAAAGGGCGTGGATAGAGTCACGAATACAGATGGGATTACTGCTGTTGGAGCGAACTTGGGGAAGGAATGGCCCTATGGAATGGTGGTTGTACATGATGATGTTAATGAAGCTGCGGGTGGAGGGGTTAGAGCCGACGCCACATTTAAGATCGTAGGATTGGGGGATATTTTGGGCAATAAGGCAGTGAAGGAACTGGGTCTTTTGAAAGGGGTGGATGAGAACTGGGATCCTAGAAAGTAGGCTAATAATAGTATTGTATGGCATATAGAACAGAAGGGGTAATATAACGAAGGTGTCTTCGATAATAAAGCGAGCAGCACCGAGCTGAACTTACAAACAACGTAATAATATCGTTGGCCTAACTAATTGAATGTGCGCGACTCGCTGGTTCTGTAGATTATAAAAGAATTATTTGAGCTTTCCCCGGAAACATATTTCGTCCTACACGCTCAGCTTGCAAGTAAGGTACTAACTTCTATCCTTACTTTATTGTAACGGCGTGTAAACTGGTACATGGTCCGGGCGGCCAGTAATCCGGGGTGGCTTTTATCACAGTAAATTCTTATGGATTCGGATTTAGCACAAAACTTTCTCTCGGAAATTCCATGCCCCGCAAAAAATTTTTTACCAAGGACCCGGAGAGTGATATGTAGGTAGACAGCATGTATGAACGCATTATGAATAGATCGCCGTCGGCTACTGCTACTCTAAAGGGGGTTAATATTTGGAACGATCTTTTTTGCTTGGAAACTTTACTTAGAATCGCTTATAGTGTTTCATCATTTAGAGTTAATGAGTTTAAAGGACGGGTTTAATTAAGTACTCCTATTATGTCTTAGCTTTGGGATGTGTACTATAAGTTCTTTGGTTAACATGGTTGTGGGTTGCGGATATACGATGCAACATGGTGGCGGCGAGTAGTAGCAACTCAAAGAAAGGATCCTTGGCGTATCATGTGCTTATATGTATATATGAGATCCCGTCAAACCGTGCATTTCAGCTTCCACCTGATGGAAATTTGGCTGTACCTAGGTATCAGGATATCTCCAAGAGTGGCGTGATATACGTATTTTGGATGCGGATATCGTTGGCAGTTTTCAGCCTTGAGATAGGTTAGTTCTGCATGATAGTGAGCGCGGCAGGAATTTTTGATTATACAAAAATTAGCTGGTGAGCTTTGTTTAGACGTCTCGACTACTAGCTCTTGTTTATCAAAGGATCAAAGCAAATTCTCTCCCATCGAGTCTACAAGAGCTACCGCTTAAATGGCATCTGAAGACATCGGCAACTCTAGCCTTCCATGGTGGAAAACAGCCGTTGGATATCACATCTACGTACCTTCCTTCTCCGATTCCAATGGCGACGGCATTGGTGATATCCCCGGAATCATACCCCGCCTTCCATATCTCAGATCTCTTGGCGTGGATCTCATCTGGCTTTCTCCGTTCTACGCATCGCCTCAATATGATATGGGATACGATATCTCCAACTATAAATCTGTGCATCCACCTTACGGTACCACTTCTGATGTACAACGATTAATCGATGCAGCTCACCAGCACGGGTTGAAGATAATCTTTGACCTGGTGGTGAATCATACCAGTCACCTTCACGAATGGTTCCTATCTTCGAGATCTAGTAGATTGTCTGCAAAGCGGGATTGGTATCATTGGCGACCTGGGAAAGTCGATGAGCAGGGAAACCGAAGACCACCGAATAACTGGATGTCGGTTTTTGGAAGGTCGGCGTGGCAGTGGGATGAACTGACGGAGGAGTATTACTTACATATCTATTTAAAGGAACAACCGGATTTGAACTGGGAGAATAGTGAGCTAAGGAAGGCGGTTTTCGATGATGCGATACGGTTTTGGTTGGATAAAGGGGTTGATGGGTTTAGAATCGATACGGTTTGTATATACGCCAAGGATACGGGATTTCCAGATGCGGAAATTAGTAACCCTGACTCGGAGTTTCAATTGGGGAGGAGATATTATGCGGATTTACCACAGAATTTTGAGTATTTGAAGGAGATGAGGGCTATTTTTGGGAGCTACGAGGGCAGAGAGTTGGTAATGATAGGGGAGTATAGTGGGTCTACGACGACGGAGATTGCGAGGGGCTATTGTGGACAGAATGGATCTCTGGATTGTGGATTTCATAAACAGTTATTGGATCTGGAAAGGACGGAGGTGTCGAAGTGGATTTTAAGAGAGCCCAGTTTTGAACTTACCAGATTTTTGGAGGTCCATAACGAATGGCAGGGATTGATGGATAAAGGAAAGGAAGCTTGGACGGCGGTTTATCTGGAGAATCATGATGTTGCAAGGAGTGTATCTAGGTTTGCAGACGATAGCCTGGAAATGCGAGTTGCTTCTGCGAAGTTGCTGGCTGTGCTGATGGCGACTTCTTCTGGAACATTATTTATATACCAAGGACAGGAGATCGGAATGACGAGTATGCCGAGGGAATGGAGTATTCAGGAGTATAAGGATAATGAAACGGTAAGGTACTATGAGGCCGTTAGAGAAGGGAGAGCGAGTGGGGAAAGTTTAGAGTGTGCATTATCTAGTATCAGAAAAGTCGCGAGAGACCATGGGAGGACGCCGATGCAATGGGATACCAGTTTAAACTCCGGATTTACTTCTGCGGGGGAGAGTTGGATGAGGGTTAATGAGAATTATGCAGAGGTTAACGTTGAATTTGAGGAAGGGAATGAGGATAGTGTGCTGGAGTTTTGGAAGAGAATTTTGAGGATTAGGAAACAATACTGGGAATTGTTCATCGCTGGGAGGTTCGAGCTGTTTGATGTTGAAGGTGAGTTGAGGAACAGAGTCGGAGTTTACTGGAAGTATGAACAGGAAGAGGGGAGACAAAGTGGGGATCTGAAGAGGGCGCTAGTTGTCATGAACTTTTCGACGATGAGAATGGCGATAGAAGATGTTCTAGAAGAGATATTTGGGGGTGGGAAACGGGAGATAGCTGAGTTCCAGCTGATAGTTTCGACTCATCCGGGAAGCGACTCTAGAGCTTTAGATGCTTATGAAGCGAGAGTGTACATGGGGCTATTTAAGAATTAAATTTGTCGTCATAGGTACTCTCTAATTAGCCTCTCATATTATATATATCCTAGACTACTCATGCATATGCTACACCTCGCCGGTGTTCTGGGACCGGATTATCAGTTGTAGACCCTCTGGACAAATATAATTTATAGGATAGAGCGTGCAAAGACAATGTAGACAAATTCAATAGAGTTTAGATTCAAAGTTATCTATCTACATATGTATAATACCAACTATAACATTAAGAAGACCGCCCACCCCCAAACGTGCGAGGCGGTATTCAAGGTCTTCCGGTCCTCCATCTCTTGAAGATTGGTACCCACTACCATAACCTTTGCCAAACCAGGCTTGGTCTCCATCAAATCGTTAGTATAGACGTAGTAACTTCAATTAATCTAAACGACCTCATATATAACTAAATTTGTCTGGAAAGTCAGAGCTAGGCAGTAATGATGGTGGTGGGTATCACAACCTACCAAGTTTTATTCCGACACAGCTAGAATTCGAGTATATTTTGATGTTACGGGATGAAGAAGAGTACTGGTATTCCGAATGGAGTATTATGTTTGCCAGGCACGTATCCATGTCCTCCTTTGTCACCGGCCACCTGACCGCATGCGGCATACCATTGTCTTTCTTCTTGGGTATCAACGAAAAGAAAAATAACAGAAACACCGAAGAATACCGAACCATATGAACCGGAAGCCAGGCCACAACAATCTACTTCGAGCTTGTTCTCTCCATGTAGGTAAATGGAGAGAACTTGCAAACGTCATGAAAACCGAAAAATATTCGAGATGAACGTTACAGGCTGTGCAGACCATGCAGCACTCGAAAAAGTTGACAGCATGCTCTAGCTTATTGACTTGGAGACTGGCAAAAGAAGTTGGCAATATTAAAGTTCTGCGGGTTATTTATCTTGAACCCGGAACATTCACCTCCAGCGTTTGTTTTCGTTCAATCTTCGCTAACGCGTGATATATCGAAGATTTCTTAGTTCGAGGTTCGTATTGAGGACATAAGAATGACGAAAGCACATGACGAAACTGTTGTGGAGGTCTATAAGAGCCCGTATAAACATTCGGGAGTATATCAAGGGTATAGAAATTGACGAAAGGGCCGACAGTTGAAACAAATTCGGGGGGCGGTGACCAGCTTCCAAGCGTAAGTTTCGTCAGTTCCCCAAGCAGGACTTGTTCTGCTGGGAGAATTCTGTAGAAATCCGTTAACTAAAAGTTTTCCGAAACTATAGTAGTATTGGCTATACTTACCAACTCGTCGAAGCTCCCCAAATATCGAAAAAAGAGACCATGAAGGAGATAGTGAAATTAACTTTGGAGGGAGCTAAATATCACACCGAGAGGAGAGGGCAGAATGAATGCAGGGAAAGGAGAAACGAGAAATAAATTGGAGCAAGGCGGGGGATTTATAGGAAAAACAGTAGGATTCTGTCATGGCCCCAGAAAGAATAACGAACACAATAAACAATGGAAAGAAAAACGAAGCGAAAATCACAGGCACACAGTGTGTCTCAATGTCCGGGACGACCTTATGAGACTACACGGATGTGCAAGGTATGTTTCAGCGATTGACAGATTCAAGTAGAGGATGTAAGAATGTTAAGTGGGTGAGAGACTTACGATCGTCCATGGATATCATTGAGCCGCACTAGGCACCTAGGGGTTATCTATGAACCGCTCTTAGAATTAGCTAAATCCTTAAACAAATCAAAAAAGATACAATGCTTACAAGTCCCCCGGAAAAGCAAACGTAAATATTCGGGTATCATCCTTGAATGTTTACTTGTGGAGTTCCTATTGGGATCCGGCCTGTTGCGCCGGAATGCCGCAAAGAATTGTCATTGGGGCGGACTCCGCGGTAATATATCAATTGCGGTCTAGCAGAAACAATTAGTAATGGGCCCATGCTCCAAACATCTATTGTATAGATATTTACTAGGTGTTTATCGTGAAGCCTAGAATTGGTTTAGTGATAGTGGTGGTAATCATAATCGTGCCTAGGAAATTGGTAGGAGTTGTGAGGAACATGTTGGATGAACAGAGACAGGAATGAGAAAGGAGGAAAGAGAGTTCGCTTTATAGCCCAGTTCCCTAATTGAGGGAAAAAATCAAGTGGGAGTCTTTTCATAACATCTACAGAATTCGTGCATTCTCATTGCAGGTCTGCACGGTTACATGTGGTGCGTGGATTTGCTATTCTTACTTGACAGCCCCTAAATTCCTGTATGGTCTCATGGGCTTTTGTAGTGTTGTGGGGTGTGGTATTCTCTGTTATGGCGACCAAGCTGTCGTTCCATTGGTGGGGTAATCTGTGGCGCATGTATGTGGCGAATACCTGGACCTGGCACCTAGGCTAGGACAATTGACAAGCCTATAGGCCCCTATCTGCCCCTATCTTATAAAATTCCTTGTTTTTTCTACTCGTATATTTAACCTAGACAATTATAATCTCTGAGAAGACATAGTAGTTATTGTAACATATGTGGTTTTCCGTACGTTACAATAACTGCGCTTGCTGCGAGACTATAACGTATATAACTGTATAGATTAAATGTACAAGCATGGCAGAGAGAACAAGAGAAGTTATAAAGTAGATGGACTATAGACTAGAAGCTAAGAAAGAGAAGAATCAGAACTACATTTTTCAAGCAGATTCTTAGCTACTTTATATATATACGCGAGTTTATATGACTTAGAACTGTCAAGATATCTAGCGCTAGCGCTGACCGCGGCTCGTACTGCCCACGGTCAGTGGCCCACTGCTCTTCGGCTATATGATCTCCTTGTATGATTTCATGCATAAGAGATTTTCAGAACCACTCCGAGCATGAGCCTACTAACTGTCGCCTCGATAGTCATAAGCGTGTAGGCCTCGTTCTCCATACACTCTTATTCCTCCCGTACACTTAGTTAAAACGTTTGCAGCCTCATAATCCACAAGGCTATTGTAAAACGTACTTAGCCAAACTAGATCTACCTAACGAGACCAATATTAGGTGCATATTACAATAAGTACGCGAGTTATAAGGCTGTAATCGTCTTAACTAAGCCTACGGGTGCAAAAAACAAGACCTTTATATATAGAGAACAAGGTCTATAAGTTTGTAGTAAAATAGTGGCCGAAATTCCGTCCCATATCGAAATTTCTGCAGTTGAATTTACGAGTAATAAAAAGAGTGTAAATTTATAAATTAAATGAAAGAATTATTGATTCGCAGCTGATTGAATTGAAAGGTGAGGAGCGTTAACATACTAGGTGGTTCTTTCGTCCCTTTATATATATAAATTTTACGAAGGAGAAATACAATTATCTAGCTAGTACGAAATGCACAGTTGGTAAGCGAACAGGTGCGAAACCGGCGCGCGATCACCTCTTGATCATGTTTCGATCATGTCTTGATCATGTCTTGATCATGTCTTGATCATGTCTTGATCATGTTTCGATCATGTTTCGATCATGTCTTGATCACTAACTGTGTTGTTTCGTTGATTGCTTTCATCTTCTCTTTTTCCAAGTTCCCACCGGTACCGAATTTGCGCGAATTAGAACAGATATAAAGTTAGCAGCTTAAAACTGAAGATTTATAACGCTACTAGTTGAATTCAAGATATTTCACAGGCAGTATCGAGTCTTCTTATATATACCGTTTAAGTATATTTACATAAAGATTGTATAGATGGAGTGCATAAGATGGCTTCATAGCATAGGCGCTAACTAGTACTATAGTCTAAGTTTGCATACGCGTATTTATTATCCGGTATTTCGCCATCAATTCTATTAAAATCTACTTACTGGTTGTTCCATGCATCTCCATATTTTTTATTTTTTTTGGCGGGGGGGCGGTTGAAACCCAAAAAGGGAAAAACTTTTCTTCCCATCGAATTTCTAGAGGCTGGTAATTTAGTTGAGAGGCTGATAGAATCTCAAGAATGAAACGACCGGAGAGTCCATGCCTACTAGAGATGGGTTTAAATTGGACTATTCATGAAGGGCAAACATTCAGGAATATATACTCCTAATTAAATAACTACAGCGTTAACTGACTCAATGGAGAGAGAAGCACACATAATAACTAGCAGTGCAAAGAGTAAGAAAAGGCATATATATATATATATAGTTTATAGAACAAATTGTGCACGTGGGTACATTTCAGTCCCTAGACAAGTGTGTCTATCTTATCGCACAGGGTACAAGTTTATAAATTGCAGCACGCTTTGCATTATCTTTCCTTGCCAAAGCCTTCACTCGCTCTTCTGCTCTCGGTTAGCACTTCAAAAGTGGAGTGCATATAAAATAGCTATCATATCAGACGACCTACGAGGGAACATTAGCCGTAGGTATTGGATAGGGACGGAGTGGGCCGAGTGGAAAGTACACATCGAGGCGATTAGTGATAATATATGTATTATAATAGCAGGCTTGCAGCATCGCTATAAAGCTGTACGAATAGGTTTGCGGAGCGCGCGATCATGTATAGAACGGTTTCTTTAATAGCGTGGATTAGGATGACAGGTAGAAAGAAACATGAGGTCAATGTTTTAAAAGTGAAAACGTGGGCCTAATAGCCGCTTGGGTGTATACGGAAATAGTATCGGAGCATAATTCTCTATTCTAAGAAAATCTTTGCGATCTTTTGATGCCGGATGGAAATAAGCCTTCTAGAAAGACCGCAGTTTCCGAGTTGACACTAGTTTGTGACGGAAAAGATAAGGTAGAATGGAGACTCGAAAGAGTGGATTGCATAGTTTTGGAAGGAAAAGAAATCAGAAAGACTTTAAAAACTTGCAAAGAAACAAAGATATCCCATTTCGAACAGAGTTCTGGCGTTAACCTTCAACTCGGTGATTCCGCTCGATTTTCTATGCCTCTTGTCAACAATTACTCCGTGCGGTGGAGGTGTCCTAAACTTACTTGATTGTGATCAAATGCTCGAAGGGAAAATTCTAGGCCAGGTAGATTATTTGCCATCATGACCGGGCCATGGAGTCAATCCAGCAGCATGTTTACCAATGAGAACGATGTACTCAAGTATTTCTGGTTCATCGCGGAGGGTACCCATCCAACCCAGGTGGTAAATGTATTCTTGGGGGTCTAAGTTTGAGAACCTGAAAATATCACACATATCCGCAAAAGAGTATTGCTGGAGGCAGTCTCGCATCGTAGGATTGCTGATTTTCCAACAGTTTTTAACTAATCGCTTGAAGCATTTGCCAACTTCGGCTGGGAGCGGCTGGTAAGAAGGCCCCAAAGTTAGTTTATATGTCTGTCAGTATTAAGAACGTTTCGGTACCGCTAAAAGCTCCAGTTACTAACCATACGTTGCCTTAACTGCTTGAACAATCGCTCTCTGGAGCGTGAGTCTTCACTTCGGTGTGTGGTGAAGGCCTGTACTTTGAACATAGCGTTGCGAACCTTGGCACTCAACTTCTCGTAACGCTCGGTATTCGGTTGATGAGCAAGCTTATTGGCTGTGGGGACCCGGGGTTGCAAGGCGGCTGGGTATCGTGGTTGATAGGCACGGCGTGAGCCAGCTGGAGCAAGAGGAGAAATAGCAGTCTCTCTCTTAACACGACGGACTGGGGTATGATCGCGTTCAAGATGAGGAATAGCCAATCTTTTCTCAGAAGGCTCGGATAGTTTCTCAAGACGAGAGCCGTTGAAGACAGAGACCTCTAATCCACGAGGCTTAGGAGAGGCCGAATTGACCTGGACTTCTTCATCAGCTGAGGCGAAGTCTTCTTCATCGCTTGAGATGAGGTTTCCTTCATCGTTTGACATTATGCATGAGATGAGGTCTTCTTCATCGCTTGGTTCGAGGCTGCGACTATTGATTGGGATGAAGTCTTCATCATTGACTGGGGCGATGTCTCCAACATCGCCGGGCGTGAAGTCCTCTCCATCGCTAAGGCCTCTGTTTTGGGTAAAGCCTTCGTCATCGAAAATTTTCTCGGCACCGTGTGGGCTTTCGACTTCGTATTCCATAGGAAAGTTGGGATCACTTCCATTTATCATGTTAGTTAGCTCGCATACTAGTTTTCCATTATCAGGGAAGTATACGTAAGATCTTGTGGAGAAGAAAGATTATTCCCCATTTTGATGTGAGCTTCAGGATGAGATTTATCGAATTTTTAAGTCGGAGTTATAGTAGGTACGAATGGTGATTGAAAGGAGAAGGTTGCTTTCTGGCGGTATACATGCAAGACATGGTAAGAAAATAAATCGTGAAGCTTTATCATAAGACCAGTGTGCCATCGTCGATGTGACGTTTTGGGTTATATCAGCGATGCCGTTTGCAATACTTGCGCCGCTTGTAATTGTTGAAATGCGCGGTAAGCGATGACATCGTGGTTTTTTTTGTGGTGTTTAGCAATGTGTTCGTATATAGCTTCATCCTCATTTCTCTTCTTTAAGTCTGGCCTCTTAACTAACGTTAATATGATAACTATCCCTCCACAGATTTGTAAAAGATGAAGATCTTGCACTCTGCTACGATGACATTTCATTCGTGAGAAGTAGTGATAGCAGCTCCAATGGAAGGGAAAACAGTCCTAAGCAAATACAGTTCCATTCGAATTACCAGGGAGGGTACAAGACTAGTCTGAAGCATATGTTCTTTTGTATAGATAGGTATATATAAGGATCGATAACATGAGAAGATTGACAAGAAGGAATAGAATATACCAAAGCAGTCATGACGGTCATCAGAAAACGGCTATGAAGTTCAGCCAAAACAAAAACAAAAAAACTGGAAGGGAAATAAGGAAATAAGGAAATAATGAAAGAGGAGGCTGCTTAGTACTGATAGGCATGTTGAACGCGGGTTCGAGGAAGGCTTTGTGGAAGCACTGGAACCGGAGCCGGCTCTAGAGCTCTAGTTGCATAATGTGGCCTTGGAGGAGCCGACATTATCGGGGCCGGAGCAAATGTTTTGGTGTCGACAAATACTGGTGCTCCGTATTCGTTATATGTGATCGTTTGAGGGGGCGGGAGCATCTTGAATTCCTTCTTTCTTGCCGGAGGGCTGTAACTGATGCCCCTGTCAAGTCGAATCTCTTTTATAGATCGGGCTCTAGAACGACCGCCCTGACTAATGACGGTACTAGCTTCCTCTATCTCGCGGGGCCTTTCGATAACAACCTCACGAGGTCGCTCCACCACCACTGGCTTCTCGACAACGATCTCTTTCGGCCTTACCAGGACCTCCCTAGTTTCCTTGGGCCGTTCGATGACATATCTTTCTTCAGAATCTCGATGTCGCGATGACAGTCGAAGTCGTTCAATGTCGACCTCTGGGCCACTATTTGCATATTTTGATACCTCGCTATAAGGTATTTCCTTGCGGCGGATGGGAATAATAATCTTCTCGTCCTTGATGACTGGGGCTTCAATGGTCCTACGCGGCTGAATTATGGTGACATCTTCCTCGACGACTTCACGTTCGGATGTCGGTCTGACAATCTTGGCTGGTTCGTTGTTTATGGTATCCTTGGGTCGGATAAGGATAACGTCCTGGTCGATTTCCCGGTAGCCGGTACTTGTAACCCTGTTACCACGATCCCGAACGATGACAGTATCGCTCGGGTAAAAGAAACTACCCTTGCGTTCGGTTTCCTTGGGTAGTTCCACAAGAAGCTTCTCACTAACTCTAGACTGACTAGCTGCTCGCCTTCCAGAGAGCTGCTCTACCACCTTTGTGCTAGATACTTCGACTTCTTTTACGTATGCGATAGGGAATATACCCTTCTTGCGGGTGGACAAATTTGTCCCCTTGTACCAGTTTTTATCGACATACCGTTTGACTTCAATGACATCCCCGATTTTTATCTCAAGGTCCCCTTTCTCACTCCTCTCGAACTCATGGACTGGGGTGACAAATTGTGGTGGACTTGAAATTGTCAACGACGAGAGACTATCGCTCGAAGAACTGCTCGAAATCGAATTGGGGCGATGGTGCCTGTGATGTCGCCGATGATGTCTATCGCCATGACGGGAGGAATGGTGTCGGGACGACCGCGCGTGGGAATGGTGCGACCGTGAGCGCGATGTCCTCGTTCTAGAGCTACTGCTGGATCTGGAACTAGACCTAGATCTCGATCGGGAACGGTGGATTCTGCGTTCAGATTGCGATCCATAGCGACCCTGGCGCTCGCGCTCGTAAGGTCGGTATGAAGTCAGCGACAAGTCCGCAATGGAATGGCGGCCGCTGTAATCCTTGTGGTAGCCTGCAAATTGGTGACATCAGAAAGCGAAATTTATAAAATCAGCGTCGGAAAAAGAAGGAGAAGAGAACTTACGATAATCGGAAATCTCATTCGTCGTTCGTTCCTTTTCGACGTAGAAGCGTGGCGACGACATAAAATATCGGTTTGGATTCGCCATTTTTTCCCGGCTGCTTCAGCGGCAAACGCAAAACCGAGCGATCTTCGCGCGAATTCGTGGGCAAAAACTAGGTATTGAAGGGCGAATTGAGGATTAAACTTGGTAGCACTGGGAACAGACACAGCTAGCTATATAACATCAGATTCGGCTTGAAGTTGCACGTTGAAAGTTGGGAATAAATTGTCAGCTGGGAATTAGCGCTCCGCCACAAGCAATGATGATTCCCCCGCAGCTAGACGGAAAGGTGAGATGATGAGTCGCACTTGTTGCAGTCAAACATTTTCGAAGTTCAGCCAGCTGTGCCACGAAATATAAACTTGGCCTTGGATCCTGCATGTGAAACTGTTCGAGAATTCACGATCCCAATTGCAAAACCAGAATAATACTTCTACCGACGACTACATCACTTTTCACCCTTCAGCAAGCCTAAATTTTGATGCAGAACGCCAGACGATGGCGCCCGATGACGTTTAGCTCGTGCGATAACCGTCCTTGATGGCCTGCCATCGTGACGTAAAGATATCGACGCTTATCCCTTTTCGTGGGTCTGCATGGGAGATTTACAGGGGTTGAAAATACCACACGACATGTGCGTTGACATGAGGAGAATGCCAGCCCGGGATCCGGCGTTCGCAGATATCAGTATTAATTTTGACACATTTGATTCATAAAATATTTCTTTATTCCAACGGCATCTTGTATCGGATTATTATTGCATTGCTCGCAAATATAGCTAGCTATCGTGCACTTACATACCAACAGCACCAATGCCACTCTGTGGGTTGGCTCCCGTGGCCCCAGGAGCTACATACCGAGGATGGCCTTGATCTATCGCTAATTTAATAATGTCCTGTCGGTTGTCGGGACAAGTAGGAGGAGGTGTTCCATCCAGAGCAGCCTTGTAAAAGTCCAAAATCGAGTAATGGCCCCAACCACGGTCGACCAGGGATTGGACCTCATCATCGCTGATGCCGTTCCTTAATGTCAACAAATTCTGCACACATTCCGCGTAGACATTGTACTGCCTATCTGCTAAATTTCGTTGAGATTTACTTATGGTTTCAATTGCTATCGGAGTCATGAGCGGAATTGGTCGTAAACCGACGGCGGGGCTTAGATCTACCTGGGGCTCTGGGACGACCATCAGCTCAGCATCTTCGTCTCCCCCCTGTCCCTGAGGACCAATTTGCTCATCTTCATCCTCATCTATATCCACTGCAAGCTCTTGGGTCCTAAAATCTGGTGTCACGGGAAGTTGATCGAAACTTCCGGGGGTAAAAATATCAAGCGGCGGTGCCAGTAACTCGTTAGGGATATCTTCTTCGGGCCAGTCGCCGCTAATATCATTTGCAGGGGCAGTTTCTCCTGCAACGTCATTGCCGGCGAGGGTATAAAAGCTTCTAAACTCCTCGTGTGGATCTCTATCGATTTGATGGAGAATGTCCTCCATATTCGGCGGTTGAATATGCAGTCTTGCCGGCCTGAAGATGCTGGGTCTTTTAAGCTGAGATATTCGGGCACGAGGCTCAAAAAGTCCATTTCTGGTGAAGTCGTTATCGTCTTCACCTTGGTTGAGAATAGAGTCATCTCTTGATTCTGGTTGGTATTCAGGCTGTAGTCTTCTATGCGAAGAGAAAGGATCGGTCCAACCACCCACCGGCTCGTCATCCATATTAAGCGGTGGAATTTCAATAGTCGGTTTTTGTTCTAGCTGTGCTCCTAGCATTCGCCCAAAGACGCTGGCAGCAGCCCTGCAGTATCTCGCAAGACGGCCACAGTTATATCGGGACTTTGGAGCATCCGGTTCTGTCACTTTTTCTACGTCTGGTTCATCGATCTCAGTGAATCCTAAGCTTTCCACGCGCAGCTCGGCTAGTGGTTGTTTGCCGTGGGTTAGTACTAATGAGGGTTCTCGGACGAGCTCATACAATCCGTCTCCTATCCCTGTTGGGAAACCCTTTTTGACTACAGTATGTCAGTGATAAGTACTACGAAGTCATGTGTGTTTAGGGTAGAATTGCATCCATACGAAAAAGGTTTCGGTGTTCAGCGTCCGAAGGACCATAGAACTCCAGGGTGTCTCCGACTTGGATAAAATCATCTGGCGCATTCTTATTAATTTTTTGGTAAACGCCATCGCGCTTAACGCGAAACCTTCGAATTCAGATTTTTTAGTATGCTGTCTTTATTGACGGTTTAAACGACGAACTTACTCCGTCCGAAAAATCTCTCCAGGCTCCAAACGTCCAAATTGTAATCTGTTTTCAGGATCAAGGGTATTTGTAATACCACCGATACCCGAATCCTCCGCCCCACCAGTAAGTTGTATCAAAGTTTCACCCGTGGGAGTCTCCATCTTCGGCGAGAGCTCCCAGTGCCACCCAGGGATACCATCCGGGCAGGGTCTATCCTTAGGATCCACGAGGGTTAGGCCGTGGTTGTAGCTTTTATTTAAGATTGCGCCCATAACCCAGCCATCTGTTCTTGGTTTACATACTATACACTCATAGTAAGATCTCTAAAAGGACAGTCTTTTGGTTGGTACGGGAATACATACATCTTAGGCTGGGGATGTCAGCTGCATCTTTGCCGAGGGGTACGGCGGTTATAACTAGTCCCACGGCATCTCGTGCAGATAAGCAGAAGAGTACGACTCTCAGGATAGGGATCTGCCAACGCATTCTTGATACTTGCATATGATGTCTGCGGTACAGAACTTGCCAAAGCTTTTAACTTTTCGGATTCGACTGCTGAACAGGTGATATTTGCATGGCATATCGTGGCAACCCACCAAGGCCATTACTGAGAAAATTTATTGACTTAACTGGCATTGCAATTAATTAATAGGTTTGAATTTACTGTTTCCGTAAGGTTAATGATGAGATTGTACATAATATTGTGCTCAAAGAAGAGAAAGCTCGCAAATTTGCGGTAGCAGCGGCCATGACACTAAAGGATTTGTTGCATTTGGGCATCGGGCCGCGGGCCGAGCTGCGACAGGCTCATCATTGAATTAGTATCGGTCTATCAATATATATAAAGTTTTAGAGGCCACATTCTGTCGTTTTTCGAATTATTATTACAAGAATAGACTAATACTAAGAACGCATCATATAGGAATAAAGATAACTAAAACTGCAAGTGTTACCGTTCATATAACGATGTATATTATTGCTTTACTGATTTCCCTTTTCGTCCTTTCGACGAACTGTTTCGACCTCAAATCTTTCAAACGTTGGTTCCGCATTACCACCACCCCCAATGAACTCCTCCTCTTCAATAAATTCCCCCTCAACATCCTTCGGCTTGGCCAAATAATTCTTGATACTACCTGAAACTTTGTCTCCAGCTTTTCCAAAAGACTTGGTGAGTTTACCGAAAAGCCCCTTTCCCATTCGACCAAAAGTACTGAGTTTGCTTTGCTCAGGGAACATCTGCTCGTAAACTTTATACTCATCTTTGTCAATATAGTCTAAGTTAAGACCCTTCGTATCACTTTTTTGTTCTTCGAAGATGGAATCTTTATTCTTCCCGCGGTCTCCAATGATGCGGAACTCGACTACGGGTGTAGTCTTCGTAACAGGCAGTGCAGAGCCACGTCCGATATGCCAGTAGCTACCCTCCCCGCCGAAACTTTGGACTATATTTACTCGCGTTAGAGGATGTAAATTCTGGTTCCCGACGGAGCTAGTTGAAGACTTACGTCTCAAGACACGTTGCTCGGCCTTAGTTCCTCCAATTCCGACGAAATCCAAGAGATCTGCCGTCTTTGCAGCTGTACTGTCGCTGAGAGCTAGGTTTTTACCATTCCTCACAAGCGTAAATCTGTATTCCAAATAAGGCCGTTAGATATTCGAACACAAAGTCGTTTTCGATACCCTCCTAGCTTCCTCATAGAAGTATTATCAACTTACGGCGCATCAACAAAGCCACCTTCGTAATAACCATACGAGAAGAAAGTATTTTGGATATTGGAATCATAGGTTATAACTGGTCTGGGGCTTTTGATTCCAGTTGACTTATCCACAACAGACTTAGAATTAGTACCGGTAAGAAAGAATCTACTGATTTCTTCTCCCATGTCCAACATTCTGTCGCCAGGGACTTGGAATGTCCATTGATCGGCGTCAGCACCATCTTTTTTGTCGCATTTGGTGTCCATGTCGGCCGCGTAGATACCCCATCTTACACCTAGCTTCGGGTGACATACTAAAAATAATAAGTACGGATTTGAGCTACGTTCGTCTCGTTCCTGATATATGGAGGCAATTAGGCCCAATCTTACTTACGTATCCAGCTGGGTTCAATTCTTCCCCTCGGTTGTTCTATATCCAACGCTTTGTCATAGATTCCGATGCGGAAGGCGAGGCCTAGAGATGCAAAGACTTGGAGGAACCCGAGGGTTTCGATTTTGCTAAAGTGAACCATCTTGATTTATTTAGGTATATCCAGTATCGATATAGTCTATACTGTAAAGATGTTAGACAGGAGGTACTAAAGAGTATAAATTCTTTGCCCTTCCAGGTTGCCCACGCGATAATCGTCAAAAGCATTTTGATATGCGCATGTTTTGTTCTATGGGTCCCAAACTGGGGTTTCTGCTCTAATTAGAATTATATATCTCACGCAATTGTCGGACAGTCTGCAACCACACTACTTCTGATATGTTACCACCATGAACGGTAGAAAAGACGGGACAGACTAGCACGCTGACAGGGTGTAGCGGCCGAAACTTAACATTATCGTAGCGTCCTTGCGACAAGTTGTAAGAAGCTTAGTACATTAAATGTTAACATACATAAAACAATTGAAGTTTAAGTACTATTACTTTCATCAGCGACCGGCCAGGGTAGTATTGGCCCTATGTTTCCCGCTTTTCTCCTCGTAGCCGATTTCAAAAAGACGGGCTGGTTAGAAATACCTTTAACGGGTTGTGGAGGGGCCCAGCGCTGTTGTGTGCTCATTCCAATAGCTTCATCGAACCCCGCATTAATTTCATTTCCATATGCGGTGGGCGTATATGAAACGGAGCCTAAGTTTAGTTGCGAGCCGCTAGTATCAAGTGTCGTTTCTTCCGGACTGTTCATGAGGATTCGATCGGTTATATCACTGTCTCCTAGAAGTCTAGATGCTTCCTCGGAATTCTGGTAAGGACTAATCTGAACATCCGAAATTTGTAATATTTCATCCGTTTGAGGATCATATCCATCTGCTCCTGGTTGCGGATAACGATATCCAGCCGATAATCTGAAGGGGTCTTTTGGAATGATAGCCGGAGGAGTTAATATAGAATCATACCTCTTGCTACCGGTAGACCAATCCGCTTGTTCGATGAAGGCGTCACTGTCTTCTGGGCTAAACATTGCGATATCTTCACCTACGTCATCTGACATCGTATCAGGGGTTCTTTGGTTAGGTCCGGCCCATTCCCAAGTCTCTGTAGTCGGATTATATGTCGGAACCCCAACGTCATCAGAGCTATCTGTTTCATCCGACTCTTCGTATATGGGTAAGTTGCCTTGTCCAGCCTGTTCTGGGTTTGGTGCAACCCGAAGAGTCATAGTCATAGGATCCAATGCCGTCCTAGTAGTGTAGAATACACCTTTTGGCTCGTCTCCTTGGTCGGTTAGAAGAGTCCCTATCCAAAGTATTAGAGCTGGGCTTGAATAGATAAATTGCAAGCTTTTTTTAAGAAAGTTCGCCCTGACCTTCAAGTTTATATTGGCCTGGTCGGTCCATAGATCCAAATAATACCAAGTGATCTCCAGAGCGTATCCCTCGGCTTCCCCCTGATATTTTCTTTGGGATCATAGGAGAGAATCTCAATGGAATAGCTATATTAGCTAAAGTTACCGGAGAAAATAGTCGGACAAGAACTCACATCGCTTTATGAAACTGCGAGTTCGTCCCCAACCTCCCAACCTTCAATGCCGCCCTTTTCTTATCCCCGACAAGCACAATAGATTCTCCTCCAATTGTGTCGAATGAGAAATATTCATATTCTGGGTTCAAATACCGGTTAGGAGTTTCCCGCTGGGCCTGCCAAAAGGAAAGGCCGCCGAGGTGTTCGCATGTAGTTGTTTCTTTGTTAGCTAGGGATACGATATTCCCCATTGACTTGACACCATAGCATACTAAATCACAACAGAAGGATATTGGATAAGTTCTGACTGGCTCTTTTACAATAGTCATTATGGAGGATATGACAGGCGGGCTTACGTTCATAGACTTGGCCTTGGAACGGGCTCTGACTGGTCGAAAAGAAGCCTTCTAGAAAGGTTGCGACGGCTAGAGTGCCACGCAGTTGTAGCGTGGTGATTTGTGCTAAAATCAAGGCAGCCCGGAATGACATCTTGGCCTCCTGGTTCAAATATGGAGAGTGTGCAAGTTTGTACCTGGCCAGTACCCTCGAAGTAATAGTTGGAGAATCACTACCAATAAAGAGAGCTCAACTAGAGGACAGTATAGTTTGTACACTGCTTTCGTCGCCATTATGGAGTCGTTTTATTCCACGTTAACTATGGTTGCTGCTTCTGGAATCTACCCGGCTCAGAGGCTAGGAATCCGCTATTTTGAGGGGGAAGTTTTTAGCACATGCACCATGCATATGTGCTGTGCCGGTGACCGGTGCGTTGGGTGTTGGCGTTAGGCGGCACTACCACGTTTGTCAGGTTTGTCGTTACCATGTTGGGTGTATTTCCTAATCCGGAAGACTCGGCTTTGGCGTGACCATAAATGCGGCGGGGCAGAAAATATCTGAGCACAACGCAGTTTATGAAAGCCTAAATAGTAGGCTTGGCAATGCCAACTGCCAGATTAGGTAGTGCCACAGAATACCACAGTACAACACAGCTCATTGAGCTAACAACACATCCCACTCGGCAAACTACAAAAAAGCGTCTAGACACAGTTCTAGAGAGTCCCGTTCCCCGGAATGCCTACAAAGCTGGAAATCACGTTGCTATACAAAACTTCCATCCGCTCAGACTCTTCCATCCCCTCTAACCAACCCTTCATCACTATCTTGCCTGCAGCTTCTGTTCCCAGAGCGCATAGTTTTTGACCACCAACACACACCAAATATGCAGAACTACTACGAGATCCTTAGAGTGCCGGAAACGGCATCTCCTGATGAGATTAGGAGAGCGTGGAAGATAAGGGCCCTTGAGATACACCCAGACAAGAATTTCGGGGACTCGGGGGCGACGGGGGCTTTTCAGAAGGTAGGTTGAAAGCACTCACTAGGAGGTTGAATTAGAATATCGTTGCGACTAGTGCGAAGTATTTACAGTATAATGGCAGTTTTAACCCTCGAGGGGCTAGTTACTTCTGAAGGATTGTTAGATCGGATTCTATTAAACATAGCTGTAAATTACATAATAGCTAATTGTTTTTATCTATACAGCACCAGGAGGCCTGAGTGCCTCATAGACCCTAGGAAGAGAGGGGATTACGACCGGAGAGCGAGGCCGGCCGCAACACCGGCTGCCTCTGCTCGTAAAACCTCAAGGGGGGGAGGCACCCCTTTTACCGCCCCCGAGCCTGGGCTTTCCACAGAAGAAGAATCTTTCCGCCGGAGGTGGTGGATGCATGAAATCATGCGACCACAAATGCCGAGGGAGCGAGAGTTAATTTTCTTCTTGACTCGTAAGCTCGACCACCTCCGGCAAAGGGTCGCCCAATACGAGGCGAAAATTGAGAGCTGGGAGGAAAGAAGGAGGAAGAAGGCATGGTCGCTCTTCTTGGGGAGGAAAAGGGCGGGTGGGCAAATGTTTCCCACCAGGCTCGAAGGCCACACCAGGAAGGAGCTGAATGCACACAAAGTAGGAAGCATTACAAAGCACATAGCCGATGCTGAAGAAACTCATAAGGACCTTACTCGTTCGCAAGCTGCCGTTTATTGGTGGGAAAAGAGTGAGGAGGAAATGCTGAAGCAGAAGAAAGATCTGGAAGAGATTATGGGGCGAGGACGTGCCGCCAGAGAGAGTGCGAAGGAGAGAGAGGAAGAAGAGCGGAAGGCAGCAAAGGAAGAAACCCGCAAGGCAGCCGAAAAAGAAAATCTGAGGAGGAGGAGGAAGGAGGAGGAGAGGAAGCAAAGAGAGCAGGAAGAGAATGAGAGAATGAGAAAGGATGAGAAGAGGGGGAGGGAACAAGAAGAACAGGAGAGAAAGAGAAGAGAAGAAGAAGAAAGGGAAAGAAGAAAAAGAGAAGAAGAAAGAGAGGAGAGAAGGAGAAGGCACGCAGAGGCAGCGGAAAGGAGGCGGAGGGTAGAGGAAGAGGTGGCGAGGAGGAGGAAAGAGAACGAAGATACGGAGAGACAAAGGCTGAGGAGGAGGGCGCCAGGAGGGTCGAGGCCGAGGCCATTCGCCTCACCAAGAGGAGGCAGAACGAAAGAATGATGTCTGTCGCCACCAAGGATGGTGGAAGACAATCTCAACTCCGTAAAAATAATGTCAAGTTTGTCACCAGACAAGAAGGGTATTCATTCATGAATGCCCTGGTTGCGAGCTCAGGGCCTGCCGTGGATGCAGAGATAGCCTTGTTAAATCGAAGTGGGTGAGGCGGTTTATTTACATCGAGCGAGGGGAGTCGTGGGACCGGTGGTAGGGAGTTACTCACTTCGGCCAGAAGCGGGGCTATTACCTACACATATTATGCGTAGGGGAGGAGAAATCAAAATCATAAATGAAATTCAGACACCACTCTATAGTGGCAAGTTTCCCGGCTCAGTATGATTATATCTCCAACGTAAGCTCGAGTTCCTTTCGTTAGTGTCCATCTTCCAGGGTTTCAAGAGCCCGTTTGTACATCTCCGGTGTAAAGTCCAACCTAAAGCATGACTGTATCAGTAAATTCTAGTGTATAGTAGCATTAAGTCATATTCAAATGTGAATTGTGAAAGCCTAGTGGTCATTTTAAACTTTAATAGATTTACCGTAGATTATATATATTGCTTGTCTCGTACCAAGACCTGGATTCAAAGATATATTGCGACACTGAAACATTGCTAATATTAATTTCAGCTCTTCCTAACTCAGAATTATACACAAGAAGCGCTTAAGCACTACGGATCCCTCTTCTTATGGGCCCATCTTAATGTAGATTATAAGTAGTGGTTAAGCTTTTAATTGGTCTCAGGGCCAGACGCTCGTATATAATATAACTGAAAGTCACTATTTAAACTATCCCATTATTCGGTCAGTACTAGTTGGTACTATTTGTTGTGGCTCGAGTGTAGCTGCATGGAGCCTGCATAACGTGCCTGAAAGCAATCTGTGCCACCCAATACCAGGAACCTCCACCGAAAAACACGTGGCGGGAAAATAGTATAAAGATGGCGCGGAGTCTAGCATGCATAAGGCTCAAAAACCTAAACTGAACTTCCTCTCTAAAATCAATACTTTCTTTCGTAGAATTACATCCATTTTTCAGATATAGAACGTTTACACTCAGTATTTAACGTAGCTAGTGGCAGCTAATGGCAGCTCTATGTCATTAAACATCATCAAACGAAAAATTTAAACCCATTACACCAAAAACCACGAATTCCGCGAAAAATAAATTTAATTAAATGTCTCGCAGCTTTTCCGGTTCTCCGGTCTCAAGTGGGCTAGGGAGACAATTGCACTCAACAGACGACAAAACCGAGGTAGAAAACAAAGGATCTAAGCAAGTTTCATTTGTAGGGTAAGTAACGGGGATTCCGTACTTCAAATAGATGACTCTTCCTACGTCAGTGCGCTGGCAGTCCATGCTATATCACTAACCTTGTTGTTTAACAAACTAGTATAGTCTGATCAACGATGCCCGATTCTCAGATGTTCAAGTCGTCGTTGGTCCAGAGGAGGCAGTATACAGTCTCCATCGAAACTTTTTGGCCTACCGCTCTGATTTCTTTAGCCGCGTTCTTGATCCTAAATGGAAAGAATCTAAAGACGGGATGGTCAGACTTCCGGAGATACACCCACCGGCTTTCCTAGCAGTGTTGACTTGGATCTATGGCGGCGCATTCTCGATTATCAACCATACCGAATATCTTGCGGAGATATACAAGGCGGTGGATTACTTACAAATCCCGGACTTCAAAGAATGTTTCTTTGAACAACTTATTTCGGCAGTCGCGAAGGATTCTTCGACATCAACAAGGCGAGCTGTGACTCAATGCATTATTCCGAACGCTTTCACGTTGTTGGGGAAGTTTCTAGCGGCAGCACCGGAAACAGATCATCCTACCCTTCAACAGTTGGCAATCACACTTACTGCCTTTTTTGAGGTCCCCTGGGAAGAAATTCATCCATTTGTGGCTCAAGAATCTGAAGGCGTAAATGCGAAAGTGTTGTTTTATATGGTAGCAGTTGGATTGGATGTTTCTGATGGGAAGAAAAACATACCAAAAGTATTGGGAGGGCCGGATATATTGAAGGGTTTAGCGAAGGCAAAGACTCGGGGGGAAACTCTTTCAAGTGTCAGTTCTGGGTTTCGGTTAGAGTCTCGAAATTATTCTTTCGGCGGGGCAGGCTAAATATATGTTAGGTACCATTTCAACAAGCTTCAATACGACTAATCGGTAGCAAAAGCCTGGCCAATGGGTTTTATTAGTTATTTACAAAATTCCGAGCACCTAGCGTTGTTAAATAACTAAAGGATCGTGAAAAGCGAGTGTGAAGGAAAGTCTTTGAACTGTCATTATAAGTTTTTTAGCTATCTATCTGATGAAAAGATAGAATTAATTACATATTAGGATTTGTCAAACCAGGGCCGGCCGACTTGCAGTAGTTCTTTGCTGTACTATAGCAAAACAAAATCAGAAAATCAGAAAACTTTTTTAGATACCGCCCATTGCGATATTCCTTTTTCCCGTCCAGGCCGTTAAGATTTTTAAAATATAAAATATAACCCAAAAGAATGTGAAATGAAATCAAGCAAAGAACTTTTTGTATCCCATTAATTAACCCCCGCCATTAATCCGTTGTTATGTCGTGCCGTCCGACTTTTTGTGCCCCGTGTAGTAACCAGTAATCCAATTCAATCCCATGAAAAATCAAAAAACTTTTATTTGTTGTGGTTGAGCAGTGTTTAAGTGGTGCGATAATAGTGTAGACCAGTGGAGTTTGAGTACCAATATAATAGTCAGTTAAGCGGCATAGCTTGCAGCGCGAGACTCGGACTCAACAAGCTTGAGCTTGATTGGGATACCAGCAGCAGTAACGCAGCAGCTGCCATCCCACCACATAACATTCCATTGTCCGTCTTGCTGACCGGGGAAGGCATACCATCTCTGCTCAAAGTTGTAACCAAGGAACTTTCCAGCAGCTGGGGCGATTTTGACCGATGGACGACCCATATTGAAGGTCCATCCACCTTCCATAACATTATCACCGTACTGCTTTCCAGATCGCTCGGGGTCAGAGAGGAATGCGAGACGAAGAGCGGAGCCACCGACTAAAACGGCTGGGGTATCGATGATTCCGACTGGGTAGCCGTGGAGAGACCAGGACCAGGTGTCATCTTTACCGGTGGCGTAGAAGCGGACGGCGTTTCCAGACTCGGGTTTTCCGAGTTTGGCGAATGGGCCCTCGAGAGAAACAGGCATGCCATTGAAGGGTTGGCCGGGAGCTACTGCTTCTAAAGTGAAGCTTGGGACTGCGGCGACAGCGGCCATGGTGGTGGAGATGATGGCAGAGAGAGTGACGAAAACTTTCATCATTTTGGTGGTCTTAGGAGGATTAAATTTGAGGTAGTGGAATATAGTATTCGAGGTCGAATTGATCGAGAAAGTGGGAGCGTTTGAGTTTGAGGTAGTTGATAGAAGATTGGGAGGCTGATGCCAAAGACTTTTATAGGTGTGTGATTGAAGATGTAAAGCTAAGAGCTTGAGAGCCGTTGTATTGTTGAGTGATGATTGAATGATGTTCTGAAAATAAAAGTTCGATTGAGATGGGATTCGATTCTCTTTTATAGACAAATCCACTAGATCAAGCCCATAAATTTGATGCCTGAGCTTAATCTGGATTAGCATTGGCGAAAATTTTGATTTCAAGGTAGTCGAGAAGCTAGAAGTCGAGATCAGGAGAGAGACCTCATCTAAGACTTTTCCCGATCCCGACGCTAAAGGACCCTTATCCTAGCCCCTGTAGGATATCCGAGTTTGCCATCTACATTTCAAGGGTCACCCTATAATTCCGCTACTACTGTTAAGAATCGGAATGAGCGATAACCTGATAGAGGGATTACCTATACCCAGAATCCATCCTTGTACTCAATTTTCTTCCTTTTTTTCTGGTCTTTGACACTAAATATACACTGCCCTGCGTTAGCGAGGAAGCAACTTCCCTTAGTGGCAGCCTTAATGGGTTCCCTCAGCTATTGAAAGAATTTTTTTTGCAATACGAGGACGGTAGGCTAGACTATAATAGAGAAGCCGATGATATCCTCCTCGCCGACCCAAGGTTCACCGTTGCCTTGTGGGATTTTTTCGGGTCAGCTTTGGGTAGAAATTTCTGGTAGATGCTTGGCTGGAGCTCAGCTTTTCCAGCTAGTTCATGGGCATGATAATTTTTTCTCTCTCAAAGTCTTTCGCATTTTCGTGGGTTGTAATTCCATAGTGCATTGAAGCATGCATATACCGCGGAGATCAATGCCGTCGAGGGTCAATATCAATTAAAGATATCGATCCTAGGAATGATCTGTAAGATTGATCCTGATGCTCACGCCCCATCGATGACGGTCTGATATCGCCATTTCTTTATTATTTGATGTGAACTAGGCTGGCGGGTACGAAAGTCATCTATTAACCAATAAATATCCGGATAGATGGGATATGATACATATTTCCAGATACATGAATTCACGGTATGTTAACACTACATTAACACGCCGCTAACAATCTTCGATCTTCTAGAACACTTAGAAGTGGCAATAAAAACATCTAGCTAGCCGGCCTATCACCCTACGTCAAGAAATCGAATGACTCCATGATCCGGCTGAGCATGAGAATCAAGTTTTTTTCTCCTCGAATTCTGGTTGGATGCGAGTGTGAAGTCCTCTGAACTTGACAACTGAAATGGTCCTTTTTTGATTCTAGTAGCATCTGGCGGCCCTCTTCCCCTTTAACGGCAGTTGATATATCGATTCCCACTGCGCCTTGGCAGCGAGCCAGCTTCTTTTCACATGGATTAGGAGAGTCTGGCCTGCCATTTCAACAACACACTGTTCCCAACATGTCGTTCACGCCTACCCGATTAGGAAAGGTTGACGGAACATGACTTGGGGAAAGAAGTCAGGCTACTATCTGCCATTGGTAGCCGATAGGCATAAGCCTCAAAATGGGGTTTGTCTTTGAGTCTTGTGGTATTCATGAGCTATAATTCGGGGTAGGAAATTTTTACAGATTTTTCCCCTCTGTTTGTTGTGCTCCTCCAGCTTGACTGGGAAGCCGGGCAGGAAGACTAATCAATAAGACGAGAAAGGTTATCACGATATCTACGGGCCGGGTAGGAACCGGGAGGAGTCTTTGATCCTAGCTACCCGAGTGCGATTTCTAAATCCTTGCATTTTCGCTTTTCTGTTTTCTCGTATGACGACGTTATTTGTCGGGAATAGATGGCAGCTAGATGATCGGACTACTTCAATCGGAAATCATATCATCATATTAACGAAGTTCATGACGGTAATCATATCAGGTTGGTATGTATTTCGGCCGACTTAGTACCTTTTGATCGCTGATTGTGTCCATTTAAAATATAGTTATGACTTCGAGCCTCCGTCATGAAGATCTATGAGCTTCTATGTATTTGCGCTACCAGGGGCGTTAGCTTGGCGAGTTTAGCTAGGGACCTTGCATCTATAATGGTATTATGGCGAGAGCCGTATGTCGTATTCGCTACGAGATGGATCGGCAGCATAGTGAAGTGTAGAGGTTGTGAGCTCATGAGTATGGGCATTTGGGTATCGCCGCCTCCCGACCCGGGATGCATTAAGCTTTTTAGATGTGTGCATTCACCAATAATACTCCGATGGTTAGTTAGTGTGAAGATACGAATTATGTGGGGGTGAATGGACATGCACTAACTGTTCTTCATCATAATGGGATTGTTTGTAATCTCATATCCCGTTTATATATATGTATTATTGGGGTTGGAACAACATCCTATGAAATGTCCGATCCATAGCTGTCAAAATTATGACTTTGTGAGAAATTGTATCATACCATGAATAAGGATGCATCGATGATGTAGACGTCGGCGGCGGTATATAGCACAGGAAGTCCAAGTTGCAATGCAACGTCGGGGTTACACGATAATTACTTCTGAGTATCATACTAATGACAAGCGTATTAATACGTATTTCCCTGTGATGGAATAGATATTTCAGAAATAATAAAAATTGTCTAACAAACTAGTACATAGACATCAATTTCGATCTCGCATTTGCCAAGGTTGGAATTGAATAAGACAAGGATCACATGATCTCGAGAGAACGACGAGTGCGCAGTCAGAGACTAAGATAGCGTAACGTATTATGTACCCCACAGATGAAAACAAGGAACTAATATAATGTTCGCACCCTCAAGCCATATGAACGAGCTGAATAGCCAACGAATAGCTCCGTGGGAATACTCATTGTGCAGCTAATGACCGAAAAATGCTGAGGCAGAAAGCTCGACCGATCGGGAATACCACTCGTGCCAAAGCTGTAAGGCCAACACTGCACATATGCACAGCTAAACCTCAGGAATTTGCAACATGCAGCTAGTGTTTAGCTTCTTTGTTTATTGCTTGTCACAATTCACGTTAGGATGCCTCATGAGGAGAACCCAGAGTTATACCATGGGAGAGAAAAGAAACCTATATATAGCGTGTCGCCGACCAATTATATTAGCTAAGTCCGAGGAGAACACTCGATACATCCTACCGCCCACACCCGCCGGCATAAATAGCATAGATATTAATACATGTAGAGGACAGGGGGGTTCCGAGGCAAGTCAAGCCGAGGAACCGCCATGGTCACACATACATGAAAAGGACACCAGCCACAGACACACCTTCAGCCACAGTTTGGGGGGCTGGTGAGTGCCTAAGATGGTGTTGGTCAGCCCCCAAAAGACCAGAAACTCGAACATCGCGTCGAACAAAGAGACGTCGATGGACTAAAAGAAAAAAATCAGAGAAAATCATAGAAAATAGCAAAAAATCCGCTGAAAGCAGTAGATAACGCGGCAGTTTCAGGACTTGATCGGGGCCGAGGTTTTAGTTTGTTGTGGGAATTTCTCCCTTTTTTCCCAATTTTTCTTTTTTGTTTTCTTTCTTTTCCTTTTTTTTTTTTTTTTTTTTCCTGTGCCCGCCCACCAAATCTCGCACCCTTTTTTTTATTTCCTTTTCCCCTTTCAAAATTCACAGAAAATCCAAATCTCCTCGCAAACCTCCAAAAAATCATCCAAGCCGAAGTTTGAACGCGTATTTTTTTGTCCCGATCGCGGTTTTGCCCGGTTTCCAACTCTGATATCTTTTAATCTCGTCGAATAAGTATCTTTCTATCTGCAGAAATCATGGCTGCCACCAAGCTCGGGAATCTAGGTGAGTTCGCGTTTCTCCCAAACGGAAAACCCCAAGCAAACCATACACACCACCACCAATCGCGTAACCCCATCCATATCCCTTCTCCCCGCAAAAAGCTGAACAAGACAAGATCATATATCACACTGGTGTGTGATAAGAAGAAAAAGATAAACATTAGAAGGGGAAGGGGAAGGGGAACTTCTCGAGCTAAGGCTGACGTGTTCCCTCGTCATCGGCTTTTTGCTTCGATAATTCTTTCTTTATCATAAAATTAAAGCTGCCGACTTTGCATCCGCGGCCTTCAAGTCCGCTACTTCTGCTCTTGCTTCTCCAACAAAAAAGAATATCAATTACTACCAAAATGATAACGCGAAAACTGTTGCTGATATCAAGTCTTCATTATTGCCCATTGCTCTAGACGTAGATAAAGCTGCTGATAAGGCCGCTGATTCTAAAACCGACACTACTGGTGATGCCTCCGCCCCTGTCAAACGCGGTCGCGGTAGACCACCAAAGCCCGGTGGACCTGCTCCTAAGAAGCCAGTCGTCCTAACCGCTTCTGGTGAGCCAAGGAAGAGAGGTCGTCCACGTAAAGAGGAGGGCGCTGAGCCTAAAGCTAAGGTTGCGAAAACAACTAAGACCACTTCGCCTGCCGGTGAGAAACGTGGTAGGAAAAAGAAGGAAGATGCACCTGCTGCTAAGAAGGCCGCTGCCCCCAAAAAGGCTGCTGCTACTACTTCATCTCGACGTGGAAAGAAGGAGGAGAAAGAGGTAGAACCTGAAGAGGAGGATGCTGAGGATGATGGTGAAGACGCTGAGGATGATGATGAGGAGGAAGACTAGACAGTCTTTTTTTTTTAAAACGTCGTACCTACTACATCATTTTGGCTAGTATGGTGGAGGATTATAATCGACATCTGTGTTTTTGTGCTCAGCCCGTCCCCTTTTTTTGGTCGCACATTCTGCATTTTATTCTTAACGGCGCTTTCTTGATTATTATTTTTGGGTAAAAAGGGAAATTGTTCAAGCACTTTTTGTCCAGAAATTCGCATGAGCGCCCTCGTCTAGCTGCCGATCGGGCTTTTATCAATATCGGCCCCCTGTTGTTTTGTCGCTTTTTCTTCGCTTCTTTTATGTACTTATCAATCAGTGTCCTACACATAATGAACTCGAATTCTAGACTACTCATACAAATCATCATTGATATCAAATCAAGTTACTCGATCCTACAATTCCGATTAGCGACTCCATGTATACCCTGCAGGCGACCAAGCTGGTCGGGAAAGAGGGGTAAAACTTACTTGACTTTCTTATTGCTGGGCTCTGGATAACCCAATAGATAAATATCAATAGGCTCACACAAACTATCCGGCTGCAAACCATCCAAATTCAGGGTCGACCCGCTGAACCCCCAATGTGCAGGGTTAGATTTCCCTTCGTGCTCGGCATCTCCAGACCAATTCTCAAAGTCGCTGTTCTTCACGCACACTATATTTCAAAAGTTATCAGAATATATATGCTCTTATTGTAGAGGTCGGGGTTTACACACTATGAAACTTCGGAGGGCCCCATTGTCCAGGCGCTGTCATAGGTATTTGGTCCCTCGGCGGGAGTATCACATACTGAGCGATGAACACAACATCGAACACCACCGGTTTATTATTCTTCACAATCCGAAATCTAAATTCCACTCATCAATACAATCTCCCTATCTTCCTCACCAAACAACCAAGAACTCGAACTAAATTTAAGAAAGAAAAAATACGTACCCAGCATTATTATACTTCCCAGCATCATACATACTCTTAATATCAACCCACCTCACCGACGAAGTCGTACTAACCAATCGCTCATATGGAACCCATCCTTGAGGCTCTGTATAATCCAGCCAATGGGAGGCGATAACGACAGTGCCGGGCTTTGTGGGCGATGGAGTAATAACCCAGGTTCGACGGCCGGTAGGGTCCATACTTATGGTAGCTTTGTCGTGGATCGTTACGGAGTGGTATTCATATTCGAAAGTTGCTATTTTTATATACAGATATGATCATGAGTATCGTTTCTATGAATTAAAGTGTGTATGGTTGAGGGAGGATTGATAAGGGAGAATACCGTAGAATTCGCCGAGCGCCTTGTTTTGAGGTTTTATGCCGATGAAACCCGTTAATTCTGTACTAGAGACGAGGGTGGAGATAGAGAGAAGGGAGAGGAGAGTTGAGAGGATCATTTTGAGTAGATGTTACGAAGAATACAAGTGTATATATAGAATATGCTGATTGGATATTGATTAAATTAATGGTGCTGAATCTTCGAGTCCTTACCTTGGTTGATTGTTCCCCGGTAAGAGATTTACTTCTCAACTATCTACATATAACTAGGGGACAAAACTTCTAATGTTGATATCAGATTACTCGCACAGGGGCCTAAAATTCTAGCTGCGGAGAGTAACTATCGTGAGTAGCACTTGGTTACTATATATTCCCAACGGAAATATTGTAACAGGAAGGCTGGGGGAGATATTGACATTGTCAACAAAATTTAAAATGTCAAGATATAGATATCGTTAGCATATATTTGATAGTGAGTATTGATTTATGAGATAGCTGAGAATTGACTAGAAGCTTAATATGTATCTTTTATTCTGTCCTTAATTAAGTTTTATTTTACAATTTTAAGTCCGTTGATGGGAATGAACTGAAGTGTAATGGTACTAGACACTTTTCTATAAAAGGAAATAATCAAGCTTTTTTTTGTGGTCCTCTCCACGCAGTACATATATAGCGATACAACTCCTCGGCGCACAGAACAAGGCTTCAGTATGATATAATCTGCGGAATCTATTATTCGATTATCAATTTAAGGCAAGAGGGTGTAAAGCATCACATGAGAAGCACTAGTTGGCAGAGCCAGAGACGCCGACTGCGTACATGTACGTACATGACATATCGATATGTACTTATGCACATACGGAATACGGATGCATCGCGGAGCCTCGGCATTAGCTGAACTATGCACCACTAACTAAATCCACAAAAAACTTCAGGGATTTGAACTACTATGAACAATACGTCTAAACCTAAAAAGCTTGATTCCTCTCATGACTTCAGACTAATTTCTCCGTCTGCCGCGTTTGCTTGCGTTGCCGTCTCTGACTGGCCTTGATAAATTTTCCACTCCCAACGCAAGCCCCATCCATTTTGCAACAAAGCATTGGGTTCTGCAGGCATTGCATTACTACGTATACATTATCATCTGATGAGGCTAGCTAGCAGGGCCCCACTTTTTCGATGCAAAATGAAACAGAGCCCCGCTAGTACGGCCAAGAAAAAAAGCTAATGTGGGTAGCTTGACGAGATTTTCGCAGTAACCCCGCTAACAAAAGCTCGATGTTTGCTTAGTCGATGGGTCAAAACGCTGAACAAACAGAGTTTTTTTGTCGATGGTTCGTGAGTCAAAGTCGAGCCGTGGTCAGGGAATAGAACCCTTGACTAGTAGACATAGTCATACTCTCTCGCTCTCTCTCGTTATGGATCATCATCATTCATATTCCTTTGGAGAAAAAAAAATCCCTTATCCTCGTCTCTTTTTTTTGTGGATCGAATATGCGTCGACAATGCAATGCAGTTGGCAACGAAATCTCATGGCCTCTCAACCTGACCCGTTTCATCCGGAAGTTTTAACCAATTCCAGCGATCAACTCGCGATATCCAACAATCCAGATGAGTCAGAAACTCAAACCTCATTGGTTCCTACCCCGGAACCTGCATGAACTGCACTGCGGGTTCAAGGTGTACCGTTGTCGATTTTCCGTTTCCTTGGGGCGGCTGCAACTTTGTGGAGAACGCAACAAAGCGAGCGCTGTTTGGCTGTTAGTTACTACTGGTTAGGTACGAATTCTCCAGTTTGACGCGGGAGGTTGTGTGGTTGAGCATGATGGTGATTGGAGTTTTGAGGATTTTAGTTTGAGGAGCTTGCATGGAGGGTGCAGATGAGGCTTGAGAAGGGGGGGCTTCTATATAAAGATGGGGATCTTTGAGTGCTTAGTTGGCATTTCTGATCGTTTCTTTCTATAATTATAAAAGAAAGGCCTTTCCCCTTGGACAGAGTAATTAGAAAGCTATCCTGATTGAAAGACATCTATTTCAAAGCTCCTCCAGCTTCAACCTCTTATCTCAATCGCGAATCGATCCTCTATCTGGTCTCATACCTCTATCAGGTAATTCGACTCGGGCACATCCCCAATCCACAATTTAACTTAGAATACGACACAGAATAATCCATAATCTCCAACACATCTAAAATTCCTCTTTCAAAAATGACACAAACAACCCAAACACTCGCCCCGCACCCCTCCAGGCTCTCGGTCGACAGCAATGGCAGCACTGTCGATGTCGAAAAATCTAGAATATCAGTCGACTCAACATCGGATGAAGCTACTATTCGAATCCCTTTCTCCACAAAAAAGACCTCAAGAAAACTATTCTGCGCCATTTTAATTATTGCCAATATCCTTTTCATTGCGTTGGTGGTCGGCTTAGCTGTTGGACTGAGCTTGAGACTTAGGCATCCGGGGCCTGGGTCGGAGTCTTCTTCAACGTCATCCGGGGCTAGTTCGTCGCCTGCTGGTGTTGAGGATGTTTCGCATGGTGGTGGGGGCGGATCTAACCGAGTTTATTAATTAAGAGCCTGGATCTTGTGAAAGGACGGGATGATGGGTTTAAAACTATGACTGTGAACCACCTGTTCTCACACTGTTAACCACGAGGGGAATCACTTTGGATGGCTGTTCCCTTGATAATGTCTTATTTGGTCATGGATTTTCACTATTAATATTTTAGCGAGGCGTTAATTTTCCGGGCTTTGTTTTTGATATGGCCCAGACCTGTGTCGTTTCGAATATGATGATCTGATAACCTTGAAGATTCGGTTTCGGACTTATGGAAAGTTTTAACCTTGTTGCGTATACATTTTATTTTGGTCGTGTATAATGTATGAATACTCCTCCTAGGAAAGGTGGGACTCAGTGGCTTAATATAGTCTTAATACATGTATACTTGCTATTTCGATTATTTACGTTCGTGCGTATGTGGCGTATGTTGAGGTGTAGGCCTGATTGTATAGCCTAGTCAATATAATAGCAGCCATATCAATGATACGAGTTGTACAAGCCCATTAGAGGACCCGCTGAGGCTGCATTTCCTTTTTTGGAGCTTCATTACTCAAAACATGCACTGGATCAGTTACAATTGGACTACAACAAAAACGGATTTGAAAGGGCAAAAAAAGATACGATTCTATTATACTCTACAGATATCCGACAAGCAAACAATTCTAGTGTAGAAAACGGTATAAAAGAATAAAGTTTTTTTTTAAAAAATAAAGAATAGCAAGGCGTAGCCCCGCAGTAATATAAAATGGAGTTTGAGTACTCAAAGCGATTATCTCGAGCCCCAAGGATACCCAAATACTCCCATAAAATCCTGACTAAAGTCTGGCTTTGGTATATCAAAGAATCGAAAAAGAAAGAAAAAATTATATACAGGAATTATGAAGTTCTTTTTTTGTATATATAAACGGGTTCCTGGGACCTTTTTAAACTCTAGAGTTTCTTTTGATGGTCCAATTGAAAGGAAGTGCGAGACACTTGGTATGCACTGGGTTTTGATTTGCCGCTGGCAGAGAAGGTTGAGTTACTACGTCCTCAGTGATTGGAAGGGGAGGCGTTTTTGTCTAGCGGGACTTGATTGCCCGAGGGTTATGATTCCGCTGCCCCCTTCCACCGGCTCTTCGCTCCATGGCGAAAGAGGTGTGAACTCGTTTAGTAGCTCACGCACTGGGAGTAGTAGTCGTTGTATTTTGTGCAGGTGCCCTGGGCACACTTGGTTGGACCTGTCCAATTAACACCACCGCATTGTCCGTAGAGAGCTTGAGCGCCAACAGAGCCAGAGCCAGTGGAGCTGGTTGGGCAGCTGCTGCCAGCCTTGGAGGTGGTAGTGGCGGCAGTAGTAGCAGCTCTGGGTGTAGTAGTAGGGGTTGTGACTGGTCTTGGGGTTGTGGTGACAGCGGCGGTAGTAGCAGCCCTGGTGGTGGTTCGGAGGGTTGTGGTAGTAGTAGCGGCAGCTTTGGTGGTGGTGGTGGCGGCAGGGGTTGGGTTAGACTGTCCGTTGCAGCTCATGGGGGCTGGACCGGGGATGGCATAGACACGGCCGTTGTTATCTGGCTGACCGCTGTTTCCGTAGATGCTGACCTTGACACCAGCATCGTCCTGTGCGTAGGCGCCTGGGAAGGAGACAGTGGATCCACCGTTATAGGTACCGCTACCGCTGACGTTGATTTGGGCGCAGGAGATGTAGAATTGAGCACCAAGGTTGTCATAGGCGCTGTGTAGAGCGATCAATTCAGCGCGGAGGAGGTAGTTTCCTGGGGCGAGACAGGTTGGGAGGTTGAAGTACCACCAACCCTTAGCATCAATCATGGTGTCGACGGCCCATTTCTTGGTAGCGGTGTTGAAGCCCTCGTGGGCGACTTTGAACCATTTGAGACCAGTGGAAGGAGTGGTGGCAGCATTGTCGACCTTTGCACTATTGTTTACAGTTTTGTTAGGAATTGTGATAGAAGAAACGTTAGTTCATAATTTAGTTGACTTACAGGTAAATGGCGATTGGGCCCTTGTGGGAAGCAGCAATCGGGTGGTCAACATCTCCTGAATATTGTTCGCCTCCGATAACGTGACCCCAGTAGGTGCCGACCTTTGCACCAGCTGGGACGGTAACGACAGAAGAGGATGTCGTTCCAGGGACCTGACAGATGATATCGTTGGAATTGACATCCATGATGGGCTGTATTTCACAAAAATCAGCATATACCAAATATATAGATTGATAGATTCTAAACATACGTCGTTGCTCTTTGGGGCACGGAAACCAGCCAACTGAGCTTGCTCAACCCCATTGATAGATAGCTTCTGGAAAATGGCGTGGCCATGCGCGGTAGCGGCGAGACCGGCTGCCAAAAGTGCTTGCACTGTGAACTTCATATTGATGTATATAGAGTTTTTTCGGAGTAAAGAAAGAAATTAAGATTGGTTTTTCAAATGAGTGTGGTGTTCAAAAAAAAGAACGTTGGAATTATGCCCTTTCACAGAAGAAGGCTGGTAAGTAATGAGCGTGGATTAGAAGAAAGTGAACTGATGATGATGGGAAAGAATTATCGTGAAGAAGGGCGGGAATAGCAGGCCTTTATACAAATTCTCGATATACGCAGTCTGTATACTCTACAATCGGCACATCTTGCCTTTTGACGATTTTTCCGGTTTCGATGTGGAGTTCTCGCAAGACCTTGGACCAATTTCCATGGTTTCATGGCTTGCTGGACCAGGCGCTTTGGCCAGTTCTTCCCATGGCACTGGGTGGGTCCGATTGTGAGTGTTGAGCCACAAGATAGTTAATCCGGACTCCACACGTAAGAACGGTCCCCTTGTCAAGCTGCATGATCCGAGGCGCCCTTGTTCGGCCAGGCTCCTGCAGTTCGACAGGATAAATTCGTGACATTACTATATAATATTCTTATGATATTATGTTGTGAAAAGGGAGAAGGACTGGGGTTGACGTGGTACCATAGACTTTAAGGTTTTCGTGGGTCAATCAGCTTACATAGTATGTATGTATGTTCACGTAACAGGTTGATGAAATATTGTCATACAGAAAAAGTCACCGGCATAGACATCTATCTATCTATGCATATTTTGCGTGTCAAAAGTTCTGACATCAAAGTCGATATCATCATCCAGATTCCTGACCAGTCGACCGTTAGTTTAGACCGGTTCGAGCAATCTTCTTTAGTCCACGTGGGGTTGGATCGACTAGAAAATCAGACTAACCCCGGATTGTGTATAGTCGGCACTCGAGGGGAAAAGAATTTTCAAGATTTTTGGATTGGAATGTATGTTGTGAACTCCTCCGAATAACTAGATTGAAAAGGGAGAACTTAGTGTGGGCCCAAAGCGTTGGATACCGCCAAAGGCCTGGCCTCGAGTGTTTCGACATTTGAATGAAGAGCCGCCACAATTCTCATATCACGTCACGCTTATTTTTGTGTGCTGCATGTCAGTCGAAGCTACACGTTGGGTCCGTGTGCCCCTTTTATGGATGCCACAAGGCCATGTCATGTTCGCCCCATATGCCATGAGCCATGGCAAACGCTAGCCACAGATGAGACGTTCCGTGTTTTCGACTGCCCAGTGGAAACGCCCTTTTCGGTTGATTAACCGAGCCATCCCCTTGCAAGGAGGTGGATCGGATCTCGTATTCGCGGTCAAGATGCATCGTCTGCCCATTTATTTGATACCGCCCAGAATAAGGCCCAGGAAACTGCTACCACATAAATGCTACTGCTGCCGGATTCACACAGGGTTTGAAGAAGATTCGAGATGGCCGACGAATTAATAGGGATCATCCCTGAGAGAAGCCGCGCGCGCCCTGTCAATCGGAGACAAACTTTGGGCTTCGAGAAGGATTCTTTGGGACGCACGTACGCGCTCGGACGAGTGAGCGGTTTTTTTGCGCAATCGTGAGGAAGCTGAGCTTTAGATGATCTGATATCACTGAATCTATACTTTTTTTTACCGAGGAAAGATCAGTTGATGCAAAAGAGAAGTGACGACCGATAAAAGGAAAAATATATTTTAAGTGTTGTATGTTGGATTGTTCTAGTCAGGGCAAACCAGCTTGGGCAAACTGATATCCAGGATGCGATGCACGATGGGGCCGAGTTGAACAATCACTTTCCAGAATTCGCTGATTGAATGATGAGCATCAGACCGGGGATATTCGGGAAATATAGCTTAATGCTGGACGCTAGAAGTCCTTGCGGGTCATAGACAGGGAAAATATATTTGTTATGAGGCAGAATCGGTTCCATAGGCCTCCCGCTCGGTTGGGTATTCATCCTTATCCCGAATGTTAATGAAAATTCGATGGATATTTCCCCCTCGATTAAACCCACAATCGACCTTTAAAACGTGCCCACTCTCGAACTTATATATAGATTTAACTCTAGGTTTTACTATATTTTCATCTGATTGTGTATATCACGAGCTCGTTGGGTTAAACTACTTAGATGCCACAACAGCAAACAACAAAGGAAGAAGGATCGACCGATTGCGGCAAACTCGCGCGCTGCATAGGATAATCTCTCCTTGGCCTTCTTTTGTGGGAATACAAACAACAAAGCAAGTGAGGGTTTCGGTTGAACCAATGCTGTTGAAACTGCACCTCGCAAGCTCGAGACCAAATCCTTTATGGTGTTACAGGGGGAGCTCCGTGGCAATTAGCTAATGCTTTCACCCTAACATTGAAGAAAAGATTAACTGATGCTGGTACAGTCTCGCCAAGTAGGAGGAAAAGAAAGTAGGTGGAGCCGGCTTGTGGATTTAAAGATCATATGATTTGGCAGAATGGCTTCTGGGGGCAAAGATCGAAGAAATGGTTGGCTATTATATTATCGGGGATGAGTTTCCACTCTTTTCATAAATGTTTTCGATTATACACAGGTAGTTGTCTCGTACCCAGCCCCACACAAAAAAATAAGGTAGACGAGTGTTAGACCTTCTCGAAATTAGATTAATTATATCTATGTGGAGCTAGAGGCTACGGATCGATCCATGGGACGAGCCAATATCCATTGACCATACGGAACGTATTAATATTCATAACGATAACACCAATTTTGGAGTAAGCACAGCCTCCACGGAACTTAAAGAAAGGATTGAAATATTTAGTAGGAGATTCGATATCGGATTTAGCCATTTGAGAGGTTTTGTGGCTAGTGGATCTGTGGAATGCTCGGTCGTTTTCGGGGTTTCCTACGATAACTAGGTACTAGGGTAGTCGCCGCATCCGTCACGAATTGTTCAAGTAAAATTACTTGCTCTTCGCGGGCAGTGATTATGAATTGACCGTATATTTACATTTGTATGTGCCGGTTTTCAAGGCCTTGAGCCGACAAGTTTACACCTGGTGGGTTTCTATAGTAGATGCGTAGACGCTTCTGGTACGATAAGATATGGAGGCAATTAGGGCGGAGATATTGGAAAAAACTTTGTACCACGTCCTTATTGATTCCATTGAAAGAATTGCCATGTGGATGGAAATATTCATGCACAGCTTTTCCAAACGGTTCCCGCTTGTATGTATTCTCGAATCGGCTATGACTATCAAATCATTTGGATATTCCTTCAACAGCGAAACGAGCAGGGGACCTAGCATTGAAAATGAATGTGAGAAAAAAGGGGGTGGACAAAAAAACGAACCGTCGAATTTAGCCTACTACCACCGAATTAAATGTCGACAGGGCTAAGCCGTGCCGATATGCATGCCCCGCTGACTAGCTCCAACTGCTCTACCGCATACATACTCGCCTAGTACATGATTAGTCCGACGTACTGTAGGCGGCAGCCCACAAGAATAAGGCTTATGGGTAGACTGAGGGACGAGTAACTTTTCGGTAAACAGTAGGCTGTGATACACAGTATCGTCAAGACCACAAGGTATTTAAAAAAAAGAGTTAACTACAATAATTTGCCGGAGGCAACACCGCAGTGTATACATGTATGTACATAGTATGTATAGGAATATACCATGAAACCGGCTATGTGGATAGAGAAAAATGTACTAAGCACAATATGGAGTGGCAGGGGCGCCTATATTATATATATAGACACAAATGCATGGTGCTTAACGTTACAAGCCATTGCAACTGAAGAGCGCATTTATGGATATGGGAATGATATCATGATTAATGTAGGATTGACATGGCCCGACTTTGAATGTAAAGACAATACAACAGAGAAATAGGAAAAAATAGGAAATTTGTGAGACGCACCGCACTATTACTAGCTACGCGAAAGCCTCTCAGGAAATTTCGAAACCCTCACAGACAGGGACAATCCTCAGGTATCCAAATGATTCCACCTACAGGAACTTCGCCGCCTGCTTCCATACAAACCTTGCAGAAGGTCGCATTGGGCTCGAGACTAAACTTTCCCTGCGGCTGCTCTTGCTTCGTATTTTTTGAGGTTGGTGTCGGGCCTACCGACTCAACTAATTGTTAGAAGATCAAGCACAAATGTTTTAACAAGAAAGCTTCTTTTAGAGCTTACATACAGGCTCCGCCTTCGAGAACAGTGGTAGCAGTTCCATTAGCTCTCCGTATAATTCGACGCTGGTTAACAGCGCAGTCGTTGTCTTTGCCTTTAGCCGCGTTTGGGTCCCGACCGAAACTATTAAATACTACTGGCGGGTATAGTTTCCTTTGATCTTCGGGCATCGCTTGAATGTCTGCGCGGGGATATGCGAGACGGTAGAGTCTATCTTTTGCTTCTAACACCGTGTCACCGTATGCGGAAATATAGGTAGCTAGAACCCCAGCTACTGCAGGGGAGCCTACAATAATAATGATTTGCAACAGTTATCTGAGATTAGTCTTTGGTTTTGCATAACCCTATCAACAGTCTAGTGAGATTATTGGGCAAGTAATAAAGAAAAAGAACCTGGGCAATCCAATAGCCGTGTATATCGCTCGTTGCGTTGAAAATACATACTTACTGAAGTCCCGTGAGACAATTCATATCCCGCTCCTCGAAAAAAACCTACCTGGCCCACAGCAAGCTCAATATTTTCTGCGGGAGCGGAGACACGGACAAATGGTGCCGTCTGAAAGATTATTCTACCAGTATGGTCAGTACCCCCGACGATTATTAAGTTATAATTAGCATCGTCATAGCCATAGCCCATTGGAACCATCGATTTTAGTATTGGATCATGCTGTACAGTAGCAATTACATTAGCTCTAGTCCTCACTACAAGACTGAAAAGACCTGGTTGTCTTCATTCTACTAGCCTCTTACCCGATACTGCTCCTTCCATGGGGTCGGTCTACGCCTCTGACCACCAGGCGGTGGATTGCCGTTTCCCGCAGAGGAAACGTAAACAACGTTGTTTAGTGCGCGCAATTTTTTGAAGACTTCATCTAACTGTGTTCTTTCCGAAGTGCCCACTGGTAAGGGAAGTTGAAGATTACTAAGAATTAGATACTGTCCGGCCCCTGGAATGCCACTCCCTTCACTCTTCTTCATATTGTTCTCGATCCTTTGGAGCACTTCCGCGAGACATTCTACATACCACCCCGGATAATGCTTTCCGCTGGCAGACGTATACTTTACAAGGACTGGTGTTACTGATTTAGCGATACCATTCTTGGCGCCCAAGAGCTTGCTAAGTACTAGACTGCCATGATAGGGATTTTTCTGTCGGCTCGTTTGCACAAGTTTCATGCTTCGTAAGCTCTCCATAGAGTCATCTCCATCTATGAAGATGTGTTCGTCATCTTTGGCCCAATTTGTGTCTTTGAAGTCCTAGTAGGAAATGGAAGTTGTAAGCTTCTTGATAATATAATATAATGACGACAGATAGCAAGGGGATATGTCATAAAGGTTAAAGCTCGGTCATTGGAGTGTCTAGAGCTACCGTATGGCGTATATCAAACCCACTGTCTATAACATACACGATGACACCGCGGCCCTGAGAAGAATTCGTTTCGTAGGTGCATGGAGAGTCTGGTGCAGGGTCTTCTGCATTTGGGTGCTTAGAAATCATGCAAGTTTCTGGTCGCTGTCCGTCTACTTCCAGTAGATATGACCTCTTGTGTAGTTTTGGGTCTGCATTGTCGGTGTCGGTGTCTTTATCTCCACCGTTCATCTTTGCTTTTAGCGTTTCGATGGTGGGGTCTATGAGTAAACTTGCTTCAAATTCTTTGATCCTGGCTTCGACAGAGCTAAAATTTTGGATCTAATGCCGCAATCAATAAACACTTAACTTAGATGCTTTGGGATAATAACTTTCGGTAGTGGTGGATCCATGGGATATGAAGCAACATACACTTTTCTCCCATTGTTTCACTATGTGCTCTGCAGTTCTTAAAGTGAAAGACGATGTCAGCTCATTTTTTTTAGATTTACAAACAAGCTCACAAGTTTAACCCTTCAACTAGCTAGTGTGGCAATCCATAATCTTTGGGGGATTATTCTTAAATGCGGGTAGCATTCTTGGGTGCGGACAAGGACATCACGTACCCTTTGCTACACTTCAAATAAAACCACATAATACCACCCGTAACATTACGCGCCCATTTCTCCTTCGTTTTCTTGCGATCCGATCCCAATTCTGCTTGGATGTATTTGCGAATATCATCTAGTTCTGTGTCTTCGCCATGCCCAATTCGGACCGTGAAAACCCAGTAGTCTACTTGAGAATCTGGAGAGTCATCTCTGCGGAGAAGAGAGTCAAATGCTGGAAGGCCTAGCGTCCAATTGCCGGGGTTGTTTAGTTGTTGTGCACGTGTGTTAGAGTATGTTGATAGGCATTCAACTCCCGCTAGTACAATGGGAACTAAAAGTAGAAGCTTTGAATGCATCGTGTGGAGCGATAATGCGAGAAAGGTTAAAGCTCAAAAGCATAATATAATGCAAGGAAAACTATATCCAGCCGCTTATCTGCCGATGGTCTCCCTTTTATCGACCTAGAATGGATAGCCATTCCCGTCGATCTACATTCCATCGATAGATCTATAGAGCTCCAGCTCTAGACTGCCGAGCTCCGTAACGCGTTCTTGTCCCAACATTCACTTTGGGTCTGAAGGAACGGCCTAGGCACTTTTTCCCCACCCGTGTGACTCGAGGCTTTGTAGTTAGGCGACAGTTACACCTTGAAACTGCATATGTGCGGCGTGGAATGCCGCGTCTTTATCGACCTATGAGCTCGTAATGGTGCACGCATCTACCACGGCTATTAGAAAATGGTTGGGTTTGTTTTGCCTTTGTGATAATAAACCCAAGGTTATCGTAAAGGATTTACGAGAAGCCGAGGCACAAGAAATCCCCTAAAGTCTCACCAAGCGACCTACCATATCAGCTGATTGCAAATTCAGGGACTGTCGAATCTCTACCACCTTGCCCGTTTGAGCAACATTTTTGCTACTACACTCTCGAGATATTTATGTTGACGTATTTTGGATATCATGGCCATTGCATGACTTTCTAGGCTTTGTGGAATAAGCATGTAGATTCCTAAACGTGGCTGTGGATTATTATACTTTGAAACTCGAGTACCCGGATTCGTGTTGGATAAACGCTGCAGGGAGGTTTGGGCCAAAACTAGCAGAAACAAATAATTTGGTTACGTTGTAAATTAGGTGTGCGCTATATACATTGTATCCTCGTTCCCCGATATTTCCGCGGTTGTGTGACGTCGGAACTAAACGTGCGTAGTAGCGCCAGTGGTTGTTCCATCCTTCAGGAGCAAAAAGTCGCTAGCAGGAATCATATTGTTTGAATCGCGAGCTCCGGTAACAAGGGCAGTCGTGGTACTGATAAACCTCGCATCGTTCCATGTGCCACCAATATTCCAAGAGTTTGCACTCTGAGAGCCACCGGATTTGAGAGTGTAAGTGGCGGCGTTGTTGCTGGCCAGGTTGTTGGTCAACTTGCTGGGGGAGTTCGCGAAAGAAAATCCTGTGCCGCCATTCTTCCAGGCGGTATTGTGGTCAAGGTTGAGAGTGCCGTAGTTGCCGTTGTCTGTGAAGCCGTGCTTGGCGTTAGAGAAGGCGTAGCAGTTACGGATTATATGGTTGGCTGGAACGTCTGGATCTCCGCCACCGAGTTTGAAGCCATTGCCGTCCCCTTCGAAGGGGGAGAAGCCCCATCTGTTGACACCATTACCCCAGGCGATGGTGTTTTCGATGAGAATGGGGGTTTCGAACATCCTGGTGGGAAGTTAAACTCTTTTCTCTTTCCTTCATCAATTCCATTGATCTGGGTGGATACTATACTTACCAAAGGTCCATACCGTCATCCACGTTGTTCCAGAGCCTAGCGCCACGGACAACGTTTCCTGCGCCGCGACCTTGTTTGATAGCAAGACCGTCGGCAGATTCACCGTTCTTTCTGGGATCACGGTTTCCGTAACTGTCTAAGTTGATAACATTGCAATAGGCAACCTCTCCTTCGAGTTGGAAACCTGACTCATAGTTATCTCTGGTTATGAGATCCAAGAAGTCGTTGTACGAGGCGTCACGGTTGTACATCCCGTATGGTCCATTGATTAGCTCAAGTTTCTTGAAGGTCCAATAATTGGCATTTTGGACGTGGAAGATACCACGGTCAGAGTTGGCCAGGCTGGCGTTCAAGTCTGCGGGTGTGCCGGTCATGTTATCTCCATCGATGATAACCTTCTCACCAGGGTAGGCAGAAATAGTATATCGCTGAGAAGATGTTCCACTTTTCGCGATTTGAATATTCTTTAACGGTTTATAGGTGCCACTGCGGATGTAGATCGTACATCCTGGGGTTGCAGTGTCAACGGCCTTTTGAATGCCAGCAAATGGAGAGTTTATACTGCCATTGTTGGAGTCAGAGCCACTTGTGGAGACATATATAACACACCCGGTGGCACCTGGTGAGGCGGAGGTTGTGGTCGTACGAATGGTGGTGGAAAGAGTAGTTTTAGAACTCGTTGTAGTCGTTCGGCTAGTTGTGGCAGCACTAGTAGTTGTCCTCGTCGTGGTGGCGGCTGTGCTGGAGATTGCAGCAGTCCCTTGAAGGCATTGAGAGTACCATTCACTGCTGTAGACGCATGTCCATCCACTAACACAGGTGGTCGGACCGGTATATCCAGACCTGCGCTTTGTTAATATCAACCATATCATAATCTCTGGGGCGCATATGTGAATCCATACCCACCGCATTGCGCGTATGGCTGTGCTTGCGCGTTAGCGCCCTTGAGGAGGAGGAGGGATAAAACGGCACCTGCCGCGATAATCTTTCGATAGCTGTCCATTTCTGTTCTATCTCTGTGGCACTTTGAACGATGGAGTTGATATCCTGGGTATCAAATATGGTAACTGCATATATGCCCCCGTATTTATATCAATCCGCTCCCATATATCGATATATTACTGCTCTTTCCAATAACCAGGTCGAAGGTCCGTGGGAATTGGCTTGGCCCAATAATTGGGCCATGGTAGAAAGCCGATTCCATGAAAAGTTCCACCAATAGCATAGACACTCCTGAGAAAATGTGGACAAAGACGGAGAATTAAAGTTTCCAAAATTTAGGTGTACCATGGTAAAGTTTTCTGGGACAGACGGGATTTTAATGGAAATTTCGTGGGTCGTGAGAAGGTTAATGGTACCTCGCGGGACGAGGTTCCGTTGAACCATGGTTGTGAAACTGGAGGAAGTTGAAGCGAAACAGGGGCTTTAACAGACGACTAGGTACGAGACCTCAGACGATTGTGTTTTGACGGGCCGACAACAGGCTGGGCATTCTCGCGAATTACTGGCTCTGGCAGGTCCGAGACCCTCTGCTGAGCCTAGTTTGGGGCTCTATAGTTCACTCGGCTCTAGATCTGGACTGAGGGCTCGGAAATCTAAAAAGCCGAGAAGGCCCTGCGTACGATCTTATTCGCGAGCAGGACATGAAGACGGCATCTTCGAAGACATCACATTGATGGTATTCGAATTGTCGAGAGCAATCGCGCCATCGCTAGTTTATTTTAATTCGATCCAGTCCTTGGGCATTAACTTAGTTCGGAGGAACGTGCAGGCAACTTTTGAGCTCGGGATCAGACTTACTTTAGAGCGCGAGCGTATCACCGGTGCACCCCGATATCGTCCTGCTTCAATGGCGAATGATTCTATTAATCTTGTCACTACAAAAAATTGTTCTTCTAGGTCTAGGTACGAGACAACAAATTTTTGGAATCGGAAGAAGATTGATCAATTGGGGACGCACTTTTTGCGGTCGCGGTCGTCGGCATCGCTTGCCTGCTTTGCATTTTGACATTTGCTGACCCTGAGATCAATGCACGTGGGTACGCGCCAAGAAAGGCCCAAATTATCGAAACGCTTGCGTCACCAATAGGACGTTTGGACGACACCACAACCATTCTGTAGCATTGATGGTGGTAGCTGAATGTAAAATGATATGATAATAGGATATGATAACAGGATATGATAACAGGATATAACAACATTTAACGTTTACAGTACATGATGTGATATCAGAAAATCCTGATTATCATGGTATATACCGGTATGTGGAGTGTTGTTAGCATTCGTTCGCGCAGCAGTTTTTGTAGAAGTTCGTGGTCAAGCGCGATTACCCGGTGGGCGAGGTGCAGGCTGGGATCACTAATCTCCAACATGTGCGCACAGAGCCCTCGGTTCAGGGCCTTTTGTGAAGGATTCAGTTATAAAGTGCTCCGGTAATTCAGTTGACCAAGGGCAGATTCGAAGCAACCTTGGGTTCTATAAGGGCAAAATTAGGAGATAAATTTATGATATTTTAATTATTAAGCGTATGAGCATGCATGCATGTTCGAACATTCGCTTTATGTCATGAGTTATTAGTTAGCAAGCGACGAAAGCTTCGCTTGCCATCATTATAGCTTAAGCTCCAGGGCGTAGATCGATAGATTTTTATACATATTACATGACGTCGACCTTGGACGAACAAGACTAGGACTTCAGGAGTTAATAATACCACCAAATTGAAGTGTAACAGACTGAGGCGTGATGATGGGAAACATCGAGATTCGTCTCTACTCTATGTATATATATATATATACAGATATTGCGTACTACCTATATATTGGTCACCCGCAATATATATTAATACCAAAAGTCGAGCTTGGGTGGCAGTGCAGGTTGTGGGTCTAGGTGTCTGTGGGATTGCTGAAAATTAAGACAGCTTTGCAAATTTGTCGACCTTAGCGATATTATAATAATCCGGGCTTTGCAATCCAATTTAGCTGTCGCTCAGCCATTCTTCGAAGGGGCGCGTTTATGTGGGTAGATCGATTTGCGGGCTTATATTATCGTCATCATAGTATTCCCTAAACAGGACGGCTAAGTTCAACAGCGAAGGAATATCCGAGCTATTGCTCGCAAAGTGCGACTTTGCTGGCTCTTCTATTATTAAGTTTCCGATTCTTTTCAACGTTGATTTAGCTAGGATCGAAATGATTGGGAAATATGGAAACGGGCCGCGGGCCATGATGAAATCCCGAAAGGTATAAAGGTCGGCAGATGCTCTCGATTCAAATTAAATCTGCGTCCTTACCGGTGTCTTCAGTGGCTAGGGATATAGCACTCATAGTTACGCCGAAGCTTTAAAGTTCATCCATAATTTAATATTCCCAAGATGGTCGTCCTGTCCTCCCTCATTGCTGCTCTTCCTCTCTCACTGGGGGCTATTGGATCTCCCGTCGATACCGCCGACTCGAAACATGCGCTCGCAAAAAGAGACGCAACAGAAGTCATTTACCTTACCGCCATCGCCCTCCCACCACCCAGCGTTCCCTACTGGCTTGGTGTTCTAGCCTACTACCCTACTTCCGCTCTTGGATGGTCGGGCGCCGAACCTAGAAATAGTGATGAAGCCATCGGTCCCTCCGGCGGCACAAGCATCTGGCGAACATGGCCAACCCCTTGTAGCGGCAATACGCATTATGAAGTTTTCTTCCCTTCCGGTATAACCTTTCAGTTCGATCTTAACTTCGGGGCTAATAACGCCGCCGTCGGCGCAGTTGTTGGGGGTGGGTGGAATGGGTTTAATGCGTTTACTTGTAGGAGAGATAATGGGAGGTTATTGTATACGGTTGCGACGACTCCAGTATCCGAAGTCCAGGCTTTGATCAACTGTACAAGGGTGTAAGAGTGGCTTAAGAGTTATGGGCGCACATGTTGGATTTAAATAGCACTCATTATATTAGATACATGTAGAATTAGAATATCTGCAGTGTGTATACTAGGCAATTGACACCAACTAAACGTACGGGCCGGATACCAGGTTGGAAATTTTCAAGCTATATCATTGAGTCTTGTCTCATACCCAAACCTGGAAGATTGAGTCTGAAGTTTTGACGTTTGGATGTTATTATATGAATCAAATCTTTGCAGGTACTCTTTTGCGGCCACGACCCTTAGGCTTTGATAGTCATCCAGAGCAGTGAGCGAGTGTTTCGGACAAGAGAGTCTGTTTGTCTCCTCCCTTTTCAATGATTATAACATTATCCCCGTGGATACGGCGGCCCGGGACTACACTGACCCCAGATATATTTGGAGTATTGAAGACGAGGAAACGTGCTAAATGTATATCACTGAATCAGAATTCCATCTTAAACTATTAGGCCCACGGGTTTGGGAGCAGTATCAAGGAGATAAAATAGGCAGATGTCACAATTGCCCTTGGCTTCAAGCTTACGGTATGCCTTAATACTATAGTCTGCGCGAAATTTCCTGCCAAGGTCCGATTCCTTATCCACTCGGAAAAACTCTATGTGTTTATGATTGTCATGCAGGAACTGTTCTTCGAAGAATGGGGCAATGTCGTCGCAATACCCGCATTCTGTCCAGAAAAGGAATACAGCTATGGGTTTTCCATGCGCTAGTTTCGCTTGGAAATCTTCGTACCTAATATGTGCCGAGAGAATATGATTAGTTATATCAAATTTCAAGAAAATTTTATAATGTATATGGTATATGAAGCTAGAGGTTTTAAATCCGCGAGCTCATGCATATGAAGCCTCGGTCGGAGAAGCCAACAGAGTGGTATTATTGGGCTGCCTCCGCTTTGGGTGGCTTAGTTTGGGGCCAGGCCTCCGATTGTTGCCTGATGAATGCAACCTATCATTCGGTCCGGCGCGGAATATACCCACATACGTTGTGACTTCTTCGGTTTTCATGGGCATTGTGGCGGACAAAAAAGTTTTCTTGCTAGGATCTTTAGCGGTGGCAATATCTTGATCTACGCGGGAGATTTAGGGAAATCTTTGGAGGCAGTTTAGAGATGAGATATGATGAGGGGTTAAAGATCGAGACCACCGAGCGCGAGCGCGACAATGCCCTGGATATCAGCTTACATGCACAAATTGCACAGCTTGGAGGCCTAACCCCGCGCCCGAGGCTCTAAGGTCCGTGTAAAAGCGGAAAAGAACTGGAGCGTTTGTCCCCTCAACACGCTGTGTTGAGACATCGTTGTATTTTATGCGTTGCAACACATGGTCTTTTTGGGCAGCGCAGATCCAACCGGATCAAGCAATACCAAGCGACGCCGCCGAGCAGGGATCTCTGGAACATTAAAGCTTGTTAACGTGCGGGAAATCATGACGTCAGCTGAGAACCGGTACCATCGACGGCACTTTTCTCGTCAAGCGCCAACCTTCCGCCTCGTTCGGTTCGATCGCTTTTATATTTCATCTAGGAGGCTTCCAGGTTTGTGGTTTTGGCTATTTCATTATCTTTCCTCTGTCCTCATTTGCTTGCTAGTTCCTTACGATCTTCGTTGTGTACTGTACACTAACATAATTGCACCCACATTTGCAACTATAAAGCTGTAATACAGTGGGTGTATAGATAGAGCTATAGAATATTGTTGAACCGACATTGTGCCGATATCGCATAGTTTGACAAGGCTTGAAAGGCTTCGCAGAGGCTATTCAGTTTCCTCCACTGTATATCGGTGGCATTCATCATCACGCCGGCTTACAAAAAACCCTTCACAAAAACTTGACCGATTAGGGAATTTGGGCCGCTGGTGAGATCGCTTGGCTTTTGCTTCTGAGCGAACATTTTCGCCACGTGGGAACGACACTCGCTTCGACTGAGAGACAGCAAAAAGAAGGCTGTCAACTAACCCATCTCATTCTGATCGGAAGAATTCGGATAGTCGAGCGCGACTTGTCAAAGGAAAAAGGATCCCAGGCCGTTTTCCTATCTCATTGGTTATCATGACGTCTAGATCTAATAATCCCCTTGGCCCACCAGCCAATATCGACCCGAAGAGCTTACCTGCATTGCAGAAATATCCCTTTGGCAAGATCGAGCCTAATTCACCCAAGTATTTCTTGTCATGCATGCTCGGTGGAATTGTCGCTTGTGGCCCGACCCACACTTTCGTCACACCCCTTGATCTCGTCAAGACGAGACGACAGGTTGATTCGAAGCTCTACAAATCAAATGTCCAAGGGTGGAAATTGATATATGCAAAGGAAGGGATTAGAGGGGTTTTCACGGGTTGGTCTCCGACTCTTGTCGGATACTCCTTCCAAGGATTTGGAAAATATGGATTCTATGAGATCTTCAAGCATATCTATGGGGATAATATTTTCCCTGGGATGAATCGCACAGTCGTTTATCTTGGCGCTTCTGCGTCTGCTGAATTCATCGCTGATATCCTACTATGCCCATTCGAGGCGTTGAAAGTCAAGATGCAGACCACTGTCCCGCCATATGCAAAAAATCTGCGACAGGCGTGGGCAAAGACTACTGCCGAAGGTGGGATGGCAAAACTTTATGCTGGAATTGTTCCATTGTGGGGACGGCAAATCCCCTATACGATGTGCAAGTTCGCCACTTTTGAAGAGACTGTCAACTTGATTTACAAGAAAGGTTTGAGCGGCAGGAAGGAAGATTATGGCAAGTTGGTCCAGACTGGAGTCAGCTTTTTGGGGGGCTACATTGCTGGCGTGGCATGTGCCGTAGTGTCGCATCCAGCCGATGTTATGGTCTCCAAGTTGAACTCGGAACGGAAAGGTAAGCGCAATCGCTTTGTTCCCCGGATTTCGACTTTTATTTTTTCACGGAAAATTCTTTCTACCCTCCTTTCTCTAAGACAAAAAAAAAAAAGAAGAAGAATAAGAAGTGGCTAATAGATTTGATTATAGCTTCTGAATCTGCGGCAAGGGCGATGACCCGAATTTATGGCAACATTGGATTTAGTGGGCTCTGGAACGGACTCCCAGTAAGAATTGTTATGATTGGAACCTTAACTGCGTTCCAGTGGTTGATCTACGACTCATTCAAAGTGTACCTGGGTTTACCAACAACGGGAGGTCATTGATTGCGGTCGAACGAAGGGGTAGAGAATAGGCCACGAGGTCTTGGCCGTTAGAAAAGACGATGAACACGTGCTATAAGCGTGGGGATTGAATTGAATTGATGAATTAATTGTCAGAGCTTTTATGTTTTTCTTTCCTTTTTTGAGTTTGTTTTTCCGATAATTATTAGTGAGGGAAATGCTTATGTATTCGTTGTTAAAGCGTTGGGAACCGTGTTCAGTGGTGTTTTAGTCATTGAAGTAGAAGCACCTTCGCTAATCCGACGGCGCCAAGAAGGTGGGAATGGAACTCGCTACAGCCAATAAGCATTTGTGACAGACGCACGATGTCTGGACCTTGAGAGGCGAGTTCAGCGTGAGGATTCCATTTAGAGGCCTTTTTTTTTCCACATAATGCAGTTTCTGGCGAGGCGCAGGTGGGCTTACATGTACCTGCGGAGGACTATCGAATTGTCTGAGAACAGAGACGAAAGGAACCCAGTGTGGTGGTTAGGCTGCTGCCAAAAGCAGCTTGCCTAAGACATCTTTTAAAAACAGACTTTTTGCAAATAAGTTCGGTGGACTGTCAGAAATGTCGAAAAGCAGACGACGCTAGAAGGAACTTTGCTAGCCTGGGAACCAAGCACCGAATCAAAGAGAGTCTTTCACGCACGCGAGCGATCACAGATAACGGGAGCCTGACAGACTAGGCAGGTGGCCGCGTGGGGAGAGGACCGAGAAGACCAAGCAAAATGAAGCAAAACGAAGCAAATTGCCATTACGAACAAGCATCGAATCTTGACTTGGCTGCATTGTAGTATCAGAAGCAGAAAATTCTGAAATTTTTCCTGAAGGAGGGGCCACAGGGATGTAATAACGCCATGGAATTGGATCTGGACGCCTGCGAAACCATCGAAGCGAACGACGACGACGTTTCATTTCCACACGTGTGTTGACGTTGGATTTTGATTGGATCGCTTAGCCATAAGAATTCATACATCCGAGGGCACCGAACCCCCCACATCCCGTCAGGCAGCTACCCGATCGCGCCAAGCTGGCGCCAAGCTCGTCGTACAGATATCCGCCAAGACCGTGGTAACCACCAATGGAGCAGTTCGCCGATGCGTTGCTAGCATTGCCATTGCCATTGCCCTCTGATCTGAAATCGGGTACCAGCGCGAGAGGGAGGAGTGGTTCTAATGCATGGTCTTGTTCTAGTCGGTGACAGTGGTGAGGTTTCAGCCGCCCAATAGGTAGCGACATGTACATGAGGTTTAGGTTCGTTGACTTTTTTTATGCTAATCCGATATGAGGGAGATCCCGCAATATGTCCATAACCAGTACTTTTTTTGACACAGACTTGACTTGTATATTGCTTTTGTTTTCACATGTGGCCTCGTGCAGCTGCATATGGGGAACTACCTATAGTACTGACTTACTTACTTACATGTATGTAATGTATGTTCGAAAGGCTACCTGCTACCTGACTGGGGGAGGCTGGGCCAGGGTCCGACTTTCGTTCTTTCCGAACACCGGCTGCCTCGACCTGTTCCCTGGCCCTTTGTTCCTGGTTCTGGTTGTCAGCCAATATATACGACCACATTCTTGGTATCGATTTATCAGACACCCTCTGAAGATATATAAGAAGAACAGGTCGGGCTCATCCTGTATCACTTTCTTCTCCCCAGAGCAAAGCAGTCTTCTCGAAGAACAATCCAATACCATCTAGAATCTTGCACATTGGAAGCATATTCCAATCTCAATAATTCAAGATGCTCGACCAATTTACCTACATCTTTGTTATCGGCACATTCTTTGCCTTCCTCGACGCCTTCAATAACGGTGCCAGTAAGTATCTCTTTTAAGAATGCAAATTCAATGCATTTTTCTGGTTCCTTTCTTGGTAATACTTGATACTTACTCGATATTGAATCATAGACGATGTTGCCAACGCTTGGGCCACCTCAGTTTCTTCCCGTTCGGTAACATACCGACAGGCCATGGTTCTCGGTACTGTTTTCGAAATCGTTGGTGCTATCGCTGTCGGTGCTAGAACCGCAGATACTATCAAGAACGGCATTATTCCAAACTCTGCCTTCCGTGGTGATGCCGGTGTTCAGATGCTTGCCTTCACTTGCGCTCTTGCTGGTGCTTCCTCCTGGGTCATGTGGTGTACTCGACACTCCGCTCACGTCTCCTCTACCTACTCTCTTATCTCTGCTGTCGCTGGTGTCGGTGTCGCCACCGTCGGTGCCAAACAGGTCCAGTGGGGTTGGAACAACGGAAAGGGTCTCGGTGCTATCTTCGCTGGTCTCCTCATGGCTCCATCCATCGCTGCTGCCTTTGGTGCTACCATCTTCATGCTTATCAAGGTCATCGTCCATCTCCGAAAGAACCCAGCTCCATGGGCTGTCTGGTCCGCCCCCATGTTTTTCTTGATCTCTGGTACCATCTGTACTCTTTCCGTCGTCTACAAGGGTTCCCCAAAGCTTGGTCTCAACAAGAAGCCAGCGTGGTATATCGCCTCTGTTACTCTCGGAACTGGTTTCGGTCTCTGCCTTTTCTCTGCCCTCTTCTTCGTCCCATACCTCCACGCCAAGATCATCAAGAAGGATTACACTCTTAAGCCATGGATGGTTATCTACGGTCCTCTCTTGTTCAGCCGCCCAGCCCCACCTGATGCTGAAGTCGCCAAGGTCCCAGATTACGCCGTTGTCCAGCACCAAGAATTCGAAGAGACCCCAGAAGCCAGCGCTCACGGTTCCGTCAACGAATCCAACACCGAAGTCAACGAGAAGAACCTCGTCAAAAATGAAGTCAAGCAACTCACCTACAAAGAACTTGTCGAACAGGCCGAAGAGCGAATGAACTCCAGACTCAGAAAGAAGCGCGGTCCTCTCGGCTGGGCTATGCGAACTCTCCACGAAAACCCAATGGGCGACGGAAAGATTTACGAACTTGCCAACATGAAGATTGCCCTCAAGCGTATCCCCGCCATTCTTGTTGCCGGTGCCCTCTACGGTGTTAACTACGATATCCACGCTGCCCAGACCGGTGTTGAAGGTACTCCAGATGGTGCCCGTATGAAGCGCGTCTACGACAATGCCACCAAGTACCCCAATGAGACCGAACACACTTTCTCCTTCATCCAGATCATCACTGCCTGCACTGCCTCCTTCGCTCACGGTGCCAACGATATTGGTAACGCTGTCGGCCCATGGGCTGTTATCTACGCTGCCTGGACTACCGGTGACGCCCAAGCCGCCAAGGCTCCAGTTCCAATCTGGCAAATCGCTGTTGTCGCCATCGTTCTCTGCTTGGGTCTCGCCCTTTACGGATACAACATCATGAGAGGTAAGTTTACTGCAAATTCACTAAAATCTCACAATTTTGAAAAAACAAATACTAACATTCCTTACAACAATAGTCATGGGCAACAAGATCACATACCATTCTCCATCCCGAGGCTGCTCCATGGAAATGGGTGCCGCTATCACCGTCCTTCTCTTCTCTCAATACTCTCTCCCAGTCTCCACCTCCATGTGTATCACTGGCGCCACCGTTGGTGTCGGTCTTTGCAATGGTACCCTCAAGGCTGTTAACTTCCAGCGAGTCTCCCTCCTTGTGATCTCCTGGATTGCTACCATTCCAGTTGCTGGTACCCTTGCTGGTGTTATCATGGGAATTGTTCTTAACGCTCCTCACTTCGCCACTTAAGTGATTGGCTGAGGTGTTGCTTTTTTGTATTGACTTTTGTACTTGGATTTTTAATGTTTTCACAACTGGTGAAGCTCACATGAAGCTGCTAGAATGAGCGGTTGGTTTAATTGTCTAGTTCTTTTTGCATATATAAAATTATAGTATATAATTACTTCTGCATCTAACGAATCGATGTCACGGTCATGAAATGATCCTTTGACAACATTTCTATTCTGCAATCACTTTTTCTCACGGTATTAATTTTCTAAACGGTAAAACCTTTTGGTATAAACACTGGTGTTTGTCGCTACTTCGTAGTTCAAGTCCCAATTCTAGCTAGGTTCAGTTGTTTTCTCTACGAACCTGTCCCTGCTAAGGTGGGTCGCCCTTGGCACTCGCCCCTCCCAATCGCCGGAGCCGGCCGCATAATTCAACCCGAAGACGGCAGGTTGTCGTGTGAGACAACGGTAAATGGGAAAACTCCAAGAGTATCCCAAGATAATCCCAAGATAATCCCAAGATCCAGTCCCAAGAGACACCAAAGGTTATATTTCCAAGATTCCTATCACCGGGGCCCTAATTAGGTTGTTTGTGTGTTCATGTTAGCTTGTTTTCTCTCGAAAAAGCTTTTTTGTGAAAGTCTTTTGCAAATTCGGGAGGTGCGGTAGATGAACCGGTGTTTGGGGTTTCTGTCATTTTCTCGCATTCCAGATTTGGTCCCCGGCCAGGCCAGCTGGGAGGGGCTTGGAGAAAACGTGCACGTTTCGAGCGATCTGGTTGGAAGGTTAAGCTTTTTACTTCCTTGTGCGACGTTTTATAGACTGCCGGATGATTGTGAGATCTAGTTTATTTTATGTAAATTTATCATCTTCGTGCTATTTTTCCTTCTTTGAGCATGAGTATCTCCGCCTCGCCTGTGTCAGAGTCGGCGTGTGAAGGGCCTCTTTGACGGTTAATGTGGGGAACCAATGAAAGGGCGGGTAAAGTTGTGTCGGACGACACCCCCAAAATTTTTGACCTTTTGAACGTTGTCCTGCAGCCCACCAGCGACGGAAGAATAGAAAAGTGGATCCCTCATGCCCCTGTCAAGCTAGAATATTCAACTCCAAAGGACACTAACATGAAACCTGCATCACGCAAGCGAGGGGTATTTTAGCTGCAGAATTGTGGATATTCCAAGCCATTTAACAAGAAAAGCTGAGAAAAACTCCCAAGAGAATTTCGGAATGGCGTTGTTGTCCACATGTTATGTTATCTATCTGGAGCTCGTTTGATGGAGAAAGAATGCACCACACAAAAAGTTGTTGAGGGGCGAGTCGTCATCGTTGGTCTGAGATTGCATTGGAGTTTCGGTGAGCGCGCGAGCGCACCAATTTTTTTGCTTCGGAGTGCGGGGTTGGGTATGTTTGCAGATTCTTTTTTCAAGAAAAGGTGTCTTGGAAATTTGCTTGGAAGCTTCTCTTGTTATCGTGTCCGATCGATAACGAACGCGAATTTGATGCTTTGATGGGGGCTGAGCATGAGCTCGGTGGAGCTTGGACTATGGAATTTCCCTTGCGATAGATACTAACTTACCATTTGGGCCGGAACGGTCGAATGGAAGGTGCCGTCTTCTTTCCCTCCTACTACATACTGCTCGCTATTGAGTTTATTACAGACTTACTTTCGCGGCTTATGTGATGTTACCTGCGATATTGTGGAATGTGATGCAAAGCGAATCTCACTTGGATGGGCCGGGTTGTATGTGTGTCATGTTGTGTGTAACCGGCTTCAAGGGTCATCTGAACGTATGTAAGGCATTTTGGAAGGAAGTGATACTACATATGTACTATGTAAGTAGGTATTTGAAGCGATTTGAGGGGTATTCCCTGAGGAAATTTGAAATTGCCGGAAGCTTAAAACTTGGAGTGATACATCCAGGGAGGCTTATTTGCATTCTTGTACCTTTTCTTGATTCTATTCTGTGGGATGATTGTCTCGTGAAGGTTTGTGTCGTCTCTCTCTTTCTCTTGGTGAGTTATGATATCCAGGGGTCTGATTTTGAGAATTGCGGGCGGGAATTATAGATGGTGGTTTTAGCCAATTGCGATTGGCGTGGAGAGACCTTCCCCTGTTGATGTTATCAGCCCAGCTTGTAGCGCTCTAACCCCAACCAAACCGAACCCCAGTCCCGTTGGCATTGACCATGACCATGTCCTAAATCAGAGTCAAAAAGCGGATAGATAATATTAGAATATGATATCAGTCGGGTTTGGTCGGGATGAAGAATCAATAGACTGGGGGGGAGCTATCTGATCAGATGCATGCCGAGGGTGTTTGAGTTGACTTGGTCTCGTTCCCAGAGTTGACTTGTGGGTCGAATTTTGGGACATGTAGTTCCTAGATAGGATTCCGGAACGGAATTATTTACCAATTCATATGGGGCGTCGCTTTTGATACCCTTATAGAGGGGTCGAAGCATGTGTCATGGAAAAGTAGGTAACTGTGTTCGTGGGTTTGTAGGGCTCTGTCGAGTCTTGTGCTTTCTTACCCTCTTCAGACAAGGGAGGTCGGATACTGACGGTTGGAATTCGGGGATCTTTGGGACGGTGTTTTGAAATCAATTAAGCAGTGCTATTGCTCCGATCGGGCTAGCTTGCCGTCTACAGTGCGCACGTGGGCGCGTGGTAGGTTTTAAGCTTATCTGAAGGTTTCGTATGTACTACGTAGACCAAGTGGATGGTTCTAGGTCGTCTTGTTTCGTTTCTAGGGTACCCTGGATTGAATTGCATCAAGTGCTTGTGGCTAGGCTAACTAGAGTAGGTTCGAACTACATGACTAAAAGGATGACAGAATTTGGAGATGTTTGCTCTCTTTCGCTAGATAAGGAATATCCCACGACATAGATATCGCGAAATAGAATATATCTAAAAGTTGAATCTTCATGCCTTGTCGGTCCAAACGGTGGTGAGAAAGTCCTCGATGGCGTGAAAAGTGTAGTCTGGGAAAATCTCATTCCAATCATCGGAGATATCCCAGGCACCCTTTGTACTGCTGAGTAGAATACCAATTGATACTGCTTTCAGCATGGCAGCAGCTTGGTCATTGGCGACCGCATGGTGAACTGCCTCGAGACTCCATGAAGTGTTGAGGTCGCCGGCTTCGAGGTCTTCGACGCTCACGTAATCAACACTGAAAGGGCGACCTGTACGCAAGACCGTTCAATGCATATTTCATGCTTGCGATGGTGGTTGTGAAGGTGTATAGCTACCTCTTACTCTGTGTCCGATCTCAAGCAACTCTGAAAAGGTGACTTTGTTGCCCATGATGCCTCCGGCAGAAGGCCATTTCCCTTCATACTCGACAGCTTTGGTAACGATGGTAGCGAGGTCTTTGACGGTGGTGAATGTCATGATGGAATCCTCATGGCCATTAACGACTATTGCGCGACGATTTTGGAAGTCAAAGATGGTTTGGAGGGGGTCGACATATTTGGATGTTTTATGCGGGAAGGCGAGGTAGTCTAAAAACAGACCTGGCTGGAATAGGGTGTACTCGAGGACCTTCATTTGCCCTTAGTAGAATACTTTGGATAACAATGGAGGCGTTAGGAGTAGTACCTGTTCTTTGCTGTTAACTTCTTCGAGGTACTCCCTAACCTTTTCCTTACCGTCCCACCACGGCATGTTAACAGTTCCCTTGCTATACATAGATAATGTTATTCTTCGCCTTTCTCCGTTGCCGGTTAGTAGTCAGCACATGCCGACTTACCTTCCATATTCACTCGGCGCAAATCTTTTGACACCAGCGGCGATTGCTGCGTCGATAAGGTTCTTTTGCGATACTTGATCTGTATCTGAAAGGATCTGGATAAATGACAAGAGGGTATGAGTGCCACCAAGAACTTTGGTTAGGCTATCCTTACTACTGTAGTCTACAGCTTTCCAGGATATTTGCGGGGATATTGTGGGCCTCGGTGGAGTATTCTACTGAGATATTAGATTGAATTTCCGCTTGGGAAGCCAGGTTCAGGGCGCAATAGGTTCACCTTTCTACTTAGGATTGTGATATGGTGTTTATATGACTCTATGAGGGCATCAATTATTTCTTGGGAGACCTCTAGATTTGAAAGTTGCTTAGTAGTGGGTAAACGCCAGGGGAGTGATGGTTAACGTACGACCAGAGCCACCGGCTATAGTCACGTTCACCATTTTGTAAATAAAATGGGGTTAATGATTGAACTTATACTATAGCCCTAGAGATCTCGAGACTTTGAATGCGTTAACGATGGCTTTGGTATGAATTGTCAGGCTTATCGAATGTCGTGCAGTTATGATTTGGTTTTAAAATTTTAGGATACGCAAGACCAGAGGCAGGGAGCAATCGACTTTTATAGACATTTCCTCGTAGTATGGGATACCCAAATCCAGTTTATTTAACATCTATAAGCTAGATGAGGTTTGGTGACTTGATAGGATCTAAAACATATTCTAGATTGATACTCTATGCCCGCGATCGCGCGAGAGAAGCCCGCGGGCGAAAGGTCAACACCTCGGACTTGTGGTATTATCTAGTTGGGAAGGCAGCGGTTTAGTACAACGCGTTATGAGATGTGGTATTTTAGATCGGCGTATTCCGCCGCGGCGGAACAGCTGCAGCCGCACGGCCGCGAACTTCCCCAATGTCTTTAGTGAACATAGAGACTCGTATCAGTAAGTCGCGGCATTTGTTGCAATATGCAGAATCAAACTATCCTGCCATTCCTTGTACGTACGATGGAAAACGTATCGAATACCCACAAAAGACGCAAAGTGCGAAAGGGCACGCAAAGCTGCTGGGAGTGCAAACGGCGCAAGACTCGATGTACCTTTGCAACGCCCCGAAATTCCGTTTGTGATGGGTGCAAGAGCCGGAGAACTAGATGCATTGGTCAGGAGTATGAGGACGAGGCATCACAGGAGTGTATAGCTGAGGCTGACCGGCCTGCTTGTGAGGAATTTTCTATTAGTGGAATGCCCTGCCGGCAGGGTGATGGTGTGAGTGAATATATCCCCTATTTAGGCGAGTGTTCCTGCTGACCAGGGGGATCTTCGAAAGCACGATAATATGAAGAAAGCAGCATATAATATCAGGCCAGAATGTGATACATCTGCTTCCGCCGCGGTTGGACCAAGATTGGACATTGAGAATACAGATTTCTATGGCATATCCCGCGCCATGATACTAGAATGGCCGAGTAAATCTGACCTGGATCTGATACTCTGTTCCCAGGTCGCAATATCTGCATTACTTCATGGTCTGATTTGCCGGCCTTATGCAGAATTGTTTCGTGGGGACATACCTTCGGCGCAAGATGTGTTGCAACCACCTCATGAGGGTCTGCATCCAGTTCTTGTGGCTAGGAAGTTGTTATTACTGGCGACCTTCTTGCAAAGTATTCCAACATCAGCTGTCGACGGGCTCAACGATATGAGCGCAGATTATCGAGTCGTCATGTTGAGTGTGTTTAAAGCCGCTACAAGGCTTGTAACAACGAACGAGGAGCTTATCACAACACTTGAAGGGATTGAGTGTGTGATGATGGAAAGCATGTTCTTGAATAACGCTGGGAATCTCCGTCGTGCTTGGCTCGCAAATCGCAGAGCCATGAATATGGCTCAGGTTATGGGACTTCATATTGATGCGACATCGGCAGTTGCTGTGCTGGAGAAAGGCACTCGCGACCGGATTGACCCAAGATATATGTGGTTCCGGTTGGTCGTTTCCGATCGTTATCTATCACTGATGCTTGGGCTTCCACAGGGTATGATGAAGAGCTCTTTTGCTGAGCCGAAGATGCTTGAAGGGTGTACACCCCTGGAACGGATGGAGCGAATGGAGTCAGTCGCTGCAAGTCTCGTACTACAGCGTAGCAGTCAAGAGCGAATTGACCTTGCCTCAACTTATAAAATCGATAAAATGATGCGAGATGCGGCAGCTCTAATGCCCCCACAGTGGTGGCTGGCAGACACGAAGTTGGCAGCTATTTCTGACGATAGTGGCCGGGCGCTCGAGGAATCAGTTCGTCTAACTGCTCAATTCGCACACCACCATCTTTTGGTCCAACTGCACCTCCCATACATACTCCTCCGATCCTCCCGAGAGCTTAGTTATGACTATAACAAGATGGTTGCTGCAAACTCGAGCCGCGAGGTTTTGGTACGGTTTATAACTTATCGCAGCTCTAGTTCTACTCCTGCCTATTGTCGAGGGATCGACTTTATATCTTTCATTGCGAGCACAACTCTTTGTCTCGCACACATGCAAGCCTTGTCGGGTCCGCAAGTGCGAGATGTTGGAACTATGTTCAATACATTCCAATCCCTCCAGCATCAAAGGCTGAGCGACCGTGGGTTACTTGAACGTACCCTTGAAGTTATGGAAACGATGGCGTCTGAGAATGATGATCTTGTTGCGGGGAAGATTGTGAGAATTCTTAGGCCACTGTTAGATATTGAGAGTAATTCCTTGAAAGGGGGTTGCTATCATATTACTGTATCCACGGAAACTCTAACAGAGTCTGAGGTGGTAAGCAATGTTGGTGAGGGCGTGAGTAGAGTTTGGATCCAGATACCACATTTTGGGACTATCCGGATTGAGCATTGTCCCCCCTCGATGGGAGAGGCGGGCCCAGGTTCGTGGATATCGACTACTGTCGATAGTAGTCTGTCTGTTCTCAATGAACCAAGGTTTATGACTATGGGCGATGATGAAACCCACCCGCATTCGCAAGCAGTACCATCATTCCCTGAGGTGACGGGGGAGCTAGATTCGAATAGAACATCGATGAATTCTGGTGTATTAATCAACTCAAGAGAAAATCACCTCCTACCGGTTCCGTCCCCAGATCTTGATGATTGGGTGCTTCAAGGCGTAGATATGGCATTGTTCAATAGTCTTACTGCCGGAGACTTTGAATTCGCTTTATGAGTCGTGGCGGAGGGTCTAAAATCTCGTCAATATTCTTTTACATGATGGAGATTCTACTGAAAAATTATGAAATAGGTATATATTCAGCGAAACTTTTGCGCGTCTAGAATGGAGTTGTTGTCGCTTGGAAACAAAATTCAAGAATATTCGCATCGTATGGACATGTACATAGGACTAGGTTTACAGGACTTGGTGACAAAAACATTCAAACTTTAGAGTTCCCGACTAAACAAACGTACGCTGCTCATTTTAATTTACACCCATTATACAGGGGATATCTTCGAGGCCTTCCAAAACTCTCTTCTCCCTCTAGCTCCTAACTATATGACAAGATAACACATAGTTAGTATCCCCGAATTTAGTGTTGCAGTGTTTCGGTGCCAAGTCTTTTGAGCCAAGATCCTCATAGCCGGGACACACGGACCCGGTGCCGCAGCTGCGCCACGTTGCTTCAGTCATGATCAACGACCGCGACCTAGTCGACCTAAACTCTTCAATATTATATAGATAGGTACACACACTCCTCCTGTTCATTCTCGTTCTTGCTTGTTACAAGAGTATCAAATTCCGAACTCGAGTGATACATACACGCAAATTAAACGCTGAAGCGACACCCGGCGGAGATTGAAACCGACTACAATGGAACCAGAAGCGCTAGCAACAGCGGGTTCAAGTCAGTCGACACCCACGAATCAAAACGCTTGGAAAGATCCAGTGGAAACCTTTACTCTAAAAGATGGAAGAATCTTAGGTTACGCCAGATATGGGGCGCAAACTGATCCCAAAACTCTTCCTATCTTCTACCTGAACGGAACCCCTGGCTGCCATCTTGAAGCTTTGCTCGTCGACCAAGTGGCGGAACGTCTCGGGATTCCGGTCATATCAACAGACCGCCCCGGATTTGGTCGGTCCACCTTTCATGTGGGCCGTACTCTACTGTCATGGCCGCAGGATATCATCGAGCTTGCTGACTACCTTGATATCCCGAAGTTCGGAGTCCTTGGTCTATCGGGCGGCGGGCCTTACGCATTAGCATGTGTCCATGCTATACCACGGGAGCGCCTTGTTGCGGCAACAGTCGTGTCAGGAATATATCCAGTTTCTTTGGGTACCGCTGGGATGATGTGGCAAACTCGTCTGCTCCTCTGGGTCGCTAGTTATTCAACGTGGTTGGTCGAGAAGTTGATAGGTATGACGATGGGAAGGGTGACACACACTGAGATAAAGGACTTGATTAAGATGATGGAAGCCCAAGCTGCGATGCTACCCCAGCCTGAGATAGATAAAGAGTGCATGAAAAAAATTGCGAAGGACGATATCCTCATTGGGGCTTATATTGGGTCAATGAAGGAGGCGTTGCGGCCAGGGGCCAAAGGCGCCGCATGGGAATTTGGGTTATTTTCTACCGATTGGGGTTTTAAGCTTGAGGATTTGGATTCAAGTCGACTAGAAATATGGCATGGTGGCCTTGACGTTAATGTCCCGGTTGGAATGCCCGATAAAGCCTCCCCGCTGTTACCAAATGCTCCATATCAACGGATGGACGTGGATGGCCATGTTAGTGTCATAATGCGGCACACGGAAGATATTCTATCGAATCTCATCCGCAGGTTTTAAATTTTTGCATTTTTTTTTTAGCGCACCAGGAGTAATTTACTAATCTCGAATTAAACAATGATCTTCCAGCGAGCGCGCGAGGCAAATTTGATAGTCCACAGTTTTGTTACACATTTCGTACAGACCTCCGCTTAGTATCTAATAATGTAGCCAGACAGGCCAGAAAGAAAGTTTTATGGATTGGTTGTAACATAATTTTAGACGTTCGAGCGCACTCTATAGATCTATCGTAGAAGGAGGTGAAATCGAAAATTGAAATTTGGTATACCCTAGGATACAACCGCTATCCAGATGTCTGCTTCGCATTGAAACTCTATCGAAATATCGTTAATAATATCCCTGATATTCTAGTATACTTGATAGCCTCGGTGTCAGGGATTATGGAAGACGTAGTATCAACGAGTCCGTTTCAGGCTCTTTCTCGCTTTAACCCTTTCTTTTCTCTTTTTGCCACTTGAACAAAGTATTACTTGACCCAACCCGAATTTTGGCTTTTCACTTCCCTCATCGGATTTACGAGGTCTTTCGCGGTCTAATGAAGCGCTCGAGGATACTAAATTATCATAAGACTCGGCAGAATCGGCTTTGGACTAGAAAGAGAAAGAGCTGCGCGTTAATATTTCCTCCAGTGCTACATTGATAGACTGGGATTGGGATCTGGTGCGCCGGTTGCTGCTAGCCATGGCCGCAAGGTAGGAGCTAGAGCCATGATAGGATATAGTTAATAGCAAAATACCATTTTTGAGTTTGATTTATGGGATATAAGAACCATGCAAATTTGGCGGAGGTGCAATTACACGTCGAGTTAGCCTTGGATATATATAGACGTGTAGAGGAAAGTAGAACACAACTTGAAAGTCGATAGATTGGTTTAAATATATCATCGAGGTCTGGTTCGGAAGCCTGGCGTTCTACAAAATATTCGATACTAAGTTACTAGGTTTCCAGGTCTGAGTATGAACAAGCTACCAGGCGACAACCTCGAACAGGGCCGCTGACAAGCCCGACGATGGGACAGCCCGAAAATGGTGTATATAAGCATTTACTCTCCCCCGCAGTTGAGGAGTCTGGCGACGAGACAACTCTCCCCTTGCCTGGCCAGTTGGTCTTGAGGCTGGAGAAATTATATTGCGAAGTCTTTGAAGGTTTGTTAGTTTGAATCGAAGGTAACCGCAGTACTGTTGCAAAACCCCTTGAAAACTGTTCACAATTGCAGATATATGTAAATCCGAAATGATAGACAGCGTTGTCCAGCCTCGTTTCCTCGATATTTTAGCTAATTGTTTTTATCTATCGATTCGGATTTGACTGTTAGAGCCTCAAAGTTTCGACGAGGCAAATACCCTATAGCCGAGATCAAAGTCTTGGAGTCACGCATCCGCGACTGATGTACAGTTACCGATAGCGAGCCCATAGTATATGACCGAATGAGAGATAAGTACTTTCATGCGTCATCTCCTATGCAACCACCCCGAAGGGGTGCATGTGGGCTCTAAGTACTAGTTGGGGCATTCGATTTGGCTAAAAAGCTCCAATTAACGCTATAGCATGACCATGATGTTGTCGCCACTCTCAGCCCTCTCCGTATTTGGTAAACTAGATAATTTGACAATGGTGCTTGGCTGGCCTAGCAGCTTTTTAGCCGAGCCTAAAACTAAACGGCTAGTTAGCATAATCAAGCTTTGATTGCCAGCATGATCATTCATACTTCTCCATTGTAAGTAAGAAATTGGCCATTCCAAAAGGGAACATAAAAAAATCTCGGCAAAAAAGAGATTGAATATATGACCAGTAGGCGATTTGAACGCCTAGCCTTTCGATTACCATCAATTTCGGAAATTGTCTGGAGTCGAACGCGCTACCGTTGCGCCAACCAGTCTTGATTTGTCAAAAATCTGCGTTTGGATATGTCCCTAGACATCTACCCATTGTCTTGCCATCTCCAGATATTCAGCGCACTGGGTCATTCTTAAGGCCGGTGTTGTGTTAGAGGTGCTCAGGACCGGATTAAACGTTCGACCGAGATGCTGGATCATGTTGTATAACTGGCGGTATGACCTGCTCGTTGGTTCCTCAAGCAGATAGTTCACCGAATATTATCGCGGGTTCCGATGATGCTGCCTAGCCTTGAATCGATTTTGCCCGTGGTATATGTATCCCATCATAACTTGCATGCATTTTTTGCTTCTAGGTGAGCTTTCTAAGGTTGGGGATTTTGGTTAAACTGCAGTATTTGGTTCAAGAGATAGGTTTTCGTTGTATTTAGGCTGGAATATTAATATATTCCATTTCCATATTTGACTGATGCAATGTCCATCACACCTAGCTTTGCGTTGTATCCTCGAAGCTGATATTTTAGACGATCGTCATAACGTTATCAAGCCTAGCTAGGCCGATGAGGGCCATGTAGAACCTGCATGCAACTACAATGACTACCTTCTCTGCGACTCTGTACGCATATGCATGTCGCTCTGTGCTTTGTCTGGCAACCATAGTTGTTGTCATTCGCAGCCGCAAGCCCATGGACTTGGACACCCTTTTAGAGATAATTTTCAATTTCAAGGATCAGATATTGGGAAGTTTGTTCTAGAACTTTAGTTTCATAGTGTTATGTTTAAAGAATTAAGCGGCCTCCGAGTCAACTGGGTTGTTACACAGGCAGCCTTGAGGTCATATAACTTCTTGCATGCATGGTGCAACCTTGTAAAGAAAACTATATGAGCCCTGAAAGGCTGGAGCCAGGGATTAGCTTCGTATCAGCACCCCCCAAGCGCAGGCTGGTTTTGGAATTAGATCGGCTTCCACCCGAATGACCGTGTAGCACTGTCGCCGTTGTGTTCCCGGTTCTAGTTAACGAGACTAGATCTGGTGCACTATGATAGAGGATCTGCTAATAAAATTGGAGTCCGCAACTTAAGCTAGTTTTTTTTTTAATTGCTAAGTTGGGTTCCTTTTAGGTTCCTTTATATATATAATTATATCAGAGAGCTTTTGCGCCCAAGGCCGAGTAAACGTAAATAAACAGTAAACACGTGAAGCAATCCACTTCATTCGCTCAGAACCGCCATTGCCAAGACGTCTAGACTTGATACGCAACCAACTTGTTATGTTACACACACCCAACAGGGATTTTCCTTAAATTTGGTAACTTTGGTAATTCTGTTTGAACAGACTGTAGCTAGACGATATCGATCGGACGATTAAAATATCGCCAGTTCATTACAAAATCGAGTGTACTGTAGCACTCCAATCATCTTAGCTTAGGAATCTAAGAACGGGCCGGTCTCGTACCCAGAGGTAGCGGTACTAGTACTCCGATGAAAAATGATCACAATATTACATATTACCCCGTTAATCCTATTTTTTTCTGATTATTGTAATTAATCATTAATATTAACTAAGCTGTTGTACCGTTGTGCAAGTGTTGCCAACTTAATTACTTGACAGGGGTGTCCAATTTTGGTCCATCGATGTGCAACTAGCTTAAACATAAATGAAATGAAATGTTATCGGGTGTGTAGCCTAAAACGTCGGCGTTCAGAAAGCCTGGAGAAGGAGAGCAAAAAATACAGCCACGAGGCTGATCTCCTTTCCCAAATTCGCAGCACCCGTGTAGGCCGGTGGTGGAGTTGGGTGGGTAGTGAGAACCGGATCGACCGTCCGGGAGCCAGAAGTTATCTCATGAGAGGAGCTCTCAGGGGGGACATCTGTGGATGATATTATTGTAGTTGAGTCTTCAGCCGGAGTAGTTGGATAATATAAAGTGCCGTGTGATATAATGAGAGTTGTATTTGGATGGTGGGACCCATGGTAGTCTCCCCGGCTGTTGGGGTTGTATTACTGTACGGGATGGTTCGACGAGTAGTTTCGGTGACACATGTCGTCGTGGATGGAGTGTGTGAAGGTTGTGGCTCATGTGTGGTATATGATTTGTGAGTGGTCGTAGAATCTGAGGCCGGAGGGCTCGTGGTACCTGAGGTAGTACTTGAGGTTTGAGAACTTCTTTGACTCGTCGCCGTCGCCGCCGTTGTTGATGAGTGGGATGTTGAGTTAGAGCTCGAGTCTGTCGGCGTCGTTGTCAGCGTCGTTGTTGTTGTCGTTGGTGAAATGCTCGTAGTTGTGGGAGTGGTGGAGGCGGCGGTGGTGTTTGGAGTCGTTGTTGGGGAGGTGGTAGTGCTAGCTGTAGTGGTTACAGGAGTGGTTGTGCTTGTGGGATATGCGCTCCACGAAATCATCGAGTCGTTATCGCAAGTGTCGTCTGGAACGGCAGGGCCTCCTGCGACAAATTTTACAGCTGCGCACTATCCACTGTTAGTCCGATTCCTTGGTAAACAACTGCAATTGAGGCTCCTGGATTCTTACCTGGTGTAAGAGGCCATCGGGCGCCTCCTGGATGATCTGTACAACAGCATCTTGCCCGATCCAAGCCTCAATACCAGGCACCTCTGGAAGACAAAATTCTGCAATGCCAGTTTGGTGAATTCTGGGGAAAACATCAACCCAATTGGTAACGTCACTTAGCAGAGCCGCCCGAAATGTCCAGCTCACGTTCAAGTGAGTCGTTATAAGAGCAATAGGGTATCCTAGAACCGACCATTCGGTAACACCTGCACTTCGGTCAGTCGGATCAAATCCACCGCATGGGGCTTCTGTAAGTGTCAGGTCATCAAAGCCAATGGCGATAGGCGTTTCGAGAAAAAAATGTGCGCCAGTTAACGAAGCCAGACCGACAAGCTTGAGGAAATGTGAAGATAACATTTTGAGTGATGTGTCTATAGAGAGCACTATTTAAAAAGATTGTGGCTGGAAGGTGATCCAAACGAGAGGAAGTTTAACCTGTAGAGAAACGGTTTTAGTTTTCCCTGCATGCACTGTCTACACTGTTTTATCAATTGGATCCGGGGCGCTGTATATATACTATATAAACAAGAACGCGGCTATCTTATCATGAGTTCAGCTGTAAAGCCGTGTATGAAAATGAATTGGTGGATCATTTACGTACATAGCCTTACCGTTTGTCTCACACACTGAGAGCATTGGAAGGAAATACTACCTGTAGCCAATCCCAGATGCTCATTTTCGTTCCCCATCATATGTGAGACGCGATATTAACAATTGATAAGTGCATGGCCATGAGCATGCAGACACGAATGCTGTCTATCGCTCTCTGTGGCGTGTTGAAATTGTTGGAGGCTGCAGCTAGCTAGCCCAAAAAATCTGCTCAAACAGACGCATAATGCACCGTGCCCGTGTGGGGGAACAACCATTGACACGCACAACCCAAGAATCACGATGTTGTATTATATTAGCAGACCGCGATTAAATCTTATCCGTTCCCTTGTCTTATTCTCTTCTTGGTTGACTGGGGTCATAATTACCCATGTCTCATAACTAGCGGTACGACTTCGTATATCCTTGGCTATGCGGAGTTGCTCTAGCTAGCCAATAGATTGATGTTTGATCGTGAAAAACAAATATACATTATTAATATTCTTCAGTACATGTTATAACGCTAAGATTGATTCAACCTACGTATACTATATACTACCTGAGCTACAGCACGGTTCTCAAAAGATCATGCCAGATCGTACCTATCTCCCAAGACGGAATATATTATTTAGTGGGAAATCCACGAATTCGTTCTTCTTCTTTTATAGCGCTATCTAGAAAGTTGATTGTATTTACGGTTGATATTTTTACTTGTTACAGTTAAGCCCTTCTTAGCTTCCAAGTTTGGGTACCGGACATCCTTCTTAGAACCAGATCGTCGATTTATACTCGAGTGCATCCTGAATATTGCCAATGCCGTAGATAACACTACACCCAAACAGCATTCGTAGCAGGCGACGTTGAATTTCTGCATTGCATCGTAGTATAACTTGTATATGGCCCGCCAGTGACGAATTTGATTGCAGCGCACTAAGGATGATAAAACGAAGCGGCGACGCAACCGCGTTGATCAGTAAATTGCACAGATCTAGAGGAATAGATATGCCTTCGCATTGGATCTCGAGAATATACCTGGTAAAGGGTCCCATCTGATGCATGTTGGATGACCTGCAATACGGCGTCCTGGCCTGCCCAAGCAGCAACACCTGGGATCTGAGGCTCGCAGAAGTACGGGTAACCGCCGGAAGTCACTTGGCATGTTGGAGTAAGGGACACCCATGTTGTCGGAGCGCTCAATAGCGCCGCTCTGAACTCATAGGTGACACCATTATGGGTGCTTGTAATACCAACTGGGAATCCGTTTACCGTAAAGTTGGTGACAACGGGACGGGCAGTTGCAGAGAAACCGCCGCACGGAGCTGTAGCTTGCAGGGTGTCATCGTAGCCAATATAGGTAGGGATCTTGAGGAAGAAATGGGCGAAGGCGAAGTATGGAGAAAAGAAGGTGAGAAGGAGAAAGGATAGCTGATGGAAGCGCATCTTTTGGGAGTTGTCGATAACGATATCACAATGTTTGTAAGAAATATTTCTGGGCTCTTGAGCTAGGTATCGGGGTCCATAGAGGGAATTCTCGATGGCGTAGGTGAGCAAGCCGGCCTAATATAGTTTTATCTATTAGTGTACTTGTTGCTAGTATATTATGTGAATACATCGAGATGTAGTTCCTAGCTGCAGCGCGCAAGGTAAGTAGCGACTGACCCATCCACGCCGGCGCCGAACAGGGACGTCATAGGCAAGAAGTTTCTAATCTGCTAAGCTAAGGGAAACCCGAAGATACCAGACGCAGGTAGGGGTCTTAGCAGAAAAGAATAGTTTGCAGGAATATTTCTTTTACGAAATTGTGTTTTCGAGAGCTCAGGCTGAATTCGAACTATGCTGCGGGGTAGTTGTCATCTGGAACTGCTCCTGACGGCCAACCATCACGCCCTCATGACATGCACCCATGCCAGATGTAGCATACATGCATGGATGCTTGTGCCGCTGTGGACCAGATAGAAACTAGTTCGCCAAATGTGTATCTTCATTGGGCCACGAACGCTTTTGATAGACGCCGATTATTCACTCATCATCTCCTGCCTGTCCACAGCAGCTGCAGCTATTAGCTGATATAGTTCCCCACTGCACTCTCTATCCGGATGGCATTGAAGTCATATAACTAACTCAAACTAGCTAACTACCCTTCATATATATATTAAAAAGAAAAGATTTCAGATAGTGGTTTTGAAGCTAGCTAGTCGTTCTACTATACATCCCAATATTCCTCACGGAATGAAGCGATTCGGAACTGCATCTATGCACTCAAATAAACTCATTTGGTTCTGATGTTCCAGGGGATAGCGAGGAGTATTTGCGGGGCGAGGCCCCGCATATCGATTGACCGGGTTTTAGTTGGGCCCTAGTCGTATTACTTCTATGCACCCGCCAGATACATTTCCCTAAGCTAAGCTTGCTATGAAAATAAGACTAGGGAGAAATACACACGCGCCATATTCTAACAGGTGCCATATAAGTTAAAAAAACAAAAAAAGGAAAAGAAAACGAAAACGAAAAGACAAGGATGCTCATGACAATTCGTAGAATGGTTCAAGTGCACGATAGCACAATAGCTGTTCGCTTGGATCCGAGCCGGCTCTTCAAATCTAATTAATATTTCGGGAGATGATATATCTTCATTGCGAAGCGTGTAGAAAACTCTTCCACAGCTACCCTAAGAGTGATCTCTTGATTCACAAATATATAGGGATCATGATCGTGATTTGTAGACGCACAATAACCTATAACTTGGGAGAAGGAATCACAAAGCAGACCTAAACTGTGCGAACTGTGCAGGGGCGCAATTGCATTCAAAAATTCTCGTTAGAGAGTCCACAGCGGAATGTGAAGCAAGTGCCTGCAGGGTTTGTGAAGAATTGAGTTCGTTTTTGGTGCACATTGAACAAGGGCGCTAGAGCAACGACGACCGGCATTGGTAAGGAACAAGGGCGCTGCCAGACCCGGAGAAGCGATCTTTGTCTATCGCGAACTTGGTTTTATGCCATTCTAAGTACTGTACTCAACTCAGCGATATAAGCCAATTTTTGACAAGTGTATATAAGGTCTCGTCTCCTTCCTCTGGGAACATCAATATATTTATATTCAACAAGGAACCAGCAGTCTCCAAGTCCATCTCACATACGCTAATATTTCAAGGGCGATATTTTACACCATTTTCGAAATGAACCTCAAGAGCCTCCTCCTATTCAGCCTTCTCGGCGTCTCTTCCGCCCATTTCATTCTTGAGGTCCCGACCTCTATCGGATTCGACGACGAATTCGCAGACATTGGTCCATGTGGTGGCTTCGACCAGACCAATAGAGCTGGTCTCACGCAAACCAAGTGGCCTAAGAAAGGCGGCCCGATTGGTGTCGTTAGCACCCACTCTACGGCTGTCTGGGAATTCCGAGCCTCTGTCGTTCCCTTCAATAACAGATGGGTCAACTTGTCGCCAAACATCACCCAGACTGCTGGTCTTGGAAGCATCTGCTTTTCCAATATCCCAGGGCCCAACAATCCATTATGGTACGGCCGCAAGGGCGTCATTCAAATTATCCAGCACGGACACCACGGTGCCCTCTATCAGGTATATTCCCGAGATTGTTAGGTTATGCTCCATCCTAAATTGCAATTCTAACATTTATCTCTTCCTGTCTACAGTGTGCCCTTGTTAAGTTCAAGCCATGGGGTCCCGCAATTACCGTCAACACAGAGACCTGTTTTAACGACACCGGAATCGCTCTTCAGTGGGGTAATCCCGAGCATGAGCATGAACATGAGCATTAAACTATAACCTACATCTAATTAGCCGGTTACTGTTTTACCATTGGGATGGAATATAAAGCCCGACATCTTCAGGATAATGTAAATTAATCCAAAATATATAATATGCCAAACCTACTAGCATCCACCTACTTAAGTAGGTCTCTGTCAATGAAAATATCGCTCGATAATGAATCTGATAAAAGCTGAACCTCTGCCTTAACAACGCACTAATATTGTTCAATTGTAAAGTCTTTCTGCAGAATTCATACATAAAACACAGCCATGGCGCCAGTTAAACACCAACCATAAATTTCAGTCGGGTTCAAATATCCGCCGCGATTCCAATGAGTATAATTAATCTGCGAATATGTTGAATACAACCAGCTTTCCGAATTGGTGTGGTCCCTGAAACCGAAATGATTTACAGGGGTCCCAACAAAGTTGGCTGTATATGATGAATATCTCTTGATCAGTTAGACGGTCAGTGCACCGGCCCGCAGATATAGCAGGGTCCGCCACCTGGGTCCCCGTCTAATAAAAGGCTTCCTGTGCGCGAGAATTTGAGCGCATACTATGCTATAAGGGCACTCAACTACTAGCCGCACGCTCGCTTTTATCCTCCTTGTATTTCGCTACACATGCATATTCTATAGGTCCAGGGACCACCCGCGCCCGATCCTCGGAATCATGTAGTCCCTCAATGCTTGCAGAGTGCTACAAGTCGGCTTTGCAACAAAAACAGTGAAAAGCCTTGACGGATTAGAGAATCAGATATCGAGGCGTATATTGATAACAGCCACTAGTAGTACTAGTATTGGATATATCCATATTCAATTTACTATTAACACGCATCTCCTTCGCCTATCAAACAATCGACGTAGCGGATAGACCGGAAAATGAGAATGAGAAAGAGAGAGAAGGGGCTGCGCTTCTCGTCATATAGACAGTCTCAATCACACCAATCTAATTAAGACTACATCAATGACATTTAAAATCCTCCGCGACCCGCTTTATCACTTCTTAATTAAACGACCCCTCAAATTTGGGTTATTAGGAAGTCCATGATATAGTATACATTGTGAAAGCTAACAAGCCCAACAGCGGTGGGTTGACTGATCGATTCGCACCAGAGGACTTAGATGTAGTATCTGGCGGTGGGTTCGAGGTTTGAGTCGGAAGAGTTGCAGTACCCGTGTAGTCTGGATCCACGGATGCGACTATCCTTGATCCGTTTCTGCAATTCCCTGGAACTGCAGCGGCGGCCCCTTCGACGAATTTGATGGCAGCGCACTGGAAAATGAGTGTTAATGTGGTTAGTTATACTTTAGTCTCGTATTTAGGTGATAACTTCTGGGGGATCGTCATGAAAATGATGCACTAGATTGAATCTCAACCCGATAGCCTTCCAAGTTGGCTGGCGATTGATAATAAAATCGATAGAATAGAATTCTCACCTGGTACAACATTCCATCAACGGCTGTCTGCACTACCTGCAAAACTGCATCTTTTCCAATCCAATCCGCATACCCTGGCACAGTTCCCAGACAAAAATTGCCCATGCCATCTTGCCTAATGTTTGGCAATAAATCCACAAACTCGTCGGGTTTCTCTAATAATGCCGCTCGGATCTGCCACAGTGCGTTCGGGTGAGTGGAAACGACACCGATAGGATAGCCGGCGATGGGCCAATCGGTGACCGTACTACGGCTGGTGATGTCAAAACCACCGCAGGGAGCCTCTACTTCGTTAATATCGTTGAAGCCGAGAGATGTAGGGACTTGGAGGACAAAATGGGCGGCTGTGAACGGAATGAGAGCTAGTAGAAAGGGGAAATTTGAAAGATTCATATTTTCTCGTTAAGATGAAGAAACGACAGACAAATCCAGTCACGAGAAGTGAGTTGACAGCTCAATCTATGATCTGACCGGAGCTTGAGAAGAATTTGGACGAATTGGAGATATAGACGTCGTGGTGAGAAATAGGACCTCGCTATAGATGATGTATCATGAATAGAGGCCTCCAGAAGAATCAAATCGAATAAGACTAAAAGTTATAGGTACGACTCAGAATAGTGCTAAAGAAAGAGAAAAGCTCACGAGTGTTATGTATCAACGGCAGAATGAGAAACGAAGTTAAGACTAGTCGACTTCACACTATTGGATGTATTCTACATGCACGTATATCCGGGGCGCCTTCGCTGTCTCTTAACTAGGTACTCTCATTACGCCACACAAATAAAAGTTGCACGAGTCCCTATCACGGAATCGGGCGTAACAAAACCTGTAGTGCTTGCTGCATTGGCTATCCCTCTCCAATCTCCCATCATTGGAATCCAAAACATCTAGCTAAATACCCACGGCAACAAGCAAACAATATTCACTGCTGCCGTGTGACCATAGAAAGTCGACACCAGTCATCCCCACACTCTAGTGACCATAGATGATGCATTGGTCCACCTCCTTTGTGGTATAATGTCTGGAAGACTATGATGCATTGTGAATCCCACGTCCATAAGACAGGGGTCGCCAGCCCGCTGAGCATGTTTGCGCAAGTTCCTGTATCGTATGAAAATGCAACACCAGAGGTGCGATGCCACACCAATCACATTTCGAGCTCGTGAGGAGTGCAGATGCAGTATACACAAGTGTTCGGCTGAATTGAACTGTCAATGCACATATCTGCGCCTGCCGGAAATGCACAAGCATATCAGGGTAGTGGCCTTGTTAGACCTGTGGAAAACGAAATGAAAGAGGCTTTTCAAATTAACATGATCTCTTTTTGGAGTTTCACCCAATGGGCTTCAACCTCCACTTCTTAGAAGTCAAACTAGAAGCGGCTCCCCTATATATCTCCATGCATTTATAAATATAGCGTACCACAGAACAAATTCTTTCTCCCTTCAATTAATATCTCCTCTTGCTGACTGCCCTCTGTTTTTTCTGACCACACTCGCTTTAGCCTGGCAGGACTTACAAATACACTATACGTGTGAATTCGTGAATACCGCTCACGTCTTTGGTTCTACTATCCATTCGTTTTCTAGATTTAAAGACAGCCCATCATGCTCAGCAAGCTCATCGCAATTGCCTCTATTTCTTCTCTTGCCAGAGCCCATTATTTTTTGCAAAGCCCTCCAAGCATCGGTTTTGACGATGTTAAACTGACCGAAACTCCCTGTGGTGGTTTCGACGCTACCGATCGCAGTGGTGGTGTTACTGAGTGGCCAGTCAGCGGGTTTCCCTTCAGCGTCATCACAACCCATTTAGATGTCATATGGACTTTTAAAGCCGCGCTTCTTAGCGACGTATCAAATTTCATTGATATATACCCGAATGTTCGCCAGACAGGCATCTCAGAGTTTTGCTTACCCGCACTTCCCGGCATCGAAGCGTGGATCGGACAGGATGCAGTGTTTCAAGTGGTGCAACAGGCTCCAGATGGATATCTTTATCAGGTATGTAGATCTATAGAGTTACATAAATGTTCTCTATCTCTTTTCATGAGCCCAGAAACTCATTGCTAAATCATGACGATCTAGTGCTCTGCCATCAAGTTTGTTTCCGGGGGCCCGGCACTCACCGGGGACTGCAGTAACTCAACGAGCGTACGAGCAAGTATAATCCCTGGGACTGGTCCAAGACCGCCTGTTCAATCTTCATCTACGACAACGCGCCGCTTTACAACGACCTCGATCAGCTCAACTACATCGACGATTCCTGATCCAGAGCCTACCGAGGATCCAAACACAGAGAGTTCGACAACTCCAGTGACCACAGCCGATTCATCTACACGCGCTCACGAGGAAACTACTACCACTGTGGAGCCTACTTCTATGCCCACTGAAGGGCCAACCACAGTACCCACCACCCATCACTCCAATGATCATACAGACATTCCAACCTACGCACCAACTCCAAGTGGAAGTGGCTCCCCAACTATTTCAATGAACTCCACCACCACCCTACCGACCGTGCCCCCAGCGTACACCGGTACTGCTAGTACTGGCAAGAGCATTAGTTTCCTTGCTATTTTTATAGCAGTAGCAGTTTGTTTGTTGTAGGCAAAACCGAAGTACCGGTGTGGACTGTCAGTTAATAGTCAGCAACCCCGGAGTCCGTTCTGCAGCTAACCCATACCAACCTCACTAGTACAATGTAATAGTATATCTTATATCCTAGCCATGATACCCACTCATCCTAAACAGAGTGTTCATAAAGTATCTTTTTTCAACAAAGGGAAAGCTGCGAGCTCATGTTTCTTGTGTTTTTGGAGCCGAAGCTAAAACTGGGGGTTTGAGACGGTTGAGACTTATAGTTGCAAGCCAAGGCCAGGCTATCTCGTCGCCAGAGTTTCGCAGAGGAGAACTTATGATTCCTCTTTCAGCTTTACGCGTAGCTTAATTACGGGGCGAAGGTTCGTTATTAGGTTTAAGGCCAAATTCGTTACTTCAGTACATAATATTCTGTAAATTAAATACCGTATAGATCTGAACCTGAAAATTAATAAATAATACACTTACTCCAAATTCCAACACTGACATTGACCTCATGTGCGGATTAATATCACATACCAACGAGACCACGTATACCGGGTATAAGTCGTCAAATTAATACTTCTCAATATCCCATTCTATATCAAAAGACGGAGATTAAGAGAAAGGAAACCCCTTTCAGGTTTATGAACACATACATCAGTAAACTTATTAACGACGTATGTAACAAAGATATCGTAGCATAATGAACTCCAAACAAAATTTTAGGTGGCTGGAGGAGCCCCCAGAACAATCATTAAACCCATCCAGATAATACTATAATTAGAAGAAAAAACATATAATAGAATATAAATCATAGATCTAAAATAAGGAAGCGCCAGATCCAGACCTCAGAATTCGTAGAAGAATATTAACTTTATTATTGTAACCATGGCCATGAGTTGATGCTGCCTAATAGGAAACCCTGGGCTCTTTTGACAATCCTCACTTCACAAACTTATCTCCTCTCCAGTTCGCCGTGTTATTTCTTTTGTCACTTGTCTATTTAAACCGTTATGTTCGCTGTTGTGTATTTAGGGAGCCAAGCAACAAGTTATTAATCCGTATACACACTAATACCTCACCCTCTCTGTGGCATATGTGTGTTACCTTGATACCTTGACTAGTCTATACACAATTCCTTACACAAAATATCGATGAACAAATAAATCCCACCATCTTTACGTATCAACTTAGATTCATCAACCATACTGTTTGTAAGCTCAATTTTAATTATCATTACTGAAGTTAGGGATTGTTTAGGATTTAAAACTAGATATATATTGATGAATTTTAAGTCCCTGTAAAGGAAAACCAAACACCGTGGCTATGGCGTATATTTTTGGCCTATACAAAGTAGTTTTTGTCTTAAGGAAATATAACAGCAGTCAAAGGCTAGATCTATAGATTGGAAACCAGAATTGATAATTTTAGGTAGTTATGCATCAAGATGTGAAAAGTAATAGTTGAAGATAAAGCTTATGTGATGCTTTTCGTTTTTCTGTTTTCTATATCTTTCATTTGTCTCGTACCCAGACCTAGAAGATCTTTCATGTGCTCCCTCAAACAAGCTGCAGGAATGGCTATAGTTTTCCACAATTGTACAGCCCAGCTATTCAAATCTTTAGTTATGCGCCGATGGATTCTTCGGATGTTTACTTAAGGTCCAACACTCGACAACATATCTCACTTTCCCTCACACGAGAAATCTAGAGTCAGTGTCGATTAACCCTTTGTCTGTTACGCAATTCTATTCTTTGGCCCGTTTTATTGTTCAAAGTATCGATATATATTGTTAAAATGGGTCAATTTCCTATAGCTATATCCCGAAACCAACAAATATAGCGCTACCTTACCATACCTCTTCTCACATTCTTGTTTTGACCTCAATGAAGCGCCACCTTATACAGAGCCCTTTGGCGAGGAATTTTGATAATCCTCCTGTTGTGGCCTAACTTAAACATTTCCGTCGACCGGACCAGAAGGAGCTACTTCGGCCAAGGGCCGACCCTCCGCATCAGTATTGGTTTCATTTCTCATATTTATAAAAAAAATGTGCACTTCTAATAGTTGATGCAAATTATTAGCACTTAAACTTTTGCTCTTTGCCGATCTCAACGATCCGCTGTTCTAACAGTTAGGAGGAAGGCTTCATGTATACAGAGAAATAAATAATATTATAATTACAAAATCACGAGATAATTTGGTGTACAAACCAATCATACTCTACTAAATAGATAACATCTGTTCTTCCCGCAGAATAATTTAAGTCATAACAGGCAAGTTCAATCAAATAAACCTCTATACAACTCAAGGCAGAAATAGAAATCGGCTGGTGGCACCATCAGAATGACAGTCGTCTAAATTCTGCAATCGCAAAATATTTATAAATATCGGCGACATTGTTGGCGATAGATAGGATCGCGTTCTGATAGGACGCCACTCAAAATCAAGTTTCTGTTACCCACACCGCCTGATCTGATACCGTCGAGACATGAGCTCTTAATCCAGTCCAAGTACCCCATTCAAGCGGGATTTGGGTCAATTTAATCTGTGAAGTTGATGGGACCCTATTCATACACTCGGAAATGACGGTCTATTCCAAACTACGAAACCAAAATAACATTATTATTGCTCACACCGCACATTCTAGTCGTGGACAAATATAAAGAATATTTCATCTTAGGATTATTTTTAAGAATAATGTTACGCGATCAACTGAGGGAGTGGCAACAAAACCCGCCCAGTATCTTGATGGTTCTGATAACTGTTCTGGGTAACAGCGGGTCCTCAAATCAGCCACGCAAAAAAAAACCCCAGAGATAATAGTGCCTACCTTCCGTAAGGTAAAATGAAATGGATCCATTCCTCTTTTTGATAGATACCAGTCGAGTCCTGGGTATAATATCGTTCTTTTTCATCCTCGGCTTCTCTCTTCAATGACAGAATCGTAAGGAGTCAGACAGTTGCTGTTCTTCGAAAATACCTGTGGGTGCAAAACTACTTCATTCTAACGTAGAGCTTGTTGGAGCTTTCATCAAATGCTAAATTTTATCCATATTTTAGCTCTGATCCTAAATTATAAAGTCGCACCATATCAGTTGTGCTGAGATAGGAACTTCTACCAATCTCAAGATCTCCAACTCGGCCTTGACAAAAAGCACTTTTCACCAGCGGTATATACCTAACAGGTAGTCGCGGGATCGGGGAATCGATGGAATTGTGCATAATGGATGGCTAAAGGGTGCATCTGGGCTGAAGTATCTAGTGACAGTTAATTCTAGTAGATTGAGAGACGATGATGCGCCCCTAATCGCCAAGTTTTGTATAACAGATGACACTTCATTTACTATTATAGGCGATCAAGTGAGACGATATTAGTTTTAGCCAAAGCCGCGGCATAAATCTATTAATCTTGACCGGTCAGTTATGGATGCATACGAACCTATATTCTCCATTCTGGTGTATATATGTAGAGTCACTTTGGATATTGCAAAGAGATGGATATTCGGGCGTTTTCTAGCAGAAGGTTCTAGACCTTACTGAGACTGCAATGGAATGCATGATGGTACTCTCCAAGTGTAGATAGATAGATATCTAGATATTTTTGTAGCTAAAAATAGATCCTAGTTAAGATGACGTCGATGGACAAGGTTTGTTGAACATTTGTACATCATAGGATTATGCAAGTCGTCAAGAAGTTATGCCCGTCACGATATATAAGGTATGTGGTATGACGAAGAATCAAAAGTCCAATTTTATTAAATTATTATATAATTTAATCTAGAAGTCTTCTACATGTGTTATGGATTTAAGTAAGATCAGGTGCCGCCGAAAGAAGAAGTTGAGGGGTTTGAGAATGGAGGTAGGTACTTCTGTAAACAGCATATTTTGCTCTGGAAGAACATCCAACACTGTGTTTATAAGTAGTACTTGATCACTGGCATGGTCCACAAACATCAACTCCCAACCGCGGTAACCCCACTTAGGCTATATAGCCTCTAAACTGCCACCCTTATCAATTCCTCCCTAACTAAGGAGCGGTTCACGCGACAAACATTTCCTTCAGTGTCACCGTTGTAAAGTTTCCGAAATGAGTTCGTCTAAGATCAGATCGCGGAGACGCGGAAACGAGGACTGGTTATGGAAGGGTGTGAGCAGTCATCAGTTGATCGGTACAATCGATTACACAACATTGGAGCCCGATAGCTCCTTGGTATCCAGCGCATCCAAGCCGGAGCTACTTTGCACCTATGACTGGCAAGATAGACCTAACCCCACGGTCCTAGTTCCAGGTTAGCCAACCATGTTTTCTTTGTTCAAAAATTTCAGAGTTATAGCTAAAAGGGTTTGTCGTTTTATGTTTACAGGGAATGCTCCTGTCTGGACGGATCAACAGCTCCCTATTACCATCCCCGAAGACCATGGGGTTTACTTTGTCGACCAGAACGCTGCACGACTACCGGAATACCCGCTCGAGCCAGTTTTCCACGCGACAGCCTCTATGAACCCTTCCTTTCGATTTGATGATGTCGATGTAGTAGTAAACCGAAATACTCTGAGAAAACTCTTCGAATTCAGCAAGAATAGCTTCGTAGAAAGCTTCCGGGTTAATCTCTACATCGTCAAAAACACCTTGTTTATAGAACGTTGTTCCCAAATAACAACAGAGAGAGTTAGACAGAACGGGGGTTACGGCAGGACTTTCGAAAAGCAGTTTACTAAGAGCACGAATAAGAGCACCGGCCACCACCGTGTCTTGCGGTACCACCTTGGAATGTTAAATTGTGTCGTGCGTTTTGAGGTCGATGCCTCTTATCAAGAGAATCAGAGTGAGCAGGTTGGAGGCTTGTCCAACGGGTCGCTGGCGACTGCGATTGAAGGGTTGAATCTCGAAAGCTCGAAAAGAAGCGATACAGAAGCATTTTCACCAAAATTCCTAGAAAGCAGTAGGCTTAAGAGCATATTTACGGCCGAGGAAGCAACGCCACAGTCGATAGCCGCAGAAATAAAAACATTCACTGAGAAACGCGGGCTTCGTCGGCATTTAAGGATTCCCCAGCTCTGGTTCGGCCGAACGCATTGGCTAATTGCCGGCCGTCACAATAACGGGACATTTGACGAGATTGACGTTTCGTACGTTAAACCTGAGGAGTTCATTGACTGGGAAATCCAGTTTCAAGAACCCCTACGGAAGATGGTCACGGTCATCGCTCAGTTAAGAGATATCGTCGAAAAGAACAAGGGATTCCACTGCGTCGCCATATTTGAACAAAAGGAAAGACCGAAGGTTATCAAAATTTACGCCTCTAGTTCCCCAGGCAAAAAACCCTTACCAAGGAGCCTGATTGAGCACTTCTGGACTTCTTGAAGTGAGAGGGCCGTTACAGAGGCGCCATAAGCCTGTCTTCAGGATCTTTCTTTCTATAGAGATTTACTGCTTGTCCGGCGAAGAGAATAAACTTCAACTAGTTCATGATGCTGCTGGCCGTTGACTTCTTGACCTATGCATGCATGCACCCAAATTAGTACATATCACTCAAGAAGAACTTTCTGTTTCCAACGAGAGCAAGTCAGTTGATTTTGAGCCCTGAAAAGGAGAAGCTGGGGTATTATATGAACTTCTGTCCCTGGTGGAAACGGACCCTTTACGAAATTAATCTCAGAATCAGTCCCTTGCTGGCTTGGCATCTCATTCTCACTGTTAGTTATTAGTAGTTACTGCATGTTATTCATAGTGGTATTTCAAAGAGGTGTCTACTTCGAATATTCCCATTACGGTGGTAGATATGTTAACAAATTCAAAGGATATATTTTCTGTATTATTTAATATTTTGAATATTCAGCAGCCTGCTGCCAATGCTCATGGTATAAAATAGCTCGAGTATCTTTGCAGAATCTAGATAGTCTATCTTGTCAAGCCATCTGGTATTTTATTCCTCCGTTTCTCTCAGTGTATATTTTGGTTCTTGATTTTCGCTCAGCGCTCCTAATTTAGATCTACTAACTCGGCGGGCGACTTAGAACATCGACCCCGCAACACAACAGAAACAACACAAGCTTACGATAAAAATGACTCGATCGGACTAGTCTGATAAACTAGACAATGATCGAATTCTCAATTCTTACCACTAGATCTTATCCTTTTAAACCGGTAAAGATTCAGTACTCTGCTGGTTTGTAATAGTGACGTTGATGTCTCTGGTCCTGACAATTCCATCGGAGTTCTTCGCCACAATTTCTTCCTCGCTTTCGTTCCGAGTGTGGCCCTCTTTTCCTCCACGAATCTTGGTCTGTCGTCTAGTATCGTCGCTGACACCCAATCTGCTTAACTGTACACCGCCATCGGATCTTGATCTTCCAGTCCAGCCATCGTTCGAACGGGTTGGGTATCCGTATGAGTGTCCGTATGAAGAGGATTTAAAGACGCCCTTGAATAACGGTCGGAGTGGTGGCGCGGAGGCAGTAATGATCGCGAGGTTAATTTCGATATTTGAGAAAAGCAGGATAAAAATCGCATCGTACGAAACGTCCTTGGTATTCTGGTAAAGCCAAAGTGCCCAAATACGACTAACACTTGCGAGTACCGCGATGAAACCGATGAAGAAGATTCCGACTAACGCGACTGTGAAGGAGGCGGATTTGGTTAGCAAGCGGTCGGGAAATTTGCGAAATAGGCGATAGTTACACATACTTCTTTTCCGTTTTTGGATTTGAATCGTCATTAGAACGGGTATCGGGAGACACAAGATAAGTATGTCGGTGAGAATGTTGATTGAAGCACTGGTATAGTATAGAACGCTGAGGTTCATACAGCCTGTTGGGAAAGTCACAGACCACGACATGCTAGGTTTGGGACACTCAAACATCTATATGACTCTGATTGTTAGTCTTGGGGCCGACTTTCCCGCGTCTAGGGGGGGTTCCGAGAGCCTACGTAAACGAATTCTATGGCAATAGTGTATGCCAGAACCAAGCCTATTGTTGACCATATTGCAATCTGATATGGTTTTTGTGGCGATATCCCTTTGTAGAATGACAAGATGGAGAGTTTTATGATACAGAGGACGATTGGGTATATTAGTTGGTACGCATACCAGTGTTTTAGAGTAGGAATCAGTGCATCAAAAGTCTTGGGATTGTAACTTGGATATTAGATCGTCTGTCGTATTTTTAGAAGGGAGATTTATATAAAGCTTTTCGAACTTACAATAGTCTCGATATGCTTTCCAGTTCCGTGGGAAACATGGAAATAGTTGAGAACTCCTAAGACCCAGGCGAGTACCAATCCCACGAGAATAAGCCAATCGTCGAGGCCAATTTTCCTAATGAGGACGGCACGACAGTAGAATCTATTAAACAATGGTGTAAATCAGCTGGTCGATCTTTTCTACGATTTGATGATAAGATAGGAATGAGATATAACCTTAAACTAACGACAGCTAGGGAGCATATTAGAAGTGCAAATGTGATTCCGTAGAACAGCGGCTGTCGGGTCTCTGCCGCATAAACAGGATCTAATTCTGGAGGAGGCGGTAGGCTGTCGGACATGTTGAAGTTATTTTTTCATGTCACATATACAGACGGTGCTTCTAGGTAGTGGTCGAAACGTTTGCCCGTTCTGAGGAGGAGATCTCGAAGAATTCCCTTCGGAGATATACTCATGCGGAATTCAATAGCGATAGGGACGATCTTTTGTCTATTGTGGAATGTGGAATGTGGTATTACTATCTGGCGTTTTGACAATCCCATTTCGCGGATCGATCGAGTGGGGCCCTCCTCTTTAAACATCCTTTAAACCCTTAGCATCTCTACCTCATCTCGTGAATTAGAACCCAATCGAGCTAAGGGTTTCTGACGAGAGCAGGTCGCAGAATATATTGTACCCCGTGTTGCATTTTGAAGCTATGTTAACATTGTCTAGACTTTAGTTTTTTATATATTGAGATATGTTATTTGATATTATAGTCGACATCTACTCCTGAAAGTGTTCTTATGCAGCTGCCTTATGGTTCGTCTGCTGGCTCAAGTAATCAGGTCCCTGTTCGATCGGTTGCATCAATGATCGGGGTCTGATGTCTTTTCCTTGCAAGTGCATAAACTAACATTCAAAAATTCCGACCAGGACGAAAGGGTCAGACAGCGGACGGATTCAGGAAATATTGCAAGACAAGGATTTGCTGTGTGTTTGTGGCACAGAACTTAAGCCCCGGTAGTTACCGTCTCATATCCCAGGATATCCTTGCTACGGCCTGGTTTCCGAGTTGATACGCTCAGATGTTTTAGCTTCTCCCAGCCAGGGAAGCCGGCTGGAAGCCGGCTTGGAACCACTTAGCGAGGAGCGCCTCGCTGTGCAACCAAGTCGATTTATGATTTAATAACCTCAGCTACAATATCGCAGGTCAACCCTTGAGAAGGAACGCCCTGGATTAGGCGAGGGATTTTGTTGCATGTTTTTTGTTGCATGTTTTGGTACTCCTGCATACATAGTCTCTTTCGAGATCGCCTAGCTTATGCTGTTAATCTCGCCCCTTTTCGCATTTTTGACAATGCATACGAGGCAAAGACTTGGCCTCGGTCGAAGGGATATCGCGGTAAGAAAATAATTTAGAGCATTAAAATTTAGTAATTAAAATCTAATCTAGTGAAACTATCAACTAAGGTCTGGAACCAAACAACTGACAGGCCTGCAGGCAACTCGGAAACCTTCAAATCTACTGTACACACATGAATTTGCACTTTTACGGTTTCTCATAAGTATAACAGAGGAAATCTTGCGTGTTCAGAAGCGCGCTCAGTGGGGCGTTAGGAGCGAGTTTCCCGATATTGATCTGAAAGTTAGCGGTGACATTTCCTGCGCTCAGATTGTCATAATCGAATGGAACAATTGGGCCAGAAACTTCGGTTAGTGATCTTGGCAGGTTTTTCTTCTGCCACTGCCACTGCCAAAACACCCTATCTATATTGGCATGGTGGAGATAGAAGAGAGGATCTGTCTCAGATGTTGATTAGATTCAGTTGTCACTTGTCAAAGTGTATCCCGGACGGGATAAACATCGCTTGAATACGGTGTTACTTACCGCCAGGGCTATTATGAGCATCGCCAATGGTACCAAGGGCACCCCCGACACCAAAATGACCAGATCCGTGAATGTTTGGGATTGTGAAATCTGGTTCCCTCTCAAGACGACGAGTGAAATGGCCATAGTCTGGGGTGTCCCACACCCAATTGATATTGCTTTGACTCCCCCATTTCATAAGCGGGCGAGAAAAGTCTCGAGTCAGACAGCGGGGATTGTAGCCTGTGGACTCGCCCGGACCTATGTTGACCGTGAATTTGGGGTACGCAAATGGTCCGTTGGGTACGCAGCCACCACCAGTTCGGTCTGGAATGCCGAATGGGTTATCACCATTCTTGTAAGGTCCATTGCCCCCAAAGCCTGTAGAAGGGTTGAAAATAGGCCATTTGTCCATGTCTAAGCCAGAAGCATTGTCGTGTTCCCAATCCCAGTATGGCTGTGCACCATTATAATTGCAAAGATTTCTTAAATAGTACTCATAGGTGGCAATGAAGTATCTGTGCCAGAGAACAAAGTGTCCCTAGTTTACGGAGTTAGAATCATCACGTCGACCAAAGCCAAAAGAGGAAAAGTCATTCTCATCGAGGCACGGCTCGGAGAGTTACAATTTGAGAAGGGGAAACTTACGACCCAATGGATGGTAGGAGTCTGCTCAGAGTGTGTCCCTTGAAAGTCATCGAAAATGTTCTTGGCTCCGGGGATACCGCTGATACTTTTCTTTTTAGTCAAACATTGAACGGCTGCAATGTATTTGGATTTCTCGGAGTTGGAGAGTTTTCGCCTGGTCCAGAATTTATGTTAACGGGATGAAAAATAAGATCTCCGCAAGAAGAAGAAGCTTGTTATCGGCAAGGGCAAGGAATTTAAATGATCATGCTTACCATGACTTCCTGACTACTGGTTTGCATCGTGGACTACAGAACGCTTTTGAAGGGGTAGGCCATGGCAGGAGGGGGGAGACACCTGACGGCTTGAGAGCCCCTGCAGTATCTTCCAACGCAGGGGCAGCAACCACCTCTGCAGGGGCTGGGGCTGGACAACGAGGGAGAACAACTGCAGAAACATGCGATGATATCGCTAATCCTATAAAGGAAGCGGTAGCGGTAGGCCAAAACTTCATGATGATAATAGAAGAATAGAAAAGTCCTAAGGAGTAAAACTAAGGAAGGGATGATCAGGATGATCCTTTGCGCCGTAAAGTCACAATGATATAGTCTCTTTGGAAAAGATTGACGGTGAACCTTGGGTTAGGAGTTGGAAGAGGTAGGGCCAAAGGTACGTTCCAGGCCACCTTATATAGCTCTGCTTTGGTAAACCATTTCCACGTGGGTCCACCTCAAACATGATACAAGGATCATTTCCTTAGATGAAGTTGATAATGCACGAGGCAGGCAAAACGGGTCTCAATTTCCCTTCTGGACTCTTGCTATTGGAAGTCGTTTGGGTGAAGGGGAATATCGTTACGAATCTCCAAGGCTATCGGCACCCGGACGGCATTTATTTTCGGTAGGGTGGATCAATTTAGCCCTAACGGAGAGGATATTCACAAAGAGGTACATATAAAAGGTGTAGTGGTCAAAGATTGTAAATATTTGCCAACGTTTTCCAATGCAGCAGCCACGAGCTGGCGAGATTGCTATATCTAGGATCATTTAACCCGGAATACATGCATTCTATCGATAATTCCATAGATGGCTAGCACTGGGTAGCAAACTTTGCCGAACACCACAGCAGTACATTTGCACACAAGAAGTTACGCCTATCCAAGTGATGGGATGGGCGAACTTACAAGGTAGCTCCATGCAACCACCAACTTTTGTAAGATATTAGAGGTGCTTGATACCCAAGTATTTGCTTGAGAAATTGACGTCCCAAGAAAAACCGAGCGTATAGTATGTTGTAAGGCTCCCCTTCTTTTTTGCTTTCCTTCTTTCCTTCTTTCTCTTTCGGCAACGTTTACACATCGATACGATGACCCGCTGTTGGCACTGCCCTGGCAGCCCTGCGCTAGACAGTCTGTTCGAAACTGCAGCCCGTGTTCCCGTTGTTGAAAATAATACCAATGGAAAAACACAACACAACACAAAAGGCACATAATCGTTCAGGCAAGGGTTCAGGCTGCAAGGTGGTGTAGAACGCACGTTGTGGGTTAAGTGGCGATCATTCAAGAGGTCTGACGTTCGTGACGGCCTTTGCGGGCTAACGCAGCCTAAGCCGCATGTCGATATTATGTTTTGTTTGGGTGTCACTTTTTTCGTGCACCTGGAAGCCGTGCTATACGCTTAGGGCACAGCAACACACAAGTTGGCTGGTCTTATTCCGTAATGGGCAATTTGGGACGTGAAGATTCGTGGCTTGCAGAAGCGATATAAGTATTATATGAAACACGGCGACGCTAGTTCACGAACAAAAACTAGCGTCTGTTCGCTTCTTAGCACAAGCCGTAATGGAAATGCCCAGGAATATATAGAATATTGTCAAACCGTCTTGTTTATCGGGTGAGCATCGCGGGACCGTTATACCCTGAGACATCGTTCTAAGAGATCACTGCATGACCCATCAACGAATGTTTTCCACTAGATATCTTTTGCATACGCACGCAGCTGTTCGATGAACAGAACAACATTTAGCGTGCTTAGGAAGGTAACAGTATCACCAATTATCCAGGGAGTTGATGTGACCTTGTGTTCGTTAGCATTTTCCTGTGAGGACCAGGCAAGAAAGAACGGTAACACGTACAACTAGGCCTGGCTCGTCATATATCAAATGAAGATACCAAGTAGACCCAATAGCAACTATTGCCGGGACACATGGTACTACATCTGCAGCTGCTCCAATTTGTCTTGCTTTAAATAATATCGCCCCACCTACAACTGCCGCTTGCATTTGAGCTTCCTGGAGATCGCCACCGCCTGCCTTGATCTCAACAACAGCGAAAGCAGGCGTATCATTAAAACCAGGGTGGGCGAACGGGGAGAAGGTTTCATCGATCTCCACTGTAGTGGATTTACTTGACGGCAAAGTCGACCGAACTTGTTGTTGTAGAGTTGGTTTATTTGCATAACAATGTCGGGTCGTAGAGAAGGCGTCTTCATAGGTAGTATATTGGAGTGCACGTTGGTGTTTTCTCTACTATGTGTCCGAAAGCTGAGGACCCGCAAAGGTACCCATTTTATCGACTCTTACATTTCTATTACTTGAAGGGAGCCCCGCCTATCCTTCGACAAACCACCCAAAAGATCTTTCGCCATATCCGACCAGACGCTCTCCGTCGCATCGTCGCGTTAGTTGCGGAGGCTGTCCTCATAGTATGATGCTACATAGTCGACTAGATCAACTCCGTATTTTGGGGAGCTACTGAAGAGAGAAATCGGGAAGTCATTATCAGGAAATTGTGTTACGAGGCTATCCTGCAGCCAGTTAACCCCCTGTATCAACTAATAGTTGACTAACATACATACTCGAGCCGATGAAGGCAAAACACTGTCCTGTAAGTCTTTCGGAAGCAAGCTTTTTTGAGATCCAAGGCCGTCTGTGGGATTTTTCCGGAGGCGAGACGATGGGTCTGGCAGAAGACAAATTCAGGGGAGCATTTCGCCATGGTCGCCCGACGCACAGGGACTGAGGTAGATCCTCGGGATACCGTGGTCCTCACACTAACAGATTGCTTGTCCGGGCTACTGTTTCTTGACTGGGACCCGGCGCTTCGTTTCCCCGGGCTAGATCTCCTTGATCTAGGTTGCTTTGTCGAGGCGAGTCTCGAAAGGGGCTCTGCGAGTCTGCGGGAACTCAAATCTACATATGAAGCCAACGGAGTGTCATTTTGCGAAGTTAAGCTAAACCTCCGCTTGGTAGGTGAACCAGCACGCTTCGAAGGCGACAGCGATTCTTGGATGGTGAATGAGGCCTCGAGTTGCTCAACCATAACAACTTCATGGAGGCCATTGGACTCTTCCTCGGGCGGACGTAAGCCATGTCGATATCTGCGGTGTCCAAAAACGGGACATCGTGAATCTATTTGCGGATAGAGTCGCAAAGAGGGGAACTGTCATGCAGGTCATCGAAAATGGGGTAGTCAAGGCCGTCAGCTGTTTTCGTATGCCGTGGGCGTTTGCAGTCTCGGCCATCATCCCGGTATCCGTCTCCTGACCAAGGTCTCTTCAAGTTATCCATGATAACGCTAGCATGATATGTCAAGGACGCTAGAATTAGGAACTATCAATCTAATTGCGCTCTTTTAACGTAGGCTTTGGGTATTCAGGTGGGAAGCTCGCTTTCTTCGACCAGTGCGATGCAGCATGATGCCAAATCCAAGGTTTGTTGTTGTACGTTGTGTGTTCCCTATCTCGATATCTCGCGTGGTTCGTAGCTAGTCTCGGCACAAGGCATCGGCCGAGAGGTAAACAAAGGGTTTCAAAATGCAACATGGGGCAACGCAAACCTTTGCTGCGCCGAAGGAGTTTGCGTTGTCTACCTAGTAGTGACTATTACTGCTTTGCTCGGTTGTTCTAGTTTCGAGACTGTCCAGGCCCCTCAACTCGTCAGCAGCTATGCAATTGACCTCCAGGCTGGACCCCGTGTGTTGTCTGGTTTACGAGACCACTCCAGGCCTTAGTCCGCAGTCTCGTAACCACAGTTTGGGTACGAGACTGCTTAGTCCGGTTCTGTGCTCCATATGGGCATGTGTTGTTTCCTGATAGAACGGATGATTAGCATATGAGTGGGCAGTCTCGTAACTAACACGGTTTGGTTACGAGACTGGTGCATTGGTGAGTGGGGAAGGAAGAACTTAAGAGTGGCAGGAGGGATCCTGCAATATAACAGTTCCGACCCTTAAGGTCGATTACGTTAAGTGCTAACTATGGCGGTCTCGCAACCAATATTTTTTTGGCTACAAGGCTGGATACTCAGTCGCAGTTCGATTGCAAGAATGATGTTGCATTGAAACAATGAATTCCGCTTGCCGACGCCCGAATCCGAGGCAGACCGAACTACGATTGCGACCGCGACCAATTAACGCAAATCAGGAACCGCCATCAGGTGGGGCTCTAGTAGAATTACGAGCATCCCGGAACTCAGAACCACGCCAATCCTATCTTGGACTCATTCAGGTGTGTTTTGGACAGATTGGTTCAACAAAATGTGGGTTGTTGTACGCCACGCCGCATATATTCGGACTAGCATCACCGCTAGCTGCAAACTTTCATATCGAGAAGGCAAATAAAACATCGAGAAGTGGAGTAAAAGCTGCAAGAAACATCGGCGAGTATACCAACTTTAGCCGTCCGTTGGGGCTCCACTATGGGCCGAAATTTTATAAAAGGAGAAGGCAAGTGTCGATCTTTGGAGGGTTTAGAGAAAGGAACAACCTCCTGGCATCTACTCGCCGTCAAGTCAGAAACCCCTTCAACCTGTTTCGTGCGGCAAAATGTTAATCAAGTCTCTAATCGGGTTTACCCTCGCGGCGGCATCTAGTGCCGCTGTATTAGAGCGTAGAGCCGGATGCAATGCAGATAACTGCCTTCGCGGTATGTTTTTTCGTCAGACCGTATTCAATTTAGGAATAACCGCTAACAAACCGATAACTAAAGCTCTACGTGCCACTCAAATTGCCGGAAGACTTGAAGCGGCTTCCTCGGCATGCAATTCCTTTTGGGTCAGCACTGTTACTCCTTCCCTGTTGTAAGTGTCCCGAAACTAGCCGCGTGACCGGCTTTTTTTACATGGTGGCGATACAAATTTGAGATGTTCATGAGGCACCAGACTAATTGGAACACCTAGTACTGTGACCGAAACCGTGGTATCCTCCACGACTTTGATTTCGGAGTCATATACGACCGAGACCAACACCGCCAGTGAAACAATCACGTCGACGGTCTTCGAGGTCACAGCAGTCTCGGGCCCTCCAACATCTACAAGAACAGTTTTTACGCAAATTGCCTTTCCTGCCAAAGTTAAACGGTTTACAACGGCTACAGATGCATTCCCTTCTTGGGCCTCCGCCTGTTCCGGGGCGGTCCGTTTTACTAGTGCATGCTCCTGCATTGGTGTCACAACCGCTGTTACCGTTACCGCTCCCACCCCAACAACAACTGTCACAAGCACGTCCATAGCTTCTTCCTCCATTACCAACACTCTGACCGAAACAGATACCACTACTCTGACGTCTACCGAGACCGTGACATCTGTTACGTCTACACAAACAATCGGCAGTGTAGCAACTGCTTATGCAAACCAATTCAAGCTCCAAGTCCTCTGGACCCAAACAGGGGTGCTAAGATACGTTAAAATTTCATATGTGAATGGAGTGAATTGGCTGGTCCCCGTTGATGGTTTCGAAAATGGTTCAATCTTCTCCCTTGATAATTCCGGTGCTCTATTCTCACCACTTCCTGACGGATCCGGAGCATACGGGTCTGTATATGCCGTGATCCCGTCCTCGTCGAGCAACTCGGTAACCCTCAGAGCCGGCTCATCCGTCCCTTCTGGTTCTACGAAATTAATTTGCTCTATTGCGGCTATTGATGCCGCCACTACCTGCGCCATAGGTACAGTCGAAGGGTTCAGTCCAGCTCGTTGGTCTGCGAACACTTCCAATCTTGCCTTGAATAGGTCTACGCAAACAACTTATAACACTGTGAAAGCTGTTCCAATATAATCCTGTTCGTTCTTCTTTTTACTCAAGCCAAACAAACAGCCTTTTGGGCCTTCTCTTTAGGCGATATCGAATCCAATGACAGTTTGTGAAGTTATTTATCTAGATATTTAATAATATAGAACCACAATTTTGGGATATCTCATCCTCAAACTTTCAATGTATCAGCTAACCTCAAAATTATACTGTTTACCTTCTTGTCTATTGGTAGGTGCCATTTTCACACTGGCAATTGGTTAGTCTTGGCTGCAGCCGTAATAGAATAGTTGCGTTTAAATAATGTGCTCTGTGAACCCGCGGGCCCGTACCATCCGTACCATAACATGATGGGATAAATGACAGTTCTAGAAGTCAATTGAATGAATGGCGATTCGAGACTCACGTGCGCGCGCATGTAGTTAGCGGCTCCCAAGGAACGGTTTCGTCTACCAAATCATAGGAAAATCTTCTATGACTATTGATTTGGAAGGGATATTGAAGCGCTCTGGGTGCATCCCTTCAATTCAATGGAAATTACGTCATCATAGTAAAGAGAATATCATATAGAAGCCTTCTAGCTTTGGGTACGAGATAAATAGAGAGGGGGATCTCTGGATGGATTCCAATTTAGGTTTGACCTCTACAACCTTCGCCGCAACAACACAATGTTCGATCTTCTGAGATAAGGGAAAATTCTGGTTACGAGACTGAATTCAACTATTCAGTCGTTCGGGCCGTTGAAGTAGGCTACAGGGATGGCGTCTGGGAACGAGACTAGCTAAGCTACGGGGATAATATTACCATGCTAGGATCAGAGGAAGGCCAATTGATGCAATCTTGGTGGTCATGGATCACGCCGAATGTTGCCAGGGAAAATTCTTACCCGCAAGAGGTGGCATCATGTCTGCCGGGCCACTAAATAGGATATAATCAATTGGTATCACGCTCTTTCCGCCTAGGCAGGGGGGATACTGACAATCTGAATCCGCTATATATCCTGTCAACCGCCAACGAGTTTTGATTGATTTCTGGGATGTAAGACGGAGGACTCCTTGGTCATTGGTGAGCTTTTGCGGATCGGCACGGATCAGTCTTGGTGAAGCTGACAAAAGTGCTACAATTTTGCATATCCGGGTATATGACTGGCGAAGCTGAGTTCCCAGAAGCATGTACAGTAACTGATCGATTGTTAACTTGCCATTAATGCATTATAGGCCAATCCCTGGTCTGAAGGGGCAATCCCGCCAATCCCGCCAATCTCATATGATCATATCAAGGTTTTCCTTTTTAGCTACGGTTTCCAAAGCATGCTATCAAACCAGCGTTGTTCATCGATGTTACTAGCCTTGAGACCAGGCGCAGTGGTTTGTAGTACCGCAATAAAGCATGCAATCTGTAATGTGCTTGCTCATGCTGCTCTCGAGGCTAGCGCTCATCTAAAAGATTGGCGCCGCAACGCGAAAGTCTGGTTACGAGACTCGATCCCAGTCTCGAACACAAGAAGGGTCACCGAGACTAACCAGACTTGTGTGTTGCGCTACCAATTTTTCGATCCCCAACACTTTGTAAGGGAAGAATTAAAGAGTGTTGCTTTTGTTGCAAAGTGTACATGGAAATCCGTGAAGGTTGCCATGCCAATGAGCAACAAACATCCTCATTAAGTAACAGCCTCCATGGCTTCTGTATTCCAAAAACCTCTATGGATACTGGCATCAGGTTCCAAATTCAAGGTTATTCGATCTCGATACTGTCTCCCCATGAGATTGGAACGCTGCTCCCAACTTCCGAACTTGCAACATCTAAAATGGATTTCCAAAACGACGCCGACGAAACACCTCGCCCGAATCGCAGGGTCCAACACAGAATTCTGGGGCAACAGGTTTCCCGCCTATCCTTCACCAGTCCCTCGCTCATCGCCGATGCCTCCTTTGCTTCCAGTTCCTCAATCACTGTAAACTCCCTACTTAATACCGATCCGTTGGTGATAAATCCTGGCACACCAACTGGCGGAACGGACTTTTTTCGACGATCAGATATAGAGCGGTCGTCAACATCGGAGCCGGTTTCTCGTTCTCCATCACCTCGAAAACGGCGGCACCCTTCCTCGGTTAGTCAGTATGGTTCGGAAACTGTAGGCAAGAAAAGCAGTCGGTCAAATAGTCGGCATTCATCGGCTAGCAGTAGATCGGTTGCATCAGATGCTAGTACTGGTGTTCGAAGGATTGAATTTCCTCGAGGCGTCAAAGAGTGCGCCAAAAGATACTACGGCAGCCGCTGCTGGCTTTGTGAACATCCGCATCGCAAACTAAATATCGCGCATGTCGTCCCCAAAGCAGATATAGAGGTAAGGACTGATCGTACAGCTTTTGCTTAAGGTAACCTTTGCCAGGGCTTTGCTAAAACAGTATTAGTTCGAGAGTCATGTGTCAAGAGGTATATTACCGCTGACAGAGCTTCACGATATCAACAATGCAATTCCTTTATGCGTAGCCTGCCACGACCCGTTCGACGCTAAACCTCCGGGGTTTATTATTCTTCCCATCGACCTCGAGTGGTTTGTGGAATTTGAACGAGCAGACTTTAGTGATCGACAGCAGCTACTAAGGGAAGGCAAATCTAGATCTCGTATAGCCCCTACAGGCCAGATGTACCGTGCTCATTTGGAACGGGAGGGAAAGCTGGCTATTTTCCCTTCACCTGGCGCGAAGGGGGTGAACCGGTCCGTCACTCAGGAATGCCATGATGAAGGGGGCTTATATGAAGTCTACATGAGAACCGATCATTTAACGAACCATTGGGAAGACGGAGAGATCCTTGGGCTATTTTTACAAGGAAAGGCTTGGCATGGGAGTCCCACGGCCCTAATACTACATGCTGCTCGTGTTCTCGGCTATCCTGGTCGTGGGCAGCCGTGGGTGAGTGAAGAAAAGCTTCGTCTAATCTTTGAGCTCATTGTATTATGGGGAAGGGAGCCGACATCACCCCAAGAGAAGGATGAAAGTTTGGAAAGTTCTGCTAGCGGGGGTGTGCCGCAACAGCCAAACCCAGGGGCCGATGACCAGAGTCAGCAGGGCGAGGGTGAGCCCCCGCGCGGCCCACCAGGTTTTGACGACGGATTTCAAGGTGGATCCGCTGGGTCCGAGACTGCTGTTGGCACTGAAAGAGAGGGTTCTGGCTATAACGAATACAAAGGCCATTCAACTACACCTGTGGATTCAAAATTGGGAGATCGTTGGCAGTGGGGGCCTCTGCTGACCGCAAATGATGTCGTACGGTTTTTTAGTAGTGTTGGAATGTAAGGGACAGTTCAGATCATTATATTATATTTCTTTCAATAGCCTGGCGTAATGTGAGGGCTCGGATTTTAAATTACAGTTTATCAAATGATGCTATCGCTATTATGGAGCGAAAGAGACTGGTTAAAATATATTGAGGTGTTTAAGGATACCCAGTGTTTAGATGGCGTTTATGTTAACATAGGACTCCATTTATGTCATACTATCCATATTTACTATGGATTTCTTGAAGTTATTTGTTCCATAGCAACAGCGTGATATTTGTGCCAATGAGGATCATGATTCAGGAATTGCAACCTGGTTGAAAACGCAACGCGTTAACCTCGTCTTCACGGAATGGCGACAACAAGCAATCATTGCCAAGGCCCTGTGAACTGAAGCCATTCCTTCGGGATCTGATCTGAGGGCTACGAATTTGGCCTTTCAACGGATCTAGCCGCTAAGGGAGCTAAAGCCATAAAGCTAGTATTTCTTCGGTTACAAGCGTATCTAAATACGGATAGACACTTTCCATAAAGAACAATTTTAGTTGACTAAAAAATTTGATAGGTTTCTTCTTACGGCAAATATCCATTATCAAACGGTCACTATTTTCTGCATTTGAAAATACCACACTACACCAGACGTCCTATATCATTGACCTGGATCAAGGTTAGCTGTTGCGGCTGAAGTGGCGTTCTATGAGTGAATCACGCCAAAGCGCACAAATGCACAAAATATAATAAGATTAGAAAGAAACTGGTCCTCTTAAAGACCTCCTTGGCCCTGCCAGGAGCTGGGCAGAATCTTGCCCTGCATTCGATCAACATTGGCGTTCCTTGTGCCCAGACCTACATACGTTTCGCAAGCCACCAGACGACAAGACTTCGTATCGATACATATTTTGACTTTTGCGAAATGCCTTCTAAGTTTCCAATGGTTTACTTGAGCTTGTCACTTTTTTTTTGGCGGCTCGATCAGGGGCTCAGGTCCCAACGGCCGGTGTCTCTATCGTCTCCGACTCAGACTACGAGACCGCACGCCCATGTATCCAGACATGTCTCTGGTATAATGGCGGGCTTGGTCGTGGAGGAAATTCTGGCTTTGAAGACGTTGGCAAAGCACTGGGATGCGGTCAATCTCCAATAAATGCTTGTTATTGTTCCGACCGGTTGACGGCCAGCGCAACAAGTTATTTCAGCACTTGTATTAGCGATCTCTGCACCGCAATTACTGATCCTGCAGATTTGTCGAGTGCTTTGAGTATCTACGGACGATACTGTTCTACCGCAAATCAGGTATCTGCAGTAGTTACCTCGGCAAGGAATCCATCGGCAGGCCTAGAGACGAGTTCGTCGGCGACATCTGGACCTTCCCGTAAGTGTACCCCGATATCTGTGATCATTACACTGTCAATTCTTTTACCCTAAAGATTCTGAACTTTCTACAATGAGTTTTGCAGAACCCCAAAATCCAGCTTCCACAAGTACAAACTCACCCGCGAGTGCAACCGCCGAGAATAAATCACAATCTACTGGACAAAATGCTTCAAACAACGGACTAACAACCACCTCAAAGATTGCTCTGGGCGTGGGTCTTGGGATTGGGATCCCACTGCTGGCCATATTTGCCGCTATCCTTATCATTTTGCTAAGGAGAGGTAGGGGTAAAGGCGACATAAATGCCGGTTTGGGCGGAATTGAGACGAGCGAAAGATATTGACAGATTTTTGTTGATCAGGATCAGGAGGTTGCCCGTAGTTTATAGAAACTTGTTGAGATACGAGTTATAATGTGGCGTGAACCCTAGGCGCTCTAACGTTGGACGAACCATATATATCGAATCTATATGTAGAATATTGGAGGACCTAATACCTTAAACTTCTAAAACCGGCGAAGTGAGAAAATGATTTGATGGCGTGTGTAATGCTAGCCCAGATTGCACGAGAATAGCAGGAAAAAAGGAAACAAATTAAGTGGATCTTTTTGTACAATAGCATTGACGTAGGGGTGTGCTAAGCGATAAACCTGTACTAGGGTCTATGCTCTTGCGGCACTGATATATCATTAGCAAATTCCACGGGTTTCTTGTCAAAACTTTTCATCGGAACCAATCCCCATCTACCAAACATTGCACTGTCCTCATCCCAACCATTACAATCTGTCGTTAACATCTTCTCACCAGTGAAAATGGCATTAGCACCGGCCATGAAGCAAAGTGCTTGCTTTTCCTCTGTCATGGTCTTTCGTCCAGCAGCGATTCGAATAATTGTTGTAGGCATAATGATTCTCGCAGTCGCAATCGTTCTCAATATGCTAGGAAATGGAATAGGCGGTGTATCTCCCAATGGTGTACCCTTGATAGGAACCAGGGCGTTGACAGGAAAGCTCTCGGGGTGAGAAGGGAGCGTAGAAACCGTATGAAGAAGACCAACTCGATCCTCAGAAGTTTCTCCCAAACCAAGAATACCACCAGAACAGACGTTGATACCTGCATCGCGAACATGAGCTAGTGTCTTGAGACGCTCATCATACGATCTCGTTGTGATAACGTTGGGATAAAATTCACGGCTGGTATCAACATTATGGTTGTATGCTGTCAAACCAGCATCTTTCAGCTGTTTCGCCTGGTCACCGTCAATCATACCCAAAGTGACGCAAACTTCCATACCCATTTCTTTCACACCTTTCACCATTTCGGTAATGTTCTTAAGACTGTTCTTCCGGCCTCGCATATCTCGCCATGCAGCACCCATACAAAATCGTGTGCTGCCGTTTTCCTTCGCGATTCTGGCAGCTCTAAAAACAGAGTCGACGGTTTCCACGCGCTTGGCCTCTAGGCCAGTACCATCCTGGTAACGTGTTGCTTGGGCGCAGTATGAACAATCTTCAGTGCAGCCACCGGTTTTGATGTTCATGAGAGTGCATAATTGGACTTCGCCGGGACTGTGGAATCGGCGATGAACCAGGCTCTGCCCACATTGTTAGTTGGAAATTCGAAAGTTGCTGTATGGTGTTGCATGTTGCTGACTCACCGCTTGGTGCGCCAGCTCCAACAATGGCTGATAATAAATAGCAGAAATCTCTTGTCTGGTCCAATTCTGCCTCGGAGCTGTTGCTGCTACAGCTTCTTGTAAAATTCTCTTTGCATTCTGTTGTCTGGTGAAATCTTGGACTAACTCAGAATGTTGTTCAGGGTCCGAAGCTGCAGGTGCGGCGAAGGCTGTGCCCTTGCGAACTTGCTTTATTGGATGAACAGCAGACTCGAATGCGTTGACTGTCGGGCGCAGCCTAGCTATCTGTAATAGGTTGAAGCTATTGGGGACGACAAATGACCGCATATTTTCTAGACAATTACAGACTATGTAGCGACTATTATCATCTTTCGAATTCCGGGTTCTGAGGAACAAGAGGGGCAGGAATGTTGGTTCAAGGTCGACTAGGTCGGGCCGATGTCCGGGCCGATCTCTCAGCCGATCTCTAGGCCGATTCGGCCCATATCAGACTGCTCTAAACTGTTCAGCTGACTAATATAAAATTAAAATTCCACAAAAAGGTTGGCTTTAATTCATATTCAGGGACAAAGTGGGATAGGGCGAGATCTCGAGTTAAGAAATATGTGATTAATCTCTGGGCATGCTACTGCGGGTATACTAGTATCCCTTTGGAGGAATCTACAATTGTCATGATAGGTTTGTATCGCTCCAAAATCAATTGAACAATATCATAGATCTTCGTATCGTACATAAAATATGAGTATTTCCGTCTCATAAAGAGGTTTAAGCCTTATTCTCTAGAACACGAATCCGCGCGATATTGATACCTTGCAATTGAGCCGACCTGTTTTGAGCGACTAGCTCACATAGTTCTCTAATAATAACCGTCATCTCCTTTTACCTCTTCTGGCTCTTCTGGTTCTTCATTATCATCACCGTTGTTTTTACCGCCATTATTGCCGCCGTTATTATTGCCGCCGTTATTATTGCCGCCATTATTGCCGCCGTTATTGTCATAGTCGATATCATCATTGTCACCGTTGTTACCGCCCTTACCACCTGGCTTGCCTGTGGGCTTGGCTGGAGGCTTTTGGACAGGCTTGACAGGCGCTGGAGGCTTTTGGACAGGCTTGACCGGCGCCGGAGGGGGTGGAGTATAAGGACCGCCCAGGTTGAATGGAACACATCCACCGAAAGGTCCCTCGCTATAAAAAGTCCATGTGGTTAGACAAGGGTGCCGTAATAATCTAATGAAAGAAAAGACCCCTTGAAACTTACGCGGTGTTATCATTCTCGCATCTAAGCAAGCACATATTCTTGTAGTTGCCGAATGATCCAGTACATTGGGTGCCAGCGGGAATCTCAACCCTCAATGGAGCCACTTGGCCATTATGCTTTAGCCATGGTTGTTTGAGAATTTTAAGAGGTCCACCGAATGCATTCGCATTAGCCGTTTTGTCGAGACGGCATTTCATAGCACCGCCACCATCGGCATTAACTATGGGGAGGTTAGTGAGAGGTCAAGTGATAACACAAGTAAAAATCTGAGAACATACCTAGGGAAACGTCGATTTCGATCCATCCACCGGCTGTTGCTTGCGCAATTTTACCTTTCCAACGAAATTTAATGTTAGAACTCTGGCTCAGATTAAATGTGCTTCGTTGGAGCTACTTACCGGCTGCAGCCTGTTCATTAACGAGCGAGAGCGGTGCAAAGGCTCCATAAGGGATAGGGGACATCCAGAAGTTGTACAACCTGTAGTTCTCCATCTCTTGACCGTGTTCATAGTATTTTTTGGTGAGATAGTCTTGGTCATCTCTCCACTGGTTCTTACGATAGTAAGTATCCTGGATTTTGAGCGTGGTACCACAGCCCTGTTCCATAACATAGCGGGGGAAGCCCTTATATTTGACGGAGCAGCATTTTCCCGGGATGGTAGGGTTCGAGAAAACGACTGTATCAAACTGATCGGGGAACCGACTCAATTTGTTACCACCTCTTTTGATAGCTCCCGTGAACCATTCATCACGGCCCATGTTGGTGCCGAGTTTGCTAGGGTCATGGTTTCCACGGACACAATCGAATCGGACATGAGCCTCCGCTGACTGCAGGAGAGCAGCACCGGTCAAGACCACAGATATCTTAGAGAAAATCATGGTAAAGCTCTGGCTAGTGGAAAGACTATGAAAAGAGTGACAAGAGTGAGTCTAAAGATCCTATCAATGAGAGTGATGCCGTCGGGGCTATGAAGTTGGCTATGAACTATGCGACCGAAGCGAGTGCTTTGATGAGAGAAGAGAAAGTGGGACAGACATGATACAGCTGGCTTTTATAGATCTAAGACTCAAGGTTGTACAGTGCTAGCTGTATCACAAATTTTGGAATCCTGTGCTTGAATCTGTGGGTTAATGCTTCCTTTTTCGTTGATACGCATTTTTGGACCTAAGATGGGAGGGTATTTTAATCCATCCTAACCTCTCTATCCGACATCAAGCCTCATTTTCTCAAATATATTTGATAGATATGTGAAATAGAAGACAATCTATGTTCTTGGGACCTGATAACCGACTGCTACGTCGCGTCGTCTTGAAAGTCCCTATATGCATATGTATATCAAAGCAGCTGCAATACTTAAATAAAGTTTATTTCTATATTACCACATCACAATTGATTGCCTAGCCAATTATATAATATGGGAAACTGTTTGTCTTAATTCTAATTTTTAACTGGCTCGAATGGACGGGTCGCAGCTAGGTAATTTTACGTTAGCGAAGTCCCGGCACCCGCCACTTGTACCGATGACAATTCTGCCGATCGGACGCCAAAATGCGGTGGCGCGCACTAGGAACGGAAAGTTTTTTCTATGTGGTTAGTGTTGCACGTTGTGGGGACGTTTCATTCTTCAACATACCCTTTTTGTTTTCGTTTTGTTTTGGAGCTCATGCACATTAACGTCACGGTATGATATATGATAACCGATATTGCCCGGCACCCATTACATTCCCAGGGACCGCAGCACTAGGATCCGAGAGAGTTAGGTGGACGTTCGATACGATTGTTTACTCAAACCGACAGGTCCTTTCGAATTTGAAGGTTTCCGGTGGACGGCCTAGGCTAGCGCTTGATATCAGTTCATAGTTGTCGTCTGGCCTAATTAGGCCTATTAGTCGTAGGAAAAGGCTGCGGTTAACGGTTAACGGTTCACGGTGCCAGTCTCGCATGCACTTACTTAAACGTAGTATCAAAGTTTAACCTTTGGGATTACATTTACCTAAGTACAGTCGATTCTGATCGAGATTGACTCGAACATTAATACCGTCAAATATAGGACGTCTTGGTCCTGTCTTAAAACGCTTCGACATTGTATAGGGCTGGCATATAACTATTCTATCATAATATCATATAATATAAGTTTACATATATATAAGTTAACAACGCTATAATTAAGTGGGTACAAGTCGTGATATTGTCAAACTAGTACTAGTATGCTTGTTCTATAAAATAAACTGTCGACTTTCTGATAAACAACCCTAATCAACCACGCCATCGGCTAGTAACTTCCGCGAATGCAGGCTGCACCCTCCTCCCCACCTTACCCCACCAATACAAATGCGTAGATCCCAACAATCATCAAATAACTCCTCCACTCGGATCGAGATTGCTCGGATGATAGGTATATTTGGGCCATGTAATATAATGTAACTAAAAAAGCTATATATGGTGTGCAATTGCCAGATCGAAATGTTAAGAGCATGTCATCGGATCGCATGATTAGCTGTGCATTTCCGGAAGCCTTCGAGCAAAAGCTATGCGTGATAGCGGGGTGCACGTGGTTGGTGTGATATCAATAGTGAGCAGTGTCGGTCGCTTAATGTCCCCAAGATAAGTTAAGTGTGGGTATCAATTTAGTAAATAAGAAGATTCAAAGTGTTGCCGTGGATGGTGCGGTCGTTACCTTAGAGGTTTACCCAATGGCCTGGGATGTCGTGGGTGATCTCGATATCAACGTCTACAGTTATAGGCCTCGAGCGAGTCACGACCGCGGACTCGCTAAGAGGTTGGACTTTAAGCCTGTATTTCCCCGCGATATCTACTTCAATGATCGCCAAATAGAGGAGATACCACTGTTCAAATTCCCTCCAGACACTGGAGTCCCGAAATCAGATATCAAAGTCGCAGGCAGTGTCGAGCTAACATGTGTTGAGTGCCAGACAGCATCTGTTCGAATGTTCACTTCCCTGCAAAGGACTTGAAATCGGTAACCGATATCCAAGCGAAGGTCGAAATCGAAGGTTCGAAAGAATGGAAAAAGGAACTGACCAGTATATTGCTCTCACCATTCGCCATACCGGGTATCCTCAACTTTGGCCCTGAGCGTACCTTTTCCGCCGTCAAAACGCTCAAGGCATCGGGAGGGAGCTTTCACAGCCGGCGCCAAAGTCGAGTCAACACTTAACACCGAGTTTAATTTCGGTTTCGCCAACGTTCTCGCATTCGACCCTTCCACTATTAAAGGTCCCGAAGTCAACGTAGGAGCCTATCTGAAAGATGCCAAGGTGAAGCCGCATTTGTCACTGCTGTTAGGTCTCAGCCAAAATTCTTGGTTCCAGCCTCAACAGCGGCATCGAGCTTCTCGTTCCGAAGTTTCAATATGAAATAGAAGCTGGATATTCGAAAGAGCAGTTTTGTGACGGCTTTGAGGGTATGACGAAGGACAACAAAGCGGCACTCAACAACAACCTTGCCAACCAGGCTCCGAATAAAACCGTTGAAATCGATAACATAAAGGAATTGGGTGTTCGGTAAAGCCGAGTCTCGGTTTCTAGGTGAACCTCACTGGTATCGAAGCGAGTGGCTGGCTTGGAGATCTGATACCACAGAAAGCGGATTGTGAACCAGAGTTTCTGGATCAAATGTGGCCTGTGGGAGCGGCATGCACACCAATAAAAGGTTGGGATAAATCATGGAAATTGAAGGACGGCATTCCCAGCGCTAGACAGCTAGAAGTTAACAGAGTTTTGGATGAGAATCAAAAAATCGAGAAACAAAAAGCCGAATTCCCCCGAAACAGCTTCAAGATTGGGTGATGGAAGAATCAAAGAAACGGCCGGCCGAAATTTGGGGATGTTGTGCCAGAGCTTATCTTTGAATACAGAATGGTGAACGTCGAAGAGACCGTCGATGAGCTAGTTGAGGAACTTAAGAGGTTGAAGTTACAGCGCAAGTCGAGGCTGATGGCCAGCTTAGGAATGTTACACAAACGTTAAAGCGGACGTCGAGAAAGTAAGGAAAACAGTACAAGAGAAGCAAAAAATCTGGACCCTGACAAACCCTACCAAAGGTTGACTCGTTGAACTGAAGACCAACGCTGGAGCGCTGCCATTCTCGTCAATTTCTGGAAACATGCAAGAGTTTGCTGGATTGGCTGGTTGCAAGCTGCAAACCAAGGATGAGAGAACAGGCAAGATGCTAACCTTCTTAGCATGTATGACGGACGATCCATATCTCAAGAGTAAAACATTTTACGGTTACGATGAAACTAATAGAAGGATCGAAAAGATGCTAAAGCAAGAGGGATTTCCAGGCATTTGTCAGTCCCAACGCATATACGATGCGAGAGACTGAATAGAGTAGGGAAGGTAGATTTAAAGCTGGCGGCCTGGCTGGTATTTAGATTTGGTGCGTTCAAGTGATCAACTGAAGTAAGGACTTACGTATCAAACTTCTGTCTGCACATACACTGAGGAAATTATTAAGCCCGTTATCATACTGTAATAAAAATGTTAGGAGATGTCCAATAGCAAGACCTTCAATTGCATCTACTTAGGCTGTAACATTTCCTTCTAAAAACCTTGATCATGGTTGTGTGCTTTGACAGGTGGTTAGTACACCTGCTTGGTAAAATCAGTGCGGATTCAATAAATAAGTGTTGTTGTTCTTTTCTTTCTTTCTTTTTCTGACGTACGGTCCCGTTGTTTAAAACCAAAAGGTTCTGTCTCATATAGAGAAGATCAAAGCTTGCTCCTGGCGACATGCGTATACCATATATAAGCCATGGTTCCCTATATTAGTCGGGGTATTTAAGCATTAGTTGCTGGCCTTGTCGAAGGTTTCGCCTAAATTACAAAGCCACAAACTGCAGGCATCTGTACCCGATGATCCGGACAAAATAATCTTTAGAGACTTTTAAACCTTCGGACAACCTTCTGCCGAAATCTAATCAAACCGGCGTCATCTTTTTTTAAAAATAAAAAAACCCGGGGTTTTGTTCAACTTTGGTCTAGGAGAACGTAGGTTGTGTAGCGACCGGAATTTAACCATGACAGGACATGCCCCCAGGGTTTAATGCCGCTCCTCGGCCACATAGGGTCCGTAGAAATGAAAACTAGGTTCAAACATTACCAAAGATCTCGAGTCTACAAAAAATAATTATAGCTGCTTGCTATCACAAACTATCAAGTATAAGAAGCATATGCTGCATTTGGGACTACCAAAACTGGTTTCACTTCGACAGCATACTGCGTGCACCGCACTGAGTCCTTTTCGAATATAGAAAATACGACAAGATGCGCATTGCGAGCTTCTTTTCAATCGCTGCTGCGTTTACAACCACTTTCGCGCAGCTCAGTAGTAATCTGACGTTGATCACTGAGGATTTCGGCGAAAATCCGACAAATGTTCCTTTCTATCTCTACGTTCCTAAAACAATCCAAAGGCACCCCGCAATTGTATTAGGCGTTCATTGGTGTACAGGTATGTGACATAATGGCGTAGAGATAGAAGAGTTATATCTGATCTGCTTTTTGAAATTCAAAGGAACTGGTCCTGTCTTTTTTGAGAACACTGAATATGCAAAATACGCCGACCAATTCGGATATATTGTAATTTATCCATCCGCACCTCGAGAATCGAAGTGCTGGGATGTGAGTCTACGAGGACGATTCGATATAAAATTGATGGCAGATATTAATTCCTGATAGGTCGCAAGCAATGCAACTTTAACGCATAACGGAGGAAGTGATTCCCTTGCCCTCGCCAATATGGTGAAATGGACGTTGAAGAAATACCATGGCGATCCGAATCGGGTTTTTGTTACGGGGTTGTCTTCAGGAGGCATGATGACACAAGTTTTGGTCGCAACCTATCCCGATCTCTTCAAAGCGGGAAGCTCCTATTGCGGTGTCCCTTATGGCAAGTGATGACTTTCCTTTAGTCGCTTTTGCTCATTATATCGAAATTCATGCGCGCATGTAGCTAATATTATGATGGACAGGCTGCTTCAGGGGACCCGGTGAATGGAATAACGTTTGCTCTGAGGGCCGTCTGATAAAAGCGCCGAAACAATGGTAAGTTGATGCCAAGATGAGGATGGGAGACCAAGCTACACACCGTGATTTGCGTCGATGATAGTAGCGCTAAGACTTTTAATTACATAGGGGAGATGATGTTCGTAATGCTTATCCTGGGTACAGAGGTCCACGGCCAAAGCTACAGATTTGGCATGGATCCGAAGATGTCGGTTTGGCGTATCAAAACTTTCATGAATCCAACAAAATGTGGTCAAATGTCTTCAAGATTGAGTTCAAGAAAAACAATACAAACACGCCGTTCGCCAATTATACACAGATGGTTTTCGGTGATGGAACCAAATATATAGCATACTCTGCGGCTGGCATCGGCCATGACATCAAAATTACTGCCCTGGATGTTCTTGCATGGTTTGGGATTTACAAACCTAGGCCAACGGCGACTGCGACAACTACTGAGCCGTCTGCTCCAACCCGTACCGCCTTACCCTGGGGCAAATGTGGTGGAATGACATACAAGGTTCGCTTTTCTGATTCTACAAAGTTTTTTTATGTGAACACTCAAACTGAATAAAAAGATAAAGGGACCTATCACATGCGGCAAAGCTTTCTGGTGCAAGCAATGGACTAACTATTTTTCCCAGGTAAGTTATTTACGCGGTCCAATAATTTTGAATTGGGTAGCTGACTACCTTTGGCCGTCGTATTTAGTGCATTCCAAAGTATTAGATGCGCGTGTTTCGGCTATGTCCGCTTGGGGGTGTAGTATTTCGAAAGTGTAATACTAGTGTAGTGTTATGAGGAGTTAAATGTACACGGACTTAAATTTTCAGATCTGAAGGTCGTTCAATAATATCATTATACGAACTGCCGTATGTTGCTGACGAAGTGATTTTTTCCCAACGGGGTCCTCTTTTTCTGCCGGCACGTGTCAAAAGAACGATTTTATCGGCTACGTCGAGTCGCAATTGATGAAGTCCTTTTATGCATACCGGCGTGGTGCCGGTTAAGTTGCTATCACATCCAGGCTATATGATGAGACTAGTGAAAAATCTTATAGTGCTGTGTGTCATGGTGTATTCTGTGTTATAATCCTATAAATCCTTTTACTTAGATATCGAGTAGTCACCACCTGATCCTGTATCCTGTTGTTCCCCTCTGACCTGATCTTCTGCAAGGTTTGCCAGGGATCACACAATCGATCCTAATCTAGTTAAATAATGGCCGGGTTTAATCTGACCGGCTTAGTAATTGGCCTAATTATCATATAGGACTATGATCATAATGGACAAGCTGGCCCGCGGTTTTATTTTGTTAGCTCATCTACGATCTAGCTAGCATACTAGCCGAAATAACCTATGGACCGGTCTTTGCGCGTGAATAGAATAAAATAATCAGGTTAGTATAGTAAAGAAGCTAGAAGCGGGTTTCAGGGAACTCATGTCTGTTTAAAAACGACCCAACAACCGAGTAGTATCGCAACATAACTTGACATATCAGCCGCAGTCATTGATCTATAATGTTAATATAACAACCAAATAAGTTTGGCATTTTGCGAAGAACAAGCCCAAAATACAGGTTAAAATGCTTCTCAAAAAAAGCACCCATTAACCAAATGATTTTGAACCCAAAGATAACTGACAAGTTTGGCTGAACCTAGCAAAATTAAAAGACGACCATGCACACTGAAATCTAGTTTAGGTATGTCCCTGTATACCGTAAGTTGAGATTGTCTTTGCTGGTTTATTCAGATATATTGGCATTTTGATTCTGATGAATAAAAATGGCTGACTTATTCTTATTAGATGTCGCATCGGCGAAATGGCTCTGGGCCACAACTTCAGTAGCTACCTTGATATCTTACAGTAACCGTCTGGCTCATAAGCTCACCAATCCTGCGACCACCGCATAAGGGCATATATTGAGAGTTGAAACCTCTAAAATATCAAACGTAGACCTAAAGCCGGTAAATACAAAGCAATTTGAAAAATGAGGATGTGAAATTTATTCTGTGAGCTAACGTCCCTTATTTATTGATGTGGCCCAACGGATAGTTTGATCGCTGCATTTACCCAAAGCCAGAAATCCAATCACCCTCCAAAGGGTCAACTGGCTGACATGAGAACACTCAGATATTTGTTAACTGAGGAGTTCTGAATACGGCGATATTGGTCTCAAAAACATTTGTGATAAGAACCAGAAAGGTACAGAAGCGGCACCCACAAGCGAAAGACGGGATGATCTGGCGCTTTAGTGTTGCGAGCTGTTATGCCAATTAAAACGAGAATGCTATGCTTCGTATTCAAGGATCTGTACAAGGCTGGGAAGGGCTTATGAATAACCTTAATCACATAAGCTATTTTACATCGCTCGGTGGTTTTATAGTGTTATTATTGATTTTACATTATATTTTGACTCATATGGTTATATTTCATTCCGTCTTTATTTTCGTATCTTTTATTTCTTCTTTCTTCTAAATTATAGACTCCATTCCATTCCCTTGCACTTTATTCCATTCCATTGCACTCCATTCTTTTATACTTTAGAATGCATGTTGGGCTTTTTTCATTTGACCCGGTAGCCGGGTGGTGTTGTTTCCTCGTACAAAACCATACTATTAGCTTATCGAGCAAAATTTTAACAACAGATATTATTGATTAGTAATTTTCGACTCGTTTTTTTCGATAATATAGCATATAAAGGTCTGATTTTGGTATGATTAGTATGACGCCGTGTTGATAAATTATTACTGCGGTATCCCCAAATACAAAGCCGGTGCTGCATTTCATCAGTACCACCATTTGAGTGCTCGGTGGGGGCTGGTTTATGAGACCAGGTTGTCAGTCTTGCAGCTCAAAGGCCGCGAAAATTAAGACCTATTAAACGAAGGATACGGAGCATTGTAGGTTGGCTGGGCCTGGATATGAGACAAAAATACGGAACTGTCAATCACTTAAATTTAGAGATTAAAAGAATTGCTACAGCCTACTCGCTGTTGAATTGGCCCATATTCTCGTCTATGGGGTTGTTTCTTGCAGGTCTGGGTACGAGACAAGGGTTGTTTAATGGTTTGTGGGTTACTAGTTGGAGAGCGCTCCTGGTTTCTAGCCTATCTTGTATAGAATACCTGGTAGTTTATTAAAGTTAATAATATGCTATTTGCTATCCTCTAGTAGCTGTTTGATGTCTACTGTACCCTAGAGCAAATTTTTACGTAGTGTTAGTGCCGTCTTCTGTTGAATGTGTCGCTGTTACCCATGGCCATTTCGCCCTCTGTACTGATCAGCTGATGCTGTGATCTACACCATCGTAACGATGTCATTTGATTTTATAAACAATCGATCATTACAATAGGCCTTCTATGAAATCCACCTCCGTGCTAGTTAATTGAGAAGCCATAGATGTATATATATATACAACGCAGTATCAATTTGCCCAAAAGCTAACGTAGTGACGCGGTCTTTGACTTTAGCGGGTGGATTTCACTAGCTAAACACTCTAGTATCCCGTCTAGTGAATTGCATTCGTAATCCTTACTGCAGTAAATTTGAAAGAGAGAGAAAGAAAGAAAGAAAGAAAGAGCGGGTTAGAGCCATAGTTTCCTACCAACTAGATACTTATCTTGGCCTTGGGGTCCACCCGCAAAGGCCCGGTATCCTCAACCCCACTTAGCTCAAAGAACCGTGGTCCATAGTCCCTTTCCCCTTCTTTACCCCTAAACTCCAGTACCTTCATCCTCGCTTCGAAGTCAAGAGCATCGACCCCCTCTATAGTCTCCGGGAAATTGGAACTCATAAACATGATTGCTGACCCTACAAAAAGTACCGCCTTCATCACTATATCATCCGTGGGGTCTCTCGTGTCGTACACTAAATTGGTAAAGATGTTCAGGCTGCCGTGATCATGTCTCATCTGGAAATTAAGAATTGTCTTGAGGTGATCATGCTGAGCGAGAAATGTCTCAGCATCGGTCAGGACTTCCATCGCTATGCTTCTCATCGTCTCTGCACCCTCAGATGGCCCGTGACCGTACTCGCGGATCAGATTTTCTGCTATTTCCTCATAGCCGGCAAATGTCGCGAGATCTGTAGGAAGTAAACCATTGTGGTCACAGTGGCCTAGGAGGCCTGAGTCGTCGTCGGCAAGATGCAAAACGAGATCGAGGAAGGCCTCAAGACACTGACTCGGCGTATCGTAGCTGTCACCGCTCGGTATCTCTATGTGTATACAAGAACAAGCGTAATGCAGAATGTTCCTCCCGCAATTGTCAATGTTGCGACAAAGGTCCCTGATCTTGTCCCGTGTGACGCCTAGACCGAGGTCCTCGAGCCGAAGAAGTTCCCAGATCAGTCGAAGCCCAGCCGTTGGTCCATTCTTGCCCACTAGGTTTTGTAAGATACTGGTGCCAAAGACGTCCCGGCAGGTTATGTCAGCTCCTGCCGCCACAAAATGCTCAACCCTTTCGAATTCGTCATTTATTACCGCCAGCGCTAAAGGTGTCATTCCAACATGGTTTTTCTCATTAACCAAAACGCGGATTGCAGGATATTCTAGGCAGAATTTAAGTACTGCTAATGGGTCTTCTGCATTGGCCTCGTCTTCCTCCCAGGTGATGGCTGGCTTGGCCGCAATATGAAGTACTGAGTTCCCTTGAAAGTTCTTCAAACACGGGTTGACTCTGGTATCAGATAATAGCATTCTAGCAGCGTGAAGATCCCCACGTTGAATGTAGACGTGAAAGGGTGACATGCCCTCCCAGTCTTGCGTATCTGGATTCCTTGAATGCTTCAACAGGATACTGATACAAGCAAGGCGCAGAGCTCTGCCAGTTTCTGCCTCGTCCCTTCCAGTGGTCCGTATGTCTCCCTCGCTGGAAGGAAGCACAAGCGTATTAATAATGCACATCACCCCGAAGCGAGTCAATAGATGTAAAGGTGTGTATCCCAAAGATGGGCCTTTAACACGCACATCCGGATCGACTTGGAATCGAGGGTCTGATATCAGAAGCCTGGCGATTACAAAAGGATTTCGTCGTAGTGCTGCCAGATGTAATAGATGGAAGGATCCAGATGCAAATGCATTGATCTCTGTTGGATCAATTTCTGTCAACAGAGCCTGAAAAGTTCTCACGTTATCCACCATGACGGAAATGTGTAAAAGAGGAAAGCTTTCCGCCCAGGTTAGACACGGGGATTTCCTTGATCTCGTCACCGCGAGGGCGTGGTGGGGACTGTTTAGATTCACGGGGGTGCTGATAGCCTTTGCCATTGCATCCGGGTCCTTTGGTGTCCAGCTGCCCAACGAGATCTCGAACTGCAAAGTCTTAAGTAAGGAGTCACCAACGACGTCTATGTCGTACAATATCATCAATGCAAGGACCTTTGGTTGTAAAATAACCGACCAGTTGCGTAGACTCCTCAGAAATAATCCGCGGATCGTGTGATGGCTTTGAATCGAGTGTGATTCAAAAGCCAGCTGCATAATTTCGGATTTGTTGATATATTCTTCAATGCCGCTGCCTACCATAATACTGAGAAGCCGGCAGCGTGGTATTAGCTGTTCCCTACTGCATTCTTCCGCAGCGTAAAGGGTGAGGTACGCAATATCATCCTCAGAAAGCTCGCTTCGTTCCTTTTGAAGAGTTCGTTGAATATCTCTCGCCATCATCTCATCATTGGACGACAAAGCTTGTTGGATTCTCTTCTTTATCTCGCTAACCTTTTTAGAAAAATCCTGCGTTAGGCTTGCTACTATACCAGGAGTATCAACCCTGCAGGGCTTATATCTTCCAAGCCCTCGTCCAAGATACTGCATTAGAGTTCTGTCAACCAACTTCTTATAAGTAGCGACGGGCCGTGGCGTATCCTTGCAAGCATGCTGAAAAGCGTCTGATATTTCATCGGGGTCTATCGGAAGAACGTTTGCGGTGATTTGCTGTAGGTCGGTCTTCATTTTTATAAATTCTGTCTTCGGTGTATCGGAGTCATGGTCTTCATGAGGATACTGCTGTGATAACCAGAGAATGTAGAGAGCGCTGAATGAGTCCCAGTTTATTTGAGTGTTGTGCTCCATGAGATATTGGTGATAATATTTAGCCTTTGGATGGTTGGGAGATTTTGAGGCTGCTGTGAAACATACGGAATAGGCTCGGAACCTATCGACTAAACTATCGTAGGATTCTATCTCCGATTCTATTAGTGGCATAAGCCGAATCCAAGCATCAAGGAATGACCCAAGTGACTCTAGGGGCGCCGGGGCGCTTTCTAATGCCACCTGTTATGCAAGTAGTTAGTTAACTTAGCCCTCATAAGCTAGTTATGTGGTATAATGTTGGATTAGCTCAACATTGGAATGGAAAACCTGCCTGGTATTGGAAAGGTTGGTCATCTGTATAGTGTTTTCGGGGAATGCTGATGCCTTTCGAATCCGGGTTCAACCATTTCGGTTTCCCAGTTTCCTCGACACTACAAGTTTCAATTAATGAGTAGAGCCCATAGGAAGCACTGGTACGCACATGGCAGGAAGGTAAAGCGTACTGTAGAATATCTTTCAGCTGCTGCATAGAAGGTCGTTTTTCCGGGTCAGGCTCCAAGCACGCATTTAGTGCATAAATACCGGCAGATATGAACCCGATATTGGCTTTTGGCTCGTCCTTATCGGCCAGGGAGTCTTTGCCGATTCCACATAATTCCCATTCTAACTAGAATTGAGAACGGTCGAACCATTTGGTTAATTTATGCGATGAATTAGACGTACATAAAAACATGTTAACACGGATTCGAGATTCACTTACAAATCCCGCCTTCAAGGCCAGATCCACAATAACCACTCCCTGAACATTACTGATCCAAAAGTCGGACCCGATAACCACGTCACCTATTCTTTGGTTCCTTTCCTTCATTCGTCCCGGCCAAACAACCTGGATCATTGCAGCGTGTAGAATCGATACGGTTTCACTGTTAAGGTAATCGAAGTAGTCTTTAGTTTCGGGTCTTTGCCAGCTCTCTAGAAGCATTAGTGTTTGAATTTGCACCCTAAGTGTATTTGCATCTTCATTTTCGCCAGGATCGAGATCGCGGTACTTTTCGCTCCTTCTAAGCCAATAGGAGTTTCTTAGTTGTCGAGGGAGGTCGACGTGTACTGGAGTCTCTTCAAGGGTCTCTTCATCTATGTAGTGCATTGAGTGCTTCCGTCCTAGCAGCGTATAATAGGCTACCAATCCAAATGAATAGACGTCTCTCTGTTGAGACCCTGCCCATTCTTTATCAAACGATTCCAGCTTGACCTCCGGAGCAGCCCAGAGCTCCGTCCCTCCGGCAACTTTTCTCATAGAACGGAAACGAACATCTGAAAGCCCAAAATCGGAAACTTTGGCGACGGGTCTTTCAAGCGTCGAGAACATGAGGATATTCTCGGGCTTGATATCGCCGTGAGTTATGTGGCGCTCGTGTAGGGTTAGAATACCGTTGATAATGTCCGAGAGGATCAAGGCTTTGGCCCCGACGTTTTCCGGTGCTACGAACCCCCCCTCAATCCAATGAGCGAGAGTCGGTGTAGTCGTGTCTGCCAGCTCCATGAAAAGTGCTATTTGAACATTGCTTGCTTCTGAGTCAAAAAGGGCATTGTCGCCTTGTGGGGTCGGCTCAATCTCGCGGATACCGATTCCTAGTAACTCAGCTATGTTTGGCTGAGGCTGCATTCCTGCATGTGCCATCATCGTCATCTCTTCAATGACCGAGTTCATCTGCTGTTGGGCATGCGAGGAATACTTCTTCGGCACTGATGTCTTGGTATTATTCTCTTCCCCTCTGAGCGGGGCTTTCCCCTTCCTCCTTCTGAGGGCTCCTGGGTCCGATAAGAAATATTTGACAGCAACAAGGCGCCCCTTGAGCTTACCGGAATAAACCTGAGCTGAGGCGCCAGACCCAATGGGATTCTCTGACAAGTCGTCGATATCGGTGAAATCCAGGACGGGAACTCCAAGCCTTTGAGCGGTGAATATCACTCCCAACGTGCTTGCACCGTCGTTATTCATTTCAAATAGAGACACTTTTTTTTGTCTTTTGATTTTGTTTTCGTTGTTATCTTTTGTATCAGATGCGGCTTCCACTCGCGCAAGCTGAAACCCCGATTCTATCACGAGGTCGCTCATCATGTCTCCGACAGTCCATAGGTCGCTTTGTATGGCAGATTCTCCTCCATTGGAAAGATTGGAGAAATTCAACGATTCAAAATCAATGCTATTTTGTTCGGCCAGATGGGAGAACTCGTTGCTTTGAGGCCCGCGTTCCGAAGATGATGTGGATCCGAAGTCATAACTAATGTCAGTCATGTTGTGAAATTATATTAGCAAAGAGATGTGGCTGTAGCCGTCCTTGTATTATATCCGTAAATATGGATATAATAGTATCTTCGTGACCATAAATTCAAAATCAGAAGAGAACTCTTGAAAGAAGAACTCTTGTAATGATAGGTAATGCCCAGAGAAAGTGGGATAGTTCGCTGAATTGGAGGGATATTAGATCACAGGAAACTGATAAATAATTGGTGTATTCCGCCTCTGCGTCTACATTACAAGCCATCTAGCATTCGATCAATCGACGGCATGATAGATACTTATATAATCTTTCCGAAATTTCGAAACTTGGAACCGGTCGAGCTAGCGCAAAAACGCTGCGGAGATTCGAAAGAAGCTGAATACAGCTGCGGTTTCCTGCCATTAACCTTGAAAAACAGCTCAATCCTCACAAATACGATTATTTGTGCCCCGTGCCATAATCGATTATGCAATGTTTGTTGCGGGGATATGCAGGACGGCCTTGTTCTGCAGGATTGACCACATCCAATAGTGTTCACAAATCCTTCTCATAACAGCCGGCGGGGTCTACAGTATATTATAGATATAGTACTTGAATAACCTCGCTATGTAGTTAGAAAATATCAATTGGAAAATATGTTCATGGTTTCCAGGGTTTGTTCAAATCAATACACTTCATCTTGCCCGCTCTGTATAAATATTAATCTTCAACTCCTTTTTTTGTTGGAGATTTCGAAATTTCTACAATCTTTTTGCATCTTATCGACCATGGGAACTTTAACCCACACCGCCAGTATACCTATTTATAACTTGCATATGCTGCAGGAAGTGGTGAAGAAATCACGATCTCATAGCCGCCAAGTATATTAGTTGGCCTCTGTGTCACGAATGTGCAGCGTTGCAGGGGATAGTACTGGAACCCTGCCTTCTCCAGACAGAGCATCAAATCTCACAAAAATAAAGTTAAAGAAAATCAATTTGAAGGATTACTTTTCACGAGCTTCAGATCTTATTTGTCTAAGGCGCCGGGGCTTTTTCGTTCGTTTATTTGTAGATGCAGATATCTAGATAATCTGATCTTGGCGCCTTGTAATATTTGGTCGTCTCCCCGCCTCGTTAGCCCCGCATGCATGCCCCTCAACAGCGCATTCTCTCTTCAACGGTACAGAATCATGTGAACAAACACCTTTTATTTCACTTTAAGCGTCGACCACCACCACCTTGCTGCTCTACAATGATAGTATTTACGTGGTTGTGTTGTTACTGTTTCATATACTGTTAGTTGTTTAATATACTCACTTATTATCGTGGTGTTGTTGCGACCGACATTTGTCCGCAGGGTTCTGTCGTCAAACAGTATCAATCTAAAAACCCCGCTTATACCCACCAAATGGCAGAAGTAGTCGGCGGAATCTCAGCTAGCCTCCACCTCCTAACCGTCATATACAAATATGTCGAAGAATGTAAGGACTACGACCAACAAGCCGCCGAGCTCGCCTTCAAACTCCGATGGGACGCCATAGTCATCAAAAAGGCCTACAACCTGCTGGAATCTGTGTACAAAGATAAGCCGGAATCTCTTTCACCCCAGGATAAAGAGTTTATAGAACAGGTCGTTTCGCTCTTAGAACCCGTTATCACAGAAGCGCAGGAGATTGGGCAAAAGATCCAAAGTGATAACTGGAAGCGGAAATGGCGGCGGTTTACTTGGGCTTATGAGAAAAAGAAATTTCTGGGGATACAGGCTCGGTTGGAGAGATGGCATTCCTCGCTGGATATGCAATTGATTAGGCTTCCGGAGAGGGTGACTACTCTAGTGGATCTACGAAATGTGGATATCGAGGCCGAGGCCGAAGCTGCATTGCAAGACGCTAAACCGACAACAGTGTCTGGCCTCGAGACTAAACCGGCGAATGGTACCAGTAAAGATCCCATTGCCAACCACAGCCCTTTGGAGCCGGCACCTTTAGTCATCCCCACCCAAGTCTACAACTATCTAGGCGCGGAAAGGAGCCTTCGCCGTCTAAATAAGCTCTCCGAATCACACAGGATGGAAGTATTTCAAACTTTACTAGACCCAAAATTCAAATTCGAGATCCCAAACACCTATCTCATATCTTCGAAGGACTCCGCCGCCCGAAAACCTCTGTTGTTGGAAACCTGGAACGGGAAACCCGTACTTATAGAGATCAAACGGTTCGACGTTCCGAGCTACCCGCCGCTCACAACTGAAGATATTGAAAGGAGAATATATCACTCGATTGGCCGTTTAGCAGCGGAGCTAAACAGTGTCGGTCCAGAGACGCCAGGGATCCTACACTGCGAAAAGTACTTTTATAACCTACAACATGAATTCCCACACTGCGGTCTGATATACAGCCTTCCATTCAAAATATCTCAACTAGGCCCGAAGACACTCCGCAGCCTTATACAGTTAGCAAAGAGACCAAAATATCCTGTACCAGCCTGCCATCCCCTTGACCAAAGATTTTCATTCGCCCATAAGCTAGTCAACGCACTCTCTTTCCTCCACTCCGTGGGTTGGGTCCACAAAAACATAACTTCAAATAACGTTATCGTCTTGGAGCGTTCGAATACGCTAGATTCCGAGAGGTTCCCTTACAGCCTTGATCAGCCGTATATAGTATCTATGGAAGAAGCGAGAGAAGATACAGACGCAACAACGATGCACTTCTTTCAGTTGGCGCCGATATGGAATGTCAATCTGTATCGACATCCAGAGAGACAACTTGGAAGCAAGAACCCTAAGGCTTATACATTTTACCACGATCTTTACGGTATTGGAGTAGTATTGTTGGAACTAGGCCTTTGGAGGATACTTGAGGAGAGCGAATCGTTGATCAGCAAATATAATTTGAGGAATATACACGGGGAATCCGTCACAAACGCTCTCTTAAAAATTACTGATCGGGAGCTTCCGGTTGCGGTGGGAACCAGATATCGGCGGATTATCCGGGCATGCCTTGAATATGATGATTCTCGGGCGGAATACAAAAACGAAATTGACCTTTTCGATACTGAGACTGAGCAGGTTGACAAATCTGGCACGTTCGAGGTCCAAAGGCAATCCAAAGAAAGATATCTGGACTATGTTGCAGATATCTTGACGTCTTTGAAAGATCTGGCGGCGACTACATCTTGAAATTTCGCGAGCAAGACACATATATGCCCGACCGCAATGCCCGACTGCAGGTCGGGGTGCTGGTAGACCTTGTCACGGCTGTCCGGGGCGGAAGGGGTGTCAAAAATGGGTTGTCTTTTCTAAAAGGTTCTGATTAAAATTAAAATAAAATAATAGTGAATATATAAATCGGTTTTGCCTAAACTGATCCGAGAAGCAGGGGCCGCAGTCCGGTGTATGCTGCGAAGCAGCCTCAAGTTATAACACTCAACAGCATTCGCGCTTTAGCTATCGCCCAGATGTGGAGCCTACCGGGTAATCCCCGGTCAGTCACACCACCGGCCCTGTGACCGTTTTTGTATGCGACCCGGGCCCGGTCCCAGCACTCATACTGTAACCGTTTGTATAACAAAGTCACAGAATTCCCAAAAAGAATTTCCCGAAAAAATTTCCCATGAGGCTCAAAACTCAGTCTAGCCGACCACCTAAGACAGGTGGGCCACATAGGCCACGCAGCAGAAGTCGCATATTATATTATCCGTGGGTTGCATAATGCATAATAGATTCTGCGGGAGTCGCATAATAATTTCTCAGAGTCACATAATGGTAATCTTAGTTTTGGTCTTTTGGCTTCGACTTATATTCTCGCCTGCAATTCTTAATCTTCGATCGTATCCGGAGGTACTCAGTAATTTATGGCGGGTATGCACCATCGCCATGTATCGTTACCTCGCCGTCGCTTACACAACGTTTTTATCTGAACGCCTACGAAACCCACACTCACAACGCAAGAACCGCTCGAACCAAGTTAATACCTACCTATGTTCATTCTTGAATAGAGTGAATATATTAAGCTTGAATTTTTATAAAAAAATTTTATAGGATATTTGTGGTTTCTTCAGTCTCAGATTTTTGGTGGGTTGTACAAGTGTGGTGTGGCTCGCCATCCTGAGACTTTTTGGATGGAACTTGCCGTTATGATACACTATTTTACGAATCCAGCTGAATTTGAGTTTTCGCCCTCCAGCCCAACCGTTCCTGCCCTTAAGGATGCATGATAAGTGCATATTGATTCTCCGTAGAACAAAATTTATCCATTTGCAATTCTACCCAAGCATCTACACTAGACCCACTGTAATCCTTCGATCTATTCCAATTCTTAGGCAATGCTTGGACAAGCCACAACAATCATAAAATAGGGAATCTGTTAGCCTACGGCGCGGCGGGATGGGGCCGGTACCTCCTGATCACGTTAATCTGTCGCGAAGGACGACTACTTTAGCTATCGCAAGCACTTTCTCCGCAGTAGCAAGTATGTATAACGCCTGGAATTTTTTGACAATTCATCAAGCAATAATGGTGTAACTAACGTCCGATCACGACCGCGATTTTTTTTTTTTTTTCAATATATAGCCCTTGTCTTGTCACTCAGGCTCTACGTTAGAATAAAGATCGTGAAGCAGCCGAGTTGGGATGATTGGGTCATCATTCTCGCATGGGTGAGCAACTGTAACGCATTAATGAGAGTTACTGCCTTATCTTCCTTCTATTATTCCTCAATGAGAAGCCAACTCTAATTCTTATTCGATTATTCATCTAGGTCGGAATGATGTCCTATCTTTTCTTAGAGGGATATCAAACAAAATATGGCTCAGGAGTCAGGCGAGAATACATCAGCTCTGAATTGTCGGAGCACGCGCTCAAGGTAAGAAAATCAAATAGAATCGCCTTTACATTAAATTAGCTGAAAAGGTAAACTGGAAAGGGACTGAATTACATCCTTATGTTATAATGATAGATTGTCGTGGGTATCGAAGCGGTATATTGGTTGACTGTTAATTCAGTTAAAGTATCGATTCTACTTCTTTATCTACGATTTATTTCTTATTATCAAAAGACACGGAAATTGATTATTGGCACTATATTGCTACTTATATTATTCTGGATTATCTGTGAAATCGGCACTTTTAATCAATGTCGACCACTCCGAGCTGCTTGGGACGCAACTTTGCCAAAAAATTGCATCAACATGACAGTTTTTTTATACAGTCAGTGCAAGCTAAGTTCTGAAAGCCGAGATTTTCGCCGAGATATATGCTAAATCAGGGTCGATACACAGCAACGACCAGTTTCCATATTATGGCTGATTTATGGATTCTCCTTTTGCCTATTCCAACCTTATGGAAAATCAAAAGATCAGGAATTGAGAAAGTAGTTGTTCTGAGTATCTTCCTAGTTGGTGGAGTCACTACTCTTGTTAGCTGTGCTCGCCTGTACACAATACAAATATTCACGAAATCTACGGATCCTATGTACGACATTACAACCATCGATTCCTGGACATTTGCTGAGGAGGGATTGGGCGTCATTTGTGCCTGTGTTCCTAGTATGTATTATCTTTCTCACCAGGAAATGCATCATATCGTTGACAACAATTATTGATTATTTTGGAGCACTTCGCCCACTCTTCCCAAAAGTCCAATCCCGGTATCCAAACAACGACGAGGAAATAAATAGCTTGAACGAACGAACAGTAAATCCAATAAAATCAGGGGAAAGGCCGGCGACAAGCGTCCAAGAGACGCAACTTGCAGAGCTACAGAGTGGTTCGTCGGCTGCAAGTCAGCGTGTTGAATTTGTCAACCCGACATGATGGCAAAGCGTTAATTTTGGATCTCAAATTGACGTTTGGGTTCTGTTTCTTCTAAACAATGAGGGCCAGTTTATTTGTGGGGTTTACCGGGAGAGAGTTTTATAATGCAAAACCCAGGCTAAGGGGTGAGGGAGAGGACGAATGACTGATGGAGGGTCGAAATTCTGAGGGTCTTGACAGGGTAGTGCCAACCGCTACCATCCCTGGCCCAGTCACGAGCAAAATATCTTGTTTCCTGATGCCATTACATAGTGTCGTATTATTTATTTTGGTTGTTGTTAAAAGACTTTGGACCTATAGCCGTCTTAATGAATGGTTGAAAAACTCGTCCCCGCCGTCTAATATAATGTATCTGCTCTCGCGATTGGCCAGAAGGTGGGATTCTTAAAAACAATATTTAATTAAATTTTTTATTTTATATATATATTTAAAAGATTTATCACAGCTGGATCCGGTATTTCCATATCTCCGAAGCGAAGTGAACAGCCCAGTCAAGGGCTTCGCAGAAAGCTTAACGGCTATCTCCGCATTCCACCAATACTCCGCCACCCCGCCACTTGTTGCAAAGATCAGATCATATCGATTAAACTGCGGGGTAAATCTAGTGTAAACGTCACAGACACCTGCCCGAAAATCCCTAAAGTGTTTTGTGAAAAGCTAAATCCGAGCTCCGCGGAGGCTGTGGAGGCTACGTTGTAGCTGGAAGCTATTTAAGACGCAGCACCGTCAATTGCATCTGAGAAGCCAGAGTCGATATCACCAGCATAGCATCCTACGGATATCACAGAGACTTCAATTTTATCAAACCAATTGACCAACCGAATCGACAATGTCTTCACCAATCAAAGTTTCCTTTCCCTCGTTCATGCTCACCATCAGCGGCGAGCTTTACGGTCCTGCAGAAGGATCTCCCAACCGAAAAGGTGCTGCCGTGGTGGTGAGCCACCCCATGACGGGAGTCAAGGAGCAAACTGCTGCGGACTACGCTCGTGCTCTATCCAAAGCCGGATTCTACGTTTTGACTTTCGATGCTGGCTACTAAGGCGAAAGCACCGGCGAACCCCGCGGTCTCGAAGACCCTCATCAGCGTGTCGAGGATAACAAAGCTGCCGTCACCTACTTAACTACCTTAAAGGGTAAAGTTGACCCCGAACGCATCGGCGTGCTAGGTATTTGTGCATCGGGAGGATATGCCTCGTATGCCGCACAATCCGACATCCGCATCAAGGCCCTCGGAACTGTCAGCGGAGCCTGTGTCGGTCGAATGACCCGCAACGGCGGCCTCTACGAACAAAACATAGAGTCTCACGAAGCCATCGCAGCCGCTCTCAAAGCCGCAGGGAACTGGCGCACCGCCCACGCCGATGATACTAAGGCTCAGGCACCTCGTATGTTCGAAACGGAAGCATCCAAGGTGCCCGAGGACGCGTCTTCATTTTTCAAATCAGCTGCCTCGTACTACGGCACAAAGCGCGGCCACAATGCTCGATCGGACCAGCGTGTTCCTCCGTCAAGCTACGATTTGATGATTGGATACGACTCTTTCAACTATCAGCATCTTATTTCGCCACGGCCGTTGCTGATGATTGCTGGTGCGGAGGCAGAAACTTTACACTATAGCAAGAAGGCTGTGGAAGGAGCAAAGGAGCCAAAGGAGCTATTTGTTATTAAGGGGAGGAACCATTTTGATCTGTATGATGATTTAACGGAGTCGGCCCCGAAATTGGTGGAATTTTATAGAAAGGCATTGTTACACCTGTCCCAGGATTCCTTGGCAAGGTTTCCTCAAACAGTTTAACACTTTGCTATATTTCTCAACTTTATATAATCAGATTTTTCAAAGAGTAATATAGTATTCAGGGTGAAAATATAAAATTATATAAATAAAAAATGTAATATAATAATTAATTATAAAATTAAATACTATTTAAATAAATTATAAATTAAGTTAATAAATTAATTAATAGAATTCCAAGATAAACTAAAAACTATTATTATTTAAAGATTTTTAAATATATGATGAAGTTTTCTTATATACAATTATAGACATAATATCTATCAATAATTATCAATAATTATCAGTTTAATAACTATTGATAATGTTTGATAATTATAATTTTAATATTAAATATTACATAATAAATTAGTACTAAAAATTTCTATTTATTAATTAAAATAAAAAATATATTATTCTACAACACATTTGTATATAAAGCAAAAAACAGGCATATAAACTTTTAATTTAAAAAATCCAAATAATTATAACTAAAAATATTCTATAAAATAAAAAAAAATAAAAACAAAAAACATATTTATTACATTAAAACATATTTCCTAATTAAATTAATTAATATAACTAAATTATAATATTATCTTCTTTTTTAAAAAAAACTTTATTATACAAATTTTTTATATAAGATTTCCTCATAAACAAAAAAATAACTCATAAGAAATATTAATTTTGTAAGGAAAATTTTACATAAAATAAAATTATATACAAAAAAAATATTATACAAAAAAATCAAATAAAAATTTTTTTAATATAAAAATTTCTATAAAAGAATAATATTATATAATTTTATTGGTTTTTATAAGAATAAAATTATTAGTGATTGATATGGTGCGGTTTAAACCGGAAACTAAACTGTTATAATCTGCTAAATGTGAATTGGTTCGATGTGGTTTTTGTTAAATAATTTATGAACTAATTCAATTTGGTTTAAGTTTTTGGTTTATTGATAAGATAATATAAAAAAAATTATATGTGGAGTAACATTATATATATTTTTATTAAATCATAATTTTATTATTTTATTATTTATATTTTTTTAAATTTTAAAATAAAAATAGTATTAAAATATTAAAATAATTTTTTTTTAATTAAATATTGATTTTAAAATAAAATTTTCTTATTATTTGTTTTTAAAAAATAATATTTTTGGGTTTAATAGTAATATGATTATGATGAATTATAAAAATATTATAAATTAAATAAATTAATTAGTTATTATATTTTATATTTTATAAATATAATATAATTTATTTTAAAAATATTTCATTACAAATACTTTTATAATTTTTTATAAAATATTTAATATATTTTTTTTAATTTTAAGATTATTTTTTTTTATAACATAATTAATTTCTTATAAAAATTTTTAATAAAAATATACAAAAATTATTTTTAAAAATAAATGTTTTATATTCTTTTAATAAAACTTTATTTTTTTTAAAATAATAATTAAAAGTATATTAATAATTTATATATAAAGTAATATTTTAATAAAAATATTTTAAACTTATTTCCTAATTTTTAATAATAAACTTTAATATTTTTTTTACTAACAACTATTGTAATACCACCTTTTTTTTTAAATTTATAAACTAAAATAAATTTAATATAAATTATAATATTTATAATATAAAAATAACTATTATCTTAAAGAAATTTAATATATAATAACTAATAAAATTAAAAAATATAAAATAAATTAAAAAAATAAAACATTGAAATCATAACTAACATATTATATAAATTTTAATATCTAAACTACAAAAGCATTAGTAATATACTAAATAATTTTATAAATATTAACAAATATTATTAAAATATTTTCAAATATACTACATAATTCCAATAAAATTTTTAAAATTATGAAAATTTTTACATATATAAAATTATTATATATACAAAAACTTTAAATCATAAA